GCCGCCCGCACCACCTCGCCGCGTGCAGCGGCGTGGGTTTCTGTGTCGCTGGTACGCCATCTGTGCCATATGGGTGTGCCTGATACTCACCTACCAGTACACGCGACGGAAGCCGAAGTCGGCCGCTGCGCCGGGGGAAAAAGAGGTCCGACTACGGTTGCGGAAACATAACTTTGAAAGAATAAAGCGTGCCGAGGACAGGAACGCTTTTTCGCCAATTTTACAACGGCACCAGAACGAAGAGGAACCTGGTAAAACAGACTCCTCAGCCTCCCCTACGAAAGTTGCAGACGCGTCGTTGAAGGATTCTCCCGCAGATCTTCACAACTCTGGCGGTACCAACAAGGAGGATGTAAGAATACAAGACTTGTTCGGAGCAGGCGGTGTCATGCGCGATAATGGAGCACTAGCCGCAGGACGAAGAACACATCAGAGAACGAGGCCAAAACAGTCCACCGCGGTTTCCACGACCCTTCTCGTTTCGCCCCTCAACGGCGGTGCGGAGCAGAAGTTCCCTGTGTACATTGACACGAGGTCACCCGCGCTCTTCGTTCCCGATGCCAGTTGCGGGGACTGCCCGAGTTCCGTCACGAAATTTGATTCAGGTGAGGATACGGCCAAGAAAAAAGTAAAGAGCGTCACGGTGGGGCGACTCGGGGTCGTTTCCGGCTACGCGGTCGAGACGAAGGTGGCAGTAAGCAGCAGTGTGTTTGTCAACAAGCAGCCGGTTCTGTCCGCGTACGAGCTGCCCCAGAATCTACTTCCCTCCGGGATCACGGGGTATTTGGGATTAGGGAAGTTGAGTCTACCGCTAGCGAAAGACTCCTTTCTGCTGAACCTGCTGCTGCCAGACAGGTCGGGAATGAGCGGTAAGATGGTACTTTCTGTTCGATGTTCATGTTTCTAGAAGTTTTCTGAACCTGCGCTGCAAGTTGTATGGCGTGCGAGTAAAGAGCATATTGCTTTGTAATTAGGTTTACGTTGAAAACATGACTAAGCACTGAAGACAGACTGAAACAAAAACAGGAGCTGTCACCGAGGGCTACTTCTATGTGGACTACCAGAACAGCGCTGCGCCGGAGCTGGTGCTGACCACTTCGAAGCCCGACGCCAGTCGCTACGATGCAAACTTTGGGGCAAACTGGCTGCCGACGTTAGAGGTGGAGCGCTATTCTCAGTGGTTTGTTCTCGCGAACTCGCTGACAGTCGCCAACAGGACTACTAGCAAGAAAACGGATGCAGTCATCGGTAAATTGTTTGCTTGTTGCTATAGTGGTTTGCAGTGTCCGCAACGATGATCTGGGTGCGAATCTGGGAGCTTCGCTCAAGCGTTTCGCTTAAGCGTTTCGCTTAAACGTTTCGCTTAAGCGTTTCGCTTAAGTGCTTCGCTTAAGTGCTTCGCTTAAGTGCTTCGCTTAAGTGCTTCGCTTAAGTGCTTCGCTTATAGTGCTTCGCTTAAGTAGTGCTTCGCTTAGGTAGTGCGTCGCTTAAGTAGTGCGTCGCTTAAGTAGTGCGTCGCTTAAGCAGTGCGCTACTTATCTAGTGCGCTGCTAAAGCAGTGCCTCGCTTAAGTAGTGCCTCGCTTAAGTAGTGCCTCGCTCAAGTAGTGCCTCGCGTAAGTAGTGCCTCGCTTAAGTAGTGCCGCGCTTAAGTAGTGCCTCGCTTAAGTAGTGCCTCGCTCAAGTAGCGCCTCCTTGCTTAAGGGGTGCTTCCTTGCTTAAGTCGTACTTCCTTGCTATAAGCGCTTCGCCTCAGCCTAAGTAGTGCGCCGCTTAAGTAGTGCCTCCTCGCGTAAGTAAGTGCGTCGCCGTAGTTGGTGACTCCGCTTGAGTAGTGCCTCACTTAAGTAGTGCCTCCGGGCTTTAGTGCTTCGTTTAGGTGTCGCCTCCGCTTATGTAGTGCTTCGCCTAAGTAGTGCTTCCGCTTCGAGTCTGGCATATGTCTAAGTAGCGCTTCGCTTAGGGAGCGCCTTGCGCAAATGGCCCCTAGCTTAAATGGCGCCTCCGCTTAAGTAGTTCCGCGCCTCGGGTAAGTAGGGCTTCGAATAATTTTTGCGTCGCTTCAATCGTTGAATTTTTCGCACCACAGTGTCCCTAGACTTCGGAGCACCGAGTGCGATCCTGGCTCCAAGCGACGCCTACACGTCTCTCATGGAAAGCATCACCGCACTGCCGGGCGTAACGAATCCGCTTTGGGTGCCCTGCGCGTCGGTTCCGGAGCTGCCAACCCTGACTTTCGTATTGAAGATTTTTTGCTGAAAAATTTGCCCGTGAGAACTTACTACTGTCTCGTCTTTTTACCTAATTTTGCTTTTTTTTTCGAACAGGGATGAAGATGCAAGTAGGTACAACGAATTCAAACTCCATTACTACAGGACATTCTTCACGAGCAGTACAGCCTGACCGGAGCGGAGTATACAGACCCGGATAAAGACCATAAGCAATGCCACCTGCGCGTGTCCGCGGACCCGGGTGCGCCGTACTGGACACTTGGCGCGCAATTTCACCAGAAGTATGCGGTTACCTACGACTTTACGCAGGGCAGAATAGCACTACCCCGCAGCAGCGTGCCGAGCTGGTTCGGGGACAACTGGCTCGCTGTTGTGATCCCCGGAAGCTTCGGCGTGTTGCTTACCGCCTTCTTGCTCTTCGTGCGCAGTCAGAAGCATGCCGCAGGATCGCAATTTCGCTCGAGCCCGCAGCTGCCGGCAGCGGCAGGGTCCGGGCCATAGGTGGAAGAAGGCTTTGTGACAAAGAGTATGCGCTCCTGCATGCGCGAGATGATACGCGAAATTAGAAGCACGCCCAAGCGCCTCTGTTCGGTTTTCGCGCACGAAACAAAGGCCACCACGCCCTTTTATTGCAGCGCTTGCGATTCCGCGAGTTCTTCCTGAAAAAATTTCCTGGAGAGTTCTTCGAGGCGTTATACAACACCAGACGTGAAGCAGAAGTTTCTTTTCGAGCGGAGAGAAGTTAGGAGTGAAAGGGACAAAGATTCTGCCGTAGTAAGGACGTGCAGTGCAACTGGCTCTTCATCGTGTAGGAAGTAAAAGCACGATGGTAACTTTCCAAGACGGCAACATCTGCGGGCACCCGTCGCGACCTCTGCGGGGGATGGGCACGACCTACGCCGCCGAGAGCGCGCGGTTCGGCCGCTACTCGGTTCCAGGCAATTCGGGCGGCGGGGCCACGGCGAGCACGGTTCGCTGTTCCGCGGATAGGGATATCAAATGTAAAAATGTCTGGGTCTGGAAGAATTGGAACTTGTCATGCGATTTCTGGAACAGGCAAAAATTTGTGTTGCATAAGCACCAAAAGCTTCCCACTCCTTGCTACGCAAATAGGGAATTTCTCATGCGGGATAGACATCAGGAGGCTTGCTCAAAACCTGTAGTGCTTTTGCGTGCATTAGAGACCAGTTGCGTGATCCAGAAGATGCACGACAAACTCCTGCAATCTTCCAGACCCAGACATTTTTACATTTGATAAGGGACTCCCCGCGGTCCGACGAGCGTAGCAGCCACTCACCGAGCAAGCAGAACCCAACGCTGTTGGACCAGGTTCCAGAAACGCGAACAACGACCACTCAGGGGGACGACATGGGGGAGGTACAGGCAAGATTTTGCAGTTGCAGCATAGATTTTTTGCTGTAAGATTTTCTTTGTGACGACGGACTTAGTATTGTAGTTTATTCTCCTTGACGCCCTCACAGTGTCTTTCTTGGCTAAAGCTGCAGCTATCGAGTGTACAAATTTGCAGGACTTTGGGGTTTCTACTAAAATCTTGAGGTATCCAGCACGCCGACGTATCACGCCAGGAGCACGTACCGCACGGAAGCTCCGAAAGCAAAGAAGACGGGTTTCTTCGCGCGGCTTCTTGGTGGGTCCATCAGGCCACGACAAACCGTGTCACCTCAGTTGTCCGATGGCCTGGATCCGGGCGGGGTAGGAGAAGGGCGCTCCACCCGGAAGTCGTTACTCACTTGCAATATTGGGTCGCAAAAGGACGACGCGTTCTTCAGCGATAGCGCATACGACGAATTTTCTTGTCTAGAGGAAGACACGCAAGTAGTCGGCAGCAAGGTGCACGACAAACATTCGATGCTCAAGCGCAGGGAACAGTTCGTGAAGATAGGTCAGATGTAGTTTTTTTCTGTAGCTCAAGACATCTGGCAGAAACTGAGAATTTGTTCAACAGAAAAGTAAACGGGTTTGAGCATCTGTGTCGATTTTACTTTTCTTGCAGCCTGGAATATATAGAGACCACATTAAGCCCCCCACGCACTATCAGGCATCACCCCGTACCAAATCTACGGGATCGACCCCACTCAGGAGGTGTTTGCCGCGAGCTTTAAGGTGGTCTGCGAGTCGAAAGTGCCCTACGAGGATTGGGTGGCCAAGGTGGAGAACAACCCGAATTTGGAGCTTCCCGCGCAAGAGTGTCTGTTTACCATGCCCCGATTTTTGCACAAGAATAGCGTTGATCTGGCGATCTTTTCGTCGGACTGGTACGCGAAATGCTGCCGGAAGGAGGTGGTGGTCACGAAGAACCAAATGATGACGTCCACCTGCAGAAACGACTACGACTTGAGCGATTTCCCCTTCGACATGCAGGAGCTTCAGATTGTATAGATGAGTCGTTTTCATCTTGATGCGTTTGTTCCGATTTACTTCTAACGTCAGGTTTAGTATTAAAATTTGTCAAAATGTTGCTGCCTGTCTTTTTTCTAAAAGTAGCCTGACATTCACATTGTGACGTAATTTTGATCGATACCCTACAGCACAGTATCCATCTGTTCTTTCTATCCAGGTTCTCTTCATTATTCCCGAAGTGAACGCGGTGTTTCAGCTGCAGGTCGACGAAGTGCTGATGAAGCCGCATTTGGCGCAGTATTAACTGCAAAAATGTCTGGGTCTGGAAAAGTGTAAACTTGTCATGCAGATTTTCCATTACCCATGAGGTCTGGAATGCGGGACTTAGCATGACAGACTCTGCGAGGTCTGTGCCATGCCTATCCTGCATGAGAAACTCCCTTCCAACTTGGTCAAAAGTGTACAGCTTTTGGCACTCATGCAACGCAGATTTTTGCATGCTTCAGATTTACCATGACAGACTGCAAGCTTCGAGACCCAGACATTTTTGCATTTGATACGGAGTCGTTCGAGACGAACTTCAAGACCCCGGACTGGGAAATTGTGCCCGGATCGTTCACGGTCCTCGTGGATTCTCCCCCCGCCGGGCAGCGAGTGGTGATCTCGTTGCAGGTGAAGCGGATTTGGCAGAGCTACATCTGGAATTTCTACCTGGTGTTCTTCCTCATCACCACTTCTGGCTACTCCTCCTACATCTGGAACGGACACCGGGGAGTCAGTGACAGCATGCTGCTGTCCGGGGAGATTAACGTGGAGAATCCGCACGACGCGATCATGATCAGCCTGCTCGCGTTGCTGACCAACATCTCGTTTAAGACGTACGTGGCTTCTGTCGCACCCAAAGTGGGTTACATGACCAATCTGGACGTGTACATTTTCGGCTGCCTCATCGTGTCCACGTTGCAGGTCGGGACGCACGTGTTGATCGTGATCGGAGACGTGTCGCAGTTTACGAAGAACATGTATGTCCTGGGCGGGATGGCAGCCTTGTGGATTCTGTTCCATCTCTGGTACATCTTCCTCGTGCGGCAGTCGAGGCGGAAAGAAATCACCACGGACAACTACGAACCGCGCGTCACCATGGTGGAGAAGCAAATGACGCACAACAGATCGGTCGAGAGTAACGCAAACGAGGGTGCGTCGAAAAATCCGCCCGCAGCTGCTGCGAATAAGGGTCAACCTCTTGGAGAATACATCACACAGGACGGAACGACAACAATTTACAAGCAGGGAAGAGTGAAAAAGTAGAGGTGAGTGGTTCATCGCGGGTTTTTTTTTCTGGTTAGTAACCAAAGTAAGTTCTTGGTTGAAAGATTTAGAGTATCGGATTTTTTGCGAGTTATGTTTTATGATGAAATAGATTACCGAAACTGTTGCAAAAACAGTTACAAGTGCAAGATGAATGGTTCAAGGACAAGTGAAAAATATCACCAGCGTTGGAGTGACACACAGGTTTCTTCGAAATTTTTGTGAAGTGGATAGGGGCTCAATTACGCGAATCATAAAAAGTAAGTTGCTTCCTCTTAGGACCGTCGACTTTTTGCCAGACCGTACCGTTCTGGGGTGCTCGGTGCGAGAGCGAGACAGAGCACAAAAGAATTATGTATGCACGAGCTGTGCGGTCTGTCTCAGACACAATCTGTATTTGTGGTGATGTTTTAGTATCGGTTACCGCTGTGGTTCGGAAAGCCTCAGACATGTAGATCAGAGATCCATTGTTGAAATGTGTCGCGTGTAAATCGATCTGCAAACGATCCGATGAAAGTTCGGAAATCTAATTTTGTACAAAAAATGGATCCTTGGGAGTTTTCTTGTCACACTCACATCATAAATCGGTCGGTCGTGCGAGGACAGTAGGGAATGGCGAGTGTGTTTTATTATTTCTCCAGTGGCGGAGGCAAGTAGATTCTTGCTAGGATTTGTTTTCAGACGAATGTAAATACCAAAGCGACATAAGAAGTCGTCTCTAGTCCACTTGATGATACTTACTTTCTGCGCACACGAAATTTATGGGAATCAGGCACCAGGTACGGGTAAGGATGAACATGAATCACAATGAATTGCATACGCGACTAGTTGCATAAATCCAAATTCATGGCCGAAGAAGCGGCATCTTTCGGGTGCGGCGAGCCGCCGCTGAAGCGCGAGGAAACAGACCTGTACGATCTGGATTGGAGATGCGATGCCTGCGGAGGAAATGCGCTTTGCCCGAACGGGGTGCGATTTCGCAAGAAGATATGGACGCTCGGGAGCATAACGGAGGATCATGGTACTGACGCCGACGCCGATCCCATCCAGATCTGCATGCGGCTGGACAAAAATGCCACAGTGCCTTGCCTTGAGTTGGTTTTCCTCACCAAATCCGTGGAGCGGCACCGCCGGAAGCAACAAAGCGAAGCCGCAGGATACCTGCTCTTTCAAGTCGAGGGGCTCGATCATGGGGATCACGGCATCATTGCTGACGAGGCTGCGACAGTAGAACCTGAGTTGTCGGACGATCGTGAAGATCCTAAAACCAAAGACGTCGGCGCAACAAGATTTTTGTCCACAGGACAGCATCAAAATGTCGCGTTGCTGCTCCGCGGTCTAAAAGTGGAGGCGAACAGCAGGAAATCCGGTTTGGGCGTCGACTTTGTCAAAAGCTGGATTTCCTTCTGCGAGAAGGTTGAAGTGGAGTGCGGCACAAAAAAAATGGACAAACCGGTCCTGTCTTTGGTGCTGCAGAAAGCCGGAATGACGCCGGTCAAAGACACGGTGGGCGTGTATGTGCTAAAACCAGGGGAAGAAATGAGGAAAACGTGGATAGATTGGTGCAGAGCCATCGGAGGAGGTGAAACTTGCGACAACGATTCCGCAGGCATCAGTGCTGGTGCAGGGAGTTCTATAGGCACCGTGAGAGATGAAGAACAGCGCGAGGAAGTCGACCATGGTGTATGCGCTCCATCAGGAAAGCAACAGCCACGAAGTAAGAAAAGAAAATGCGCCAAGCCGCGGTACGCGTATGTAAACGAGGAAACCACTTTTCTCTACTCCCCCAACGACCGACAGGCGCGCTCTATCTACGCACACAGCTACCTAAAGACCCAGAATCTCGTGCTTTTTACGCCAAGTCATACACCGAGTGTCGAGGATATGGCGGGCGAAGGAAAATTCGCTTACGTGAATACCGGGTTTGAGGTTGGTGTACAGCACCAAACCCAGCAGAACGATTCGAGTCTGGGGCGACCACAGAGGACCGTGAGATGGGAAGGATTTTGTGGTGCCTGTTTTCGGGCACAAATCTTGCACACACTCACAGCATGGCAAACGAGAATAGGAAACCTTTGAAACGATTACAGGGGTATTGAGCGCGACTACAACTTCCAGCGACATACGCATAAAAGAAAGATAAAGCCGGCATAATTTTGTGATTTTTGTCACTCTCGTTTTCTGCGGTCGCGTTGTTCCCTAGTCGGTAGTCGGTAACGGCGTTGCTAGGACCGAGCGTCAAATGTGGGATCAAACTTGGTGGAAGTAAAAGTATGGGTTTTCTCGGGATAAGTAAATGCAAATGGTCAGATGATGGCAAATCGTAAAAAATCGGTGCTCTGCTAATATCATCGGCGTCTTGCAGTCGTGTCTCGGTCACAGTCGTGGTTATGCTGCTGTGTAGCTGCTCCGAGCAGAAGGAAAAAACTCTATTAAACCCGTAACTGCATTAGTTCGTTGCCTGATTCGTATATGCGACGCGTAGCGATTATATCAGTTCACATGATCAAGCAAGAGGGTTGCACACTCCGACACCGGGCTGGCTGCCCGGTGTCGACCAGCTTCGGCAGGGTCTCTGTCCTTTGTCCAGAAATACCGCATTGTCTTGGCTCGCCTAGATTTTGCGTTTTTTTCCCACCCTCCCACCCGACTTGAGGTAGCGAGACCCCTTGCGGCACCCCTCGCAAGCCCGCCCTAGATATTCGGCGGTCCCAGTCGCGCCTCGCGGCTTGGACCACCTCTATGTCCGGGGCATGGCTCTGTGGGGGTCGAGAGCCTGGCTTGCGTGGCCTGCTACCCGTAGCTCGTTGCGCCGGCCGGGTTCTCTCTTGGCTGCCATTGTGACTGTCGCTCGAGGTCTTGCGACTATCACTGCGACGCGCTTCTGCACGTCATTCGCTTCCGTTGGTTGCGCGCGCGTTCACTCTATGGGTGAATTGCGCAGAGAAGGTGAAACTATATACAGGCAGATCGTCCGAACCACCACGGTACCATCGTGGTGGATGTAAGTTTAGTAAAACGACACTCATGAACAGCTACTTTTTCAAAATCTCTACATCACCATTGGTACGCTTTTGTTATCAATCTGGTGCCGGAGTAACCTTCTATCCTGTTGGCCGATAGTCCGGTCTCGCTACTCCTAGGCGTAGCCTTCAAAAAACATGATTGTCTGATATATATCATGAGAATGCCATAAATGCATAGAAATCTTCATGTTTTGCACTTGCACGAAGAACCACCATTCCTGACATTTCACAACGTAAAAAAAGCGCAAGATTAAGGAAAAATTTTTAGAATGCGGATATGTTTGCCCGCACTCAATATCCAAGAACAAGCCCGTGAATGTTCTTTGCTGTCGGGTCACAGTCACAGGAAGATACTGAGCAAAAGCGGGCCGTGAAGTTTCACTTTTTTTGTTTCCGGTGCTTCGATTAGCTTTGGTCACGTGCATGTTTCGACAAAAGTCGGTGAGCTCCTTCTCTCAGAAATCGTAAATCAAGTTCGGCAAACAAGGAATGAATGCCTGTTTGCTTGGCTGTGGTGTTGTAGTTGCTTTTCGTGCCGTTGTCGGTTTTGTCGAATGTGTCATGGTGGAGTGGTTCGCCGAAGACGTGCGACAACACGCACCAACGGTGGCAGAAAGTTTGGCGGAAGCTTTGCCTTGTGATTGTTTTCAGTTTGCCGAAAATCAGAACAACGTTAACGCGGGGCGACCTGACGCACCAGATCTTCGTCGCAGGCAACCGGAGAATGACAGTGCTCGGGATTAGACCAGACGAAAGCGAATATCAAGCGAACAAGTGGAACAAGAAAATAAAGCGAAGTAGTATGTAAGTACTTTAAAAAAAATATCACCGTCGCGACCAAGTGGGCAAATGGTCGACGTAAAGAATAGCCCCCTTGTCGACCACGTATTTGGTAACTGGAGCGTGAGAGGACTAGGAAAAAAAGACGCTGTCCGGAAGAAGTGCACTCTACTAGAAGCAGAGAAAAAGGGAGTCAAAGTGTTGTGCTTGACAGAAACGAAAGGGCAGGCCACAGGGGAGGAAGACGTCGGGGAGTGGCGCATCTTCTACGCAGGGGGAAGGCACGCCGGTGTGGCCATCGCAGTCCACCACTCCTTGTCGCATCTGATCGAAGATTGGCGTCCAATCTCGGGGCGGGTGCTATGGCTGGATCTCCGCCTGCAGCGGGGACAAGCCTTCAGGACGGTGGTGGCGTACGCACCAACAGCGGACAAGCCGGAAAACGAAACACTGGAATTCTACGCACAACTACAAAGAGCAACCGCAGCAAGGTCCAAGTTTTTGGTCCTCGGCGATTTCAACGCGCGACTAAAAACGGGCACCGACTGTACGGGACAGTGGGGGAGGGACGAGAAGTTGAACGCAAGCTCGTCTTTCTTGCTCGCGCATCTGCGAGAGAACAACTGCTGCAGCTTGGCGTCGTACTTCAGACACAGCTTGAGAGCCTACGCAACCTGGCGGCATCCAGACAAGCGACTGGGGAGCGCAGGCTTCCACCAGATCGACCATGCCATCGCGCCCCAGTCTTTCCGCAACGCGATAAAGGACTGCAAGGCGGTTGACGTAGCAGGCTGGCAGACGACGTTCGACCACAGAATGGTAGTAGTAAAAGTGAGCGCACACAGCCTGCGGTGGTTCGGGCGAAGAAAGAAAAAGCCCCCCGCACCACCACGCATCCCGCGCGCCAAAGCAGCGACGCCGGAAGAGCGGGAGGCGTACAGCAAAGAGTTCGCGAGGCGGACCGAACAGGGGGAAAGCGTCCAGCAAAGCATGCGAGCAGCAGGAGAAAAAGTCTTCAGGAGAAATAAAAAAGAACGCAAGCCCTGGATTTCCTTGGAGTTTGCTGACCTCTGGGAGGAGCGAAGCCGGCTCCTGGAGATAGGCGACAAAGAGGAAGCCCGACTGATTCTGAAGCAGATGAAGTGGGTGGAAAGACGGGACCTGGAGAAGTACGCAGCAACAGCATGCGAGGAGGCCGAGGCGTTTTACGCAGAACGGGGCCTGTCGCCAGCGATAGGGAAAATCGCTACGATAGGCGGAAAAAAGCAGCGGCCGCGCGGGCCGAAACTAGCCGAACCACTGCGGCACGGGGAGAGGACGGAATATCTGGCGGAGGGCAAGGTAGAACTCCACCGCCAGTTTTTCGAGCAGGTCTTCTCCCACCCAGAACCACTACTACTACCAGAAACAGCACCAAAACAACCAAGAGCAGCAAAAAACGAGCGGAAAAGCAAGCGGATGAAAAACATCAGCGAAGAAATCACCGACGAACTAATACAGAAGGCGATCAAGCGGCTACAATTCGGGAAAGCAGCAGGGGCGGACACCCTAGTCAAAGAGCACTACGAACTTCTTGACGAGGCGGGCAAGAAGTTGGTGAGGGACAAGATCCGAACCTACTGGGAGCGCAAAGAATTAGCGCCGGAAGAAATCGGCTCGCTCATCACAGTACTGCCAAAACCCGGCAAAGACCACAGCACAACAGCAGGCTGGCGGCCGATCTCGCTCCTGAACTTCATGGCAAGAGTGTACGCGTCGCTTTTGTTTTTGAAGATCGCGGAGCCGATCGACGCCATCCTGTCCGAAAACCAGGCCGGTTTCCGCAGCTACAGACGAGCGATAGACAACACGATCGCCCTCAAGATCGCGCTGCAGAACCACAAAAAAGCAGGAAAAGAATTCCGCGCCACCTTCGTGGATTTGGCGCAAGCCTTCGACACGGTGCCGCGGAAACTGATCAGGAGGGCAATGCAGCACTACGGAATGCCTGGCCACATCCAGGAACGTTTCTGGGCATTGTACAAAGACCACCACTTTTCAGTGCGGCGCGACGGGGAGGAAAGCCAGAAGACGAAAACAAGAACAGGAACAAAGCAGGGCTGCCTTCTATCGCCAATAATTTTCAACCTCTGCATCAGCTACGTAATGGAACGAACCGAAATCGGGGAAGGAGTAGAATTCATTTGCGGGGGGCTCCTGAACAAAAACGAAGCCACAAAATGCACCAAGCTGGGCCATCTGCTGTACGCGGATGACCTCGGAACTTTTGCGCAAACAATAGAAGAACTAGCTACGGCCACCAGAAACCTGTGCAAAAGTTTCGAAGCGTTCGGCTTGCGGGTGAATTTTGACAAAACCAAGTTCATGAGCTTCAACGCACCACAACAGAACAAGCAGACGCTGCAGGTAGGCGGCAACGAAATAAAGCGAGTAAAAGAATTCACCTACCTCGGTACGATCATAGCAGGGGACGCGACAGACAGCAACGACATCGCCAACCGGATAGCACTAGCACAAAAGAAGAGCGGGGAGCTGAGCGGAGTCTTCAACAGCCGAGCACTTTCTTCGCAGTTAAAAGCGCGCATCCTTAAGGCCTTCATCTACCCGGTGCTGGCTTGGGGGTGCGAAACGTGGCGCCTAACGCAGGCAGACGAGCAGGCCGTCGACACGTGGTGGAGCAAAAAGCTGAGGCACTGCCTGGGGGTGACGAAGTTCGACCACTTAGCCACGAAAGTGATCCGCCAAAGACTCAACGAGCGCCCCCTCTCCGAACAAATACGGGATTGGCGGCTGCGATATTTCGGGCACCTCGTTCGATACCCCGCCGGCCGCTGGGCCCGCCTAATGCTGTCCGCCACCGTCCAAAAAACGAAACGGGGCCAGGGAGCAGCAAAAACCTGGCTAGCAGAAGTAAAGATGGACATGGCAAAAAAGCGCGCGACAGTAGCTGACTGCCTCGACCGAAATCTTTGGCCGCAGATCACAAAAGGAGCAGCAACCGGAACAGCAAAACAAAACGGAAACGACAGCACTTCTTCCGCAGCGTCTTTTGAGAGTGAACAAATCCCAGTCCAGCAACTAATGAGATTACAGGGGAGAAAAAGAACAGGGGTCGATATAAGGACAGTCTAAGGCTGAACGCCGAGAAGATTTAAATCATCAGTATGTAAGTACTTTGAAGCTCGCAAGTTGTAGAAAGTGCCGCGTTGTTGCTTTCACGATGCACGTAAATAGAGCCTTCATGATCGCCATGGAGTGCGACTGCGAGCCAAAAGCACCAGAGGGCCTCAATCTCAATTTGCCCTGCGGGTGTTCTTCTGCGGAATAATTGTCGAGCTCGAGTGGCAGTGCAAAAGGTGTGGAGAGATCGATCTATCGTCTTTTTTTCCTGTGCAAAGCAATGCTTTCCGTTGTGGATGCGGTCATACACACCGCTTTTCTGGACTTATCGAAACAAATACCCTAAGACGTGCACTGCGAGGCGATTTTAACAGGACTCGTTTGTTGCCGACTTGGAATTCTCTCCATACAGACGCGAAACTATCGTTCGCATTGTCGTCCTCATTCCCATTCTCTGAAAGCTAAACAGCGAGGATGTCGTGCCCGCACTCGTGCGGGTTGGTGCCGGAGGAGAACGGCTCTGCCGCTTGGCGGTTTCCGAAGCGCGCTGGATTGGCGATTCTGGCCAGCTTCGGATTAGCCGCGGTTGTTTACAAAGGCGCGGAGGATTTTTTCGCGGATGTTTTCAGTCCAAGCGGTGGACTCGTGGATGAACAGAAGAGCGGCAGCGTCGACTTCCGCGTTCCGGTCCAGAAGCGGACGAGAAAAACGGCAGCACTCACGCCGAGAAGAGGAAAGACGAGGCGTTTTTACGTGCGGGCGGAGGATTTGCAGCGCAAGTCACCCGGCTCCTGGTCCTACTACCTACCTGATGCCAGTTTGTCACGGCCGGAGCAGGAAAATCATCAAGAGGGTCCTGCTAGCAGGAAGTTTCCCGAACAGGAGCACCAGCAAGAAGTGATCGCAGCCAGCAAAAAGACCAAGTTCATCGCGGCAACGCCCACACTGAGGCCGAAGACCGGCCCGTCATCCTTTCAAGAAATTGATATCCCGCTGATCAACCCGGGGAAGCAAGACGTCGAGTACTTCGGCCCGGTGAGCATTGGGACGCCGAGCCAAAATTTCACCGTGATTTTCGACACGGGGAGTTCCAACCTTTGGATTCCCGACATATCCTGCGATCCAAGCAGGTGTGATACGCCTGAAATGAAACACTCAAAGTACGACAACACAACCTCTACCTCCTACGGCTTCCTCGGTGACCAGCTGGTCGAGCTGCAGTATGGCACAGGGAGCTGCAAGGGGTACTACTCCAACGAGACGGTCACTTGGGGCGGCGTGAAGTTGACGACGCAAGGCTTCTTGCGCGTGAAGGAAACCGTCGAGCCCTTCCCGACCGCCCCGTTTGACGGAATTTTGGGCATGGGCTTCGAGAAACTCGCGTCGCCGGCGGACAATAGACCGGTGTTGCAGACCTGGCTGGCGCAACACGGAGCAGAACTGGAGAAGCCGGTTTTCAGTTTCGAAATGACCGACGCAAACGGAAACGATCTGGAGGTCGGGGAATTGCGGATAGGAACGATCCCGACAGAGAGGTATGGCTGTTTTTTTTGTTGCCCTGGACTCCAAACAATCGAGTTCGAGACGAGTTACTACTCGTGCATGATTTTGTTTCCGCATTTCTGCATGGTGGAAGTTTTGCAACAAAAAAATTCAGGTTCGGCAACATCGGGTACAATGAGGTCGACGTTGTCCCTCTCACGACACCCAGCGGAGACCGAGGGTATTTCTACTGGATGTTGCCAATGTGGACCAGTCGCATCGGCAAGAAGGAGGGCGTCGCAAACATGGCCATGGTGGACAGTGGCACTTCGTGCCTGGTTATGCCCACCCAGGACTTCATTCACTTTGCGCGGCACTTTGACAATCCACAAGAAATTTGTGGTTCACCGCGCGCGCCGACCATTGAACTGGCACTTGGGAGCTTCACGTATGAGTCTACGACTTCTTTTGGGTCATGAACATGAACTATTCAACATCGTTTGTTTTGTTGCCGTGCTCGTAGTGCACGTACTCTTTTTCTGCCTATCGCTGTACCCCGAACCTTTCAGATACACCTTTTCCCGGGAGGACTACTGCCTGGCCGATGGCACGCCTTGCCTGCAGCCGCAGGACGCACCGTTTTGGATTCTTGGGGACGTCTTCCATCGAAAGTACTACACCACCTACGATTTCAAGAACCGGAAAGTGCTCCTTTCCAAGCGCGGCGCCAAGTTCAAGCCGAATATCGTCGCGGTGCTGATTGCCATTGCCTTCTACATTGTGTTGATCACCATGCTAGTCACCTTCGTGTACTGGATCGGGGCTTGGGTGCGGAATCGGCTGCGCCGCCGCCAACCGCGAACAGTGATGGTCCAGGGAACTGTAACCACAGCAGGCGGAACGCCATTGAACCAAATGTAGGACGGAAAAGATGCGGGTGAACATAATACACAATACAACAACGTTCCGGCTGTTGAGAAAGAAACCGTGATGAATTCACAATATCACATGCCGCATGAAGATAGGAAAAAAGGTGAACTCAGCAAGCGTCTTACAGTTGAAGTAAGTACAAAACCCTGGCTCACGTGGTTGTTCCAGGGTTCGTTGAGATCGTCTTCGTAGCTGTTGATCGGACGTACAGACCCTGACTTTGTTTCTTCCCATCGCTGCCTGTCGTTTGAGAGTCGTGGCGGAGTCTGATTCTTTTCGTTCCCTCGACACAGCACCGGCTTGACAGCAATTCTATCGGCTTGTCGTGTTTTTCGTCTTCGGAAAAATCGCACTGCGCATCGGTAACTATCGAAATCCTTCTTCGTGCGCTTCGATGCTCGTATTTCGGAAATGGGGCAACATGTTGCGTGCGTACAGCCTAGCAATGTAGTTGCTGTAAGGAAAAATACTGCAGCTTTTACTTAGCCGCTCATGGGCGTTTTCGGCAGCGGAGAATCCTCTCGTCTTTGGCAACAGCTCTTCGAGGACGACGTGCTCTCGAAGCCGTCGCATCGGGGCAATGGCAATTCTCTCGCCACGGCGTTCGCGGAAGCTGGTGACGACGCCGCAAGCGGCGGGGATGCCGGTGAGCCTGGTGCTGGTCCGGCAGAGGAAGACGGCGCCGTCAAACCTGAATTTGATCCAGAGAACTTCGGGCAGCCACCGGCAGCAAATACCGAAGCTGCGGAAGACGCGAATGAACATACCGAATTTACATGGCAGGTGCCCCCGGATGAGGAAATACCGTTTGCCGGCGCGATTGCCAATCACCGCCCAGAGTTCCTGCAGCTTCGGGACGCGTTTTGGCGGGATGAGCTTTGGGCGCAGCCCAAGCGGATGGACCGCTTCCTCTCGCTGATGCGGTACGACCTGGATACGGAGTTGCGCGGAATAAAAGCCCAAGCCGCCGAGGACGCCAAAAGTGCGACCGGTGCGGAGGCGGCTGCCTCGCTCGGCGCCGCGCTGGGGAAGCTGTTCGGCAACAAGAAACCCACGGCGCCCCTGGGGGAAGATGCGCTCAAGGACCACTTGATTCACTACCTGCGGGGCGTGCGGACCGTTGACTCGGTCTCCGGGGACCGCAAATTTGACCCCAGCTCGGACCGCATGACGGAAAACGGGTTCCGCAACTTCTACAAGCTCGCCAGCGATCCCGCAGAGTTGAAAGCGATTGGGCACCGCATCACCAACGCCCGCGACGTGCGGACGGCACGGGGCGCGCAAGAGGAGAATACCACAGATGCGATGGATCCCGAGGAGAATGACATTGCGTACGCGCTCGTAAATCCCCGGCGCGCCGTCCGCTTCAAGGTTCTCACGATGGACAAGGAAGGCAGCCTCCCGTCCTTCTCGGCGTATGGACTCGGTTTAGCGACTGGTGGGAATAAAGCGTCGAAAGGAGAAGCGCTAATGCCTGGCAAGGCCGCTGCAGGTGCCGATAAGACCAAGGAGATGGATTTGATGAAAGTCAAACGGGAAGCGGCAGAAAAAGTGCACCGCGACTTCGACTTGACGTACCTGCACAAGCGGATTGGGGAGGAAAAAGAGCCTGAGTACCTGCATGACCCCACGGTGTACGAGCGAATCGGAAAAGCCCCTTTCATTCTGGTCCAAGACCCGCGAACTGCGGCGGCCAGCGGTATGGCGAAGGTCCTTCGGCCAGATGAAATTCCGGAAAACGGGAAGCCGGAAACATCGGTTCCTCCTCAAGGAGCCTCCTACCAGGGCGTTCCGGAGGACGCGGTGGAGTTGAATCCTGAGCAGGCCAGAAAGATGCGGGCGCGCGCACACGGAGAAGTGGTGTTCCCGCCGTTTGAAGTGAACAAGGCGATCGATGGTATCCTATTTCAGATGTCCGTCCGGGACAACATCACGGGAAACCGTGTGGCGCGTCCGGACAGTTTTCGTGTCCGCGCGGAGCGCTGGCCGCAGCGCTGGATTTCGGGCGTGGAGCACGACACGAAGGCGGGCGGCAAGGGCCGGCCAGAACCGGCAGCGCGACCGGTAGTTGTGCTCGAGGAACATCACGAGGCGACGAGCGAGGTAGAAATTAGCCGCACACGCCAGCATGTCGGCGGTCGGTCAGCGGCGGCTGTGGAGACGCACAATCTTCATGGGAGAAAACGACGTCGGAGCTTGCTGAACCTGCCTTATTTGCGGCGCAGACTACGCGGCGGAGGAGAGGAAGAAAGTATCGGCAGTCGCAGACGAAGAGCGACGGTCGGAGCAATGCGATCCCGACACCTGCGACGTGATCGAACCGGCGCTCGGTCGCCGCACGGAATTGCTGATCATGCTCAACAAGAACGTGCAAGAAGCAGCCGGCATACTAGTAAAATTCTGCAAGAGGTCTCCGCCTTTGCGTCGAGCGGCCAACCTATCGATTGGAAAAATGCAGCGTTGCAAAAACACATCTCGGACAAAGAAAAAGAGGGTCTTGTACCGAAACTCCTAGACGAAGATGGTAAGCAGGTGACGGGCATGCCGAAATTATTTGAGAACGTGGAAGAAGTAGACGCTGCTGCATTAGAAGGTAAATACGAGTCTCACTGCTCGCACCAAGATGAAGTTGAGTACCACTTCCCAAGTCCGGAAGGGGATCCGGAAATCGAGCCTCGAGACCCGATGGCACAGTACACTGTGACGTACCAGATGCCTATGCCCGGGGAGAAGAAACTCACACCAGGGCAACAGGCTCAGCGGATCGACCTATGTGCAGAAGCGTGCGCAAGCACGCCTGGGTGTCGCAGTTATGTGTTCCGGAAAAGTCAGCACTTCACACCAGTTGAGGGAGCTGCGGGCTCCAAGCCCCACAAAAACTGTTTCTTGTACGACCTGCCGCCACCCAATCCGGCTCTGAAATGTCAGGACGAAAACGGGAAAGCGGCGCGGTGCACAGCAGCAGAAGCGAAGCTAGCTACGTTCACAGCTCCCTTTGAGGTGGCCGGACAAACAGACAACAAGTTGCCCCTCGGGACGGAACATCTCGGGTACCCCGACGAGGGCGTCGCCAGTGGCCCGAAGATTGGCGAAAAGGTGTGCCAAAAACCCAAGGTGGAAAACGATCCCAGCGTGTTGCGGTTTCCGAATCTCCACGAAACGGGCAAAGTTGAGTCGCGCAAGTGCCACGCGCCGAGTCGCTTCCTGCGCGACCACCCGAACACCGTGTGTGCACTGACCCCGGACAAAAGCGTGTTCCGGCACGCCTACAGTCCGGCTGAGGAAAGCGGAAAGTTTTCGGATGACAAGCCGCAACCTGCGCTATCGCAGTACGACGTGTGGGCGCGGACACCGCTTATTCCCGACGGGTACGGGGACGGTTTTCTCGAGACCGCGGACCGCGCCACCGAAGGCGCCTTCGACGCAGACCACAAAGCAACCCACCTGTTTCAGGTGCGAAAGCTGCGCGGTGCGAGTCCTCCTCACGATCGGCACGGCGCTGCCTTCAGCGAAGACCAGCTTGCGGTGAAAGAACCCACTCCCGGCGCGAACGTGTATCTAAAGCCGCAGGACCAAACCGCTTCTTCGGAGATTACCTACACGCTCGGCAAAACGCTCTGGAGCCCGGAGCTGGAGAAGAAGGCGAACGACGGAAACCCAGACGCATTTTTCGACGCGTACCGACGCGCGTCGCGGGACCGCAGCGAGTTTGTGAAGATCTTTGCCCGCGCCCTCCAGCCCGGCAGTGGTACCACTGCCGGGCTGGCCCCACCCCTCGCGCCGCTCTCGCTGCAGCCTGCCGTGTTTGATGAAGACCCTAAGTGCGATGCGCGGCGTGCCGTTTTCGAGGGTAAGCTTTGCAAGCGCGACCTGCACCTGCTGTCGCTCTACAACCCCAGCCACCCGGAGGACCACGCGGACCTGGACCGGAGCATCGTGGAGCGGTTAGCGCAGGGGCTCAAGACGGTCTACCACAAAGAAAAAGCAAAAGTGACGACTCCGACACCCGCGGATGCGAAGTGTGCTGGCTCTGCCCTTGGAATGAATGAAAAGGATCTAGCAGGTTTTATCTTCAATAAAGACAAGCTCCCGCAGCCGCAAAAGTTCCTCACCGCTGAAGGTGCAGAGAAAGGTACGCCGGCAGTGAGTCAGTGCGTCCTAGATGACCTCAAAGAGGATGATACTCTGCTGCGCAGAGTGGTTCTGCCCGCCGCGAGGACAGTTCTGCAAAAAAAAGGGGTAGTACACCACATGGATGCTAGCACAGGGGCAGAACGCGTTTCCGGCTTCAACGTAAACACCGAGTTACGGGCCAGCAAGCTGCGATGGCAGGATTTGGTGCTCACGCCACAAAGCGCGCACGTCGACGCCGCAGCCGCCGCGGGGAAAGAGCAACAGTTGAGCAAAACAGTAAATTCGGGACGGCATGCGGTCGCCGATGTGCAACAAAACCTGACGGTTCCGCCGCGTTTCTCCGAGGGAGCCGCATACCTGTCGGAAGTACAGGCAGCAGGCCGGGTAGAGGAATACAACTTGGTGCGTGCCGTATCGAAGGCCTCGCATAGATTTGCTACCGGACCGCGCGGCCTGGTGGCAAGCAGAAAAATAACTGACCCGACGAGCTACGACAACTTCGTACAGAAGCGCGTCTTTGGCGCTCCACCGGAGGTGGCGCGCTTGCGCAGTTCGTTGGGCAGCGCGCTGCGACATCCCGCGAAAGGCGGCGGGACTGCGAAGACGGAAGCGGATCTCTTGAACGAGATGTTTGCGAAGTACGTTGCCAACGAGCGCAGGTACCTACTGGAGGAGCAGGCACTGTTCACACAGAAGTTGCGGAACCCCGGGCTCCGCTACACCGCTGTGGAGCCAGCGCACTTTCCCGAAGACGCGAAGAGAGTTTGTGACGTGGCCACACTGGTCGCCAAAGATGGGGACGAGTACGCAAACGAGAGCGAGCCACTGTACGCAGGCGAAACAGCCTGCACCAAAGACAAAACGCAGTCGAACTGCGAGCGCCGGCCCGGGTGTGCGTGGTGGAAGGACAGTACCGATCAGAGAAACACCTTCAGAGACAACAAAGATATGAACCCCGAGGAAAAGCGCAGGTACTTTTTGACGATGGAAGCTCCTTTCGTGCGACAGTCTCTTTTTCCTAGTTGTCACTCTAAGTAGTCAGCAGGACCAGCAGTCCGGGCCCTTCGATTCTGGCATCTGCTTTTGGTCTGTTTCAACACCATTTCATTTCGGATATAATACCGCCAGAACTGAACACAAAAAACAGGACTATAGCGGAAGAGCAAGAAGGAAGGAAGATAGTGGATGTCAAGCTTACCGAGGAACAGGAAAAAGAGTTGGCAAACGAGGTTGCACCCGACAACTCGAAGGGCCGGTGCGTTTCCCGACCGTATCGCGCGCTGGTCCCTTGCGACCAATTACGGTACCGGAGCTGGAGCTGTGACACCAGGCAGGAGTGTGTGGACCAGTGCGAGCGGGCCGGCGTTGACGTCTACGGCTATCCTCGCTGTGGGGGTTTCGTGTTCAACGAGAGAACGCGGTTTGGTCGACTGCTGCTGCCCCGGCCACTGCCCTCGGAGGTCCAGTCTCCGGTGCAACGGTACCGCAAGAGCTGCCAGGTGTTCACCCCGACGCACCGAAACTACCATCTGCAGGACGGCGTGTTCACCTTCTACCGCAAGGGCTGCGGGCGGCCCCCGGGGAAAATTCCGGTGCGGCACCCCGAGACAATCCCCCCATCGGAGCTGGACGTGAAGACCGCTGCCGGAGAGAGTGCTCCTGGTGGTACCGGACAGGAGCAGAAAAGTGCTGGCGACGGAGAATCATCAGGTGAACAAGAAGAAACGCCCGAGCCCATGGCGCTTTCCGCTCTGGAGGGATCCGAGACGGCAGCGTGGAAGCCGCGGCCGGGAATGGGCGCGGGGACGGACCACTTTTCCCTGAAGCACGAGATCGAGAACTTCCTCGGAATTCGTCAGGACAACGTGAAGAAGGTCCGCGGGGCGAGAAACATCAAACAGACGGTGGATGAAATGACGCCATTGCAGAAGCGGAAACAGCAGTACACGCACGTGATGAGCCACTTCGACGTCGGAGGGCTTCCGACCATGGTCGCGCACGTGAAGAAGGATCTGGAACTGCTGGACGAAGAGGTCCGGAAGCTGCCGCGGCCGGCGGCCGTGCACTCGATGATCGCCAAGTGCCGCGCGGACGTGAAATACACGGACTTCGAGCCCGACGAGGGGGGCTTCAAGGGCGGACTGAGGAATTTCAAGGGCGAGGCGCAGAATGGGATCGCGGAAGACCCGCGGCGGAAGGTTCTCGCCGAAGCCGGAGCCCTGGGGGATGCGGACACCGCCGCCGAACTCCGCCACCTGCAGGAGCTCCGCGACACGATTCTAGTCGAGCACCACGCGGAACGGCGGCTCTGCAACCACCTGGGTCAGATCTGGGAAACCGTGCGACCTTTGCCACTGCGCGCCTCACCGTGGGACTCCCGTGTGTCTATCAACGGCGCGGTGCAACCGGGACCGAAGAAACCGGCCGACACTCCGAACCACACTTCGGCACAAAACATCCGCGGTGTCGTGATTCCGCCGGACCGGAAGGTACGCGTAGTCGGGATTCTCAGCGACAAGGACAGCAACGGCACGATTTGCGAGGTGCAAGACGTCGCTCGGCCCGGCCACCGAGGCTGGGTTGAGGCTTGGGCCCCGGTCGGCAAGCGGCTGAAAAAAAAATCCGCAGAGGAGGAGGACCCGTCAGTGCCGGTGAACCACTGGTCGCGCGATTCAGGTCGGCACGATCACTGGGGCCTCGATCGTGTGGAGCCATTTGCCGGGCTGAATCCGACGGTTGCCGACCGGCTCGCAAAAAGTTCCTTGGACGACAACGCTTTGAATGGCTTTTTCGACGCGAAGAAGATCCGTGAACTAAAAAAGACCGAGCAGGCCGCCCGAAAGCTCGGGAAGTCCTTCCGCGGGGCGGAGCTGCTGGCCAAGCGCCGCACCTACATGGTGCCGGAGAGCGATGCTTTTCTAACGCCAAATGCGAACGACGGCCGCCGCTACATGTACTTACCCGCGCTTTTCAGCAAACCCAAAGAACCAGAAGAAGTTAAGAAAAAAGGTTTCATGTCAGGCGTGTCTTTGTTCCGGAAGAAGCCCGCGGTAGTAGAGGGGCCCAAAGCAATAGCAACTCCGAAGGCGACGACGCTTGTCTTCAATGAGGAAGAGGATCTGGACTCCGGGATCGTCCGTCCCCCGGTGCCAATGTCGCAGCTAACGCAGAAGCCCTTCCGCGTGTTAGAAATCGGCCGCGTCAACCCGCGGCGGGTGCACGTCCAGACCACCGTGGGTGATCGCGAGGTGCGGGGTTGGATCTCCTGGAAAACGCGAGGCCAGGTACCGCTGTTAGTTAACGAGGATCAAGTAAAGCATTTTGTGCCGGATTTCGAAAAGGAGGCAGACGTCGAGGGCGCAGAATCGGGCGGGACAAAAACTACGGGAGATGACGTAGCTACCAAAGGTTCAACATCTGCTAGCACCACAGGAACAGCTGGTAGTGCTGCAGGGACGAGTCCTGCCGTCGCGCCGACGCCTGTCGTGCCGCCCCCTCCCGCCGCGAACTCCGAGGAGCAGATGATGGTGAATGAAAATGACGTGGAGCGGATGGACGAGGAGCATTACAACCGCGTACGCGCGATGCACGACTGGCTGCAACTGGCACGAAGAGTGCGGCACGCCTACCAGGAGAAACTGTACACCGCGAGCAACAGCGGAAAAAAAGAGAGAGCTGTAGAGCTCGAGCATTACGCGGAGCGGATGTACGTGAACCGCCTGCGCAGTCCGCGCGACAGCCTTTACGAAGTCGAGAATCCGGAGCTACCGAAACCGAAAGCGGAAGCTGTGCCAGAAGAAGAACCAAAAAATCCGGGACAGCCAGAAGTAAAGGACGCAGAGAGCAGCTCCGCAGCTGCAGCTCCATCGAAAGGGAGCAGCTGGGGGAGTTGGTTTACCAAGCGCGCCGCAGCCGCCGCGGCAGTAGTCGCGAAAGTGGTCACTGAGAGCTTAAATCACATGTTCCCACCACTCCCACCAGAAGTCCTGACCAAAGAGTGGGATGGGTTCTTGTACGAAGGTGACGTGGTGGAAGTCACAAAGTTCCACACGCACCGCGGCCACCAGGGGCCACCTCCCGGATACGAAGGCGCGGTGGTGGAGCGGTTAGCGCGAATCGACCACGGCACCGACGAAGTGTTCCAGATTGCGTTCCAAAACGGGGAGAGGTGGCTGGCGCCGAAAAAGCTTTTAGGCAAGGTGTCCGGGGAGTACGGTTTTGCGAATTCCAACCCTCGATTGTTCGCAACAACGTTCGACCGCTACAAGTTCAACCTGGCCCACGAAGGCGACGAAGATCCGATGCCGATAACGGAGCGAACAGCACCAGAGGATGTCGGCAACGACAGTCGTATGACTGCGCGAAACGAATTTCGGCGGTTCTTGCGGCACCGCGGGTTCGAAGCAGCAGAGTACCAGCGAGACGAACAAACTGGTCTTTGGGTACAGCGGTTTCCCTCCGAGGAAGCGTCCTTGACCGAGCAGGCAAACAGCGACTCCACACTGTTTCACCCGTCCAGCCAGGAAGAAGAGTTGCTCGCCGGTCATAGCGGGCTGGGCACCAGTTTGGACAACCGAATCCTGCTTGCGAAGCCCGGGACTTTGCCCGACGGATTTCAAGCCATCGCATCATCGAAGGAACTAGGCAGCAGGAGTAACGAAGTCACGGTCAATTACCGCGTGCCCTCCTTGGGGAAGCTGCCGCCAATCCCGCGCCAGGCCGCACCGGTGATGCCGGAAACGACTTCGTTCTATGCACACGATAATAGGCGGCGCAGTGTTCGGATCAATCGCAGCCCGGCGGACTTCTTTTCCGACGGGAAAGCCGCAGCTGAGAACGTGAGTTCTCGGGTAGGGGCTGATACGCGGCGGCGGGGCCGAATACGACCACGAGAGGACGCGTCATTCTCATTCGCTCCGCCGGCGAAGGTGAAAATAAGAACTTCTTTCCAAGATGTCCTGCGAACGCCATGGACATCTGAAGAACAGCCGGAATTCAAGCCCTTCCGAGAAGTTCTAGAGGAGGATGAGACTGGTTAGAGAGGATGAGACTGTTGCCGATGCACCAAACGTCGGTTGCGCTTCAGCTAAGCTGCAAACTCTATTGAGACCTGAATTGCCTACTTGCGGCTTTTTTTGCAAAGCAAGTTATCAAGCCCTTTTCTCGCTTCTCCTGATAGAGCTCTTTCAGGTTTCTTTTAAACGCACACTTTCCAAGAAAAACATAAATGCGAAAGGCATGATGGATGATGCCAACGATGATGAAGAAAGAGGTGAGCCAGTTTCTTCCTCTTGTCTCGCGCGCAGAGCGCGCTATTCGTTGTGTATTTTCGAAAAGACAACAAGGTCTAGGATCGATCTTATTTGTGTGTAGATGCTGTTAAAACTAAATGCATTGCACATCCGAAACAGAACGACAAGATCGAAGATCCAGGCACGGGCTTTTGCCCCCGATCGACCGCGAAGTACGATGGTGGCTCCACAACAGTTTTCACTTTTGACCGGAGCAAATGTGCAGTATCAAGGACTCCTTTATTTTGCCACATTTGCAAAAAGAAAAGCGTTGATCCAATGACAAGAAGTGACTCATCAAAGCTCATGGTCTTTTGTAACGATCTTCCCTACCCGTACCCAATTTTTTTTGGACCGTATTTTCTTTTTGCAGTTTCACACAACATCTTGGCGACCTGAATGAACTCTTATGTTTGTACTACCTAAACCTATGTGTATGTACTCAATTCCGTTTTTCAGTAGCTATTTCGTAAGTGCCACGACAGAAGCAAGTATGATGTTGGACCTTTTTTACTGATTTGTTTCGCCCCAATATAGAAAGAAAGCATCCGACCGAAAAATGGCACGGAGTCGATCAAGATCACGCAAGCGGGACCGCGACCGTGGTGGCGACCGCGACCGGGGCGGCGACCGCGACCGAGGTGGCGAGCGCGAGCGTGGTGGTGATCGCGAGCGTGGTGGTGATCGCGAACGCGAGGGTGAGCGAGAGCGCGACCGCGAAAGGCGCGACCGGGAGCGAGACCGCGAAAAGCGCAGCCGGAGTCGAAAGCGGGATCGTGAACGCGAGCGGGAGCGGCGGAAGGCGGAGAAAGAGAAGGATCCGGAAAAAACGCTGTGGGATCACGTTGGGAAGGAGTTGTTCCAGGGCAGAGACGCTGCCGCGAACTCCGACATACCCCAGCTCACCGAAAATGAGTTGCTGCAGCGGACGCTCTTGATCGAAAAAGTTCCGCGCGATGTGACCAACCAAGACTTGATGGACTTCTTTAACGGAGCTGTGTTGGCCATGACAGGTAAGAGCTTTGTAGCTGAATGTTGCTGAGTCATTTTTTTCTGCATAAATTGGCCTTGGTTGCTGCTGGCAGCATCAGCACACACGGTTGACGACAGTGACGAGGAATAGAAATTCACTCCGAACGGACGACGGAAACAAATACAAGTCCACTTAATTTCAAATCCACCAGGCAACCCCACCGAGATGGCGACCGCGAAAATGAAGCCGGTGTTCGCGATCGGAGATATCAAGAATGGCGGGAAAAAGATCCTGTTCCGCAGTTACAAAGGCACCTTAGTTGGGATGCAGCTGGAGGGGATCGAGTACAAACGGGTGGAGCTAAAGATGACGCGGCCCGACGGGTTTTTTGAAATGTACAAGGACCACGAGCCGCCGCAGTACGATGTGAGCCTGATCACGTTGGCCGACATTCTCGGCATGGGGGACAAGCAGGAGGAGAAAACCGAAGCGCAGATGATGGACCTGATTGCGCGGACGAGTGGAAAATTGGCAATCTCGCAGATTCCGACGGTGATGGACGAGCGGGCTTGTCGGGAGCTGCTGTCCCAGTTTGGCGGGTTGAAAATGTTGAACCTGATCACCGACAAGAAGGGAAAACAGCGAGGCTACGGCTTTTTCGAGTACGACAACGACCAGCACGCGGAACTCGCACGAATCTGTTTGAACGGGTAAGCTTTTTTTACTTGCTTTGTGGAGGTGCGTCGTTCTTGAGGATGGTTCAGGCTCTCTTTTCATGAATACAGTACTATGCGTGTGTGGGTTTGCGATTGCGGCAACCATGCTCAACATCGGGAATGAATGCGCAATAAAAAGAAATCATCTCAAAAACACTTTTTACAGTTTCGTCGTCGGCGACCGCGTGTTGAAAGTGACGCGTCTTCACGAGGCAGCGAAAAAAGCCGGCGATGTCGCCTTAACCGCCACCAAGGTGGTGAAGGAGGTGAAAAAGGTGGAAATTCCGAAGCAGAAAATGGTGTCCGAGAAGATCCTTAGCAACCCCGTTATCGCCGTGCAGGTGCGCGATGGTTTGGACTGTGGGCGTCGGCCCTCCGAGGTGGTGCAATTGCTGAACGCCGTCTACGAGCCGGATCTGATGGACCCGCAGGAGGCCGAGGACATCCGAATCACGGTCTTGGAGGAAGCGGAAAAATTCGGCGAGATCGAGGAGGTGAAGATCCCGCTGCCCAGTAAAATCGGCGCTCTGATCGAAGGTGTGGGGAAGATCTTTGTGCACTTTAAGGATTTGATCTGTGCGCGGAAGTTTCAAGCGGAGATCAACGGGCGCAAGTTCGATACTCGCATCGTCTGCGCGTCGTTCTACCCCCGGAGGCGCTTCGAGGCAGGCCAATACATTCTGACGGAAACAGTCGGTGCGTCCGAGGACATCACCAAAGTGGCGCGCGAAGTCAAGCAACAAGCGCAGCGGGACAAACAAAAGCGGCTGGAAGCGGAAGAGCGGATGGTGGAGCGCGCGCGGGCGGAGTTGGCGCAGAATAAACCCAGGAGAAGGGACCGGGAGCGGGATAGGGATAGGGACTACGATGAGATTCGTTGAAGAAAAGGTTTTTTGGGAACAAGTGAACGAATCATTTTTGGAAAGGAAAGGTATACTCGGATTGACGAGGGCATAGTACCCAGTATGTCTTGTAGTTCTACCTCCACCTTCAAATGCCTCATGCCTCGTGCTTCCCAGTGTCACCTTCTGATAAAGACCCCAGCGAATTATTGGACGATAAAATTTGAGTTTGACTGGCTCTGACGCGACAAAAAGATTATCTGCAGTGACGTTCAAACATAGTATGCAACTCCATTCTGGATAATCTGTGTGTACGACCTTTGTTCCCTTGGCAGCGTACACAGCTTCGCATGAGGCAGATGTATCTAGATTCTGTCGTTTTTTTCTTGCTCTCTGCTGATAAAAGGTCGCGACAAAAGATAGGCGACAGGCACAATACGATGTGCAGTTTTTTTTTTGTGGTTGGTTGCGGCCTCGATTTACTTCGTTTTTCGTTGAACTTTGTTTCGCTGAAGTGAACTCAAATCAGAGCGCAGGAGCGAGATATGGGTGACAACCACTAACAAACTGCACTGAAAGCAAATCAAACTTGAAAAATTTAATTCGCAAATGGCAGATGTTTCTAAAGCTAGCGTTGATTTCTTTCTCCATCCCCGCTCAAAGAATCACTGTCACTTCCAAAAGAAGTAAAGTTTCCCCAGCATCTGCTGATATACATCTCTCTAGTGAGGAGTTCAACATTTGTTTTCCCTGCCATTCAAAACACCATCTGAAATACGAGAAAGATGAACGGTGCCGATGCAGAAAATCCTGTGCCGCAACCTGCTCCAGCAGCCGCGCCCCCAGCAGCAGCACCAGCAGCAACACTCGAAGATATGTTCAAAGAGATGGAGATGCAGGAAGTGCTCCGGACAAAAGAGCGGGCCTGGCGGAAACTCAACATGCGCTGCGTCAACGCGGCGATCACCTGTTTCGAGAAGAAGCAGCGCGAAACTGGGGAGGCAAAATTGCAGACTGTTCCTGAGGAAATGGCGCGGAAGATTTTCAGCTTTCTACGCGCTGAGCCCGGGGCTCCACGCATTCCGTCGCATACCGAGCAGATTTTGGCTGCGAGCGAATTCGCGCTGTCCGTGTCGTATACCGATCCCAACACCGGAGAGAAAGTTTTGGTGAGGTTTTCCGACCTTCCGCGGAATGTGAGGTTCGAAACACTGAACGCGGGAGAAGGCTGGCGCGCAATCGCTTACCACGGTTTTCCCCAGGGGGCCGTAAATTCTCAGCTCTATGTTGCAGACAAGCCCGTTCCTGTTGCTGCCCTGCGTTCGCTTTCCGTTTTTCTAGGACAGACGGAACTGTACACAGCCAGATGTGAGTTGCTCGACCAGACTCGAGACTCATGCAGGTTGGAGATGTTTCACAGGTGGAGTGGCAACATCCGCTTTAATGGTGCACCTGGGCGAAAGCCATCTGAACGCAACATCAGGATGCAGGTGCACCTGGAAGGCTCTCTCAAAGGAACGTTTCCTGCCCTGAGCCCCGCAGCGCTTCAAAAACTTGACTGCGGGGACCAAAACGATCGCGCCGAGGTTCTGGCTACCGTAGAGCGCTTCTACGTCGAATGCGAACGCAACAGATCGGATCACGAAGTGCACTTAGTGTGCGGCTCATTTTATGTTGAAGAGCCGTTCACCGACAATGATTCCATGCCGCATCTTCGTCTTCATGATCGTTTCTTGAACATATTGGATCTGTGTGGCGTTCCGGCGCGACGCAATAACTGACAGTCGCACTCGATGATAGACGCCTCGCAAGAAAAGAAATGTAGTCGTACCACGTCACAACAGAAATGTACTTCTGTTCGCCTCCTTGTGTTGTAGCAAAGAGGAGTGCGGTATTTACATGGAGCGGAATTTCGCCAATTGTTTGATACTGCACAGAAGACTTTTCTTCAGAAGCGGCAAAGAATGAAACATACGACGGGATCAGAGGCCGCTCTACGGCTGTGCTTTCAGATTTGTTCGTGTTCAACCGCCTGGCTTTCCTTTGTGGCTACCGGAGGAACAGAGTGTAAGATGAGGGAGAGCACCAAGAGGCTCGCTGATTTTTGAATGTGTGGCTGAAACACCCTGACAGCTTGGAGGCTCTCTTCCGTTGAGGATTGAACTGTACTACTACCTTTTTCGACCTCGTTCAAAACAAGATGTCGGACACGCAAACTCTTCCCGAAGTCCACGTGATCGGGGAACTGGAGCATGGAACGCAATTTGACACGCATCAAGGCGAAGGCATCTTCGTGGAGTACAACGTGTCTGTGGGGGATCAATGGTATTTTGAGAAACTTGCTCCTCCATGCGTTTTCGCATACCAATGCTGACGGCACCCGAGGAACGCATCTGTATCCAATACGTGGTATCGGCTCACTGAAACTTAAACCTCTTATGCATTCCATAAACAGGTGGGACATAACAAAGTCCGCTCAGCAGACGCAAACCGCGTATCCAGACGAAGAAAACGAAGTTGTCTTCAACCATCCAGTGGATCTCCATTTCGCAACCGCTAGCATAGCAGAGTGGCCGAGACTAAACTTCCAAGTCTACAAGTATTCTTGTCTTCCATGTGGCATTAGGTCATTTTTGAAAATTTTTGTCGTTTGTCCTCGTGCGAACTTTATCGAGTCTTTTACCAACTTTTTTCATTCGGAAGCAGCATTGCATCAACACGAACTACCAGGCTGGATGTTTTTGGCAGGATGGACCCACTATCCGTCGGGTCGTTGAATCTCCCCTGCAACCCGGGCACGTACCAGCTAGCATGTCGGACTTGGTCGCCTCTTTCGCAACGGTCACAAGAGGACGTTTACGGCTACTACGTCGGGGGTAGGCCACAGCTGGTGGAACCGATAGAGGTGCTCGATCGAAGAAGTACTTCGACAAACCCAGAAAGGAGCTCGCTGATAACAGAAACCTCTGGAACACTCTTTCTGAATGTCGACATCCTCTTCAGAAATGTGCCACTTTAGTGCTTAATACTCGAAGTTGTCCACCACATAAATGAACTGGCAGATTCAGCCACAGTGGCGTATTGAATCTGGCCGCTGAAAATCGAAGATAAGACGCTGAACTCAATCGACATCTGGATGGCGTATTGATTTTCATAGCCGGGATGAAACTTTTTCTTCCAATTCCCGAAAATGAAAAACTTGTTCCGCACTACTAGGAAAAATTGCGCCGAGCCCTTTTTTGTTTGGTTTCTCGTGTGGCAAGAACCCACTGAAAAAAGACAAAACGATTGGATCTTTTTGACACCCACGAAATCCGCTCGACTGCATTACAACTGCTCTTTCAAAACTAAGAAAAGCTGCGTGAAGGCAAAGCGAAAGTTGGATCATCGTGATACTTTGTTGCGGACTTTATTCGCAACTATCTGATGCAGATAATGTCGTTAGATGAAGTTTTAGTTTTTTGCCATCCAATACTTCACCATGATGACAAAATCAAATGCTTTTCTGCAGGCTACGTGCAGGCTTAGGAACTTTTTCAGCATCCTTTTTCAGCGACAGCACGAATTTATAATTCGTAGATTAGAGCAGGGCATGTTCAGTAGAGTTAGAAGAATAGCAAGCAGCAATAAGAACAAGGAAATTTCTTGAACTTCTAGCACCAGACATAATCTACTCCTCTCCCAATCTCAAAGAAGTCTGAGTCTCACCATGTCGTCTGCCGCAGCGAGAAAACGTATGTTGTTGTCCGCCCTGTCCGGCGGGCCCCCGGAAAAGAAGCAAGCGACCGGGAGTATCATTAGTGGCGTTCGGACTGGAACCACGACGGCGTCCAGTTCCTCCACTGCATCGAGTCGACAGCCCACGCAGCGCGAAACCGGCAAAGTCGAGTCCTACGACAAACAGAAGGGATTTGGATTCATTATTTCCGACAATCCCCCCGAGGGTGCGCCGGCGAAAGTTTTCGTCTACCACTCGCACATCAAAACGACAGGCGGTTTCCGGTACCTGAAAGAAGGGGCGGAGGTTTCGTTTTTGCGGGGACAAGACAAGGAGCGCGACAACTTACCGTGCTGTTTGGACGTGAGGCATAAGGACGGGAAAAGTCTGATTGATAACGACGAGGGAAAAGGTACTTGTTTTTCTAACTTGATGTGAATTAGTACGTTGAGCGTATTTAAAGGTAGTATCAAAACAAAGGGATGTGAATTTTGCGGATGAAAATTTATTGGCAATTCCAAGAACCACAGTTCGAAATCAAAAACAGTCGAGCGCAAGCAGATGTCGTTTGCGATGCAGAACTGGCAGAATGTTTTTCAGAAGTATCCGACCATGAAGTTGGAGACCTATTACGACCGCATGCCGTCCAACGTGCAGTACCATGACGACTCGATCGAAAACGTAAACATCCAGTACTTGGGGTCCCTGTTCGGACTTTACAAAGCCCGGTTTGGTGGCGACGCGGTGAAGTTTCTCAAAGACCGGTTTGCGCCATCGGTATCAAGTTGTTGCTTGCCACGTCTGTTGGGTCGTTGCCGTGAATAGTTGCAGCTTGTTTATTTCTCCTCGTCATTTTACCCCAATTTTCGCCGCTATGAAATGGTAGGAAAACGCTATCTTGAGCTACTATTTTTATATCTCCCACAACACAGATCGACATCCGGGACCCGGATGAGTTTGAAGTTCCGGAGCTTTTTGGCGAAGCGGCCGAGAGCTGCGAGAAGGAGTACCTCCCACGGTCTGTAGCGAAGCGAAACGGCGACGGCGCGGAGTACGCCCATCTGCTGTTCCAGCACGTGACGCTGGAGGGACGTCCCTTCGTGAACCTGCACACCTCGCACATTGGGAGTTGCGTCGTGCTCGCGTGCGACGGGCTGGGCAGAGCCTTGCGTTTGAACGAGCCCCACCTCGCCACCCCGCTGACCATGCGCGGCAGCAAGTTCGAACTAGAAGCCGGGAAGGAAGGGAGGAACTTGCAGTACATCAAAACGGGATTCCATCCCGACGGGGGCCAAGCAAGCACCGAATGCAAGTATACTCGTGAAGAGCGCAAGCCTGTCCATCCATCCAGGACAGGCCCTGGATTGGAGGGGCGACGCTTCGCTCGCCGTGTTACAACAGCCACAACCTATGTTGACATCAACTACTTCACGACCTCGCGAGGACCGCTTAGAATTTCGACCTAAATCATGTTTTAACATCACAGGCTGCCCTCGCACAGGGTGTTTGGCGCGCGTGCGTTTAAGAAGGCGGACCCGGGGCTGCGGTTGGAGCACGCACCGGAGACGAAGCACTGCCGCACCTGGGCCCTGAAGTCGGTGGACATGGTGGCGCGCAACACCTCGCGGTCCTTTCCCCCCAACCGCCCGACCTTCGACTACTTTGTGCTGCTCATGAGTCCGGAGCTGTACAAGTGGTTCTCCGATGACCAGCAAATTATCGACGAGGCGCTGCAGGCAATGAAGCGCGGACGGTCCCACGGAGAGGTAAACGATCATGATTTAGTTAATGCCTGTGCATGCATTTTGATATTCAGATTTCTAAGCTTTGATGCGGCACAAACATGATACCAGCAGAAGTGCCTCTGATGGTCCTCTTCATCTTTCTGCATTGCTGATAGTTACTTATCGAATGCATTTTCTGTTTGCAGGGTCTGTCTGACTCCTGCGCGAAGGGGGTACTGCGGGAAGCGTTGAAGAAAGGCGCACCGGTATCCTGAGTAAAAACGTCCCCATACCAGAGTCAACGTGGAAAATCTGCTAGACAAATCGGCCACCTTTGGTTGTCTCGCATGACAAGTTTGTCCTCGTAGTGTAATCCTGTTTAGCTAGTTCAGCAGCATCACAGATCTAGAGCGTCATGCTATTTCTAGCATCACAAATCCCAAAACACGACTGGAAAAAGCTTCTCATGGGGCTTCGCATGAGAAACTTTTTTGGCATGCAAATTTGCATTACGACTCTGGTGTTGAGACGTTTTTACTCAGGATAACCGGAAACGCTCAGCTGTATGTGCATTGTGCCGATCTGGCAAACGCGAATGTTGGAGATGTTCCTGGACAAACTTGGGCAACAGGCAGCGCAGCAAGACGACGATATGGACGACATGTTCGCGCCCTTGAAATGACGTAGAAGCGAAAAGTAGTTTCTACACTGGTGGGATCGATTGGGGGTCGAAAACTGTGCCATGCTGATCAGGGTTATCTCGGATTTCGAAGAAATTTTGATCCGCATAAATGGCGCATATTTCCTCGCGGCAGTGTGTGAGTGTCGCACTTTTCTCAACTCAGCGACCACGGTACTTACTATTACCAAGTAGAAACCAACATATCCATATCCAAATCCAAATGAGGACTTGTGATCTGGAAGCGATCGCCACGGCGTCATTTGTTACATGTTGATTTCGTTTTTGCAGTCGGTAGCACGAGCACAGGTTGTGCTGTTCAAAATTGTGGTCCTGATCAAGTAAAAATCGCAGGTTTTTGGGAGAAATCAATTTACATTCTGTGGCTACAGAGAAGATGAACAAATCGGTGGGGGACTGCTCCTGAGAATGATGAATCGAGATCTCAAATACACATACTTGTACGACTGAGCAAGTAGCTAACTTTGGGGGAAAATCTGTCGCTGTGGGGGAAGTAAATTTGAAAGTGCGGTCCTCTTCGTGAAGACATCACCAGAAAACGCATGTATCTGGTGCCGAAGGGCAACGTGATCGCTGATTTGGTACTTCTTCATTGATTGACTCCAGCGAATCTGTATGATCAGTGTAAGTAGCAAAGCACTTGTATACCGACACTGAGCACGGTTCTGAATCAATGCTCTGGAAAAAGACGGTACAAGTAAAATCTGTTTTGAGTGAATTTTGAGCGCAAGTAGCTGCTTCCGGCAGCCCCATTTATTGTCTAGTGGCCCACGAGCACCCATCCAAGTTCACCACCACTGAATTTCACGAAATTTAAATTTCTGGGTTTTTTTTAGCGGGGAACGGGTTACTAGTTCGGCCGTTTACTGAGTAAAACTAAAACGTTTATTATTTTGGAAATAAAGGCATGGTCAATGAACAAGCGACAACATCCTGAATAATGTCAACCTTTTTTGCCGAGGAAATGCAAGCTACGGCCGGTGCCGTCGGTTCGGCGGCGACTTGGGGCCCGCAGTTCACGAGTAAACCCATTTTTGTCAACGACGGCACCCTTTTCGACTACTACCGATCGGCGATTACGGTCATTTTCATTTTTGTCGTGCTTTGGACGCCACTGTACCTGGCGTACAACATCGTGCTGAGTGTGTGGAACCAAATCAAGTATGGAAACGCCAGCGGTGATCCGGTGGAAGAGCAGTACGAATCGAAGGAGTCCGCCGCACTGTCCGCGTCGGAGAAGATTGCGATCCGCAGAAGGAACCAACCCGTGTCCACCGCGACGAAAGCGGCGTTCGCGGTCGCCATCCTGGCGTTGGTTGTGTCCAAGGAACCGCTCGTGTGGCGCGCCTACGGTTCCGCCGCGGCCGGGGATGTGTACGAATGGGTCCGAGCACAGTTCTCCCCGTTCAACTTCTATGTGCACGGCTCCAGTTGCGTGCACTACGGCTGCATTTGGCTCCTCAGTCTCCCGTGCCTGATGTGTCCGCTCATCCCGACCTTGCGGGCAACGAAAATTCAGGTATGTGATTAAAGGAATTACGTAGTGATGGAGATATATAATGATTTGCAGCAGCAGCAGCCGACGGGTGCGGACCCCATTCGAGATTTATACATTCTGACTGTTCGTATAATCGTAATCCACAGGAAAACAAGGACCCGGCGAGCCTCAAAGACTGGATTTACGTTGGTGTTGCCCTCGTTGCAAACGCTGTTTTGATCCAGACGCCGCTTGCCATGGGACTGCATTTTTACGTGGAGTTTTTTCAGCTTGGCGTCACGTGGGACACGGTGTTTACGCTGGAGCAGGCGTTCCCGAGGTTACTGCTCTGTATGATGATCGAAGACGTTTTTCACTACTGGGGGCACTACTTCTTTCACACTCGCATGTATTGGTACAAAACCGTGCACAAGTGGCACCATTCCTACCCGAACCCATTCGGACTGGAGGCGGAGTTTGCCCATCCGATTGAGACGATGGTATGATTTTCTACAAGAGCCTGCATGATGGCTATTTGTTGTACTTTCGCGCAATTTGTTATGCTTACCCCTGATATACTCGAATTCGTCACGATGAACTATATAGAGGTTCGACATTATCGGACGAAAAGGAGTAAAATTGGAATTGCTTCCATGTTTTGCACATGAACTTCTAGGTCCTCGGCACGGGTTTTTTCGTCGCGCTCCACGTGAACATTCTGCACTACCTGTACATCCTGCTCTGGATGTGGGTCCGTGTGTGCACAACCACCGATGTGCACATGGGCTATTCCGCGCCCGTTTTCCCGTGGCGGTACATCGTGCCCTACTGGACTGGCGTGGAGCACCACGACTTCCACCATCGGTTCTTCACCGCGAACTACGCGCCGAGTTTCGAGTGGTGGGACCGCTGGATGGGCACCGACGAGCCGTATGAGAAGTTTCGCGTCCGGGAGAAGCTGGCGCAGGCCAACAACCGGCTGGAGAAACAGGAATTGCGGAAGTACGGCAAGTACGTACCGTGGCTGCTGCGGGAAGCGAGCTCGAAGAAATTCGCGCCGGAAGAAGCCGACAAGGCGAAGCTGCCGGCGTCGCAGGACCTGTACGCGAAGAACTTTGCGGGCGCGGGACGAATGGCTCCGCCCAAATCCTGCGCAATCACGGGCGGCGCGGGACTAGTCGGGAAAGTGTTAGTCGAAACTTTGGTGGAAAGAGGCTGCAAGAAGATCGTCCTCGTCGACCTCGCGGACGAGCCTGCGTGGGTGAAGGATTTACAGTCCGTCGAGTACAAAAAAGTCGACATCGCGGCAGCGAAAACAGCAGTGGCGGAGCTCGCGGCCGCGTTTGCCAACGTCGAGTGCGTGTTGCACCTGGCGGCTCTAGTCGGTCCGTATTTTGAGCACGAACAGTACACCCGGGTCAACATCGACGGGGCAAGGCACGTGCTGCAAGCGTGCGAGCAAGCCAATGTGAAGGCGCTAGTCGACGTGAGTTCCCCTAGTACGAGATTCGATGGCTTCGACATGGAAGGACTGGATGAAGAAGACATGGACATGATTCAGAGAGAAATGAAAACCTCAACGCATGAGTACGCAAGGACAAAAGCCGTCGGGGAAAAAATCATTCTGAAGGCGCACGGTAAGAACGACGCTTTTCTTGCATAATTTTCTTGGTTTATGGCTGCGGACGACGCATGCGCGTGTCAAGTAGACCCCAAGAAAGGAGGTATAAACTAATAAACCAGCGAGCTGCAAAAACTACAATATATCAGGCACTTCATCCGTGAAAACCTGCGCTGTGGCTCCACACCAAGTCTATGGTGAGCAGGACAAATTGTTCCTGCCGAACATGCTGGGCTCCATGCACCGGCTGCGCCAGTTCGGTAATGAGCCACTGGTAATGAGCTTCACCCACACGACCAACATCGCACACGGCACTTTGCTGGCTGCGCGGGCACTGCTGAACGACCAGGAAGGTATTTAGTGTAGTGCCTATTTTTCGCATGTCTCTTTCGCATCGCGGATTCAGCTCGCAATGAATGCATTGCATGAGATGCAGCTGCGACACAAGGTTGTACGGCTTTGCGGCGCACCATTTCTACTAGAAAATTCTAAACCCCCGCAGGTGTCGGCGGCGAGTTTTTCGTGATCACCGATGGTATCGTCAGCAGTTTCTGGAACCGGATGGACGACGCGCGGAAGGTTGCGTTCCCGGATTGGAGCGACTCTAAATCGCTGTTCCGCAAGCTGTACGTGCCAAAAAACTTCATGCTGCTGCTCTCCCACGTTTGGTCTCGATTGCAGTTCGCGCTCGTCTACCTCTTTTGCGGCTTCAATCGCGGCAAGGCGATCCGGGCGGCGAAGTTGACACCCTTCGCGGTCAACATGCTGTGCATCCATCGCTACCTGGACGCGTCCAAGGCGAAGCACCGTCTCGGCTATTTGCCGCTCGAGGACGGCACGGAGGCGTGGGGAAAGTCTGTTGATGCGGTCGCGAAGCGCATGAAGCTGTAGATTTTTGAAAGCGCCGCGGTTGGTGCGAGTAAGAAAGCGACGGCAAAGGAGAAGGTGCGCAGCAGCAGGTCAACAAGTGCTGTTTAGAAGAACAACAGGTTTTGATGACGAAATGGATCCTATCGTGTCCAGAATTCTGGTCCTGTCGCACGTCTGAACGTTGCAGATCGCAAACGCACGTGTGAAGATAGTGACGCACTAGGGACGAGCAGCAAAGCATGCGTGTGCAGAGCAGCGTCACTGTGCTCAAGCAGTAGCTCTTTTCATCCGGGAATAAAGGAAGTGACTTCATCGAGAGCATGCGAAGCAGGGGAATAGTCAAATCGGGGAACAAAGAACAACCATAAATACGACTGAGTACTTGATCGAATCCGGGAATCGGCAACATCGCCTGTACAGAATGTGTGTCAAAAATTTCTTCTTCCTTTGAAACAACACGCCTACCGGCCGGGTTTGTTTCTCTTGATAACAGCTACTTACATGTAGTCGCTGAGACGCTAGTGAACTGAGGAGATCGCTGGAGAGCGGCCCGACGTAGAAGTAGTCGCGTCTTCTCAAGCTCTGGCGTGCATAGAAAGAACCACGGCGGGAGAAAAAAACAGTCGACGCCATCTTCGTGCCGCCAGGAACAATCTAAATCCATTGCTGGAAGAACGAAATTGCAGCCACGAATGGATCTGCATCTCGCTGCGTTTTGTCCGCGACCGAAGATATGTATCCGCGGGGAGTGGCAGAAGAAAGTTCGCCTGTAGTTCGTGGAAATTGCATTTCCGCCGAACGCATTGGCTTTTCAAAATCTTCCACACGGAGCACGAGCCTGCGGCTATTCGTTATCACTAGCCACATCAGGTAGAGCAATGAGTTCTTTCTGACATCACTGAACGCTGGAGCACCTACTTCCAAGAGCCAACACGCAAATTTTAAGGGCGGAACTTCCTCTATCAATGGCGACAAAAAGGAACAAAAACCTCACAACCTCACATGAATTTTCAATTTCTGTTTTTCCACCGGTGAGCGCGAGCGCTAGGCCGAGACTGCTGAACTGTCTTGAAACTACGTGAAATCGATGAGGGTCTGCACTCGAACGCAATGAGCGGCTGTCGTTCTACACAGCGTAGCAATCCGCTTCGGTTGTATACTGTGTACTGCATGTTGATGGAATCGTGATTGAAATCAATTGAAAGAAAGATCCCAGCGCATCTTTCTAAAGATCGTCACCGATTTCAAAAACGCTCCTGAAGCGATCCCGGGTAGGCAGCCGATTTGCCATGCACGTAAGATCAAGAAGAAAGACGTAGAAGATCTACAGGAGAGATTGCTGTGAAAATCTAAATGTTAAAAGAAGCGATCTTGTGTGAAAATCTAAATTCCGTGATAGATACACAGAGGTGACTGTTGATCCCCAAAAAAATCAATTCCGATCCCAATCGAGATTTGTTCCGTGTGATAATCTAAAGATCCTAAATGCGGCCGCGCAAGCTGTAAGGCTGATCTCTTCGTGATGTCCTCTATATCGAGCCAAGCGCCCTTAAACGACTCAATAGAGACCTGAACTCTACTTGATTGTCAACTTTTTCTTCCAGGGAACGGTTTGAGGTTAGTAACTCAGTGACCAGCAGTCTAATTCAAAATGGCTGACCAACACGAAAAGGCCTTCCAGAAGCAGGATGCCGTCTTCATCGGCGCCAAGCGTACCACCACCGGAAAGAAGGCCGGCAAAGTGGTGAGGGATAATTTTTGGCTTCTGCTGCGTTCTGATCGCCGCTTTTTTAGGTTTACCGCATAGTGGACCGCAAAAATTTTGATTTCGCTCCTAAAATCATAAGCTAAAGATCGTCAACCCTGAAAAACTCTCTGCAGGTTCGCTACTGGAAGAACGTGGGTCTGTCCTTCCAGACCCCGAAGGAGGCCAAGGAGGGCCGCTACGTCGACAAGAAGTGCCCGTTCACCGGCAATGTTTCCATCCGTGGTCGCGTGCTTAAGGGTATGTGCATCTCCGCTAACAAGATGAAGAACACGATCGTGATGCGCCGAACGTACTTGCACTACATCAAGAAGTTCAACCGTTTCGAGAAGCGCCACACCAACATCCCGGTGCACTGCTCCCCGGCCTTCGACGTGAAGGAGGGTGACGTCATCACCGCCGGCCAGTGCCGTCCGTTGTCTAAGACGGTATAATTTCGTTTGCCTTTTATTTAGATTGTTGTGACCGATGGTTAGGGCTTGTCTCTGTCTCATGGCACGTGCACGTGTGATGTTCCAGTTTGACCATGCGCATCGGTTGAAATGACACTTGCTCAGGGTTGTTCCGAGTGGGACATCCAACAACTGTACATTCGTAGTTTCAGCCAAACAACAAAAATCGCCTTCACACTCCGGATTTTTTCGCAAACTTTGCTTCAAAACTACAAAACAGGTCAAGTTCAACGTCCTGAAGTGCGAGGCCAACGTGATCTTCGGTGCCGCCCGCAAGCAGTTCCGTCTCTTCTAAGGGCAACGAATGAGTGGACACCTGTCGTGTTGAAGGACTCATGCTGTTTTTGAAAACACCTCTTTAGAAGTCACTGAGGAGAGTCACTAACCACAAAAGAAAGGAGAGCGTCGCTCCCACGCGAATGCCGAGTGGTTTTCTGGTGCCGCATTGACCTATGCTGTTGTGTTCGATCGAAAGACCGGTTGCAGATCACAAATCAGCTTTTGGTTTCGAGGGATCACTTTCTTGCAGATGATCCGTTCTTTGCTGTGGAAGTATCTATCACGAGAGAATAAAGAATTGCTCCGGACCTGTGTTGACGAAGGCCAGCCTCGTGAGTGGAGACTTTAACTTTCCTGTTTTTGGTTCTTGTGGATCTCATTCAGGAATTCCCGTTTCACATCAATTTCAATTTTTCGTGAAGAGATTTACCTATTGTTTTGGCTACTTTTTTGGCATTGATTTTGATTTATCGACTCTGGATAAGCCTAATCTTCCAACCCTACCATCATGTCATCTGCCGACGACATTAAGTTTGAGACGGTCTTCTCTGGAGAGGGTTGGGAGAAGCCGCAAGCCGCTGGCACGGTGGTCTTGAAGTTATATCAACCCAACTCCGCTATACCAACTGCGTACTACGAATACGCACTGTCGACGCACAAAATCGCGACGTCGCTCGCTTTCACTGCTGATGATGCAGCGTGTGAGCTTCCGAGTAGTATAGCAACGTGCTTTCAAGTGAAAGAGGACGGGACATGTGGAATCGGTGAAAAGTTTTCGGCCTACCTTCAGACCTGCGCAATCGGGGAGGAGTTTCGCGTCACCAGTAATTGCGCGACGACAAGTGGCGGAAACAATGGCGGACCAGCCGACTCAGAAGCTGTCGTGGTATTGAGTGCTCTCTTCATGGTTGTGATGTGCACAACCAATAACGCAGTGCGTTTTCTCTACCTCACACGGCCTTCCTGAGTGCCACGTTAGCTTCTTTTCAGTTTAACTCCCTTCTGACAGGTTTCTCTCGAGAGTATTACAGCGAAGCAGCCAGTTGAGTCGGTCCCGGCGGTGCTTAGCCCGGGTGCGAACGGGCTAGAAAAATTTGTTGCAAAACCACCAAAGTCGAGATTGAATAACCAGACACCCGATGGGGCAGTGGTCAGTGTGCGGGTGCGGACAAGCATAAATTCGCCCTGGACAGAATTCAAAGAAGTCACGCTTGGCGACGGAAGCATGCCGGATTTGGTGGAATTGGCAGTTGCCTCTATGAGGGAGGGCGAGAGATCGTATCTAACCGCTCCCCTTGCGCTCTGCCCGCTTTTTCGCAAGAACGCGTACGGAGAGCAGCACTACGACCTCGAGAAAGCGATGAAGGAGGCACCCTATTTCGCGGTGGCGCTAGACACAGTCTCCGCTCCGAATCTTGCTCGAGATTGGAAGACGCTGGCACCTGCCAGAAAGGACATCGGTGCAAAACTGTTGCAGGAGAAACCAATCCCAAGGATACTGTTGGCAAGACGGATCTTCGAGCAGACGGCAAGACTCGTGCGTCAAGAAGTAAATGTCACCGGTACTATCCTGAGAGTAGACGCGAGTAGGTGTAAAGATCGAGATTTCCTGTGCCTGTTTTGCACCAATCATTTTTTGCTGGTTCTTGAGTAGTAGTACGTGGATGTTCGTGATAAAAAACATGTTCAGCACAAAGTCACGCGTGTCTCTCATTTTTCTGTCACAGGCGCTAGTGGCTCTGCTGGATCGGAAGAGTTCCAGAAATTGTACCGCGCGTGTCTATCAAACATGGCCCTGGCTGACTTGAAGCTGGCCGAAGGCGGGCCACTTGGCGTGGTTGCGAAGTCTCCACCCTGCTTGTTTTTTGCGACCAGCGCCGTCACAACGTGTAATGAACTGCTGGAGTCCGAACCAACAAATCAAAAAGCGATTTACCGGCGAGCTTTGGCAAATGAGATTCTGGGTGAAGAGGCAGAGGCTATGAAAGATGCGAAAGCGATACTCGCGGACGACCCGAAGAACAAGGACTTCCTCGTGCTTGCGCACCGGTTGAAGGACGCCAAGAGCAGAGGCGGTTCGAAGGGGTCCAAGCTGTCAAGTAAAATGTTTGGTGGTGGCGACGGAGATCAGCGCACAGCGGAGGCCCGGGCGCGGCAGCAAGAGACTGCGAATATGAATCCAATGGACGAAAAGATGCCACCTGGAATCAGTCCCATGGACGTACTTGCCTAATTGTTCTTCTGTAAATTTCGCTAAGAGAAAGTTTGCGCACTGTTTTTACAACAAGATGATCAAATACTGTAGCTTTGCCGGACCCATAAAAAGGAGATGAGTGTTTTGATTCGGAAAATGTTGGAAAATACATGAATTTCCCAGGTCGCGCGCAGACAAGGGCATGGCGAAATCGTGAACATTTTGGAAGAGCACCAGGCGAAACAAGCAAAAGAGAAAGAGGCCAGGCACGAAGAACGGCGGCAGGCTGGTTGCCTCAATTCCGATACTGAGGATGAAGATGGAGAGGATCGCTTCAAATTGAAGCGATATCGGGAGGCGCAGAATAAAAAGTAAGCCTGGGAGCTCTGAAATACCAGGCTCCAGCGCAACTTTGAATCGAATGGAAAAAGGAGATTGCTTCTTTTTCCTTGCGTGCCAGCTCCTGGCCCAAAAACCGATGTGATTTGAAACGAACAGCGACAGCAAGCGACACGAGCATATGAGTGTGAATGCAGAACAGAGATGAATGGCACCAGAGTCGCACGGAGCTGCTTGCTCTCCGTTGTTCAACGACAATTTGCAATCGTACAATTTGCATTTTCGTTTTCACCACGTTGTTGAGCGACATTTTGAAGTGGAGAGAAGGCTTTCTGAGGCAATCAGCAGACATTCTGGAGTGCTTTTTCTGCTTTCGTTTTTTCGATGCAGGTTTGTTATTTTCGTTTTCTTGCGAGTGTCATCAAAGTCAAAAGCAAAACCGCTTCCGCTTGGTGAAGTCATGATCTTTTTTCGACGTTGCCACTGCAGTAGCGTGCCCGCGTACAACAGGGCTTAGTGATTTTAAGAATCCAGTATCTCATCGCCTCCTAACCGTAACCGAAGGCAAGATGGACGAGCGCTTGATCTTTTCAGAGAAAACAAGCCGCTTTCACACGGCGGTGAAAGGGCTGGCGTTTGCATTCAAAGAGTCCTTTGTAAAAGGCCGGGACCGCCAGCGTGTCAACCACTTCCATCCCTTCCTCGTACAAGTTCGGAAAGTCATACACACGCGCCGACGGGAGGTGCACCATTTTCAGCTCGGGCTGGAGTTTGCGCGGTTTCTGTACCACACGATCCTGAAAATATTCGTGGACAAGGTGGTGCAAAACCCCTTGTTCATCGACTTACTGGAAGCCGCTCGACACTTGCACCAATTGGGGACGGGAAGGTTGTACGGGCTTCACAAGGCATGGGAGAAAAACAGACGTATAGTGGTCTTTTTGAGCAGTCTTAACTAAGTAGTAATTGTGAAACGCGTCAGCACAAGGACGGAGTATTCTATTGTGCTGTTATTTTTGGTGGGGATGAAATAAGAGACCTTGAAAATTGGCCCCATGAATATCTAAACTTATATTCAAGAAAGAAAACATCATTATCAACAGTTGCAATCGAGCCCGACATCACCGGGAAGACGCAGCGGCGGCTGGTCGGCAAGCTCGGGAACGAGCTGTATATCTTGACGCTGTTTGCAAAGTACCTGGAGGATCGGTTGGACTCCCGGTTGCGCGACATCGGGGAGGGTTCCTTGACGAAACCCGGGCAGATTCAAGAGATTCACGAGGAGACGGACGCGGTACTGTACGCAAACTTTTTTGAGGACGCGGCCGGGTTTCTCGGGGGCGCGTTCACGGCCTTTCGCGAGGATGTCATTCTGCACACCCGGAATTACTACCACGATGAGCGGCTGCGGTTCGGCGACGAGGAGCTGGACCTGCTGGAGGAGCAAATCGGCATTTGCGTCGAAATGTTGTTCGCGTTTGAGAAGACCATGCGCTTCGTGTCTCTGCGCCGCCCCGTGCTGCGTTCCACGGTGCTGGTGTGCATGGAACTGAAGAAAGATTTTTTCCTGGAAAGGAAGAACGACGGCTACTCTCTTGACCACTTCGCCACGCTGCAGCCGGTGTGGACCGCGTTTGTGGCAGATTTGTTGCAGGCGCATTTGCAGGGGAATGAGGGACACGACTCGCGCCAGAAGACGTTGATCCACGTGGAAAAACTAGTTCTGGAGTTCAAGGAAGCGACCGCACGGGTAGCGTTGGTGCTTGCCAGAACCGTGACGGATCCGTTGATTATGGCGCGGGTCCTAGCTGCGTATCGCAAGCACAAGATGAAGCCGATGAGTCCCGGCGCGCCGGGCAGGGACCCGCTCCGCGTGACGCATTTGCTAGATTTGCTGTTAACGCAGATCGATGTGTCCACCTGTCTCGCGCTCGATTTCATGCTGCAGTCCTTCATCGTTCTGGTCCGAGCGGTGTGCTTGGGGCAAGATCCGAACTTCCGCTTCCTGCTCCATTTCGACGTGTCTAATTTCGTGGCCACGGCCTTCGACACGCCGGTGCCGAAGCGGGCCAAGAGCGGACGAGAGCCACGGTCCAGTATTGGCAACGATCGACTCCGCGCCTCCGCGTACGCACAGGGGCGAACGTTTGGTCTCGGGCCGCACAACGACGGGCTGGAGCAGTTTATTCAGACCGGGCCTGGCGTTGTCGCCGGAGCGGTCAAGTGGGCCTGCGAGGAGCGGGCGGACGCGGGCGTGTTCGCAACCAAGGAGAATTTGACCCGCGCAGCGTACGACATTGTCGACGAGCGGTTTCGGCCGCGGATCGACAAGCCGACGAACGCGAATTACGGATATCCCCCGGACGCGATCCTGACCAACGCCTACTACGACAACCAGCGGCTGTGGCGAATCAGTAAGCAGGACAAGCTGCGGATGATAGACGACAAAGCGCTTCTTGAGGACTACTTTTGGGGTCTGTTCAACGGATTCGAAAAGAAAATTTTCCAAATATTCGAGGACTACTTTTACAAAAAGCTGTCCGAGTTCCAGATGTACTGCCGCGGCATGGAAAAGGTGTCCGAGTTCCCCACCGGGTTCCTCTGCGGCGTCGACGACCGCATTTTCTACAAGGGAATCGAGTTCGACGCGAAGAAAAAGGTGTACCGCGAGGGCCTGGAGGTGGATCTGGACGAGTACGGCCGGAAGCGTGGCACCGGCACGGGGAGATCCAAGAAAAAAAAGCGGTCCACCATCTCCGCGTCGGGCGTCACCGAGAGTGGGGAGACCGAGGCCGCCTCGTCGTCCGCTGCCTCGACGGAGGAGGCCTCCGACGAGAAAGACGTCAGCGGCGTGGACGAAGACCAGTCCGGCGTGAGCGGGGCGAATGAGAGTGCCGCAGATCAAAGCGGCGTGTCGGGGCAAAGCGATGAGCAGTCCGGGGTATCGGGGGCGTCCGGCGTGTCGGGAGCGTCCGAAGTTTCGGGAGCATCCGGCGTGTCAGGGGCGTCCGGCGTGTCGGGCCAGGACGACGATTCCGACGTCTCCGGATCAGGCGGCAGTAGCGTGATTGCCTCGGACCTGAGCGGCGGCAGCGAAATCCGTCCCACGGAACCCATGATCGCGCAACCACCGCGGGGCGTCGCGTCCGGCGTCTCCGGCGTGTCCGCCAGGGACGGCGAGAGCGAAATTCGCCCGACCGAGCCGATGATCGCGGCGCCCGGCGCAGTCCCTTCGAACGTTGGCCCCGGCATCACGTCGTCCGCGATCGGCGGTGGCGACACCACCAGCAGTGATGATGACGACGATGCTACGACCGAAAGTAGCACGGACAAGAGCGGCGCAGCTGGTGGCGGTGGGGCCAAGGACGACGATGATGACGACGACGACGATGATGATGACGACGATGATGATGATGATGATGATGATGACAGTGATGCTGATGACAGCGATGATAGCGAGGAAGCGAAGAGTGGGGCGAGCGACATGCGGCCAACCGAGCAGGGGACCGTGCCCCGGCCATCCGCTTTTGGTTACCCAGAGCCAGACTCTTTCTTCAATTGGACGAAATCCGAATCTTCCTCCAAACCCGGTAGGATCGGGCGTGTCGCACCAAAACCCATTTTGAAAGTTGCAACCGTCGAAAATGACCACGGATTCCTCCGGATACCTGAGGAGCCATCACCAAAAGCAAAGAGAAAACCAAAAAAAGAGCGAAGTGAATCGTCCCAGAAGATCAAGGCGCTGCCAAGTAGTCCAGCGCGGGAAGAACTACAAAAACGGGCTTCAACATCGAAGCGAACGACAAGTAAAACCTTGGAGGCTGTGATAGAGGGAACATCGTTCGGCTTGCTGCATGTGATATCCGACGCCATGGCGAAGGAAGTAAGGAAATTCGGTGATTCTGATGATGATTCGCCGTCCAAGAAAAAAAGCAAAAAGTCGAAGAAGCGAAAATCTTCGACAGAATTGAAAAGCACACCTTCTCGGCGGGAGAAAAAACGAAAGTCTTCTACTGAGAAGACCACCACGCCCACTTCTATGGATAAAAAGAAGAGAAAGAAAAGTTCGCCGAGTAAAAAAGACACAACAGCGCCAAACCCGTTCCTCTACTACTCCGATGTGGTGAAAAAGGACCTGGCCGCGATGGTGCGTGGGAAGGGGAAGAGGAAGAGCAAACTGAAGGATCACGCAAAGGACCGGCGGAGAAAAAGCAAAGGCAGCAGCCAACAGCACACATCGTTCCTCTTTTTTGACGACAAGGAGGACTTTTTGATGATCCGCGAGCAGGAGGATTTTGAAGACCATCAGTTCGAACTGGCGGATCGCTACAGTAATGCGGTGGAAGCCGCGGTGATCGCGATTAAGAGACGGAGTAACAAGAATGTGGACCAGTTTTGGGACGGGCAAGAACCCGCTTGGGACGAGGTGATCGACGCGCGCTACGACGGGGACCCCATTATGAAGAAGATCCAGGGCTTCAAGCAGGACGGCTCGGCGAAGAAGGAAGCCGTGATCAAGAAGAAAAAGCTGATCGAGTTCGACCTGGACGACGTCAAGGGCCACCGGGGGCACTTTTTCAAGTCGGACCACGGGCCGGACCACCACGCGGCGGACATGCGCAAGGAGTTTTTGTTGAAGCTCCGCGACGGGAATCTGACCAACCCGTTGCGGCAGTTCCACCCCGACGCAGGGCGGCGACGGAACGACCAGGCCCGGAAAATTTTGGAGATGATCGGCGTGAAGGACCGGGAAGTGATCATGCCGGCGGCACCCCCGGAATTAATCAAGGAGGAGGTGGTGTCCAAACTGGCGGAAATGATGCTCCGCGATTTGGTGCCGATCATGGCATACGAGGACGCGGGGACGCGCAAGGCGCCGAAGGGACGGGAGGATATCCAACTCGTGCAGGGGGTGGGCGCGATCTTGCACTTTCGCGATTTGCTGGACTTCGGCACGTCGCTGGGGACGATCATTCTCTACGTCTACCAAACGTTCGGCGTGTTCGAGCTGGAAGTGTCCGCGGACGATTTTCGGGACCTGTTAGACATCGAGGAACTGATCGTGGGGCACATCCAGGCCGCGTACGTCACCGTGATGAGCGGAATTTTGGAACGGTGTCAGGAAATGCGGGATCCGGACTCGCGGTCACGGGGCTTGAAGATCACGTTTTACTACGTCTTGTCGCTCGTGGCACGGATATTAGAGGATCTGAAACTCTCCAAAGCCATCGCGCTCGGGGGGTACTTCAGTCGGCAAATCGTGAAACGGTTCAACAACCAGCAGAAACCGAAGGACTTCAAGCGCCAATTCGAGCTTCCACCGAGCACCGAGGCGTTGTTTCGCTGGTTTTTGCTCACGTGGCGGAAAAGCCCGCCCATTGCGGGGATGCACGCGCCGATCGTGCAGCTGTTGGCGCGACAGGTCGTGCAGGCGACCGCGGAACTCGCGACGAAGGCAGAACAATTCGTGGACGCGGCGCCTGCTGTCGGGGAAAAAGGTTTTTCGGTTTGTTTTGGTTGTTGTTTCCATAGTTTTTGTTCTTGCAAATTCCAAAATCACAGACTGCTAGAGTAGGCACTGGGTTCGCTTCTCTGCTGCGTCGGACGTCCTTTTTCGTGCCTAAAATTACAACAAAACTACACTCAGGTATGAGCGCCCCGGGTATGGAGCAGGCGATTTCGTACTCGGTTCACCACTTCGACCACCAGCACGTGCTGGAATACTGCGAGGACTACCTGCTGCTCCTGTGCGACTTCTGTCACTTCATGGTGTCCGAGAAGCCGGGTCACTTTCCGCTGCAACAACGGCAGCAGCTGGTCGACAGCCTGTTTCACATTAGCCACCAAGTCATCGAGATTTTCATGGAGTGTTTCCAGGCCCAGCGCCGGTCGATGATGGTCGCAGACCTGACCGAACTCCTCTTCGAGGCCGGCCAAGCCTGCAGCGTCGCGGGCGCCGTCAGCTGGATCCGACGCGACATTGCGCACCTGTTTTCCACCGAGCACTTCCCCGAAATGGCGGTCCGGTGCGTCACCCCGCGGGCGCGGTACCTGTACCACCAGGTCGGCCGGGTGGCGCAGTATCTGAACAACGGCCGGGAGTACATCAACAAATCGATCTCCTGGCAAAAGGTCGCGACCGACTTCGAGATGGCGGTGTACGAGGCCGTGGCGATGCTGTTTTCCGTCGCGGAAACCGCGCCTTCGCTGGAGATGTTCCCACTAGCGTTTGAGGTTGCCGCGTTGGAGATTGCGGACGTAGTGGTGCCGGAATTTCGGAAGATGTACGAGGCGAAATTCGTCCCCAATGGGTACACGTTGGGCCAGTTCGTCTACGCCATTCACGAACTGATGCGGAAGGACATCCGGTTACTCGACTACAAGACCGCGCGGTTAGACCGGTTGCACCGGCTGTTCTTGGATGAGGTAAAATCCTCCCTGGAAAATCTAACGGAGCTAATCGTGACGTTGATGGAGGAGTCGCATTTGAGGATTTTCCTCAACTTCATCATGAACCAGCCGGAGGACGACGAAGAAGGCGAATACTTGGCCAATGTCGACCTCGTCCCGCTCATCTTCCCGATCCGGGGCGTGATCGAGGAAGTCTGCCACCAGGCGGGGCTGGCGCCGCAGATGAAGCATGCGCTGCTGCACAAGTACTGTGCGTACGTGTGCTACTTTCTGAAAAAATTCATGGACCGGAAGCCCGACCTCCCGAAGTTCAAGTCGCAGATGATGCTGCGGGGGCTCAAAATTCTCATATCGCGGCTCGGCCAGGAGTGCTACCCTGACCATGCACAGATTCGCATCCGGCCGTCGACGGAGTACGTGCACGCGTGCAGGTTGCAGCTCTACGAGGAGGCAGCGGCTTTACGGGAATCCTTTTACGCGAGGATACGGAAGGAGGACCAATTCCTCGTGCCGGGGTACAGTCAGGAACTCTTCCAAGAAGCGTTGTGTTTTCTGTATCCGGAAAATCTGCTGCGATGAGGGGGAAGAAGCTGGTGGAGCCGGACGAGATATCAACTCTAAATGTATGATGTACAACTTCTATCCTACAATGGAACCTTTTCAATTTCAACTGAATGCACAAGGAAGACTGTCACAGACTGCCCAATACCGGGCGTCAGTGAATGTTTCTATCTGGTCAAGTAGTACTGTCAGGCGATAAGACGATCTGTTTCGACTGCTTTATAGAACAGCATCAAAAACTGTAGAATGAATCCGAAAACGAACAAGAGAAACGTTTTGCAGGTGATAGATGTATGAAACTGTGAAGCAGAAAGAGATCCTTGAGCGAAGCGGTTTGCTTGCGCAGAAGCTGACTTTATCAAAGCAGCATTAGCACAGCATGTTCGTGCCGAAGATGAGCTGCGTTGTGACGTCATAACTAAAGATCCGCGCCCGTGGTCATTTTTTTCTACTCCCTGCATCGTCCTCTCCGTGCTTCATTGGAAGCATCGGAACTGTCGGACGCATCAATCATAGAACATCTAAAGGAATTGTCTGTCAGAACTTACACATCGTGATTGCTAGAGGTAGAAGCAAGCTATTTGCGGAACAGAAACTACTTTACGCGAGTTTTCTACTCCCGTGAAGTTTTTTGCGTCCGCAACGATCCTTTACTTCCAACCCACAAAGCCAAGACGGCAGTCTCGTTCTCAGAGAATCAACATCTTTTGTCACACAAAAACTCAAACTCAACAGTGGCTTCCGAATGGCGGACGAACATTCTGTTTTTGAAGCTCGTGAAGTATAAAATCTGTCGTGGTGCTTTCTCATTCTCGCTGATTCGCTCTCGTACTGGAAGAAGTTTCTAGAGGCAGGCACTTACTTTCTTTTATCTGTGGAAATCTGTTCTTGGCACTTACCTTCCAAGCGTGGCTTCGTTATTCTGTGCAAGCTTTAGCTCTAAGACTGTAAAATCGACGAAGGAAAAGAGCCGCGAATTAGCCAGGGAACTGCATCTGCGGCAACGACACTGCAGTCGACGGACGCCCGCGTGCGATTGCGGCAGTGCATTCGTAGCTAGCCCTGCAGTCTTCATCCCAGTTTGGACGGTCACACACTGTATTCATTGAATTTGGCCCGCCTGCTGGAGGATCGAGGAGAACAACTCGCAGAATGAGTAGCAGTGATCACCAGAGACAGCCGGCTCCCGCGGCGCCCGCACCTCCACCTGAAACGCGGAGGTCGGCCCCGGCCAAGGCTAAAGCGAAACCTCCACCGCCGCGCGCTTCCCGCCCGTCAGCGAATGCGGCCCTGGAGGCCCACCGGCGGAAGCTCGAAATGGGGCGGCAGAAACGCAGCGAGTCAACCTTTCTCGCGGAAAAAAATAAGAGCCTCGCTGAAAAAAAGAAAAGCCTCGCTGAAAAAAATCCGATTCTCAAGCCGGATTTCGATAAGCCCTATTCGAGGACGTCGATGGAGGCCGAGGCTGCTGCACTGGCAGCGGCTCAGATTGCGCGGATGAAGGCCGCACAGAATCCCCCGAGGGGCGCACCCCGCCGCCCCACAGATGCGGAAATACAAGCGGCGTGCGACCGGCGGAAGACGGAAGAAGCTGCGAAGGCTGCGAGGAGAGAGTCGCATGCTGCGAGGAAACAGTCCTCAGCGGCGGGAAAGCAGTCCGAAGCGGGGCGGCAATTGCTTTTGGACGATGCGATCGAGGAGTTTTCGGAAATGTCCGTGAACGAAGCCCCGGCCGAGAAGGACCAAGACGGGTACTGGGTGTACGGAAAGCTGCCGCCCATCGAGTTCTGGCTCCCGCTGGTAAGTACGAACTACTTTTTTTAGTGTGCACTCGCACCAGCAAAAAGTTTCAGATCAATCATCAGAGCAGAAGTGATAGATACGTTTGCAAAAGAGGATTGTCAGTCGTGAGCAAAAGCATGTTGGCAACAGGGGATCGATATGAATATTTGATCGACAACGTGACACTGACTACAGGGCGTGCAGGGGAATATTAAAAAAGGACAATATTGGCAGAATCCCAGAGGTGAAATCTGGGGATTCTGCGAAAAGCAGCCAGATGATCCAGGAGAGGGCGCACTCTGGGACCTCCTCCGCGAGCTAACGCCAGACGTGAAAGAGCCCAGCGTGCCGAAGTCCATTCTACCCAAATTTTTGGAAGAGCTGCGGCCCCCGTTCATTTCTGAAATAACTTGCCCTGCAACGGCAACACGCGGTCCCATCATCGAGGGCTGGAGGGACGAAGACGAAGAAAATGTTGGTTCCAGCAGCAGTAGCAGCAGCAGCAGTTCGAATGCTCGTGTTGAGCAGGCGCGTCGACAGGGGGAAGTACTAGGTCAGCGGAACAACAATGATGCAAATGCCAGCTCACGACCTCAAGGTGGTCCATGGGACCACGGCCAAATTCCTAAAAGCGCGCCGGAGTCACAAGTTTCCGGAGAAGAGCAAGATCATGCAAGACAAGCGCCCGCTGCGGCATCAAGTAAACAGGGCACGACAAGCGAAAGCCCTGCAAGCTCTGCCCCGGGCGTAGTTGCTGCGCAGAGCAGCCTTCACTCTCCGCAATCAGAAGCAGTTCCTGGCGACACGGCGAATACAAGTAGAAGTCAGCTGCAGTCCCCGGTTGGGGAAGAAGATGTACTAGTGATGGAGGAGGTCGTTGATGAGGAGGTCCCCACGCCGGAGCAGGGAAGTAGAGAAATTGTAGAGGAGGAAATTGTGGAAGAAGAAATCATTGAGGAAGAGCACTACGGCGGGTACAATACCCCGGCTTCTTCCCTGGGCTTACCGCCATCAAGCAGCCATTCCAACGCGCTGTTGCCGCACGAAACCGCAAATGCGCGTATTTTCAACAAATGTCGCAAGTTTTGAAATTCGAAGTCCTCGTCGCGTTATTTTGCTGTACTACGGTTCATCTGTTTACGGCTCGGCTTGTGCAAGTTTCGATAAAATGCGCCACCTATAAAACAAATTGCAGTCCTCTCGATACCAACTCAAAAAAAAAAAAAACTAGCTTTCGACGTGGCTTCATCCGTAAACGGAACGCACCGGGCGCCGAGCACGATTGCGGGCTCGTTCGCAAACCCCTACCCTTCGGGCAGCACGGCGCGCGACGATGCGTCGGTCGCCTCTTATCAGACATACGGCTCAAATTATTTCGGCGCGAATCAAGAAATGGCGCCCCCCTCGTCCGCAGAACGGCGGAACGCAAAACGCCCTTCGTTTAAGGAGGAGCTGATCGAGGAGGAGATCGTCGAAGAGGAGGTCGTGCCAGATCAGGCAGACAACCACTCCTACTACGGGAGCGCAGCGCCCTCGCACTGGACCTTTCTGAACAACGACCAGCAGTCCTCGTACCAGTCCCACGGGTGGGGCAACAGCAAGCCGAGCTGGTTGCCCCACGACGCGCAGATGGCGGAGGACAACATCTCAAACCCCGAGTCCATGCTGCCCGGCGCGCTCGACGACGTCGGCAGCCTGTACGACGGCGAGGCCGGAGCCTTCGGCGCGAAAGACGCGCAGGACGGGTGGAACGACGGCAGTAAGAGTTACGGCGAATCGAACAAGTCTATCGTGCCCGCGTCACAGGAAGCGAAGGACTGGCGCAGCAAATATGAGGATGTCGATAACTTCGCGGACCTCGTTGCCTACGGGGAAGGCCAGAAGCGAGAAGCCCCGGAGGATATGTCCAAAGACCCACTGGTCGCGAGCACCGAGAACCTGAAGAAATTCGCCCACCGCCGACCGCAGTTCAAGCTGGATCAGCAATTTTTCTTGGAAAAGTTTTGGAATCACTGCGGAAAGGGCGGTGCAGAGCTTGTTTCTTTTTTGCATCGAGTTTGTTTTTGAGCATGTAGCATCAATAGATACGTCTTGCTGTTTCTTATGTGTAGATCTTATGATAGATCTTTTTGTCATCCTTGCCACAGGTATCCAAAACTCGTGTCTTACGCGGAGCGATCTGTACCGCATCAATCAGTTTCCGGATCCAGAACGCACCAGCTTGGCTGTCGGAATGTTTGTACGAGTGGCTGCAGACGCAGAGAGCGCACGTACGTTTTTGATTCTTTTTGTCCTCTGCTCGACGTAAAAACTGGAAGTCGAAGTCCTGGAGAGTCGAAAATCAATTTCTTGTGAATGCCAATTTCTTGTTGCGTAAAAGTTAAAGCTCAAAAACCAAAAAACGAGCGTGACCCGCAGTTGTGGAGAAGTTGACTGACAATAAATTCTCTAGGTAAAGAGGAGGAGAGTAAGATGCTGGAAGGAATTGGGTACGGTATGGAGATGGATTTTCTTCAGGGCAAGGACGACAGTTGGAAGAACGAGCTCTGCTGGAAGTGTGCAAACTGTGAAGCTGGAGACTGCGAGTACGGGGATGTCCTCTCCGACAAAAAAGACGAGGAAAAAAAGTACCAACTGCACCGATGGGGTTTGGAGTCCTTTCTCACGCATGGGTACTCCGTGCACAAACAGGGAAACACGTTGTGGATTTTGAAAAAGGAACGCAACTTCAAGGTCTCAGAGCGTCCTCGAGACTCGCTGGCCTCTACGTCGCAGGACATAAAAGTATCAAAGATGAGATCGTCGTGTTTCGGTTTCTTCCGAAGTGCACAATGAACAATAAAAAAAGCACAATAAAAAAAGCATCTTCACGTATCATGATTTTATTGTATGTAGTGAGGTCACCGAACGGTTCTAACCAGGGAGTTTTTTTGACAGCTACCCTGAAAAACGACCGGCAGTTTTCAAGCGGCCGGAAGCGTTTTTTGACAAAAAAAGTCTTCAATTATCAAGCCTCCGGGGCTTTGCCAACAAACAAGCCCGGTCGAAAACTATCGATACGCACTTGATAAAACGACGCAGGGGAGCCGGCAAAAGGGGCGCCCTTCTGAGGCGCCCACCGCCTTAGTTTCTGGCGATTTGGGTCGCCCAAAAAGGAGCGCGCAAAAAACGCGCCCAAAATCAGAACAGCGAAACAGCATGGCACGGCCGCGATTTCGGAGCATTTTGGGCGGCCGCGAAAGCCGCCGCCTTTTCGCCGGTTTCAGAGCCTGGGAAGCTTTGCAAAAAGCGCCGGCGAGAAAAGTAAAAACCCAAAAGAGAAAAAGCGCGCCAGACGCGCAAAGCCAATCCGCATGCTATGGGCCCGATTTTTCTTCGCTTTTTGGGCGCCCCCCTTGGCGCCCGGATCGGCCCCATAGCATGGGGGCTGGCTTTCGGAAAGGAATCGCGGAAATTTGCCAAAATTTGCGATGTTCACCAAGCGGCCGCCATACCGTGCGGCCTATCGTTACTCGGGACGGTATGGCGAGCCCAGAAAAAGCAAAGCCGCGGCCAAGGCGACGGCCGGCAAGAAAACGCCCACGACCTCACTACCTCCGCCCCGGCGGCTATATTTGGTACCATCCGAAAGAGTTCCGTGCGGTGCGATTGCTTCATGAATTCACATCTCAACAAAAACCCTCGAAGGTGGATCGCATCCCGCTGCGCGGCGAGTACTACGAGAACAACGCGAACGGTGGGGCGGCGAACTGCCTGGCCCGGATCGTGGACTTCCGGCACGGGGAGAAGGAGTACAGCTGCCAGTTCGGGGAGGAGGGAAAGACCCGCAAGTGCAATGCCGTGGTGACCGCGGTGCGCTACCCGTGGACGGACCTTGGCGACATTTTGCCCGAGAACAAGAAGTGCACGGTAATCACGAAGCCCATCTCCGTCATCGTGGACGACGACGAAGTCCCCAAGGCCGAAGTGACCAATTTCCTCACCATGGAGTGGTTCCAGCGGGGCTGTACGGGTTTCGACTGGGAAACGGACGAGAAGCTGGTGAGGTTTACCTCCCAAATGGACGGGGAGACCGAGGTCCGGGTGGACCGGAACCGGAGCGAGCGGGACCAGATGCACGAGTACCCGCCCTGGCACAAGAAGATAATCGTGCGCAACTTCGTCTTCGACGAGGAGAAGACCGCCCGGGTGCTGGTGCAAAGGCCGGAACACCGGTTCATCACGCCCTCGTTCCGACTGAAGGAATTGGAGCACGACGAGCGCGCGCACGCGCAGCAAATCGCAAAGTGTGAGGACACCGCGACGGTGATAAACATTCAGGAGGAAAGGCAGCTGCTTGTCGACACTGTTCTGCCGCCGGTCCTCGCGGCGGTGAAGAAAAACCGGCAGAAGTTCGAGGCCGACGAGCGCATGCAGGCGATCTGCATGATCAACGAGCGCAACATGCGGAATCAGGACATCTTGGACCACCGGCGCGCGGAAGCGGAAAGGTCCGCCGTGGTCAAGCAGCAACAACTGAAGAAGGATCTGGAGTTTGCGAAACAGCACAATTTGCCCAGTACTCTTTTAGAAACGGAAAAGACCGCCAAGCCGGCGGAGCTCAACCCCTTCGCGCGCAAGGACTGCCACCCACGGCACATGTGGCACATGGAGACATGCAAAAAGAGCGTGCGCGAGGTGATCGTAAAGCGGCGCCGAGAGCAATGGATCCGGGAGGGCAAAGACCCGGCGGTCTTTGACCGCATGATCGTCCAGGAGAAGATGCGCCAGGATCAGGCGGAGTTTGGCATCGATGAGGAGGACGAGGCATTGTTGCTCCAGCAGCAGCAGCGGCGGAAGCGGTCGAAGAGCAAGGAGCCCCTACTTCCACAGGGTTCCCCGACGAAGAAAAAGCTGAAGTCGGAGCGGAAGAAGAGCGACCTCGATGGAGGTGCAGCCGGGTTTTTATCCGATGAGGATGAAAATAAGGTGCGAAGGGCCGATGGAAATAAGTCGCCGGTGCGCGGCGGGGGCCTCGTCGGGGGTGGGTACTCAGAGTTTCGGGAGAAGGAAGAAAAAATGTCGTCACGGAAATCTCGATCGAAAGAAAGGTCACCGCGTGGAAAGGCTTCGCCGAACAAGAAAAGAACAGGCTCGAAGGACAGCAGAAGAAGTCGCTCGAGAGGCAGGAGAAACTCCGAGAGCGACGGGGATGCCGATGATGAGGTAAGGACTTGAATTGGCTGCTGTTGTGGCTGTGTGTTTCTTTTGCATGATGTACAGAGGCGATGTTTGCATTGTGGCGTTACTTGAAAATTTTCAACACTTTCCATTCGACATTTCATTGTCATGATGATTCTGTTGTCGGCTATGATCCAACAGGGTAGCCACGAGCGGGGTGACAAGGCTGGAACGTCGTCGAATCAACTGCAAGATGACCTGGACGAGATATTTGGCGAAGGTCTTGAGCCAGATCTGGACGTTGCGAATAAAGCGGATGCGAACGAGATGAATGCAAACGTGGATGTTAGCCCGGGTGGAGCCAACATCAGCAAGTTACAGCAAAACGCGGGGCTGACCAAACAAGTCGAGAATAATCCCAGGCCCAAGAAGAAGAAAAACAGGGTTCCGACCTTTTACGACGTGACGAATAGGAGGCACACGTCGACGAAAATTTTTCAAACGACCGAAAACCCGACCAACCTTGCGGAGCAGGTCGGCGGCGAGCAGCTGTGGGACGAATTACAGGCGGTGATGCGCGTAACGGGCGACGAGGATGTGGCGCGCATTCCGAAGCTGACGAAATTGTCCACCCTGTCGACGGACAGTGAGAACAGCGATGAGGGCAAGCGTGAGGGGAAAGGCAAGGGAAATGACAAACAGGGATCGCTGTCTTCCGAGAGCGGGTCTTTCGATCAGGCGAAAAACAACGTGGTGGATGATGACGATGACGTGCTGGATTTGGAGGCCATGCGTGACCCGGCCCGGGAGTTTGTGGACCTGGATGTTACGACTGTGGACGAAGCGCCGGGAGATACAAATGCAGAAACAAAAAGAGAGAACTTACCGGAAGACGACGACTTCAAACTGGACTCGGCGCGGTCTTCGAAAGAGGATGAGAGTTCCGAATCGAACCCGAAAACGTTGTCACCGAAGTCCGCAAAGGAAACTGCTTCCGACGGTCCACCGTTAGCCGATGTGCTGCAGGCCATCCATAGCGGTGCGAATATGAAACAATTTTACGAATCGTGGAAAAGCAGCAGCCTTGCGGAGGGTATGTTTTGATGAACCAGCTTAGAGTTAGAATCGTCATAGAAGCGAACGTTTTTTGGCTTGTTTTGTGCAAGTTTTTTCACACTGTCGGCGCGCTCTTTGAGATTGAGCCCAGACGTCCACCGGTTACAAACAGTTTTATTCATGTCTCTGACAGGTACATCCGTCGGGGGTGCGTGAATCTCGAGGTCTCGCTGATTCTTGTTACTCCATGAGGCCCTACAGATGCTCTTCGCCTCCGCAGCTCTACCGAATTGCCCAGACCACTGCTTGCGGTATCATCTTGGAGGACAAGGTTTGTTGCTCCTAGTCATGAAGGCTATGGGTATCACAGGCCAACGTGATGCAGCTAAAGCAGTAGATTTCAGGGGGATTTTCATATCTAATAAATTTTCGGTTGCAGGGAACAAAAGGTTCATAAGTAGTGCGAAACAAATTATGATGGTACACACGAAAACATAAAAAAAGAAGTGTTCATAGATACTAGGCTTAGGACAAAAGTCAAGAGATATAGGTAAGCCAAAGAGTCATGTAATACGTAGTCGTGGTAGTAAGGTAGTTCTATGTCTTTTTGAGGGACCACGACTACGAAGCTCATTGTTGTCTCGTGTCCATCGAGGGTCCATCAACGAGTTAGGTAGGCGTTTACCCCTGCTCTTTAACGCCTTTTCTTCAACAAGCTGTGAAAAAAACAGTGCTTCTGATTCAAATAGTTCTGCAATGAGACGGGGTTTTGGTTGAAATATCGCTAGAGAAAAAGCGGAATTGTGCCTTCAAGCATGCAGCCGTTGTTTGCTAAGAGGAACAGATTCAAATGTCTTTTACCTTGCGTATGTTCTTTTGCAAGGTAACAAACGTATTGCGTATGAGTATATCATGCCTTTTCTGAAGAAATAAAAACGTGTTCAATGTTGGAGCACAGCAGGCTCGTTGGTCGCCGATGAAATAGCTGCGCAGAAACCGATCCTTGATCGATCTATTCTGCAAAACGAAGAAAATCATGTGAATAGTCAGCGAGCCCAATCGCTGTGAGTTCTTTTGTTGAGAACAACTTTGTTGATGCTATCTCGTTTGAATCAATGGCTGCAAATCAATGAGAACAGGATCTTCAACGGTTGTCCACCCCTCCGCTTTTCCCACCTACGACTTTTGGTTGACTCGAATGCTGTTCTCGCCCTAAGTTACGCAAAGCGAAATAAAGGAAGATAAACAATTGAGTCTTTTCACTCTTGTTTCGTAGCCCACCCCTACCCCAGACTGAATTACTGCTTACCTATGGCTGGAACCGCGAGTAGCAGCAGCAGTGCGCCTGCAGAAAATGCTGGCGGGCCCTCGGGCGAATCCCTTTCGCAGCGGTTTTACCGGCTGTACCCCCGCGTGAAAAACGCAAAAGCCAACGGCGGAGCCGACAAAACACTGGCTGCGGAGCTGAAAAAACTCGTGACCGAGGTGGAGAGAAGTAGTGTATTTTCCGAAAACGAAGAACTAGACGAATTACTCACTGAGGACTTGAAATACCTCTTGCTGCCCCAGTTTGTCGGCGATGTTCTCGCATCGGACATGGACATGGAAACACGAGCAAAATCTCTGTCCGCAGCCATCATCAGCTGGCAGATGTTTCTCAGTCGCGCCGGCAGATTCAATTTGATCGACGCGGAAGACCAGGACGCAGCCTACGAGGAGGAAAGCAGGGACGCAGCCAGGATGCGGGAGGCGAAAATATCGAGGTAGGAGAGCGTCTTCGCTGACTTTAGTCATCTTTAGCTAAATTGCTTTTTTTCATCAGCTTGGGTTTTGCACGAAAGAGAACCTACTACCGAGTAGGTATGTGATGTTGACTTTCATTGGTATGCACTGACTTGCACAATCGTAAAAAAGGTTTCGCCGCGACAAATCGCTCGAGGAAAAAGTTGATTACTTTTTTGCTCGCGTCGCAAAAATGGGCAGTGAGGAGGACGCTTGGACGGGTGGTGGCATCGATGAGGACATGGCGAGGACGTGTATCCTCAATATGCTTCGCCGAGGGGTGCTACACTGCATCGAGGAGATCACAGGCGCGAAACGGGAGTTGCCCATGCTGGAGATGTTCAGGTAGGTTTTTTTTTGCTTGTCGTATCTTGTGCCAAGTTGATCCATGAAAATGTCATGCGTTGAAAAGTTTTCTTCCAATTGCTAGGAGCACTAATCTTTTACTTCAACTTCGCAAAACAGCGCACGCAAGAACGCTCCGCCCTCTTTTCAAGGCCCAGACGCCGAGCAGAAAAAGCGTCCGTGGCAGATATCCATTCGCGATCCTAGCGAACTGAAGAAGCTTTTCCAGGACGCCGTGTTTCAGCCCGATATTCCGATGCCCACCGTAACGCTTGCGGAGTACGCCGATTACGAAATGGCGAAGCTGGCCGACCAGAAATTCGAGAAGGACCAAAAAGTGGTGCAGGAATTTCAAGAGAAGAACCTGTCGATCAGCAATCGCTACGACGACGATAGCGCGACTGCTGAGTACCGTGCGGAGCGGGAGGAGGAGGACAGAAAGGAGGCAAAGCAGCGAGCTTGGGACGACTGGGTAGATTTCAATCCCAAAGGAAGTGGAAATAAAAACAAAAACACGAGCTAATGGAGTGAAGTGATCATGCTCATTTCTTTGTTATTACAGCGACACCGTGTACATGCAAAAGGCAGTACAGTAAAGCGACATTTAAACAGCGAATGCGAAAGGGAGTTGTTTTCTGGCCATTTCGCACAGAAAGTGTGATGTGCAAAGCCCAGTAGAGGATGTCGTGTTCTGACCATGGCGTCGCAAAGGTTTTTTGTTGCAAGCCGCGCGTTGTGCAGTACGCGATCCAATCAATCGTCTGCTTTCATTTTTTTTTTCCAGTCAATGTTTTCTTCCTCTCAGCGACTTTTCAAACCTACTGATGAATTTACTCTTTTTTCGCTATGGAAAAGCAATAGATTACCACTTCTCACTTCGCGTGTGTTTGCCAGAAGATTTTCTTTGAAGACAGTCAGATTGCAACATGGCAAGCTACATAATCAGCTCTTTGAGGGCGCGAGCAACAAGCTGCTGAAACAGTTAAGCTCCGAAGATGGCAATCGAAAACAGCAGCGCGGACGAAAGCTCTGTTCCCGAAAGCAACACGGCGAGCTTCGGGTACAGGCCTCCGGATCGGGTCGAAAAGGCTGGGGTAGACAGTGAGCTTCTCAGTCAAGTCCAGGTCAGTGAGGAGCAACGAGCCCAGGTGACACAGGTTTCCCAATTTTTTCGCAGCCACCAAAAGGAGGCGCGGACAGACGCCGCGACGAGATGTATTGTTAACCGCAGCCTCTCAAATTGGAGCGCGAAGCTCGGGAAGGAATTGAAGCCGGTTGTCGATGAGTGGAAACAGATCATCTCCCAGACAGCGAAGCTTCCGGGTTGTCCGGAGAGTTTCGCCGGCTTGTTATACTTTACGGAAGGGCTCGACAATATAGCAACGAAAAACCAGGAGAAGACCACGCTGCTGCGAGTCCTCGCAGCGCATGCCAAGGTTTCAAAAGAGGTTTTGGATCCAGCAGTGCAGTTTTCGTCTCGACCGGTTCGAACCGCTTTCCTTTTGTTTCTGCTAGACAAGGTGAAGGAAGTTTATCACTCTGTTCTCCGTATTCAGCAGGAACTCGATAAGTTTCACGAAGAGCTGACCGGCGACACGCGCTCGCGCAGGGAGCTTCTTGCCATGTTGATGCGGAACAAGAGCAGCGATACGGTGCCCGGTCAGACGGATTTCCATCGCGCTGCGATGCACGGAGATGAGGCCGAGGTGCGTCGGCTTTTGGCGGAATGGCCGAAATTACGGCACTGGTCCGATGAAGAGAACAAGAGGGCAGTAGACCTCGTGCCCGACGGCTGTCCAGACGTGCGCAAACTTTTCGAGAGCGCAGATGCGGAGCAACGAAACGCAAAGACAGAGAACGGTACTGCGTTTAGTCCCGAGACAAACAGCCAGGACGCAGCCGGGTCCCTGGGCACGGATAGCTCCTATGGCTTCAGACTTCCGCGAGAATTATTCGAGCAAGTCCAGTATTGTCAGAAGCACCTCCACCGCTTTCCATTTTCCTGGAGATACAACGGCGTCTACGGGAAGTGCTTGCAAAAGTATGATAACCACGATGATTACAAGCAGTGGTGGGACAATCCCGATATCGAAATCCTGCTCGACGCTGCGCGCCAGGATGCCGAGGCCTACAACCACCACTGGCCTCCTCAGGAGAGGTATCGCGGGTTTGCGCAGCTTCTTCGTGTGTTGCGCATTCAGGGCGTGGAGCATATCTCGGAGGCCGCGCAGGATTTTCTCGCAGCCCGGTGGACAAACGGAGACAATCGGCCGCTGGAAAGTAGTACGAAAGGGTACCAGGGCGCTTGCGTCGCGTTTATGTGCTCCGCCTTTCCGAACCTGCACCACCACCTGCGGGACGTAAACGAGGAGCGGCGGAAATTCATCGGCGAGTTCGGGTTTAACGACCTCCATCTAGCCTGCTTCGACGGGGATTCCCATTTTGCGAGGAAGGTCTTCCAGGGCATGGGTAACAACATTGCGAAGATTGGCCGACTCATGGGCCAAAGGGACTACTCCGGAGATCCACGGACTATGAAGAAGATTCTGGCGCTCTGGGATGACGAACTGCCAGCGAACAAATGCGGCGAGGCAGCGACGATGGGCGAGTTTGCCCGCAGGTTTTCCTGTGTGGAAAAGAGCGATGTGGATGTGCAGCAGGAGAAAGACAAGGGCAGAACTCCTAGACAATGGGCAGAGTTGCGAATGAAGTGTTTGAAAGAAGAGCCGACGGAGTCACTGTCAGTTACAGAAGCAAAGGAGCTTGCACAAAAGATAGAAAACATGGACTGGATAATGTGGTTTCTGAAAGATGCCGAGGCAGAGCAGGCTAAGGCCGCCGTCGAGCAAAAAGCCGCAAGACTGACATCCGTCAAGTCTCCTCTAAAAACCCCGAAGAAAACAACAACACCTGGCAAAGGCTCGAAAGAGAACACGCACAGCCCCGACGACGGACACACGCTGCTGCCGGACGAGAAGGAGCACAAGGAAACAAAGGAGGAGCTAGACGAGCAGTTGTGGGCATTGCAGAAACAGATGGAAGAAGTACTGCGCAAAAGGGAGAACCTAGACCAGGAAGAGAGAGCACAACGGTCGGCAAGTTTGTCCCCAGAAAAAGCCTAAAAAAAAGTGTGACGGCCTGCTGTCTCACTCAAAGCGCTTTCTCGATATTCCAAACGTACGCGAAAAAGTTTATCAGTTTGATCTCCGTCCATATTTATCATCCCCCCCACCTCTGATCATGAATCTCGAGCCGAAAAAGAAAATTGTCGTGTTTTTCTTAATGGAACCAGAAATGTACGTGTGTCCGAGGTTGAGGAATTGACTTCTAGGTTGTCATGCACTGCAACCGCATACATTTGTTTTGTTCCATGCTACTGTCCTATGGACACGTCCAAGATCCGCGTGCTAGTGAGAGGATGGCGCATTCCTTCGTTAAAGTCAGGCATGAGTCTTAAAAAAAAAGTCATCACCGCAATTTCATGTTTGCATTGAGAAGATGACGGGTAGTTAAGAAACCACTGAACCGATTCGCCTTTCTTGACATCAAATTTCAGCGAGAATTTGCTTGAGTCAGACTCGTGCTACGTTGTGCAGTTTTTCTGTTTGTTGAAAAAGTGTTTAGCTTCTACATGAAATCTTTTTCGAACATTATTGCTTGTTACAACTACCCTGAGTAGCATCACGGCGACCTTCGTGTCGCATAGACAGCACAAATATATCACATTCACACTCCATCTGCCTGGTGCTCTTCGAAGAAACCAACCTACAGTAAGGTAGTTGCACTCGCAATATGGGGAACGCAATTTCTTCGGGCTGTAACCGGCGGCCCGCCACCCGAATCTTGCGTCCTGGAACGCTTGATCCAGATCCAGACAGTAAAGCTTCGAAGAGCAATGCGCTTTTCGTCCTAGAAGTTCTTGATCGCCACCCGGTAGCACTGCGGAACGACGGGACCTACGTGCTTCTGCTCGAAAAATATGACCAACGCTACAAAGAGTGGTGGGCAAACGGGGAGATTGCGACACTCCTACACGATAGAAGGAAGACCTACGAGGCCGAAAAACGTTCTTGGCCGCCTGATGTAGGGCGCCGCACTTTCGCCGAGTTCCTTACTCTTCTCCGTTGCCAGGCGCTGGCGCACCGCTCGCCTGCCGCCAGTCAGGAAGCCGCCGACTTTGCCGGGGTGGCATTTCAAGACCTCCGCTCCAGGCACCAGGGACCGGAACTTGCAGCCGTAGGACTTGTGTTGCAAGCCTATCCCGCCCTACCGAAGCACCTCCAGGAGGTCCTCGCTGAGCGAGAATTTTGGGCCCACCACGGCGCCAATTTTTTCCACTACGCGGCCTTGCTCGGGCGCGCAGACGTCTTCAGCTGGGTCATTAAGGGGCAATGGCGTATGGACGAGTTTGCGCAGGATGAAATCGGACGCTGCCAGATGTTGCGAGAGCGGGACAGATCCGCCATTGCTGACAGCAACGCAAAGCTGCTTGCGAGATTAGCACAAGATCTCGGTGGCGGAGCTGCGGATTTTTTGCGGGGCGAGCCTCTCCTTAATGTCGGCAGAACCCCGCGGGACTGGGTCGAATTGCGGGCGCGTTGTATAGGCGCGGGGGATCCTGGTGCGCGCGATTCTTGCGCAGAGATTCTACAGATGATTACGCAAGCCGAGAGCGAGGCAGCGACGGTCGACGCGGGGCCGCTGACTGCGAGCGTTGATCATTCTATTCCACAAAACTAAGCGAGTAATGGTTATCGAAAATGTTATGATGCCACGGCATTCTCAAGTACTCCAAGAGTACGACATACACTTACACACAGGCGCTTTTTCTTTTTTCTCGGAAACGAACGTGCAAAAAATGTTTGATTCAATCCAGTGAGAAGATACTCGTTCCATGCATTAGCGCCGATTCTCTTTCCACACTCCGAATTAGAGTCTTTATTTTCGGAGGCGTTATACTTGTCTCATCAATCTATTCCACAACAAGAAGCGACACTCAATCAATCCACCTTTATCATGTTCAGGCATGAAGCTGAAATAAATTCCAAAAACGTAAGCGTAAGGTCACATAATATGTACGTACGAACTCATTCCACTCTATTCCAAATATCAAAACAGAATGACGCACTAGAAGTAGAAAAATCCTAGTGAATTGTTTTCGCGAGCTGCATTCATGGTATGGGTACGTCTCCAGGTGTTCGGGTATCGGTTTTCTTTTCGAATGGACGAGTTACGAAAATGAAACGAAGAATTCGATCCAGAACAAAACGATACCTCCGAGCCTGAGGATTCCGTTTTAGCACACACAGGATCAAGCTTTTTGAGATCTGCAACTCACGCATGGGATTTTTGTGATACCAGTGAAAATTACTCTGTAAGAAGTCAGTGGGTCTGGGTCTCTCTCGTGTTTTCCATTTCATGCTATTTTGAGCGAAGGTGCGTGGTGGGCATGCGCATGGTAGGTTCATTTTTGTTCGATAAGACTTTTTGATTTTGTCGTGTGCAGCCTTTCTACATGTGATCAGCTTGACGCCTAGACAAATGAATCATGACATGAAATAACGTGCAAAGATGGCGAGGGAACGGATTTCGTACTTCTGTGCAGCTTAGCTCCAGCGATTGGTATTGATTTATCGTACGACGTCCAAGCGTACGCTGGTCTCTGCTTGCTACTTTTCTACGGGGAGGTTTCTTGACGTCATCTCAGAGAGGAGCGGGTGCGGATTGCTCGGCGGGCCAACGGAAGAACGATGGCGACGTTAGACAGTTTATTTGCTTTGGCCTTGCAGGCCATGAACGGCATCACCCTGCTGGGTGCCGTGTTTGTAAAGGCGCCCCAACTTTTGCAGATACACCGGGCTCAATCGGTGGCTGGGATCTCCGAGCAGATGGTCGTTGGCGAAGTTCTGAGTACGACTATGTTTGTCTCTGCGTTCTTTTGCGTTTTATTTGTCCATGCATGCGAGTGTCAAAATCAATGCGATTTCTCGACTGCCTGGGTCTGATTTGAAAAAAACTGCATGCATCGATATTCTCCAGGTTGCGCCTGCAGTGTGATTTACAACGTGATCAAGGGATTTCCGTTCGCTACGTGGGGCGAGGCGATGTTTCTCTGGGTGCAGAGTACGATCCAAGTGATGCAGTTTTGGCAGTTAGCGAATCCCAAAGTGGACAAGTTTCCGCGGTTTCTTCTCTCCATCGTATACGCGATGGCAACCGCGGTGCTGCTGCTGCACGGAGAGATCCTGCTGAACGACGTCACTCTCAACGCGATTGGAACGATTCCGGCGGTGCTCGGTACCGCGAGCAGGCTACCACAGATAATAAAGAACGCCAGGCAAAAGCATACCGGCACGTTGTCCATCATCACATGGTACTTATTCAAATTCTACGTTTATTGTAGATTTTGATTTACGTCGTGTATTTTTTGTTGCGGAAGCGTCCCTGGTGGCTCGCAGTATAGGTGTATGTGTGTCAAGTACACAAACACTAACCAAAAAAAGGTTTCTCTCTTTCGGCGGGTGCGCGATGCGGGTAGTGACGACGCTGGCGCTGCTGGGCGGCGACATGGTGGCCATGACGGGGCACACACTAGCACTAACCATGAACGCAATACTAGTGCTTCAAATTCTGTATTTTTGGAAGAACACGCAGGTCTTTATGGAAGCGGAAAAGAAGAAAAAAGCGACCTGAGCAAGAAGATAGAATCACAATCGCAAGCAAGAAAAGATAGTCGCATGAAGAGCGCAACCCAACGCTTTTGCGGCTCATTCGTGTCGCCGTGGCGACGATGATTGCCAGCAACTTGGCGGAGCAGGGGAATGTTCTCATTGTGGAACGACTCGTAAGGCAAAAGCGATCTGCAGCCCAAAGAAGTTCAAGTTTTGATGTGCAATTTTCTCCAAATGTATTCATGTTGATCAAGGCCGAGCTGGAATTTGCAATCCAGTTGTACTGGACGAAAATTTATTGGAAACGTACGTACGGCCGTTTATGGAATTCGAGTTCTTGTTTCCCATCTCCACCGACGGTCTCTACAGCAACAACCTGCACCCAAAAAAAAAGTTTGATTTTGGAACGGAACCTCATAAGATTAATACTCCACGACCGCTGCGGTTTTTGCTCCTTATTTCCTGGCGCCCCTTGCCAGTTTGTGTTTGTGAACTACCTAAATCCATCAAGAAGTAGAAGTATATACAGAATGCAGTCGTTCGAGGTCCAGTCGGCGCAGCGGCAGAACGCAGGAGGATCCAGCTCTTCCTCCCCTGCAACCGCGATTGTCGCCGCTGCCGCTGGCTTCGCGAAGAATCGACCGGTGACTACGTCTCTGTGGGCAATAGGGCTCTTGGTGGCAGCTATGGGAAATGGGTTTTCAGTGACGATGCAGCAAATGGAAACTTACCAGGAAGCCATGTCGCACGCCCACCACGTAACCGACCGGGAGTTAAGTCATATCAAATGTAAAAATGTCTGGGTCTGGAAGAATGCCAAACTTGTCATGCAGGTTTTCCATGACCCCTGAGGTCTGGAATGCGGGACCTAGCATGACAGAGTCTGTGAGGTCTCTGCTATGCCTATCCTGCATGAGAAACTCCCTCCCAACTTGGTCGAAAGTGGACAGCTTTTGGCACTCATGCAACACAGATTTTTGCATTATTCGGAATTAGCATGACAAGTTGCAATCTTCCAGACCCAGACATTTTTGCAATCCATAAGTCAGGCAAGACGACTATTCCGCGAGGCCGACCAGCGATATTATAACGCGAAGGGCTGGTTCTGGTCGTGCGACGCAACCTGCCAAAAGATGTTGACGAAGAGAGATTTAGCACAGGCGCAGCTCTACGAGGTATATTTTTGAGAAATCTTCTACACTGTTTCGATTTCTGGAGACCGAATACGATGACCTAACAAAGCACGTTAGGTTACACTCTCCATTTCATTTCTACAACGTTCTTCTTGATATGTGTTGGCGTGCCGTCAAAACAGGTAGAGACAAAACGCGACGGCCTGATTCGCGAAGCCAGGCAAACGGTCGGGATATGGTCGACCATCGGAGTCCAGGAAGTGCGCGAACGATTTTGGCACGCATGGGAGCAAGGGAAGGAGACCGCAAAACGGTGGACCATGATGGACGCATTGTTCATGGCGTTGCCGGGCGACAGGGAAAGAACATTCGTGCAAGTCATCCTCCAGCTGATCTTTCAGTACAGAATTTTTTTCGACACATTTCACAAGTTCAAGTTTCGGCATTTTTTGTCGAATCGATATCGAGGCTAAATCGGTTTGCCACTGCAGCTTTTTGACAGATTCACTTTACCGTGAAAAAAATTACTTGCAGGTACCTTACGAATCTCACCGTCGGGATGATGTCCGCGATGTTCATTTTTCTGTGGCAAGTCGGTGTAAGAAATGTAAAAGTGTCTGGGTCTGGAAGATTGCAACTTGTCATGCTAAACCTGAAGCATGCAAAAATCTGTATTGCATGATTACCAAAAGTCGTCCAGTTTTGACCAAGTCGGGAGGGAGTTTCTCATGCAGGATAGGCATGAGAAAGATCGCACAGAATCTCTCATGCTAGGTCCTGCATTCCCGACCTCATGGGTCATAGAAAAGCAGCATGACAAATCGCGCATTCTTCCAGACCCAGACATTTTTGCACTTGATACGGTGCCCTTGTCTACAACTACGGCGAGAACTTCGTCAGTGGCACCGCCTTTTTTGGATTGGTATCTATACTAGTAAGGAAAATTCGAAAATTTTACTAGTAGGCTGCGCTGCTAGTAATCTTATCGTGACAAGCAAGCAAAAAAACTACTAGTAAGGCTACTAGTAGAGAGTTTACTAGGAGAAAGCTCACTAGTAGAAAAAGAAAACTGCCTCGCGGGCCGGTTCGCCCCGAGCTTGCGCCAAACAGCCTGCCCGCGTTGCTTGGTTCCCTTGCCCCCTGTGGAGAAACTAGCGCCGAGCAACCCATGCCTGTGTGGTAGCGCGAGGCGTGGCGCTCGTTCCCGGGAAAAGGGGGCGCAGCCGTAGGATGGCGAATCAGTACTGAGGACGGGTGGCGCGGCGCGTGCTGCTGAGCCCGCAGGTGCAGGCGAATTGCCTTCGGCCTTGCCACGGTGCCGCGGACGATGGTTTTGCGCTTTGTTTAGGCTACCCCGTGGCTTTGCCTCGCGGGGGAGGCCCCTCTTCGTGCGGATGGCCCCGCCGCCCTGCACAGAGAAGCGGCGCCTTCTCTCGTTGCCCTAAATGGTTACCACACACAGCGCGCCCAGTCTCCCTGTGCTGGCTGCACCTGCCTGGCTGGCCAGGTTTTTTGTCGCGCAGCTTCCGCAGCTGCGGCCCTGTGGGCTTCGTCGAAAGCAGCCCCACCGCCTTGGAGGCGTAACTAGAAATAGAGCGGGGCGTAGCTAGAATGACGAGCAGCCGCCCTTAAGGCTCGCACCTTGGGGGGATGCTCGCAAATTGGGAACACCCTGGAGGGCTCGTTCCCTCCCACGTTGGGCTCGCCCCGGGTGTTCTTTCTGTTTCCCGGCGCTTCTCCTGCTCCTGGGGCCTGCGGCGGGCTGCTGCCACGCCTTTGTCTTTCTCTAGGGGGCTCAGGCGGACGGAGAAGCCCTGCGCCTGTAGAGTTTTCGCCCCCAGGAGAATCCCCTCCCCTTCCCCGCGAGGACTGCAACCTTCCTAGTAGGAAATCGGGCCCATCGTTTTCTTGCCTACTCCATACCTTTCCGGCGGTCGCGGAGCGACCGCCCGCGCTAGATACAACTACGGCGAGAACTTCGTCAGTGGCACCGCCTTTTTTGGATTGGTACTTTCCACTTTCCACATTGAAGATGCTTGTCCTTGTGCTTCTTCCTGATTGTTTTGTCATATAAGTTTTTTTCGAATAAATCTTCAACAGGTCGCTGTTTCCTGCATCAGTGTCGTCACAACCTACCTTGTATCAAGTGCAAAAGTGTCTGGGTCTGGAAGAATGCATGTTTGTCATGCTTGTCTGGCATGATTCTTAAATCTGTCATGCACGTTACCCAAGACCTCCATTTTTCTGTGATGCAGAAACGCAGTTTGTCATGCAGAATAGGCAACACCTAGAAGCTCAGAAACTTGTCATGCTGAGCCAGCATTTGTTGCCTCATCATGAGACGCCACCCAGCATCACAAGTTTCCAGCCCCAGACATTTTTACATTTGATACCTTGGGCTCCTGGGCGGCGCGGTCGTTGGTGGCGTCACATATGTGGTGAACAAGGAGCAAGAGCGCCTTGCCGGGGGCGGGGAGAGGAGGCGCGTGCACGGTACGGGCGCCTCCGGATACCGACGGCCACACGCGGATTAAGAATCCTCGTGCTTGCAAGATCATTGGGCCATCAATGTGTAAACTAGCATCATGGAAGATTCGAGAATCAGAATTATACGCACCCGCATTTCCACCGAACCACACAACGAGACATCCCAATTACGACATAGATTCAACATACTCGAACAATCGCAGCGGTTATTTCGAAGAAAAGCAAAGTGTATTGAGTTCGCAACCCGTAGAAAGTATTCGCTATTGCAGTAGCGGTCGTGCTGTCGCACAGCTCGACATTCTCGACATTCCGTTATGAGAGTGAGTTGTCGCTGATTGCGCTTCGCGGAGCGCTGTCGATAGAGCTAGATAGCAACTTCGAGAGGCAAAGAATTAGAGTGTGGAAAAAAGTAAAGAGCTTTGGATTCGGTCTTTATAGCGTTCCAATGTGTCTTAAGAGAGCGACAGCGAGACATCATGAGAGGAGTATTCGCAGTAGAGAGCGCTTGCAATCTTAAAGCCAGAAGCATTCCGTAGACATCGTCAATACTTTCGTAGATTTTGCAGGATCATTTCCCTCCTACACCCATGACGACCTACTCTAGTTTTAGGAACTGCTTAAGTTCTTGTACTAGTTCCCCTCCCCCACCTCTTGCTTCCCCGATAGGCACTACCCCATCCAGTATTACGTGTTTTTTTTCATAATTGCATGCCCATTGAGCACGTTTGGAAAACAAGTTGCACGATTCATTGTCGTCGACTCGGCGATGAGCAGAACTGATCTTCAAGTCCAGGCTCAAGAAGGTCTTGGATGAAGAAGTCGGTGATAATCGCTGGAGTGGTTGTGGGCGCGAGCTCGGCTTCCTCGTCTTCAGCTGGGAAGAGGGAGCACACCGATTACAAATCGCAAGCCGAAGCAGGAGCAACATCTTCGCAGCAGCGAGGATGGACTGCCTCGTCGTTGGGGGAGCCGCGCCCCAAAGGGATAAACCCAGCGAATACCAAAAAGATCAGTACAAATCCTTCTCGAGCTCCGGATCCGAAGCCCACGGGGATAAATGGCGTGAAGTACGCACGACGGCTGAACCCGGCGCCGCCCGAGGAAGAGCGCGAAGATGTCCCGCCGCCGACCACGTCGACCAAAACCTTCACGTACCCACCGGCCAGGCCCCCGCCGCCCCGGGTGTTCGACGAAAGCGGGAAGGAGTTGGCGCGGGATGTGAAGACGGGGAAATTGCTCGCCTTGTACAACCCGCGGACGAAAAAACTGAATCGGTTGTTCGACGAAAAGGGGGTGGAATACATCGTGGAGGACGTAACCAGACTGGAGCGGTCGCACGAGGGAAGAGAGGCGCCACGTGTGTTGGAAAATGCGGAGGACAAAGTCGAATACAGCACATTAACTCGACCACGGGAGGAAAAGTTCTCCGAGACCGTTACCAGCTTCAAGCCCGGCGAGGAGTTCGGCGACGGGGACGAGATCCTGGAGCGCAACGGCGAAGCGGCGGTATACGGCACCGACGGGCGGCCAACCACACAAAAGTCGGTGGACATCAAGTTCATGGCGTCGTCGAACGAGCGAGATCAGGACACCAGGATCTTAGAGGACAGAGATCTGTTTTCGCCGGCAGCTCTGTTCGGACCAGCGTCCTCCTCTCCGAACCTTGGGCTCCCTCTTCCTCCCGTCTCGGTTTCGACTTCAACGTTGACGAAAGAACAGGATCGCAGTGCTATTACAGCAAGCAAAAAGGATCATTCTGATCCTGTTCACGCAAGTAAGATAAACACGGAGATCTACCGTTCTGCGTTTCACCACGGACTACCGCCCGACATAGCGGTTCGGCAGGTCGAGCCGGGAGTCTTCGTGCTCGATCGCGAGAGTGCGTTAGCGAAGGACAAAAAGCGCGTACAAAAGCTGCTCGAATACTCGCTCGCCACGGCCGATACACCCGAGGGCGGGACGCCTACAGCAGCAAATGCCGCGAAGACCACGACCATAACAGAAACTACACGGCTGGTGTCAGGAAACAAACCTGGCGACATCTGGACCACTATTCGAGAACAGACGACTGTGCTCGCAGGCGAGCCACCGGATGGACCTGGGAGTGGCAGCGTAGTGGTATCAACAATATCGACTACTAGTATGATCTCCTCGGAAAATAAACCCGAGGGCCCATCAAGGGGCTCGTCTCCTCCATCTTCCTCCGACCACGACCGGTCCGACTGTTTCTACGGGAAGACAGTGTGCAGCGAATGCAGCGGCCGGTCGGATTGTCTGAGTCGCAACCAACTGAATTTAGCGGACTACTACATAGACGCCGCGGGGGAGCAGAATCTGATAAAAGAACGTCCAGAAAGTTCGACGTGCACTAACCCTGAACAGTGCGCGGCGGAGTCTTTGGATTCCTACTTTCGCATGCCTCGGTCTTCCGCAGCAAATGCGCATGACGCGATGGCGAGGTGGCAGTCGTGGCACAAGCAGACGCCGCTAATGAGAGAAAGTACTAGATCATCAAGCGACGTCGAGGACCATTCTGATTTCACCGCTTCAGTTGCGGCGAACAGCGGAGGGAGAACAGATCGCGACCACCCAGCGCCGCCTGAGGACGCCAGCATGCTGGAGAGTCTCAAATCTTGGAGAAGAATAGGCGCGGACTTTCTTGATTCACTCCGCCGGGCCGCTTTTTCGAGCAGCCACAGACCTCCAACGGAGCAAGAGGTCGAGATTTGGAACCGCAATCTAGAACAGGAGCGAGACAAGGCCAGGAGGCAGTCGAAGCGAAACTTTGCGAAGCAGCGACTTCTCGGTATAGGCAAGAAAGAAAAACAAGCCTACACTGAGACCGGGGCCCTCGCGCTGGACCTACCACCAGCTTTGACTAGCGCAGATCCTGGCGCGGTCGTGAAGTTTGAGCAAGACGTGCGGTCACGATTAGACCGGGAACTGGAAGCACTCGGGAAAAGTAAAAAGAAGCTAACTCCGAGACTGTATGAGGAGATCCTGGAGAAAGTAGGCCTAAAACCGAAAAAGAGTAGAATAAAGGCGGAGCCGTTACCCAAGCCTTTATACCTGAAGCGAAATCTTCAGCTCACCGGCGCGCAAGTGAACGCGTGGAAGCGGTCTATGGGCTTCACAGAAGAGTGTATCGACGACTCGGCGGCAAACTCCACGGCCTCCGGTTGCCGGCGAACACTAGTCGAGGGTCCGGTGCCGGAGACGAGTCCTCATGCCGTTCTGCAAAAGAGCGTCGAGGAGGACCTCGATCCGAGACTGCGCGGAGTGCTCGCTGGGCTTGTGCGCCAGATCGCTGCGGATCGAAGAGGAGACCTGCGGCGACTTTCCCCAAACAACGGTTCAGCGAAGCGACGAAGTCTGCAGAGGAGTGCAACCAGAACCAATACGCCTTCCTTGACAAGTCCCGGCGGCGAGCTGGTAGTCAGGACGGAAGCACCAGCGCTGACCGTGGAGGAGACCGAGAGAAGTCTGTCGACGCGACTGGTCACACAGAGGAAGTTGCAGACCTACTTGAAGCAGACCTTCACTGGGCAATCGGATCAGTGTTTGTGCTACCACGAAAACCTGATTTTCAAACCGGTGCTGGATCTCTTTCCGGTGCAGCTCCCGCTGTTTCGCGAATGTCTCACGAAGCACTTCGCAATGGGAACCACGTGGCAGGGCGTTTGCACACTCGACGACGCTTGCAAGTATGCTTCGCGAATTGCCGCAGAGATGCAGCTCGTAGCAACTCCCGACGCAGGCTGTAATTGCGAGCTTTGTGTCTGGGGCGAAGCCTGGCACGCCACGGGGCAGGTATTTGGAGTAATTGATTTGAGAGACGTCTTCAAATTGCGAAAGTTCTTTGAGGATAAATGTCGAGCTTGGTTGTTCCTTTCTGTCTGTTTCTGATCCGGCAAAAAATATTAAACTCAGGCGTCATCCCAATGTCCGAACAACCATGCTGAGCTGTGGCGAGAAATCTGCCAACCCTGTATGTCCAAGAGCAGTGTAGACATCGCGGCATTGTCAGACGCCAATGTGCCGAAGCGAGAGCGCTTCGAGAAGATCGGCGAAAAGGGTGAATGCACAGACAAGTCACTCAGGTACGGAAATGACGATCTTCAGCTGTTATCTAGGAACATAAAATTCGAGTTTTTTTGGAAACTCAAAGCGGCGACGGCAAAGAAAAAAACAAAATTGCAACTACAACAGGTACGTTCGCGGCCGCGGTAAGCAAGTTGCCTCTCACCTTGAGTGTCGTGATTCCTGCTGGCAGGGCGCTGGACTGAATTGCCTCGGGTACAGCTTCTATCACTGCTCCAAGCGGTGCATCATTCACCTGAAACAAGACGGTATGCACCTGCTCAGCAACTGGGCGATAGTCAAGGGGCAGGGGGACGTCGTCTACGGCTCCGATGGGGCTTGCGGGTCCGAGTGTTACCGCGTGACGTATGGCGAATGTCCACCGGGGAGAATAGCATCGGGCGGAGTAGACGTCACCTGGGATACCACCATGGTGTACGGCCAGAGTTTCGTGGAGACCTGCCCCTCGCCCTACACTGGACAGGTGACCATTACCTGCGCAGGAGCGAACAGCCAAAGCGTCGAGGGGATGTGCCTGGAGCCATGTCCTAGTGGACAGCTGGTAAACTTGAGTTTTTCTTGCATGCTGAGGCGACGAGTTTAGATGAACGATAGTCTGATAAAGATGAGTAACAACAGCATTAGAAAATAGACTCGGCGGCACGAGGGAGATGACGCACACAGACATACAGGAAGTCGAACTGAAATAAACCACTCGCTATCAGATTTACCGCCCGGGTTTGAGCCCCATCGCGTACCCAGTGACCCCCATCGCGACGAGGAGACGGCTCCCTTGTCCCTTTGACCCGAACTGCCCGAAAGCGAACATCGAGCTGCTCTGCCAGTCCGACCGGTCGATCCTGGTGGTGAGTCCAAACTGCGGCGCCAGCTGCGCTCCGGGGATGTACGCCTTGAACATCGGTGGTGGCATCGTGCCGTACAACTTCATGAAGCACCGACAGAAGGTGCCCTTGTTCGACTGTCCGTTTGGGTACGTCGGCAAGCTGGACCTCATCTGCGTCGACGGCCAGGTGCAGGAACAGCCAACACCCGGCACCGGTTGCTTTCTGCACTGCTCCAGCCAGCACACGATGAACGTGGACCGGTCCGGCCCCGCGCAGAACACCACACAGCAGGACGTGCAGCTGCAAGCGGTCTTTGACTTGTCGGAGCCACAGTGGCTGACCAATCCGAGCAGGGTCTACATGAACGACACGCTGGTGCTTGCGTCGCAGACCCAGTTTATGGAAGGCGTGTTTTTTAAGCACGGGACAATTCTAGATGTGCCGTGTAAGCCCTCTCCATTAACCTACGGAGTCATCAAGGTCAGCTGCGACAACGGAATTATTGCGGCGCTCAGCGAAAACTGCAAGTAATATTAATTAAAATCTGATTTGCTTGTTTCTTTGTGCACTTTCATCTTGCGGATGCTGTCAGTTGTCTTCAAGACAGATTCGGCTGGTGCTTTCTACGTACTTTCACGTGAAGATTCATGTGTATTGAAATTTCTTTGGTCAAAATAAAAGGTTTAACTGCCCTGCGGGCACGATCGAGGCTGCCACGGGAGGGCACACGCTGAAGATGTACCACGGCTACCTCGATGATTGGCACTCGGTGAAGGTGCAGTGTCCCAGTGGGCAGTGGACCGGCAACGTAGAGCTGAGTTGCCGTAACGGTGTGCTGTCTCGGAAAGCCGGTGACGTGTGCATGCGGCACTGCAATGTCGAGTACCTCGTTTCCAACGGGCTCAACATTTACCTCGGAACGCAACTGCAGCACGACAGCCGAACAAATGTGACCTGTTCCGCTGGGGGGAACCCGAATTTCGCAGGGAAGTTGGAAGTTGTCTGTACTATTCGATTTTTTGTTTGATGTCGATGGATGGCTTTTTTTTGAATTCCATGAAGTTGATTTAGTCGTGATTTCCCGCGGCAAATTTTCAATCGTATCATGCCCTGTCGACATCATCAAACACTGATCACAATCTCCCTATGCCAACACTACCAGGTTTCAACGGGCAAGTGAGCGTGATCGGGCGGTGCGGCCAATTTTGCGCGCCCACCATGATCGTCAGTAATGACGCCATGGTGCTCACATACCGGCAAGACCACGATGAGACGCGAGGGTACACCTGCCCCAGTCCCTGGACCGGCACACTGACGCTGAAGTGCAATGACCAGCAGATTGAGGAGCTGGCGAGTTGCGGACAGATGTGCGCGGCCAGCACCTTTCTCGTGCGCGGTATCACCAACATGCCGTTTCCGAAAGCGACGGATAGGGCAGTGGGAATGCTGGGGATTGGTCACGGTGAGGTTTACGAAGCGGGCTGTCCAGAGGCGACCGATGCACTGTCCTACACAGGTACGATGTGAAATTTTTATGCTTCGTTTTTTTTTTTACATGAAGTAGTCATTCCTTTCACCAGACGCAGACCAGAGTGGTCGCCTCCAAGTGAAGGAGAGTAAAAAAAGCCTCGCTTACTTAGTTTTTTACACGTAAAAACAGGTACAATGTTCCTCTACTGCAACAACGGTGAAGTATCGAAGCACTCCGGTGAGTGTTGGTGGAACTGCGACAAGCTGATCATCAACAGCGGTGGTTTTCCGCAGGCGATCGAATTCTTGAAGCACAACACCACGGACATGTTCACGTGCGCCGCCGGTTTGGATACCGGGTACCTAAGGCTGCTGTGCTTCCACCAGGAACTGACCATACTGGAAGGGTCGTGCGCCAGCTCGCCGTGCCAGGCCGGTGTGGTGGAGCAGGCGGCCACGCGGTTTTTGCCGCTGCAGCACCCGCTGATTTTCCACTTGGGCTCGGTTCACATGCAGTGCCCCGAACCTTTGACCGGCGATTTGACTTTAGCTTGCAACAAGCAGGAGATCACCGTCCCCTACAGCAATTGCGGGGACCGGTGCCAGATCAACGGCACGATTTTACCCACCATCAACAACGAGCTGGGTCTGTCGATCTACGGCGGCGTCCGGATTTTCACCCCCAAGATGGACCACAGCACCACCCAGACGCTCCCCTGCCCGGCGAACACGAAGGGCACGGTGGATATTCAGTGCAAGGACGGGACGCCGACGCAGGTCGCGGGCGGGTGCAACAACCCGTGCCCGCCGACCCTGTACACCACCCCCACCGGCGCGCTCATTCCCATGCCCTACATGGAGCACGACGAGACGTCGATGAACGTGCCCTGCCCGCTGGGGACGACGATGGGCGGGACCGTGAATATCACCTGCGTGAACGGGACGCACCAGCGCACCGGGGGCGTGTGTTTAACCAACTGCCCAGCCAGGGAGTTTACGTCCAACACCGTCAATCTCCGGCACCCCAGCATCGCGCACGGCCAGATGTACGAGGCGGATTGCGGATCGTGGAATTTAGACTACACCGGGAGGATCAAGATCTTCTGCTTTCAGGGGGCGGTGAACGAAACCGGGAGGTGTTCCCGCCACTGCGCTCCTGGCTCCGTCGTCTCAAATGGTGCCACCGTACCGCACGAAAAAATCGAGCACGGTAATGCAAACTTTGCTTCTTCATGTTTCTGAAATTCTAGTTCTACAGGTTTTTGTGAAATGAAAGTTAGACGCAAAACCAAACTTTGGACATCAAATCACCACGCACTCACGATTAAAATCTACACAACATCAGGGACGAACAAGAACTTGACTTGTTCCCTTGCGAACGTCGGAACCATCGACTTCGCGCACGAGATGAATCTGGCGTGCAATGACGGCGCTGTTTCGATGGAGTATGCTGTGCAGAACGGGGCGCGGAACGTGACGGGAACCTGCATGCGCAACTGCTTGGGGCCGACCAAGTTGTTTGGTACCACGTTCCGCCATCCGAAGATCATCGACGGCACGATGATTCAGGTGGACTGCGCCGGCCCGGGAAAACTGGTGTTGCAGTGCAACGACGGCATCGCGTCCCCTTACAACAGCAAATGCTTCCAGACCTGCCCGCCGGACACGCTGATCGACGCCAGAGGTATTTGATTTTTCGTTTTCTGGTGCGAAGCGATCGATGAAAAGAGTGATTAGATCGTGTATGTTTTGATTGCTTCTGACCCAAAACCAAAAGCAAAACGACACCAAATTTGAACCAACAGGAATCGCGGTAACCTGGGTGGCACCTCCGATCACCCACGACACGATCCGGAACGCGGAGTGCGATGCGACCGTCGCTTCTGGGACGGCGGAGGTGAAGTGCCTTGACGGCATCCCGCGAATCCAGGCTTCCTTCTGCAAGCTGAACTGCTACGCGGGCAGTATACAACAGCCGGACCCGGACAACCTGTACAAGTACCCGATCATTCTCAGCCACGGAGACCTGAAACACGGCGAAACCGAGGAGGTTGCGTGCCCTAGCCATCTCGCCGGGCGCGCCACCGTGCAGTGCGACGATTCCGTTGTGAAGATCGTGGCGGGGAGTTGTGGGACGAGCAATTGCATGCCCTCGGAGTTGCGTTCGGGGGAAGACTTGATGATTGCGTACCCACAGATGAACCACGCTGAGACCTACGAGACCGACTGCGGCCCGGGCTTCATCGGCAGGATAAAGTTCCGTTGCAACGAGGGCGTGGCCATGCGGGAGTGGATTCGCATGAACTACCTGAACACGGTGAATAACCAGGTCGAAACGGTGGAGCTGTGCGAGTGCTGCATCACGGACGGGATCAGCTTCGCCACGCAGGACAAGCCGACGACCATAGGAGCCGGTAGCGACGAGGCCGCTGGGTGGGCCAGTGCCGCGGGCTTGTTCTCGATCGTAATTCTAGCCTACGTCTACTACGCTCAGTACTGGTCCAAGTACGTCACGCCGAAGATCAAAAACTCCTTTCTCGCAAAGTACATGCGCGAGAGGAAAGCGAAGAATGGTATAAAGAGAGATTAAGTAGTTGTGTTTTTTTCTGGTCGTTTTCCCTTTTATCAGTAACAGTATGTATGGTACTCTTGTTCTGGCTTGAAAAATTCGCGTTCCGACTCCGAGCAATCGAAAAAAAAAAATCAACAACAGCTGCTGCCGCTCGCGCCGCGTTGGCGGCCAAGGTCGCCGCTAGTCAGAACGTCGGGATCTCCCGAAACCTGGAGCAGATCGAGGACGGCGAAAGCGGGTCGTCGGCCTCCCAGGATGCGGCCATAGAAGATTACGGCTATGAAGGTAAGGTCGCGCCTCTCGAAGACGGCAAAGTGTAGTAGCGCGGCAGCATTTATTTCTAGAATCAATTCATTAGCAAGTAGAAATAGAACCAAAGCAGTTTGTTACGTCAGACAAATTTGAATCAAAAATAACGACGGTTCCAGGACTAGTGTTCCTGGTCGTGGTCCACAAAAGAAAGATGATTTGACAATTTCCATTTTAGCAGCAAGTGGGGCTGGCTCGTGCTGCTCCATGAGGGGGTCAGACACAAAGAATAAATCGCACTCTCCGAGCTTTCGTTTCAGCTGTACTTCCAATTTGACCTCTTTTTGTATGCAGAGCTTTTTGAATTAGGTTACCCTTGTACTCATTTCACGGTTCTTTTACTGCGTGCTGTGAGACTTCGGCGAACTAGTTACCCCTCAAAGTCTCGCATGGGCATCTTACTCTCTTTCTTCATCACAACTCTCTCGAGAAAAATCTTGAATCTAGCAAATCACACAACTCAATATCACGAGTGTGAGTTTCTCTAAGCAATTCTACGGTACTTCGGAAACGTGAATATGGATAGTTTCGGCAATAACGAAAGCAACAAGATGATCAAGAGTGAAAGAACCTGATACAGTTCCGGCGAAGAACGATAATAACTTTTAGGGAAAAACTTGCTCCTGGAGCATTCGGTCGCTGACCCTTTTCCGCCCTTTACGACGTGTTGGATAAGCTTTCATCAGATAACGTACTAGCGCTCTCGAATGGCGAAGAGTGTGAGAGCTGTGTGCTGAAGGAAAGCGATAGACTAGCAAATGGAATTCCACAGAAGTGGAGCGTGAGTGTGAGAGCAAAACAACCTGTAGAATCTGGGAGCGACGTACTATGAGCTCCTACCTGCAGGTGTGAGCTCCTCGTTGTTGTGGAAGCTCCAACGACAAAATTTTGAAAGGAGAGCGGATGCGCAACGCTGGATCACTTTGTTCAATGCACACCGTTTAGTTGAGTGGTGACAGTAGCAATGACTCGGAAGGTATGGCGGGGGAAAAACGTGCATCAGTGCCACGACTGCTGAGGCTAAAGTTGGAACCGTCAGTAGGCATGTCCTTCCTGCTCTGTGACTGTGACGCGAGGATGTTCCAGAGGAACTGCCCCCCTTTACGCCCGGTCGTACAGCACTGATGCACTTTTTTGCCTTCATTCGAGCAAAAGGGGAAAAAGAAGGACGATGACCTGGACCCCTCTTGGGATGCAACAAAATACGAGCAGCTGCTCGAAAAAGAGAGAGCAGAAATTTATGCATGGAAAATCCTTAGTCAATGTCAACTCGAACTGGTAATTTTTTCCCGCTTGCGGGCAGTAGTCACATAATTACCAGTATCGTGTGTGACGTGCGAGGATTTTTGGAAATCATAGAGCAGATGCTATTCTGAAAAAAAGGGAGAAGGAGCTCGCAGAGGTTTCATTTTTAACTTCCGATGATGAACTCTTTGCAAAATAAAAACGTGTAAGCTTTTGGTTTTCTAGCTAGTTCGAGAGCCGCGTGGAAATTTGTTCTCACATCACTTACACAGGAGCTGCAAATCCAGATCAATAGAGAAAAGTCAGAGCTGGAGAGGCAGCAAGCCGAAGCAATCAAGCAGCATGAGGAGGAGCTAAAAATTAGGGTATGACACTTTGTCACCGAACTTTCTATGATTGCCTCGGGCAGGTATCGTATCTCCTTGAACAATTTTTTTGTGTTTTGCATTTGTTACAACCTTGACTCTACTACTACTCAGGAGCAGCGTATCCTATTGAAATCACTCCCCACGACTGGTCCCCAGGTTAGACAGGAGACCATCCAAAGTCTTGCATGTTCTAACAAAGTGGTCCGAGCTTTTTTGGGGCGTTTTCAATTTGATGCGCTAGCTCCGGGAGAACCTTGAGAGGGAACGGGACGAGCTTGCTGCGAAGGCAGATGAAGTGGAGCAGCAGGCAACCAAGGAGCGCAATGACGCCGCTCAGAAATACTGCAACATCAAAAATCACGAGGGCCTAAAGTTGAAAAAACAGGAAAAGGTCCGCAGATTTCGCATTTCACTTTATGTTGTTTTGTTGTATTTGACATTTGTAAACGCATACCATTCCACCTCATTCCCTGAAAAAATATCAGCTCCTAGAAGAGTACAAGGCAACTGAAGAGCAGCGACTGCAAAAGAAGCTCGAAGAGGAAAAGGACAGCTTCAAAAAGGAGCGACAGGCGAAGCTGCAAGCAGAAAAGAAAAAGTTTCTGGACAAACTTTCGGAAAAGGAGCGGAAACTCTACAGCAAAAAAGTACGAGTTTTCTTTCGCTCCCATTGTGATTTTGATACAATTTTCATACGTGTAGTATGGTTTTTAGCTGCTGTTCTCATGCGACGAGAAAACGCGTTTATCTCTGTACGTCCAATGCATTCCTATGACTTTTAGGAAAACGAGATGCGGGAGTTGCAGCTGAAGAAGGAGGAGGAGCTGAATAAGCTGAAAAAGCAGGTGGCCAAGGAGAAGCGTGACTACGAGCGGCAAGTCAAGGACGAACTCGAGCGCGAGCTGCTGAAGGAGAAAAAGCAGTGGGAGTCGAAACTCAAGGAGGAAGAGGACCTCACGTTCCAAACGGTCGAGGACGACTGGATGCTGATCGACTCCACGCACAGCATCATCGACGTGCACGCCACCACGCCGAAGCCTGTGGCGCAAAACGCTTCTACTCCGAGCACTTCGTCTGGGTCGAAAAAAAGCAATCGGAGCAAGTAGAAGTAGACCACCAGCACGGGAGTCGCTGTTCCTCAGAAGTTCTTCGTTTCTAGTTCATCGTAATCTTTCCCGGATCATTCTTGCGGCAGTGTAACAAAAGTTATCCCGTAGCTTGCTGTACAACCAGATAGTGACGAGAAGAAGGCGGGCGAGTTTTTTTTTCTCGAACAATGATCGAGCTCCCGAGTAAAGCCTGCGGAACGGGTCATCGCATGGTGGTGCATATTGGAATTTCTTCTTTCCTCGACAACCCGTTTCGATGGCGTTTTCCTGATCTTCCAGCTGCGTGATGAACGAACGGAGGCCGACTTGGAGGTCGTCGTACAGAATTCAACTCGGACAATAGAACCCGGCGTTATCTGCTGGTTTTCTGCTGGCGCTGCGACTACGAATAGATACTCCTTGGCTTTCGAACACAGATGAACTTCCTCATACGGAGCAGCTACCCCGTCTTTGAAATTGATACCACCAATGCCACTCTTGTAAACTCAAAAACTGCCGCCCGCCTACACTCGAAATCAAACACATCATAGTTCTCTACCGTCTCCTAAATCCCTGTATCCAGTTTTGTGGCGTTTTCTCGAATCGCGAATTTTGTACCTAAATTTTTCTGGCAGCGGTAGTTTGGAGCGCGGTCACGCGGCTCAACCAAATTTATATCACTTTTTAACATTTTTATGATGTTTCGCCCCCAGCTACTTCTGCTCTACCATTTGTTTCCGACTTATTCTCGTCGACAGCACGTCGTTTTTGATGTGCAGGTAGGGTCGTGCAATACAGTGTAAGGATGGCGTTGGCGAGAAAATCAATTGCACAGCACGCAGGTGGTTATCGAATGTTAGAACTAGCACTACACTCTCATTTCTACACAACTCTCTCAATTCAATCATAAGGACAAGGAAGCTATAACTCTTCACAAAATTCACAGGAGCGGGGCGGTTAAAAACAAGGCTGCTGTGAATGGAAAAAGAATGTACAGGAGCTAGTCACAGGCTGTAAGGACGATCAGGCATAATTAAGCACTCAAAAAATGTCATTCCTGGGAGCTCGTACGGTGACTGAAGCTCAGTGAGCAAAGATTTGTGCAGCTCTCAGAGGGAGAGGGTTGCTCCACTTTGTCGTTTCAAATTTTCATCGGAGCCGAGCAGCCTTTTTCGTAAGCTCTGGCTCTAGGTAGTGCAGAAGAGGCTTGCAAGCCACGGCTTCAAATCGCGAAGCAATGAGTGTCGAGTGAGTTGTGCGTATCTGAGAAATGAGTCGACATTTCGTTGCGTAGTTGGCGAGATGTTGTGGATGTCGGTACTCGCTGACTTGAAATTGGTTTTGAAAGGTTGTTTTGTCGAAAGCTCGGGGGACAATTTCCATTGTTCACGCTTTCAATCATTTTCCGATATGAAGCAAGGATAGGCAACCCCGAAGCGTTGTTTCGTTTGATTGTCACAAGTTTAATTGGACGATGATGAAATGAAAAGCAAAAGACCTCTTCGCCCGATGCTATGAGGTTATACGTGTAGGTTCGGAAGATTCCGCAGCCCGAAGAGTTGGGTGTCTGACGTTCACTTGCTTGCAGCTACGAACCCTTGGGTGCGAGTCGGATGCTCTTGTAAATTCTCCGCGCGCCACGGCCCCCGAAACTTACTACAAATGCCAGAAACGCCCACGACCCCTGCGGGCGGGGACACGGTGCACCATCACCACCACCTCTACTTTAATGACAGCACAACGTCGCAAATGCCCCGCTCCGCCTCTTCCTCGCAGCTGCCCCCGAGCCGGCAGAATTCCGTGGCCAGGTCAATGTCGCAGGGAACTTTGTCGCCGTCAAAGGGGCCAGGGAAGGATGACGGAGCGTATCAGCAGGTATTTTTGTATGCAAACGGTGGAATTTGTTTTGTGGACCGTACATGGAGGACAGAGTGTGACTGTCTTGCTTGTGAACTACACATGATCATACATGAGGGTATAAGGTAAAACGGGTAAGACCTTCATCCATCCAGGTAGCGAAGAAGCTGAAGCAGGACGCGGAAGAAGATTTACAGCTGAATCAGGCGGAGGTAGAGAGAGATCAGTTAGTGGAGGAAAATCTCCGGCTGAAAGCGAGATTACGAAATGTCCTCCAATACATGGAGCGGTCTTCCAGAACACCAAGTATGCAGCATGCGAAAAAGCTTCTGCCCGTCCTCCAGGAGATGGACCTCCCGCCGGTGAATTACCAAGACTTACTCAAGGAGCAGCTGCGAAAAAACTGGCCCGCGGTGGACATAGTGAAAAAGAAGCTGCTCGCGTTTTACCTGCCGACCTTGGACGCCCCGGGGCAGAAAAGGCTACAAGAGGATCTCAGGCCACAGTATCGGGCGGAGCAGGAGGAATTTTCTGTATTTTCGAATACATAGCGGATGTAGTGATAGTGTTTGATTTTGAAGTTCGCTGAGGTTACTTAGAATCATTTTTTCAACAGCCAAAAGACACCACACAACAAAAAATTTCAGGTTCAGAAAGAGCTCGCCAGGCTGAACAAGGGCCTCACCTCGAAAACTCGAAAGACCGAACAGTCAGAGAAACTCATCCGCGCGGCCGCGGGTGAGAACCAAAGTTTACTTTCCGGAAAGCAGCATTTGGAGGAGGAACTTATCGAGCAGAAGGAGGTCGCCGCGGAAAATAAGGTGACAAGTGAACGACTAAGGCAGCAGTTCTTACTGGTAAACACGACCGTCGCGAAGTTTCTGAAAACCCTGAACACCGTCCCGCCGCAGAAGTTCGGTAAGGAGGAGCGCGCGGTCCAAAGTATGAAGCACACGCTTTGCAAATTAGCGAAGGAGTCGAGCAGGCTCCAAACGCAGTTGGAGTCAACCTTGAAAGAGGAGAAGCTGTACGAGGTGAAGTGGAAAGCCCTTCACCTCGAAACGCAGAAAACTTGGCGGTCGGGGACTAACCGCGTACCGCCCAGCACGGAGTCAGCTGCGGAGTCCGCGGCGTTGTACGAGGCACTGGAGACCGCAGAGGACCAGGCGCTGACCGGGCTGCCCAACCCACAGCACCACGACCCGGTGTGGAGGTTAATCTCGACGGAGGCGCGACTTGCGTCCGAGCCGGCGGACGAGTCGAACAAGAAAGCCATCGAGTTTTTGACCAGGCTCACACACAACTGCGGCAAGGAGCCAGTAGACATCTTCAACGAGATGTACCTCAACGAGAAGAGTGAGGAAAGGTATAGTACTGCCTGACTTTCTTTGCTTTCTTTGACAAGTTTCAGCGTTGCGGTCATGCATTTCATTCGTAGAATAAGAAAAATGCGTCCTCGCAAGCCCCCGCCGCACCTGCACAGGTACCGCGCGATCAAATACCTTGCTCGCGAGTTCGTTCTCCACCATCGAAAAGGCAGCATGATGACGCAGCTGATGAAGGATCTTCAGTCTATGAACAAGTTCCGCGACCAGGACGTGGCGTTGAGCTCGATAAATCTTGTGATCTGCCGCGTTCTAGAGTGCGACTTTGCCAGGTGTTGGTACATCAACCACGCAAAGAACACCGCCTGGGTGAACGCCGAGACGAAAACCGGAACGAAACTGGTGATAAAAGACCTCAACGACGGCAGCTACGTCTCGCGAGCGTACTCTGATTTTTGAAACTTTTGTTGATTTCTTGCCGTTTATGGTTTTGTCGGACAGAAACTTTGTTTTTGCATCAATGTGGTTACTAGAATTTGAGCGAGGGTGTCGTGATTGTGATTGAATTATGCGTCCACAGGTTCAAGTCACAAGCGTCCGTGAACATCGCCGACGCGTACGCGGATGTAACGTTCAACCGCGAGATGGACAAAGTCACTGGGTACCGAACCAAAGCGGTTCTCTGCGCGCCTATCCGCACGCAGGGGAAAGTCCGGGCCGTGATTGAGGCGTGCAACAAGATCAACACGCAGAGCAGCTGTTTCGACCCGTTTGACGAGTTTTTGTTGCACGTGATCGGCTACTCCACGGTGGACGTGGTCAACAAGTGCCAGAAGCACCGGGCGAACGTGCAGACCAGTTTGCGAAAAGACATCCTGCTGGAAGCAGCGGAAGACCTGTTCCAGAAGTGCCACTCGATAAAGGACCTGTTCCGAGTGTTGCGCGACCGCATGTCGCAGATGTTCTCTGCGAACGAAATCAGGATAGTCTTGGTCCACGAAACCGCAAACAAACCGCCGTCATTGCAGAGAATAGACGTGGATCTGCACGGCGGGTTGCTGACGAGGGATTTCGGTAATTGTGTTTGGATTAAGGTGATTTTCCAATTTGAAAATACAAAAATGCCCGCCAGTGCTGGTGTCATTTTCAAAGTGATCTCTTGCTGCGTGAAAAGGGGCAACATCTTGCAAAAAATCTCTCAAGGTATGGTCGGTCTCTGCGGCGAGTGCGTGCAGGAAAAGCACTGGAAAATGTTTGAGAAGCCACGACGCACGTGCGGGCGCCGCTTCCACCACGGGGTGGACTTGGACGGCGAGGGCAAAGTTTTTCTGTGGCCGCTGCTCTACCACGGGGTCGTCTCTGTCGTCATGATGTTCTCCCTCCCTGTGGTTGAGGACGACGAAACCACGTTTCAGGCTTCCAGCTCCATCCACGTGCACGCTCTGGATAAGCTCTTCGCCATGGCCATGTTCTTCTTGGAGAAATGGTTTCCAAGTTCGAGCCGATTGCGATTCAGCGACAACAAAAAGAACGTGCGCTTCAAGAACTACGTTGAGTTCCAGAAGCTCATGCAGCCCACCCAGTGGAAGCAGGAGGTCGAGGCCTACGCAGTGTGCACCATACAGAGATGGGTGCGCAGAAGCAAACTCAAGTACTGATTTTTGATATAGTGCGAATCAATGTGCGTTGTTCTTCTGCTACTGGTTCTGCTGCTCCTGCTGCTGGGTGTAGAGGTACCTGGAAAGTTTAATCTGCATCCAGTTCGAAGGAATCACTTACTTCAGCTTTCCAATCACGTTTTCGTTTTTCACAGGTATGCGATCTTCGGCGTGGCGCGTGCGCGCTTGCTCGCGGCGAGATTGATCCAAGTGCAGTGGGCGTCGCGGTATGCGAAGAGAAAGGGCCGAAAGTACCGACAGGGCTACGCGAAGCACTACCACTTCAATTCCGAGCTCGGAGACTGGGAAATCATCACGCGCGATGCGTGGTTGAAAATCAAAAACAAGTAGGGTTTAGTCGTGGCTGCAGAACGACTACGAGAACCCGTTGTTTTGTTCGAAATTAATTGAAATGAAAAATTCAAACTAAGGAATAGGATCAGCAACTCAATGAACAAATTTGAAGTTTTAGCTTAATGACAAAAAATAAGCGAGTAGCGCGTTTTGCTATTCGTTTTGTGACTCGTTTCATCTATTTCTTCATCCAATGAACACCAAAACGTAGTTGTACCGGGACCTAGCAATGCGAACAAATGGTACAACTACAACTCATGTTTCTGTTTCACTCTCAGCAAAGAAATGTTTCCCGTTTCGCAAGCCCAGCCAACGTAGGACATGCGGATGCGCGGCGAAAAAAACTTGCTATACCAATTGTAACACTTGTTTAACAACACCCTGTATTTTCAGTGCTACGGACTAAAAGTTTTATGCTATCTGCTTTGTTTGTATGGCTATGGTGCGCACACCAGCCATGCAAAGGCTAAACTCTGACCTCGCATTAAAAGTGTTTGTCAGTCGCGCAGAACGGCTGCAGGTGGGGTAGTTGTTTATCGTACGTAGACAGATGTTTTCTCGCCGATTTTGTTGTCGCGTCCTAGTCGTTCATGGTTGGTCCCGTCGTCTTCGTCCTGTTTTCGATCGTTCCTTGTTGCGTTGATGTTTTCTCGTCGTCGTCAAGTTCAATTCGTTGATTCCTGGTTGCAGTATCTATCTATGGTATGGTTCGGGATCTTATTTATGTGACGAAATTTGAGTACTTGTCTTTGAAATCGAGATACCAGGCACCTACGTCCTTGTTTGCCAATCCATGAGATGTGCGCACTCTACTCCATACCCTTCTCGATTGTGTGCCTGACCAGCTCAACCAACCCGACATGTCGTTGAGAGCTAAAGTCCGTCACTCACACCTAGCTCTGCCGCATCACACCTTAGAAAACAGTGTTGCGATAAAACAAAAAAATGAAGACCGTGCAACAGTTCTTAGTGCGGACTCAGACCACGACGAAGAGGCGCACCACCGCCACAAACGACACGACTTGCTCCTACTTAAGCACCCATCGCATTTCGCGAGCACGGTGTCCAACGCCAAGGAGGACCGGGTGCGCAAAACGCACGTTATTGAGGAGGGGCACACGTCGAATACCGGAGATGCTGATGGGACCGGAACAAATCAGGGCGGTAAGCTGGCTGAAATCGAATCTGTCGAAAAGACTACCGTCGGTTCGGAGCAAGCAGGAGGCCTGCAAGATCTACCAGACAGTCGAGACAACGTTCCTGGCGAGCGTGTAGTTGAAAAAGAGAGAATGCGAAAAACGAGTGCGACCACTCCGTCCAATAATCCAAAGCGAAAACACCGGTCGGCATCTCCATCGCCGCCGCGGCCGGTGACACTAAAAGTCGGAGTGGACGAGGAGGATTTTAAGCGGCACCTCCTCGACGGCACAACGAGCGAGGGTGAGGAACCGAGCAACAGCGAAGGAGTACACAAGAACAGTGGAGCTCACAGAGCGCGGCCGGTTGAAACGGACATGACAAACAATAAAAAAAGCGAGTCTCAACACTCTCCGTCATCTTCGCCAGAGTTAACCCAGAGAAAGGTCATCAACGTCCAAGTGCTGCAGCACGGAGACGTCACGAGCGTGGGGACAAAATCCATGCAGAAAGTGGTAGCGAAGAGACAGTTGGTACAGAAAACGCAATTGGTACAGCAAGATGGCCAGCAGCCGGTGAAAATCTCGTTGCATGTGAAGCACCCGCGGAATGAGAAGCAGGGCTACGAACTAGCCAACTGGGTGGCCTCGTCAGAAAAGGTGACCAACGTGCCAATCGTGCGGAAGAGCGTCATACTACAGCGACCGGAAGCACTGTTCGACAGTGTCATAGCACATGATCCAGATTTTTGGCAAAGAGAGACGCCGATTTCGCAAGCAGGTCTCGGAGGTAATAATCTGTATGTCAACATGAACCCGGAGAAGTTTTTACCCAAACCCTTATCACCGAGGGTCGAAACTCACGAGGACGCGCCTCCTTTGCCGCCGATTTTGCGCTGATTTTTCACGTGAAAAAAAACGGTGCGCAAAGTGAAAGTGGTGTGAAGAACTGGCAAGATCATTAACTGTAAGTCGATTCGCCCATAGTTTTGAGCACAGCTGTCGCGTAATATAACACAAGCAAGCTAAAGTTCGTCACCTGCCTCGGCGTCAGTTAGGTTCTCCAACAAGCTCAGATGTGTTCCTCCATCAACTGCGAAGGCAGCTAGGTCGTTCTTGGTTGAAGATGATGATGATGATGATGATCCTCCGCAACTCTTCGCGTCGGCCGTCTCTATAGGTGCAGACGAGAACGCGCCGCCGCCCTCGGGGCGCCCTTAAGCGCCGCGGGCCGGGCGTTTTTGGCTTCTGCCGCTTGGCGGTGCTCGTCTACCGCTCGGCGGGGCCGGCGGTTGGTGCCCTCGCCGAGACGGATGCGCGGAGTGGGCTGCTTGTCGGCGACTTGCAGCGCGTTTGCGTCGTACCTTGGCGAGTGCTTACGCTGCCCGCACGGGGCGCGCAGAACTGAGGGCGCGCAGTACTTACGCTGCCCGCCCGGCGGGGGCCTTGCTGCGCCGGCCCGACTCGGATCGGCAGGAAGTAGCTAAGCGGCCGCCTTCTAGGAAAGAGGAGAGGCCCCGCGACTGGCTACGTTGCGGGCCATGCAGCGGCCCGGCCGCTAGGGCTGCGGGCGCCCGGAAAGGGCTGCTGTTCCCCATGGCCGACCCCTATGGGGACCTCGGCTATTCCGGTGCGAACCATCGGCGGCGGGGCAGGGGCAGGGCAGGGCCGGCCGGCGGTCAGTCTACGAACTGGCCGACGCACCATGGTGCTGGTACTTGGCGTTCAGATCGTATCTCGAGCAGCACGGCTTTAGCGTGCGCGCATTAGATCCGTCGGCACTCATCCTGGCGCAGCTGGAGACGCAGACCAAGGGAGACCTCGGCGCCACCGGTCGCCCGCCGGGGGTACGCCCGGGCAATCGTGCCGAACGCGGGCCGGCGCGACTCGCCCAACGCGCCGGCCCCGGTTGGGCCTTGGGAGCATCCATTGGGTGCCTGCCCACAATTCGGCTGGCGCCCCCGCGGAAAAGCGAGGCGCTCGCGATGCTGTATTTGCGTGGCTGCACCCTCGTGGCCCCCGTTGCGTAAAGAAGCCCGCGCGTGCTCGTTCTCCGGACGTGTGCGCCGCATCAGCGTAGCTGCGCCCGACGGGCCCGGGACCTCTGCGGTGGCGCGTGTTCTCGCGAACGCGATCGCTGCCCTCCCGGGGCCGTGTGATCCGCGAGAAAACTCCGGTGGGTGTCCTGGAATGCGCCGCGGGCCTTCGCGAAGGAAGGAATCAATGCAGGGACGCGCAGCGTGGCGCGTTGGGTTTGCCCAGAAAGGTTGCGCGCGGTCGCCGGGTCCGCGTCCGTCGGGGCCGGCGCGCTGGCCCCGGGGGCCCGGCCCGCTCAGCCCGGCGGGCACCGCGCGGCGACAGGGCTGCGGCGCCGTGGGGTGTGGGGCCCCCGCCCCTGCTCGTGGTTGGTAGGCTGGCGCGCGCGCAGGAGTTTCGTAGTGCGCAAGGGCCGCCGGGGCCTGCCGCGCACGTCTTCGGCAGGGCGCGCGGTTTGTGGCGTTCTGCCAGCCCTGCTGTTGTTGCCTGGCCGCCCGCGGCTGGCGCCGGGCCTGTGTGCCCGTTAATCCGACCGCCGTGTTATAGTGTTCATTGACGAAGATGCGGTTTCGCTGATGGATGTGGCTCACCCATGGCCCCGTTTAAGCAGGCCGGCTGCTGCGAGTATCTTGTGTGCATGCTTCGGCAAGGCACCACAAGTGTGATTGGCGGTTGGCGTCGCCACCAGTTAAATGAACGCACTCTCTCAGTCCGATGGCTTCTGTACTTAGCTACGTCAAGCATCACTTTTAGGTTCTAACAGTGTTCGTTTTCGCGAAAACGCAATTAGCCACTTGCCGCGAACGAAAGTTTGTATGGTGATGAAGAAGAGAAGGATTTTGGCATCTTCTATCGGTCTGCTGCCACCGTCTTATTAGCACTTCCTTACCTACAGATGGAGGTAGATGAAGAATACACACAAAAGAGATGACAAAACATCGATCGGTTCGTGAGAAAGTCGTACCCAACACAATCGGTTCGCCGATTGTGAAGTCGGTGCGCGGCTGTGTTTTGCAAACAACAGTACAACTAGAACTAGCACTTTGTTTCGGTTGTCGTGCAATTTATGACATCGTGAAATCGTTCAAGGACCTTCATCTAGCGCTTCTAGTATGTAAAGTAAGACTCATAGCGCTTTTGCAGTTGCACCGGCGATGATGAAGTTGGAATTTCGTCAACAATTAGATATTTGATTTCAATTTCATCTGAAACACAGTTTCCTCCCGCGAAAACCCCTTGGAACTACAATCCAGGAAACCAGATAGAAATCCCCTACACTACGCGGTCGTTGCGCCCGTGCGCGCACGCTATTAGGATATGAACACTTTTTGTACTCAGCATGTGATGCTAGTGCTACCACTTTTAGTAAGTCTTAGTCACCGCGCACACATACATTATTTCTGATTGTAACGCAAGTATTTGCGGACGATGTCGAAACTCAAACTAGTACTAGCATTCATTCCGCGCATTGTGCACGTTTTGAAAATGAATCCTTTGATACACTTTCCCTAGACTCTTTGCTGGCAGGCTCAGAACTTTTTCCTCCACCATGCTCGGTGCGATGTTCTCGTATTTCCGGATGGGGGATACTCCTCGAAGCGTGTGCTCCAGTGCGAGGCTCCCGCTGGACAGCGCGACGGAGCCGGACACCACGCGATTGCCGTTGCCGTCGGAGTTTGACGGGTATTTCACGCCCCGTTCCGCGGGGCGGGAGGATCCGTTGATGCCGCTGTCGTACAGCCCCGGGGTCGTCTTCATGGAGGACGTCGACGAGGACCCGTTTGGTTTCGCAAACGACGCGAAAGACGAGGTGATTGCGTTCCGGCAGGATCGAGCGGCGCGGACCATTCAGCGGGGAGCGCGGGACAAGCAGGGAAGAACCAAAGCAGACGTGGAGTGGCGGATGGGGCAACGGCGCAAGGCCGAGGCATTGAGGCAGGACAAAGCGGCCAGAACCATCCAGAAGGCGAACCGAGACAAGCAAAAGCGGATTGCCGATCGCGAGGAGCAGGCGCGAGCGGACTACGCGTTTCGGCTGTGTAAGTCGCAGGATATGCAGAAGGACCACGCCGCGCGGACGATTCAACGGGCGCAGCGCGAAAAGGTCGCAAACCAGCAGCAGCAGGTGCGGTATGGCAAAGCGGAAGAGCGCCGGCGCAACACTGCGGCGCGGACGATTCAGCGCCAGGAGCGGTCGAAGCAAGCCGCGTTTCAAGCGGAGCGCGACGCGCGCGAAGAGAGCGTCAGGTTGATGGCCGAGAAGCGAGCCCGGGAACGCGAGGAGGAGCGACGTCGGAAAGAAGCAGAAGAAGAGAAAAAGAAGCGGGGTCGGTTTGGTGGTATGTTTGGAGGCAAAAAACAATCCTCGAAGCAGCCAGTGGCCGAGGGCGAAGTGATGGACTTGAAAGTTGAGGTGCAGGTGCACGCGCTTGGGGAAGCGGACGAGAAGCGGTCAAGGAAAATGCCGGTGAAGAAAACGCGACCGACGCACCTGTCACTCTCGCAGGAAAAGATCCTGGAAGCGTTGGCGAAGGGGATTGAGCGCAGGCGGCAAAGTGTGAACGAGAGACGCGACATTAAGGTGCAGGAGGCGAAGGAGAAATTCCTCATACTGCTAGAAAGACGGAAACGGCGCAAGCGCAGGACTGGCGAAGAAATGCCGCTGGTGAGCCGGACGAAGCCGACGTATCTCTTCAACGTAGAGCTTAAGGTGTTGGAGATGATGCGAGCACAGATCGAGGAAGGCAAGCGACAACGGCAAGAGCGCATCGACAATCTCGTACGGGAGGCGTGCGACAAATTTAAGGCCGGGCTCATCCGAGCGAAAGAAAGGAAAAAAGCGAAATCCATGACGGGGCGAATGGGCAAGGCGTTGTCCATGCGGTTCTCGCGCGGCAAGAGTTCAACCGCGACTCGGCGACGCCGTTCCTGCTGCTGCTGCTGCTGTGGTGCTCCCGCAGAACCGCCCCCAGATCCAAACCCTCTGCAGCCAGATGGAACCCCAGAGATGGAGGACATAGCAAGAATAGATGATGCACCTACAACTGCAGGGGATGATGTTGATGTTGCAGCCACCGACAAAGGTGAGCTCGTTATTGACGTTGGCGCAGGAGTAGACCAAGAGCAGGGACAGGCAGACAACCCGAATGAACCTCCGCCGGCGGCAGAAAGCGGTGCCGAGAATCTCGAGACAGCTCCACCACCGGACCAGGATGAAAATTTGGAGGAAACTCTTGCTGTGACCGACTTGCCAGCTGGATAGTGAGTACTGCTTGAAAGAGATGTTGAAAATTAGGGCCCAGAAGCGAAATGAACTCCCACACAGTACGTACTCTGTCGGCAAGCGCACCTCTGAACTGCAGCAGAAGGATTAAATCCGTAGCAGCACCATCGATTACATGCTCAGTTTTCAACGATTCCATAGCTGTGCTTTTACGCACTGTGGCTATAATAAGTAAATGCGACCAGGTACTGTATCGCATGGATGTGTCAGTGAAAGAAAAGAGCAGGAGCAGAGAGTGTGACCTCCTCCTTCGTCACAGCAGCGTCGCGTGTTCCATTTTCAGGCTAGAACTAATTTAGTGAGGATCTTTATGTATAATGTATTTAGCGATCTTCACATTGACCTTCCGATTGATTAGCGTTGCGCCGAAGCACTTGCAGTGGAGGCAAAACGCAGTCCGATGTGCTACTTTCATCGTCAACACCATGTGAAGTTGTCAGCATTGAGAACGTACTGTCCATGTTACGTCATTTTCAACATTCATCACATGAACAAAATCCAATTCTCTTTGCCAAACTCAAACATCGACAGGTCGTGTCAGCTGGAGTACGTGTGCAGCCACTAGGCTGCACTGTGTGTATAGTCTAAGTGGAACGTAGAGCCTTTGCTGTGACTAGAGCCGTAGGATACCTCTGAACCAATTTTTCTTGTAGACGTAGTGGCATCTTGTTCATCTTATCTCAACACGCAAAACACTTCTCATCCTTACGGAATTTCTGAAACTGTAGCTCCTATCAAGAGTTGCCGTTGCACGACAGAAACTGTTTGGGATGTAGACAGCACACGTAAATACACCGCTTGAGTCGTGCACTATTGTCTTTAGACGCATTTTATTTTCACTACAAAATAGCCATATCAGTAGCATATACGAATCAAACAACTTTGGACAAGTATTAACAAGTACTGCGTTGTGTCCTCTGAAAGACTATCACCCGCTTCTCGTGTGTTGGTACAGCAAACCACGAAGATTTTTCGAAGTATTCGGAGAAGCAACGGAAAGCCTTTCCAGACAGCATCTCCGTACCGACGTCAAATGATTTCGATTCGCTGCGGACTTGCTCGTTCGGATTCGTTTTTTCACCGGTCCGTGTAATTATCTATCAGATTTATCTGCGATTTATGTGTATCTCTACTATCTACAAGGACATAGATTTAGAAAGTAGCATGTCTCGGCACGAAGAACAAACACAACGTCTTCAACCTTTCCGAGATGACCACTTCGCCCAAGTATTGCGCACTTACCGCCACAGCCACTTTCGGTGATTGCGCTTTCGCGACTTTTTGAGCTCTTCTTCCGCCCCGGGGCTGCACAGAAGAGTTCGTTTGTTACGACACAAATCGGCAGGAACGCCAGCACGGTTGCCTCGCTCCGTGCATTTTCTTGCCGACCTCGTTAGTTACTTATTTTACCGAGGAGGATATCTACTTCTACTCGCACTCGCTCGAGAAGCAAAGGTGCTAGAATTATATCGAGATCTTGTACGACCTATAATTTCTTCATCGAGTTGTGCCGAGAAGTACAAACAACTGCACTACTCGCAAAGACCAAAGTTCTGCTTCTGTCTGAACCGATGAACAGAAGACGTTGACCACCGCCGACGACGAAAGTTTATTTCGATGTCTCCGATGTCCGGCTCTTCGTCTTCTTCGCAGCGGAAAGCGCTGCAGATGGGGGATCGTGTCCACGCCAGGTGGCCAGGCAACGGGTGCTGGTACCTGGCTGTGGTGGAACGAATCGACGACACAAAAGTCACTGTCGCATGGGACGACGGTGACACGAACGACCGAGTGGTCGATATCAAAGACGTTGTCAAGGTATAGCAGCATTACAGTCTGGAAGGCGTCGAACTTAGTACAGTCCACTCTGCGAAGATCATGTTATTCTGCACTGAACAGACTTTAATACTTTTTTCCTTTGTTGGTCGAAGCAGTAGAACAAACAGGAGCAGAATGCATCCTCACATTGCGCAGGTCACGGACGACAGTCGACCATCGTCCTGGCAGCAGATCGAAGATTCGAGCTTCGTGGAGGACCTCCCCGGCAAGGGGAGGTGCCTTTTCACCCGACACTACGTAAAGTCTGGATCGGTGCTCTTCATCGAGAAGCCCACACTCGTGGCAATACCATCGAAAAATCGAGGTTTTTGGGACGCCTTGGTGAAGGAAAATGAGAAAGAAGCCTTCCAGCTAGGAACCACCAGCTTTCACTACGCAGCCGTGCTCACCTGGTTTACCCTGGAGGACGCAGACGTGAAAGTAAAATTGTTCTTGTGTTTCTGCTTCATCGCCGGACTCAAATTGATCCAACGACAGTGCAAATATTCATGGTGAAGCGGATTTATGAAACGTAATTCTGTGCTTCTGCTTACTGTGTCAGGGCCGCGCCGTCTGCGTGAGGGCAGTACAACAGCGAGACTTGAAGCATGCAGCTGCCGCCCATCGCTTTTGTACACGTCGTACGCGCGCCCTGCTTCTGCCAGCCGCATTTGCATTTCCGTAGTAAAGACAAGACCACTTGTAAATAAGTGCTTCAGTTTGTTGCGCATTGAGCGATCGTGGTACTCCGCATCTTCGGGTTGCTGGAATCATAATGAAGAAACTGAAATTGGGTTCATCCAACTTCTCTCTTCAAAAACAGGTCGTGCTCGACAAATTTGTCCCGGATGGGGAAAATGAAGAAACTTCACGAGACGTGATTCGAATATTGGAACTGCTCGACTCCGTCCCCAGCTTGTCGCTTCCCCCGGGCCGCGCCCAACTCACGGGGCGCGTGCTGCAGAACCTTGTCAACGCGTGGCGGTACAACAGCTTCGGACACCACAGCGAGGACGGGTTGGTGCTCTACAACCGGATCAGTATGGCCGCGCACGGCTGCGATCCCACCTGCTGTTGGACCTACGGAGACGATGAGTCGTTCGTCTTGCGAGCGCGCGTCACACTCCAGCCAGGAGCGGAAGTGACGATATCGTATTTACAGGACGAAGACCTGCTGAAGTCAACGAATGTCAGACGGAAGAAACTGGAAAATTGGAAATTCCGGTATAATTATCCCGTGCTAGATTCCGTTTTCATTTTTACACCCTAGTCAGTCTCGTTCCGTTTATCATCATCTAGATTTTCATGGCTTGTAGCGTTAACATCGCTCGCGAAACAAATAATAAAAAAGTGGAAATAAAATTCAAAAGAGCATCAAACGAATCGGAAGCACGAATCACTAAAACAAAACAGCTGTTCCTGCAGCCGCTGCAATCTCCGCGTGGACGTGTGCCGCGGCTTCCGGTGTCTGAAATGCCGCAGCGGGGCGCACTACTTCGTCGAGAACGGGAGCACGCCCCAGCTCACCGCGTGCGACGTGTGCGCGGAGGCGTGCAAGGACGCGGAAAAGGAGCAGTGCCTGTCCCTAGAGCCGGAGTACGTGGCTCGGATCGAGCAGCTGGACAAAAACAACCCGAACGACGTGGAGCTCGTGTACAACGCAAGTTTGGATTTTTTCCACGAGAACCACTGGTGCGTGTTTGTGTGCGACCATTTGCTGTGGGAGTACTACCGGGAGAGGGACAACGACGTGGCGATGATCCACGCCCAACGTAAGGTCCAGTACCACGCGCGCGTCTACCCGCGCCCCACGTTCGTGTGGGCCTGGGGGCTGGAAGAGCTCGCCGACGACCTGCAGAAGCAGATCCAGCAAGCGGCGAACTATAAGAAGCTCATGGGCGCCTCGTCCCACGGGGCGGCGGTGCTCGCGGCGACGCGGAAAAACCATCGGAATTCGGGGTCGCGCTACGCGGAAATCATCAATATGTACCGGAAATCGCAGTGCCAGCTCGCGATTCTCTGCGGCCCAGCGCACCCCTACGCGGTGGCCCCGCAAAATAAGTGGCACGCCGCACAGCAGAATTTCAACAGTATCTGTGCGTAGCCCCGGCGCAGCAAAAGTTGGAGTCGTGTTTCAACAGCAGGCGCGCCGCTGCTACGGTGGCTTTCGTTTTATCTACGGTTTCGTGCATTTGACTATGATGTTGTGGTCCTCGCGACAGCTTTTGAAACTTCTGGAAGTTCAAGTTGTCCAAGTTCTAGGTCTTGTTAGAATGCACTACTGCCCGATACAAAAATTTAATTGCGAGAGCTAATTTCAACTCCATTCTGTTCCTCTTGGCAAAGTCTCATTTGCTAGTGACACAGTCAGAAGAAAAAAAGAAGGTCTTAACCCCAATAGCCAACGTGTACAAGTGTTGTGCCTTCTTGCGCGACCATGCTTGCGCTCCTCGTACATGGAAATTAGTCCCTCTTGAGTGCTCAAGCAGAAGTCGTAGAACCCAGCACAGAGACAGAAAGCAAAAGTAAACAAATTAGGCCCCTATGCCCTGCTAGCCCGTGCCGTGGTGGTGCTTAGCAGAAAACCGGAATAAATGTTCCACCTGCAGCAAGAGATTATTCATGCGATCAAGTGTCGGTCCTCGTTCATTTGGTTGAGATCATGGAATTTCAAGTGGTACTTCAAAATAAACGAGCATTTTTTTCAAATTGGTTTCGAAACAGAAGAAGATCCTCCAGCAAATACGTAGATCATATCGCTTGTTCCTCTGTGACGTCAAAATCCGAATTGCCAATGCAACTAACACAAACATCCAACTCAAATCATTGACAGCTCCATTGATTTTTCATCTAGCCTTTTTCCCCATCGCACCCCCGGCGAATTTCGTGTCCAGACAGACAGATCGAGTCAAAAGTACATGCTTTCGAAAGTATTTTTATCTCCGCTCCTCAAGCAGATAGCAAAACGAGGCGAACGAAGAGATCTTTCCGTTTACAGCATAAGCAAGAACGCAAAGAAGCGCAATTTCGTATCTATAAGAAAAGTCGTTAAGAATAACAAACCAAGATCCGTCATTCTACCGTGATTTTTTTATTTTCGATCTGGGACTTTTCAGATCAATTTTTCCACCCAAAACGCCTTACCAGGTCGAGTGCCTGCACTTTACAGCCGAATTTAACGAACGTCGATCCTTTGCCATTGCTATAAAAGTTTTTTGATCATTCTGAAAAAAAGAAGTGACCTTTCTGATGCGACGGGCTTGATCCGCGCTCAAAAAAACTCATTCTCACAACAACATTTTTTAGGGTCAAATTTGCTCCTGCATCTTTTTTTTTTTGAACCTGGGTAGTAAGTCTCTTTCTTTACTCCTGTCATTCTTGAGTTCTTGTTCTATTTTTTCCAAGAAAAATCAAAAAACTGTCAACTTAAACGACAATGGCGGGCGAAATTAAATTCGAAGGGTACGAGGGGGAGCTCCTCGACTTGAACGGGTCGTATATGCGGGCCCCGGGCGTGAACCATGGGAAGCCGACCTTCAAGAAGATCGACTCGGGCAACCAGAGCGTGATGATTTACTACTGGGATGAACGTGATGGCGTGCAGCTGCGCGGTTGGTGGGTGGCCCCGGAAGTCGGTGGCAGCAACGTGTGGGCCATGTCCACGGCCACATCCAACATGCCTCCGCATTCCGGCTGGCGTGTTCCCTGGCACGGAGATGTCAACAAGAAGGTACGCAGTGTTTCATTCTTGAATAGAAGTATTAGTCCTCGCGGTTGCTTGCGACTTGCTCGCCACCATTGGTCGTATCTACGTGAATCATTGTCACGACCTTGTGCATTGATAATGTACCTATACTAGGTTTCGTTCTTGATTCGATTTCGATCCATGCTTTTCCTTATCACCCCAGGTGACTCTGTCCAAGTGCACTGGCGCGGAGAAGCGACCCGGTGAGGCCGTTGGTGGTGCCGCAACCAAGATGCAGAAGACCACCCCAGCATACCAGAACCCGAACAACCCCAACATGGCGCCCCTCGGCGGTGCCCAGGCTCAGCAGCAGCAGCAGCAGTGCGGCGGTGCACAGCCCCCGATGGGATCGCCACCTGCCCAGGGCGGTGCGTGGAACGCGCCAGGCGGTTACACGAATGCACAGTAAAGAAATATATGTTTTTTTGTTGTATATTCATCTGCATCTTTCACGACCTGCTTGTCTCGTTTTACCAGATACAAATTTACCTTCTTCGGAAGTAAAGTACTAAATAGTACTACATCATGTAGTGATGCCACTTGACTACAACAACTCTACAGGCAAACCCAAGGTGTGGGAGCCGGGTTTCAGGCACAGGCTGGTCAGGCGGGACCCACGAAGCTGGCGCAGACGCGTATTGTGAACCCGAGCAACTCCGCTCCTGGAAGCATCGACCAGATGGAAGCTCAGCGACAAATGAACGAGGCGAAGCGCTTGGAGCAAGAGGAGAAGCGAAAGCAGGTTATGGAACAGACGCGTCAGGAACGCAAACTGTCTGAGTCCGTGAACGGGTCGGTGCTGGCCGCCAGCAACGCGGAACGGTCCTTCATTCGGGTCAAGGACTCGCAGGCCGCCGGGCAGTTGTTTGCGATGGACGTGATGAAGCCCGCGGACCTGGCTCGGTTCTCTGCGGAAATCGAAAAGGGGTTGAAAGCCGCCCAGGCGTCCTTGGGATCCGCTATGACGCTGCACACACGCAAAATCCAGGAGCTGGAACAGAGCGCGCTGGTATGAATGGATGGAAATGCAATTATTTTGGATTCGGTGTAATGAACGAAAATTGACTATTTTCACGCTATGCCTATGCATTTCGAGTTCCATGATCGTCTTCTGTTGATTTTGGACCTGCAGAGAAATTGGAAATTGCATCCATATTGTAAGTACTAGTACCTCCTTACACTTGAACTTGATCAAGTATCTGAAACATCATCAATTTTTCAGATGAATTCGAAAACCGTGGATTCCTTGCGGCAGCAACTTGGGGAGGCCCGGGACAAGCTTGACTCCGCGTTGAAGGAGACCCAGGAATTCAGCGACAAGGTGTCCCAGCGCCAGCGCGACTTGTGGTCCAAGATGGTGGGCGACCTGGTCGAGAAGTCGTTGGACGACCTGGGCGAGGCGGAGAACGGCGTGGAGCACCTGAAAGACCAGTCCGCGTTGCTCTCCTCGGAGATCGCCGAGCACTTGTCCCCGCAGGAGGCCATCGAGGCCGCGGACGTGTCGCACGAGGCGGCCGTCAAGGCGGAGGAGAAAATCACCGAGGGGCGGGATTCCATGCACCGTCGCCGGACCGAGGTGATGACCGCGATCAACTTCTTCCGTCAGTCCAACGCCGTCATGGGCGTTTCCGACGAAAAGCAGGCCGATCCTTTGAACCTCGCGGACAAGAAGAAACGCATTGAGGAGTGCTTGGCGAAGTTCCCAACCTTGCTGGCGGAAGTGCAAAAGATCCGCAACCTCGCGGTTCACATTGGAAACCGGGCGCGTCAGGCCGAGGCTTTGCGGTAAAGATATTGAGCTTTTTTTGAGCAAGTAGTTCATGTTCCTGATTGACTTACTTACGCATGAGTACTTCTCCATGGGTACTAACTTGTACTTCATAAGAGAAATGAAACCTTTTCCGAACCACCTAATACAGGAAAAAGCAAGAGCAGAAGGAGGCGCAGAAGCGTCGCCAGGAGCGTCGTGCCAAGTGGAACAAGCAGTTGATCCAGGATTTGGGTTCTGAGGTGACTCTGTGCGTGGACGTGTTGCAGCGCACCGAGGAACTCCGCCAGAAGGGCGCGGAGAAGGAGCGCATTAAGGAGGAATTCGACACCCTGAAGTCGCACTTGGAGCGCGCGCAGCGCACCTTCGAGGACTTCAAGCAGAAGCGCGACACCATTCAGCAGACGTCCGCGGAGATCGATCGCTGGGGGCAGCGCATCGAAGAATTGGAAGGGATCTTGAAGAAAGAAATGGGAACCGCCCTGGCGCGCCCCGAAGCCGCCGCGGAGATCCCGGGGAACTTGTGTGTTGCCGGTATTCTGATGAAATACATGGAGGCGGAGGGAAAATCCGGGGACGAGCTGTGGAAAGAAGTCGTCAACATTAAGGGCGGAGGCAAAGAGGAGAAGCCAAATACGGTAAGATACTTCTTGTCAATGTAAGAACGTCATCTTGCTTTTGCAGTGTACTCAGCTTGGCATTTGGTTTTTTTCGATCTCGATGGTTATATATCTGGTCCTCCACGACCTAGCAAGAATCACGCCAAACAAAATGGCACAAATCAAATTATCAGGTCTCCTGGTACAAGCTCCTCGAGTGGACGAAGCGTCGCGCGGATTACTTCGGGGAGAACAATCTGGATAAGCACCTGGGCGTGGAGCTCCCCCCGGCCACCGACCCGAACGCGGGCACGGCGAAGGTGTCCATTATGCAATCTCACTTGAAGGAGGCCTTCGAGGAGATGGACCTCCCCCTGGGTCCGGTCGGTTCGGCGAATCGCAGCGGCCAGATTTCCGAACTGATGTTCACCACCGCGTACCGAAAGTTTTTTATGTACCGCCATCCGTCCTCCTCGGCAGGCGCCGCGTCGTCCAACGAACCCTCGGGTTTGTTGTCCGACCTGTGTCTGACTGCCGAGGCGAGTGACCTCGACGACCCCCAGAAGTGGCCCACGTTGGAGGATCGCACCATCGTGGAGATGTACGGACCCCTGGAGTACGCCACCCCCGGCGATAAGTCCCGCGTCCGCATGGCGGTACAAATCAATACCTTGGAGGAAGATATTATCTGCTGAAGAAGAAAAGTTTTGTGTCCGGCATTGATCTCTACTTAGCATAAAAGTTGTTCTCCGTATGTGAAATGGATGTTGTTTTTGCCGTTTAGATAGAAGAAGTACTATGGTGCCAGAGTTTGTCATCCCGAAAAATTTTTAGAAAACGATTGTTCGGCACTCGCACAAACAACACAGGTGAAGTTAGTTGATGCCAATGGGGCCGAGCAGATTGGTCATGTGACGTACTTCACAAACGGGCGGTGCCAGCTGCAGGAAGTGACCACCCTCCAGTGCGTTTCCGAAACGGTTATCACCACCGGTGCCGAACTCAAGGCCATTAAGACCGTGCGACGGGCAAGAAAGGACGAATTTTTCCGAATGCTGGATTTGAGCCCGGTCAACTGCAGACCAATGGTACTTAGCTTACTTGGTTACTAGGGACTGCATCGCGGCTATGCATGATGGTTTGCGTTTGTTAAACCAAAACTTCTGTTGGCGTACGTGACAGAGGCAGAGTTTCCATATGATCGATAGATTCACTTCTCACAAAAATCAACTTCTTAGGTCCGAGTATACGTGCAAGCGCTCTCCGACGGCAAGGCCGGTTTCGTGACCGTTTCCAACGCAGCCAACACGTTTTTGAAGCCTGCCGAAGTTCCAAAGGCACCGTCCGAGGAGGAGGTCGCCCGGACCGTGCCAGTACTTGGTGCGGTTCGCGTCTCCATGTACGAGGCGGTGCTCGTGCTCGACGACAAGGACTGGCGAAGTGCGTTCTTGGTCCAGGACCTCGGTATGGAGGATGGTGTCACGGAGAGCACCACGAAGATGAAGGTCGCCTGGGAGTCGGACGAAACGTTGGCCACGGTCGATTTGGATAACGTCCGGTGCAGCTACGACCAGAAGAAAAAGGTGGTGCTTTCCTCCATCACGAAGGAATACCTCCAGAAGGTCGCCACCAGCCACGTGAAGGAGATCCTCGAGTCGTGTGACGTGCCGGAGCTCCCGCCAGAGGGCCTGGGTGACGAGGAAACCATTGCGTTGGCGAACGAGACTTTGGAGTTGGGCCTGGAGTGCCAGAAAACGTTGAACAACGTGAAGAGCTATCAAATGCAAATATGTCTGGGTCTGGAAGATTCCGAGCACGATTTGTCATGCAGTTTTTCCAGGCTCCGCCAGCTCTGGAATGCAGGCCCTAGCATCACAGGTTCTGATGCCCCTTGGTAATGCCTGTTCTGCATGAGAAATTCCCTCTCAGCATGGCAAGAAAGGGGCAACTTTTATTGCAAGTCACGCAACACAGATTCTTGTATGATTCGGAACACGCATCACAAGTTCGCATCCTTCCAGACCCAGACATATTTGCAATCCATAAGAGCTACCTGCAGAAGCGCGAGATCCGGTTTCTGGTGCTGGGCGACCCAAGCGTGTTCCGGGAACACCAGGAGGAGTTCAACAGAATGCAGAACGACCTGAACAACGTGCGACTCAAGGCGAAGGATATGCTCGACAACGCACAGGAGGCGTTGGAAAAGCAGCTCAAAGAAAAGGAAAAGAAGGTAGCAGCCTAAAGTTGCTTATTCAGATCATCTTCTTCAAAGAGATCTTCTGTCGGATAAGACAGATCAATGCACCTCTTCATCTGTGCCGATCAGGACCACAGCGCGTCGTGTGATCTTCGACAAGAATGCATGCGATGATGAAAGTTGAAGAAGTGAAGGTCTCGAACAAGAAGAAGTCGGTCTACCACGCCTTAAAAGACCCCGCGGCCCCCGTCGTTTCGTTTTTCCCCGCTTTTTTTACCTTTTTTTTTCCTTTGGTTAACCATAAGTCAATGTCAAGAGACTCGCAGAAGTCGAACTATACTTTGAATTTTACTTCACTTTTTTCTCCAACCATCGGAGTGAAGAGAAAAAGATGTTTGTTGTAGTAGTCTAGTCAGTGCAGATGACCACGACAAGAGATGACTGATAAATGTGACAGATCACTCAAGAAGTTTATTTGAAAATCTACGCTGTATACACCGGAAAATAAATCGTCTTCCCCCGAATTCGAAGTGCCATTTGAGGGGGAAGGAGCGATAAGTGGATGGAAAAATTGAGCAGGTGCAAGGGACAGCACTCTGGAAACTTTTTGATTACGGGAGCAATCGAATCCACTTGTACACCACTTTGATGTTTGTTTGAGAATATATCCTACCACAGTAAAAACGAAAGGACAACAACATCTCAGCTTCCGAGAGCCGGTGCCGACGACCCTAGGAAGCACGGTTTTCGCAATTGAGAAGGCAACTTGTGTGAAATGTTCCATGAGGGTCGTTCCTTTTTACCGTGGGCAGTGATACCATTCTTGATCAGGCAGACAGAAAGTGGGGTTCGCTGTGAAGTGGAGGAGATCACCCGATTCAGAAAAGCTTTCAGAGTGTTGCGTCGTGCAGGTCGTGCAAAGTAGATCAGAGGACCGTGGAATGGATCAGACAAATTTGAATAGTCACATCAGTTGTAGTCTCTCGGTCAATGTCTGCGCTGACAAGAAGGTGAAAAATCCACTCTACTACTTGGTCGAAGTTGAAGAAGTTCGCGAATATTGGCTGTCCTTTGTTCAGTATCTGTTCTGGTCGTAGTTTTTTCCGCTTGTTTGTTCATGTACTATAACGGCGGCCGCGGTGAGATTAGGAAGATAAAGATTTTGTGAGTGTGTTGCTTTAATGCGGTGCTGAAGTAAAGACCGCCACCGGCGCGAAGAAAATTTCACTCGCCAACAAATCTACTATAGATCTACGAGGAGCAGTTGCAGCGAGCCCGCGAGGAAGAGGCCGGCATTATGTCCGAGCTGAACACCCTGATTGACCAGGCAAAAGTCTTCTCAAAACAACTCGGCCAGAATCTGGACAAGGCCGAAGAACCGGCGGAGCAGCAGGTGTCAGAGGATCCGGCAGATGTGAAAGATATGGACGCCATCATCGGAGACATCCAACACTCATTAGACGAAACCAACAAGAGAATAAAGGCGTGCCAGGACTTCGTCCTCGAGAAGGGGACTACACACCCTCCTTTGAAGCCCAAATTGAACGTATATATGTTATGGATTTTTCGAGTACAACTCGAAAGTGTGATTTTTTCGCTTTTTTCTTGCAAATCCGGTCCTTGGCGCCGATTGTTAGGAGTTGGATTCACAACTTCCACCATTGAATGTCAGGGAATTATCTTGCAAACACATCATACGTACCAGGCTGTCGCCTCCGAGCTCCCCAGCCTGACCGTCTTTGACGAAGTTTCTGCCGAAGAGCGACTGGACCGAACCAAGAAGGCGGCGCTGTCCACGCTTTTTGAAAAGTACCAGAGCACCATCGCGGAGTACCTGGTTTCCCAGAAACAGACCGCGAAGAAACTGTTCGAGGAGCTCACAAAAACGCAGGATTCCCCCATGGACGGCAAGCCAGTCCTGCTGGAGCCAAGCACCCTGAAGGGCAAGTGGGCCACCAGTTTTGACCTGGAGCCGATGACGTTAGAGCAGTTTGAACTCTTCTGTGGCTGCTACTACGTTCTGACAACCCCAGTAACCATGACCAGTGCGCAGACAATCACCGGCGGTGCTATCGTGCGAAAGCTGGCGGCATTGACAATAGTAGAAACTCTTTTTTCTGTCTCTGTGGGTTCTGATGCAAAAAAGTAAGTCTCTGCGTATTTTGATGATAATAGCGTGGTTCGTATGAAGAAAACATTTTTTTTGGTTTCTTGATCTCTGCGGAGATGTGAGAGTGGTGGGGCCACCTTGTCTCGACAGGAAACCCACCAAAGACCAATGCCAGGTAATCTGAGAACCACATTTTTTGCAAACAAACCGTATGTACTAGTTCCGAAAAAATTGTGTCGCTCCGTGCTGGTGACCATGACGGAAACATGTCATATGAAAAGAACCCAACATCGATCCCAGGTCCAGATGTCCGGCGACAGCATTATTGACAACGAAACTATGAACTCGAGAAGAAAGGCTAAAGTGGTCTCTCGGTTAGCCGCACCCCTGGAAGAGGACGACGAGGCGTCCACTTCCGACGAAGCGACTGACGGCTGGGTCACGATCTACGATAGGTCAAACAACTGCAGCAATGTGAAACCCTTCGCGATTCCGGGAATTACTTCGCCCGTCACGGTGGTGAAGGACACCGTGCTTACCGCGCAGTCTGAGATCGCGCAGGCCGAGGACAAGAAATTCACGGTGTTGCGACGAATCAAGGCTGGCGAAAAGGTCGCCATCACGGGGCTGCCAAATTTGGTGGACGGCACCAACATGGTCCGAGCACCCATCTGCTGTGCCTCGGATTCGAAGCGGGGTTGGATGACCGTGTTCGATCCTACGTGGAAAAACTGCTATTTGGAACTCATCTAAGGAATTTGCAATGATTGAAACAAATTTTCGTGAGAAAAAGAAAACAAAAGCGACCAGTATTTATTTAACACTGCTTCTGTCTGCGAGATCCATTTTCCCCTGTGAACCTCGATGCAGAAGCAGAAATGAACTTTTTTTCACGATGAAAATCGAGCAAGTGTTTTTAGAACATTTACCTCGCATCAAAAGCCATTTATTTCAGCGCCATTTCACGGACTTTTCAGCATCTGCAAGCTGTTGTTTTCAAGTATAGCAATAGCTGCGGAGAAAAGGTGAGTACTCACTAGGTTTTAAGGAACAAACAAACGCTTACGTCGTCACGATCAAAGATTAAGATTACAGCATACCTTCTTGGGAACAAGTAGTCGCCGCAAAACCGAATGGGACGGTTTTGGGACGAAGAGCACACACACAAAGAAAAGTTTGATGAATACTTAGTTCTTGATTTTTTTTAAAACGTTTCGCTCTGTCCCAAGCACTGTATGCAGATTCATTTGCATCCAGGTAGTTGAGCAATAGGATATAAGAGGTAACAAGCCACAAGAAGAGATGACACTTTTAGGGTTTACAAAAACGAGCGCCGTACGAGTATGAAGTCCAGGCTTAAGCATCCAGAATGAGGTCACGACAGTTGACTCAGATTTTCGGGAATTATATCGTTTATACCTATTTACAGCACGACGGAAATATTTGTCCCTCTACTCTTTGAGACGGTAGGGAGCTGTAGGCTCATCGTCGACCTTGCCATCGCTGGTGCCTGTCGGAAGCACCATCGAGGTGTTTCAACAAAAGATCCTCGTTCGTTGCTGTGTCTCGCACTAGGGCCGTTGCTTTGTGAGCGAAATTGTTGCACGCATGTTGCTGGAGAGAGCAAAGAGCTGTCGTTGATTTGTGGATGATCGTTTGGCTTCGATCACGTTGATCCGTCTAATGTTTTCGTTCTCATGTTGTGCACGTTTCAACGGCCCTAATTCCGAAAATTTTTTAGACCTCTCCTCGTTTGAAGGACTTACTGGTATTGCACCTTGTTTTTTTTCTTCAAGTAGAAGAGGCTCACCCTAAAGGTGCTGCTATCTTTCTTGAAACTAAAGTAAGTACGTACCAACCGTAGTTTCCTTTCGCTGTATGATTTCGGAATTTACTTTTCCCTTTCTTGGTGTTTTCTTAAAGTAATACGTTGAAAAGATTTTCAAAGACTTCTGGTTCTGGTCTGCTAATACCTCCATAATCCTGCACGAAAAATGAAGGAGATACGCAAGCTCGCGGTTGGGAAAAGGCCGCTACATCAACCGGTGACCGAGGTGGCCGATCACTGTGTTTTGTAACAGCGCAGTATCTATACGCCGCTGTTCTGCGCCTGTCAGCTGGTGATCGGATCGGTACTATCCGGCTCCAGAAACTAGAACGCCATGTCGGCGCAATTTGAGGCTTGGGTTCCGTGCGCGGAATCCGGGTACCGGCTTGCCACCGGGCAAGAGCGCGGAAAAGATTTTATCACTACCACGGGGGAGAAGATACCGGTGGACAAAATTCGGCCGTATTTCGCAGAGGAAGTGACGTGCGACGACAACACAGCGCTAACACACCTGGACGACGCCAACATCCTCGATAACCTGAGCAGGCGATATGGCGAGGTGAGTTGTTCCTGTCTGTGTTTTTCTCCTGAAAAATTATCGAGCAAGAAAAAAAGACTCTGTGATCAGTATGAAGAGTTAGACCTTATCCGCCACAAATGGAATTCGATTTTCTCTGCCTGACAATGAATTTATCAGGACCAAATCTACACCTACACGTGCAACGTGTTGCTGGCCGTCAACCCCTACAAGAAGCTGAATCTGTTCACCGACGAGCTGAAGCAAGCGTACCGGGGCAAGAATATCGGTATGCTGCCCCCGCACCCCTACGCCGTCGCGGACATTTCGTACCGAAACCTGATTTGCGAGAAAAATTCCCAGTCGCTGATCATCTCGGGTGAATCGGGGGCGGGGAAAACGGAAACGGCCAAAATCGTCATGCACTACCTCGCCACGGTGGTGTCCAGGACGGATTCCGGCTCGGCGAGCAACATTCAGGAAAAAGTGATAAACGCGAACCCGATCTTAGAGTCCTTTGGGAACAGTCAGACGCTGCGAAACGTGAACAGTTCGCGGTTTGGAAAATACAACAAAATGTTCTTCAATCCGATCGGATCCCTGGTCGGATCCGGGATATCTACGTATCTACTCGAGAGCAGTCGGGTAACATTTTGTTTAGGAATTTGCGTTTTTCGTCACTTCTACCTAGTGACTGACATCGCCTGCAAGTAGACAAGCTGTGTCTAAAAGAATACGCGTGCACTTCGTTGCATCAGAAATGAAATGACTTGTCAGGTGTGCGTCCAGAACCCGGAAGAGAGGAACTACCATATTTTCTACGAGCTCCTACACGGCGCGCCGGACTTGGGTGTCTACGATCTCCGTGCGGACGGCAATTACAAAATGCTGAACGCTGGAGATACGACAAAAAACAGTCCCGAGAATGACAAGAGGAAATTCGAGCAAATACAAGACGCTTTTCGAGCTGGTACAGAATTTTTTTTTGGTATGTGAGTCAACGTGGCAGTACGATGGTTGTGCTACAGGGGACGCAGTTCTAGTTGGGCTGCTATCTTCGCAGTTGCAACGTTGGAAATTTTTCTCATGCTTTTTTACAGTTGGCGTCTCAGAGGAGGAAACCGAGCAGATTTTCCGCGTGATCGCTGCGTTAATCCATCTCGGCGAGTTCCGTTTTCAAGTAAAGGCCGACGCAGAGCAGTCAACCGCGGGCGCCGAAGATGGCGACGAGGTGGAAGGAGACACGCCCGAGATTGAGCTCGAGAACTTCGACGAAGTCATCGCTGCAGAGTTGCTCGGTACTATAGCGGATTGCGTTTCTTCGAAATTTTTGCTGTGGAAAACTTCCCTGCTGAGTGGCTAGGCTCGCAACAATCAATACTGAAGACAAACTTTGCATGCTTCTAGGTGATCCTATCTATCAGGTTTCGACGAGGTTTCCCTGCTCTCCGTGCTGCAGTGGCGAACGGTGATCGTGAAAAACCGCGACTCCTTTTACCGCGTCCCCCGAACGCTTGAGCAGGCCGGAATCACCCTGCAAGCCTTGACCAAAACGCTATACAAGCGACTATTCGAGCACATCATCTCCAAGATCAACGCCCTCTCCTGCGCCAGCAGCCAAAACGTGAATCACATCGGCATTTTGGACATCTACGGGTTCGAGAGGCTGACCGTGAACTCGTTCGAACAGCTTTGCATAAATTTGGCCAACGAGCGCCTGCAGCAGTTCTTCATAGAAAACGTAGTTGAGTTTTTTGTTCGATTTTTTGTCAGGTAGCTTGGCTGTACGCTGAATGCATCAGGATGTTCATGTTGATGACGTTGACGGCGAGTGGCCTCTATGGAGAGCATTGCTTCAAACACAACGATCGCAATACTTTGTCAGGTTCTGCTCGCAGAGCAAAACGTCTACTCCAAGGAGGGTCTCGCGTGGACCGAGCTGACTCTCCCGAACAGCTGGCCGGTGGTGAACGCCATCAAGGGTATTTTCACGATTCTGGACGACCACAGTTTCAAAAAGATCAAGAACCTGGACACGAACGACGACAAATTCACCAGTTCCGTGCACGATAAGTACGTTAAGGGACAACAGGGCGACGGAAAGGTCCGCGCTCCGAAACTCCACGGCCAGAGAAAAGGCACGCTTGGCCGGCTCCTCGACGGATTTGTTGTCAAGCATTACGCCGGGGAGGTCTTCTACACGACAAAAAACTGGTTCGACAAAAACAACGACAGACTGTCGAATGAACTCGAAACTTTGATCAAGGACAGCAAGGTATAAGTCAGTGATTTGTTTATACTTCTCTGTCCCATGGTGAAACAGCTCAATTGTCCACCACCACGTGAAAAAAACAGTAAAATTTGCATTTTACATTCCGTTTCCCATTCGCGTTTCACAGGTTCCCATCGTCCAAGAGCTCGCGGTCAAGGACCTCGCCGACAAGTCCGACCGGTTTGTCTCCGTGGGAAAAAACTACGTGGAGAACCTGGAGTCGCTGTGCAAGAAAACCCTGGAAGCCAACACGCTGCACTACATCCGGTGCTTTAACCCCAACGGCAAGCAGAAAAAGGAGGCCTTCGAGAAGAAGTACGTCGTGGAGCAGGTGCAGCAGTCAGGGACGGTGGAATTAGTCCATTTGATGCACGACGGCTTCCCGCACCGCGTGACCTTTGACGAGCTGCGCAGCCGGTTCTTGACGTTGCTCCCAGCGGACTTTCAGCAGTACGACCGCCGAACCTTCGTGGAGTCGATCATGAAGGCGTTCGAAATCGACCCGCGGGAGTGGGAACTCGGGGTGAGCAAGCTGTTCCTGAAATCCGGGCAGCTGCGAACGCTCGAAAGTCTGAAGGAGTCGGGGAGCGGGGCCAGCCAGGAAGTGCTGAGCCGATTGAGACGGGAAATTGTGAGGAAGAAGATCAAGCGAGTCAAACACACCGTCCTGCTCTGCGTATTGACGCTTTTTGTGCTCTTTATCGTGTCGACATCGCAAAATCCATCATGTAAATGTATGTGTGAATGACTCTGAACGAATTTCAGTTCTTCGTTGCATTCCTCAACCGTCCCAATTTTTCATCGTGACAACCCACTACACTGCACAGCTCTGGATGCCAAAGTTCATCCGACAAATTCGGCGTGACAAGTTGGTTCAGAGTCTCCGGTCCGCCTGCTTTATCGCCGTCAGGCTCTACCGGTGGTTGGACTACTCTCGCGGGATTATCAGAAGAAGGTTCCTCGAGGAGCAGAGGAGAAAACAGCAGAGACAGCTCTCGGAAGACGGCGATCTGGGTTTGCACTTCAGCAAACCAAAATCCTTCGTCTGCAAAGCGCTGGTTGGCGGGAAGGAGAACTTAATCTTCACAAATGGGAAGTCGCTCTTCTGCTGCGTGCATGGGGAAAGGACCGTGGGGCCGATCTACCAGGTGAACATCTTAACGGGAAAGATTTACCACCCACAACCCGCGTCCCCCGGGGAGAAATCCGAGCAACCCTTTCCGGATATCTGCGCGGTCACGCAGCACCCGAAATTCGCTTTCCGCTTTGCCATCGCGGACGTGGAGGGCCGGATTTGGTTCATCGATTGGCACGGAATTCGGGACGAGGACACGCTTTTGTACAGCGTGTCATCCGTGTTCCATGGCATGTCGCACTGCCAGGCGCCGAGGCAGCTGATGCGGGAAAAGGCAAAGGAGCAGCGGCGGGAGCAACAGGGCGGGAGCAGCTCGTCCACAAAGGGTCGGGGTCGGAGGGAGGAAAGCGAAGATCCGCTGTTCCTGCAGGAGGTGGCGCTGATCAGGCATTTGGCCTACCTCCCCTACGACATCACGAAGAGGAACGTCGTGGTTGCGCTCGTGGAGACAACGGTAGTGAGTTTGAAAAATTTCGAGCTTTTTTTTTACCATGTGCATCTGCATCGAGGACGAGAAAATGACTAAATCACACTTCCTTCTTGAAATACAAAAAAACAACGAACAGGTCGCTGAGGAGGACGGCTCACCGGTGTTCTTCTTGCAACTCCTGGAAACCTGCGGTCCAAATCGCCCACAGAAAGTCCACGACACGCACTTGGTGGACTCCTCCATGGCCAAGTTGCGAAGTATAACTGTCGCGAAAGAGAAGGACCGGAGACGAAGCAACGCGCCGGAGAAAGCGACAAGCGAGATTTTCTCTTTCCTGACGCCATCGTGGTAAGTACCTAGTATTTCATCGATTTTAACATGAGGAAGTACTGAAATCCATGCGCGGAGTACGACATTCCAAATTCAAGAAGCTTGTTGTCATAATGAGCAAAACGTAAATGTTGATCAACAGCTCCGGTAAAATGGTGGTTCTCGGTGGTTGCGCCTTGCTAAACTGCTATACCGTGTCTGAGCAGAAGGGGAAGCTGCGCCTTGAGCTGGAATACATGCTCGGCTGTATTGATTGATCTTTGTTTGAGTTTGTTTCTGTTTCTTTTTGCCACTTTGTCTTTGAGATGTTTATTTGCGTCTGCGAACAATCTGTTGCGATTATCACGCACTTTGAAACTCTACCTACCACAGGCAAGTACCTGGACATTGAGATGCGGAACCTCCGGAGTTGTATTTGTCTACGCCGCACCATACCGCCAAGTAAGGACAAGAAGGCCATTGGCGACTTCATCATTGTCGGCGCTTCCGATGGCACCCTGTACGGCTTTCCGTTCACCTACGTGATCGATCGGAAGAACGGGTCCGGGAAATTTATCTTCGACGAAGAGAATGCGGGCCGGTTCGACGTGGAAGACGAAAATGCGGAAGCCAATGTCGAGGAAAAGGAGTCGATCGAATTGCTCTTCCCGATCCAGAAAAATTACTTCACCGCGTTGGAAAACAAGTTTGTTTCCATCCGAAGGACAAAAGCCTTCTCGTGGGTGATGGGGGAGAAAGAAGGCGTGTTCGGGTGGCATCCGCAGGAGTACATGCTCACCGGGCTACCCGCAGATTTCAGCTGCGCGGTCTCCAGTCGGGTGTTTCCGAGCATGAGCTTGTTCGTGAAAAAAGAGGAAAATGGAAATGCAAATTCGGAAAAGGGGAACGCGTTTAAGATCATTCGCTGGAACCGGAGCCAGCACAGCAACTGCAAGTAAAACTTGTTGTTTTTGTGCAGCAGGTTGCGACTTCGCGCGGTGAAACGATTTTACCACTATTCCACTTGAGTATAAACAGTTTTGTTTGATAGGACACAGATTGTTTATTATCACTTTGGAATTGGGAAACGATTCAGTTGTAGAAAATTTGTACACCTAGTAAGCCAAGTTGTGCGCACACGGGCAGAAGTTGGCCTGAAAGTGCGAAATATATCTAGCGGAATTCTAAATCAAACTTATGGCAAAGCAGCTCCGTATGGGCAAATGGTACTCGAAAAATCGTGAAATTAACAGCTTCCTTCAGACATAGCGAAAATCAAAATTAAAAGTGTCGCGCAGCTCCGCTCCTGACTTCATTCAGACACAACAGTAGCGAGATGCAGTCGCGCACTTGCATTGCATGATATTGTTAGAGATTAGCATCAACTTTCGCGGACAGATTGCGCCTGTCCGACCCTAGACTAGTCCGAGAATTAATACCGCCACGTAAACTTAAAATGCCGTAATCAAAATGAGATTACCCGTAGAGCTTCAGCTACGTGCTCTTGCAAATGTATCGTAGACAGCACACAGCAAACAAAAAGTGCGTAATTGAGCTGATGAACCTACACCTTCTGCCACTCCGTGTTAAAAAAGTTCGTAGAGTCAAAACCGTTAAAAAAGTCCGCTTTCGAAAGTGCGCTGCTTTATTCCGTCCACCCGTGCGGATACTGATTGTGGTGTTTCACTGACATCGATTGCCATCGGTCGTGTGAAGAAATGAATGTGCTCGGTGATTATATCGTTCAAGAAAAAACGATAATCGTGCATCTAGTTCTAGAGCACTATCGTACAACATCCTCGTCCACGGAACTGAAAAATAAGCTACGAAAAGTCCACCAATCGGTTTCGTTCACTATGACATGAAGCATGCGCGTCGGCTATCTTCGTGTTTCTGCTTCCGTTGAAAAAACTCGTCTGGGAATCATCGTCTTGTGCTGTTAGAAACCAACATCCAAAATAAATTATCCTCAGGGAACAAACCCGATACGATTCCCCAACACTCCCTCAAAGCTTGAATTTTGAATTTCTTCACACATCAGTAGCTACTATGTAGCCTTCCACCTTTTATTTGACCGGATTTTTTTAAAACACATCCAGCACAAGTAACTAGAACAAAACTTTCCACACCATGGTGCTCCCGAAGGCGAAGGCCCGGGTAAACGTCGGGCCGCAGCTGGAGAAGCTGGTCCGAACGCACGGCGAGATTGCCCAGGCGAAGGAGGCTTACCACGCGAGGCGAGCGGCGGCCAAGGAGGAGAAGAAGTGGGAGCCCCCGGAGTACAACCTGTCGGAGGACAAACAGGAGCGATTTGGGAAGTGCTTTGAGCTCTGGTGTGATCCAGGGCACCACGACCTGACTCGGAAATCCGCGATGAAGCTTTTTAAGGATGCGGGCATTTGCGGACCAGACAAGAGTCAAGTGCCATCCGTGACGGTCGATCTGCTCTTCGAGAAGCACAAGCAACCAAGGAACAGGAAGATCACCTTTGAGGAGTTCGTGTACATGGTGCTCGAGATGTCGGGTAAGGTCGACGTGGAAATGGAAACATTAGTGGGACACATTCTGGATCAAGTCGGAGAGGGGCCGGATTTTCACAACGTGTCTGTGCAGCCCGGATTGGCGCGGTCGACGGCAGAGGGAGGTACTTAAAACAATTTGTTCATAACGACAGAAGAACCTGCAGATGCATTTCCAATATTGTATGTATGAATCGGTTGCTCTGCCATGCTGCATATGCATAGTGATGTGAATGAGTTCGTAAATCGTGCTCTATTTCATCTCGTTGAGTCATTTTTATCACAAAAATCTACAGATCTCACCGGCCCGGAGAAGTTTTTCTACGACAAGGCAACCTTCACGGGTAGTCACACCAAGGGCGGTCCACGAGCGATCGACTCAACGGACGGCTACCTCCACGGATTCCAGGCGCTGATCCACCGTGAGCACATTCAGAATGACAGCGTACAGAGGAAAAAGGCGGTCGAGGCCTTTGATCCCAAGGCGTCCACCAAGAAGCCACGCAGCCTCGCGAGCCGAGGGCCCGAGCGGTTTGCGGACCCGAGCACGTTTACCGGAACGCACAAACAGGGCGGCCCGAAGGCGGTAGATGGAAAGGCACTCAAGTACCGACCACTTCCACGACACGAGCCTAAACCACCAGAAGTCAAGAGAAGTATAAAAAAATCTCTTCGAACTCGTACTCGATCTCGAACACTTAGGCTAAGTTTCCCTTGTGCACCAAAAAACTTTTTCGAATCTTGAAACTTCATCTTAAGAACTTTTTCGAATCTCGATTTTGTCCGTAGAAGTACTTAAGTGAATCCCGCTAGTACGAAGGGACCACCAACTTTGTCAACATGTTCTCAAAACTTCTAACAGTGACCGACCCCGGACGCGGTCCAGAGCGATTCTATTATGACAAGGGCACCTTCACTGGTGCGCACCGACACGGCGGGCCAGACGCGACGTACCGCACTGCGGGCGGGTACCACGATTTCAGCAAACTGATTCACCGAGACCACGTGCAGGACGACCACCACCACCGAAGAAAGTCGGGTGACGAGGATTCTTGTGGTGGAGTTCAAAGCGCACCACCACTGGTCTCCGTGGACTCCTCGCAGGCGACCGTCGATCCGGCGAGCGGTGGAGCTCGCGGGTCCACACGAGGCTCCCAACTCGGATCTCGTAGCGGTTCGATGAGCTTCCAGCCGAAGTCGCGGGTTTCCAGCTGAAATTTATTGCTGTTGTAATACTTCCACATCCGAAAGCGACAGCGATAGAAGATGAATTCCGTCAAATCCGAGATGTAGTTGAAACTCGCTTTATTTTCGGTGGGTGCGGTATAACCCCATGCCGAAAAAAGCTAGTTCTCGCTATTGCTTGTTTCTTGACATTGGTTGCACAGAGCTGTATCGTAGAGATTGAATGGAAATACGCATACTGGTATAGTAGCTCACCTGTTTTCATTTGTCATTTGCGTCCCTTCTTTTTGTACATTAACGTTATTAACCTCTTTTTGTTTCGGTTTTTTCAAAGTCCGTTTCTTTTGTGTATCTAAATCTGTATCTTATCGGCGTGAACAAAAGTGTACCTGCCTTGTCCCCTCATATGAGCGAAGCTACCTCGTAGTCTTCGAGCTGCGGTATACTGCGCATTTCCCTGTACTTAGCTTTGCTTAAAACGTAGCTGAATTGCGAACAAACGTTGGAGTCGACCTTTTTGAGCCCTTTACGCAAATCACGCACTCGGCAACCGTGACCGCCCGTGGAAGCAGCGTCCACATTTGACAGCAACACGTGTCGCCGCTGTTTTGGTGTGAAGTGTGAGATTGTGCTGACCCTGACGCAGTACAACTTTAGAATTCGTCCGCGCATTCTTGTTGTGAACCATCGGGTTAGTCAAAGTATATCGCCACGTCGGTTTCGTGAGCAGCATCTATCTCGGTACTGTATCGTAAGCAGAGACATTGTTTCGGTTTTCCGTTATTCTACAGAATTATCCATCGGTTTCTTGCCGTCGTTGGCTTCCAGCACATGCGTCTGATCGGTGAAAGGAAGAGCCTAGTAGCCCTGAAATCGGTTCTCCTGTGTGCTTTCAGCGCTTGTCGTTCGTTTCATCACGGTTGTCAACGTTCATCTTCCCTCGAGTAAAACACACAGGCTTTTGCCGCCCCCACAAGCAATTTCCCCTTATATATTCCCCCTTATGTCTATTACTATTTCACAGTAGCATCCATGTTGAACAATTCCTCTTGATCTTTGTCTTTGACTTCATAAAAATCCACGTTCACTTTTCCAAATCCATCTCTTCCTTTTTGACAAAGGTCAACAGCCAAAATGGCTTCTCATATGCTCCCCCTCGCTGGCCCGCGCTCGTCCGGCACAGGGCAATATGTGCCCGGGGCGGACGACCTGCATCAACTTCTCAACGAGAACAACCGGCGGACGACCGGGTACGCGGGGTCTCGCAAGACGACGCAAGCGTCCATACAGTCCATGCAAACGGATGTCGTACCCACGGGGCGCAACGTCTTCTCCCCTATGAGCATGGAGGATCACAAAGTTGTGTCCGTTCCGGGGGGCTTTGTGCTCGCTTCCACGGACGGGCGGAAGACCAAAGCGCACGTGGACGAATACAAAGCGCGGTACCAAAACCAACCGCCGTCGGTGAAATCGTCACGAGCCACAGCGAACCAGCTGACGGTGTCAGATCGCATTGGTTCCGGATCGGTGAAGTTTCAGCCCCAGCAGCCGGTGGACCCGGAGACGGCGGCGCTAGTGGAGACATTGCGGCAAATGCAGGACAACACGTTCCAAGACGTTTTGGCGCACACGCCCAACCCACCCCAGTGGAACAGCACTCCGGGGAGTGGTCCGCGAGGCTCGCAAGTAGGCGGACAACAACAAACTGGGCCGCGTACTAGCTCCATCCAAAAACCGCGGTACCAAGACACGCGAGACGCTTTTCAGGCGGAGTACGGCGTCAAGAATGCCTTGCCCCCGCAGGCAAATCAGGGGCCGAAGAAAAAGGTGTCTACGGCGCTCAAAAAGGTGAATTATGTGAAGAGTCACATCGCGAATATCGACAAGCAGGTTCGCTCGTACGCCATTGACAGAAGTCCGAGCGCGGGGAAGTTGATCCCAAAAAACGCGATGGACGACCAGAAAATAGAGGCCGTCGCGGTCCGGAAGCCCGGGGCCCCTGGGGACGCGCCGCGAAAGAGCGTGGTGGAGGAGGTGCGGAAGAGCATGTCGTCGCGCGCCAGCTCCGCTCCGCCACCGGGGTCGATTTTGCGGGTGCCAGTGGTCTTGACCAGACCCTCGCAAGTTCGCGCTAGTCGGACTTCGCAAGCGGAGAAGAGCACCCTGTTCACGGACAAATACGCAGCGCAAGTGCTGAACAAGCCGAAAACGGAAGAGGCGAGAATGCTGCAGAACGCCGCTATTCTGGAAGAATTGGAAGCCCAGCACGGTTACATTCCACCCCACGCAAGAAACTTGATTCTGCACGAAAATACGCCCGAGGTCCAGACGAATCTGGACCAAATTCTGCAGCAACCCCCGCAAGTCAGCCGCAAGACTAGGCTGGAATTCCGTGAACCACCGGCGTACATCGCCGAGCAGCTTGGTTTGGGCGTTCCAGATCCTGAACGCATGGAGGGCTTGCGCTACCTGGCGGCCAAGCAGCAGGAGCAACGCGAAATCAACGCGCTGCAAAACTCGCTTCCGAAGGGCACGGACCTGCAGGCTTTATCCGTGCGGCAATCGGTGGTGCCGTCGCCGGTCCAGGCCCCGCAGCTGGTTCCCCCGGCGGCCGACAGCGATTTGCTGACCAACCCACGCGTGTCCGGCCTTCTGGGCGAGATGCGGGCGGCCGGAAACCTGAAGCCGTTCGACCCCAACGACCCGGCGAACAATTTGATCCAGATGCGGGTCAAGGTGGGACAGGACATGTCCTTCGGGCCCACGTACATTTCGTCGGCGGATGCTACCGTTGTTGATGATGTCAAGCCAGCATCGAGACCGCCGTCCAGCGAGCGGAAATCCGCGCGTTTTGGTCCGAAATCGGAGGGAGAATCCGTCCACAGAGAGTTCGATCCACTGGCGAGAACGCAATCGGTTGCGGGACAAGTGCGCGACATTCTCTACTCGCGCAGCAAAAGTCCACTTCCCCCCGCGGCTACAGCCGGGAGAGCTTCCAGCGCTGGCGGAAGGAGCGGCGCACCGCAGCTGGGCTATCCAGCAGGACAAGCGCGGGGTCGTAGTCGCGGACGCGCGGAGGGCAGCGCCGGCGGAGAAGATGGCCTGTCCCTCGAGGTCGGGGGCAGCGTTAGTCTCGGCGACCCTCCGCGGGCCCCCTTCGAGCTTGCCGACCTTCGGGGAGCCACCTTCGACCAGAACTACGATTTGGCGCCAAACGCCATGGGTTCACACCATCGCTCGTCGATCTTGCGGTCGAACTTCGAAACCGGACCTCCGGAACAGGAGTTCCAAGCCAACCGCGCACGGTCCCGGAGCTCGGGCGCCGAGACGCCGCGAGTCGACATCGAGGGCAACGTTATGGACCGCAAAGAGGCGGAGTTGGTGGACGACTTCCTCTCCCGCCCCCCCGCGTACTTCTGCATGCGCAACCGCATTCTGTACACCAACGTCCAGAAGCTCGCGGCAAACCGCTTTGCCGACCGGGCGCTGCTACCCAGAGCGGAGAGCGAGTTCCTGCAGCAATTGGACATGCTGAACGTACAGCTGGATCGCGACCGGGACGCGCGCCAGCGGTGGCAGGAGCAGGCGGACCTGGCCACGAAGGAGACCATGCAGCAAGCCGTCAACGACACCTCCCAGGTTCAGGCGAAATTGGAAATTTTGAATCGCGTGTCCGCCCTGTCCATGGAGGACACCAAGCAGCTGCGGGATTCGCTGCGCGAAAAAGAAGTGGCGGAGCAGGAGGAAGCGAGAGAAAAATCTAGGAAATCGAGTAAGCGGCAGCCGTCGGATCCGGGCAGAAGGTCCACGACGCAGATGACACAAGCAAGCAGGGCTACTGCAGCCTCTGCAGTCGTGGCCGCACCTGCTGGGGGAGGAGGTGGTGTGCCCGCGCAGGGGCAGGCACGGTCGGCCACCCAAGCGTCATCGGTTTCCGTAGAGGAGCGGAGCACGCAGCCCAAGAAGGGCATTGTCCAGCAGCGCCTAGAAGCGATGAAGTCCAAAAAGGAGGTCCAGCGCGCGGACATCGATCGCGGATACGCCTTGGTGGAAAGTCTGGTGGGTCCCCTGGCGGCAAGACCCTTTAACGACACGTACAGCAAAGCCAAGCCGAATCCAGTGCTGGCTGCTGCAACCACCAGCCAAAAACCTGCAACCGCCCCGTCGGTTCGTAGCGAGGGGTCGGCCCGATTGTCCGCCAGCGGCATCGTGGCCGGAGAGGATGAACACGACCAAGTGCTGAAGTCTAGATCGAAAAAGAAGAACCAGCGCGCGAAAGCAGAAGGCGAAGCGAGCAACTACGGGTACTACGATCCCTACGGGTACTACGGGGCCGGGTATTACGACAAGCACTGGGATTCCAACAAGCACTGGTCAGACCAGTACGACAACTACATTGCGGGCCCGGGCGCCGGGCATCGCGGCGCCGCACAGTGGGTGCCACCCCCGAAGGGCGGCCTCACCGCCTACGGCGGGGCGACGGGCACGTACAACGAAAGGAAGTTCGGCAAGCCGCTGTCAAAGCAGGAACTTGGACGAACTGACTTCCGGAAGGGGTACGACTGGCAGGCCGGCAGGGTGCACCCAGCGCTGGACGACCAGTTGCGCGGACCTCCACGCGCAATGGGCGCGCCACTCAAGTACTCAATCAAAACGTACAGGTAAAATCGTGTTTCGAAGTAGTGCGCCCGAAGAAGAGCGTTGTTGAGGAGTTTTTTCCAGAGAAGATTTGAAGATACGTTCACACATTCACACTAAAAACATACAAAAAAAATTCCAAATTATACCACTATATCAGTTTTCATACTTTTACGAAGCAACATCAACGAGGCGTAGCCCCGCGATAAGAAGTATCGCATAGCATAGAAGACCGCGACCACCGAGTGGCCATACAGTAGAGGTTGGGTTTGCCTCCCATCATAATTTTCGATATCAGGTACAGGTCGTTCACAGTTTAAAATTCATAATTAACATCACACTTTTTTTTTCAAGCGTCAAATTACATCAAGCGTTTTCCTATCTCCCATACAGTAGAGGCGAGAATCGATTTTCGTTTTCATTTTCTTTTCTGAGAAGTAGGAGACACGACCCATGCTACTTTACTCCCAAATCATTCAGAACCCGCGAAAAACCTCAAAGAATTTTTTACCGTAGACTAGAACTGTAGCTAGAAAAAAAAACACGCCCGGCAGATTTATTGTCGTGCGTGGTGCTCGCGATGCAGCTCTGCGTGTTCCACCAACTTGCCTTATGCTACAGTCAAAGATCCAACATCGTCCTTGTCGTGTGTTGGCTTTGTCATTTTTGGTTCTCGCAGCCAAGGCGAGATTTTCCTTTTCAGATTCAACGAATCCCATTTCGGCTTGAACAGGTCAAGAATACGGCATGCAGCTCCGTGTGGGTCCTGGTTGCTAGGTAGTCGGTGGCTCGTCAGGTCCAGAAAACGGTAAGTGTCGTTGAAAAAAAGTAGAGGCCACAACTCGCACAGTCAGCTGCGATATCGCGCATCGCCTCATCGGTCAAACACTCGATCCACTCTTGAGATCCGAGAAGTAAGAACAGAAATGGCATCGATCCGCAGCTAGGTTTTTGCTCGTGGAAAGTTGTCTTCCAGTTTGAAACTTCTTTTTGTGGTGCTTGTCGTCGTAACCACGGCGCGTTCTCCTCTATCCCCAGGGAGACACGACCGCGCTTTGTGCGCTTGGAGACGAAATGGGGAAGCTTGCGTGCGATGTGGTGCTGATCGCTCTGGCGGTATCGGTGCTGCTGGACCTGCTAGCGGTCTTTTTGCCATGGGGCAGCGTCACCAGCATCAACTTCGGCGTAAGTCACGCCAAGTACTACCTGTGGTACATCATCGTGGAGCCGAAAATCGAGCTGATGCAAAAACTGCGTAACTTTTTTACTTTTTCATTGCTGCGCTTCTTGATTTGAGTAAGAAGGTAATTTCGAAACGACTTTCATCGGTCACTCATCGTCCCAGATAAAGTGCGACACAAACAAATCAGAATCCAACGGTATTTTCTCCGGAAAGCAGATTACCTGCCCGTGGGAAACGAACACACAGTATTGCTACAAGATTTCCACTCTTGATGCCTTCACCGATGCGACGAGCTGGCAGGCCTTCGAAAATTTTGCTTCTCTGAACGGGCCGACAGCTGGGGCGACGAATATGGGGGCGGCGTTTTACGGTAGGCGCAGTGCTGCTTGTTTGCGTGCGTAGTTCTCGGAGTCATCGTATTGTTCTTTCGAAAAAACTTTAAAATCAAAAACAGGCGGGGCGCTGACGTTGCTGATGTTGATTGGGACCATGGTACTCCTGGTCATGTCGGGCTGCTACTTGTTTCAGTACTGCTACTCTTTGAAGCCAGAAAACAGGGGGAAGAAGAAATGGAGAAGGTATATCAAGCATTTGGTCGTGCTGAAGGTGCTTTCTTTCATTGTGAACAAAAAATCATGGTTGAAGTCACTGTGCCACCTGAGACCGCGCACCACTCTCCTTCTAAAATAACATACAACAAAATCAACTACCGCAACAGGCTCGCACAGATCCTGCTCTCTTTTGCGATCGTTTCGAACTTTTTCCTCCTTGTCACGTGGCAAGTGACGCTGTTCATCATGAATCGAGACGTCGGGCTTCTTGTCTTCTCTAAGGGTGACCCAACGCCAGCGCACGGCTGGATTTTGTCGCTTTTCAACCTGTTCGTATTACTGGGCGTTCTGCTGTCCTACAGAACCTGGAGATCACCCTCTGCAGAAGCGGCACAAGTAGCGGAGAAGCTGAAGAAACGTACAACTTAATATTTCTTGGACGAATTTTTGCTTCGTAATCGTATCCGTTCTGGTATGAAACGCTCAGCCATGAGTAGAATTTCGATTTACCAGAAATAGAGCTTTGGTGCTAAAATTCAGGTCACAATTTCGATCAATACGTGGGAAACCGGGGTCGGCGAGATTCAGATGAGAAGTCATTTCTGTCCGATACATCTACCGACGCTTCATCGAATGCGTCGTCAGTGCGACGGGGAAAGAACACGAAGCACCAGTCTCGATTGGACCCTGCGGTATCTGTCAGTTGCGATTTATTTTCCGATCTTCTAGTTTGTTTCGTCCTCCTTTATCACTTAGCACGATGATGAAGATGGTGGTTATGTTTGTTTGATGTGCAGTTTCAGCCGCAACGTCGTACATCTTTAATAGCTGATGCATGCAAAGAAATTAATCCAGGTTCCTTCCTCCCCTCCGCAGGGATTTTTCCAGAGTTTCTACGGCTCCAATGCCACCGGGCGACAGCCGGCGGCTTACAACGATCACCACCCACCACCGCTGGTCCACAAGCCGGGATTCATGCGGGCGTACCCGACCGCAGGCGGCAAGAACGGCGGCACGCCATTAATGCCCCGAAGTCTGCTGGGAAACGGCAGCCGCATGCTCCCGCTGCCCTGTGCCGCGCCGCCACCACGGGGACGCAACATGCAACGAGGCTACCAAAATTGGCGGAACACTTATGAGCAGCGAAGACGCTTTTCTTCTTCGAGCACGCCGCGTTCTTCCAGCGAGTCCTCTGTTTGCTCGCCGTCGCGGTCACCGACGGCAAACCGACGATGGAGCAGGACCACGTTTTCATCTCCGTTCTGCAGTAGCAACTCGGAGAACCGCAGGTATCGAAGCAACAACATGGAACCATGGAAGCCGTACTTCAACGGAAACAACAACCCAAGCAACGGTCAGCGTGGCAACGTGCTACACAACAAACCACCAGGGCAGATGACCCACAACACTGATCCTCGCCACTCTTTTGGTGCCGCCACAACGCAACTGGGTTCGACCACATTTGATTCTTCCCGAAGCTCAAATACCTGGAGCAGAGAACCGCCCATGAGTGTGGCGTCATCGATGCATCCTCATTGACGTAGCGTCGAAATGTACAAGTGAACATTTGGATTTGGAGCAGTTGCTTTTCGACAAAATGAAAATGAATGTAGTCTACTTCTTTACTTACTAGGCAACTACAAGAAGCCCTGCACTAACAATAACAGTACTCCCTACCTGAAACTTTTCTATAGTTTCTCGTTTTGTACATGTACCCTCTGCATACAGCAGCGGCGTCTTGAAGCCTCCATTGACACCTCTTCAGCGGCATATCCGAGAGTGACGGATATAAGTCGAGAAGAAATGGCCGTGCAAACTAATAGCATGCGCCCTTTTAGTGGCTTCTTGTGCGAGGTTGGAGAATCTGGGACTTTTGACAATATACTCTAAATGGAAGCCCAAGTAAGATGGAAGAACTGAATCTCTATTGATTGCACCCTATAAGTTCTTAGGTGATTTCAAGTTTTGAAAGCCTTTTACACTTAAGGACTAGCACACTATGTTGATCGGGAACGAACTAAAACTAACAGTATTTCTTTGCAATGTCACTCCACTTGACTCTGTAGCCTTGAGAACACAGTTGAAAGCAGAAACGAATTTGTCTACTACTTCGAAACGAAAAGCGACCCCCTTTTTGAGAATATCTGTTGTAACCTTCTGTGGAAAGGCGCTTCTCGTCCTTCCGAGGGCAATCGGTTTTGTGAGTTCACTTGTTCCGTGCCAGCTCGAACGCGAAGAAGCGCGCTCGTGTCATGAGTATTCTAATAGAAAAACCAACCCGGCGGCGGCGCGTGTCCTGCGCCGCAAAATCGAAGGCGATTCGTGGCGGCGATACATAGCCGACCACAGGGGAAACGCCTCAAGCCCCTGGCGCTACCTGGCGCGGGGGGATGGGAGGTAGCCACCGCGGCGGCGACCAGACGCGGCGCCGCCGCAGGTCCTTGGGGGGGTCTTCCGCGCCGACAGGGAAAAGGCACAGGCCTGGGCCACGTGGTTCCAATGAAAATACCTGCGCGAGGGCGAGAGGCCGGAAGAGAGCGGAGCGGACACGCGGCCAGTGCAGGCAGTGGAAGCCCCCCCGCAGTGGAAGCGACGCATTAGACATTGTTGGTGCTTGTGTAACTTTTCGAACTCGCAGACGTAGACGCCAGCTCTGCCACCCTCGCAGCATTGGCTTTGCGCTGATTGTTCTGTCCTCGTCTGGTTTTCTTTCGAGTACTCGGCGCAACCTTTGTTTTGGAAAAGAAGTCCTGCTTCCCCCAGAGTAGGCCTTCGCGTTGTGGGCAGAGGAGACACATTGACAGGCTTGGATGAGCGAATAAGTTTAAGTACATAGGAGCCACATTGCAGAGCGGCGCTTCGCGAAATATGAATCAAGCAGCACTCTAATCCTCGGCTTGAAGATTCATGTGTTTGAGCTGGGTTGCCCTGCTTCTTACGTGAGATGGCAAGTCGCGGTCGTGGTGGATCCAAGGGGCGGCGCGGGTCGTCTCGTGCCTCATCGCTAGCGTCACTGGACATACCGACGCCCAACAAAACTATCGAGATTGCCAGTGGTGGCGTTAATCAGGTCTGATGACAAGACTCTAGTTATTGGTGTTCTAGCATCACGATAGATATCTTGCTTGTGATCATGATAGATATTCGAGATCCAAAAAGTTTTAGTTTGTTGATTTTTCCTTTTCGGTATGGAAAAGCAAAACGCAACCCAGGTGCCCGGCAATACTGACGAAGCCGATGGGTCTTCAGTGTTTCGCGGCGTTCTCGGCGCAGACGAACTGCGCGTCGGCACACTTCCCCGCGTTGGTCCATCGGTTAGCATGGAGCGCATGCTGCAGAAGGATTTGTACGAAAAGCTTGAAGAGAGCTGGGGCTCCAACTCCGGTCTTGGTCGCGATGTTGCAGGCGGGTCGCCTGAGAAGATGCGATCGCTGCACGTCGGCGGGACGTCGTCATCTCACAGCGTGATTCGCGAAGACCGACCGTTGATTCTACGAAAAAATTCGTTTGAGGCGGACATCGGGTCCCCTCTCGGGGACAACAATGACCGTTTTTTTGACGACAACGACTCCGACGGAGGCGGGGGCCATGCAGCCAACAAAAACGGGGCAGGCTTGCAACTGCAGCAGGACAGCGGGAGCAGCAGCGACGCCATGATCGCGGAAGTGCAGGTGGATGCGGAAGGGAACGAAGTTTCGCGAAAGCAAAAACGACCGCCGCAGATCATGATTCACGCGGTCGTGGAGGATGTGCTGAAGAGCCCCATGTTCCGCCGGATCCCGGGCGAGAACGGGCGGGAAGTGGTTGTCGTCGACGAGGAAGAGGCGGATCGGGTTGGCACGCTGCTGCTCTCCACCACAAACGCGGAGCGTTCGAAAAAGGAGAAATTCTTGTCTTCTTCGGGAAAAAAAGGCGACAATAATCCGCTGCAGAAGCACAAAAGCGAAGCTGGTTCCGGAAATAGTAAAAAAATCGCGCCGCCAAACTTGAGCATTGGAAAGCACAGCACCGTCCCCGCGAATACCCGCATGCAATACACTGCATCGTCCGACCTGTTCACAGACGCAACTACGAGCCTGACCGAGACGACAGACCTGCATTCGTCGAACAACGTCTCCGTAGTACCCCATCAGGGCAAGTACTGGAAGGACGATGCTTTTTTGCTATCGCAGATCAAGTCCATCGCTTCCGGCAGTCCCGTAAGTGGGCGGGCGAAAACATCGGCGCAATTCTTTACGCCGAATTCTGCCTCGCCGGCGAAATCACTGCGTCTCTCACCGATCGCGTACGCGGACGATGAGATGACTCCGTACAAGAAGATCGAAAAAAAGCGGACCCTGTACTCCCCGGCCCTGTCACCCTCCCGTCGTGGGGGTGAATCCATGCTGCTGCAGAGCCCGGGCTATCGCTCCATGGGCATGTTCCCGACCAACAACCGGGCCGGATTTCCATCGTACGTCTCGCCCGACAAGCGGCAAAACATCCTGCAAGGCCTGGAAGAGAAACGCCAGGAGCGCGAGGCGAAGACCATGGTGTCCACGGCACAGGAACGGAAAACGAGGAGACGAGTGGATAATATGGCGCAGTGTAAGCGGTTAGACATTAGTAAAAATTTCGTGCATTTTTTGTTCTTTTGCCGAGATTATTTTGTTGAAAATCATCATCGTGTGGACCAGCAAAGCAAACTGGCAAGTTCTACTGTCAATTTCAAAGTGTATTCAAATATGCTCAAAAGAGACTTCAAAGGACTCAAGTGAGAGCAAAACACAAACTTGTAAAACCGCTTTTATTGGGCGCGATTGCACTTTGGCATCGTATTTCAACGTGAATGTACACAAAGTTCTGTCCGCAATACATGTCAGAATCCATCCTCTCTGTCCACCGCCTAGTCGCCTGTAGAAATTTAGAAAATCGCGCTCTGTTATTGCTTTGTGAATGAAAAATATCTCAACGACATCTACATCCACCACCTGCACCACAGCTGTGTCGGTGTTCCAGCGCGTAGCGGATTACGATATCATTCCTGGATCGCCGCCGTCCACGATGCCGAATTTTCGCAAGAGCAGCAAAGATTTACCCGCCGCGCAGCTGTACGGCGAGAGCGTGAACCGCGAGCAGATAAATGCACGAGGGCAAATCACGCCGTGGTTTTCCCCGGAGGGACGGAAGATGCACAAGGACTTATCGCTTTCCTTTCTGCCGGATCGCGACTACGCCGACAAGACCGCGATCAAGAACGAAGCGCCGAAGAAGTTTTCGTTGTTATCCCAGCTGCGGCACGCCAAAGCGGCGAAGGGCAGCTTGATCAACGCGCAAACGGGGCACGAGACGCACGTGTCCGCGACGCCCGTCTTCCAGCAAATCGAGTACTTGCTCCGCGAGGTCTGCCAAACGGGCATCGGCGCTGCCAGCCCCAAACCCGGCGCGCGGGGGAGGACTCTGCAGCAAGCGCACTCTTTGCAGCAGGAGGCGGCTGAGAAGGCGTTTGTGCCCAGCTGTCTCCGTTTCTCCACCGCGAGGCGCGCGGCAGAGCTACCGACGCTGGAGCCGCCCGCCGAGGGGCGGATGATGTGCGCCGATCGAGCGAGTTACGACGGTCTGAACAAAGTGGTGTTGCGCGAGCGGGAACTCATGCTGTTGCGGAAAATCATGGCTCTGTACTCCTACTCCGTCGGCCGCGGCTACAGCTGCTGGGAGATGTACCTGACGCGCAGCTTGTGGGCCCGGTTCTGCGTGGACTGCGGACTTGTGCACCCGGTGTGGGCCCCGTTCCACTGGGTTCTGCAGGTGTTTGACCAGTACGCAACCCCAGTGCGGCAACACACGTTGCAGCTCGAGGCGACGAGTCTGAAATTGATCGAGCACGTGCCGCATGAGGAGCAGCACGTGCACTCCGGCGAGGAAGAGGAGGACAGCAAGCGGGAAAACAGTGTGGGGCGAAATGCTGGCGGCATTTTGCAGAAGCTGACGGACGACCGCACGAACAAGTCGCGACAAACCAGAAAAACCTCGAAAATCGCCGGTTTCAACAGTCCGGAGAAGTCGCTGGCCAAAGCTAGCTCTAAAGACAGTTGGAAACTGGAAGACTTGTCGCTGTCGCCAGGAAAAGATAGAGAAGGCGTAATGGGGAAAATGAAATCCTTCGGGGCCGCGGCCGTGAACAAGCGGAGTTCCGCCTCGGAACTGATGGTCAAGTCTGCGTCGGTACTGATGGGCAAGCAAAAATCTTCCGCGACAGCTGGTTCGGGTTCGTATCTCCCGACGCTTCTAAACCACGGCGAGTCAAAGGACCCGCCGAACCGGCCGATTTCGAAGCAGAAATCCATGAGCGCCGTGGATGTCGCTGCGGAACTGTTGAGGAAAGCCGAAGGCGGGCAGCAAGTCCACGAGCGACTGAAGGGGGGCCAGCAAGTGCAGGAGCGGGCCGCGGACAAGAACCCGCGGCCGTCGAACATCTACATGCGGTTGTTCTACAAGAAAAAGCGCGCGATCCAAGAGAAGCGAAAAAGGAAGGCGCTGGAGCGGGAAATGAAGCAGGAACGAAAAAAGCTGGAGTACCAAAAGAAGCAATTGCAAGCAGCGCTCCAGAATAACGGAAGCGATGCTTTGGCAGAAGAGATCGCGAAACTGAACATGCTGCTGGAGGGCAAGACACCGCAGCATTTTCCGATCGAAATGGAGTCCGACGCCAGCGACGACGACCTGAAGATGAGCGGTTTGTCGCTGTCCGGGCCGCAGGTGCTGCACTTCAAGGAGTTTGCGCGTGCGGCCATTCATGTGGCAAGGCAGTTCTACCCGACGCGATCGGACTTGCAGAGTTCGTTTTTCGATTTGGAAGAAGAGGAGGGCAGCAGTGATGAGGAGCGCAGCCGACGGAACAGCAGTCTGGCACAAAGAACGAACTCGATCGCGACCAACAACGAGCGGCCGCCAACTTCCCACTCCACCGCGACGAGCTTGAATTTGTCGCAGAGCGTCTCGAGTACAGTAGGGGTCTTGCCCGCGTCCGGACCAAGGTTGCTGAATGTCGAGGACAAACTTCCGAGCAACAATTTGATTTCGAAGATTTTCTTTCTCGACGAGGTTGTGCGGGATGACGGACTGCAGATGTTGCTGCGCGGAACGGACTACAGCAAGGGTGGTCGCGTGGTTTCGCCGAGTAGACAAGACCACGAGCAGAAATTAAACCTTGCACTGGAGGAAAACAAGAAGAGTATGTGGCGGAACCGACGCGTACGCAACTGCTTCTTGGAACCCGAAATCATCCATTTGGTCTGCGCCTATCAGGAGCTGTTCCAAATCTTGTTCGAAGCCTACCGCGAGAATGCGGACGAGGGAGTGACGCTGGAGAGTTTCCTCCGCATGTGCGAAGACTTCGAACTCGTGCCTGCGTTTGGCTCCTTACATGCGTTTGAGTCCGCGTACAAGAATTCCGAGTGCGCCGAGGAGCCGGAAAGCCCGCGGAACGAAGTAACGCGGCAGCTGAAGGCGACGCCACCGATAACGCCAGAGGCGATCCCCAACAAGCTGACCAACTTCGTTGAGTGGAGCGCCAACAGCCAGAAGCTCGACCGGTTCACCGGCGACGCGCTGTGGACGGCGTTCTTCGGCAATCGCACGACTTTGGTCGATTTCGAGAAATTTGAGGCGGTCGTGGCGAACCCGGTACTGGAGCCGAAAATTTCAGCGAAGAAAGTCGTCGTGTTTTGGAAATCGTTGGTGTCCTTCAAGGTGAACCGGGAAATGGGGCCACCGGGGACGATTTTCGAAAAGGGCATGATTCTCCAACCTAGTACCGCGGAAAGGCGGGCGAGTCGGCCCAGTAGCAAGGAGGGCGGAACTAGCAGTCTGGTGTCCCGGGACGGCAGTACGGCGGCCCTAGACTCCACACCATCGCCAACACGACCGAAAAGGCGAGCGTCCGTCGCGGTAGACAGCGCGTTGCTCAAGGATCACGGAGCCAACGCGTCCCCGCCGATTGCGAACGTCAGCCGCGGACCCACGAGTCAAAGCGGCAGAAGGCCGTCGAAGCAGGAGCCAGCGGTGCCCGTCATGCCCGACGGTCACATTACCGAATTTCTCGAGAAAACCACTTTTTGTGCGGTTATGGACCCCCTGATTCGGGATTTCAAGGTGCGAAATCCGACATTCTTCGCTGACCGGAAGGGAAGCAAGCATGGTAGATCTGATTTCTTCGAAGTATGTGAATGCGTAAGTATGTCAATAGGCGAGGTTGATGAATCCATTTTCTTCGCCGCATCGACACAAGCTTTTGATGCTGATTTTGCGAAGCCACGTGTTTCTTTTCCGTTTTCAGGTTCAAGCGGTCCACCGAGCAAGGACAAAGCGACGAAACGGCGAGCGTCGACCGGCGCGATGCCGTCGGCCAGTCCCGGTGGCCGTCGGGGTTCCACCGGCGACGTTTTTTCCCCGCAGCAGAAGCGCGGCAGCATCGGTGGTCCCGGTGCGGCGGCAGCGGTCGAGCAGAGTCGTTCAGTTGCTGCTGGACGGCGCCAGAGTGTGGATCTTTCGTCGCAGCGCATGAGCATCGGCAGCTTGGTGAAAACCATCGGGCACGTGCAGCACGCTCGGAGCAGCTTCCGGCAGTCCATCGGGTCGCGCGGCCACAGCATGCACCAGCCCGACAGCGATTTGGAAAGCAGCTCCGACGACGAGGCGTACGAGGACCCGCCAGACATGAGTTTTTACGGCACAAACACCTTTTCATCATCCACGAATGACACCAGCAATCCACCGCCAGCCGCACCCAACACCCTTATCGGCACGAGTGGCCAGCCGCTGCTCGACAAGACCGATCCGGAAGTTTTCCGCTCCTTTCTGAAAAAACGGTTCATCACACTGTCCCGGGCCTGGAACTTCATGTGCGGAAGGAACCAGGGCCGGTCCTTCACAAACTGGGCCGAGGCGCGGAACGTCGCGGTGCAGCTCGGCGGGGGGCAGCAGTGCAGAACGGACAACGGCCGGACCTTCAGCTACGAGGAGTTTGAGGACATTTTGATGACCCGCCTGCGGTACACACAGGAAAAGAAAATCGCCGAGCGATTGTTCACCAATCTAGACGACGACGACAGCCGGTCTATCAGCATAGACGAAGTCCGGCCGGACCGGAAAACGAACTTCTTCCTTGCTGCCTTTATCGAGTCGATTTTGAAGCCGGTTTTCGCGTCTTTGATCTACAGCGGGCACCCAATCCTGACGGGCGGTATGACCTACATGAAATTTCTCCTGTTCCTGACGCACTTGAAAAGAACCGTGGCGAAGAAAGCGCAAGAACTCACGCCCGCCAACATCAAGCAGCTCACGTCGGAAATTGTGTCTCCTGCGTTCGAGCCCGCGTCGTCGGATTCCGAGCCCAGCGAAGTAGAGCCATTGATGGACAACTCCGAGGAGGACGGTACTGGAGAGAATTTCTACACGCCGAAAAAATGGTCAAGGTCGCAGAGGAAAATCACGGACAAGTACTTCAGGCGAGACTTGGAATTCCGAAAGTGGGCAACAGACAAGGAGAAATTGCACTCGATGAATAAGGTATGGGAACTCTTACTTTTGGGTTAGATCGTGGGATGGCCTTTATTCTCCAATGACACAGACACTGTATCTGTGTCTGTAATGACTGTACGTGTAGATTTACGTCCGCATGGGCAGCACTAACATTACATCGCCTCGCATTGTCTGTACGAATTTCGCTTACGAGGTAACCCGTGCGCAATCTTCTGCCGCGAAGTTGAACTTATTCAACTGGGTCGACCCGCCGATGGCCGACGCACGGTTGAATCCCGACCCAGTCAACAACGCGCGGCGCCCAACGGTCCCTAGCGGGAATAGCAGCTTCAAGGCGGCCGCCCCGGAACTAGTGGTGCCGGACGTGGAGGAGCGCAGTTTAGAAATCAAGAACAAGATCTGTTCCTTCTGCAACTGCAAATTGTCCAAGGCCGGGTGGGGCAGTGCCTTCTGCTTGTGTTGCAGTTCCACAACGGAAGCCATTGCGAAAAATGTGTACCCGCTTTTGCCACTGTTCCGCAGCAACTGCACCGCAAGTCCTTTCTTCACGGAACAAATCGTCCCGCAGCGCGCGGACGTGTGGCGATCGCAGAGTGTCGCGCGACCGAGGGCAGGGTGACGCGCGTGTACATCTGTGTACATGAACATGATGCCAATTTTGAAATGCAAATATAAACTACATTTCGTCATCGTGAACAAAAAGTACATTAGCTAGTGAGCAATTCGATGTAGAAATTTACAAATTTGATTTCGGGTTGCATCCGATTCCGAGTCCATCCATGTTTTTCGGAGTGTCCAGGTAGCAGCTACGAATACGGTTTAGAAGTTGCAAAATCAATGACTTTGAGCCAATGTGTGTACAATAGCGAGCGACAAAGAACGCCTTCGCAGAAAAGTTGCTTTGTTTGATTATGACTGCTTCTATCATCGAGTTAGATTTACCCTGTGTGACGAGGACATAGAAAGTGAAAATTAGTGACCGTTTGTATTACATTCAAGCAGATTTTTAGACTGTACGATGAGCATCACTGATTTGAGAGAGCACAACGACGTTTGCTGCCATTTTTTTTTTCTTGCTGCATAAGCCGACGTGTACACTGCATATGTACAATGAGATAAGTATCGAGAAAAATCTTGTTTGTGCATCCCAATTATCCGTGACTCAGCTCCAGACTTAAACTGTGGATGGCCATTCTCCAAATGCGGTGTGCGAGTTGCTCACGAGATTCTCATCTTTTCCCTTGCTCGCCATGTAAGCATCAAGTTTGTCGTTGGTGGTCGCGAGGTCCCGTAGTTTGGTTCAAACTGTCTGTGTCTTTTTTTGTGCGCATAATGCCAACGCAACCCATGATGAAGATGTGAGTTTCGCACACTCTGTGCTTTTTTTCCAATCTTCGGTTTCCGAAAATCGTTGTTATCGCTTTTCGTGCCTTTGTTCTGTTTTTCTTTCGTGTCTTGTATCACGATGTCGGTTTTTTTCATCAGCAACTGGCCTGCCTCAGAGAAAAAAATCGTAATTGCCCGACCGGTACGGGTGCTATTGTTTTACTCGTTTTACCTTTTTTTTGGGGGCATGGGGTCCAGTCTAATCTTACGCCATCGCCTTTGGCCTTGAGTTGATGCAAACAGGGGCGTAAGCGTAGCTAAATGTAAATTGCGCGGTTTATAAAAAAAACGTAGCTGCTCCTTCACCTTCTGCTATCGATTCTACTGAGTTTTATTTGCAGTTTCACATACCGAAGTCGCTCCCTCACCCTGGAAGTATAGTCTCTTCTAGATCGATTTTGTATATTATACTTGAAAACGAAAATACCTTTTCGTAAACGTAGAGCATAACATAGTGTAAAGGATTGACCAGAAACATAGACCATTACTACTTACATCACAATAGACCGACTTAGAATCTTCACAGTCATGGGACAGACCATCGCGCTGCCAGATTGGAGCGCGCTCGAGGCCGGTACTACCGTCGATGAGGAGGTGGAGCTGCAACGCGAGGTCCCGAGCTCGAGCCCGGTTGAGATCAACGCTACCGTCGACGAGGAGGAGCTCCGACGGCGCCGCGCAGCCAAGGAACAGTTTTCTCCGCTCGAAGACTTTCTAGCGCGGTTTGAAGAAAACGCAGTTGTTCACCTCCTGGGGTTTCTCGATCAGCACGGCGTACACGCGTTGTCGAATTGTTCGTCGAAAACGCGAGACGCGCTGGTGGAAGAAGGAAAATTACGCGTCGTCACGGTTGTTATCCAGTACACCTCCACTGATGCGTACGAAGAACAGTGGCAGTACAGAGGTGTACCTCCGTTCTCCCAGTGGATGGGCGATTTTCGTTTAGTGTCTGGTGGGACGGAACGGGAGCTGCAGCCAAGTTCAAGCGCGAACACCTCGTCCCAGTGTCCGCCGCCGACTCCAAACCAGCTGCGCTCAGCCTTGAGTACGCAATGGGTTCGACGTGTTGTCCTGCAGCACGGAGAGACATTTTTGGACAACATTGCAGACCACGCGGAAAAGAGACTGCACGTCCGGGTTGATAGTTTTGTCGGCGAGGTGGTCAAGTTTTTGCGCACGCCCGGCTTAACCCTGACCGAGTTTCGTTTTGATGTTCCTAACGACATTGTTCTGCCGCACCGGTATTGGACGACAGGGCTGCTCGACAAGGACCCAAACCATTCGTTAAACGCATCAACAAATTGTGTCGAGATGATGCACCTTGTGTGTAAAGCGATGCGCATGCGAACGGATGACGACTTCGAGCCGCGGGATCTCTTTCTTCCGGTCTCCTTCGCAACTTTGGACATTGACTGGGGTCCGGACCCGCCACCTATCCGTGTTCCCCTACGGAAGCTGCACTTCGTTGGAGGAAGAGTCGGAATAGAACTCATCGACGGAATTCAGGTCGGCTGCTTGTTGCATCAGCTGGTTACCGGCGAGGCGAATGTGCTGTACCTCTTGCAAGAATTTTCTAAGCTGCCTGATCCTTCACCTGGCGCGACGCGAAATTTGCGCAGATACCCAATAAGTTGGTGGGGTGCAGAAGTTCCTGCTGATTTCGAAACTTGGATTTTGCGTCCGAGTTCTGTCGAGAAGCGCTTTGTGCGTCGAGGATACCCGAGAAACAAGCGCTATCGCACGATGGAGAGGTACCACACGACGGCAGTTGCCAGCACACGCAAGAAAAACGGAGCGGAGGAGCGGGTGAAGCCACGACTGAAGAGTTTTGCCTGTGCCTTTGCAGGTGTCTACCATCGGAGGCCTTCGGGTACGAGCCAGGATATGGCATTCCACATTCCATATACCGACGCTGAAAAGGAAAAGCATAACGCGGATTTTGCTTGTCATACGGACGCACAGTGTCTAATGTGTGACATCTGGAAGGAAGTTTTGACGCCCGATCTATTGAACCTCGAGTTGCATCACTTTGTGATCACGGACAAGTTTCTTCCCTTGAGTCATCACATCGATAGGACGCTATCATCGCATCCCGATTGGTGGAACCGAGGACTTTCGGCAAGATTTTGGTTCCACAATCACAATGCAATAAACTTACGTCACATGTCGCTGAACCACGTACCCCATACGTGTTTTTGTGATATTTTCTCCGCTGTTACATCACTCAAGATTGTCGCGTACGACTACCCGCGTTGTCGTCCTGCGTTCGCAGGCGCGAATCATTTACATTTTAGTCGTTTACAGTACGGACTGCTTCCGCGTTGCGGGCATTCCGAGTACGAGCCAGCTTCTGTCGTGGATGAACTAGTTATGCGGAATGGCATTCCTTTCTATTTCGAGGGTCTTCCCTCGTTTCGGGAATTTCTCATGAACTTCCCCTTTCGTCAGAAGAACATAGATTTTCGGTTTTCCGAAGAAGTAATTTTGACTGATAACCAAACCGAGGATGTCGTATTCGCTTTCTACGCTGGAAAATTACTGAGTGAGTCACTGTCCTCTGATGCGCGGCGCAGATTCGAAACATCTTTGAATCGCGAAAAGATGTTTATGTTGGTGCATTCCTGTGCTTGTAGTCCCATTCGTGAGTACTGGAAATTAGCGTTGTAAAGCAGTTCCGACGCACACGCAATAAAGGCGGAGCTTCTGCTCAGATTCGTTTTCTTCCTATCGTGTATTCCTAGAACAACACAAAATAGAAACTCAGACTACATACAAAAGTAGATCGAAATGTGATAAGGAAAAGCAAATCGATAAACACGCTCTTCAAATCGTACCACTTCACCGCAGGCATTATTTTTGAAAGTTTTTGAGCAGCACAAGCACTGAACTTACTAGAGTTTTCCTATCACTTCGTATAGCCAAGGGCCCGCTGCGATGGAAGAGAAAGTGGACGGACAATTCGCACGTTTTCAGACTTCCAATCAAGGATCAAGTCTGGGATCTCTTTGCCTGTCATCAAGGCTTTCTCCGACAGGGAAGAATTTGTTGTGCTGTGGATATACATCAATGTTGAATGTATTGGGACGGCACTGCAGCTCGGGCTCGGGGTGCATGGCGGGAGGCGTGTCTTCATTTTTCTTTCCCGAGTTTCAGTAGAGAGAGAGAATGAAAATTCGGCAACATCATATGAGTGTCTAGTGCGGGTGTGATCTGAAGCAGAAGGAGAAGCGAGAGTGGACAACGGGCGGTGATTGGGAAGAAAGAGACAGAGAGGCACAAGTACGCAAATTGAGTGTGGTATTTAGATTTGCTTTTGCTTCCAGGGAAAGGAAGAACAGAGAAAGAGAACGACCTTTCCAAAGATGGGCGACTCGTACCTTTGTGCCCTACGGTCCGTGACGACCCTGTACGAGCTGGAAGAGCGGCAGACGACGATTGGCAGAGACCCGAACAACGACCTCGTGTTGGACTGCTCAAAAGGAATCTCCAGATTCCATGCCCGCTTGGAATGTAAGTACGCAGTTGCGATATATCCAATTTTCACGCTATGATGCGAGTGCTTGAGGTTAAGCACAGGCAGCTGTACACGTACTCACTTGCGATAAATTCCGATATAAACAGGTCACCAGCAGCCGAACGGGCGGGGTATGTGCTTCGAGCTGGTAGACCTGAATTCGGCAAATGGCACGTTCGTCAACGGCGAGCGTCTTTATCCAAATGACCCCCATCCGCTAGCGCACGGGGATCTCATCTTCTTTTCGGCGTATTCCAAGAATTGCATGCGGTTTGAGGTATTCGGGATGCGGGACCTCGGACATCTGGATGCCAACGTAAATTCCGCGCCCGCGCGCGAGCAGATGATCGGTGGGGACGCCGCCGGGTTGCGCAGCGTGTCTCCCGCGGCCGTCCGGACGCCCGTGACCTACCCGGCAACCGGGGCAGCCTACGGTGGCGCAGGTGCGGCACCCGGAAGAGAGGATACTCCAACGAGGTTTGGCTCGGCCGCAACCAATCGAAGCGTCTCCTCGCAGCCTGGTAGGAGGCATAGTTTGTATGTAGTTGTAGAGGTGCTGTCGCAGTAGAAATGAAGCAGTTCTTGGCTGTTTGAAAGGGGTTGTTTTGAGACCCGATTTTGTGCAAAAACGATCCACAGGACCGGATCCACGTTTTTCGTATCCAACGCGTGGAGGCAGCATCAAGTGCAGACCACTGCAGGAGGTGTTGCCGTCGAAGCAGGGAGACGTTTCTGATTCGCCGTCACGCAAGCGCTTTCGGGAGCTGAACGAGCGGGAATCGCGCCAGCTGGAAAACTCCTGGGACGGAAAAGGGGAGAGTATTTTTTTCGAGCTGCGGTGTGTACCGTGGTCATTCTTGGAGTTGATGCGAAATGATCGATGAAGCGAAAATCGAACTCTTTTAAACAAAACAAATGGACACGCAAAAAACAACAAAGTTGCGGAGCTGCGCCCCAGCAAGCTTCCGGGCGACCAGTTGCGCCATTCCCGCATCGGTATGAACCCGGAGTTGAAGAGCCAGTTGCAGGACCTGGAGTCCAGGATCGACGCCATGCAGCAGCAGCAGCTGCGCGAGCAGTTGGAGCGGGAGAAGCAAAAGGCGCTGAAGGCCGCGGACCCGGCGTCGCTTTGGCAGAAGCAGCTCCCCTTATCCTCCGCGGCACTGGAACAGGCGTGCCAGATCCTGGGCGATTTGCTGCAGGAGGAGCCGACGAGAAAACCAGACTCGCCGATCGCCGAGGACGTCGTGATGGAAGCCCGCGGGGATTTGCAAGCGCCGAAGGTTTTTGAAGAGCCACTACCGCAACGCCTGCTCCGCCTAGCCACCGAGCTCGAGAAGCGGTACCAAGTGTCGGAGTTGCTCGGACAGGAGGAAACCCTCGCACTCCAGCAGAGCAAGCGGAACAAAAGGCGCCGAGCGAACAAACGGGGAAACAACAAAACTTCTGGCCAAGCCCGCACAGGTGGTTTCATCGTCGGAAATAAAGAAGCGCCAAAGCAGACGATTGGCGGGGACGAAAAGCGGTATTACGTGACGCAAAACCAGCGGCCGCTGACGAAGGACGAGCAGCTGTTTCTGGAGCAAACGGTGCAAAATCAGGAGGAGGAACTTGGCGAGCTGCGCGAACAGCTGGCCACTTTCCTCAAGTACCTCCCCGACGGCTTCGCGTCGCACGTGGACCCGAGCACGCTTCGACAGTGGCGCGACCGGCTCGCGCTGACGCCGCGGCTAACCATCGAGGAAAGCTCGCAGTTTCTCCTGAAGATCCTCGATGCCGAGCGCCTGTGCGCCGAGTACGGCCGCCGGCAAGAGACCGCGGAGCGTCGGTACGCGAACCTGCAGGAACAGGTGCGGAATCTGAAGCAGCAGACGGCGCAATACGAAGACCAGGTGTGGCGGGCGAGGAGGCAAAACGCGGAAAAGTGCCCAGAGATGGTCAGGATACGGCAAGAACGGCACTTGAGACGAAGGAAGAAAGTCGCAGCAGGGGCAGCCTCGAGAGCAGCAGCTGGAGCGGTAGCTGCAGTGCCCACAGGCGTCGAGGGGCAAGAAACCGCTCCAACCCAACCAGAACAAGCAGACCCGACCGGCGCTGCCGCGGAGGCGGTGCAGCAACTTGACCAGCTGGAGAGCGAGGTGCAGAGCAACATGCTGAAGCTGGCGGAACAGGAGCAAACGAAGGACGCTTTGTCAGACGAACTCGATGCGCACATCTCCCGCCGTGAGGCGCTGGAGGCGGTGGCAAATGAGAAGCAGGACGCAATCCTGGAAAAGTTGAAGAGCATGTCCACAGTCGACCGGGTTCTGAACCTGGAGAAGCTGTGCGAGTACCTCGAGTGGGAGCTTTTACGCTGCAGGAGACCCGAGGTCCACAGTCTGGTGATTCGGTCCTCCCTTCCCGAGCCCCCGTCGACGGTACTGAGCGGCGGTGACGCGTACGTCTTAACGCAGCAGTACGAGCAGCGCGAGGCGGCGACGAGTCTGCCGAACGTCCGCGCGCTCCTCGAAGAAGTGCTCGCCGAGATGCAGGAGGACCAAGAAAATCTGCTGAAAAACGCCGTGGACACAGCGCAACAGGCGGCGGTCATGTCATCCTCTTCTCGCCAGGCAGCCAGCGGTAGTAAAACGAACGAGGCGACGAGACCACGCGACCAAGAACGAGAGGACCAATCGCGGACTAACTCCAAAGAGGAGCAGCACTACCCGGAGCGATCGCGAGGCAACCCACGAGGCGGTAGCAACGGCGCGCACCGCGGTGTCCAGCTCTACGGTCCCGTGTCTCGGCAGCAGCGCGGACCACTTGAGTATGATGCCGACGCGGGCATGTGGGTGGAGCCGAGGCCCCAGCGCGGCCGTGAGAAGAGGCCGCTTTCGCAGGCGGAGCGGTACCGCAGTCTGTCGAATCCGAGGTACGCGTCGCAGTTGCCCGACGACGGCTACGTGCCGGCCTCGTCGTCGACGCCACGAGCGGTTCCGGGGGAAAATTCATACGGCAAATCCCCCCGCGGGCGTGCTCCGGTCGCACCACCTATTGGTGTGCCGGCAAATCAGAAACGGGTGGTAGAGGAGCTAAACGAGCTGGAGAAGGGCTTTCGAGAAGACTGGCGACCGGTATTGCAAGAGGGGGACAGAAATACGGCTGCTGGAGGACAAGAACGGGGCCGAGACACTGCAACCGACAACGAGGACGAGGACCTAACAGGGCAAGAAGCGAATCCTTCAAACTACTGGAGTGCGCTCGAGGACTTGGAGGGCCGCAACCCGCGGAGCACCTTTCGCGAGCTGCAGAGCGGGGGTGTGCCGCCTAGGTTTCTGAAGAAGGCTGGGGCTGAGGACAAGGAGAATCAACAGCCCGCCTTTCCCGGTCCGCTCCGAGTGGACAAGCCTTTCGAGGCTGAATTGAAAATTCCCTCGGACGACGCCTTCGCAGGCAGAAGGATAGGGTTTTGATCTACCTACCTACCTAGCTACCTACCATCTAGGAGTTTGAACAGGTCAAGTTTGCGGCAAGCATACTAGCGCACTGCAACGTTGCCGTGGGAACTCATGAACTGCATATGTCGCACTCGATCGAAGTCGGGGCTTCGACTGAGGATGTTCTGCCTCTGCCGACCATAGTGCAGACTGATCGGATTCGCTGAAGAGGCTCCTCTCCAAAGATCAGGCGCAAGCGCCCCGGCATGATCAAGTTTCCTAGAGAGTTGGCTGCCACTATAGCGATCAAGATCCAAAGCTTTTACCCTTTTGGATCGCATTGATTCTCACAACACTTTTGCATCAACGGTCTACATGATCGACGATGTCAGGGTCTGGGCTACTTTCTCAAAGAAGTACCGATGTACAAAAAGAGATGCGTAGCAGCGGAGATAAAGTTGCCAGAAGATTGGCTTAGCGTATTTTCGAAAGCTGCTAGGGCGGATACGTTTCACTCGATACGAAGACGCCTCTTCGCCGAGCGTTAGTATTCGAAAAAGCACACACGTCCTATCTTCTGATACAGCATTCGTTCTACTACAACAACTTTCTTTCTAGTTCCAAAAAAACATGCATCCCTTGCAGAGAGCGCGACAGACGCTTTTGTTTTCGGAGTTTGTGGTTTCGTCCCCAAGTCGGCGCTCGAAGGCCGATGCCATCGATTGACGGGGGCCCGGGACGAGAAAAGAAAGATCATCCGCACATAGCCGAAAAATTTCTTTGCTGCGAGTGTTTACGTAGCTCTCTTGGGGAAAGACGTTGGGGAGCACGACCGGCATAGCGAGAAAGACTGCGAGACCACGAAACAGAAGCGGCCGAAAGAGACGTCCTGCTGTGGCGAAAGGTATCCGGCTTTTGGCTTCCATATCTATCAATTTGCATGAACGCCTTGACGCCTTTGTTGTGTCTAGTCCATGGAAATCCGAAGTTGAAAAAAATAAGTGTGTGCACTCGTCGAGCTTGAAATAGTCGGGCGGACGAAATATGTGTCTACTATCCAGATCAACGTTGTTTGTTAGGCACGCGTTGTGTCCCTGTTGTGCGTTGGGTTGGTTCTTTTCGTCCCGCGCGCAAGCTTTGATGTTGCCGGCACAGAGTTCTTTTTGAGTGATTGAGAGGTCTGAATTCTATTGTATGCATGTTAACGCGATAAAGAACGGAGTTCATCAAGAGCTGTATTGCGGCAACACCTTGATCTTCCGGACATAAGTCCGTTTTCTACCATAAAAGGTACAAGAAAACAAGTGCAAACAGCACACCTCCGAGAGGTGGTCCACAGCATGGGCCTCTTGTACATTCGCCGGCTGCACGGCGCCGGCGTGTACAGCTGCTCTTCCTGCGAAACACCCTTGGCGCTGAAGCAGGACCTACTGAGCACGCACTTCCGCGGGCGCACCGGCACCGCGTGTTTGTTCGACAACGTGATCAACGTTTTTAGTGGCGAGCCGGAGGAAACGCAAATGACCACGGGCTTGCACGTGATCCGCACCATACACTGCGTAAAATGCTGCGAGAACCTCGGATGGACCTACATCAAGGCGTACTCGGAGAGTCAGAAGGTAAAAAGCGTAAGATAAACATGGTGATGATGATTTTGATTTTTTTGGCACCCAATCGAGAGTCTGGTGCGAAATTGATTCCTTCCTTTGTCTCTGTCATAACAGTACAAGGAGGGCCGGTTCATCTTGGAGGAGGAGCTGATTCGCCAGCAGCCCGACGAGAACAGCGCAAATTGGGATCCGAAGTTGCTCGGGCGGGAACAAGGGGACGATAACCTCCAGAGCACCTCGTGGTCAAGCGGGGCCAGCTCGGACTCGCAATCATCGGGGAATGTTCAGTAGCGGTTGTAGTTTTTTGTTCATTTTCATCCGCCTGCATCTTCTAGCACGTAACTTTCATTCAGTGCATCGGATATTTTTTCAAATTGAGAATGAAACGAAAACGGAACGATGTAACCACCACACAGTTCTTTGAAAAGCTTTTTTGCTTAACGGCCAGAACATGCGAAACCACTGTTGCGATACTCCTGCTGATATGAAGCGCTTCAAAGGCTAAAAAGATACGAGTGGATGCTGCCCACACTTCGTGAAAGTTTGACGTTGTTGTAGTTCTCTAAACAGTGTCATGCCTTGTTGTGCTTGTCATCAAGCTCAAGATCACGAATGTTGCTCGACGGGGGACTTCTATTCCGTGTTTCAGTTGCGACCGAAACAGAAAATGCTGAGCAAAGCGGATTCAAAACACGCGGGCGGCGATCTCGCGAATAGTCAGTCGCGCATCGATTCAATCAAACACGCGAGCGTCGATTCTAGAAATAGTTTCTTTTGCCGAAAACTTCGCAGTACGTTTGCGCCCGTAGACCCCAGGTTTTGTTTTCATTGCTTTTTGATCCAGTGTCAGAGACGATCTTGTCGATTTATCGCGCTTCTGTTCACATTCACTGTCACACCGCTAGACATCATGGATACAACCAAAATGAGCGATGGCGACTTGCTTGTCAAGTGGCACGAGATCGAGAAGAAACGCAATTTGCCGAAGTTGCCAGTGGTTGATGAGCATGAGCTTCAAGATAAGGCGGACCTGCTCAGGGACTTTTTCTTCATGAACCCGTACTGTGTCGGAATGGGTGCTTGGGATGTCTACGATGCGCATCAAGACGCAGAGGACTTCCCTGAGGACTGGTCAGAGGACTCTGCGTTCTCCGAGGACTGGCCGTTATTTGTGTGCCATTTTGAAATTGATCGCGGTGTGTGCACTAGTCGCGCGCGAGGACACTGTCTCTGTCAGCACAAGGACCAAAAAGACTATCCCCACGAGAAGGTTGAAAGGAAACGGCGGGTCAACGCGAAGCGACGAAAGGTTGAAGACCCTTCTCACGACGAGTTCGGGAACAGATTGGAACGGCACGGGGAAATGGATTCGGAGGTAGGGAAATTTGGCATGCACATGGATCTTGGTTACTGCTTTGACGACTGCGATGAAGAAGCGGCTTTTTCGGATGCCATCAAAGAGTGGAGCGTTGCCACGGGCAGAGATGGCCCGACTCTCGCAAAACTCCTGAGCGCTGGATTCTTCGACAAACTAGAGCGATCATGGTCCTCCAGTGAAGCTGATGGAGAAGCGTCGGATTCGGAGCCGCTTTCTAGCGAGGCAGAGGCTGAGGCCCAGGCCGTCAAAGACATGACTTTCGGCAAAAAGAAAGACCATGTGTGCGAGGACACTACGGAAGATATAACTATGTGCATTCGCTTGGATCAACCTGCGTTACGAGCCAAAGTGTTTCGGTACCGCGGAGGGAGGGCCGTTCACGAATTCAAACCGCGACAGTGCACGATCGATGAGAACGGATATGGCCTGTTCACGGTGCGGGAGCTGCTAAATGCACTCAAAGATGTGGAAGGAGATGAGCCTACCAGTGACGGCCATCATCATGCCTTTGCTGGTTTGACCTACGCGAAGAGCGAGCGCATGTGGGAATCTGGTTGGGATAGCTAGAAGAAGACCCCGAACGAGAGATGTTGACGAAGGCTGGCCAAAGTGAAGCAATCCTGCTCTCGCTCGTAGTTTTTTGTGTTTTCCGAAACGCTGCACCGCTCCTGAAGCTGAAAAAAGAAAAACGAAACCACACGTAAAACAAAGTAAGTAGAAAAATAATCATGAAGAATGCGTGATGTGAGAAGCAGCTATGCGTTTCTGTCACTAACACGAAAACGAACCATCGCAGTGCACCAGTGCCATAGCGCTTGCCGTTTGTTATTGTTTGTTCAAGTTGCTTGGATCGGCGGACGAGGCACGGCAGGCAGCATTGCGGATCCGCGACGACTTTCATTCGACAGAACCCGGCCCCGTATGTGGAGGCCCTGGCGCGCAAGCGGGGGCGGCGGAAGGCTCGGGCGGAGACGACGGGCGCCCCGAGGGCCCGGCGCAAGTGCGCGCCTGCCTGCTTGGCGTGATGTTTGCCGCGGAGCCGCCCCGGCAGGCACCTGGCGCGCCCCCCCCTCTCTCTGTTCGGCCTCGGACACCGGGCGGCGCGGCAGCGCGGGCGCCGCCAACCGCGGGCGACGACGCGGGCGGGCCCCGTATTGAGGGGGGCGCGCGAGAAAAGCAACAGCGCCCGGCCTGGTGTATTGGCTTTGCCTGCGCGAAAGCGGTGACCGCAGCGCGCGCGTTGCTCGGGGCGTTGACGTGCCGCCGCCTTTTTCGCTTGCCCGTCCCCACAACGCAGGCCAGCCTCTATCACGAAGCGACGCTACGGGCAACATAAGACTTAGTGACTTCAAGGTATGGGAGTTAGAGGGTTTTTTGGTCTGGGAGTTAGATCGTAAAAAAAAACTCTGCATTGTTTGGGATGCTAGTGGCATGGCCACGATTTGGCTGTACTGAATGTGTGTCCATCGTACAACGTAGGGAGGAAATTGCTGCCACGGCGCAAGTTTGGAGACATGCCGCACCCGGAGACGGCAGGGAGGCAGACCCCCTCGCATTGCCCCGGGCCGGCGCCGCTATCGCCTTCGATGAAATGCCTATGATGCACCGGAACGCGGCCGATGGCGCCGGCCGCGTGTTTTGTGCCGCGACTGGCATCGGCGAACTTTTCGGCGCTCGCCGCGGGATGCCGGCCGCCTCTTCTGACTGGGGGCCACGGGATTCCGCCACGCTAGCCGCCCGCGAGTACATCCGCCACCGCAAAGAAAGGGCGCGAAACTTAAACCAAAGGGAGCGCTCAGGGGCCTGTGGTCCGATAAGGACTGAAGACCCCCAGGCCTGACCATGTGGGCCCAGCCTATGTTTTATGAGCATACATAGTAGCCTCGTTGTATAGCGAAATAGTGAGCCCGCGCGCCGCCGTTTGGGGTCATTTGCCGGGGTTCCTTCCCGCCAGCAACCAGAAAGCGCCGGCGCTTTGTACTTGAGAAGCAAGCCAAGCGCCGCGCAAAGATCTCAAGCAGAGCACGCGCGGGCTGCTAGCCTGCTGCGCCCCCGCGGCCTCCCTCTCCTCGCGCTCTGCCTCTGCTAGCTGCCCGCGGTCCCCCGATCGCTCTAATGAATCTCGCGTCGTGGTGGTGGTGCTAGCGTTTGGCGGCGGTGGTTTCTTCGGCGGTGCTCCAGGGTGCCCGACCTGCGCCGCCGCCGCGACTGCAGCGGGGAGATGTTCAGCAGCAGCCCCCCCCCCGCGTACTCCTGTGAGGCTTCTGGGCGGCCGATCACAATGGCGCTGCGCCGCATTCTCCGAAGATGGGAATGGAGAGCGGGGGCGGCCGGTGTGTGGCCTTTTGCCGCATGTTCTGAGGCAGGCGTGCTCCTCGTTGGGCGCGCACGCGCCTGGTTTTTGTGCTATTTGCCCCTGGCCGGGGCCACTGGTTCAGTTCTTGCAGAAGCGTAGCCCGTGCCCATGGTGGAGGAGACTGCAAGGGAGGGTGCGAGGGATACAATTCCAGCAGTCTCGTTGCCCTTTTCCCCTGTGCGCTGTGTTGGCTCTGAGCGGTGTCTCTGTCGTCCGAGGTGTGTTGGTAGCGCCTTCGTCAGCGAAGGGGCTCTTCGAGATACCCTGTGGGAGTAGAGTTGTTCCATCTCTTGCAATGTAAAGGCACATCTTTTAACTCGTTCTGTCATCGTCGACAAAGGATGCACTTGAGAAGCGCGGCGTTTCGTAATCAAGGAGAGTCTTTGTGACGTTCTGAAGTGGAATCTCTGCCAGCCATAGTACTTACAACTGAGGGTATGTTGAAGTTGAGATGAGAGATTCTGAAACCGAGGGCTCGCCCATCGCTCGACGATCTTGAGTGTGACTTTGACTTTTTTTTTTTTTGGAGGCAGGTTGCATGCATCGATTCGATCGTCTTCGTCATCATCGCTTTGTCGAACTGGTCATTGACATGATTCATTGGCTTCTAGTTGCTCTTCTTCTTGTCCTGCTCCGATAACAAGTTCCTTGTTCAAATGTTGTCATGTCATAGTTGATGTCAACAGCCAAAATCATGAATGTCCCAATTGCTCATGTTCTCACGGGGAACTCCCCGTCACGCGGGTCGCGTGAGTGCTCTCGAGGATGCGCGGAGCAAGATGTTTCTGCGAAATTCGCCATGAAGAAGGAAGAAAAAGTTGTGCATAATCGCCGCACGACTCGGCGACATCAGCAAGGTCGCAAAAGAGCTGCGGGATGCAGAAACTCGACCAGGCCGCGCTTGTTCGCCGGAACTGCAAAGCGCGTCACTGTCGCAAAAGTTCTTTCCTCTGTCTTGTTCGAAGGTACAAAGAGTAACACTTTCGTCCTCGCAGAAGAAACACAGCTCCAGCAAGCACTGCAGACGCCGCGCGAGCGATATCTTGGAAAAAAGCTAACGCTGTCTGGCCAGGGGACGGAGTCCTACCGGTTGTTGGAAGAGCAGGTTACCGACTTTGACAAGATTCATTTCCTGCCCTTCGAAACCGTGCATGACCAGCCAACAAGCGCGTGGCTGCAAACTTCCGACACAATGCACGAAGAGAGAGAGCACGAGTATCTGCACAACGTGAAGCACTGGGACAGGTATTCATTGGTGTGAATTGCCGATGGCTTTTTACTGTTTGAATTTCCACTTTGTCATGGAAAGGCCATCTCAATAGTGGCGATGTTCATTTTGAAAAACACTAACACGAAACAGACTTTCCGACCACCACGATGATTTGCTGAAAAACGGTCCTCCGGCGCACGAGTCCGCGTCGCTCATCGAGTTTTCCAAGAAAGGCGGTGGTGAGGCCCCCAAGCTGGACAAAAGTTCGTCGGAAAAATCTGCGACAGTAGTTGCTGCATCCACGACCAACAAAAAGGAGACTGAAACAGCGAGGAAAAACGACGACGAGAAAACCACTACCGCCACCAAAACAGGTGAGACAGTCATCACAGACGCCAGCCCACCGCAGAAAGCGCAGGAGCAAGACGACAAGACTTCGTTTCTCGAGGTGACAGAGGAGAAACCGAGCAACGCGGAAAAAACTACTGAAAATCTCTCTACGACTGCATCTAGCAGCGGAAGTCCAGAGCAGTCATCTGAGATATCGGAAGACGATCTGGATTTTGACGTCGCCCCGGAAAATTTGGGCGCCTCGACGCTCGTAGGGTACTCCGATGGGGCATCAACTTCGCAAGAGTATCCGATGGAAGTAGGCGTAGCGGCACAAACGTTCCTCGAAACCGCAACCCCCAACAAGATTGCGGAAACAAGAGCAGCGCAGCAGCAAGAAACGACCTCTTTGACAGGTGCTGCTGCTACCTCTGTTGCTGAAGAGGAGAAGGTAGAGAAAACAGAATCAGAGAAGAAAGACGATGAGCTTCGTGGCGAGAGCCATATCGAGTTGGAATCGACCGTCACGTACGCTGAGCAGGACCCCGCGGCGAGAAGCATGCTCGAAACAACGATACCTAAATCTTCCGAAGTAGCAGATGAGAAGCCAAAGACATCAGAAAACGGCAGTGTGGCCGCGGAGGAAAATAAGACTCCAGTCGAACAAGAAAAGAAGTCATTAGAGGACGCCAGCACCAGCCAGATACCCGCGAGTAGCGCAATCGAAACCACGGCTGCCACTGCTGTTGAAGGGGAGCAGACGGAAAAAAAGAGCGACGCCGCGCCAGCATCAGAAAACAAGGAGCAGGATGAAAACAAGTCCACACCCGCCTCCTCCGCAATTCAAGTCGACGAGGGGAAGAAGCGGAACGGCAACCTCCGCGGCAGTAGCAAGAGTTCGGCGCTTTTGCAAGAGAAGGAAAGAGAGCAGACAGAAACGACGAGGACCATGTTAGGCAACATCCCGGCTTTGCTGGGCGCCGCTGTGAAGGGCGTGCCCAATATGATCAACGGCATCATCAATCCGACGATCTCCAACGGTCCGCAGCTCATTGGTACGCAAACGCCGGACGAGAAAAAATCAGACCAGCTGGTTCCCAACCAGCTGAAATCTGTCGGGGTGAAGTCGCCCTTCCACCAACTTTTCGGCGACGATGTGACGGAAACTTCCACCTCCACGATCGCGCCGCCCGTCGACCAGGAGAACCAGAAACCTCTGGTGGATTGGGACACACTTTCGGACGAGCAGAAGTCGGAGATGAAGCGGTTAAATCAGGTGGTCATCCCCGAGAACGAGAAGGTCGTCCCGTTGTCCGACCTCCGCGACCACACCAGCCAACACTTGGGGACGATCTTCGTCGGCGCGAACAAGCAGCCCGCGAGCGTGATCTTTGACACGGGGAGTACGAACTTGTGGGTGTTGTCGGAGCTCTGTCAGTCGACCACCTGCAAGACCGCCGATGAGCCGATGTACAGCATCGAAAAATCCGGGTCGAACGCCCACTACTTTGACAACCACGCACGGCTGGAGATCATGTTCGGGTCCGGGACGCTGTCGGGTCCCCAGGCGATTGACTCGGTTTTAGTCGCGCGGCACCAGATCCAGCGCCAGCCGTTCGCGATGATCGAGGAGGAAAGAGGTGGGGTTTTCGACACGCTGCGGTACGGGGGCATCATGGGCCTGGCGTTCGAGTCCATGGCCGCACAGGGAATGGTCGGCGTGATGACGCAAGCCATGCGGGAGAATGTGTTTAGCGGCCACAATCAGATGTCCTTCTACTTCACAAGGAACCCGAAGATTCGCAGTGGCGCGTATTTCGGCGGGGCAAACCCGGCGCTTTACCACGGAACGCCACAGTGCTTGGACGTCGTGCACGAGCACTATTGGCAAACTGGTATGAGGGATACTGTGATTTCGGTTTTGATGATGCTCGAGAACCCGTATCAGATTTTGTGTGCATGTACAGCAGCATCAACCTGCAACAATGTGAAAAAGAAAAAGTTCAGAATTGATCGAAAAATAAGGGATTCACCGCATCGGTATTATGTGGGGGAAGGATGCTGAGCCGGAGTGGATTGACAATTCTGCGATGGGCCTCGAATCTGAAGAAGCGGTTGGTAAGCCGTTGTCTGCAATTTGGGATACTGGCACTACGTGGAACGCGGTGCCGACCTACTTGAACAACTACTTCATGCAGAAACTGCAGGAGAAGGGCTTCGCAAACGTGGACTGCAGCTTGGTGAAAAAGCACTACGTGGGCAGCAACCCGGACGGGTAAGTGAACGGAGTAAAGCTTTCACTGAAATTTATTTGGAACTTTCGAGAGTTTCGCTTTTTTTGCCTACAATGAATTCCAACCACCAAACATAAAAACTCGTAATATCCATGTGGATTAACAGCGAACTTCCCTGGCTTGTGATCGACTTCGCGGTGTTCCACGAGCGCACGCTACCGAACAAGGGGGGCAAGCCATACCAACCGGATGGCGTTTCGGCCGAGGAAAACTATTTCCGAGTCATCCAGACCCCGGACCAGTGGTTCGTCGGCGGGGGCGTTGCGGGGACCGCGTGCAAGCCTGGACTGATGTCGATTGACGTGCCCTCGCCGTATTTCGTTTTTTTTTGCAAAACGTCTGTAGGCTGATGCCTTTAAGCGATCGCTTTTCGTTTGTTTTTTACAATCTCCACCGTGCAGAACAATATTTTTCTCACACGACTACCAGATACGGACCGAACCTGTTCATCATTGGGGAGATTTTCATGCGGCACTTTCTTGTGACGTACGACCGCGGCAGCGGGCCGGGGGAGGCCCGTGTTTGCCTAGCCCCTGTGAACGAACGTCCGAAGCTCGAGGACGCGCCGGAGTTGGATTCCCCGAATGTTCTGAATCTCGTCTACTCTACGAAGGGAACCGAAGCAGCCGCGGCAAGCAGCAGCTCATCCGCCGAGTTGGCGAAAACAAAAAACAATGCAGTCGCGGCAGCACCAGCAGCAGCTTCTGCTACGGAAGGAGGGAGTGCGACGACGGTCATCACAAAATAAGTTTCACTGATGAAGGGCGAGACGTTCCAGTTCTTTTCCTGTACGATCACTATAAATACTAGAGCTTATGATAAGAGTTTGTCTCCACTGCAAAAACGCAGCAGTAGAGCAGCACATGCGGACTCGCCTAATCATGGTGCTACATGCTGCGCCGAAACTTATGAATGTAGAATGTCGGCCGACAGTATGCAGCATCAGCTGTACGATTTACAAAATTTACGTTCTTAACTAGTCTAACGTGCAGGACCGATGCTAATACAGCTCGGCACCTACGTCAATTGAACTCAGAAAACTCACCAAAGAACTCAAATTTCTCTATCTTCATTTGTTTCTGCTAGAATAGTTTATAGCGATAGATTCGAAGAATAAGACCGATGTTGTAGTACGGCAAGAAAAACTGCAGCACAGAATTGATCCGACAGAAGTTTCACCTGATGTATCAACAAGCACCCAATAGTTGTCGCCCATTCTTGCTAGCGTTCCGTGCGGTAAGCCAGAACCAACTTTCTTGAGCTAAAGCAGCTGCTTGTATGATTGAACTTCAAAGATTCTCCATCTTCTACTTCTCCGGGAGATTTTATACTCTTGTTTGGTTTCACCCCTGTGACAAGAAAAAACGCTGTTGCGAAACGGAGCCTCGAGATGAAGCAACTGTTATCAATCTCAATGATTTAGGAGATGCTGTTCCCGCAGGCCTTATGATCTGGATCCGGCACGATAATCCTGTTCATGTTGCTGATCTATTTTCCTCATTTTCCGCTCTGACTTCCACTTGCCTTGTCTTGACTTCTTTTTACAGGATGCTCGGCCTTTAGAAATCTGTCTGCCCACCTCTTTTTTCGTTCTTTCGCCAAAGTGAAAACTAGAGGATCCACCTATTGCACGTGATTTAGTTCCCGTGTGTCTGACTTTTGAAGTTACGTTCCATACGTCTTTCATGCGAACACAACTGTGCTCCCCCAAGTTCCCGAAACCATGATGCCGCCTCTTGGAGGGCCACTGCCCTCGGGTCTCCCGATGCAGCCCAATACCGCGCCGCAGCACAGTGTGCAACCGCAGGAAGTACTGCAGATATCGAGCAAATGCATCGAGGATGCGTTGCTGCGGGACGAGACGACGCCACTCACTGTCGAGGATGTGTTTGCCCCAGGCATGCAAAGGTACGAGAAACATGAAGGCACCTACGACTCACGCGGGTTCGCCGCACCACCGACCTCTTGGGGAAGCCGCAGCTCGGTAAGAACATGAACTTTTTTTTAAGTTTTTGATTTGCGACCAGGCGTTCGCGTTGTTCTACCTGACCGAAAGCGAAAGGTGCCCTAGGGCTGTGTACGTGTACAAAAATGTGCGAGTTCTTGGAATTCTAGTTTAGTGTGTGTGTCCGAAAAAATGTTTTGCCCTCTACCTTCCAACTGAAACTGCAGGGAAGCGCGAGTTTTTCGCTTTCCGGATACTTCTCGGAGATCGAGTGCGCGTGGCAGAGCGTCGGGCCGGTGCTGCACTTGTGGACTTCAGACAACCGATCGAAGGAGTACATCGGCGTCGACCAGGACATCCTCGCAGCGGCGGTCGTGCGCGCCAAATCCTTCCTCGAGGCGGACTTTGTCCTGGTCCTCACGACCGTGTCCGAGGTTTCGCTCCACTCCCTCCGCTTTCGCCCCGACGCGGGGATCCAGCTGCAAAAGCTGCCGACGTACACGCTGGCGACGGACGACACGAGGATAATTCGGATCGAGGGGGATCCGCGGTCCAGGAGGATTTTCATGGGCGGGCAGGACGGCGGAATCTACGAGTTCCGGTACACGCGGGAGGACGACCGGGGGTTTTTCCGGAAGCGGGCGGCGTGTGCAAAGCACACATTGAGGTCCGCCGGGTATCTACCTGCGTTTCTCTCCAGTTTGTTCGGGTCGTCGAACAACAATCCGGAGAAGGCGGTGGAGCAACTGACCGTGGACTCGACGAGAGAACTCCTTTACGCCTTACGCAGGGACGTGATTCTCGTTTTCGACATTGCGAGCAACGTCGGTGCGAATAAATCGGGGTCGAACTGCACGGCAGGGAGCACGTCAAGCGGGTCGGAGCCGAGTCCGGAAGAGGACATGAACCCGCGGTGCCATTTCCTCTTCGAGTTTTTCATCAAGGACATCATGGTAAATCTCCGCCGGCTCAACATCCCGAGTATGCTCAGTACCGCGAAGCCGATCCCGGGGATTCGGTTCCCCGATCCGAAAAAAGTGTTTGATCCGAATGGGATCAAAAAGGGCTTGGAGGAGGAGGAAAAGAGCGCCGCGGGGATGTCCGCGATAAATACCATGTCCATGCAGGGCGGAGGCAGTTTGCTCGCGAGTACGGCAATTCCGATGTCAACGAATAGCACTGTTGGAGGTCTCCAATCGCAGGTTTCCACCGGAGGTGTCATACCAGGATCATCAGGGGCAGGAGCGCCAACCTCAACTGTGAACAACGGAGGAAATACGAATGAGCAAATAAAACCTCCTGCTGGCACTGTTGACAGCAAGACGCGCGTCCAGGACGCAGTGACTGCGATGAAAGTCAATAACAGCATCGTGAAGATATTTCCGATGATTCGCACTGCGGGTTGGGAGACGCAGGTTCCGCCGCATGGGCAAAATTCTGTGAGGCAGCAAATCGCAGGGATCAGTATGGCGCAGAGAACAAGCATGCAGTACGAAGCAACGGACTGCGTGTTGCAGGCGGTTTGCCGCGACGGGACGAGGATATTTTTCAATGGGAGCTTTGTTGTCAAACTCGCGTTCGGTCAGCGATCCGCTCCCTCTGATCGGAACGGGCAGTCCCGCGCTGCGCAGCAAAGGCTGCAAGTTGCCCACGGTGCCGGCATGCCGACGGCGGACGCCGCGTTGCACCACTTAGTAGAGGAGGCAAGACGAGGACATTCGATCTCGACCGCGCTCCGGAACATCAAAATTGGACACGCGCAAGCACCGCCGGTCGACGTGTTCCCCTGGGAAGACGGGGGGAAGGACAACATGCCGTACCTGGTAAACGACGCTTATTCACTTTCCGGTGTAACCCTTCTCTGCGTCCGACCGACCGTGAAGAGGAACTTGGCCCAGGTGCAGCTACTCATGCGCGCGCACGTCAGCAGCAAAGCAAGGGATAAGTCCGAGTACGTTGATGAACTACAACAGCAGAACCCCGGAGCAGGTTTGGATGGAGACGCGCCGATGGTCGCGAAACGGGACGGAAGAAGGGGCATTTTTGACGACAATCTAGATTTGGCGTCTTTGGAAGCCGATCAACACCTAATCGACGAGGACGATGAGCTCTGCAGCAACCGACTGCTCTGCATCTCCACAGACATGCGCTCGATATCGCAGCGGGTGGCGAGCCGCACGCCGTGGACTCTGCGGGGGTTACCGTCAGAGCGGTACGATATTTTGCCGCTCCACCCGAACGGTTTCGCGGCCGAGATTTTCTCGATCGGTGAGCTGGCTTTAGGCAGCAAACTCACGGATCCAGTCTACACGGGAAGCACGGATCAGCAGAGCCAGGGCGCACAATTCATGAGCTTCGGTGGTGCGAAGAGCAGCGCCTTTGCTGGAGCAGACAAGAATGGAGTAGGGAAGGAACCCAGCAAGTTTTTCCAGATTGGTGAAGTCACGGAATCTAGCATCGTCCCAGCTATGGGGGCACCGGAACAGTCTCAACTCGTTCCTGCAGTTCCGATGCAGCCCCCTGTTGCATATCCGTTTTCAAGCGCTATGGGCGGTATGGTAGATCAGGGAGCCGATTTTTTCAACAAACAGCAGTCTTTTGCAACAAATGCCAGCAGTGGTGCCAACATGCAAAGTGGCGGCAACAGCTCCGGATTGCGATTACGCCCAACTTGGAAAAAGCAAGAAGAGACACCGTTTTTGCAATACTCCCAGCTATCCGAGCTCTGCACGCAGCAAGCGCTGGAGTCCCGGCAGTTCTACCTCTTGACCTCAGAGGGCATCCTCTTCCTGCAGCGGCTTCGGCCCGCGGAGGAGTTGATGCGGGACCTGGTGATCGCGAATTCAAGCAACAACATCGAGCAGTCCTTCGAACAGTCGGCGGCGCAGTTTTTCGAATCTTACACAGCAGAGGAGGGAATGGCCGTGTGTTTCCAAATCGCCAGTGGGGCTGCAAATTTGAACACGGCTGCGTGTTTGCGACGAGGTGGCGGCTTGTTTGGTGGTCCGAGCGGAAAAAACAGGGGATTTGGCGGCGGTCTTGGAGGCGCGCCGCGACCCTTGACAGATTTGGGCATGTATGCGGGTCAGCATGCGACAACTTTGGCGACACCCGGCACGGTCAAAGCTTTGGAACACGTCGGAAGACCGCCCGAGTCATTCGCCAGTGTGAGGAATCGAGCTCTTGCGAACGCCGGGATCGAAGATTTGAATTACAGTAGCATGACATCGGGGATGCGCGGGTTTTCTTCCGCTCTTCCCTCAGCTTTCCGCAAGAAGCAGCAGCAGCTCGGGGCCGCGAGTAGTCCCGGATTGGCGCCGATGATCACGGACACTTCTGGCATGGCGACACCAACAAATCGGCAGCTCGCGTTAGTACAACAGCCCGCCCAAGTAGACGCGTACATGCGCACGGGGGTCACACCAGGAACTACGGCGAGGCAAAGAAGAAAAAGCGACATGATGATGCAGCTGGCCATCGCGGAACCAGTACCGGAAGATCCGTTCTTCAGCAGCCACCAGCTCGCGGTGCAGAACCAGATACAGCAAGCCATCAACGATGAAATTGACGACGTGTGGAGCAGCGCAGGCTGGCACCCGGATCTGACGTCTGCCGCGAGCGCCGCCGAACGCATGCTGTTTACCACGGAAGCGGCCCTTCGCGTTGGCGGATTGGTGGTTTACGATGCGAACTTCCGGGTTGCTAACAATCTTCCTGGAGGACAACAGCTGCCCGGACCCGGAGTGCCGAATAATCCGCAGCAGCTGAACATACCTGGTGGCGGTAGACAGCAAACTGCACAGCAGCAGAACGCTAATATGAACCAACCCCAAGTCCTTGCGCAGCCGCAGTCGCAAAATTTCCTCTCCGGATACGGCTACGTCGTGAGCAGGGGCGCGGAGCAAAGACTCGCAGAAACGTGTCGCGTGCGGGGCTTGATTCTCTACATCTCGCGTTTAGTGCGTCCCTTCTGGCTCGTGAAAGTTCTGCAGGTCATGCAGGTGAAGCAACCGAACTCCTACGTGCCCACGCAGGGAGGCGTGAAGCGCGGTCGCGACGATTCTTTTCTGTCGGGGCAGAACCAGAATGTGAATCGCTTCTCGTCCTACTGCGTCACTTGGCGAAGAAGCGAGCGCGAGTGGTTAGACGCCACTCTGCGCGGTGTCCGGCGAGTGCTCCAGAAGGCCCGACGCACCAACGTCGAGTACTTCGGCGATGAGCGGGTTTTGTTTGAAGGCATGAGCACCATCGTCGAGCGCTCAATCGGCGTGCTGCAGTTTCTTCACTTGCTCGCGCAGCGGCTCCTGGTGGAAAACGGCCGTCACGATTTATCGGGACTAGCACAGCTCCCCTTCCGCGACCTGGTGCAGGGGGACAATGGCCGTGCCGCGGTACAGCAGCTGGTCAAAGAGGCACCGAAATTCTTCGATTGCACGCTGATAGCGAAGAAGTGTCCGCATTTGATTTCCATGGCCGAGGCTGAAATTCAGCACGCGTACGAAATGCTCGAAACGCCCAATATCGATGTTGGCCCCGCGATCGCACTTTTAGAAAAGAACATCGCCATAGTCGACATGCGGGAAACTGGCTCGCGTCTGCGAGCGCGGGGGTGTATCAGGACGTTGGTGGAGTTTGCCGCTAGAAAGGCCAAGCAATTAGATCCAAACGACGAGGTGATAAGCAATCCAAACAGCCATGTGGCTCTGCACACGACCAGGTTGAGCCTCTACAATCCGCTTTACAGCGCTTTTGAGGACCTTCTGATTCGTGCGGAAGGGCGGGTGCCGATGCGGAGGGGAGCGCATACGGGCTTTCATGGTATAGCTTCTAGGTAGTTTTCGACATCTGAATGGTTTTCTAAAAAATCCTGATTGAGGGACGAAATAGTATGAATTACACCTGTAGCTACAGCTTGTAGCTCCATCCTGTATGACAAGATCGCGAAGAGTTTGCTATCGATCCTCGCTTGATGAAACCTCTTTCAAATCAAATCCAATGTACAGGTGTCAACGAGGTGCCTCTCATCATTCCCGGCAACTTAAACGCCATCGAAGCCTCGAGCATTGTCGACAAACTTATCCAGTACGTTCTCCACACCCCGGACCAGCTCTTGCAGTGCGGTCTTTTCAAGCTCCTTCGCAAGTGGAACTTGCCGATCTGGGAGCTCGAATCCCCGTACTTGGAGCCGTTCCTTGTCGGCCAGCGCCCAACGCAGCCCGAAATGCTGTGCAAATACTTGCAGGCCAACAATCGGTTTCTGGACGCGTGTGAGGAGTACCGAGCAATCGCACGGCTACCCTGGCCCGCGGATGTGGCCAACGACGCGGGCCCCGTTTACAGTTTAGACGACAGAATCGGCTTCTTACGAATTGCGTCCATGATCAGTCAGGATCAGAATTTGCAGGACGTGCAGGCCAACATCCAGTTCTTGATCCGGCAACTCAACTGCCAGAGCACCGCGAAGCTAGAGCTCGAGGACCAGCAGCGGAAAGGAGCTACTACTGCTGCTTCCCTACAGCCGGTGATTCGCGACGTGCAAGCCAGTGTGCTCGACATACCGGTGCTGCGCGCCATCGCCGACAAGTATCGACTGTTCGTCACGCACATCGGTATTTGCTACTGGCACGGGGACACGAGGCATTTGCGGCACTACGTGGACATTGCACTGCGAGAGAACTTGCAGGTGAACGGCTTTCCGGACGAAGCGAAAGATTTTGTCACGCGGCTATCCGGAGCGTATTTGCGCGCACGGGACAACCAAATGCCGGGAACCATGGGCATGGACTTTCGTGTGAATCAGTTCGCGAACCAACATGCGATAACCCAGCAAGTCGAAGCGCGGGCACAAAACTCCCTGTTTCTCCCGGTCGACCTGATTGCTTTGAGGCTCTTCGAGTACACGCAGGCAAGGCAATCCAGTGTCGTTTTCTGCATTGAGGTGCTGCGCGAGTGCCTGTTGTCCTGGCCGGAGATGTACCTCGCCTTTGCGAGCGCGCCGATACCGAAATGCACGGCTCTGTACGAGTTGAAGCACATGATGCTGCTGCAGTGGCAAGAACAGCTCTCCCTGACAGCGCAGCAGGGGCGAAACGTGGGAGCCGAAATTATGGAGTTGCGCAAGTGCTATCAAGCCCTCACGCAGGAGCTGCAGCATTTGGGGCCCGCTCAAGTGGGGGAGCAGGTGATCCGGAACTTGAACCATCTCAGCGCGCGGATCGAAACGCTCCCTGTGAATATGAACCCAATGATGCAATTCTAAGTAAGCATCTGCCTCTGCGGGGCGCATGTGCCTCTCCTCTTGCATGCTGAAATTGAAATGAATCGTGAAGCGACGAACTTGAAATAAGCGACACAGGATTAGATTCTCTCCCACACGCGCTTGAACCTAGTTCGGCATTTTGGATGCGTAGTATACACGGAATTTTTCTGAACAAAGAACATCTCGAATCTGCATCCTGCTGTGTTGTACTGCTAACGCAGCGCAAGCGCTTGCGCTTCTTTGGACTGTTTCCACGCCTTGTGCTGTTATCATCGTACCTGAAAGAGGACTCAGCGAACCCTTCGGTTTAATCTCTACGCAAATTCGTTTTCCCGCTGCGCAAAAGCCGCACGAATTAATCTATTTCTCGGTTCTCGTTCTGCTCCTGCTTTTTCTGGTCGGTGGATCGTGCCAAAATGTGCGTCTTGCATTCGTGAACTCGTACAAAATGTCCAGCATCCACTGCATCGTGCACCATCATTTTGAAAATTTCGTACAGCTTTCCGCTTCGTCTGTAATGCGTTACTTTATCCTTCAGATTCAACACTTACTCTCCCCAGGCCCTCGTCTACCCTGAAAACTCGGATATTTCTCTCCAATACAAACACTCTCTTATGATTCTTTACTAGCGCCGCGAGACCTAAACGTCACAAACGTCAATCATGGCGGATAATCTCGGTGGCGCTGCCATCCGGGGAGTGTCCGCCCCGCCACCACCGTTGGCGAGCCCCTCGACACTGTCGGGCACATTTCCTAATCAAGTAGATGACGAGCAGGTGGATTACGACGGCACGGGCATCGGCGTGGTGCCTTTGAGCAAAACTTCGTCCAAATCGAAACCTATTTCGTCCGTGGGAAACATCATCATGCCAGAGGGGCCTCGCCTGGAGGAATTTCGGGACATGCATGACATCCCGGAAGAACTCCCGGACTACCGCGACCAGCACGGTATGACTGACATCGAGCGCACCACCATCGGGTTGCCGAGTATCCGGGAATCTCAGCGGTTGAAACAGGGCAGGGAGCGGTTGTCGCAATTTTTGCGGGAGCAAGAGTACGTCAACACGCGCGTCCGGTGGATGGGTGTGCGGGCAATGCTCAAGTACGATGTGACGCAAAAACCCAAGCCGCACATGACTGCAGATTCGGATGCCAAGGCTTCGGAGTTGGAGAAAAATTACTTTGGTACACTTGTGGCCATATTTTTAGAGTTGTAATGAAATTTGACTCAACTGATAATGCCTCTTTGCCATGAGTGCCACCTTTTTTTTGTGGAAACAAAGTCCATTGAATATCAAAAACAGATCGCATTACGATGAGCTTTCCGAAGAACTGGCGGAAGAAAATCCCTCGGTGGGAAAAAGCCTTTTTGATGCGCAACCAGCTCTTCATCGATACCAAGAAGATGCGGCGGCAGCATTTGAAAGAATGGCTGGAACGGTTGGAACTGGACAGCATGCGATCCAAGCCCGTCCTCAACCTGCCGGGGATCCAGAACTGGTATCGCGGCGACGAGTATGCGCGGGTCTGGCCGACGCGTGGCCACTACCTGTACAAGCAGGCCTGCGTTTTGACGGAGGAAAGGAGGCAACGGGAGGTCCGTCGGGTCGAAGAGATCCTGCGAAAAGATCGCGAGTCTTGCACGTTCAAGCCGGAACGGAACCCGAGACAAGTAATGGAGTTTTACCACAAGCAATCGGACATCGGCAAAGATTCGTCGCGCGCTTGGCGGTGCACCCCGAGCTTCAAACCGAAGCCGCGGCACGACGCACTGGAGGGCAAGCCGCGGGAAGTGTACGAGGGCTTCTTGCGCCAATCCCCGGACACGGTGAAGTGGAGCAGTGGAGACAAGGTCAGCAAAGCGAATGATCTGCAGGGCTTGAAGGAGAGACACGCCGCGTTTGAAATCCACCACCCGGATCCGAACGAGGACGCCTCGAACATGGCCCAGCAACAATCCGGCGTACACACGGCACTGATGCGGGACAACGTCGCACACCAGAAGTTCATGCAGAACAACCACTACCAGCTCGCGTGTCTCGAGGATCCGACCGGGTTTGGAAAGGTGTTCCCGACCTTGAAGCACCCAAAGCACGACGTGATGAAATCCCTGGTGCGGCAGGCGGCGCGGGAAAAGAAGGAATACGTCGAGGTGGAGCACGCGAACGTGTTCCACGTGGAGGCCAGCCCGGAAATGCTGGCGCAGCACCAGGAGAGGAAAAAGGGCAAGGGGGTGCTGGATACCGGTTTAACCGAGAAGCAGAAGCAGAAACACCTCTTCGGCGGAAAAGCGGCCACGAGTGCGATTGACGACTCGAAGCTGGAGGGCAGTGAAGAGCGGGCGTGGCGCATCGCGGTGCACCGCATGGAGCGCATGGGGAACGCGCCGCGGTCGCTCGTGGAACTCGTGCCGACCAATAAAGCCGAAACCGAACTTGCGGCCCTCGAGGCGATCTTTGCCGACGACGTCGCGGAAGAGGAGGAGGAGGCGAAGCGAAAAGCGCAGGAGGAGGCGCAGAAAGCCGCGGAGGGACTGTTGCAGAAGAAAAAGGTCGCCCGGGCAGCGCGGAAGAAGGCACGAGTGCCGATCTGGGCGCGCCCATTGCCGAAAGAGCAAAACGAAAAGCGGAGTGATTTCATCCAAAAGAGGAAAATGCGGCAAGAGATGGCCATGATTTCTCCCTGGGAGCGGCAACTGTTGTCCGCACAGGAGTTGCAGGTGCGGCAACTGGGCATTCAGGGTCAGGATCACGAGCATCGCAGCAACTTTGCCCAGGACAAGGTGCGGCAAGTGGTGGGCGATAGGACCTACGCACAGATGTCGAGCGCGGAAAAAGAGAAAATGTCAAAGCAGCTGTACAAAAGTCTCGCCAAGGGGGCATCCGGAATGGAGGATGGGTATAGCATAAATTTGAATTTGTCAAAAATTCACGTAGCTTTTCGTATGTAGTACTAGGACTTCGGATTTTGATCTCGGGCCCTGTTAAAAGTAAAAAGATCCAGCTCTGAAATCTAAATGAAAATCTCAAAACTGCGCAGTTCTACGTCGTCCAAGGACAAGTCCAAGCGAGCGAAGCAGAAGCTGGGGACCAGCGCCAACTTTAATGAGTTCGGCTCGGTATTTGGATCCAATCTTGCCTCTGGAAGTACCGACCCGCTGAACAGTCAGCAGGTGGTGGAGGACACCTTGACAGAAGGCGTCGGTATCATCGCGAACAGCCTCGGGGTCCGACCAGAGGATGTGGGGAACGCGCTGCAAGCGCACGCTGAGGAGAACAAGCTCCAAGGTGACCCCGAGCTCATGAAAGCCGTCGGAGCGATTCAGCGGGCGTCCGAGGTTGCGGCGCGGTCAGACGGCAGTAAAAACACATAAGAGTTGAGAAAGAGAGAATTCCTTTTTGAACACCGGGAACTAAAATTTAGGACTTCTCAGTGAGTTGAGATTTAGATCGTTTCCCCGTTCCTGAATACTTAAGTCCATTGAGGGAGATCGTTTCCTAAAAAGAAAAACACTACCTCCTATAGACTGTATCCCAGATTCCAATGATGTACTTGAATATCTAAACCCGTTATACTTTTGGCTTGTACTTGCGTGCTCCTTACTTCTCCATATCCTGGGAAACGAACGAACTGAGATCCGTCGCTTTCTGTGGAATCTCTCGCGCGCGTAAATACTTTGTATTGTATGCAACGGAATTTTGAGTGTGAGAGGCCGAGAACCTCTGACAAACTCGCTGAGAGGGTTTCCGCGCTTACAGTGCTACCTGTTCTGGCTAAATCTAGAAAAATCTCTCCGAATGAAAGTCGAAGATTCGGTAGATCAAGATCATGAACTTGTGAGCTGCGCACTTCTTCCAGCCGCGGATCAAAATGATACCTCGAGTAGGAAATACAGGTGGATCAATAGGTACGAGCTTCATTCTGCAACAGATCTAGTTCCGATGAAACTAAAGACGAAGATCCGGCCGTGGATCTGCAAAAAATCTAAATTTTCGTGCGAGAGGATCTGTGCTCGTGAAGATTGTGATAAGCTGATCTAAAGTAGATGGTTCTACTCGGAGGATCACAATATTGCCAAGAAATCTAAATAGGATCATAATGATCCCAGTATGGGATTGAAGGTAGCCGTCCCTTAGATTTATTCCACATAACACAATCCTACTACTTCTCGAACTCACACCACCACAGGGAACCTAGTGTAGTAGGCGCTAGTGTTAGGTAGAAGGCCAGATCACCAAAAAAAAACCGACAAAATGAAGATTCGTGCGTACGAACAGCGTAACAAGACGAGCAAGGAGATGCTCAAGGAGCTGGAGGACCTGAAGCAGGAGCTGATGCAACTGCAGGTCCAGAAGGCCACCGGGGCTGCCGCTGCCAAGATGGCCAAGATCAAGGTCATCCGCAAGAACATCGCTCGTTTGTTGACCGTGTACAACCAGAAAATCCGCGGTGAGGCTCGCGAGAAATACTCGGGAAAGAAGTATTTTTGTGCTTTTCATGGTTTTAGAAGCATAGCGGCATGAAGATATGAGAAATCTAAATTCGTGCCTTGGTTTTTCGTACTGCTTGAAAATAACGTAGTCAAGTAGACCGGGACGGTTGCCACAGAGGGAGAGATTCGGGTTTTCTCGCGGTCCCCTTTTCTGCCAAAGGTTAGGCAAAAATTTAGATCAGCGTGGCGAGATTTCAGCTCGGTACCTCGGAGACAGAAGCTTTAGGCCAGGGCATTCGTATAACAACTCTCGGCTGCTTGCGGCATCTGACTCGGAGGTTCGAGTTAGGTTTCGACGATGCCTGTCTTTGGCTTCGTACGGGATTCCAGCCACAGAGGGAGAATCTCACGAGCGGACCTCTTTTCTGCCATGGTTTCCCCAGAAGGAAATCTTTAGGAGGGTCGGGCACAGAGCGTCACTGTGTTGTCAATTTTCGGTACATGTGAAGTGCCTGACTTTCCGACATTTTAGATTCGTCTGTCTATCGCATAAAAGATGCTTGTGCGCATCCGGGATTCCAGCCACAGAGGGAGAATCTCTAGAGCGGACCTCTTTTCTGCCATGGTTTCCCAAGAAGGAAATCTTTGGGTGGGTCGGGCACAGAATCGTCACTGTGTTGTCATTTCTCGGTACATGTGAAGTGCCTGACTTTCCGACATTTTAGATTCCTCTGTCTATCGCCTGGAAGATGCTTGTGCGCATCCGGGATTCTAGCCACAGAGGGAGAGTCTCATGAGCGGACCTCTTTTCTGCCATAGTTTCCCTAAATGAAGCACCTCGGTTTGATTACCCTGTTTGATGAGCTCCGCAAGGTGGGCTTTTCGAAGCGGCAATCCATCGACACAATATTGCGCGTAAATGCGTATGCTGTTTGTATTCGATCTGCATCGGATTGTAATGATGAATGCATAAATCTAAATATTTCGAAAAACCTCTCTTCTGCTTCAACCCACAGGTACGTTCCGTTGGACCTGCGCCCGAAGAAGACCCGCGCTATCCGCCGTGCGCTGACCAAGAAGCAGAAGGCTTTGGTCACCCAGAAGGAGAAGACCCGCGCTCAGAACTTCCCGCAGCGAAGCTACGCGTTGAAGGCCTAAGATGTTGGGATAGCGACTCGGTGAAAATGTGTTTTCCTGCAAAGAGTCAGATTTTAGAAAAATTTGATGTCTGAAGGGAAATGATGAACACGATCTGGTGATATTCTCAATCTAGCTGCCTTAGACCTACAAAAAAAGAAAGTGTGCCCGATTTGCCGCAACTGCTGTGCGTTCAAAAGGTGGTGTTCGCTCTTTGCTTCTTCTATCGTGCGCCGCTCGTTGATCCAAAGTACTTATGCTTGATCGTGTGGAATGAAGAAGCCTCAATGCGACTTGTGCTACAGTCTAGGAGCCCGTTTGCAGAGCGGGTTCGAAGTTGCGCGTTGCGCAAGGTCCCTCTTTTCTCCCGGTGGCCCTCTGAGAATGCAACTACGCTTCACATGAAGAAGATGACATGAGAGGAGATGTGAGAGTAGTCTTGTAGCCCAAAGTGAGAGCGAAATACTTTAAATCCATGTCGCAGTTCAATTCTCCAGAAGACGAATGGCGTAGCTCCTTTCGTCGCTCCTCAGACTCTTCAGATGGAGAGAGCGCCGAGGAAGACGACTCGTCCTGTCTTTCGTCCGGTTCTGAGGCGTGCGAAACATATGGAAACCACCTCTGGCTGGATGTTGCTGGTAGCCGGCCACGCAGTGCCGACTCGGATATAGTTTCTGCGGTCAAGAAGGGTGATATCGATGCAGTCAAGCGCCTGGTGGAGGAAACGCAGCCGGGCAACGAGCGGAGGACGCTTGTGAACTCTACCCGGCACTGGACCGAAGTAGATTACAAAATCGGCGGGTATACGAAGGAGTGGGAGTGGCACGACATGACAGCGCTTTCGTACGCGGCGTATGGTGGCCACGTCGACGTCGTCCGCTACCTTTTACACACTGGCGATGCCGATCCGACACTAAGCGGCTGTCCGGTAGCAGACGAGTATTATGATGCGAGCAAAGCGGGAGCGGCGGGACAGTCGAAATTGCTGAAGTGGATGATGGAGTTACTTTCCCCGGAGTGCATCGAAAAGCTGAGTTTCGCCGAGGATTGCGGATTCCCCTGGAAAAAGAACTGCTTCTCCGTTGACTGGTACTTTGCTCACCACTGGACACGGTGCAAAACGCCCGAGCGGGATTGTCTCTGGCCAAGCTTAGCAACTTATGAGAAGCAGGGTCTATTTAAACTTGTCAACGAAAAGTACTACGACCCAAACTTCTTCCGCCCACCAGAGGAGGCATACGCCGTGCTCGCGTTTCGCCAGAAATTTTCGAAAATCGAAGCGATGCTGGAAGCGGTGCAGCCATTTTGGGAGGTGGCATCTTATTCCAACCCCAACTACGGACAAACCAAACGCGAGGTTTTCTCGAATCAGTGCGAAAATGTGGACGGTATGCGAGAAGCCCTGGCTCTGGCGGAAGAGAGCGCGACATTGGACTGGGAATGTTCCATGAAAGAAGATGTCGAGGCGGTAGCAAAGGATCTCGCGGTGTTTAAGAATAAGTTGCTGTGGCGAGCGCAGCATTATCGCGCGAAAAACAGGAACGCGTCGGGGCGGAAAGGCTACTGGCACTATCTGGACGACGGGAGCACGATCGAAAGAGGACCTTCCATATCGGGCGCCAGGCACTTCGGTCGGCGCGGAGGGTGATGTGCGATTAGTGCAGAAAGCACGCTGACGTGAAATGCTATCTTTATCTTTGCGTGAGCGTGTACGTGATGAAGTTGAAAAATGTCTGCGGAACAAAAACTCTTCATAAGGACAAGTGTGTCCGCTTGTGAGCAAAACTTGTAATTCGAAATATACAACAAGGATGTGGTAAGACTAAGATTGCGATCTTGGGACAACTTCTGGTGGCATCCTGTCGTGAATCGGCTCAATTCTGCACTTGTTCAGCGCGGCCAGTAGATCAGGACTTGTGAGTTGGCAAAAAGCCTTTTCGTTCGTCTTCGTGGTGGAACTTGAATGCATAGTCGCGCGTTTCTTTTCGGCTGGTTTCTTTATTTCTGTCGGTGTTTCGGTCACCAGAAAGAGGCCCCGGCATGATCGGTTTGCGGTCGTCTCCGGTCCCGTGCTCGACTCAGTGGAATTCATGATCGTGAAAGCTTCAAGGCAGAGCACTAAAGCCGTATCTAAATTCAGTGCGCCTCAGTCTTCCAGAACCAGCGCTGATCAACAATTAAAACTGCTCTTCATCTGTTTATACTGTCTTTTCGCTGACCCTGACGACGTGAACTTTTTTCTTTCTCTCTACTTCATTTTATCGCTATCAACTGGGTTTGAGCTAAATTCGTGCGCAACTGCGGTCAGGAAGATGAGGATCATTTCGCGCCACGTTTGCAGATTCTGGCCGTGGACAAGTTCGCAGCAGTTGCAGTCGCGAAGTGGAAGCAAATGCAAGAAATGAGATTCTTGGCGGGAGACGGATCATCTTTTGCAAAATGAACGGACGCGTGCTCTTGCGACACAAAATCAAGTTGCACCATGAAGTATGGACAAAGCCACGGAATGTACATTGCGGACATTCAAACTCTCACCCTGCAGTGCCTCCGCGCGCCACGGTCGCGCAACAGTACACAGGAAACCAAGCCCGCAGGTCAGTCAGCTCCTACCGCGACGAGCACCCGGACTGCGTTGACACGGACAATGTCGAGGTGGATGACGTGGATAGTTTTGGGGCCAATCGCCGCCCCGGCGTCTTGGTTCTGTCCATGAAAAAGCCGAACACGACCTGGGAGGAGGCTCTGTGGGACCAGACGGAGGCGCACCGGATCTGCGAAGCTGCCGGATGGACGCCGATCCCCCACCCGCTTTGCCGGCTTTGGGGGCGGTCAACGATCCCGATGATAAACGACAAGTACTTCATTAACGGCGAAGAGCTGAAGCGGGTGGGCAAACGCATCGTAGATCTGCACGAGGGTCGGGACAATCTAGATGCCTTACTGAAACTCGCCCACTACGTCGACGCAGCGGAGCGGCGATCGGAGCGCATGGCGCGGAAGAACGAGCTGCGTGCGCAACTTGCGGAAGAGCTAGGGGTGGAGGTGGAAGCGCTGATGCCGGAATCTCTGAAGCAGAACATGGAGCGACGGCATCTGCGCGGCGCCGGGATTCCGAGCCGAAAGCGCGTTCCCTACCGAAAAACAGCAGCGCTGGTCGACCCGGGTTCGCAGCACTCCGGCGACATCGACGCGGCGCTCGACAGAATCACGGTCGACTGTCCGGAGAAGCAGGCGAAGATCGATGAATTGTTGAACCAATCGGAAAGGCAAGAGAAGCTGTCGCGGGCCGAAAAATTAGAAAAGAAAATGGACTACGAAGTGGGTGAAAGTATTCTCACACCCGAGGTTTCGCACTCAATCGCCGTGGGGAACCGCACGGCGTATGACTTCGGGGACGACGTGAGGCCTGCGAAGCTGCTGACGCCGAACATCAGCGTGAAAGCCCGATATCCGCCCCCGCAAGCAGTTTTTTTCAATGTCAACCTCCATCCGAAACAGCAGTACAACCTGGAAATGGCAATGAACGTGATCCAATCCTTCATCCAGGTGACGGAAAAGACGACAAAACAAATCGAAGTGCTCGACCGAACCACGGCAATTCTGAAAATTTTCGAGCGGCGCGCGACCCGCGACCCGGCGTGCCGCCACCAGGTGAAGGTGGCGAGCTTGAACAATTTGAAAACCAATATGTGGCGCACGGCCTCCTGGAACGCGAAGCGGTGGATGGATGACTTAGCGAGGTCGTTGGGGGAGAAAAAGGTGCAGCATTGCGTCGCGACAAATCAGGAGCACCTGGGGTTGAGTTTCACGAAGCACGGTCGCAGCGCGCACGCGTGGAACGTGTGTCACTCGTTCACCGATGACCACAGGACCTACAATTACCCTGACCGCGAAGCCGAGTACCGGACCGGGGCGATGAAGAGAGTCAGGGACGGATTCGAGAAAGTTCTCTTCAGAAAAGCGGAGGAGCGAAGGCAGATCACGAAGGGGAAGAATGTGATCGGAGTAGTTGGGTACACGAACGTGGGGAAATCGGCTCTCATAAACCGTTTGATGGCAAGCAACGGCCGCCACTACGACTGCCGCGCGGTTGTTGATGTGGGGGTTTCCCCTGATCACAAGACAGCAAGAGTGAAGATCCACGGCGAGCTACCTCCAGATGAAGCTGCAGAAGATAACAGCAGCACAGGGAGAGAAAACGCCACCGACGACGTTCTGGATAAGGACCGTGTTGCGCAGCGGTCAATGGGAAAGCCTTTGGACGAGAAGAACATGTACTTTTGCACCGCAGAAACGAAACTCCGTCGGGTGGAGTGCAATAGCGAGCAGGCTTTCTTACTCGACACCATCGGGGTGTTGAAAAAGCTGCCGATGAACCTGTTTACGGTCTTTCTCGCGATGATCGAGGAGATGCGGCACTGCAGCGTGATTCTGCACGTACAGGACGTCACGATTCCCGGGCACCAGCAGTTTTGGGAGCACCACGACGCGACGCGGGTGACCATGTTCAAGGCCGGAATCGCAAACGCGTTTGACAACGAAGAAGTTGCGCTGGGCAGTCCCAAGTTCGGTCTGGGAGGACTTTTGCCGGGAGAGCGCGAGCGTTTCGTTGGGGAGAGCATGCCTGTGGACGATGCGGAAGAAGAAGAGGACAGCGACACTTCTAAATGCACGACTGCGCCGCAAAGTAGTGCTAGCGCGGATCAAAATCAAGAAGAAAACTCGAGTACAACCAGCAGACTTGACAGCTCTACAACTTCTGAGGAAGAGTCAGCGCCGTATCGTGACCCGCTGAAAACCGACGCCAGCTTGCCGGACGTGAGACAGTCCTACCTGTACAGTTTCGCGATTCACGGAAAAGAAGCCCGCATCGCGCGCGAAATTGCGATGTTTGGCAAAAAGGACGACCGAACCAACGCGATTGGGCAGAAGCATGAGGAGGCACGGGCGACTTTCCTCCAGTCTGGCTGGTCACAAGAGGAGCGAAAAGCAATTCGAGAAGCGAAGGCGGCGAGCGAAGGGAGAAGAAAATTGATTCCGTGCGTGTCGTCCAGGGTCGTGGATGAGGGTGAGCAGCTGTCGAACTCTTCTTCGGAGGCATGTGCAGCCTCCGCTGAAAGTACGCCCGTTGCAGAAGCAGTAGAAGTGGAGCAAGTCAGTGATTATTCGAGTCCGTCTGAAGCAAGCGAGTGCGAGGCTCAGAACGGAGAACAACAGGCCGAGCCGGAAAATCGTATCGAAGTGCCAGAAAAGAAAGCCCGCCTACGCATCAAAGAGCGCAATATGTCGCGCAGCGGCGGCTACGCGGCGCCGCGACCGGAGCTTGTGGACGCGCGCTTGATGCCGAAGCGGGATCAGAAGAAGCAGGCGAAAGACCCGTTCTTTAAGAACGCCAGGCTGCAAGCCGAGGAGATGCTGGCGCGACAACAAATAATTCTTGGCAAGTGCAACAGTCCGGGCGAGGAGAAGGAAGAATCTTCCCCCGACGCAAATGATCCTTTCAACTACGCAGCGACAGCTGCGGCACAAAAACCCCCAGGCGGAAAGGAAGAGCAAAGTCCAAGTGAAGAGCCACTACCCGATAAAAATTCGACATCATCTTCAGCGGAAGGTGATGAAAAGAAGGGTGCAGACGCGCCTGCATCATCTTCCCAAGACAAACTGGAGATACCCATGGTGCCGCTGAAAAACTTGGAGACCGAGGCGGAGCGCGAGCACCGCGTGAAGCTGCGCGAGGAGTGGTATCGCGGCGACTTGACGCTCGAGCGTCGGCCCCTGAAGGACCGGCTGTTCTTCGATTGGAGCCACCACGACAAGGACAAGAAAAAGTACAAGCGGTGCCCAAAATTCGTGCCGATTGTCGAAGTCTGGAACAAATGCGACGTGTTGCGGGACTGGGAAATCGGCAAGCGCCACGAGTTTCACTGGTCCAAGCCGGTCTACGGTGCGTCCACGACGCTGCGCCAGGTTGGCCTCCAGGGCGACTCCGGGGACGCCACGGATTTTGGGTCGCGGACCGACAAAATGGGCATCGACGGCGCGGTCCAGGACGAAACCAGGCCGGCAACCATGAAACCGGACGTGGTGTTTGAAAAGTACGAAGGTAAGCAGTATGAGCATGCAGAGTCGAAGAAGTTGCGCGACGAAATCCAGGAACAAAAGCTCCGTCTGAAGGAGGAGCGAGCAAAGAAAAAGGACAGTCTGGTGGCGCACGCGGCGATTGGCGGGCAGCGGGTCTTGACTAGTTCCTGCTTGGACAACAGGCTGCTCTTACCGTCCTCTTCAAGCGGTGGTGGTTCCCCATCGCAACTACGAATTTCCGATCGCAGTGCCAGTATTTCCTCCTCGCTACCGCGCCTTAGCACAAGCTCCACGGGTTGCTGGCGGGACCGCGAGCAGGGCTCTTTGTCCTACCGCGACACCGTGCAAGCAAAAATCGACGACAGAAGGAAAACCGATGCTGAAGTGGAAGCGGAGCGGCTGCAACGTGCAGCAGGCGTCGATCAGGGACAACTAGATGGCTCATCAAATAATTATGACGATAAAAACCAAGCAAGAAATCACAGCCCCTACGAGAAGAGTCCTCGTCCCGGGGAACAGGGCAACAAGCGTGCGTCGCGGTTTGCACAGTCCTCATTGTACTCGGAAGCGCTGGAGCCGCTACTGGAGCAGGCGTCGAAATTGCAGATTTCGAATCGCATGCCGATTCTGACTTCCGCGAGAACCGGTGAGGGTGTGGAAGAGCTACGGGATGTGCTGGAGTGCATCTTCAAGTGGGCCCGCCGCTCTGCCTGGTTCGGCAACAATCAGAAGGACAACTACCCCATAACTGCAGCGCTAGCGGAGGATGATATGCTGGAAGAAGTCGACTATCGGAAACCGGCAGCGGCCTTCAATTTAAACGAGCATTTCGGTCCGACGCATGGGGTTTTCATGCGGGAGAAGGATCGGACTGACATTCCCCTTGCCGCGGTGCGAAAACGAAAATACATCGAAGCAGCGGATGGCAGCATCGTGAAAAGACGGAAAGTTATCACTATCGCGCAAAATGAGAATGACCCAGACCCAGAGCCAGCTAGAATTACGAAACAGCTACCCCTCACAGTTTTCGGGAACTGCAATTCTGAGAAGAAGGTAGACGAGGCTGAGATTGTGAACTGTGCGAAGGGAGCCGAGGCGAAAGCAGATGTTGAGTTTCCAGCTGAAACGTCAAGATCGAAATTCGCCTCGTCGCGAGAGCCGTCTCGGCTTGTGAAGACGAGCAAAGTCCGAACTTGCGCAGGATTTACTGCTTCTGTCCAGAAAACAAATTTTCTGGATTTTGTAACCTCGACCACGCGACGAGGACGTAGGGAACCGGCTGACGAATGTGCAGAAGCGACTGCTGTGATCCGATCGTCTTCATCACCGTCGCCCACGGTAGGAATGCAGGAAGGAGCCGATCATGAAGTCCTCGTCGCCAGCTTTCGGTCTGGTCAGCAGGAGAAACTGCACCAGGGTTGCACTGGCATCGTCGAAGCACATAGAGGTAGAGTTGAAGAAGAGGAAGACTTCCGTTGGACCAAGCCAAAGACAAAGATTGATATCAAGCAGACGCAGCTTGTTACGATAGGACCGCGAGAGCCAGGATACACCTGGGCACGCAACACCGGTCTTCTAGAGAAGCAGCTGGGTGACGGCTCCGTGCGCGTTTGGTTAGATCCGATCGACTACGGTCAGTTTCTGAAAATTCAGTACGCGGCCTCCTCCGAGGGTTTTCAGAGGCGAAAAGAATTTGCACCGATCGCACTTGAGATGATTAGTCGCGGTGATGACAAGAGCAAATCCGATACGACTGAACCAGGACAGCAGTCAGAAAGTTGCCTATTAAGTGAGAGCGCTTTCAGGACTTAGTAACAGCGTGCAAGATGGGATTCGACATGCAATAAATCTGTCGCTCGGGGCAGGCGCCAACGTGTCCTTGGACCGCGACTCTAACTAGAGCTTGACCTTTGAAATTGAAGAGAATGCGCAACCAATTTTCTTTCCCTTTCGTTCTTTGTTTTGTGTGAGTGTTGAGCTGATGTAGAAGACGAAGTTAAAAAAAAAGGAAAGGTCGGTGTAGAAGAATGTAAGTAAGTACTTAATCGCCAGGTGGGTTGTTGATACTAAAAGAGACTTGATTGGCATGGGGAAGTTGCAGTTTGGGCGTGAGAGTGAGCGAGAGTGACACGAGCAAAATCTACTACGATGCGTTGAAGCGCGGGTTCCAATAAGTTTGCTTTTCGTTTTCTCATTCTACTTACTGAATTCTTTTGGCTTTGAATGCAAAAGCAAACTCATTTGATGGATTCATAGTAAAAAAGCAATAAAGTTTCAGTTTGAAGAATAATAGTAATACCACACTACGAACTCGAACGCACGACAAAATGGCCAAGATGATGAGCAAGGGCATGAAGAAACTGGAGGCGAAGGTATGAATATAAAAGCTTCCTGTTCCTCACTGTGTTTTCTGCGAAGTGTTTATCTACATCTTCTTGTTTTCTATGAATGTGTCTCGAACGTATGAAGAGGCAGCAGGGCTATCTGCTCGCTCACTTTGTGACATCAGAGGACGCAAGGACGTTACTTTACCACAGGTCGTCAGCAAATTGGCAAAGAAGCGCAGGGTGTATGCCATTCGGCGGAAGGTGTACAAGGGGGAGATGAAGCGGACGGCTGGGGGCTTGGAAAAAAAGGACCTGCGGAAGAAACCGGCGGGCAAAATCGTCTCCGTCCGGGCCGCCGCGGCGGTCAAGAAGACGCAGCAATATAAAAAAATCATGTCCTGGAGTATTTTCCTGCTTTGCTGTTCTTTTTTTTCACCTTTTTTGCACAGCTGCTTCCCTCTTGTCTGGTGCTGGTTGTAATTTTCCCTGTAGCGCGTGTCGACGAAAGCACCGCCGCCGGTGGCGTGAGCCAAGTTCAGTTGACTCAAATTACACAACAGACGCGGCATTTATCCGGGCGAGAAAGGAACTGAAATTGGAGGGCTTTGTCCCGTGCGGAGGGAAAACGGCGAAGGGCAAGGCGTTACTGGCGATGACCCGCAAGTTTTACAAGGCCTAGGCCGCGAGGGTTGCGCGGTGGCCCGGGCTGAGGTACCCCCGTTTTCCATCGGTTGAGCTCCAGCGCCGACTGGCCATGTAAGTCGCGTGGTTGTTTTCCGTCTTCTATTGGTTAGCAGTAAAGCAAAACGCGCGAGCTTTATCGTAATAGTTCTTGTCTACGTGAGAGGTAGTTATTGAATCAGATGAATGCAGCGAGCAACATAATCCTCCTTCCACAATTCCACAAATTCGAACTCCACAATTCCACAATGATCCCAGTAGATGAAGAACAGAAACAGAAAGGAAAAGGAAAAGTATAGCAAGTAGAGAAAGGATTCGAGCTGCAACTGCAGGACCCATGCATTTCTTTTGGAAGCGACTCGAAACAGCGCTCGACTTTCGAAAATGAACAGAGTACGCAACCACTGTTCTTTCGTCCTTGTCTTCGTGTGTGAGTGAGTGCTGAGGTTTTTTCTAGACAAGCGTTTTTTTGACGAAAGTAAGTACAACTTGAACTTAAACAGAGTTGATGCAATGAAATCTACCGGAACTGGGGCGTGACGGCGTGAGGATTTACTCATGGATATTCTTTTGGTTTTGAATGCAAATGTATTCAGCACACTATCAGATAGAAACAAAGTTTAAACTTAAAAGGGAAAAATACTTCTACAAAACAAACGCGCGACATCATGGCGAAAATGATGAGTAAAATGGGGATGAAAAAGATGGGATTGGGGATGAAAAAAATGGCGGAAGCGAAGGTATGAAAAGTTTTCTGGTTGTTCGTTTTCTGAGCAGTGTGCTCTTCTTTCGTTGTCGCACAAGAGGGCTGCACTCAGGGCAGATCTGTTCGTTCATTTTGTGACTTCAGACGCGACACGATCTTTTACCCTAGGCGGTTTCATGAAAATTTTAGTGTTTCTTGTGCATGACAAACACAAACTTCAATCTAACCCCAGGTGGTGAGCAAGGTGGCGAAGAAGCGGAGGATTTACGCGGTGCGGAGGAAGGTGGTGAAGGGAGAAATGAAGCGGACCGGAGGAGGTTTGGAGAAACCGGATTTGAGGAAGAAGGTGACTGGGAAGTGCGTCAGTGTGAAGGTCGTCGCGGCGGTGAAGAAGTCCAAGCAGTACAAGAAAGTCATCGCCTGGAGTATTGTCCTGCTTTGCTGTTCTTGTTTTTGACTTTTCGGCGCGCCACTTTTTTGGCTCCGCCGCTTCCCTCTTGTTGGTTCTAATTTTCCCTGTGGTGTTTGTCGACGAACACGAAAGCACCGCCATCAGTGATTTGAACCAAGCTGACTCAGTTCACACAACAGACGCAGCATTTATGAAGGCGAGAAAGGAGCTGAAGTTGGAGGGTTTTGTGCCGTGCGGAGGCAAAACTGCGAAGGGCAAGGCGTTCCTGGCCACGACCCGCAAGTTTTACAAGGCCTAAACCACGAGGGTGGCGCGTTGGCCCGGGCTGAGGTGCTCCTGTTTGGTTATGGTGGACCCATTCCATTGGTTGAGCTCCAGCGCCGACTGGCCATGTAAGTCGCGTGGCGGTTCTTCTGCTAGCAGCTGTACTACGAAACGCGCGAGCTTCATCGTCATAGTTCTTTTCTACGTGAGAGGTAGTTCTCGAATTTTGAATCAGGTGAATGCACAGCAGCGACCAACAAGGTTTTCCATGTGACAAGCTTAGTAGAAGAACAGAACAAAGGACAAGTAAAAGTATAGCAAGCAGAGAAAGAGTGAGGGCGTGGCACAAAGAACGCTGTGCCAGGGAGCAGAGTCTTGGCATATTGCCGCAATTCGCTCACTCATGTTGTTTTCCTGATGTCGAAGGTGTGTTTCATCGAAAGTTCTTTGTTGAAGACGCTGTAGTTGTTGCGAAGTTTGTGACTAAAAAGCAAATATGTACTCTGTCGGTGCGAGTACGTATCGACTTCCAACACGAAGATGACGATCACGATGAAGACGTATGGACGATGCATCAGTAAAACAGTTTGTGAAGATGAGATCTCCTTCATTTCTTGTGTTTTTTCAGCAGGCTATTTCTTTCCTGCGACAGTTTTTGCGCTATCGCTGCTCGCTCTCAGAAAGCAGCCTTTCCGTTCCATAAATCGAACTGACTCTGCCAAAACTGAATGTTTCGTGGCAGCGTTGGTTATATGAACTCCAACCTTGTTGTTAGAGGATGGCTACGTAGAATATGAAAATGAATCTGAATCCCGAAAGTTAAACACCCCATCAAGATGTCGCAACCCTCCGGCGCAGGCCTACCGAATCAGAACCCCCACGGCACCGGTGGGGGTGGGGGCCAGCCACCGGGAGGTCAGCAACAACAGCACGGCATGCAGCAACCTCAGTTCGGATTTGGGCAGCAACATCAGTTGCACCAGCAGCAGCAATTTCAACCTGGTCAGCAACAGCAAATGGCACATCAACAGCAGCAACAGCAAATGGCCTACCAGCAGCAGATGGCACATCAGCAGCATTTCGTGCAACAGCAGCAATTTCAATTTTCGCAGCAACAGCAAATGGCGCAGCACCAGCAGCAGATGCAGATGTCGCAGCAGCCTCACAGTGGTGCACCAGGGCAGCAACCGCAAGGATTTCCGCAAAGTCAGCAGGCTCCTGGGTACGGGCAAATGCAGCAGCCCTCATCGGGCTCTTCGAGCTTCGGACAGCAAGTTCCACCGCAATTCGTGCAGCACCAACCCTCCCAGTTCGCTTCTGCTGCGCACCAAGGCAGCCAAATGCCGCAGACACCTGTTGCAGCCAACCAGTCACAGTTTGCAAGCGGGACGAGCAGTGCTTCCTCATCAAGTAGACCATTTGGCGCGCCAGCAGTTTCGTCAGGACATCAACCGCAACAGCAGACGGGTCATCAACCGCAGCAGGCGGCGATATCCGCGCAGCAGCAGTCTGCGCCAGCGCTTCCTCAAGCGCCAGATGTCAGCGTGATGCAGCAGCAAATGCAGGCAATGCAGCGGGAAAACGAGCAGCTGAAGCAGAATGTGATGCTTTATCAAAAGCACGCGATGGACCAGCAGAGCAGCCAAGCGACGTTCCAAGCCCAGCAGCAAGAGGCGCTGCAGGTTCTCCAGAAAGAAAACGAGCAGCTGAAGCAACAGAACGAGGAGATCGCGAGAAAAGCTGCACAGGAGCAGCAAGCTGCGCAGGCTCTGAGGCAACAAACCACCGTCGAGAGTCAAGCCCAGCTTTTACCGCAGGAACCGATGCTGCGACAGGGCACGCAGATGGCCGTTGACGTTTTACGCGATTTCGCGGAGGGAAAGGCTCCTCACGTCGCCGAAATGGGCGCATCGCAAGTAGACCTGCCGAAAATCGAGCCCCCGCCCGGCGCACACTTTGGTCTCGAGGATTTCTCCAGAACGCGGATCAAAAGTGAGGACGTGATTCGGCCCCCGGACGACATGCTCGCGGTAACGGAAAACAACCTCCGCGGCAGGAAAGCGCGACGTCTCTTGCAGGTGGTCGAAGGCCTGCAGACGTTCTTCCAGGAGCACTCCGAGCTCCCCTTTGACCACGCGGTGAAGCTGCGGTCCATTCTCGAGCCGCTGCGAAAGTGGGAGGCGGAATTTAGGAAGCATTGTTCGACGGTAACAGTCCATGACACTCACAGCGACGACGAGAAGGATCAGGACGAGGACGACACCAGCGATGGCGCGGTGGAGAAGATTGACAGCACCGACAGCAAAAGGGATGTCTTCAAGACCTCCTTCAGTCTAATAGAAAATCTTCTTTTTCCTCCTCAAGACTTCAACGATACCAGTGCGAAAACAACGAGCAACGACACCAGTACTAGAAGAGAAAAGCAACAAATCCGTGACAAAGAGGTGGAAGAAAAATTCCACATGTACTACTTCGATTCCACGGGCGAGGAGCCGTTGGTTCCGACCGTGCCCGAGGGGTTTCACCTCAGATTGGAGCCAGTCCTGCTCGATGTGCTGCAGAAGACCCCCATGCGGTTACTGTTTGTGGAGTTGCTGGACGTGCTGAAGGAGTACTTTCTCTACCTCGGAGACGTGGACCAGTCGGCTCGTCTGCGCGATACTTTTATGGAGAGCTTGATCGCTCGCGTGCACGAGTTTTACCTGGCGGACTACTTGACGCCACTGGACCGCACCATGTTTCTCCAGTTCGAGACGCAAATCCTGACCATGCTCCACGCGTGCCTCGGAGCGGACACGCCAAGAGGGGCGGCGAGGCTTGTGCAGTGTTGCTCCTTTGAGGATATGGGGTCCTACTTTCTCGGCGAGCGACTTGGGGCGAAGCTCGAGGAGGATGAGTGGGAAGCCAAAGATTCCGTTCGGAGAAAAAGTCCGAGACTTTCTTTTCGGGATGGAACGATAGCTGCGCTGCAAGCAAAGATGGATGGCGTCTTCCCGGCCGGAGCTTTCGACAGAGCCACGCGCAACAATCGAATTGCAGGGTCGTCGTCTGTTCTGAATCTCAGAAGTAAATAAACATAGCTCATCTTGTAAATACACACAGCTCATCTTTCATTGACTAGAAGTAGAGTTTTTGTTTATTCTCTTTGGAGCGTTGTCGTCCTTGCTTTGTTTTGCAGAGTCTGTTATTCTTGCCGTTTTCAAACCAGGCCACTCCAACTAATTTTCTCACTCAATTCTCCTCCAAGGTCCCTCTCGCTCCCAGCCACGCACGCACGCCTCAATCGTGGAAACACGACGGAAGCGCAGAGAGGCGAGGAGAATGGGTGGACGAGGCCGGGAACCGCCAGGGTCCTCCCCGGTCCGGGGAAGGAGAAAAACGCCCTCCTACCTTGAAAAAATCGGTCGCCGCAAGCCCCGACCCGGGCAGCACAGGTGCATGGAGATGGGTCGGTATCTGTTGCGCGAGCAGGACTGGTTGCCAGAAACGCCTCTCTTCAGCCCCGTGGAGGAGGGATACAGCGGCCCGCTGCAGTTTGGTAGTAACGTAACACACGCCCTAAAAACTTCATACAGCAATAATAGTGGCACCAGCACGCGCAGCGCTTCGGTAAACGACATGCACAAGCTTTCGACGGCGTGGAAGTCCCGGCAGTTTCGCATACGCAGCAATCTGCGCGAAAACGAGACGGGAAACCCACTAGGAACGGTTGTGCGGAGGAAGGATGAGGACCACAAGATTGGAGAATTCTTAATTCCGAAAGTGAACATCGAAATTCTCTGTGCCGTCCGGGGCCAGCTGATTTTGTTTGCGGACAACGCGAAAACGCTGGAGGAGTCACAGTTTTACACCGACATGCTGGACCAGATTGTGGACTGGGAGTACATGGATCCGACTAGTCCGTTGACCTTTCAAAGACTCGATTTTTACCTGAAAAACCGCCCCCCGCCGGAAATCGGCGAACGGCAAAAATTCGGGATCGTGCGCTCGCTTTTGTGCTTGATGCTGCGCGGCCTGAGGCACCCGAACCGGAACACGTGGGCAAAAATTGAGCTGTTCTGCGGCATCTGTGAGCTATATCCGCACATGATGCAACACATTTACGAGCACTACGCGGACCTGTTCATGCAGTTCAGTAACATGCTTGTCATCGGCCGCGTAGGAGGCGATCGCTATGACATCTCAGAGCGAATGCAGCATACAGCCTTGCTCGTGATAAGGTACTGTTCTTTTTGTGCCAGTTGTGAATGGAATAAGAGAGTACGTTTAGTTCGGCTCGCATCTGTTCGGTATCGAGCAAGACGTGCAATTTACTTCAATTTTTTTTTTCAATCCCCAGGCGTCTGATGCGTATCATGGAAGGCGAAGAGGCGGCTGGCGCAATTCTGGTGCTCCACTTTAAGACCGGCGGCGACACGATCCTTCAGCGGGTGTACAACCTGGCGCACTACGAAATCCTTGCTGGGCGCATGCTGCAGCCGGTGTGTGGCGTTTGTCTGGACATCATCATTCGCTTTTTGAAGAGGAAAAAGATGAAGTCGGTCGGAAAAAACTGGCGACTGCTTCCCTGCATAATCGTTGCGCTGCAAAATTCCATTGCTAAGCTGGAGCAAATGTTAGCGTCGCCGATTCCCGAGGAGGTCTTCGATCGCGAGCCGGAACCGCCTGTCGCCCGACACCTGGCGCGCGTCAAACTCAACCTCGCTGCGCTCACGAAAGTGGCACAACGCAACAGCAAGAGTGCGCGCGACCGGAGCAGACGGGCTCGGAAAGAGCGGGAAGAGGCGATTGACAGGACGAAAATAATCGTGCAAGCTGCGGCGCTGATGGAAGAAAGGGAGGCCGAAAAGGCCAAGGCGGAGATGAGAGCCGAAGTGAAAGCTGAAGTGCAAGCTGAAGAAAAAGAAGAGGAAGAGCCTGCGCTCCTGCCAACCACCCCAATATAACATATCCATATACCCATAGTGGCGACGTTTGATGTTGCTATTGCAAACGCCTTTTCATCCATGCGGAAAAATATCCTCAACATGAAACTGGAAAAATTCAAATCTAATGAACAATCGGAAAACAATTTCAATTCCTAGGATTGCGCTACACTCGTCTCATTCCACCATCGCGCTACACCCCACTTAAATCTGATGAACAAGTACAGTATATTGGATGTCTTGCAATTGTAAAACGAGATCAAAATCATCATGAGCGAGTCGAGATCGAGCCGTGCATATGAATTACTTTACAAGCACACGAGGAGAGAGCGACAAAGAATCAAGATCATGGTTTACCGCAGCCCAGATGTAATATGTCCGGAAAGACATGTGACGACATGGACATGCACTTGCTCTGCTGCGCGTTTTTGATGCCAGAGCTACTTTTGTGCTCTCCTTTTCTTAGAAATGAACATTGACTCCTCGTTCTTTAGCAGCGCTTTGCGAGATGGACATATCACGCGCACTTCTATGTGGGGTCGTTGGAAGGTGAAAGGTTGCAGAAGAACAATCTTTTTACTGCCAGCAGCCTCTGCTGACATGCTCATACATTGGTCAGAAATTATCCCACCCCAAAACAACTCCCATCCGCAGTTTTCGCAATGACAGTACGTGCCCTTTTTTCAAAGACGATAAGTTGTGAAGAAGGTTGTAGGCGTAATTTGAATGATTGTCACCACGCACCGGTAGGAAAAAAAAAAAATGAAAATTATTGCTATTTGCGGCGATCCTCTTCGATACAAATTAACCCGACCCCACCAGAGGAAGAAATAATTCCTCACCGTTGTTCGGAATCTATTCCTTCTAAAACGAACTTAAGGAAGTGCACCGAGATCCACACTGCTACACTGTCTGTTTTTCGTGTGTCAGATCGTGTGATTCGGAAATGATATTCACAGTCATGTCCGTGTTACGTGAAACGATATTCTTCTTCCAGTTGTTGAGTTGCCGTGTCAAAACTTTTGCATCAATCATTCAGCAAACCTAAACAATCATTCCCTCTACTCCACAGTGGTCTCAGTTGTTTCTGTGGATGCCGGGTGAAGATGTGGATGTGGTAGAAATAAGTCTAGCTGTTGTAAAGTGCCGTACTCTCGAGCGTCAACATCAAAATTAGCAAGCATGAAAAACAAAAGACCGGCTGCAGAGGTTGCGACGGACTACTAGAGTCGTTTTGCCTCTGTCTCACGGGGTCTCAACTGGGGGAAAAGGAGTACTCATTTACGATCAACGAGAGTCGTTTCTGTCGTCTTTCTTGGCCTCCCAATCTCGCATTTTTTGAAGGCTCATATCGCTTCACTATTTGATTTTCCGCCCGCCCGGACAAGTAAGTTGATTGACCTGTGAAACATCGTGGTCGGCAAGGAATGATAGAACTAAAACTAGTGTCTGCTGTTTCTTTATTCACGCGACACTACTGCAACCGGTAAAAGCGGTCTCCGTGTTGTCACCAACTCCAACGCGATTGTGATTTACCGTTTTCTGATTTTTCGATACTGAAGTTTTTCAAAAAAGTACTCTGACACGACCAAAATGGACCATGACGAAGAAGACATTTATGGCGACCTCGGGGTGATTCCCCCACCCGGGAAGCCGGACACGGATTCCCCGCCACGGGATCCGCGTCGCTTCGCACGGCCACCGAAGAACAAGGCAAAGCCGCCTGCTGCAGCGGCAGGTGCCGCGGCGAGTACTGTCGCTGCAGCAGCGAAAGCATCGCCGCCTGCGGTGGGATCATCCGCCGACCAGCAGGCAGCCGCAACCGCTCTGGCCGCAGCACGCGCCACGCGCACTTTCTCTGCAACAACGGATGCAACAGAGGCGGAAGCAGATGTTGCCGCGGCACCGGCAAATGCATCAAATGCCACAACAAACGGAACCGATGGAAGAAACACCACAGGCGCCAATGCAGCCGCCACGTCTTCTTCTGCGGCCGGCACAGCCACTGCTGCACCTCTTGTCTCTTCACCTTCTGTCAAAGCAAGGCGCGCGAGTCTGTCGGGTCGGGGCTTGTTGCAACTCGAGCCTATCACTCTGGATATGACAGTGGCCAACGATGTATTGCCGCGGATCCGAAGGCACGAGGCGAGAAAGCGCAGAAAAAGAGCCCAGAAGGACGCGGGCAAGTCCCCCTCGCCGAAGCAGCGAAGGGTGGACGACGCGCTGAAAGCGGAACCGGAAGATCTTGCGCTGGCAAGTGCAACCGGGACGAGTGGGGTTAATACCGACGCAGGGGCCGCGCCAGAAGCGAGTGGAGATGGAAAGAAAGAAACCGACAGTGGAGCCGCGGGTGCTGGTGGAGAAAAAAAAGCGACCAAAGAAACTGAGTCTTCCGGGGAGAAAACCGAACAGGAGGAGCACGACGAAGAGGAGCCCTCCGAGGAATTGCCTGTGCCGGAACACTTCGACAATTTACGAGAGAGAACCCAAAACTATCTACCCCCGATTCCAATCGGCTTGCCCAGTGATCTCAATAAGCCAATCAAGCTGTCAGATTTCGCGAACCGCGTCACGCTGCCAACAAGGAAGGGGATGTCTAAAAAGGGAGGCCACGGTATGACTACGATAGCCAAGGCTCGTTTTCGATTTTAATAAAAGTCCGTCGTAAAGCATTTTTAATTTGCGGAAAAAAATTCGCGTATTTTTGTCGGTTTTCTATTCGAGTTTCATCCGGACATCGTCATCGAAAAAAAGAAAAAATATCGGATTTCAATTGAATTCAACAGCTAACCCCGCCTTCCGCGAGCGCGTGCACGATGTGCGAATGGCCGCCCCTCCCGGACTTCCTGAGGGAGGAGGCACTGCGCGACACTGCATCTTGATTGCAAACCTCCTCTCGACCACAAGCTCCACCGCGGTGCGAAAGAAGGCACAAGATTTTGGCAGTCTGCGCAACATCCGCTTTTTGGAGCAGCCAAGAACCGGGATCAGTTTCGGAGTGGTAAAACCTTTTTTAGCCTTCCTGATTTCAGTAAAAGCCGTCCTTATTTCTTGCCTAGTATAATCATAATGCCGCTGCTTGCGTCTGCTGGGGTTCTTCTCAAAATCACATTTGCAGTATGACTGTGATCATCGAAGAATCAATGAATGCGTGTCAGGTTGTGGTTGAGTACACGACTGAGGAGGAAGCTCAGAAAGCGTCCGAAGCCCCCAGCATCCACTGGCAAACGAACAAAGAGAAGCCGGTGGTTCGCAAAATATCAGATGACGAGTTCGCCCTGATGGTCGGCGGCGAAGTGCCCTGGCTGGAAGGCGGGCCCTGCGAAACCGAACTCCGGAAAGCGCTAGAAATCAAGCTCTTTGGCCAAGCAGTTACAGTGCAAATCCAACTGGATCACGACCGTGACGTCGAACTGGCGCGTCGAGGCCGCTTAGAAAAAACCGCCGGCGCCATGCGACAGCTGAACTCCCAACAGGGAGGGGGGAAGGGAGGTACAATGAAAATTTTCATTTTGAATTGACCTTTATAGATACTCGTGCTCGGAGCATTTTCTTCTATTCTTCTGTTTGGGAAGTAGATTGGGTTGTTCATGGGACCAGTGCCAGGCCCCAAGTAGGGTCTTTTGGCTTCGGGAAAATGGAGTTCACATCTGTGGCAAAACGAATTGAAGATCTTCTTGCGTTTGCTAAAACAGGCCCCAACGACTTCGGCGGCAAAGGTGGCGGACAGCGCGGCGATAGTTCCATCGTTCCCTCAAACCTGAAGTCCCTTGTGAACAATCGGAAAAGCCCAGTGAAACCCAATGATCCCTCTCCCCGAGGTGTAGCAAACAACATCCCCTCCAATAATCCAGTTCCCTACGGCAATTTTTCCGGCTCCACTACCGCAGCGACTAGCTCCCACGCGCCCCCACCTGTGATCGGCGCATCATCCACCACTGGGACGAACCGTGGCTGGACCCCGCTGCCCCCGCGCTCGACGGCGCCCCCGGTCGCGACGCTGCCGGGCCAGGGCCCACCCCCACCCGCCGTGAACTTGCACGCATTACCGAACGCACAGCGCTTCGGCGGCGGCAAGGGCGGCCGCGGTGGCGGAGGACAGTACGGAAATCCGGGCGGACCAGGAGGAAACGCGCCCCAACACTGGAACGGTCCCACCGGGGGACGAGGTGGTGGCCAGAATCAGTGGAATGGCAACCGCCGGCCGCAGCCGCTTGCGGACCAGCTCAGCTCATTGAAGGATTTAGTGAATAAGCGACAAAAGTAGCAGTCCGCCCTCAATTCAATTTTATGTTACAGTCACCTCTCGCGGGAGGTAGAGGAGGAGTGTGCCTTGGCTCTACTACCGTCCAGCAGCGTACGTTCCGTACACGCGGTCATGATCTTGAGAACATAGGGATCTTTACGCGAGTACCTTTTCATCTCTTTGTGCTGATGAAGCATTTCTTGTGCCCGTAGCAGCTAACTTGAGTGGCTTGTTGTTTTTTACTCAGATGAAGCAGAACTGAAGCTGAACAAGGGTATCAAATTGAATATGCAGTCAGTGAGAGGATCAAATAATGCATAATGGGCGTGAATGGCTGTAGATGTAGTCGTGCTGCAGGCACAAGAATGTCCCACACATCAAAGAGAAACATCGTACGTTGCATACTCTTTACTGCAACTTCCTCTGCTTGGCAGATTGTCACCTTAAGCGATATTCTTTGTTCAACCGCATTCATCTCGGCAAGGTCGTTCACAGAACGTCCGCATTCCCATTCTCGGTCGCTGTGCAAAAGAGCTTGGATCTCGAAAATTTCGGTCTTCCTGCGACTAATTTCTGTAGCACACAACGCAGCTGCTCGGTTTCGTACAAAAAATACAACTGCGCACGAACAAAGAAAAATCGTACGAGTCTCGGTTTCTTGCTCCACAAAAAAAAATCGGACTTCGTTCTTAACCGCGCCAGTCGTTTCTTCGTTCTGTTTTTCGTGCAACTGCTAGCAACTCAGTTAGTTTTTATTCGTTTTAGTCGTCCTCCTCACAACATCTATGGATGTTGCTCAGCACGAATTTTTCATTTGATCTACCTTTCCAGCACTCATCTTGAAATTTGTCCCCACTATATCACGCACTATTTTCGCATTGAGTTTGTATATCTCTTTCCCATTCTTTACCCCAGCATGTTCAATTATGTTTTACCAGAGGATTATTTCACGTGATAGCAGTACTAATTTTGGTGTAGGCTTCTTTTCACGATGCCCGGAAAACATGCCCCAAGATGACTTTTATTTCACGCGGCTAAAAGACCGGGAGTAGTAGAACTTCGTCTCGTCGGAACAGTTGAATTCGTCTTCTAGGGTCTTTGCGGCCTTATGGGTCAAGAGGAGGAGCCCGGTCGTGACTCCGCGGCCGAGGCGACCCGGAAGACGCAGTTCCGCGAGGAAAAGCTGGAGTCAGTACAGGAGTTCGAGACCGGGAAGAAAGTCGGCTTTCCGTCCACCATCGTGGACGACGAGGAGAAGGAGAGGTATCGCAAAACTGGGTATCCCACCGACATTCCTGCGAGTGAGGAGAAAAACGTGAATTTCTCGCCCGACGCGGGAGACGAGGAGGACAAGGCAAAATACCGAAAAACCGGGTTTCCACCTCCCGCACCCATCGACGAAGACGACGAGGACGAGGCCGAGAACCCCTCCGAGGGCCGCAGTACGGTGTCAAGAAACACGGCTGCTGGAGGTGAGCAAGAGCCGTCTGGTGCTCCTCCTGCTGAAACGCGCAGGACGAAGTTCCGCGAGGAGAAGCTCGAGTCGGTGCAGGAGTTCGAGAAGCACGTGGGGTTCGACAAAGACGCCGGGGACGACGACGAGGGCAAGAAAAAATACCGCAAAACCGGGAAGCCGGAACCAAGTCCTACGGACGACAGCGACGAGTACCACGTGGAGTTTGATGTGGAATCTTCGGGGGACGAAGAGGACAAGAAGAAATATAGAAAGACCGGCTTCGAGCGCAGTAACGACTACGACGTGCCCGACGACTGGACACGAGAGTCGGAAATGGACAAGAATACAACTCGAGACAGCACGGTCGCGGAATACCCAGCAGAGGCGGTAGAAGATGGTACTACTAGTAGTAAATCAGCGACGACCTCCGCGACCGACGCCAAAGCCCCTTCTGCCTCCGAGAAAGTGCAAAGACCCGGAGCCGGTGTTGTCCGGAAAGCCATGCAGTTTCGTGACGAGAAGATCGAATCCGTTCAGGAGTTCGAGAGCGGAAAGAAGGTTGTTGGATTTTCCCCAGACGCGGGCGACGAGGAGGACAAGACGAAGTATCGGAAAACTGGGTTCCCGAGTCCAGAGGAGCAGAGGGCGATGGACGAGGACAAGACGGTAAATTTTGCGGTGGACGCAGGAGAGGAGGATGAGGAAAAAACCAAATACCGAAAGACGGGAAAACCACAATACAACCCGGACGAGGATGACGAGGACGATAGCACAAGTGAAGAAGAGACAGAGTTGATCGTGCGCGACGAAAATGGGTCCTTCAGTCGACAATCTGCAGACTTGGATGCCTTTCTCAACGGTAGTGACGCGCCACTGGATAGCGCGGCCAATAGTAAAGCGCACGATAAGAAGAAGAAGAAGTCAACGGTAACTTTTCCGCAGGACGGGGTACAAGACAAAGCTTCGAAGGCTTACCGAAGAACCGCGCTGCCCGTACCCGCGGAACGCGACAGTCGCGCATCTAGTCCGGACGACGGTGCGACGAGCAAAAGGACGTCAGGGTCTTCACTTGATAGCAATCCGCTGAGTGATGTCGGAGACCACAGTGTCGGAGAGGAGAATAATTCAACCTTGAAAGTGGATACCAGCACACCGACGCAGCAGAACATGGTAAGTTTTGACGTCGCGGCCGCTGGGGAAGTTGATGTGGATCGTGAGGCGTATCGGAAGACGCCTTTCGCCGCGCGGGCGAAAGTCGGGTTCGCGGTGAGCCAGAGCGAGGAGCAGGTCGACCACGAGAAGTTTCGAAAAACACCGTTTGCAACACCCGCGAAGGTCGGCTTTTCGGGCGACGCAGAGGCAAATGAAGCGGAGGACAAGGCTAGGTACAGAAAAACGCCAAAGGTACCAAACGCACAGAAAAGCGATCCTACGAAAATTACGGACGAGGAGCCGAGGACTCCACCCGACACGCTGCTTCCCCCCGCGGTTGCGGGGGCGAGTGACGGGGTCGAGCAAACAGTGGGCACGTCGCTGTTGCAAATGATCAACCTGGAGCTGGCGAAGCATGACGAGGCGCAACCCCAGGAACAAGACTCTTATGAGGCTTACGTTCAGGCAAGACACGAGGCCAACAAGGAATACTACGATCATGCGGATCACGGAAGAATATCACTCGTCGTGGAGGACGGCACGCCGAGGCTCGGGGAAGGCACCACGCCGCGACCGCAGCCCGGAGACCCGTCCTCTCCGGCGTCAAGTAAAGAAACCAAGGGACGATCATCTGCGTACACACCATTGCCCGAAGATCCGAAGGAAGTCAATGCAAAACCGTACAACCCAGACGACTATCCGACGTTGCCACCGTTAGATTTGGATTTTTACAAGAAGCAGTCCTACTTCCGCGACAGCGCTAACGCGGAGCACGAGGACGCCTACGTGGACAGGCGGACCGTGCTGCAAGAGCTCGGAGACCACATCACCGAAATGCACAAGCAAATCGGTTCGGACCACGTCCCCATAAAGATCTACTTTAAAGTGAAAGAGGCCGCGCAGCACTGGTTGCACAAAATGCATGCGGAGGAAGCGCTCAAGCATAAGCAGCAAGCCACTTCTTCTCCGAGCGACGGCCCAACCGTCTCCAGCACAACTATGGGCGGCGTCAGCAGTGGCACCAGTCCGGCGAGCCCTACGACAAGTGCAGGAGCGCCTTTGGTAAACATATCGGGACCGCGCAGCAATGAGGCTAGGGAGGCGCTACTGGAGAAAGTTGCTGCGGATCGCGAAAGTAGTCCACTACTAGCACAACAACAGCAAGAACCCACAGACCAGGAGGACGCCGAATTGGCCAAGCGGTTGCAACAGCTGGTCGGGGAGCGCGGCGACATCGCCAAAGCGAACACGGTCGGCGTGCCGCTCTGGGCGGCGCCAGTCTACCTGCCACGAAATCCTTCGCGAAGCCGTTCCCTCCAGCGGGCCCCTTCCTCCGGAAATTGGAGCTGGCCGGACCCACGAGGCCAAAGTACGCTGCTGGCTGCCATGGGCCGCGATAGTGGGCGCAACACTTCATCTTCCCTGTGGAGCTGGCCCGACCCCAGAGGCAACTCCACCCTCCGCGACGCGGGAGAGTCATTCCGAGCCAACTGGAGCTGGCCCGATCCCCGCGGAAATAGCACCTTCCGGGAAGCAAACGAGTGGGACTGGCCCGATCCCAGAGGAAACAGCACACTGCGCGTGGCCGAGCAGATGCAACAGCAACGCGAGCGAACTGTCCGGATCCAGGAGCAGCAGAGGTTTACTACTCCTCGTAAATCGCAACTGAAATCTTCTGGCCAGGCACAACAAGCAACCACGACAAACGCGGTGCGCGCGGCGACCTACTACTTGCAGGAGGAGCAGGCCAGAAGAAACCGGGAGGAACTCGAGGACGAGGAGGACAGAAACCAAACCCACGCCCCACTGCTCAGCCTACAAAATCGGGGGCGGTCGACGCTTGCGGCGATTGAGGCGGCCGCGGCATCCGGGCGGACTGGTTCGGCGACCAGTCCCGCGGTCAAACAGGCCATCGAGGACGGAGTGCTCTCGATGCTGCAGCACGAGGAGTTGCTGAAGCAAGACTTGGATGACCATGCTGACGGCTTGAAAACCGATCTGTCGGCCTCCGCGGGCGACTTGAAGCGCGATCTGCTCGTGGAGAGTGGCGCTCTGGGCGCCAGCTTGGAGAAACTCACCGAAGACCTGCAGCGCAGGATCGCCTCGGTCCGGAGCTCCAGGTCGGACTCCCGGTCGAGAAGAGGACAACAGAATGGGGAGACAATATATGGCGGAGGAAGTGCTGTTTCATCACAGAAATTGAAGTCCGGTCGGAACAACGAGCAGGGAATTCCGACCGTGTCACAGATCCTTCGGGACGCCGCGGACAAAGTCGGCCGGGGAACCGACTTCACAACGGAAAGCTCCATGTCTAGCAGCTCCAGTAGCGACGGCAGAACGAGGAACGAGAACAACGCCGACGCGGATAACAAACAAAACGGGCAGCAGGACACAATTAGCGGAACGACAACCGCAGCTGCGCTAGGCGCTTCGACGGCACGGGAACAAGCTATTCGCAAGGTGGAGCTCATGGAACAGCGGTTCTCTTCCGCCAGTAAAGAGGACGCGGCGCGACAGCCATCACGCAGCGGACAGGAGTCGTCAAGCAAAGGTAAGTTTCTGATAGGTGTACATAGTTAGTCGTGTAGTTCGGTCTAGTACTGTTTTCGTGTGCATGCCGCTTTGTGCTGCTGCGCATAGAAGCAAACGGATAAGGGCTAAGCGGTTACAAAACATCATTTTATTATGATCTTCTTCACTCGACAGGTTCCATATCGAACGGCGGAGCAAACAATATCGACGACGCAGCAGAGCATCTCGACTTCTTAAACGCCTACTTGTCCCGGGTGGGTCGCATCAACAAAATACGCACGCAGCAGCGAGCGCGTTCGGTGGGGAGCGGCTCTAGCCGGGCAGCTGCCGTGCGCGCGGAGGGCGAAACGAAAGAGAAGGACGCGATCTACCGAAGAAGACAGGAGGCAACCGCCGTTTACGCAGACGTGGCCGGGAAATTGTCAAAGGTGACGGACGGCCTCGACGACGACGATCCCGCAGTGGCCAAAATACAAGAGCGGCTACTAGTTCTCCAGAAGGATCTCGTCCTGGAACGCATGGCCCACATGGAACGCGGCAAGTTCGAGAAACAAGCGGCATCGGTATAGCGAAATTTCTTTCTTCCACACTGATTTTCATATTTTTATATCGCTTCAAGTAGAACTAGTTCGTAGAAGATGGGACTCTTCATGCTTTGATGGATTGAAGGACTGCGCGAATCATGTGAAACCCACAAAAACCTGCACAACAGGCATCAGCACACCTAGTGTTGGATTCGTTGACTCGTGAGTCAAAGAAGCACGGAAGTAGGCTGCAGTTGGGCTCACAATTTGGTGTTGCTGTGAAGCATGCGAACGGTCGTGTCTCTGTGCACCGTCCTGCGCCAAGTCGCCCTTCGAAGGGAAGCACATAGAACTCGCTTCATGAGTGGAATACTGGGCTTCACGAGATTTTTTCTAGCTTAATATCTTTCAACTTTTTATTCAGTAGAGCCGTAAACTAATACAAGTACGCAAAATTTTAGACAATTTATACTACGCAAAATTTGATGGTGCGGACGAGCCTGCTCTCGAACGCATAATCAGTCTAGTTCAACATTTTTTCCCGCGCAACGCACTTCGTAAACGCAACGCAATTCGAGGAAGTCCCCTTTCCTCTGCTGATTTTTCAACGACAACTCGCGCATTACGAACGTTCGTCTTCGTTTACTTGATTTTCAAAAAGAGAACGCCTGCTGCAAAGACTGGCTGCAAGGAAAAGCGTTGCTGTGTTCCCATCCCCATCGTTTCGTAAGGCAGCTTCCATTGTAGGCGTTATCAGATCGGTGACATGGCCATTTGTTGCTTTCCCCCCCGCGTCGTTTTTGGAATTTCAGACGCGGGGGGGGGCCTTGTAGGCGAGCGAAATACAAACAAAAACGCATATGCTGTTCAAATGAACATTTCCGAGTCAGGATTTTTTTTTTGGTCTGGGCTGACCGAGAGAGAGCAATTTTAGACGGGTAGATTCTTGAGGTATTTTTGCTTGCAAAAACACGCATCAAAACGGGTGAGTCACCTCAAAAACAAAAAACAGTTCTCAAACATTCAAAACTGCACTTCTTTAGAAACTTGATTCCCCACGAAGCGCACGTCTTGTAGTAATTTTTTAGTCGAACTTTTTTCTCACCATCGGCACAGTTTACTTTCCTTTCTCATTCAAATTTAGCGTTCCGAGAACACCACTACCGTTTGTGAAAGAGAATTCATAGGTCCTACAACTTGCTGCTGAATTCATAATCCTCGTCTTCGCTATGTCCCACGGCAACAACAATTTTATGCCGACGTCGTCTGTTGCGTACCGACCCTACCATGGTGGCCGAAATGACATCTGGGGGTCCGACCTGGCCGTGCCGATGATGCAGGACTACGAACTGGTGCCGGTGGCCTCCATGATCGCACCCGCGTCCCAGTTTTACCAACCTTCGGCGCCGGCTAACTTCGCGGGGAATGCCTGTGTGGTGAATACCACGCCAGGTATGTTAGCCTAGTGATGCATTGATCACCATGGTGATGCTCTTCGTTCTCGTTTTCGAAACGGAAATAGGAACAATTCAAGCACGGATTGTTTTGTCTTTCTGATGATTTTTAATGCAGGCGAAGTTATTCGATTTCGAATCAATTCGTGGTGAAAAGATAAAGAAGAAGAAATCTTCTAAATTGTGCAGGTCAAACGCAACCCAACGCCATGCTGATGACGCCGCAGCCCACGAATGGCATGATGGGCAGCAGCGTCACAAATACTCCTGCGACTACCTTGTTTGCCGCAGCAGGGAAGCGCTCGAGCAACTACGATGATCACGCGACGAAGCGGCAGAAGGTCGACTTTTGCATGCAAATGATGCACAACTAAGGCTAGCAAGCTGTCTTCTTCTTTGCAGACCTAGAACTTTTTTTTTTCCACAGCGACACTCACTTTCTTTCAGTTATCACATCTTGGCTTGAAACTTTTCGGAATTCATCAGTCTACCAATGCTTTGAAATCGCATCTTTTGCTAAGCAACTGGCTTCTATTTAGCGCAACCACAACCCTTGAAATTGTTTATACGAATTACTGCATGTGGTCCGCTTGCTGTAGCTGTTGCTAACAGGAATTGGAATAGTCCGCTTTTCGCTGCGCGAGTTTTCGTCTGCCAATGTCGTAGCGTGCTTTCTTCTAGTCCTGCAGCAGCTGTCAGCACATCAGTCTGCAAATCATTTTGGTCAATTACTTGCTAGCCGACGGCAGAGATTTTAGGTCAGCTGAAATCCACCGTCTAATATCGTGGTCTCAAAACGTCGTCAATGAACAATCAACTGTATTGAACTGTTGAACACGAAGGAATGTGAAAACTCTAAGGTAAACGAGAATATAGAGAGAAGGACAGGAAGATTAAAAAAGCTGGGCGAGTATGTGGACCACAAAAATAGAATCAGGTAGTGAAATGTAAATGACCCGAAGCGGTGAAGCACAAGTCTGACTTCAAAGAATAGCGCGACGCCAAAACGAGTTCTCGTTACGGTATCTTTCGAAACTACGGGCTTCATCATTTATACTTTTGTCAGAGAATTTCCCCAAAAGATGAACTGTGCAAAAACCTATTTGCAGCATTTGCGAGAGTTTTTTTACGCGACAGGCGTCCTAAATCTAGATTGAGATTTCTCGGTCACTGCGTGATGCGTCGAAAGACCGTGACCAGTTCGGGGAGTTGTCGCCGACCACTGTTCTCTTGTCTTTACATCATTGATCTAGGAGCAGCGAACCTTTTTGGCATTATGTACATATTCTCTGGATCTACCACTTCTACTCTAAAGGATCAAAAATATGACGAGTTTCTCCTTCGAGGTTCACAGACAGAAGAAGCCTCTTTCGTCGATCTTTCAGGATCATCGTCTACATGCACAAGCGCGCTGCAGATCTTGACCGGGTCCCCGCGCACTCAGCGCAGAGCTTGGAAATCAATGTTTTTGTGTCTGTTCATGTGGTGGCAGTTAGTTGGCAGTTAGTCTTCTCTCAGATCACGATTACCACGAGTATTGAAAGTGCAACCTCTCGCTCACCTCCTGACCACTCGGAGTCGGAAGTGCAATAACGGCTCTAAGAAGTTGACACCGATGAAACCCATTCGGGCCACGATGGCGGTCCGTATTGTGCCTCTGCTACTCCTCACGCTGGAGTCTGCGCCCTTGGCCGCGGCGCATCGAGTGAAACTCGGCTCTTCTACGCCGAAAACGGAAAATCAACATGCGGGAAAAACCCCTGCCGAGAAAATTGTCGAGATGGTGACGGACGGGTCACCGGTCGGCTTTTCACCCCCCGGACGGTCGAGTACCGGGGTGGATTCGCAATCCGGCACGCCAGGCGGCGTGGCTTCGCCCCAAAGCTGGCGCTACGTGAGTTACTACGACCGGGCGGATAAACCCTCGTCCGAAATTTTTGCCCTGACGCCCGAGGAGGGTCTGACCATTCCTGAGATGATGAACCCGGACAATTTGAAGCCGGGGCAGTTCGTCGTTCGTGTCGATTACGTCTCGCTCCTACCGCTCGCGCGGGCGCATCTGGAAAAGGCGGCGCACATCCGGGACACCGGGGCGGAGGAGATCGGCTTAAAACGAACGCAGTTGCACGAGCAAGCGCAGGGAGACCAAATCGCGACAGTTGTCGAGTCGAAGAGTGCGACGATGCCCAAGGGTGCGCAGGTATGAGTAGAGTCGTGCTGTGTGATGTGTTGCAACCTCTATTCCAACATGAGGAGCTAGGCAGGGCATGGACTTTTAGTACGATACAAGTTTTACCTCAAGAGCGACAGCATGTTTCCTGAATTCACGTACATGAAACTAACAGATGTGGCTGTCTCCGTTCATCGGATTGCAATCTCATCGCATCCTCCACGACGATGGGCGAGACATGATCAAGGCCTTCGGCGCACCGATTCCTCCGATGGCTTTCAAGCTCCCCGAGGGTATATCGCCGAAGGACTACCTCGCAATCCTCACGCCCGGTTCTGGCATTACTGCATGGATGGCGCTCAACAAAGGACCCATGGCTGAGGAGCTGAACCTAAAAGGTTGGGCGGGAAAGAAAGCACTCGTGACCAGTGCTGCGGGCGGCGTGGGAATTGTACTTGAATGATGACAACTCTTTGATATTGTGATGGTGCGGTGGAGCTGCCAGATTCATCTCAGGCTCTTTTTTCAGGTCTGATCTTTTTTGCTCCGGAGATGATTGAAAGAGCATGTGCTGGAGTTTGCTGAAAGTAAGTACTTTGGTTCAACAACATCTGGCATATCATTTCCAGGTCCTTGTCCAGCTTCTTCTCCTGAAGGGCTGCGAAGTGACTGGTGTGACTTCGACCACGGAGAAGGCAGAACGGCTGAAGGACGAGACTGGGATTCATCACATATCAAATGTAAAAATGTCTGGGTCTGGAAGAGTCATGCTGTTTCTGCATGACACAGAAGGTCTGGCATGGAAGCTCTTGCATCACAGGTTTCGAGAAGCTTCCGCAATGCCGAATCCGCATGACCAACCCCCCATTTTGGTGACAGAAAGTGAGCAGCTTTTGCTGCCTATGCGTCAGAGATTTTTGTGTGTTCTGAAATGCGCATCACAAGTTGCATCCTTTCAGACCCAGACATTTTTGCATTTGATATCACACGATCGCGTACAAGGAGGAGAAACATTTCGATGCCGCTATCATTTGGAAAAACGTCCCCACCCCAGCGTTGTCATGCTAATCTGCATGCTGAAAATAAAAATATTTCTCATGCGGAGCCCCATGAGAGAATCAGCATGATGCGCTAGATCTGTGATGCTGCTAAACTAGCTAAGCAGGACTACAGTACGAGGCCAAACCTGTCATGCATAACTCCCAAGCCTTGGAGATTTGTGTTGCAAATTTTCCAATTTGACTATCGGCTGGGGACGTTTTTACCCAGGATAGCCGCGCTCCAAAAAGTCGGCCCGTTCGACATTTTCATCGACAACGTGGGCGGCTGGCAGTTGGACGCGGGGATCAAGGCCATGGCGAAGCTCGGACAGATCCTGATGATGGGGGCGATCTCGGAGCACGCAAACTACAACATGGGCAAGATTCGCGGAATCAAGGAATACCTCGATTTCCCGGCCAAGGAGCTGACGATGCGCGGCTTCATGCTCACGAACCACATGGGTGACAACCAAGCGAACATGGACGACGCCCGCGGCGCGTTGAAGGAGCGAATCCTGAAGAAGAAAGTCCGCCCGGTGGTGACGCTGAAATGGTACCGAAAATTTTCGGACTTCGCGGAGGAACTAGACAACATGCTGTGTGGGGACGGATTTGGCCGCGTGGTACTCGAGATTTGGCACGAGGAGGACAAGAGAACACCAGACTTTCAGTCGGGCGAAGAGGCTTCGCAATTTCTGGCAAATGCGGTAGCATCGCTGAGAGTAGCAGTAGGAGACCCGGAACTCGAAGTGGATCCACATTTTTTATCCGCTCTCGATCCAAATCTTAATCGTCCTATTCGGGGTCCACGTATGCCATTAGGTCATCCTGTGAACTCTCCCGCAGAAGTGGAAACCGGGATTGCCGCTGTCGAGGCACTTTGGAACAAGCGGCTCACGTACTACGATGAAAAAAATCTGGACGGTTACTTCCAGGACGTGGCGCACGATATCGTTCTTTTCTGGGGCTCCCGCACTGGGAAGCTGGGCGCGATCCGCACTTTCACCGGGGAAACCGCGGTCCGGGGCTTCGTTGAGTCAATGTGTGGGAAGCATCCTTACACCCACCATCTTCTCAATCAAAAAGTGAGATACATCACGGAAACGGATCCCGAATACGAAATTCGGGAGCGAGGTCTGATTCGGATCGAGTCCGACGCAAAAGCGGCCCCCGCGGTGCCGGAGAGTGTGCATAAGGGGAAAATGCCGACCATCTACGGAACGTTTACGGGTTACTACGCTAGACGGCCGGAGGGGGTGGAAGGTCAAAGACGCTATGGATGGCGACTGGTGAAATTGCTCAATTGGTTTGAGTAGGGAAGACGAGGAAATTGAAATCACACGACTTCACTGGCTAGGGATGATGTCGTGTCGGGGCATGTGTTGAGATGAAAATCTAGAGAGGTTAAGTAAAAAATGGCTGGTGTAGAAAAATGTAAATGCAAAGCTGCGATCCGAAGGTTGCTGAGGATCGCGCAAAAATGGTGATCAGCACAATTAGTGACGCAAAAATAACGAAAATGAGAATGAGATGCAGCCAATCCGAATCCTTTCTATTGCACTGACAGAAAGCAGATGTGTGGAAGATGCAAGCGCCGTCCGCCGAAAAACGATTCAGCTCATGTGTATCAGTAAGCGTAAACACTCAACAAATGCTCTCATTTGTCAACTTGTTCCGTAAGTTCAACTTCAAACGTTGCCTACTTTTGCAACAGGTACATTTTCTCAATAGATCAGAGGAAACAGTGCGCGCAGCGCATGATAATGAATCTGAGCCTGAAAATAAATCAGATCCAAATTCAAATAAACGCGATGTGTCTGATCATATCTTCGATCTTGAATTTACACGGTTTCCGTTTCGATCTGTTGGATTCATTTTTTTTTGACCCTGTTTAGTTTGTGTTTTCACCCCTAAAGATCCATATCCTTGGCGGCAAAACAGGAGTGTGATGGAACGAAAACATATACGACAGCGCTAGAAATTTCAACTTTTCGCTTAATTAAGACCAGGCAAGGCCACTTAATAGTTTTATCCACCCTGACATCAAAATGGGCAAAAAGAAAGGGAAGAACAAGCAGAAGAAGCAGCAGGGCGGGAACCAAAATGGGAGTAATTCCATGCAGATTTGCGGTGGTTCTCAAAACCAGCTTCCCTCGGCAGTGAAGAAAAACTTGAATGCGCAGAAAAAGGAGCAGAAGAAGAAGAACAAAAAGGACCTGAAGAAGCAAGCGAAAAACAACCAATGCGGTGGTAACAAGAACAAAAACAAGTCCAACGTTCCCGGGTTCGCGCTCAAGACCAGCGGGGAGCGGGCGGTCTTCGTCGCGCCGGACGACCGCGGCATCGAGCGGCACTGGGCGGTGAACGCGGGGAACGACGCCCACGATGCGGACATTTCGGAAATTCTCTGCGACGGCACCAATGTCGTGTACACACTGTCCCGCGACAAGAAAATCATACATTGGCTCCTCGAGGAGAAAGAGCCGACTTTGATCGCGGACCACTTGAACCTGTTCGGCGCCCCGCCCGCGAGCGACAACACCGCGACCAACAGCTTATTCGGCGGGTTCAACCCGACAAGCACGAGCTCCTCGAGCAGCGCTAGCAGCAGTAACGTGAAGAAGTTTCATCTGAAGAAGCAGAACGCCATCGAGATGCCCTACCCGGTGTGGTCCGCTTTGTTCTCGGTCGGATGTCTGTTCGTCGGCCTAGGTAACGGAACCGTGAAGGTGTTCTCGAAAAACAGCGGGGACCAGTTCGAGTTCGAGGCCCACACGAAGCGAGTCTCTTGCATTCGGCGACACGAGCAAACTGGAATTGTGATCACCACGGACCATGGAGGTACAACCTTGATTGGTTTGCATAGAAGGAGAACTTTTTTCATTGGAATTTCGATTTGACAACATAGTACTTAGGTTATGGGTGCTATTCATGAAGGAAGTACTATCGACTCAATGACAGCAACGCACATCATTCAGGTGCTCTGAAATGCTGGAAGCTCCAGCCGCAGCCGGACGGGAAAGTGCAGGCCGACTGCGTGTTCGAGACGGAGTTGAACGCGGAGGTGAAGACCTTCCACATCCTCCAGGGCTGCTGGCTCTACATCGCGACGGCGAAGGGCCTTTTTCGCCTTCCGCTCGCACAGTTGGAGACGGCGAAGCCGGAAAAGTTGAACTCCGAAGGGTTGAACACGCTGTCCCCGTGGAATAACGAGCAGTACGTCATCTGCACCACCCGAGCAGGCGAGGTCCAAATCTTCGAAGTGGCCACGGGCGCGAAAAAGCACACGGTGGAGGCTGTTGGAAACATGAAGAACATTTTGACTTTGGACGAGGTCGCGGGCGAACGAGTGGTAGAGAGATGGTTTTTTTTCACCTCCCTTCTAACTATTCGTTCCAAAGTTTTCTTTCGCTTGCATGTTCATGAGGATTTCGATTTCGTCGCGACAAGCATCAAAGAAATGTATGCAATTATACAAAATTCCATCAGGTTTGCGGCCACCAAGACGGGAAACTGAGCAGTTTTGCTGTGCCAAACTGGCAACGGCAATCGGGTTGGCGGATCATTGATAAGCTTCAACAGTCGCCGGTCGCTAATGTAACGTGCGTGCGAAAAATTCCCTCCGCACCAGGGGTTTTCGTGGTCGGGTTGCAAACTGGAGCACTGCAGGTCTGGAAGTATGCATCGGCAGCGACAAATAACGCTGCCGCCGTTCAGCAGGCAGGAATGGGAGCGGTTGTACAACAGCAACAAGTGCAAATTCCAGCGCAACCGGTAGTGGTTGGAGCGGTGCAGCCTGTAGCACCACAGCAAGTTGCACCACAGGCGCCCGTTCCAGCAATTCCGAATGTAGGTCTCGTGCCGACCCAGCAGCAGCAGCAGTTACTGCAACAGCAGCTGCAACAGGCGGCACAAGTGCCCCTTCCAGACGATGACGATGATGATTTATGATGAACTGGGATTGCTTTTGAAATATGGTCCGCGATTCAAGATGTGGTGCCGAGAATATTCAACGACGAGTGGTGTACATAAATTGTCGAATGTGCGCAGTCCGTCAGTGACTGCAAGTTGGAGATCGAGATATCGAAGTCTCTCTCACAATGCGAGTTTTTCGATGTTCTTGTCCTTGAAGCATGGCTCTGCGTGCTCAAAAAAGGCCCTTATTTTTCATTTGTTCTGCGAACTTTCATTTTGCCCTGGTTCGTTGCTTTTTGCCAGTGTTTTTCGTTATTTATTTTCTTTTCTCGTAGTTCTGGCCGGACATCTGCCAGATGTAGATCGAAGAAAAGATAGACTGATTTTGCAGCGAACAGCGATCCACCCACACAATTACTTCTTAAGCAATCACACGAAAATTCATCTGCGGCGTTTCCGTTTTTGTTTTGCTCGAAGAGCGTTTCATCTTGTTCTGTGTTTCTCTTTCGTTGAGACGCGACCGCGAGTCAACATCATCTTCTTTTCCCCCTCCCATTTGAAAATCTCCTTCTTGCCTAGCACTCCCCCGAGTCGTCCTCCGAATGACGACTTTTAGAAGTTGTACGACTGAACGCGCGCAGACCAGCACGACCGCCCGGCGCACTATGGGGCTCGTGGCCGCGGGCGCGTTCATTTCCACGTTCGCCGGCGTAACACAGGCCGCCGGCGTCGTGACCGCTACGGATCGCGACGTTCACGGCCAAAGCGTTACTAGCAGTGCGGATACTTCCCCCACGTGTCCCGCGGGCGACTACGTGCTCGCGCACGCGCGGTTGCAGAAGCTGATCGGGGATTTGACGAAAGAAACGGACGATGCCGTGCCGTTGATCGACTTGTTGTCCGAAAATGACGACGACTTTTACCAGGACTCGTACGACGTATCCTCCGGTTGGGAGCGACTGACCACCCCCACACTGAAACCGGTTAAGCACGAGTTATCCGCGGACGAGGACATCGTGATGATCCCGCCCAGTGTGAAGTCGTCGCCTTCCTATTCGCCTTCCGGCGCAAGCAGCAGCTCCGACTGGGTGGATCTCGGGGCTACTTTCGGCGGAGGCTCCGTGCCCGCGTCGCCCCTGATGTTCACCGGGAGTTCTCCGAGCGGCGCTTCGTCCTCGAGCGCGGTAGGATCGCCGAGTGGGAGTTCTTTTATCCCGTTTCCGCTCAAAAGCGTCCGCCGCTTGAACAAGGGCCGGAGCACGGCGGCGCCGCTTTTCGATTTGACCGGGGACGATTTTTCGGACACGGAGTCCGCGGCGTCTACGGATTTTGGCCTTACCCCGAAAACCGACGCGTCAGAGCTGACGCCGAAAAATGAGGAGCTTTCGCCGACCTCTCCCGCAGACACGTCTGCTCCAGTTGACTTGGTGAAAGACGAACCCGCTTCGCCAGAACAGGGCGAAGAGGCGCAACCCCTCTCTTCAAGTGCGACGTCGTTGAAAAGCAGCAGCAGTGGTGACAGTATTCAAACGGCCGACTGGGACCACATCATGACTGACATGGTGAATGGCCGTTCCGACCCGGAAGAGGGCGCTTTCGCGTCCGACGAAAACGGCAGCGAGCCCTCCTCTCCGCGACGCCCTCCGCTACGCACGCCCTCTGACGAAAACAGCAACGAGTACTACACTCCGACCATGGAGTCCGACTTGCCGGAAACTTCTGGTTCTCAGTCGCAAAATGCAGACACTGTTGCGGCGGTCGAAAGCGAAAACGAAAACTCCTACACCCCCACGGAGGTTTACACCTCCCCAACCGAGGCGGCCGACGAGGAGCCACTTTTGGCCGGCGCGTCCCCACGCACCGAGTTTTTCTCCATGGCGGCAAATGACCGGCAACCCGAGTTTCACAATATGGCCACTGGCTCTGACACAAGTGGTTCTCGCTCGAACTCGCCCGCGACCAGCTCGGAGTCGTTGCAAAGCTCCCTTGCTTCGTCCACGACGGGCACGTCGTCTATCGGGGAGAGTGAGGATTCCGAGGGTCGTGATGCTCAGTTCTTTCACTTGCGCAACGAGGACAACGACCACCAGGTTGACTACGGAACGATGGACAGTGCCAGTCCATTGGGCGAAGGCATGGACCAATACCCAGACACGCAGGAAGCTGCACCGCGATCCCCCTCCACCCAGTCCTCCCCCGCTTCCAGTTCTTCCTCCTTACGGTCCACCGAATCGCGGCCGGTCAACCCCGGGACCGGGTCGCGGAGCCGCGTGTTCCGCTGGGCCAACGAGACCAGCGACGACGAGGCGTTCCTCACGCAGGTGCACGAGTTCCGGTTGCCTTCGAGCGACTCGGCCGCGTCGGATGAGGTGGACCGCGTGGTCGACCAAGCGTCGTCCTCTTCCAGCGACCGCCGGAACCGGGTTGTTCGGGAGAATGATGGTGGTGACGGGGACGACGGCAGCGATTTCTCTTCCTCCTCTTCCGGGTCGTACGCGTCGGACTCGGACACAGAGTCCGAGGGGGAAATCGTCAACGAGGACAGCCCGGGGAATTCCGAGGACGAAGACGAAATGGTTACCAGTACCTCCTCGTCGGGGTCGTCCGGCTCAACAACCACCCGCCGCCACGCCCGGCTGCCGGAGGAGAAGCGCATCACGTCCGAGGGGCTGGAAGTCACGAAGCGCGAGTTTTTGCGCATGTTCGGACCGGCGGCGGACTGGCAGCGGGACGCGATCCCGCTGTACGCCACGCGCGTGTCGCCGGCGGGGTTGACTCTGCATTACCACGAGTTTCTCGATGTGTACGGGTTGGACGCCTGGAAGATGTGGTGGGCGTCGGTGCTGCCGAAGGAAAAGCGTACGGCTCCAGACGGAAAGAATTACGGCAAGAAAACGTTCCACGAGTGGTACGGAGCGCAGGCCAACATCCTGTGGGCCCAGAGCCCGCGACCGAGCGAGCGGCGTGTGGACCCGTATGGTAAGCTGAGGAACAAGAAGGACTTCATCAAGAACTTCGGGCAGGTAAACAGTGCTTGGGGTGGAAACATCGTTTAGCTGCTTTTTCCGTGTGCATTGATCTTCTATCATGGAGATGAAATTATAGGGCAATGTTGATGTGCGACGATGGCCAAATTGAAAAATCTATCAGATGAACGGCAATCTGGAATGGATGCGCGCGCCTTTTCCGCGATACCGTCGTGTTGCGCCAAACGGACGCGTCCTGACGCTCCCTCTTTTCATTCACAACTTCGGTCGGCAGAACGGCAATCGGTTTTGGCACAGTGCACCCCGTCCGTACTACAAGCGCACTGATCCGCGTGATGGTGTCCGAAAGAACAAACAGGCCTTCATTCGCGCGCACGGAGAGGGGTACGGAAACGCGCTGTGGGCGCACGCGGCACCGCTGAAGCGCAGGAACACCGTATGGGTTTAGTTGTTGTAATTCTGCAGTAGCGTTGCGTTATTCCGATTTCATTTTGACGCCCCATAAGTAACTCTAAGTACGCTTTGAGCGACGTTTACACCTATGTGATGTCTGTTTTGTGAAAAACAACTACAGCACACGTACTACTCGGACGACGACGCTGCCACGTCGCCAGCCACGGAGCAGAGCAGCTTCTCGCCGACCAGCCTGGCGTCGGACATTACAGAGCCGGAGGAGGCAGGAGCTTCTGTATCTGCTCCGCTCACTCCTACCGAGGTCATCTCGTCTGACTCGGAGAGCGAGGAGATCGTCTCAACGGCCGCTCCACCTGCGGTACTGGAAACTGCGCCCTTGTCGCCGACCAGTGTGGCGGACGAGACAGAATCGAATTACGACACAACATGGCAGGATTACGTTTCTGACCCGATGGAAGTGGACCAGGAAGGCCAGCAGGAGGACCTCCCGGACTCTACGTCCGCACTCGTGCAGACGGACGAAGTGACAGGATTTATCCAGGACATCGAGCACATCGCTGCCGACGACGATTCTACCGTGGAACCCGAGTACATGCTGCTCCCCGACCACGATTCCGACGAGGAAATGGAAAACCTGGAGGCTTCCTGGACCCAGAGCGAGCTGGCCCGTCGTTTGGCGCGGGACCTGCTGATGAACGCGGATCCGGACGGGTCCTTGACGGAGCGGTTACTCCCCGAGTCCGCATTGCTGGACGCATCCAACGAGACGCTGGAACTGTTAACCGAGTCCACAGACGCGCTCGGCGCGCTCGCGGCAGAAGAGGACAAGACTGCTAGTGGTAGTGCTCCATCTACTGCAGCTTCGTCTGGTGCAAAAGGCCGCCTGCCGATTGGGCAGTACGGTTACAGTATGCGGTCCAGCCAGGCATGGAAGGAACAACCAGCAAGTTCTGCGGACGCCGCTCCAGTGCAGGTGACCCCGAGCGCGCAGAAGTTGTCGAATAAGATCCCCTTCGGTCAGTATGGTCACGGGTTCTTGCCCTCGGCGTCAAAAGGCCAGAAGCGTGCAATCAAAGAGGAAGACAGCAGCTACGAGGAGCCACTCGCGGAGCCGGCCCCGACGGAGGTCGAACCGGAGGCGCTGGCCCAACAGGTCACGGACGGCAAGCGCGGCCGTGTGCCGATCGGACAGTACGGATACGGTCTGCCCTTGCGTTCGAGCAAAGCTTGGAAAAGCGAAGTTGCGGCACCAGTTACCGAGGTGACCCCGCACGCGCAAAAGCTCTCCAACAAAATTCCTTTCGGTCAATATGGGTACGGAATGCGACCGGTTCAGAAGGTGAAGGAGGAGGAACAGGAAGAAGAACAAGCACCGGCATCGGAGAAGCAGGCGATGGACAGCAAGCGTGCGCCAATGCCGATCATTGGTCAGTATGGATACGGGTTGCCAATCCGCTCAAGCAAAGCCTGGAAGGCTGAAGCCGCAACCCCGGTCACTGCGGTCACCCCGCATGCGCAAAAGCTTTCAAACAAAATTCCGTTCGGGCAATACGGATACAGCTTGTTGCCAACATCACACAAGAACGACGAGTCATCTGCTATCGAAGGCGAGATCGACATGTTTGCTCCTCCCACTTCCGAAGAGCTGCAGCGTCTGTTGGCTGACGAGCCAGATCTGGAAGAAAAGTTCGCGGCCCAGCTGACCGGCCGAGAGTACCGGCCCATGCACCGAGGCTACCCGGGCTCCTCCTCCGACAGCACTGGAATGTCGAAGCTGAGTATGTCTTCCTCTTCCCTGCAAGGCAGCAAGGAGAGCGAAGCACCCAGCTACACCTCCTACCTGCTTTTGCAGAGCCAAGACGATTCATCTTCAGCGAACAACGCCGCTTCCTCCTCCTCCGGCGCGGGCAGCAGCACCGACCTGCCGGTATCCCTTCTTCGAACGGACGACGACCACCGGGACCCCACTCCTACGGAACTCGTCGGGATGTTGGAAGAAATGAGCCAGCTCCATGCAGGTGCAGAATCTGCTACTGCTTCAAGTGCATCTTCTAGCTCTTCCTCCACCAGCACCACAGACCGCATGATCGCTGCAATGGAGGTGGCGCGTAAGAAAATGCAGGGCTGGGCGAAGGAGGTGAAAAAGAATCTCGTTACTCCCGTGGTCGATGACGCGCGGCTTTTTGGTTCGGAAGTCTCAGAGTTCGGCGCCGGTGTGTCCGTGCGACTGAACAACGCGCTTACCGAGGCCAAAGAAGTGTCGAACGTGGTCAGCGGCCGCGTCTCGGAGCAGATTCGGGACGCGTTCGCGCAGTTGCGGACTCCGTCCACGGATACGATCGCGCCAGCACCGAATGCGGGCGACGAAGATGAGGACACTCTGGCAGACCCGAATGCAGCGTATGATGAGATGTTTGGTTTTGTATGTGACAAGAAGAGAGATGAAACAAAGAAACAAAGCTGCGTGATTACATGTCATGGCTCTCAATTGAGCTTTGAAAAAATGTAGAAGATTTGCGAAAAATTCGACAGAAACTTCCGCAACATGGTCGCGGAGGTGACCGCAAATGGAGTTCGCACTTTCGTCGATAGCGTGCGGGATGCGGGCGCCGCGTCGCTCCAGAACGTGCAGCAGGCAGTGTGCCGCCAGGGTATGCTCGAGCTGAACGTGCCGTCCACGCGACAGAACCTGCAGGCAGTTGCCACTTTCGTGCGCTTGGAGGATTTGATCAACTGGCTGAGTCAGCCCACACTGAGCATCCTCGCCGACGAGCCGGCAGACGCGGCATCTTCCTCGACCAGGAGCAAACGCCATGTTGCGTACTAATAATTTGCGCTTCTTTTTCTTGAGGTTCAGTTTGATTTTTTTGAAAACAAGGCTAAAGACGTAGAAGAAAGTGCTATATGTTTACTCAATATTCGCTTGCTCTCGTGAGTGGTCCGGGTAAGCCTAAGCAGCGCAGCTGCATTGACGCTCTTTGCGCCGAGCGACCGTCATTCTGTATCCAAACATCAGACACGCGAACTTCGGGCGCTTTACAAAGGCAGCGCGCAAGCAGCAGAAGCGCAAGCGCGCGCTGGAATTGGCCCAGAAGAAGTACGAAAAGGCATCGCGCTGGAACGCTTTGGTGCGTGCGCTCCTGGAGCAGGAAGCCGAGGAACCGTCCTCGGGCGCGAAGCAGCGGTGGGAATCTTTGGTGAGTGCCTTGATGTTCGCAAACGATTTCAACGCAGTCAAGGACAGAGAAGAGCCAACTTTTGACTCTGCAAAAGACGCCGCCAGTGGAAGTTCCAGCAGTTCATCTTCTAGCTCTTCATCGGCGTCTTCTAGTGGCGCATCTTCTTCGACGTCGCAAATGTCGTCGCAATTTCTTTCAGCTAGTACTACGTCAACAACATCTAACAAGCCCCTTGTTCTGCTCAAGCAGACCCCAGGTCCGCAGTCCCTGGCTCTGATGGCGCGCAAAAGACTTGAATCGCACCCCTTGCGGGCGATCACCTTGCAGGACCAGAACGAAAAGCTGCTTCGTGGCTTTTTCGCGCTAGCGCAGCAGAAGGAGATCTTGACGAAGTTCGTGAAATTCGTGCACAGGACGGAGGATGACACCCTCGGGGTTGTCGGAAACCGCAGGGCAGCGGCCAACTACGACTTTTTCTTGAAGTTACTGCCTTTTGTGCTTCCACAGCTGGCAAACGCAGCTGCGGGACAGCGGCAAGGGGCGAAAGTAAACGTCTTCAACGCCGCGAAGTCCATCTTGCGATTTCCGGTGCCCATCAAAGCGATTGAGGATATCAAGAGTAGCAGCAGCAACACAGGGGCGGCCTTGCCGTTCTACGGTCCACACTTGCCGGTCGTGAAGCAGGAACAAGCTGACAGCGAGGAGAAATCAGTTGAGTACGGGCCGGCACCAAAGCCAGATGGGTGGAAGGGTATAGGAATCGAGTTTTTTGGTGGTTTATGAGCTCCTGCAGCATCCATTTCTTGTTTGCCTCTTCGAGTTGTGGATCAGGATGATATGTGCCCGAAAGGTACTGGTATTTTTGAGAGTGCGCAGAAGTTGCTAACTTTACTACTGCTCACGAACCTCGTACAGACGATGCTGACGCGGCTGAGTCGACGACGACAGGCTCATCGAGCAGTGGTTCATCGTCCGGCACATCTTCCTCGTCGACCTCGGGTGCTGCAGCTGCAAACGCAAGTAGCAGCGGAACAGGTTCGCCGTCAGGTGGGTCGTCCGCCAGTGCATCCGGAGTATCAGGGGGAGACAGCGAAGGATCAGCGGCAGTATCCAGTTCTTCAAGTTCAAACGGCGGTAAGTTTTGGCGAAAAATATTGTTCTTTTTGTGCTAATGAGCAAATACGGATAGATTCTTTGATGGTGACACGCACAGAAATCCAATTTATGACTTTGTGCGGGTGGCACGCGCGCGCGCAAAAACCTTATTGCTCCATCTACGACTTCAGATGACAGAACTGACACGGAATCGCTGACCTCCAGTACGGAGACGCTGGACGCCTTCGATGAGCCACCATCACCTACTGGAGTCAATTCGCGCAGCATCAACCTTGGCGGTAGAAACTGTTCTGTGGTTTGCTCCTCTTCTACATTTCGTCGAAGAAAAATGCTACGCTGCATGCGAAACAGCGTATACCTCGAATTTGCTACAATTCATTCTTGTGAGTCTAATCAATTTATTCATAGGGGCCGCCGGTTCGCCGGATGACGACGGCGAAAAGAGCAGAAAAGTCAGTTTGGTACAGAAGCTTTCCGGCCGGCCCGAAGGGTCAGATGAGGGGAGCAACAATAGCCAAGAGGAGCAGGAGCAAAACAATAACAACAACGCCGACGACGCCGATGCCAATCGCAAAACGCTTTTGAAGATCGGGGCTGCGTCGTTGCTCGTGATCTTCCTGGCCGGGGGATTTAGCGTCGTGCTTTGCCGCGTCTTGGCCACGGATACCAGCGTGAGTAACATTCTCTCCGATGGTATGGACGACATGCTGATAGACGATGAGGATGAGAAGGAGAAAGGAGAGTACATGGACGATTCCGACGGGTCGGATTAGTGGATTTTGCAAATGTTGCTGCTCCAAGCAGAAAATTTTGTTTTTCAAATGAACGATTTTCGTGTCACAATTCCAATGTACGAGAAGACTGGACCTCAATGTACGAGTTATCAGGTTGATCAGTTCGAAATACTTTGTTACTGACTTAACGATATTATCCGGAGTGGTTGAAGAGCAGTAGCCCTTTTCAAATCTTCCACTGGTTGTTGATGGTGCTATCTCGTATCTCTATCTCTATTTTCTAGAATACAGCGACGGCCACGTGGAGAATGAAAGTATTGACGCTTCGTATACCCCTTTAGGCGCATTCGCATCTATGGGCCCAGAGCATAGGAAGTGTATTTGATGGAATTTCGAGGTTATTTTGCTTTCCGTTTTTTCTAAATGAAGCATTCTTTCCAGAATGATGTTTCTCGCATTGTCTTTCGAGAAGTACTATCAATGCACCACACCTGGAGATGCATGAGATCAGGTACTGGTCAAATCAATTTTTGTTGTCTGCGAAAAGAACAGGTCTTTGACTGCGAATTGCAAAAACTGACTCGATAGATAAAAAAATCGCTCCGTCGAGCACAAAAAATCAATTCCTTCGAACCATGGTGGTGAAGGTGTATACAGAGGAGGGAAAGTAGGTACACAGAGGTTAGAAACAACGCGCGTTGTTCTCTTGTCCTGTGTTGGTTGGCTCCGGAAGAGGAGCTTTTCCGATGCGTGTGGTCTTTCAATGGGAAGACGTGGACGACGTTGGAGTGCGTCCCGTTGTCTCAACATGTCCATTCGCGTAATTGCTCGCGCCGCTTAGACAAGGGAAGTGCCGGCGGACGTTGTGGCGACCCTACCACGATAGTCGTGGCGCTGACCCTGCTGGGCGATCTGGGCCGCGCCTGCCACGGGGCGCCGGCGCAGCCAGGCACTTGGCCAGCGGCGCAGAGCTTTGCCGGGCCGGCGCTCAGGTGGCGCCCGCGCGGGCTCGGGCCGCGAATTGGTCTGAAGCGCAGGCGCCGGCCTGGGCTTTTGCGCGAGCCAGCTGGATACCTCGACGACGCGACGCACCCGCCCCGCCCGTGTTTGTGCGCGCCCGCACGGGGGGGCAAGTTGTTGCGAACAAGCCATGGAAGAGCTGAGGCCGCGGCAGCCGGTTCGCCGCGTATGAATGCCAGACAGGTTTTGGCCAGCAGGTTTTTGACCGACGGGAAGTGGGACGCCGCGCACGCCCTGGCGATACAAGTGCGATGGGCCCCGGGTGGGCATCCCCAGCCCCATCCTGAGGAAGCAGGTGAAAGCCCCTCGCTAGCGTGTGGCAGTTTGGAGCTGTGGATGATGGCGCTCGTATGCGGCGAATTGGCCGGCGTCGCCGGATTATGTACCCTGCGACGCGCCGCGCGCCTTTAGTATATCGGCGGGCCCCGTTTGAGGGGTGTCAAAGGCCGCGCATCCTGTTCGCCCGCATGCCCGGCGCCTTCGCGGACCCGCGGGGCGTCCGGCCGAGAGGAAGCGCGGGCGCGCGTCTTTTTTCCGCAGCCGGCGCCCTGGGTTGCTCGCCTGGCCGTTCAGTGCCTACCTAGGGCCCTGCGCGGGCCGGTTGGCGTGTTACTTCGGCGGCGCTACGCACATGCCGCGCCCGCCTGCGCGGGGGCGGGTGCGCGCGGGGCTAGTAGCCGCGAACCGCTTGAAGCGGATTCGCGACGCCGGCAGCCGGGCCGCCGGGGGTTTGGAAGAGCTTAAGGCCATCAACAAGAAACCGGTCGGCCCGTGACCATCCAAAGGGCCGGCCCGCCGGCCCCCCTGTTTGTTTTCCTTTGTGCGCAGTAGGCTCATCGGGCGGCTGCGCCCAGGCCCGGAAGCCATTTGCCGCGCCGCCCCCCCCGGGTGTGTCTGGGTGCGCTTTGTTTGTGCGCTTTGCTTCGTGTGGCACGGGGAGCGCCCGCCCGGAGGAATTGCGTTGCTTCGTTTGGGGTGGCGGCGTGCCCGCCGTCAGTGTTCCACCCCCCGGTGGGGTTCGGGCTGGCCGCCGGCTCCAGGCAGAATCGAATGCTCGCCACCCTGTCTCCCTGCCTGCGTGTGGGGGCGCGCACCCCGCAGGCGCCCCGGCCTTCGTGAGCAGTGTAGCGCACTGTGCGTTGCTCTTTTGTTGCCGCGCTGCCGGCGAGGCGGCATTTGTGCCGCACCGGGCGGACAGGCGGGGGGGGGGGTGGTACCATGCCGCCCGGGAAAGCAGTAAATGCCTCAGCTTGACGAGGGCGAGGGCACATCCGTGGCGCCCACGGGCTCCATCTTTTTGTTCGATTTTGTTCATTGCCAGTGTTCATTGGTTGGGTTCTAGTATTGCTATTGTTGTGCATTTTGTTGATGCGAAGAGAACGTAGACCGCCACTTTGGTTCTTCTGCAAGAAATGAAACGAAGTCTGCTGGCAGGTCTTGACGGGGTTCGTATCTTGGGCGCATTTCTTTCTTCCTTGGTAACGGTTGCAGCCGCTTTTTTTAGAAATATTCAAACAGGTCTTAATTAGCAGCTGATGGAATTTCTAGCCTGGGCGCTGGCACTTCATCCTGCTGCGTTAGCGTACTTGGGAAAAAGATGGGGCGTCCCGAGTACTTGAACCGGAAACGCATTACAACGGACTAAAGAAATAACCATGCCCGGCTCATCCCGCAGCTCGAGGGGTCCGGACCCATTCCAGCGCGTGGAAAGGCGATGTGCCGAGGTGCAGGGTGACGCGCAGCAGCTCTTACAACTCAGCGACACAGACATTTTGACCCTTGTTGAACAGTATGAGCAGGCCGGATGGGAGCATCGGCATCACGGAAACTGCGATGAGAGTGTTTACGTGGGAGGACCGGGGATCAGTGTAGCCATGACTTTCTGCGGTGCTTCCAAGCGTAGACTTATCGAAACCGGCAATACGCCACTCGCTGCACAGGCCAACTTTGACTCCAGCGAACGCCGAAACCAGAGCTGGTGGTATTTGCAGAACCCACAGAGCGACCGTAGTTCCCGCAGCCGTGGCAGTGGTGGAATAGAGACGGAGGACCTCACCGCTCCGTGGTCGCGCCGCACAGAGCGCCCACGGCATCCCGAGGTCCGCACGTCTATCATGTGTGGCCACGCAGGGGTTCTGCTGGCGCAATTAGCCTGGTGCAGAGAATTTGGATCTGCAAACGAAGGGTCGGCCATTTTTGACCAGCAACAAATATTTCGGGATCTGTGCGCGATTTCGAATGAGTATTGCGATGCGGATGAATGGCTGTACGGAAGATCCGGATATTTACTCGGACTACTGTCGGTAAGGCAGTGGATGGCTGAAGATGCTGGAGGCCAGCTGACACAGCAGGCTGGTGCTCTGACGCCATGGATGCAAGGCGAACTGCCAACGATCGATGATGCCATTCGGCGCACGGTGCGAAGCATTCTGAGCTCCGGGAGACAGCTGTCGCAGCAACTGCGGCGCGACCCCGTTCTCGGGTACCGATGGTGCGACGAGAATTACATCGGGGCTGCGCACGGCCTGTGCGGGATCTACTACGCTCTTTTGTGCGCGCATCGAATTGAGGCCGCATTCCTTCCGAGCAAACACGATCTGGAGGATTTAGAGCGCTCTATCAATTGGTTACTCGACCACTGCAAGTTAACTAGCAACGGCAACTACCCGGCTACATGGGAGCAGGAGTATTTTTCGCCGAAGAGCCACAATCGAGCGGACCGCCCGGAGGAGGGTGAAAATCACCTCGTTCACTTCTGCCACGGTGCACCGGGTTTTGTTTACCTCCTCCTCGAGGCGCACCGGACGTTCGGCCAGCGCTCCGCACGATACATGGAGGAGGCGCTCGCCCTGGGTGAGTTTGTCTTTCGCCACGGAGTACTGAAGAAGGGTGTAGGTTTGTGCCACGGAACGGCCGGCAACGGATTTGTGTTTTTGGCACTGAGCCGCGCTTTTCCGGATGACAAGCGATGGCTGAAGTACGCACGGCACTACTGTGCGAAGGTGCGGCAGTGGGTGCTGCACTGCGAAGCTTTGGACCGAAAGTGGTGCGATCATCCGTGGTCCCTGTACGAGGGACTAGCTGGGACTTGCGTTTTTCTCTATGCGTTTCTGCTTCATGTTGCGAAGCAAGAGAATTCAGATTCAGCGGCTGATGCTGCGGAAATGGAGGCACTTCCCTCACCGAAGAGGCAGGCGAAAGAAAGCGAGCTGGCAGGGGACGTCGAGGACCAAGCAGCAAAAGGGAGCCGACAGAATAGCAGCTCTTTGGTTATCGGCAGTGCTGACTCTTCAATCGCGACCGCGACAAGACCAATCGGTCTTCCCGCCAGCAATGTGAGTGGAGGAAGTGCTAGACCTAAGGGAGCAGGAAAGAACGCGAGTGAACTCGCACGGATTTCAGTCTACACTGGAGGATTTCCTCTCTTTGAAATACTTTGACAACTGACGCTGTTTCGAGAAAGCCAGCAATGCCAGATGCACGCTTATCATGAAACGCAAGAAAAAACATCGCACTTGCGGTCGCTATTGCACAGGGAAAAGAAAAAGAATCAGTGTTCAAAGGCAACTGGCTTTGCATGGATGTGCTAGCGCTAATAAAGACTTACGATGTATTTGCTATAAATCGCGCGCCCTTCGGTCTCAAGTACATTTTTCTTCGCAAAATGAGGCCGAAACGGCGGTCGGCGCGGCGGTTCTTGTTGTCTTCTGGATGTGGTTTTTCAAAGCACCCAAGTATAAGTAAAACGGACTGGCACCTGCAAAAGGTCGTCTCGTCCACACGAAAAAGATGAAGGTAGTTCTGAATTTGCTTCTCTCCGACCTGGCCAGGGTGATTTTGGTCGCGGTCGCGTCCAATTACGACCCGAAGGATATCACCGACCTTTGGGCGGGTCGGATCTTCAACTGCGACAGCCTGGCGCATATGCTCTCTGAGCGACCGCTTTTCAGCTACCTGCAGTTTGAAGACGTACTGTTTCGCGACATGGTGATGGGGTCGGGACTGTACAACGATCCCTTGCTCGCGGCAGAGGAACTCTGGAAGTACTACAACCAGACTGCTACAGTACTATGTTAGATTTTGCGAACTCAATTTTGAATCTGGTGGAGACGTACAAGCTCTTTTCGTGATAGCGCGATGCATGAATTAAAAAGATTCGTCGACTGCAGCTTCTCCCAAACCTTTTCCCATCCAAACACAGAGACGACCCGGACTATTATTACGTCCGGACTGGGCGCGAAGAACCCGAAGACGACTTCGCTTTGATGCGGCGGTGGACAAACCTCCTCCACGCCGACCACTTCGCGTACTACCGCGGCGTGATGCGCCAGGAGCTGCAACGGGTCAAGGCTAGGGAGCGGCGGATTCGGCTGGAGGCGAAATTGACGGCCGGCGAGGTGGTCAACAGCGCGGAGTATATGCGCTGTGTGATGGACAGCACGATCCCGTCGCAGAACATGTACGTAGACGGGCAAACGGGCGGCGTTTCTTCGGACCTGCAGGCGCAGGCGACGGAGTTTCTTACCTACACGAGCAACGCGGCAACCGTCGTGAACACGAACTCAGAGTTTTACTACACGGAGGCCGGCGAAAAGCGGGCCATGCGGAAGCAGATTTGCGAGCCGGCGGAGGACGAGGTGTTCATCTGGCACCGCGACACGGCGGACGACGAAATCGATGGTGTGTCCGCGGACTGGCGGCTGGAATTCGTGCAGCACTTGAAAAGGTTGTCGCCGTTAACCGCCTGGACGAACATGCAGTGCCCGTCCATGATGGAACTGTTGTCGCAGGATCTGGAATCGTCGCAGCGAAAATCCCGACTGTCGCCGACCGACCCGCGCATGCGCGACGTTTCGGTGGTGGAGAAACAGCTCGGCGCCGACGCGCATCTCGCACTGTTGACCGATGGTGTGTGCTGGAACGTGATCGAGAGCGTTTTGCTCTTGTTGGCAAAACACCTACCCTTTATCTTCCTCGGACACGGGTTTTACGAGCTGACCAGGGAACGGAACTACAGAAGTTTGGACGAAGGCGCGGTCGTGTCCTACATGGAGAAAATCGCATTGAAGATTTTCTTGCTTACCAGGTTGCACGCCCACATGAATGATTTGGGAAAATTAGAGAAAGTGCAAAAGCGGATGTACCACCAGCACCACATGCAGTACTTTATGCTGTTTCCACCGCAAAGCAGCGCTGGCAACGAGGGGAAGCTTCCGCTCGTCCAGTTTTCCCCGGTCCGTGGACTCTCGCCCTTGCTGCTGCGTCCGCTGTTCGCAAGTCTGGCCCACATCGCAAAGCGGAAGAGGCAAAGAAGGTTCCGCCGCTGCCTGTTGGCTTCGATTCTGGACATCGATCTGAAAAAGGTTGCAGCCGCTACGGAAGAAAGAGTCGCCAAGGAGCAGCGCACGCAATCCAGAAATCAGCGACGCTACAAGGGCGCCCAGTTCGCGGCCTGGGAGAGTCGCAGCATGGCCGGGCGCTCGGATTACAATGTGCAAGACGCGCCGACGGAAACCATTCAATGGTCCCAGTTCATCGAGACGCCGGAGTGGGCGCTACTGGACGGGTATCCGGACAGCGTCCGGGAGATCCTGCGCCAAGCGCGGTTCATCAACTACGATGTGTGTGCGCGGGCACCGACAGAAGAGGCGATAGAAAAAGCGAAAAGCGACTGGGGTCTCGAAGAACACATAAGGGATAGCTGCAAACGCTTGGACGGTGGTTCCGCGCGACTGCAGCAGCACTGGAAAGCTTTCGTCCTTCGCGAGCCGTTGGCCCTGGCGGAACCCGATGTCGCCGCAATTCGGTCTGCAGCTGCGCAGCACATCGGTGAGGCTGCAGTGGACATGGTTTTTCCAGCGCTCCGGCTGGGTGCGAACGCTCCTGCAGAAGCAGCGGTCTCGACAGATGACTCTGAACTAGAAAAACGAGAAAGAAGGAGCATCGAGGACGTCGGTTTGTTCCTACACTTTGTCCACGAACGGCTACTGTCCGCTGTGTCCAATGCAGCAACTAGCGACGTGCTTGAGCCGAAAGCCGAAGACGCCGCTGTGCAGCAAGCGGGAAATATCGTGTTGCGTTTGCTCGAAGTTTTCGTCGCCGGCAGCAAGGGAGCGCCGATTTCCCCCAATCTGGACGCAGACACGCCGGCGTCGTTGCTAGAGGAACTAGGTGCCATCGCTCCAGATTTAGAATTTCAGGAGGCAGATCGAACGACCGCAGCTGGTTCTTTTATCGTGAACGACACCCACGGCATTCGTGGTCACCACCAACACGCGCTGAGCTCTTCTCGACACAGTCCGAAGTTTGTCGCTTTGCTCGAAACACCGATCTTTCCGTTCTTGGACAACAGCTTTCGGGCCGTCAGGATGCAGAACGTCAAGATTCCGAATGCAAACATCACCCTCCCATACCGGCACACACAGCCAAAGAAGGAGTTCTCAGGAGTGCTCCCCGCCTTCTACGTGCTGCAAGAGCGAGATCTGATCGCCGACCACGTGCGCAAGCTGCAGGTGGTGGATTGTCCCGTGGCGATCCTGGAGGCGCTGCAGAAATTTCCGGTGGATTTCTTCTTCGAAGTGGGCGGGTATTTTGGCGACTGTGTGGCGTCAGCTGCATACCTTCGTTTAGCAAAGCGGGGCGTTTTCAACGTGGACGGCAGCAGCGCAGCCATCCAAGCGCTGCAGAAGACCTTCCGGGCGCTCCGAGCGGAGGGTGGTATGAAACACTTTGCGAAACCCAGTGCGGCGCCGAGTGCTGATGAGGAAGAGGCAAGAAAAGACGACAAAGACTACGTGTTGCACTCGGAAGCACATTTTGTGTCAGATAAAAACGGTTTCTTTCGCCGTACGGATTCGGGAACAGGAAGCGCTGGCCCAAACGCACTCACTGCTGCTGCGTGGGAGCCCTGCGATCCCAGTGGAGATGCAAGCTCAAAGACTGTCGGCTGCGATACGAGTTTTGTCACTGTCGATGCCCTCCTGGCTCGCTTTTTCGGACAAGTTGTACCGCAGAGTTTGATGGAAGGATCTACTACGACTCCCCGAACCGTCGCAATTCGCATCAAGGTGTCGGGCGCCGATGATGAGGTGGTGCGGGGCATGTTAGGTAGCTTGAGTTTGACCAGTCCCTTCACTGTAAAGTGGTTGCATATACACATTGTGCCATGGTGCAGTATTCACAATCACAAGGATTGCGTGCGGGAAATAAAGGAAAGAATAGCAGAGTACGGATTTGCTGTGCACACAGAGACCATGTCTCGACCGCAGTACTCTGCTGCGAAAATGGCTGATATCCTTGCAGTAAGGACAGAACAAGCTGCTTGATGCGTATATGGAAAGATGCAGCGTTAGCATGCAAAACCAAAAGCAAAGGCGAATGCAGAGCCAGACCCAGAAAGAAAAAATGAACGGCTAGCGCGAATCTGTGTCAGCGCGATGAGCGCTTACTTGCTTGATACTACTTACTTCATGTTCGCGGCGAAACAGACGCGCACCTCTGACCAAGCGCTCTGTTTGAGGCAACGCGAAGCTGGAATGTTTCGCGTTTCGTATTCTTGACTCTATCTTATCAGACAGATGAAGGACGGGACGCGCAAAAGCGCCCGCGCCGCAACCGCTTCGCGGCCCGGGGCGATGCGTGCGACCCGCCTGCGAAGATTGTGGGCGTGGCGCCGCTCTCCTTCTGGCCTTCATTGCCGCGCTTGGCCCAGTGCCGGTTCGCGGGCCCGTCTCGGTGCGATTGTTCGCGATTGTGGCGGGGGCACTGTATGGACGGCATGGAAAACGTGCCGCCCGAGTTTTTCCCAACGCCGCCGGCCGCAACTCGGACGGAACCAAGGGGGGGCACCTGGCAGACCGCATAGCGAAAATCAGCGACAGCATCGCCATAGTTGGGCGGAGCGGTGGACTGGCGGGGAAGATGGACGCTGCCGCACACAGAGCTGCGAGGAGCCGGGCTGCGACCGGAGCCAGAGGCGGGCTTTTTCCGCTTTTCTTGGACGGAGAGGCTCCAGGGTGCGGGCATTCTGGGCGCGGGACGATGTGCCGGGTGGACGCCGGCCAGGTGCTAAAGCCGAAAAGCAGGAGCCTGGGCGACAGCTTTGGCCTCTACAAGTGCGCTCTGCGAAACAAAGAAGCCGGGCGCGGCGGCGGGCGCGAACTAGTAGAACATAATGGCGCGCCGGGGTGCGGGCCCACAACGTTCAAAGAAGCCCGCCGCGGGTGGCGCTGTAGCCAGGGGGGCGAGAAGCTGCGGCCCGGGCTTCGGAGGCGCCTTGGCGCCTTGGGTTGATTGTGGCCCGGCGCGCCGCGCGCTGGTAGGGCGCCTGGGTATCTTGGGCCGGCCCGGGGCTCGGAGTTCGCTCCCGGGAAACGGCGCAGGCAATGGCCAAAACAAAGCGCCAAGATCGGGGCCAGCTTGCTTTTTGGGGCATGCTGGCGGACGGTTGCGATTCGGGGGCGCGCACCTCCTGCACCCCATCGAAAAGACAGCGCGCAAGCGCACGAGCGCGGGCAAGGGCGCCCGATGCCCCGGCGGGAGTGGTTTCTGCTATGGTTGCCACTTCGCGGGGCTATGGGCTGCCGCATGTGGCCGCCCGCGCGCCGCTATCGGGTAAAAAACCTCCTAAGCCCCCGCGCTAGAACTTCCGGCCGAGAGCGCTTGGCCCGATCTCGATCTCGAAGGCTGCACCTGGGGGGGCGACGCCCACGACGATGCTCGCGCTCCTTTTCGGGCACCGTTTTGCGGAAAAGGGCAGCAGGGGCGTTCGACGTTGAGAATGCCGACGAAATCCGCGAGGAGAACGGCTGCGCCGGCGCGTCTGCCGCCGAACGCCGCGACCTGCGCCCACCGGTGGCGCGATGGCGCTTGCTTCGTCGTCGTCTCGGGGTGGTGATCATTCGCCAGCCCCCGGGCCCGACGAAAGGGGGGCATGGGAAACTACGACCGCTACCGCCCGCGGCCGAAACAACAGGAGCCAAACATGGGCCAAGTGCCGCGGCCGAAACGTCGGCGACGGGCCGCGCCGCTCCGCCTGGCTTCTGGCTCGTCATCAGCCTACCAGCCCGAGCGCTGACGAAAGTGCGCGCGCGCGCGACTTGGGGGCGGTTTGTTGTTGCGCGCGCCGGCGCGCCTACGGGTTGCGTGGATATTCATACGTGGGCGCCCCGCGATGTGCCTCGTCGTGGCGAAGCAACTCATTGTGCCGCGCCGGCCGCTTGCTTGGGTCTACCTGGGGCGGCCGGTCCACGCACCGGCGCCGCCGGCAGACTACGCAGCCCCCCGGCGTGTTGTTTTCGTTCCGGGGGGGGCGCCCACATCAGTTCCCCTTGGGGCAGTCGGGAGCCGCGGGCGGGGCCAAAGCGTGGCGGACTTATTTTCGCCCCGTGTTTGTGGCGCGGAGATTTGGCCCTGCCGTGTCATCGCACGGGCCGACTCCTTTGCCTATTTTTCCAATTTCTTAGTCTTGTTATGTGTTGTTGTTCGAGGGACAATTATCCGGCCGTCCAGCTATGGCTATCAATCCATCCGCATCAGGACAACACTGGAGCTCGCGTAGATTGACGATGCATATGCGTTTGGGCTTCTTATTCTTTGCGTGTTCACTACCTTCAATGCTTTACGCAGTCGCTCAGTTGGCTGCTCCTGTAGACATGGAGGCAGTGGCAGCTTATGGCTGTTTTAGCTTAACATCACACATCGTCGCATTTGGTACTGGTAGCTTTGGCTTCTATTTGCATCATTGTGATATCAGTTTCTGGCGGTTAATTGTCCACAAATGGAACCATCTGGAACTAGCATATGGAAGTCGAGCCAACGGTCACAGGAAATGAGCCGGCTGGCTTGATGGTCGTGGCACGATTCTGATCAGTGATGAAGTATAGACAGTCTGAATGTTGACACACTGCACACCATGCAGGCGTCGGCTTTGCGGCCGTCGCCTTACGACCGGCCGCAGAGCCGACGGCGGAGCCGATAGGTAGATAGAGCCATACTGCTACTTACTTGCGTCCTGTTCGGTACTTTCTAGCGATTCGCTCTGTAGTTTGCGTTGCCATTGCTGCAACCGCTGTCAGCGTCGTGCTGATCTAGGTATCACATCCGCTCAGCAACCACGATGTTAGAAAAAGCTCCCCGTCTCCAGCCGCAATTGGTCCGCGCGCTGAGCGGCAACGCAGACGTGAACCCGTATGATGTGAAGCTTGGAAAGGAGATCGGTCATGGATCCTTTGGGGTTGTCTACGTTGGGCGCGATGGATCCTCGGGAAAGTTGATTGCAGTGAAAGAAATCGTTCTTCCGCAGAAACCCGCGCCTGCACAACAGTCCTCTACAACTCCACCAGCCTCAACGACCTTGAAAAGCAGCAGGCTTGGAGAGATTTTGCAGGAACAATCCGGTCCGCTCGCAATTGCTTCTGAGAGCGCCACTAACGACTTCGAGGCGACCCATGTTGCTTCCATAGCAGCCTCTATTCCCGCGCCAGACAAGACGAGCGAAGCTCTTGATCCCGCTGAAGATATTGTTCTGAGCGTGGAAGTCGTTGAAAGCAGCAATGTTGCTGCGCCAACAGAGACTGGCGCTGACGAAGTGAAAAAGCAAAGCTCCTTTGACAGCACCATGGAAGCGCTGACGACCAAACTTTTCGACGAGCTGACACTTCTGAAATCCCTTGCGCACCACCGCATCGTTGCGTACCTCGGCGCCTCCATGGGAAAGAAATCGCTGCAGATTTACATGGAGTACGTTTCGGGCGGGTCTCTGAAATCTCAACTGGATGAGTTTGGACCGATTAAGGAGTCGGTGTTCCGGAGTTACACGCGACAAATTTTGGAGGGCGTGAGCTACTTGCATCTGCATCAAGTGGTACACTGCGATCTGAAAACCGGAAACATCCTCTTAGATCACGACGGTTCGGTGAAAATCGCGGACTTCGGTGCCAGCATCAAATCCATTCCCCGTTGGCAGCTGCAGGAACAGCAGGCGTCAAACAAACTTAGTGGAGAGGTTGCAGGCAATCCGAGCGGCCCCAGCCCACAAGAGCAACTGCACCGCATGGTCGGCACGCCGATTATCTGGGCGCCCGAGCAGCTTGCTGAAGGCGGGGCATCGTTTGCAAGCGATATCTGGAGTCTGGGGTGCTGCATGGTCGAAATGCTTACCGCACAAAACTTGTGGAAGTTGCTGAAAATCGACAATCCCATGTTTGCGTACGCGAAGTTCTGCCTGCTACCGTGGAAGATTGAGGACGTGTTTTCCGCGATCGACGCCGTGGCGGAGCGCGAAGTCATTGTTTCCCAGCATCAACCGGTTGTGCTCGACGGGGACGTTGCTGAAAGTAATCAGAGGAAGCAGAAGAAAATTATGATTGAAAGCACTGATGTGGAAATGGGCGACGCGGGTGCGACGAGAGCGGATGGCCCTGCGGAATCTGTCAATGATGTGGTGGCCTCAGCACCAGGCTCGGCCACAGAGAATGATACAGACGAGAAAGCGGAACCGCCTGTCCTCAAAAATCGCAGCAGCGCCGCCCGGGTTTTGTCGCTCGTTTTAGGTGGCGGTGACTCTTCGGCCACGCAACAAGAGCTACAGGAGGATGGTTCCAAGAACAACCCCTCAAGCGATGAGAGTCAAACGGACGTGAGCGGGCTCTCCCCAGCGGCCCGCGGCGTCGGTCTTTCCGACGAGTGCAAAAAACTGATTAGCGCGTGCTTGCAAAAGGAAGCGCAGAAGCGCCCGCGTGCAGAAGACTTGCTGCGGTGGAAGTTTCTTCAGTCGGAAGAGCTTTTTTCCGACGCCCTGCGAAGCCGCTACCTCTCTCGCAGAGGCAGCACGAAGCGCGGTTTTGGCTCGTCTGCGGGGAGCCGACGAGGTTCGTTTCTTTCCGCGAGCATGGAATCGCTTCGAAAATCGAGCTCGCAGCTTATTCCAGTGCGCCGCGGCGTTGGCTTTTCGCCCGAGTTGAAGCTTCCCTGGTCGTCTTCCTCCAAGTCCGCGGACCGCAAAGCTCTCTCGGCCGAGGGCGAAGCGGGAGGAGAGACTATTGAAGGCGAGCCAGAGTTGATCTCGAGCGAGAGCCAGCAGGAGGACGATCAGGAATCCCTGTCCGCGGAAGTACGCGGCACCACAGAAGCGGACGACACGCTGGAAGAACCCGGTACTAGAAACCGTTCCAGTGCATCAAAGTTCAAGGCCAGTAAAAGTGGTTCCATGCTGCTTGACATAGACATGGGCAACGAAGAGTCTTTATCTCTTGTGAAAGTAAAGCGGGAGAGGAGCAAAGAGAAGTCGTCCGCTGAGGATCTGGTGAAAGAATCCCAACAACTCCGGCGCGGCTTGCCTGCGCGTTTGCTGCAGCGGTGGTCGAACCGCAGCTGGCTCAGATTTCTTTTCATCGACAGTACACCGAAGCCGGAAGTTTTGAGACAAAAAGCACTACTTGATGCCATCGCGGTGAGCTCAGGCACAGGGACAGCAGGCGACCGAGACGCCGCGCCGCAATCCGACCAGCACTTTTCGACAGCCAAAATTGAAGGCCTCTTCACCATGCGCAGTGCTAGCCGCGATGAGAAATTGATGCAGGCTTCCAAGCGCACGGTCGGCGAGAGATTTCAGCGGGGGATCCAGATTTTCGTGCGCTTCGCACCCGAAATCGAGTCGGACTACCAGGCATTTCACTTTCGCACCTTGCGCAAGCACCACGCGGTGTTCATCGTGCTCCTCTGGCTCGCCTACGGCGCAACCGTCACCGCCGCCGCGATGCTGCACGACCTACCTTCGTCTATCTCGCTGTTCTACATCCTTGTTTTTGTCGCACTGTGCACCGGCTTCACGCTGTTTGTCGAATGCGTTTTGCTTCCGCAGGAGGTTACCGGCGAGAGGTACGGCGACGTGGTTTTCTTTTTCGGCAGCTTTCTTTTCCTCTTCCACATCGGGATCAGCTACGAAGCGCTGCAGTACTGGTTCAGTGAAGACAGTTGGGACGTGCCGATCGAACGCGCGACCGGCTCTATTGGCGTTCAAGCCATCGCGATGATCTGCCTGGCGTTCTACATCCCCATTTCGCCGCCGGTTTTCGGGCTGTTGGTTTTTTTCCTTTCGCCCTGCTACGTGTTGGTCAACGGCCTGGCAGCGGACTCGTACAAGAACCAAACAAAGAGCGAAGTGTGGTCTTCGGTTGTCTACCAGGCTGCGCAGCTCCTCTTCGTCGGGTTGACGTTACTCGGCGGGCTAACGTTAAAGGATTTACACCAGCGGAGGCGCTTCGCAGAGCAGAGGGTCACGAAGGAGGTCGTGCAGCGGTTGCAGCGCTTAACGGCGGAAAAGAAACGGGGTGTTTTTGCGTCACGACAAGTGTCGAACTCATTGGCGGATGTGCGCGTCACGAGGAAGGTACCGCTCTGGACGGTTCCGCTAGAAGAAGTCGCGGGGCAGCTGAAGGACCTGCTAACCATTTTGCAAGTTCTGCACCAGAATCCCATGTGGCAGCGCCTACTCAGCACATGCTTGACCAGATTGCGCGAAATCATAGAGAGCATAAATAGAGCGCAGGGATCATTGGTCCAGGTCGACTACAACAGCGCGGACCTTGTGCTAACACCACCGACGATGCAGCCCTGGTGCCCGCCGTTCCTTGCCGAGGTTGCGCAGAACACTAGTACAACTCCCTCGCAAACAGCAAATGAGAGAACGACATCTACAGGCGTCGATAACGCGAGCAACAGACTCACGATTACAACTACAGAGAGCGCCACTGGTGCACCACTGACAGACTTGCCGCCGCGCCGAGTAGCCCGTCCTCTGCTTCTGTGCCGATTGTTCGATCCGGATCCGGTTTCGCGCATTCCGAGTGAATTTCTGTACGCCACGGAGTCGTCACTATTGCGAAAACGTTTCGCAGAGGCCGAGAGGCTTTTGGCGCTTCACAAGCCCCCAGGTGACTCTGGGTCCGGATCTACCTCCCCAATCGCGCAGTGGTGGGCGGCATCGCCGTCGCAGCAGGGTGCACGCTCCAGTTCTTCGCTATCGCCACTGCATCGGGGCGACAGGTGGCAGAAGGACGGCGCTGCATTTCTGGCCAGGTATGTTTTGATGGCGCTTCTAGAACCGCCAGCGCCGGGGAACTACTTGTCGCAGGCGACACTGGAGCCGCCTGACCAGGTCACAACTTCGTTCGGAGCACGGCTGGTGACCGCATGTCTAGACCGAGCGGAGTGGGTGCCGGTGGAATTTTTGCACATCCTCAGTACCGGGAGGCCCTCTGGTACTGATGCGTCGGAAAAAGCGCCGGATCAGCCTCCGTTACCATCCACGCCTGCTAGCAGGGGAACTTCCGGCCAGGACAACGCGTCACCGAGCTCTTTCCAGGTTCGCAGCGCTGTCTGCAGCACCCTCTGCTTGTTGTACGAAGCGGATCTCTGGGCTAGGCTTTCCGACCTGTTCCGCATGGCAGTTTTACTTGCAGTCGCGATAGAAAACGGCAGCGCGTCAGTGTCTTCTACCGACAGCGGCAGTCCATTCGCTTCCACTTTCGCGTTGATTCAAGGTAGTACCTTCATGCAGGAAAAAGGCACGCACCCGACCGCTCCACCATCACCACACAGAGGAAGCGCCGCTCAGGCCCAGCTGCAGGTACCTGCGCCAGCCCCCTCCCCTGCTGCGTCGTCCTCCAGTTTTTCGAAAAACTTTCTCAGTCCGGGTGATGCCTGGAGTATGTGCTTGCTCGTGGACGACCTTCGTCAGGACGCGCTTGCATCCCGGAAATCCTTTTTTTCAGATCACGTCAACGTCGACTCCTCCACGGAGTATTCATTCGTGGTTCACGTGAAGCACGTGTTGCGAGTTTCTCGCTACTCCTGGGTGTTCCACCAACGATTTCTGGCGCACGAGGCAAAGGCGAGGGATTTTTTTCTCGAGCACTACGACAGCCTGGCGATTCGCGGGATGCTGGACTCCAGCTCTGCGATAGTTGCTGACGCCTATCACCGGTCGTCAACTTCGGTAGCGTCGGTCGCCAGTGGTCTGATGTCGAATCTGCAGGGAAGCACGCCCGGCGTTTTCTCTTCCGAGTCTGCCGCTGTGATCCCACGGGCGGTGATGGAAACCGGACTCCGTGCCATCACGCCACCCCACCTCGGCGGCATACTGTCGCAGCAGGATGGTAGCAATTATCAGGCATCGACGAGGAGTGAATCGAATTCGAAAGAAATGGTCGCCGCTGGTGGTACAAAGAGTAGCAGTCCTTCATCCTCGAAAAACGCGTCTCCAACTTCCGCTTCGGCATCGAAAGGTAGACCTGTCCCCGACCCTCTTGAACTCCACGAGGGCACTGGACCCGTCGGACCAAAAACGATTGAAGGGTTTGAGAGTTTGCGTGCATGCTGGGCACTGTACGCCGCAGAAATGTCCGCTTTGATGGAGCATATTGTCTTACCAGCCGTACGCTCTGTCTTTGCTACGTGCTCCGTGCAAATGCGCGAAGAGTCCGCTATTTACATCGCTGCCAGAGCAAATTTTGGTCATTGGCAGGATCTCGTTTCTCGCCATACAGAAGCACTGCACCAGACATTTTTTGATCCATCCATGTCAATGTTGCAAGCCAAGGGTGTTGCCCCCGCGTCACCAAATGCTAAATCATTGCTCGCAACATCAACATGACGATAATTAATGTGCAGATCCACCAAAAAGGGTGAAAAATTCATCAACTACCCCTGTTCGAGCTGTAGCTGTGTCAAGTAGCACTTCGTCGTGAGACTTGCGTGGTCGTCTTGCTTCGCCATCTTCATTTGTCGTCGATAGTGCTCGAGTGAGGAGGATTTCGTGAGTTTTCGTGAGTAAGGAGCTTGCGTTTTTATAGCAATGAATACCACGGGTCATCGTCATGGTCATGTACACCTCGAACTCTTTCGTCTCGACTTCGTCGTCACGTCGGTCAGGTCGATTTTAGCATCGTAAATTATCTTATCGTTGTTTATTCTACGCTTCGGATCGCGCTGAACTCGTAGTACGACGAGAGGTGATGTTGCCGCTCGCACTCATTCGTCGAATCGTCTTCGTTAGAAGGAAAGGTGGCGCTATCGCCGTGGACCTGCATCTTCGTCCAAAAAAATACAGTAGTATGTTTTTTCTTCGTGGTCGGAGTCAACGGATTTTTTTAAGTTCATACTCCACTTCGCTTCCATCAAGGACCAGGACGCGCAGCACGGGAAGATGGTCGACATTGTGACAGCAGCCACTGGTTGCTCCGACGAGGTCGCGCAGCTGCTTCTGAGATACTATGGCGGAGACGATAATCTTCTAGTGAACGCATGTTTGGACGATCCAGGCTTGGCGCGGGCAGATAATCCCCTGGTTGCTGCGCTTCGGGCGCAACATAATGCCAATCCGGTGAACAACAATAACAACCACAACGCTCAGAATATTGCCAACGCGCCGCCCGGGAATGCTGACCGCGACCGGGGCCAAATTGACCGAAACAACGCCAATGCGGTGGCGGCCAATCATGTCGCGGCGGCACCGGCCCACGCGGCCAACGCGGTGGCGGCCAACAACGACCAGCAGCAGGCCCCGAAGCGAGATCCAATAGTGCAGCGGCCTCCACCAGCGGTAATCCAGGCCCAACCCGTGCCAAAAAGTTTGCCCGTTCATCCAAAGAGTTCTGCTTACCCCAAAGGCAATATTCAATTGCAGCAGCCCGAAGCTGCAGAAAATGTTGGTGACGGTTCTTTTCCAGATCTGGGCGCTCATCCACGTGTTGTTCCACCACCTGGCGCTTCAGCATCGTCATCGTCTGGTGCAAGCTCGTCGTCCGGTTCAAATCGTAATGTGGACAGACCGAATCCGAATCCTCAGGTACCACTGTTTGGTGGAGTGGTGTCTGATGCCGCGGTGAAGCAAGAAAAGCAGCTGGTAGAAGTGAAGGGGTCGACAATGCCGGTCAGCGGTATTCTGCAGGAAGACATGATGAAAAAGGCGAGTAATCCCTTCGCAATGAACAACAGTAGCAGTGCGTTATTAAAGTTTAGCGATCTGTTTCTTAAAAATTCTGATCGGCATGGACAACAGGGTATAGATCAGTTGGCCGACCTTTCCTACCAGGAAGCGTTCGAGAAAGTCGGGATGAAGGGATACGGAAAACGGAATAGTGCGGATGAGCAGAACAAGCGATACTTTCAAGACGACTATGCCAGCGACGACGACACAGCGTTTAACAAAGTCCGCCCACTTGACCCCGACGAGACGATGTCGACGCGCGCGATCCAATGGAACACCGACGGAGGGGCGCCATACGAAGGTCGTCAGGTAGACGAACCGCTTGTGATTGGCAGGGCGCCAACGCTCGCCAATCCGACACTAGTTCGCGTCTGCGGGCTGAACGAAGCAGAGCGAGAAAGACTCGCAGCATTTCTCACACTGCATCGCGGAATGGTTTCTCGCGCGATGCTGGTTCGGTCGCTATCGACTCCCTTTTATTCCGGGCGCTATCTGTTCGAGCGGAATGGATTTGCTTCCGCGGACATAGGTTCACTACAACTCCTCGACTTCTCGTCGACACCGCTGCTGATTCGGCAAGGTTTTGCGGCGACAAGGCCCGTCTGCTCTTCGCGGGGTCATGTCACACTGCCTCAACTTTTTCAAGATCCGATCATCAGCCTAGCGGCGGCCCTCGCAGGGACCTCTAGTCAATCATCTGTCGGAGCGGCACCCAGCAAAAGACCGCTTCTGATGTCTGCGATGCCACGTCCCGAAGCTAACGCGAGCGGCGATTTACAACTTCACGGCGCGGACAGTGGTGACGAATCAACTCTGGGGTTCTCGGTGACGTGGGACCGACAAGGCGGTGTCTTTCAAGGGAAAAACATCAAGGCTGGTTTCCGCAACACGCTCGCGTCAACGCGGTTCCTCGGAGGGCCGCCGAAGCCGTTACAATACGGCTGCTCCACTCTCTTTAAGCGCTACGTTAGCAAAAAGCTTGAGTTTGGCCGGTATTTTGCTTGTGACGTAAACACAATGGCGCATGTCCTTTGCCCGCACCTAGTCGGGCTGCGAGTGCGGTATAACTGCCATAAGCCCTACACAGTTGCTCTCGGTACCGCCTGGAAGGACAAGCAGAAAAACTTTCTGTCCTTCGAGGTCCTGAATGAAGTCGATAAAGAGCCATGGCGCGATCACCTCAATCGATTTCACAAACCGGTCAAGCTGTCGTACGGAATCCCGAAGATTCCCCGCCACAATTGGTTTTACGACTTCATTTATCAACCGCAAACATGTCTGGGTCTGGAAATTTGTCCTGTTCACTTATACCTGCGCAGCTGAAGGGTCTGGGTCGTGGCCGCTTGTACGGCGTAATAGGATGAGAAGTTGTTTTCCCCAGCTTCTTGCGGATTTATTTGCATTTAGCATGTACAAACTGCCACCCCTCTCCATGCGTCACATAGACAGATCTTGTTGTCTTTCAAACCTGGCATGACATCTCCAGACCCAAAAATATTTGCAATGCATATCATTCGAATCAGTTCAACTGAAGACGTAATGAAGCTCCACGTGGCCCGTGTCTTGGAGCAGAGCATCCGAGATGTGCGCTTCTTGTACCCAAATCGAGAGGTCTCGTACACTTTCCAGATTCGTAAAATCGAGGAACTTGCGCAGCTGACCAGAATCGGTGTCACCGGAGTTGATGTCGAGTTCGAGATTCCCAATAACGACCACGACTTGGCTGCCACGCTTCCGACCGGCTGGAACGAAAAATTTCCCTTGCGGCCGGAGCAGCTCCGCAGCCTGCGGTGGATGCAAGGGCGCGAGCAGCTGCGGGAGTCGTACAGCGCCGACATCGTGCGTGTCTTCCGGTTCGCTGACATCGACGACTCATTTCTGCAGGTGAACATCAAGGTTGCCGCTCCTGTGTTTGGTGGAATTCTGGCGGATAAAGTTGGGTATGGAAAAACGGCGACCACGATCGGTTTGATTGCCTCGAGCTTGGACGAAGACAACACTTCCGCTGAGCCTGGGGCTTTTGGCTTCGGCGTGGACTCGAAGGACATGGAGGCGTTGCAGGCTAATGAAAGCAACAGCGGACGAACAACAGCAAGTGAAAAGGATGAAGCGAAAAATGGAAAAGCCCCCGCACCAGCGCCAGGGGCGGCCTCATCATCATCTTCGTCGATGACTGGGTCGCAGAACAAGCGCCCGGCGGGCGGTCGTGCGTCGAGTGACTTGCGCTACATCATCGCAGAGGACGGCTGCAAGTTAATTCGTTCGAACGCAACCGTTATTCTCGTGCCGAGCCAGCTCGTCGGGCAGTGGGGCGATGAGATCGCCAAGTTTGACGCTGGGAAGAAGCTCCGCGTCCTTGTCGTCCGGAATGTAACTGACATGAAGCAACCGAAAATCGCCTACGTGAACAACTACGACATCATCATCTGTCCCTACCGCCTGCTTTACTCCGAAACATATCGAATGAATCGCAAGCAGCGGCGAGGAGAGGACATGCAGCTCGCAGAAGGGAAGAAGTGCTGCTTGCTGGAGGAGTTTTTCTGGAAGCGAATCGTCTATGACGAGTTTCACGAGTTGGAGAGCATGAACGGAGACCAAATTGATACGCTGCTGCAGTTCAATGCCAGATACGTGTGGGGTCTGACGGGAACCCCGCGAATTGAAACGGTGAAGGCTGTTGTAGGGATGGCGTCGCTTTTTCGCATCGACTTGGTCGGCCTGCAAGAGGAGTCCCAAGACCTTGCGGACCGCATCCAAAACGTGCTGACGACAGGCGTCTGGACCGCCAAAGACCTGTGGGACACCAAAGCCGAAACGAAGGTGCTTGATCACCGTTATCAGCTGGGTGCGATGGAGCCCTGGCCCGTAGAAAAAATGCGAGCTGGAGTCCCTGTGCTCGTGGAGCGTTTGCCGTGTCCCGTGTGTTCTACGCCTGGTTCTTGTTCAGTTTCTAATTTTGCTGACGGGCGGGATTCCAGGATGAGATTTACGACCAGCAACGCGACCGCCTTGGTTTCGTGTGGCTTTTGTCAGAGCTCAACAACCATGGAGCTCGAAGTGGCTGCAGCCTCGACTGATGACGAAAGTTGCAGGGAATGTCACGCCATAAGTCATGCCAACATCACGCAGCGACGATTTGAAATTTTGTCAGAGTCGCACTTCTGGGACTACTCCACCGTGCACTGGAGCCAGGCACGAAAATTTGTCGAAACGTTCATCCGGCAGAATTCCGCCGAGTCCCTGCTGGCCGGTGTCGAGACCAAGGAGCACGTCATCGCAGTGACGCAATTTCCGGACGAGCGCGTTCTGTACTTGAATGAAGTGAATAACTTGAACTACGTGGAGGTTGGTTTAGTTGACAAAGAGCAGGACGACGGGCAGCAGAACGAAGACGACGAGGTCGGCGCTGCAGCGGCGTCGAAGATGGACGCCGCCGGGACCGGCGCCTTGGGGAAGGAGGAAGCCCACGGACCGGCGCCGAAAAAGCAGAAAAAGCTGGACGAGAATCTCGATTTTGCTAGTTTCGTAGTTGCTAAAACGGATACGAGGAGTCGTGAGCGTTTGATCAAGCTGTGCTGCAACTTTTCGACGGTGCAGCGGGCAGATATAGGGAACGCGAAGCAAGAGATCAATCGGGTGTACGCGCTACACAAACGACGACTGGACGCTGCATTGAACAAGGTGTGGAGTGCTTCGTCTACTTTTTCACTGTTGCTTTTCTGTGTTTATGTTCAAGAAAGTGCCATATTGTTCATGTTCAAGATAAACATAACTGGCATTGTAGTTCACGCTGACGCATGAGTATGACAGAAGGCAGAAGATCGTTCTCTTTCTTGATGAATTAACTCAATGGAAGCGCCTCTTCATCAGGTGACAATCGCGATGAGGCAAATCGAATGTGCGAAGCGGCTTTATCGTCATTGGCGAGAGGAAGGGGATTATCGGTGCACGGGAATGGTCGACGATCTTGGTTCTAAGATTGCAGAAGTGAGGGCGCGCATCAGTCCGCAGCAAGAGCCAGAAGGGGGGAAGCGTGACCTCCTCGATGCTGATAGCTACTTCTTGAATCGGTTGGAGAATCTGTTGCAGTTGCTCACCGAAGAAAAGCGCTTTCTCGACGTCTTCGGAGAAGATCCGACGAAACGAGCGGATCCGTTGCGGAAGCAGAGTCTAAATGGTTTGCTGAACAGCGCATTTGGAAGCGGTGCGGTGGGCGACCCCCGTGCTGATTTGATGTTTTCCCCGGAAGAGAAACAGTTTCGGCAACGTCTCGACCCCTACTTTCCGAAGCCACTTCCCGATAACATAGGAGAGAAGCTGATGAGGCCGCTCAAGACGGTGCCGGGTAGACCCGGACACGGCGAGGGAAGTGATGCCAGTGCGCAACTGATCCAGCAGGTGTACCAATTTGGAGTGGCGAACTTCAAGAAGCGACTGGGCGCTGAGCTGAAAGCAGCCTTCCAGCCATTTTCGTTCTTCTGCCGGTCGTTGAAAGCGTTCTGTCGGTCCAGCGGAAAAGCCAATCCCAAGGAAAGCGGTGGCGGCGAGGAGGCGCTGCAAAGCGGCGAAAACGAGGAAGAACCAGACGAGGCGGTGGAATTCGAGTGTCCTGTGTGCATGGGCGACGCGGTTCCGAAACCTGATTACGACAGTGGGGAGTTTGCTGTCTCCGATATCCGAATGACGCCGTGTGGTCACGCGTTTTGCAAGACGTGCCTGACGGAAGCGATCAACAGGACAGGTAAGTGCCCGACATGCAACAACCCCAACCTGAAGTTGACGGACTTGTGCGACATAGCGGACGAGGCGGAGGGCATTCGCAAGATGGAGGCCGAGTACGAAGAGTTCGAAGCCGCAGCCAATCGGGGCAAGGAAGTGGACTCGATCGCGAATAAGTAAGTACCCACCTAAGTGATGCGCTGCATTGAAGATCGGCCCGTGTACCTTCTTGATCGAGCTTTTATCAAATAGGCTTTTTCAGTTTCGTTGAGTTGTCCTTCTCGTTTCTATTGTCTGCGTCGTTTCTCTTGAGTGCCGCTGTGCATAGATATTCTGCTGCGTGAAACTTTTTGAGCAGGAGCTGCAGTGTTGACGACTGCGCGTAGCTAAAAAACTGAATGTTTCTGTGAAGTAGAAGTAGTTTCTGTTTCAACGGTAGTTACCGTATGCGTATCACCGAACACACAGGCTGTCGCATGGCAAGCGGGAGTACTTGCAAACAAGCTGGGGAAAGCTGGAGCTCTACAACACCGAGTTCGGGCATGTCGAGCGGCACAGCAGGCTGCTTGCGCGCGACGAGTGCAAAACCTACAAGAAATACGGTAGCAAGATCGAAAGCCTGATCATCGTGCTGCAGAAGATCTTGGAGGACGATCCCAGTGCGAAGTGCATCGTCTTCGCGCAGTGGAAGATGATCGAGGAGAAGATAGAGGCTGCCTTCCGTGGGTATCACCTTCCTTACACCACACTGTTTGGATCTGCCGCGAAGAAGGCTGCGATTCTCAAGGACTTCCAGGTGACATACCCCAGAGGGAAAAAGATTCCGCGCGGAGTGCCCCGAATTCTCGTCATGTCTTTTGAGAACAACGCCTCCGGTGCAAATCTGACATCGGCAAATCATGTGCTTTTTGCGCATCCAATGGGTACATTGATTCTTCACAACTTTTTTCTCAATGAGTTTAGATAGTAGTAGCACTTGCTCGCGTGGATCGCTTTCACTTTGTGCAAACATAAAAAAACTGTGGCTCCTCGTGGAGAACGCGCTGTCTTTTGTCACAGAATCAATACGTAGCATACAAATGATCAATGAATCACTCTACCACAGTTGCGAATACATTTGCGAAAGCGCTCGCGTACGAGACGCAAGCTATCGGACGGGCGAGACGGTACGGCCAAAAGAAGACCGTCCATGTTTGGCGGTTTGTCACGCGCGACACCGTTGAGGCTGAGGTCGTTATTCAGCACCGGCTAGCAACGGAGAAACGAGACGAGGCAAAGCTCGCCTTGGCGGCACGGATCCAGAAGAAGACAAAGCCGCAAGCTGCTGCCCCCAGCGGAGCAGCGGAATCTGCAGCTGGCGCGTCTTCCAGCAGCGGCAGCAGCAGTGAAAATGTCGGGGAGGAGAGCGCAAGCGGGAGCGGGAGCTCCTCGTCGAGTTGGACGCAGAACCCCGCTTTCGGAACCTCCGCAAGCAATGCCTTTGCTTTTGGGCTGAAGAATGCGGCTAGCGCGTCATCGTCCGGAGCGTCCTCGTCGAGTGGTGGCGGAAAAAGTAGCAGTCCAGCCGATCTGCTTGCCGCTTTTGATGACTTTCGACAGGCCGCGTCCGCCGTGTCTTTTGGTGCTAGTAGTAGCGCCAGTGCGTCTTCGTCGTCAGCGAAAAACGATGCAGCCTCCGCACTTGCTTTTGCTCCGCCCAAAGACGATGACCCCGTGGGTGGCAGCATTTGGGACGTCGTCCGAGCGAAACTTCTTGAGGTAAAACTACTTAAGCATTAGAGTTGGTTTTGGTTTTTAGTACTTACGCGAAGATCCTGCAGTAAGGTAGAAGCGGATACTTTCTCATGTTCCGCTGCTTCGCTCCTTTGTTTGCATCCAGGTGCGGGACAGCGACATGATAAAAAAGCACCGACACAGAATTGTTTTACGCAACACTTCCACACAGGTCAGTTTAGGCGCGCGGGTCTTACTAGATGACATCAGACCTGATATCGCCAAACGTGGCTTCAGCGACACGGAGCTAGAGGAGGTGCTGACTAAGTTTGAGAAGCGAGGCGTCATCACGCGGACTCTGGATTTTTCCGGCCGCGGAATCAAAACGGACAAGATTGTCGTCCCAATCTCGTAGAAAGTATTTAAAATTATTGCGTGATCTCCTGAATCCTGATTCGGATTCCTTACAGAATATCTACACCAAATAACGCTAAATTAGTATGTATAGTATCTATTCCTTTATCTACTCCTTCTCCTGACCAGTGCCATCGCATGTCTACCGTCTACCAAGCATAGCACAGCGAGATTTTTTATAGCAATTTTCTGCACCTCTACGTCACAATCAAAAAAATGAAGACGAAGATGACGATTATTTCGGTTTCACTCAAATTTGGTCTAACTGTAACTCAACCCTGTGAATAGCTACAGCGCTGTCGCATGCTGTATCTATTGAAATTAGATTTGAATTTTTCCGTATTCCACGTAGGTGTTACTTGTAGAAATGTCGCAGCTTTTTCCTTATGTTGAGCATAATAAATCTCAGGATATCGATAGTTCTTTTGCGTTCCTCTTGTTTGTAACTTGCACTAGTAGTAGCAACTTATTCGCACCAGAAAACAAAAATTAATACGCAGTTGCGACCTCATCTTCATTTCGAATGTCGCGCATCAAAAATTTGAAAAAGCGTAGTGTGAGAAACGGACCAGAAACGGAAGTAGATAGTGCGTTTTTCACGAGTCTACGATAACAGAATTCTCGGAATGAAATTATACAATCGAGAAGATCATGCGTTGGTTTAGTACAAAAAATTGCTTGTTGTATGATATGAATATGTGCTGTACTAGAGGCTGATTTCAATTTCTATGTATCTTCTGGAACAAGAACGGCTCATGGCTTGTCTTCGATGAAAGTGACAAAACAAAAAACAAGAAGATGAGCACTCTCAATCGATGCACTTGCAGGGTCCGACGGTGGATGAATGCAACAACGCGGGTCTTCGCCTACACCGCTTTCTTTTTTTGTTTCGTCGCGTGACGTTGTTTGTCGTGATGAAATCGATCGCAAATGGACAGTGTCCATTTGTTTTGCTCCGCATTCCGTCGTCGACTAGTCGTACTTATGATTTTTTTATCTAGGTTTATCTGTCGAGGTCAGACGCGTAGGTGTCGGTGCCGTTTCATGAAAGCAGTTCATGGCCCACCAGGTCCATGCCCGTCTCCCTCGAGCGCGTTCACTTTAATATTCGAAGCTACGTACTACGGCTTGCAAGTATCGGCTCGCAAGTGACTCCCATTTTCGTTTGGGAATTCCGTCGTCGTATCTCGTGTCTCGAACTGGTGTGATGTACCGTCGTCGAAGTTCGATCGCAGTTCGACGTCGTTGCAGCTCCGCTTATACAGAAGTGGTAGTACTATAGAAAATTCGTATGTTTTCGTCCGCCAGACGCTCAATAGCGGTAGTGTGATTACATATCATTTTATTGAGCTGCTGATTTCTGTTGCAAATAGGTTGATATTGATGTATTTTTTTGTTTGATGCGAGGCAGAAAGGAAGTGGTGTGCAGATTGCCGCTCCACTGTCAGTGACAGTTGTTTTACTTCTATGCCAAGAACATGAATGATCTAGTGGACGAACTAGATAATGAAGTAGTTCGATGATTTTCATTTTAGTATTTTTCTTCTAATCATGTATATGTTTATGTAATACATCAAATAGCACTTGCTCAATGGTTGATATCGTGACGGCAACCACGGGTTGCCCCGAGGAGAATGCGCAATTGCTTTTCGAGTACTACGGGAAAAATACCAACTCAGTGATCAACGCGCTCTTGGATGATCCAAGCTTGGCGCAGCCGAATAACTCACTTGTCGCCGCGTTGCGACAGAGTAAAAACGGCAATCAGCCGCGCCGGGCTCGTCCAGCGCGTGGGCGCAATGCTGCAGCGGCGCAAAACAACAATCAACAGATCGATCCGGTTGTGCCCCAACAACCCGCGGTTGTCGCTCCTGCGCCGCCAGCTGCACCAGCAGTGAATGTAGTGATAGCCGTAGTGCAAAACAACGCTGCTCCACATGCAGCAGCAGCTGCCCAGGATGACGAGGACGAAAACCAGGACGAAGGCGAGCAAAATCGAGATCGAGGAGATGCGGATGCCGTGTCTATGGCTGGTGAAGAAGCAAGCGATGGTCAACAAGCACCAGCAGGGGACCAGGATGAACAGCAAAACGTTGTCAGCGGCAATGACCACGCTGCAGGGGCGGATGAAGAAGATGACCAGGCTCCTCAACAGCAGAACGGAGTAGGGGGAGATGATCAGAACAATGATCCAAGTGAAAACCGGCAAGAAGAGCAACTGTCTGATGCTTTTTCGCCTTCGCCGATAGACTTTGCCTTGTTTTCCGATGATGATCATCTGGCAGGTCCAGGTGACAACACTAACACCGGTCGCAACCAGCAAGACGAATTCCCTGTGACGGGGTACATGCGGTCTTTCTTTTCAGTGTTTCGTCCTGCGCGACCAGCCCCTTATCAGCAGAACGGCGCAAGTAGCAGTGGCGCGCCAGGAGTAGCACCATCGCGGAGCAACCAGAGTCTTGTTCAAGCTCCTGCAAGTAGCGGCATTTTCGGAGTGGGAAGCAGTTCTTCTGCGGCCCATAACCAGAACAACCCAGCGTCGCGAAAGGTAGTTCAGGACTCCAGCCAAAAATTTTCGTTCTTCGGCATGTTTCGATCGATTGGCGAGGCCGTCGGAGTCACGTCATCAAGCACCGTCCCCGACCGCCGCCGTTTAGCGCGCAACGATAAAGCCGACAACTACCATTCTTCCTTCAACGGGATGGGGATGAAAGGAGGAGGACGCCGTGACTACCAGAACGCTAATGATGAGGATGCGAGCGACGACGACACCGGCTTTAATAAGCCCCGCGTAAGTTCCACGGCGGCGAGAAGCGGTCGTTTGTACAACACAACCGGTGGAAAGTGGTACAAGGCCGAGGACCGCGACGTTGAGAAGCCGCCGGTAAAATCGGGCGCACCAACTCTGAGTTTGCCGAACCAAGTGCGTGTTGGTGGACTCGACGAGGCAGGGGCGCAGCGGCTCAGTGAGTTTTTGTGGAAGAGCCGAGGCATTATTTCCGAGGCGATGCTGGTCCGCTCGGAGTCACTGCCCTTCTTCCCTTTGCAGTACCTCTTTGACCACAAGTGTACTGACCTAGTTGACGCTTTTGATCCGGAAGTAAATGCGTCGCCGTCATTTGACATCGAAGATGTGAATTTCGCATCCATGCCGTTGTTGGTCAAAGGTGGACCGCATGCGATCTTGAACGTAGGTCACGAGTCCGGTGAAGACGGGGAGACATTGGGGGAGTTGTTCAAAAACTCCGATGTTTCTCTTGCAGCAGCGACGAAATCGAAAGCTACAACTGCGACCGGTTCTGCTGGGAGTGGACCTATGGGACTCTCGGCCGTGGCGCTGGGCAAGAGACCTGCTGGCTTCGTGGCCGGAGCGGCAGCTGGTCGCAATCTCGCCGTCGAGGACTTGAGTTTCGCACTCACGTGGCAGCGACAGGATGGCGTTTTTCAGGGGAAAAATGTGAAGGACGGTTTTGTGGATAAGCTCGCCGTTACGCGCTTCGTCGGGGGACCTCCGAAAGACGTGCACTACGGCGTTTGCGACTGCTTCGAGAAGCGTGGACGGCATGACTGCGAGGGATTGACTTGGAGAACCTTCGAAACTCGAGGACGCCAGTTTACGACTAGTATCCATCGATTCTGCTTCAGCCAAACCACCGGAAAGCGCAGAAAAACGGAAAAAATCGGGAGAAAGCAACAAGGCTGCAGATAGAGATCAGCGATTTTTAAGCGTAAACGGCCAGCAGCAGCATAGCGAAACAGCTGATCGACATGTGAATGGTAACGCTGCTGCCGCCGCTTGATGAGGACGAGCATCTCTACGCCCCCGCAAAACGGGTAGAGGAACTACAGCAGCTGTCGCCTATCTCGCAGCCGCTAGCGACATCGCGTCGGATTCGGTCGTTTGTTTATTTTCCTTACTCTCCTCCAAAACAGATTTGTCTTTAGAACCAAAGAACAAACAGAGATACATGATCGCGTTGGAAAAGGCAAAAACGTGGATATCGCTTCGCATTTTTCGTTACGTTATCGGCTTCCCGAGCGAATAATGGCTTCAAACTCTGCAAAGCGGCCTTTCTGCTGTTGTTTTTGTTTTTATTGACTATTGATCTTCAATTTTTCTAACTTCCTTGCATGACCTTATTTCGACCTTGCAACCGCCAAAATGACACACAAAACAGGAAAGAACTAACACTTACAACTAACCCCCACTAAAGACAAACTCTGTAAAATCTACCCCGGTAGAAACCTTAGGAGAATAAAAAACCACCCATACCAACCTTCGGAGATGTACGTGCCTCAGTTGCCGCCCGTGTTGCCGGCGACCACCAAGTACAGCTCACTACAGCACTACGACGACGGATTCTACGAGAACCACATCCGTTCCGGGCCTTTTCCTCCGCCGCCGCCTCCCGAGTTAGCGGTCACAGCTTGGCGTAACGGTATTCAGCAGGCGGCCATGATGCTGAAGAAAAAGGTGGAGACTTTGGTAGGCGGAACGACCACGCAGAACTGTCCGCCGACGAAGAAACGGAAAATCGGAGTCAAGAAGCTCTTGCTAGCATCGCAGTTGACAACAACTAACTCCACGAACCACCTCGACGCCCATATCAATCTTTGTCCAACACTGCGAGCGCGTTTCAAGACAAATTCGAACCTGGAGAAAAGGACGCTACGCGACGAGCCGAAGAATTTCGACCAGTGGCGGAGGACCTGCGCGAAGTCCATCAGAGAAACGACCGGAGCCTCGATCGACAGCGAAGCGTCGGCGACAGATGGGTTTATAGAGATTCCCCGAAAGAAGCGAGGAAGGATTTCGAAGACCATCAGCGCTGTTTCCCCGCGACTGTCCACATCGATTTTCGCTAAGTTTGCGAAGTACACTGACGACGGCCTATTTTCCGAGCAGCACGACGAACGGAACCAGCAGGCCGACTCCTACCTGCCGTTTCCACGTGGACCGAAACGGAGCTCGAAACACGACTCGAAACCACGGGGACCGAAACGGAGCTCGAAACGCGACCCGAAACTACTATCGAACCTAAACTGGATCGAGGCGCTGAAGTACGAGAACTCCTTCACAGCAGTCCGAACGGTTGTGCATAGAGTCGGCCAGGATTGCGCGCAGTTCGTGCTCGAAAAATCGACCGGCGATTTTCTACACAGCACGCTGCCCGGTGGTGGTTTGTACGACTGGCAGATGCAGGACCATCTCTTCAAACGCCGAAAGTTCTTGCGGGTCCACTTTGCCACAGAATGGACGTCAACAGGAGCGATCGTGAATTCCCGGGCGACGTCAGCCGAAATCTGGGGTGACCCGTTGGGGAATTACAGCGGTGATGCAGTTCTTCTCGGCGAGCATATTGAGCTCGTCGAGGATGGAGTACTTTTGGCGATGAACGCGTTAAATCGGCCAGCTCGTCGACGAGGGTCGAGGATTCTCGGGAACAAGAGTAACAAAAAGAAGAAGCTGAGGGCGACCGAGAACGAGCTGAGATTGTTCCTGGCTCAGCTGGCGGAGCGGGGAAAGAGCTTCAAGAAAGAGGTTACCTGCTTTGCGCAGGCTTCTCAAGGAAGTAAAAGAGTGATTCTCCATTTTTCTGACCAGGACATACGCCACGTGATCTGGTGGGGGTCCACGCGGACCGTAGATTTCCAAGAGAAGTGCGCGGTAGGTTTTTCCCTGGAAGAGGCTTTTAGATTTTGGACGACAGAGAGAATCGTCCGCTCGAGGGTACCGCAGTTTTCGTTCGCGGCGTCCTGGGACAAGTTGCACGACACCGAGTCATGGTCCTTGCCCGCGGTACTGTCAAGCGACGGCGGACGGCCCGAGGCAGGAGATTGCCCGGTAACCGCTACCGACCCGCCACCACGACAGAAGCCCAGTGGTAACGCCGGTTCGAACCCGCCGGCCGCCTCTTCCTCCAGACGCGAAAGTACAGAAAAGAAAAAGCGAGACCCATCAGGAAGTAGCGAAGCACCCTTTTGCCAACATGTCCCGGACGACGAGAGCGAGAAATTTTCGCAGAAATCCTGTTTGCGTTTCTTGGAAGACGATATCGACAGCCAGCTGGCGTGCATCTACTGCTACACGAAGTTCGATTCACGCAGGGAATTTGAACTCCACGTCGAAAGAGGAGAAAATCACAAGGAGAATACGAAAGCCCTCCGTTGGCTACGAGAAAACCCCGCCGCCGACCCGTCATTTTTCGACGAAGACGAGTGGGCTTGGGTTTGTAGTATCTGCGATAGACTTTTCAATAGAGTTATTTCGCTGAAAGCTCACATGTTGGAAGATCCTGACCACAACAAGAAAAAATTACGAAGAGCGCTGAGGGATAATAAGAACGCGGTGGAGGCGGACAAAAGAAAACCGCCGTCGCAGAACGACGATGACGACCGCCCGCCCACCCTATCATCATCATCGTCCGAAGACCCACCACCTCCTTCTCCGCCAAAAAACCCCACAGTAATAGACCAGATCCCGGACCTAGTCAGATCCCCACCGCGTCGCATCGAGGGCTCGGCCGACGGGACTGGCGGCGGCGTTCCAAAAGCGCCTGAAAATCGAAGCGCGCGATCACCGAAACGAAGAAAGATAGACGAGCCGGTAGAGCGCGGTTTTGACGGCCGTTCCAAATGGAGCAGAGATTCTTCTTCCGACCCGATTTCGCCTTTCGTCGCTAAAAAACGATCCAGCTCAAAAAAAGACAAGGGGATAATTTATGACTATTCGTCGGACTCGGAGAACACACCAGCGCCAGATTTATATCGGTCGAGGCCGACAGCTGACGCATCTAAAACATCTATGTCTCCTGTGCCCGCCACCGCGAAGCTTAAAATCGACGAGGAGAACCGGACGGTCGAGTATTGCTGCGGAGCCTGCAACAAGGCGTTTCCGTCGAAAAACGCTTATAAAGCGCATAACTGCAAGACGACGACGGGGAGTAGAGCGAGACTCTCCATGCAAGAGGTTTCGCAAAATCGAGGATCGATCCTCCGCGGAGGTACTGGAAAGCATTTTCCATCAGACAAGACTAGCCCCAGCGCGCACTCTGCTGCCGACGACGACAAGCACAGAAAAGAGTCGCCCGTCGCGATGTTGACAGCGGAGGCCCTCGCTGGACTCCCGGAACGCGGCGATCACCTAGAAAAAGAACGGAAAGTGCCTCTTTTCGACGATCTCCTCAGCAGGGCAGCCTCTAAGATCAGTTCACCACGACGGGACCGCACCGCCGTGACGTTGTTCGACGACATTGCCAGTACTATCGGAAGCGAATGGGACATTACGTCTTTCAAAGGGACTCCCGAAGACGATGGATCGATCGGGCTCGATATCCGATGGAGCCTGCACCTCTTGCCCAAAAAGGACGCTAAGCTACGACAGCTGCTGTTGGATTTAAACAACTACAGGAAGACAGCGGAAGAGCATTTATCGAGGAAGGTATACACAAAGAGCATTAGTCACGGGAAGAGGAATGGAGCTAAAACTTCGATGAAGGCTGTGAAAGCGTCCACAGCAGTAAAGAAATCGCCATCCGAGGTTCCTAAAACCGAAGGAAAGCCTACCCCGGCGTTCCTCCGCGAAGAAAACAAAACCTTCAAAGGAACATGCCCGCCGAACATCACGCCGATCACTAGCAGAAAGTTCTATGCCCCAAATTGGGGCACCGCGGTGGAGATTTGGAAGGTAAGAAGTACATTCCACCTACATTTCGAGAATAACGCTTCCCACACCGTGAAGCTCGTCCCTGCGAACGACTTCCTCCGCGACCAGTTGGAGATTATGGGCAGGGCCGGCGTCGGGGATTTGGTCGTCGACGCTAGCCGAAATCAGCGGAACGCAAGTGGACAGACTTTGACCAAGTCTTGTAGTACTAGATGCGGAGTCTGGGCCGAAAAAGAGCACGCGGCTGCCGGCTTGGAAGAAGTCAAGACGTACCCGCTCATATCGAATAGCGACGATCAAGCCCAAGGAAAGTTTCTCGCTAAGAACAATTGGGCCCCCGGCAGCAACACCGCCCGCCCCGAGGAGGAGGCAGATCACAGCGAAATCGATCCAGAGCAAGAGTTGTCCCAAGTCTCGGACAAGTCGAAGCCAAAAGGAAAGAAAAGCAAAAAAAAGAGGACTGCGTTGGCGCTGACTTCTGTCGGGAAGGAGTCGTGGACAGCAATACACGCCTTCAACGACGGAAAGCAGAAGAGCACTGCGACGTCGGACGCTGCAACTCTCCGGGGCGCACAACAGATGATCGTGAGTCTGGAGTGTCCTTACATCGGCGACGACGGACAAGATTTCTTTACGGATAAGTGGACCAAAAAGTTAGCCGCTGCGTTAGGGATCGAGCAGACTTCAATAGAAGTAGGACCGAACTACCTCGTGCCCCTGGGGAAGAACAAGCGCGCAACTCTAACGCTATGGAGGAAGAACGCGAAGAAAAACGAGGCCAGATTCAACGAGCACGTCGCCGCGACGGCTAGCGAAAAGGCCGCGGTTGCGGACGCACTCCAGGCCCTCGACGAGCTCGAGGCCCATTACAACTCCAAGGACGAGGAACTCCGGAACGAAGCCCCCCTTTCGCGAACGAAGAATGACGCGTCGCTACCCCGCCCCACATTCCAAGTGGCTACCAGCAGCAGAGCCGAAATACTCTTCGTAGTCAAGATGTCTTCGAAAAAGTCGGATTGTAAGGAGAAGCTGGCGGATTTTTGTCGGGAGGAAGGGTTTTTGGAAGAAGTCACCAGTGACGAAACACCTGGTCGACCCTCGAGTTCCAATGAATTCAGACTACGACCGAGCGAGGAGATCGAAAAACTAAACAAGTTTACCGACGCGCGGAAGCGAGTGGTAAGAGCCCAGTACAGACTCAAGACACTCGACCCAACTTCCGGGGAGTTGACCGGTACCGCTAAGGATGAAATAAAGCGCCACACACAGATACTTCAGGAGGCTACGGAGAAGAGAAAAGCGAAAGCAAATCTAAAAAAGAGGAACAAGAACCCGAAACCCAAGAAGAAGCCGGCGGTGGTGCTTAAAGGTTACCCCGAAGCCGCGCCTGGCGCTACATCGGAGGACGACGCCGAGAAAGCCAGAAAGGAGAACATCAGAAGAGTAATGCGCTTTTTGCTAAAAGAAGAAGACGGCGGATGGGAGAGGAGATTCTGGGACTCCAAAAGAACGTCGGAAGAAATGAAGGTTCTCCGAGATTTTTGCATGGAGCTCGAGACAAAGGAGTCGGGGCGCCGCAGTGAGCATTTGAACAAAGTGAGAAAGACGACGGATTTCAGCGCGGACATTCGAAAGATGAAAAAAACACTTTTCAAAGCAATCGAGAAGGAGCTAAAAGAACTCCGACAAAGAGGCGCTGCTACGGAGCACAAAACGACGCCAAGAAACCATGGACCACTGCATCCCCAGCGGAGCCACACGATTGCCCAGGACGGGATTTTGCCTTCCTCTAGAATAACAACCCAAGATGAAGCACAACTAGCAAAAAATGCACATCAGGCGAGCCAGAAGGGAGGAATTATGGCGGTAGATCTTTCTTCAGCGAGCATTGGAGAAGGACAAGGAAAGCCGGCCGAATCTCTCAAGATTAACCAGGAGCGTGCCCCTGCAGCGCATCCACCCGCAGCCAGCTGCAGGAAGCCGAGTAGCAGGGCGGTTGCAGCACCGCTGCCAAAGGGAGAACGAGCTACCACCGCCACGAATCTGCCCCCTCCCGGAAGTAGCAAGCCCGCAGACGAAACAGAAATGCCGGTTAAGCACCATGACCGGTTAGATGATATCACGAAAGCGCCGAGATCTTCTATTTACAAGGTCCCGGAATACGACGCGTCGACAGCACGACTTCAAGAAATCCAGAGAGGCATCTACCCGGAGTTGCAGTCTTCTTCTAGCAAAAGGGCCGCGAGCGATGTAACGCGATCAACGCTAGTCCTCCCACCGCAAAACGTTTCCCCACAGAAGAAACGGAGGAGGAGCTCCACCCCGTCAAGAGTATTCCCGGTCGAGAAATCGCGAAGCCCCGTCGTTGGACCCAAGTCGAACCCGACGCGCCGAGCGCCTGGCGTCCAAGATCTTGACGATGAGACAGCGCGCCTACCGTACAACATAGGCGCGGCGTTGTTGTCTTTCGAGCCGCACACCACCGCCGAGTTTAAAGACATCCCGGAGATCCGCCATCACTACAAGGACACCGTAGGGGTTTTGATGTCTCTCGATGAGGGAAAGACGTTTCAACCGATAGCTGCAGGAGTAGCTAGCACGGCCGTGATGCGGAAACTCGCGGTAAGATATCTAGTGTCATGCGGCGCGCCACGACTGCCAAAGACGGTTTTTCTTTTCCTGGACGGGTCGCAAGATCTACATCAAGTAAAGGCCGAGTTGGAAGACGCAGAGGTGGGTGACGGTCAGGAGAGCCCCAGAGATGCAGACCTGGGACTTTTCAGACTTTTCCACTCGCGCGTGCAGCATTTTTTCGGGTTCGAGCCCGCGGGTGGTTCTTTCAGAAGCTGGACTAGCGCTTTGAGGCTTTACAATAGCGAAGCTAAGACGAGTAGCAGTTACCTCGAGTTAGCAGAATCATTTGTGCGAAAGGGCGGAAAGGTCGACGACGACTACCCCAGCGGATCAATCGCCCTGGTCGACGATTTATTCCCAACAGCCGACAAAGGACTGAACTTCCAGCGGATGCACGCTAGCGTCAACGACAAGGGTTCCTGGGAAGTCTTTTCAACCAGCGGCAGTAAGACCGGGAGGGCGCGTGTTTTCATTTGCAACGAAGTCTTCTTCAGAAAGTTTATTTTCCAGCCGGAGGTTGTTCGAAAAGCCGCCGAGCAGAAGGACGACGCTGACGACTTACGGAGGCTAGTGATTGATTGGGAGCTAGCCGATGCTGACCCCCCCGGCGGGCCTGGTGATTTCAACGATGATATCGCGGTACTTGCCGACGTCGACGACCGAGAGGTACCCGACCCCGCGAAAAAAGTCCTGGTGTGTTTGATACACTACAACATCCAGTCACTCAATAGCAAACACGAAAGACTAACGGAGATTGCGAAAACTGTGCAGAAGAAGGCGGCCGATCTAAACGCCAGCGCGCTACTGAGATTAGGACTAAGCGAACTCAAGACATTAACTCCCGCCGAAAGCTTCCCACTAAGTCCACCTACCACAGTTTCCGGACCCCCAGCGCCTCTTCTGCAAAAGACGACGTTCGCATCAAACGCCCCCGCTGGCGGTTCAGCAGATTCCGGGATGACTGCGTTGTACGAGGCTTTTATCCCTAGAAAAGACGACCCGGCCCTGTCGGAGATGACTCGCTCGACGACCGTCGTTTCGAAGAGTTGGACAGTTCTATACAGCAGTACTAGTTACGCAGAGCGGGAAATTATGCGAAGCGCCCCGAAAAAAGACGACTACTGCCTGTGGTTCAGCATGACTTTAAGTCGTGGAGTGCTCTCAGCAGAGGGCTACATAACACCTTCCACGAAAAATGATCACGAAGTGTCTCTCGAAAACATCCGACACGCATCCGAACAACTGGAAGAAATCTTGGCAGCCTACAAAAAGCAGTGCGAAGCTGCGCCTCTGTGTTTTCTAGGCCTGGACCTGAACATGAAGCACGACACGGCTTCCCGTGAAGATTTCTTGGATTCGCTCAAGCCTTCTTCTTCTTCGGGGTTCGGGGGTAAGATAAAGCGTTTACTGATGGATTTTTGCGAGAGAATCACCGAGGACCACGAGCCACTCCAGCTGGAAGGACCCACATACCGGGATATTTCATCTCCGGACGTGGTCTTCGTAAAAGGGCGGGAATATATAGAAGACCTCGGACAAGCCCTCTTGTACCGATGGACTGCCGAAGGGGAAACGACGGAACTGCCAGAGCTGTCCCAAGATCACGCGGCGATCGGTCTTTGCGGGGTGATAAGTGAGGAGGTCCTACACCGAGGAGGACTCGCTGCGCCGACAACGACAACCTCCACCGCGTCCTACCCTGACGGAAATTTCAACAACAAGACACGCGATTTCGTCACCTTGCAAGCCCTTGCCGATCCTCGTGGCGAGCATTCTGGGAGATGGATCTGCGGGGCGATGGAAGACTACAAAATGATTCCGAGAAGCATAATCCCGAGAGGAGGTGACTGCGGGGTTTTCTCGTTGGAGTTCGTGGCCGAAAGGGAGATTTACAAGGGCGTAAACTTTGCGCTTCGTCTCGGCCGCGGCCTAGCGTTAGAGAAGACGAAAATTACGGAGGCAATAAACAACGACTGGCAGAGCTTTCAAGAAGGACGCGGAGTGGTCGACTTCGAAGACAAAATCGCAGCCGCGTTAGTGAGAGCCAACCTCGTTGAGAAAAGAGGATTCTCGAGCCGTACTCTTCTCGACAAACCGAAAGACACGGTAGGGGAAGGACCGGACACCGACGCGAAACGCGCGAAAAAAGAAAAAGCGCTACCTACAGCGAAAAGCATGTATTTAGGACGAGCACGAGGCGAGCCCATAGATTCGATTAAAGGAATCACATGCGACGGCACACAGTGCGACTTGGTCCCGGCCGCGTTGATAAATGTAGCAAGGATACACTTCGCGAAGCCTGCGACCATGTTGGAGTTTAGCGGCGTCCAGTACGACTACTCCGGCGAGGAATATCGACAGCTCCTCGGTTCGCTCCTCCGACATGCGAAGTTTTGCCACCCGTTGACGGTATCTTGCCCAGAAGTCGTTGCCGCAATCGCCGAGATGAACAAGGAACTCCAAGGACCAACCGGTGTGCGGGGGAGTATTTTCCGTTGCCTCCCGAAGTGGACTTTGAAGCTGCTCGTAGAAATAATCAACAAGGAACTTCGAGGGCTAAGGGACGCTGAGGATGAAGGCAAGCTTCACGAAGTGCTCGACCACGCGGCCGCCCGGATGGTCGGGACGTTTTTGGCGAAGGACGGTCAGAGGTTGGATGCCGAAAAACTGAGAATCACATTCAGCCAACTTTTCTCCGAAAGGTTGAAAGAAAAAATCCTCCACCAGCACCTGACGGCATTGGTATACAAGAAGAAAAGGCATCGCGGAGTTTCATTCGGAGGAATGACGGGCATCAACTTGCTATCTACCGAAATCCGCAGAAGAAGGCTGCGAGCATCAATCCGCCAAGAGGATTTCGTCCTCATCATTTCTTTGGACCTGAAGCAGATGTTCAACTGCCTGACGAGACTGACAGCGCACGTCACATTCAAAGCAGCAGGAGCACACCCGGTTTTTCTTATTCACAATCTTCTGAGATTCAGCAACAAGAAGATCTACCTAACCTCCGACAGGGTGACGCTGCGGGTTTCGGACTACAAGTTCGGAGTGCAAGGAACCTACAGCGCATGGTGTGCGGGAGCGCTTTTGATGGCGCCGTGGCTGCTCGCGGCGCAGGTCGCGATCAACATTTGCTACGACGAGAGCGGAAATTTGGAGGACGAGAGGATCCGCGTAGCCAGGACGTGGATCCGGACGGCGCAAGAGATCATCCGCAGCGATTTTCGCGCGGCCAGGTGCTACGCGATGAGGGACATCGACGGGATGTACCAGAAAAAAGAGCGAGCGGAGGACGAGAAGCCGGACTTTCTACAAGATTTCGTTACGAGCATCTACAAGCAGTTTCCCCATGCGGAGAAAAGAAAATCGGCAATGGGCTGCGTCGACGACACGGATCTGGAGTTAGTCTTCCGCCAGGCCGACACCACAAGCAGGCTGCCGACCGTAATCAACATGGTAACGGAGCATTTCGAAATTATGGCAGAAGTAACCAAAACGTTTATAGCAATCAACAAGTGCGAAGCGGTAGTAATCAGCTTCGAGGACTCCGCGGACGCCGCTGCCGCCTGCAACGAGACGGCCCAAAAGGTCCAGCAAAGCCTAAAAATTTTCGGGAAAGCGATAAAGTTGGTGAAAAGCGTAAAGCTATTCGGATTCCCAGTCGCGTGCCAGGTCGGAAGAAGCTACACAGCCCTGTGCCGCAGATTGATCGGGTACGCGTTGCCGATAGTCAGGGAATCGTTCCGCATTCTAGGAAACAAGCCGAAACACGCGGAGTTCAAACTGATACCGGGTTGGGCAACCATCAGTAAAGTGAGACACCTGCTGGTCGTTCTCAAAAGGTATGACGAGCCGCTTTTCGACGAGATGACGTGCGAAATTGGCAAGAAGCTGATGAACTTCTACGGAGTCTCCGACGCACTACAGGAAGAATTCAAAAGCGGGTTTTTGGAAGTAGAAGGGAAGACAGTCTCCGCCGCGGATATCTTCTTTGCCGGTTTTTTGGGAAACAAAAACTGGAAAGAAAAGGTAGGCCGGACCTTCAGAAAAGCGGTAACAAGCGAGCTAGCGATTCTCGGAGATAAAAAGTGTGACTTCCTCCTAGAAGCGGCCGGGTGGGGTTTGAATCCCGATGAAGAAGAGACGAGGAGAAATCTGCTACACGACGAAAGCATGCGGGTTGCCTTCCCAAGCAAAGTAAGCTACGATCTTCTCCGAGCAAGATCGGTTTTAAAAATCGGGGGCGCCTCGATTGTTCTAGAAGGGGAAAACGACGACGCGCCCACCTACGACTACACAACAGACGACGCGATCCACCGCGGGAGAAATAACTCCGCATACTTGAGAACTTTCGACGGCAAATACTTCGCAGCGTCCCTTCGCCCGCCCGACGTCGAGCTGCTGAAGATCAGGGACGCCGGTAACGTGACCTACGCGGCAAACGCTGCGGAGTTAGTACGCCGCCACGGACAACTCCTTAAGGGACGGACGACCTGGATTTTCTCTCTGCCGGAAGCGGCGATAAATGGCAGCTCAGCCATCACGCACGAGCTTTACTCTGCCGTTGCTTCCGCAACGCAGAAAAAACAGAGCCCAGCGGCGTCTGGACCCCGAGTCCAAATCTCGTCGAGCAGTATTGTTTGGAACCAGAGAAGATGGGCAAGGATCGTTCCAGCGACTACTAGTAGCGCCGCGCACCAGTATATCAACCCCCTCGCCTGGGAATCCGGAGATCCGATAGCGAATGATCTGTCCGAGGAGATCCACGACATCTTCGAAGATACCTACATCCTCGGAGATGAAGAGGCACAAGAGGACGAACGGATAGGAACGAAAAAGAGAAAGGAAGAAATCGTCGAGAAATTTACGAATTTGCTTATCCGGGAAGGATTCCGCGACGCCGCGGAACCGCCGCTGCCGGGGGACCCGATGGAGATCGAAGATTTGATGGCTTGAAGCAGCAGGATCTGATTTTCTACACAGCGATGAACTTACGAGAGCTTTTCTTTTTTCTCTTTCAACATGTTGACTAACCCAAACTCCGAGCGGAACTTTACGAACCAGAACCACGAGCATTCATCTTCCGAAAAACAAATTGGAACGGAGTCACGAGCTATTCTTTGAACTACGAACGAGTACGAAGCCGCGAACTTTCTTTTCAAATTACGACCCGTGCTGGAACTACGAACTATTCTTTGAACTACGAACGAGTACGAAGCCGCGAGCTTTCCCTTCGCGACCCGTGCTGGAACTACGAAGTTTTTCTGTGCTGGAGACCGAGGACGAAGCCACTAACTGTTTTTTTTTCCGAGTCGCGAACCGTGCTGGAATCACGAGTCTTCAAACTACGGGTTGTGCATTCTCTCCGCGAGCCAAGATTCCACGCCACGTCGAAACAACACGAATTCCGCCCTCAACCTCGAAACAACGACGAAACACACGCCGAAGAAAACGAGAAAAGAAAGACGAGGACCACGGGCACAAAAACAATATCGGTATTATCCATTTCCATTTGTATCTGCTTTTCGAAGCGTGTCGTATATAGCTTTTCGAAGCACGCTATGTATAGCTTTTCGAAGCTCGTCGCCGCTCGGCTTCCTCTTTTCTTTTTGTATCGTCTTTCGAGACCTTGCTCTGCCTATCGGTTTTTTTTCGGTAATTGCAGGTAAAATCTATGTATTCACGTTGGCCTTCGGGTTTCTACCGGACCATCCCCGCGAACGCGTGATGGACCGTGCCTCAACCGATACGAGAAGTCGTGAGCGCCTGATAAAGTTGTGCTGCAATTTTTCCACGGTGCAAAGGGGTGACATCGAGAACGCGGACCAGGAGATCAACCGCGTCCACGCGCTACACAAGCGGCGTCTGGATGCGGCTATTCAAAAGATCACGGTCGCGATGCGGCAAGTGGAGTGCGCAAAGCGACTTTATCGTGACTGGGGCAACCCGCGGGACTACACTGTCACGCGTATGGTCGAAAAACTGGCGGCGGTGATCGAAGAGGCGAAAAAAAACGTCAGTCCGCGGGAAGGTGGCGTCGCGCCGGACGAGGGTGCCGCCGTGCAAAGTGGCATCATGCTGGATGCTGACCGGTACTTCTTGGGGCGGCTGGAATACCTGATGCGGTTGCTGACACACGAAACACAATTTCACGATTTCTTGGGGGAGAATCCGCAGAAGAAGTTGCACCCCATCTGGGACGAGGGTTTGCTTGGATTACTGTCGAACGCGTTTGGTGCCAGTGCGAATGATGCAGATCCGGAAGATGAGGAGGATGAGGAGGTGGATGCAGCTGTGCTCGCGGGACGGGCCGCAGCTGCGGCTGCGCGGCGTGCACGGATAAATGCCAACTTCACGCCAGAGGAGCGGAAGTTTCGCGAGGGTCTCGAGCCGTTTTTCCCGAAAAGACGCAAGAAGGAACGCGAAATCGTTGTTCCGGCAGTGGACGACGATGTAAATGACCCAGAAGTTGTTGGAGATGCTCCAGCGGGGAAAAAAGGCGTGGCGAAGAATCAACGCGAGAACAGCAATGAAAAAGGAGCAAAGGGTGCGAAGAACAACAAAAACGGCAGTGCCACAGCATCGGGTTCGAAAAGCAATCCCCAGGTGGACCTGCAGTTGCAAGCGGCTCAAAATAATGTACCCCGCGACGGAGACGGCGGAGCTCAGCAGAAGGGGAAGGCGGGAGCAAAGGGAAAAGGCAAGAAAAAGGGCCCGCCGGTGAACGCCAACAACAACCCCGTGATCGTAGAGAGACACGACGAGGTTCGAGAAACCGTTCCGGGCCGCCCCGGACACGGCGAAGGGAAGGGACCCGGTCCGCAGCTGGTTCGCCAGGTGTACGAGTATGGCTTGCAGAACTTTGAGCGCCGTCTCAACGTGGAATTGAAACCGGCTTTCCAGCCGTTCTCCTTCTTCTGCCGCACAATGAAGGCCTTTGTGCCCCGGCACGGCATGTCTAAGACGAGAAGCGCGGACGCACAAGGAGACCACCAGACGGCAGGAGGGCACCAGGGCGAAGCCAGTAACCCGCCTGAGGCGTTAGCAGCGGAGGACGAGTCTATCAAATTTGAGTGTCCTGTTTGTATGGACGAGGCGAAGCCGAACGGCACCCAAATTGCCTACGAGTGCGGGGAGTTCGCCGTGTCAGACATCCGTTTGACGCCATGCGGGCACGCGTTCTGCAAAGCCTGCTTGGAAGATTCGATTAAGAGGTACGGAAAGTGTCCGACGTGCAATAATCGAAACCTGAAACTGACCGACTTGTGCGACATCGCAAACGAAGCGGAGGGGATTCGGAAAATGGAAGCCGAAATTGAGCAACGGGAACAGCAAAGGAAGAAGGGTTCGGCCAACAAAAGCACGGCAAATAAACCAAAATTCGTAGCGAAGAAGGTAAACCTGCAGGAGGAACACTTGCAAACGAGTTGGGGAAAATTGAAGTTGTACAATGCGGAGTTCGGGCACGAAGCGCGACACGAAGAGCGCAGCGCCCAGCGGGACAAGCCGCTGGCCTACAAGAAATACGGTAGCAAGATCCAGTCGATGATTCTCGTGTTGCAGAAAATTTTGGAGGACGACCCGAGTGCAAAATGCATCGTCTTTGCTCAATGGAAACTCATTGAGGAAAAGATCGAAAGCGCATTCGAAGGATACAAGCTTCCCTACACGACACTTTGGGGCTCGGGAATGAGAAAGGCGCAAATTTTGAAGGACTTTCAAGTCACGTACAAAACCGGGCAGGTCATTCCGCGTGGTGTGCCGCGAATTCTCGTCATGTCCTTCGAAAATAACGCTTCTGGTGCGAATCTGACAAGCGCCAATCACATTCTCTTCGCGCATCCCATGGGTACACTCATTTCAAGACTTTTTGCACGTAATTTTTTTCGACGAGAAGCAAGTCCAAAGCGAAGTGCGGAAATCAATGTAGAAGTAGATCATAGAAGAAGAATGCAAATTCAAAATCAAACTTCACACAGTCGCAACAACGTTCGCAAAGTCTCTTGCCTACGAGACACAAGCTATTGGTAGGGCGAGACGCTACGGCCAGAAAAAAACAGTTCACGTGTGGCGGTTCGTGACACGGGACACAGTCGAGGCCGAGGTTGTCATCCAGCATCAACTTGCGACAGAGAAACGAGCCGCAGCGAAGCGCGAGCTTGCAGATCGGATCCAGAAAAAAGAGAAGACAGCCGCAGGCATCAAAGCCCCGATCCGCGACGCGGACGTGGCTGGTGCTGTGTCTTCGAGTAGCGGAAGCAGTAGCGAAAACAATGGAGAGGAGCTGGGGGCAGGGGGAGGCAGCTCAAGCTCCTCCTCTTCTAGTTTTGCGAACACGAAGAAGAGCACGACGGGAAGCGGAATTATTTTATCGAACCAGCTGGATTTACTTGACACCGATCCGGCGTTCGGATCCGCCTCCGCCACCAGGGGCGGTCTCGGTAGCAGCAGTTTGAAAAACAGCAGCCGCTTGCCTGGGCAGCTACCAACTTCGAACGGAGCGTCCAGCAGCAGCGCTCGACCTCCAGCCAGAAAGACAAATCTGTTGCATTCGGACGAAGCCAACCAGGCTGATGATGCACACCGTGATGGTGATTCCAAGGCAGCTGCGGAAGAGGACAACGATCACCCGATGGAGAACAGCGTTTGGGGCATCATTCGGAAGAAACTGCTTGAGGTGCAATCATTTGCTTGGGTTTGCTTGAATGAAATAGAATACGTTCTTGTTTTTCTGGACGCGATAGTCAAAACAGTACAAGCTTCAAGCTTGTTTTAAATACCCAACCGATAAAACCATAACGAACAGGTGTCGCTGGGGGCTTCAGTTCTGGTCAGGGAGATAAAATCGGAAGCTGTCAGCCGTGGTTTTACCGCGCGAGACTGTGACGACGTTTTAGCCGGGTACACGAATCGCGGTGTCATCAAGCGGACTTTGTCATTTGCAGGTGACGGTATCAAATGTGAATTAGTTGACATTCCTATGGTTTGAAACCGTAAAAACCAAATTTATCCAATAGCGTATGTGTGTCGTTTTCTTTTAATTGTTTGTCTACATCTCACACTCAAAATCGATATCGAATCAAGTAATAAAGTAGAACGATAAAAACGAAACTCATCCCCTGATTCCTATGAAAGAAAGGAAATACCTGCACCTCCAATCAATCTACCGTTTGAGCTGCTGCAGAACGCGGATACGAGGAGCTCGGACGCATGTTTCTATGTTTGTAGCTAAAATATGAAGCGAGTCTAATCAGCTGTAGAAGAAAATTGACGCGAATTATCGAGATTATACAATCTTGAAGAGGCACTGAAGAAATAGAAAACAGAAAGATAAACTGAAATGTATATTCACCTTTGTAAGATACAAGATGCAGTATCAAAGAGACCACAGAAATGGAAAATTTGAGTTGTGCGATGAATAGGAATAGTTTGGTTGCAGTTCGTCAGTAGTTGTGAGTCACAGCGTTGTAGTTCTAGACGAATATTTGATGTTGTATGGTGGCCGCTTTTGATGTCCAGGATTGCCGGATGCAGATACTTACTAGAAGTAGAAATAGAAGAAAACTCCATGTCTATTCTGTGGCTTTTGATTCATATGTTGGAGTCGAAAAAGAAAAACCGTTGTCTTCTGAAACCGCCGATGAAGAAAGAAACTTCAGGAACTCCGTGAAATTTCAATTTGGCGTGGTTGCGCGAAACTGAAAGCAGCTGTCTATTGATTGCGCTGAATATGCCCATGTTTTTAACCGGATATTGTAAAAAGTAGCTTCGTAAAAAGTAGTAGAAAAAAAAATCGCGTACAAAAAACGCAAGGAAAACTAGAGAAGAAGTGCAGGACCACATGAAGAATATGTGCACTTGTCATAGGCATTGGCATTCTTCATTTGAGCTCGATTCAAGATCGTGGGGATTACAAATATTCGTCGTGCGACTGGCACTGGCTACTTTGATCTCTCAGATGAGTCGTCAAGTTGGGAGTTAGTAAGTTGTAGGCGTAATTGTATGAATCTTCAATCAAGCGAAACAATGGTGGATCTCGTGATTGCGACTACAGGCTGTTCTGCGGAAGTTGCAGAGCTCTTGTTTGGATATTATGGCGGCGATGCGGAAAAGCTTTTGAATGCCGTGCTGGATGATGCCAGTCTGGCGCAGCCCGATAATCCCCTAGAAGTGGCGGCACTTCTGATGCAGAAAGCCAAGAACTCGCCGGGCCAGCGGGTGCGAGGCAACGACTTTGAACAGCGCAGCCGTAGTCCCATACTAGGACATAACGCACAAGAGCCGAGAAACGACGCCAGCAAGACACTGCGCGATGGCCAGAGTACAAACCCGATGACTCGTAAAATCAAAAACGAATCCTCATTGAGGATTCGTGATTTGTTATATCCACATTTGTTGCGAGAATTTGATGCGAAGTCGGTGGGTACAGGTAACGTTGCAGCGGAGTCCACTCCTGCGACAGGTACTACGACCGGCTCTTCTTCGTCATCGGGATCGTCGTCAAGCTCCGCCTCCGGAGGCGCAGACCTCAAGGGCCACAAACAAAAAGGCGAGGCCAGCGAGGAGAGTGCCTACAACGAGGCACTGAAGCGGGCGAACATCTCTACTGGCGGAGGAAAATTTCGAAAAATGAAGATCAAACAATGGATATTCTTTGCTGATGGAATGCTTCAGTGTGACGACGACACCGGCTTCAATTACGCATTCAGGTTAGATCCGGCACGCACACAGCCGGGGCGCATCTACAACACCGACGGGGGCCAGTGGTACAAACGTCGGGAAACGCCAAAGCCCCCCGTAGGCGCAGACGTTCCGCTGCTGCGGATGCCGGAACAAGTGCGCCTGGACCCGGAGATTTTCGGTGCAAGAGCGGAGGAGGCGAACGAACAGCTTGGAAAATTCCTTCGGCTGCATCGCGCACTCATCTCGAAAGCAATGTTGGTACGGTCGCAGTCACTGCCTTTCTACCCGGGCCGATATCTGTTCGCGGAGTCGGACGAGGACGATCCCGCAAGTAGCGCTGCCCGGGACATAGAATTCGCTTCTGTGCCGTTCCTGGTTCGGGAAGGAGCTGCGAGCGCATCGGATGTCGTCCACCTGACGGACCTGCTGCGGGATCCCGCATGCAGCATCACAGCCGCAGCGGCCGGGGCCCCACCCACTCTCAGCACGGTCGCGCGCGGAAAAAGGCCCGCAGCGTTCGCCGCGGCCGAGCATGCCGGCATTGAGGGAATAGGAGATCGTGAAGAAGGAACAGCTAACAGCGATTACGGAATTTCCTTCAAGTGGAACCGACCAGCAGGGGTTTTTCAGGGGGAGACCATTACTGAGGGATTCCGCGACGACATGGCACAGACGCGTTTCCTCGGTGGCCCGCCGAAACACGTCCACTACGGGTGGAAAGAGTTGTGGAAGTACGGCCGCAAGGGAGCCATCGAATTCGGCCGTCATTTTGCTTGCGATGCCAACACCATGTCGCATATGCTGTGCCCGCACCTGGTGGGGTTTGACGTGCGCTACATCTGTCATCAACCCTACAAAATGGCGCTCGGTGACGATTGGAAGGAAAAACAGGGCGACTTCCTTTCCTTTGAGGTTCTTAGTGAAGAGAACGCGGACCACAAGGAGCCCCGTTGGTTTCAAGATCGTAGCCGCCCGTGGTTCGGACACGTCCAAAGGAAAAACGACAAAGCCGATGAGCAGTTGTGGCGGTACCACCTGAATCGCTTCTACAGAGAGGTCGAAGACCATCCCGGTGCAGAGCTCGCCATTCCGCGGCACAGCTGGTTTTATGATTTTTTCAGAACAAACAGCGGTGACGTGATGAAGCTCCATGTGAGCCGCGTCGTACAGGAGAGCGTGAAGCGCGTCCGTTTCCTGTACCCAAACCGAGAAGTCTCGTACAATTTGCAAGTTCGAAGAATCGAAGAGCTGCCGCAGTTGACGCGCATCGGCACTATGGACGTGCAAGCAGAATTTGAACTCCCGAACAACGATCACGATCTTCCGGCAACCATGCCTCCAGGCTGGAGCAAGACGTTTCCACTTCGGCCTGAGCAACTTCGGTCCTTGCGCTGGATGCAGGAACGTGAGCGGCAGGCAAGTACACACACTACCGAAATCGTCCGCGTCTTCCGATTTACGGACGTTCTTGATTGCTTTCTGCAGGTGACGATCAAGATCGGCACACCAATCGGCGGAGGGATTCTCGCGGACAAGGTGGGATACGGCAAGACAGCAACCTGTATCGGTTTGATTTCCTCTAGCATCAGCGAAAACAATGTCGCGCCCCCGCGTGGCCCTGGTTCTCTTCTCCGCATCGATTCGAAAGACATGGAGTCCGTTCGGCACAGTGCGAGGGCAGCAGATCAGAACGTGTCCACTGCGTCAGAGAGCACCACCAGCGTGGGAGCAGCGAGCGACGACGGCGGCTTGCGTTACATCGTCACAGAGGACGGCCGCAAACTGATCCGCTCCAACGCCACCGTCATACTCGTCCCGAGCCATTTGATTGGCCAGTGGTCGCAAGAGATCAGTAAGTTCGACGCAGGACGCCGCCTGAGAGTCCTCGTGGTGCGAACAGTGTCGGACATGAAGAAGCCACAGAGGGCGTACGTAGAGGACTACGACGTGATTATGTGCACGTACAGGCTTTTGTACTCGAAGACATACGAACAAGAGCAGGAGAACCGGCGCCGCGAAGCCGGGTCCGAGGAACCGGCGCAGCGACTTCCAGGTCATTTTGACCGACCTAATAGACGCAGCCAAAGTTGCCGCCTGCTCGAGGACTTCTTCTGGAAGCGCATTGTCTATGACGAATTCCACGAACTGGAGGGCATGGATGTGGAGAAAATTGATAACCTGCTGCAATTCAATGCGCAAAACGTCTGGGGTTTGACAGGAACGCCCCGCGTCGAAACGGTGAAGGCTGTTGTCGGGATGGCGTCATTGTTCCGCATCGACCTGGTGGGGCTGCAAGAAGAGTCGCAGGACCTGGGCGATCGCGTGCAGAATGTCCTCACGACGGGCGTCTGGAATGCCAAAAACTTAAAAACGACAGAAGAAGATCTAGCAGTGAATAGATCGCGCTGCCCTGCAAAGACGAGAAGATGGAAGATCGAAGAGCTGCGCGTCGCTGGAAGTTCCGTTCCTCATCCTCGAGTCCCGTGTCCAGTATGCTCCATTGCAGGCTGCGTAACGATCTCAGAGTACGAAGAGGGGGCGCAGCAGGTGCCGGGCGAACACGGCGAGAGGGAAGCAAGTGCGCTGCTTTCGTGTGGATTTTGCCAGAGTTCAGCCAGGGTGAAGATAGACGAGTTTCATCAAGAAAACGAGGCAATGTTGAAGCCTGCGGAAGCTGATAAAAGGGACGAGCGCAGATTCGAACTTTTGGCAGAGTCGCACTTTTGGGACTACTCTGCTGTGCATTGGAGCCAAGCCCGGAAGTTTGTGGAGGTTGGTTTGCGGTTTAGATGATTGAAAGTTCTTCTTACGTGACCTTGTCACGCGAACGCACTTGTTCCGTTTGCCATTTAATTGATTTCGTCTTAACTGAAATAAAGAGGACCCCTACGAAAAAAGCAACGCAGATGACGTAAGAAAGTAAGGGAGAGAGCATGCAGGGTCGACATTTTTAGTTTTGTCCAAAAGCTGTATATCTATGTGATCTCAAAAACAGTCCTTCATCCGTCAAAACTCGGCGGAGTCGTTGCTGGAAGGGATCGAGACGCAGGAGCACGTGATTGCCTTGACGCAGACTCCGTCGGAGCGGGCACTGTACATGAACGAAGTGAACAATCTGAACTACGTCGAGGTAGGATTGGTAGACCAGGAGGACGACGAAAATTCAAACGAAAAAGGTGCAGCAGCTCAGAATCCTGACGCAGAGCAAAAACCGGCGCTGAAGAAGCAAAAGATATGCAGCGAAGGTCTCGACTTCGGCAATCTGGTCGTCGCAAAGACGGACACCCGGAGTCGTGAGCGTCTGATCAAATTGTGCTGCAATTTCTCCACCGTGGACCGAGTCGAAGTTGATACCGCGAACAAGGAGATCAATCGAGTATACGCACTGCACCAACGTCGCCTCGACGCGGCTTTGAGCAAGGTACGTGGTCAGAAGATACAGAGACATCACTGGAGCGTTTCCTTGAGCCTCAAAACGAACAAAGATCATGCGCTTAGTCGCCTCTTGTCGGTCTCGGCCTGATGTGACATTGATTCAATGTTTGTAGGTTCTTGGTTTAAGAAGTGAGTCATTGGTGAGGCCAGGATACAACAGGATTTGACGATCTTTTCTATCATCAATCATTCATGGCATCAAAGCCCTGTCTGATCAGCAACTCCTGTGCATCTCGACAAAACTACAGGTAGCGACTGCCATGCGACAGGTGGAGTGCGCCAAGCGGCTGTATCGCGACTGGGGCAACGAGCGGGATTATAGTGCAACGCCTTTGGTCCACAAGCTCGACGCAGCCGTTCAGGAGGCGAGGCAGCGGGCGGGACCGCTGTCGCCTGGCTCTCGCGGTGGAAAACTAGATCTACTGGACGCCGATCGGTATTTGCTGCAGCGACTCGAGTACTTGCGGTGGTTGCTACTCTCTCCTACTAAATTTCGGGACCCCTTTGGAGACGACCCGACGAAGCAGCTCGACCCAATCTGGGACCTGGGACTGCCCGGCCTGCTCTCCGCGGCGTTTGACAACAGCAAGCCCGGTAATTTGAGCCCGGAGGAGCTGCAATTCCGTGATCGACTAGACCCGTATTTCCCAAAGATGGATCCCGAGCGATTTTGGGAAAAACAGATGACACCCCTGCAGACGGTGCCCGGCCGCCCAGACTGCGGGGAAGGAGAAGATGCGGCTGCGCTGCTCGTGCGACAGGTCTTCGATTACGGGCTGAAGAATTTTCACAGGCGTCTTGAGGTTGAGTTGAAGCAGAACTTCCAGCCCTTTGCTTTCTTTTGTCGCACTCTGAAAACGTTCTGCCGTCCCCAGGCTCAGGCACCGGGGAAGGCAAACCCAAACACCACCGCGAGCTCTTCCTCCTCCGCACCGGTTATGCAGCAGGATACCAGTCTAGGCAATGCGGTTTCATCTGCCGGAGGTGATAACGAAAATGAGGAGGTCGCTACCGTGGAGTTTGAGTGTCCTGTGTGCTTGGAAGTTGCGAAGGGCAACAGTGAGCCAGTCGACTACAGCAAAGGAGAATTTGCGGTGCGTGACATTCGTTTAACACCTTGCGGGCACGCGTTCTGTCGCTCGTGTCTGATGGAACAAGTGCAAAGTCATGGAAGTTGTCCCACGTGCCGGAAGCCCAATCTGAAGACCACCGATTTATGCGACATTGCCGAAGAGGCGGACGACATTCGGAAAAGAGAAGCGCAAATCGAAAAGCACCAAGCGCAAGTGCCAGAGCACACCGAGTCCGATGGACCTAAAGAGAAGGGGGCTGAGCCAGCGTATTGTACTCGATTTGATCTGATGAAGTAGAAGTCGTGCTCGTGCCTTTCTTTGCCGCTCTGTGTATTCTTTTATTCTTCGTGCGCTGAGCCTGAGGTACTACTGCAGCAGTACAACTTCATCGTCCTGTAATAGTAATATCCACTATGCTTGATATGAAATATGAAAATTTGAGGTCGTCCAACATGGCAGTATCCGAATATCTAGAAACCAGCTGGGGAAAACTGGAGTTGTACAACAACCGGTTCGGGCACATCGAGCGGCACGAGAGGATCTTGGCCGAGGACAAGCGGAAGACGTACAAAAAGTATGGCTCCAAAATTGAAGCCATGATCCTGGTGTTGCAGAAGATCCTGGAGGACGACCCGAGTGCGAAGTGCATCGTGTTTGCGCAGTGGAAAATGATTGAAGAGAAGATTGAGAGCGCTTTCCACGGGTACCGCTTGCCCTACACGACTCTGTACGGTTCCCCGACATGCAAGGCGAGAATTCTGAAGGACTTCCAAGTCACCTACCCCACCGGTCAAGCCATTCCACACGGTGTGCCCCGGATCCTGGTGATGTCTTTTGAAAACAACGCTTCCGGGGCAAATCTCACCAGTGCCAACCACGTGCTCTTCGCGCATCCCATGGGTAAGTATCTACAAGAAACCACTTCCTGACTATTTTCACTAGGTCGCTTTGGGATTTGGTCCTTTTTCTGTCACTGGTAGTTTATCTTTAGGTCACTGGCAGCACAGTAAGATTGATGTTTCATGGATCGAGGGAAAGGCTCTTTCTCAGTTTGGAGCACGACACGGAAAATTGAAACGGAATAGAAAGAAACTAAAATCGCTCATTTACACCAGTGGCGAACACCTTCTCCAAAGCCCTCGCGTACGAAACGCAAGCGATTGGAAGAGCGAGACGGTACGGACAGAAAAAAACCGTGCACGTGTGGAGATTCGTTACCCGAGATACCGTGGAAACAGAAGTCGTTATCCAGCATCAATTGGCTCTGAAGAAACGCGCAGCAGCGAAGCGGGTTCTTGCAGACCGAGTCGCGGAACGACAGGAGGCTAGTGCGGCGAGCAGTAGCAGCAGCAGTGGCAAGGGCGTTGCTACGGATGCGAACACTGTTAGTAGTTCTTCGGCAGTGGATCTTCCAATGCGCGACGCTACTACCGTCTGGGGAATCCTCCGAGCGGCGCTGTTGAAGGTCAGGCGCTTTCTTTTTTGCCGTAGATAATCTAGGGCAGATTTTCACTCACTAAGTGCGTCGAAAACTACCACTACCATTAAATGCACCGGTCGCATGCTTTTTTCTTTTCAGAGTTGAAATATCAGTTTTTCGAGGATTTACAAGTGAGCTGCAGAGCATCATGAGCCATCCAAATTTCCAATGAAAAAAGGTTGGCCTGGGGATACATGTTATGGTCAAGGATGTCAAGACCGACGTTCTTGCGAGCGGGTTCACCGAGGAACAGTTAACGCAGACGCTACTTACTTTTGCGTCTCGGGGCATCATTAAGCGAGGCGCTTGGATAGGCGAAGCCTATTTCTACACTCATCGACGGGAGCTGCCGCATTCCTAATCGGCATCGGCATGCCCATTGCATTTGCAAATGCGAATCCCAATGGATGCGCACAATAGGTCGTTTGCTTTGATTGCTACCGAAGTTGGGTGTGTATGCCTATGCACCCCTAAGAAAACGCGATTCAGTATTCCATAGGGCGACTGTGTATGATTGTGTCCCATCTGTATTTCTAACAATTTCCTAGAAGATGAACAACGCAGATTCGCTGGATCAAAGACAAAATCAAAAGGGAGGTGTGACAGAAGTCTACAAGGAAGTAAATGGCAATTGGCAAGCAACAAGTGGACGCGTACGATGTGTGATTTGTCTCGCTGGACAAAAATCATTTCTTTCTCCTTGTAATTCCACACGTATTTATTTGCAGGTGCGAAAGTCAAATACCGTCGTGTTTCTGCTGATAGTAATGAGGGGCAAATATTACGAGGAAATAAGGGACAGAGAGTACAACTTTCATCTCGTCTTGTCACGTTCATCGAGGACGTCCTGTCACCATATAATGCTTGTTCTTATCCCATCAATCGTGGTAGATGTTGTACTCATTCTCATGCGAAGAAGATAAAGACGAGAAGCTTGTTGTGACTATATCTTGCTTCGTTCCCGTTCGGAGGATCAGGACGAGGAATTTAGGCAATGTGATCGAGGATGCCGTCGTTCGGGTTTATCGTTGGGAGACTCGTTCGCGTCATGCTACTCGCTGCAAAATGGTTTCGTCTGAAAGTATCGGAATATCGTTGTCTGTGTGAGTCATCGTTTTATCGTGGCTCCCTCGATGTACCCTTGGTTGATCGTGTACTGCTATCGTTGTTTCTCTCCGTCCTTCTTCGCGACGATGTTGTAGCCGGTCTTGTAATGAAATATTCTCAACTACAAGGGCTCCTAGTTGTAGAATTTGAATTTGTAGCCGCCTTACCGGTACACATTTCCTCGCGTGGAGAAAATGCCCTTGTTTTTGTCTTACCTCGCCCGGAGCAGATTCTTTCTGCTCCGGGCTCTAATCGTGGTACAAATGATCACGACCACCAAAAAAGTTTTTGCCGCGAGTCCAGAAAGATTGACGACTGCCGCCGGAACCAGCATGTCCGCCATCTCCGGTGTTCCATTAGCCGCATCTCACGAAGACACGAACAACGCTGCGATAGCATTAACGAAATTGGAAACTCATGCGGCTCCTACTCAGAAGAAAGTGCTGGTCGAACCGAAAAATCAGGAGCAGGTTGTCACGATGTCATATAACCTGCAATTCATGCCAGATTTCATGGTTCCGAACAATCCGCCGGGGTCAATCCGCACTGATTGGCTGTTTGACATCGTTTTCAAAAATTTTCGCGAGAATCTTTTCAAGGGGGAGAGTAGTGGTTACTCTGCAGCTCTGGAAGAAGGTGCAACGGCGTGGGCGAACGTCACAGATAAAGAGAAACTCTTATCGACGGCAGAAAAGAAAGAAAAACTCGGCGACGCCGACGGCGACATACGAACGGCCTTTCTCGATGAAGATAGACAAGCCCGCGAAAAAGCCAGTACGGTCGCGGTCGTTGGGCAGAATTTGCAGAGTCATCGAAGGACGAAAAGGAAAAAGTTGAGGAGAGCTGCGTCTTCCATTACCTTATCTGCAGAAGCAGAGGCGACTGACGCCGGAGAGGAAAATAATAAGCAGCACGATCAAGAGCAGCAAAGCGAATTCCAGGGTCGCGCGAATGACGATGATGGGGCCGCCACGGACGGTGGGGCTAGTACGGAAAAGTCTGCCGGTGGTACCGGAAAAACTTTCTTCGACTTTTTGCTTTTCCAGGAGGTCTGGGGCTTTCACTGGGACATGGAAACCGCGGTTGGTCTGCGAACCCGGCTGCTCAAGGAGAGGGAGATCGACTGTTCCCCGGTGCACTTTGGCATGCGGGTAAATCCCGCGGGCATGAACTCGGGCCTGCTGTCCTGCTACAACACAAACGAGTTTACTCTGCTATCCGAATTCAAGTTTTCGGATGCCCCGTTGGAGGTACAGTTTTCGACGGAGAACGCCATTGGCACTGCGTCGCAGCATCCCGACGACTCCGGCTGGCGAGTGGGCGCCTGGGCGAAGCGGCCGGACCTCACGTTGGACGTCCAACACGCGGGGTTTTTCTTCCCGGTCTACGACTATTTGTTCTGGGGCTTTTTCTTCGGTTTCCTGACGATCGTCCTGGTCGCTTCGGACAGTTGGCTTTTTCTCTGCGGGGACGCGAAGCAAGCAGCCAGAGACACCGTCGCCGCGGACATTGCGACAAGGAGCTCACAGCTCAGTACCGCAGAAGAAAATGAACATCATCCTCTGCGAGCAGACGACCCGGAAGAGGTAGAATTTGCTATGACGGACGAACGCGACAAAAAAGGCATTGTGGGCTTCCTGTCGATCTACGACCATAGTGTCGTCCTCGGATACTTGTTGCGATTGATGCTCGTGGTTGTCAGTGTGAACTTTTTCTTCTTGCTCTTCGGGCCGTCAGCAGCCAAGATCATCGACGGCGAGCTGCTGGGTTTGGTGTTTGCCGCCGTGGACTACATGCGCGATGGAAAACTCGGCCTTCGCCATTTGGTAGTAGGGTTCCTTCACGTATTCTCCATATGCACCATCGTAGCATTGGTGTTCTCTACCCACAAGGAAGCGGGAGCACCTTCGAAGGGAACGGCTGGAGAACAGGGCCAGAACGGCGAAGCGGCCAGTTCTCTTGATACGAAGATGAAGGAGCCCGAGCCACAACCAGACGAAGTGAGTGGAAAAATTGACGATGTTGAAAATAAGCGTGGTCTACAACTACAGGGCGATAGAAATAGTGATACAGCGCCTCATTCAAATACCGACAATCAATCGAAGACCGCGAGTAGTTACGCCCCAGCACGGCCCGCCAAGAACGTGCATCTCCGGGCATGCAAATACGTTTTGGCTTTCTACGCGCTTCTTGCAGGCACCGCTCTCCTTTCCGCAGGGTTTTCGTTTCGTTTCGTGTGGTGGCCCGAGCCGGCGCTTGACTCGTCTCTGGCACCCGACGCGAGTACTGGTTGGTTGTACCATCGGTATTCGGAGGTGGCGGGCGACGACACCATAAGTGCCAAGGGCGTCGTCGCCGGAGTGTTGCAGAAAAAGCAAACGCAGCAGACCTTCGTGCTGTTCAACACGCACGTGCAGGCCATCCCGGATAGCGGCGCGATTTTCCAGCGACAGTTCGGCGCGAATCTCACCTCGGAGGAGTTGCATCGCGCGAAGATGCCCGCCGACCAACCGGGTTTGTTGGAGGAGGACGAAAAAAAGCATTTCAGGATTCTGATCCACCAGTACAAATCCCTCGCCCTGTTCATGGATGCGGTGGTGAAGCAGGCGCGGCAGCAGTACGGTCCCGATGTCCACGTTGTCATTGGCGGCGACCTCAACTTCCACGCACCGAATTTGTACTACGCCGACACGGTTGCGCGGATCTTTGGGCAACCGCGACTGCAGCACACGCCGGTGAACAGCTACTTCGAAACAGATTTTCTGTCTCCCTTTTCCTGGACCGACGGGGCGGATGCCTTGCGAATGGTGACAGGTATGCAGCCTTTAATTGCGGAAAAAGTGTTTGGAACCCAGCAGCCATTGCTGAGTCCCGCCTGCGTGAACAATCCGGCCATGGCGGACCGGGAGTACGATATAGACGAGAAGACCGGTGTTTTCCCACTAAACACGCTGCAAGACGTACAGGCAAAAAAACTCGACGTGGAGAATGTTTGCGCCGGCACCGGAGCCGCCAAGATCGCCTGGGACAGTGAAGCGGAAGCCTTCGGACAGACTGCGGCAATGCTGGACACCGCAAATTTTGACCAGATAGCTGTGTTCCCCTGGCCACACTACAAAAGTAGCAATGAGACGGCGAGTGGTGGAGCGTCGTGGACAGAGGCATCTTCAAAGAACTCTTCGTACTCGGAAGCTGTTGCTACTAGTGTTGAACAAGAACAGAAGATCTTGAAAACAAGTAGTGTTGCCGAAGGAGCGCAGCAAGAAAGTGAGAGTGGAGAAGGCCAGGTCTCTACTACAGCGAGCGGTTCCTTGAACAAGAGGTATTATCGCACAGTGAGGACTTGGGTCCCATGGTCAGAGCTTGTCGAAAGCGGCACGGAAAACTTTGCAAAAGTGTCCGACCACTTTCCCGTCGTCAGTATTGCGGTAGCGGAGGATGTCCCGCCCCCTCGAGCGGCAGAACTTTCCGAAACGGCGGAGCAGCGCACAACGCGACTGCAAAACGAGGAGCGAGCCGCACGGGTGACCGGCGACAAGCAATTACAGAAATGGATCTCGTTGTTGCCAATGCTTCTCATCCTCGCTGGTCTCCTCGTCTTGCTGCCGGGAATCCTCATTACAGCGAAACACCTCGTCACCGATAGAAAGAAAGAAATAGTGGAAGACGAGCAGGGGGGCGAGAGGAGGTCATTTGTAGAACGCGGAGCCACTCCTGTTCCTCCTGCAACGCCTCAAGGTGAAGGGGCGGAACCGGAGCGCTTTCATTCCGCTGTCAGTGCTGCGGATATATGATGAGTGTCTCGTGACCAGGCTAGCTAAATCCATCGTTCACGACTCGCAAAAAAACAGATATTTCGGCAAGAGAACTAGCTCCGCTCTTATGTTGTGCTGCCACACACAAGAACAGGAGCCCAGCCTTGAAACGCTCAACTTAGCTTCAAAAAAAAAATGTGTTCGTCACTTCTAATGTTGAAAACCGAACAATCACCCGGGCCCGGAGAAGACTTGACGTGGAGTTCTTGTCTATGTGAGTTCTTGACGCGATCTTTTTCGCGCATAGACGCAGCGATATCAGTTCCAGTCTTCATGGATCTGATTCACTTGGCTTTTGTCCTTGTCGGACCGTTTTCCTTTCCTAATTTATTACTCCAGCACACGATGACGATTTTCAATTTTATTTTCGTTCAAAGATAAATGCGCTAGTACGTCACGGTCAGCGATCATGCGCATCATCCGCGTCACGTATGACGAACGAGCTGCCGACTCTGTGTACCGGCAGATCGGGCTGCAGATCGGCGCGCAGGCGAAGGACCAGGTGCACACGGCCCTGGACACGGATCACGAGTTTAAGCATCTGAAAGCTTGGCTGAGCAGGGACCCGGCCCATTACGAGATCACCTTTGGCTTCATCGCCAAGTCGCGCGAGGCGTTTCCGCAGTACATGGAGGAACTCGAGGCGATTGCGGAAGCCGCGGGAGTGTTGGCGGAGGATTTGATCATTTCGAATTTGCGCACGGAATTGCTTCAGTTTAAGCGGAAAGCGGACGCGGATTACCACGCGCAACAGTACGGCGAGGGGGAGGATGGCGGTGGCGAGGACTACGAGCACGGCGGGGACGAAAATTGGGATCATGAGCACGGCGATGGAGGTGGAAATTGGGATGGCGGCGGAGATGTTGACTGGGATGCTGGCGGAGGTGACAACTTCCACGGGGAAGGCGGCGGTGACCAAAATGGCTGGGACGAAAGTGGAAATCACGGTGGCTATTGGGACGGAAGTCACAACAGCCAGTATACTACAGCTACGCGAGAAGGAAGAGCAGATGGGAGGAGAATAAGCAAGCCGACGATCGCCCGCACCCGCGTGAAAGAACGAACGAGAAAGGGAAATATTGAAAAAGGGTCTAGGACAGCGACAGGAGCATCTGCATCTTGTTTCTCGTCGCAAGAAAGAGAAATCAAGTACCAATTTGGAAACCAACAGCGACGCTCGGGCCGTGCGTGCACCGACATTTTCGTAGTTGGCACGGACTTTCACGAAATAGAAGCAGATGAAACCCCACCCAGGGCCGGGCAACAAGAACCGAATACTTCTTCGTCTCAGAATCGCGTTGGCTCTTTCTTTCGAGGTCTAGTAGGTGCGAAATCAGGTAGCGCAGCCACAACTACGGGCGCTTTTGATCCGATTCGCGGTAAAGTCGTCAAAACGAGTCCGGTCCCCGCGAGCGCAACGCCTATTGCTATTGGCCCACCTCCGCCAGGGGTGCAAGAACCGGATCCGGCAGTGCCACAGGTAACATCTACAACTTCAAGAGACGATGAAAATAAGCCTGCTCCTGCATCACCGAAGAAAGAATCCAGATCGAAATCCAAGTCGAAAGATGCCGCGACTTCGGAAGAAAGTCGCGGGTTCGCAAAGCCCTTTCACGGATGGGGGCACAACAATGACTGGTCCGAGGATTTCAAGCATTTGGATTGCGTTGTGGAGTGTTACAACCGCGAGAACGTGTTTCAGTGGGTCAGCTGGACCTACCCCGGGTTCCTGGTCGGCATGGACCTCAGCCTCAACAAGCACGGCATCGCCTACAGCATCAACTCCCTCTACCCGGTGAAATTCGGCGAGAGCGGGGTCGGCCTGAGCTTCCTGACCCGCCGGCTTTTGGAAGTGAAGACGCTGGACGAAGCTCTGCAGGTCATCACGGACGAGCGCTCCACGACCGGTTTTAGCTACAATCTCGGCAGTTTTCGGAGCAAGATCATGTGGAACGTGGAAACCAGCGACAAGGGGCAGCACTTTTTGACCAAGATCGACGACAAGCAGCTGCCGGGTTTCACGTTTTTCCACGGCAACGAGTACGTGGCCGCGCCGCACGCGCAGTGTCCGTATTTTGATGACATGTCGACGAAGTACCGGAGAAACATGTACCAAATGTACTTCCCGAACCAGAGTGACAGTTGCGAAACGAAAACGAAAGAGGGCCTGATCCAGCGGTGGACGAAAAACGTGCTTTCCTCGAAGAAGCCGGACGCAAAAATTTGCCACCGACGGACCTACAACATCGAGGACGTGCGGAATTTTCTCGGGGATGATTCGGACCACCACTTTCCGGTGTACCGCACGTGGAAAGAGGAGGACCCGGTGTTGACGGAAGTCAGCGGCATCTTTGATCTCGGCGAGGGGGTTTTCCATTTGTTCGACAGCAACCCGGCCTGGTACGACGCGAAGAAGTCGTACAGGGTTTGCGAATTGCTCGAAGACCGCTTTTTTGACGCAAGCGAAGAACAAGAAGGTGGACCCACGAAATCCAGTGAAGATGCTCCGATGGAGCAGGCAGGACAGGATGAACAAAAGACAGGCCCGTAGGGAAAAAACGTGCTGAAAATAATGAAATATCTTTCTTGCAAATGAAATACACAAAATCATCAGAGAATTGCCCGCCCCGGCCTCATTTTGTAATCTGGATGTTCAGTCAGAGTCACAGTCGCGCTCGTCGTGCTCCGTCAGTGCTTTATGCTTAGGATGCCCGAAGCGTCGCGATCATGATTTGCCGAAAGGGCGGCGTGTGGCCCTCCACAACTACTTCAACTGGCCATCAATGTCAAACCTGAACTTCTAGCGAGGTCTCAGGCTCGTGTAAAAAAGATAACCAGAGTGTTGCAGCAAATGCGCGCGCGTCGAAAATGCGGAGCGATGAAAATGCAGTACTTCTTACAGAATGAATGAGGAAGGTTCGCAACCATCCGCATCGCCCGTAACGTCTGCAGCGGGTCCGACTTCGCGCAGGAACAAGAAGATGTCTGGTGCGAACCGCGAGCTGCAGGAGATGCACGAGGCATTGATGGCGCTCGAGGAGGAGCGGACACGCATCATGGAGCGCTACCAGCCTCCAACCGAAGCGGAGCGGCAAGACCCCGCGCAACACGGCAGCGTCGCCGACGTGTCGGACTGGGGCGAATCCTCCGGAGACCAGCTGCTGTCCCCAAAGAACATGGGGCCGCCGCCCGACTGGGCCCCGGCGTCGTTGCGAGGGAGCTTGAGTCAAGCACAAGAAGTTTCGAACAAATCCTCCAGTACTCGGAGAGCCAACATGAGTGGTCACCAGCGCAGCGGCCGAGGTATGCTGCGCGGAAGCAAGCGCAGCGCTCACGCAAGTCGAGGATGGCGTCGTGCGGGGGCCAATACAGGAGGGGACGGTGGTGGGAGCAGCTCCTATAATTACCCGCCGGACCACAGGACCAAAGGCGGCAAGCATGCGCGCCCCGGAGTTGCGCCGGAAATGGACGGAGTGAACAGCAGTAGTGGTCCATCTGGAGTAGGAGCCGCCACAGGTGCCATGATGCCCGGTAAAGTGTTGCAGCTGTCTCTTCTGATTTCGCTAGCGTTGGTCGGGTCGGTTACAGTGGTGGCGATTCTGTGCTCCGAGGATCTGCGGAGGGTGCTCTTCAACCCAGGAACAAGTGGGCATCTTCATGGCAGCACAGAAGGTGTTACAGTGGACGAGGATGGATTCTTACGCTCTTCGACTCACCCAAATCGACGAGGGTCGGTCCCGCCACTGCAAGAAAGAAGTCGGCAGATAGACCTGGACGGTGAAGAAAATCGCCCACGGCGCTATACCTCGGGGAACACGTTGCGCAGCAAGGATCATCGCGAATCTCCGCTAGAAAGAGGCCAGTCGAAAAAAACTCGGAATTCTTCTATTATTAGCAGTAGAACACCAGAGACTACGGACGATAGTGGTCGCCGTTCTACCGCAAGACAGTCATCCTCCCCACGCGCCGAGGGGGAGAAAGATAGCAAGCTGCGCCTGAAGCAGGACAGTGGGCACGAGGCTGCAAAGCGAAGGTCTCGCGGCTCTGGTCGCGGCGATTCGAGGCCTGGCGCCACGCCGGCATCAGACGATCTTGCGAGTCTCAGCGGTCTGTCAGATTCCGGTGGCAGTTCCAATCGCGAAAAGTCTCTGGAGCTGTCGGCGACCTCCGATTCTGGTCCGGACCGCGAGTCGTCGCCCGTGATGGAGCAGCGCGGTCGTTTCCAGGTGCAAAAGTCACGCCGGCGCAGTGCGGTGGAAGACGCTGCAGACTCCGACTCGCGCAGTCCGGGCGCTGCAGCTTCCTCTCGGGGTGCTGCAACCACAACTTCCTCCAGGACGAACAAGGGTTACGAAGAGCAACCTTCCTCGACTGGTGCACGTGGTAATAAGTCAGTCCGCAGGTCACAACGAGAGCCGAGCCGCCGGTCTCGCGATCCTTCTCCAGAACCACGCCGCCCCCGCGGACCTGAAGGCTCCGCAGACGAGTCGCTGAGCCGGTCCGGCGGCAGTTCCTCATTTGCGTTGTTTCGCCGCCGGAGCCCCGAACAAAAAAAGCCAAGTGGTTCTTCGCGCGAAGACTACCGCCGCGGTTCCTTCGTGGAAAATGGGCACGACATCACTGCACTGGAAAGACGGCTCAGTGTTGCGCACGATCCGGTTCACATCATTCCAGGCGGAGGTGCGGGACTCGACGCCGGGGCAGGAGGACACCCATCGTACGAAGAGCAGGTGCTGTCTGCGAGTTTGCAATCTCTGCAGGGACGCATGGGCAGTGATTGGCCGGGTTCTTCCCTAGCTTCCTCCCTTCGCCACATGTTCTCTGGTCAGTCTTCGCGGGGCCAGCAACAGCCGCAGTTTCCGCAACAGCAGCAAGTGCCGCAGCCGCAGACCAGCTGGGGAGGCAGTTTCGGTTGGGGGTTCCGCGGAAACGCACCTCAGCAGCCGCAAGCCGGACCTGCAATTATGGCGACGCAGCCGCACTTGGGAACTATAAACGCAGGAATCGGAGGACAAGCAGCAGCAGCACCACCGGGCTTCATCCAGCCGTCTGGATACCAACCACTCTTGCCTCCTGGGCAACACCAGGGCGCAGCAAGCCGTCGCGGATCCGTGGTTGAGCAAACGGAGTGCTTTGGCGCAGGTTGCGCAACAAGCATGATGAATTCGCAGTACCACAATGGAACGACTGTTGGCGGCATATCCGTGCCGGTACCTCTCGCATTTCCAGCGTCCGCACCACCACCGCGCCCCTCGTCGCAGTGCGATTTTCAAAACCAGGGCTCCTGGTGTGACCCCGCAGCACAAGCGATGCACCACGGAGCGCAACACGGAGCCTGGGGAGCCGGTGGCAGCAGTGGCCCAGACGGCAGTGGCAATCACTGGCGCAATTACCTGCCCCGACCACCGGAGTTTCAGGGCCAGCCTGCAGCTGCGCCACAGTGTACGCGATAGCTCTTTCAAGCCTTAGTTTTTGACTCTCATGACTATGATAGTACATCAACATCACAAGTTCATCAAGTACTTGAATCTTCACTTTACAGATCCGGGGGAGTTGGAGCATCAGGGGGCCTGGTCGTCTCAGCCACATGCCTCGTTGATGCCCCCGCCACCACAGCCGGCGCATTCTCCTCAAGTGCCCTTGGCCTCTGGAGCAGGGCAGTACCGCATTGGTCCCCCGAAGCGGAAAACCCTGAGCAGTTGGTGGGATGACGACTGGGATGACGACTCGGACGTGCGCGCTGCGCCTGTAGCGCAACCTCAGCCCCCCGGCTTCGGACCCGGACCGGTACAGAAACTACTAGTGGATACTTCTTGTTTTGCTGATTGTGTTAATACAGGAGCCGAGTCATTTTTTGAGGGTCCTACGATTCTCTTCCTCTGCTTGCTTGTTTTGCCAAGCCAATGCACAAGTTTGACTTTTCTTTTTCTGCATATACAGACCGTTGATGCACACCGAACATCAGAGCAGCCACCATCCCTTCCGCTCGTGGCCCGACCCGGCCATTTGACCGGCTCCGACGACAACAATCCTTATCGAATCCCAAACTTGATGTCCCCTACCGGCATCGACTCCGACTTTCACACGCCCACTCACGTCTCAAGACTCTCCACCCGGCGCCCAAGTTTCACCGGCGCACCACTACAACCGCAGCTGCACCCCGGTTTGACGCTCGACGAACGAGAAATCGAATCGCTGATTCCCCCAGGCGATCATAGTTCCGCCGGTGTAGTTCCTCTTGGTCCCCCAGCCCCTCTGCCCCCGCTCGTCGGAACTACTCCCGAAGGACCCCGTCTAGACAACGCTGCAGTGGCGCCGCAAGCTTTGAATGGGCACAGTTACGGTCCAGGAGAAGAGAACGAGGACGGTATCGTGGAGGACACGGACGATGAGACAGGAGATGCAACGAACGAAAATACGGACTGGCATCGAATGAACGAGGACGACGAAGGCTTCAACATTGCAACCCCAGCCAGCTGGGTCTCAGACGCAGAAGAGGATGAGCGAGCTGTGAACACCAGCAACTCTGGCGACGACCTGCCTCCGGAAATGACCACTTCGCCGGTGCCGCCTTCCTCACGAGCGCCGACCGAAGCGTCAGAAACCGCCTCGGCGCGGCTGTCGCGCGCACTGAGCAGGGAGGCGCAGAACGGCTCGGCGCGGTCGGAAAACGAGGATGGTATCAGCGGCGGAGCGGAGGGCGAATCATCTCCAGAGGACGAAGATGACACCTCATCTCATCGAACGGTCACACCCGAGGAGGTTGTGCAAGATGCCGAAGAGGTTGCTCAGGAGCAGCAGCTCAATATTCCATCTCAAAATGATCCAAACTCCGACGCGCAACAGCAACTACCGGAGCAAACGCTCCGCGGCGTTCCAGACGATGTGGAAGGAGGAGGTAGCGGGTCGTCTCGCGATGGCTTCAATCGTGAAAATAGTCCCGCTGACGACGATGATAATGAAGAGGACGTTTTCTTGACGTCTCTTCGGTGCTCAGAAGGAAATCCAAATGGAGCTGGTAGTGCTGCAGACTCGTGTCCACCAGTTCCGCCACCGCGTGAAGGAGCTTGGGGGGCAGGCAGCCGTGGGAGCAATGGCGAGGGAGAGGAGCCTGCGCCTGCCCCTCCAACGAATACACAGTTGCTGACCATCAAGCAAGCATTGCAAAATGCGCTCAAGAACGCGAATGCTCGTGAAAGTAATCTGCATGATTCTTCAGGATCAGGAGGGCGCCCGGCTTCACAGACAGAAGCTAGAAGCAATACGAATAGTGGCCTTGACGATGGCGATCGTGGTTCGCCCGAGGTGGAGAGTAGCTATGCCTTTGCGGCCAAGACGGAAGAAGATGAACCTTCCCTGACACAGCAGGGCGTCGTCGACATCGACCCTGACTATTCCGCGCAAGACTTCCTTCCTTGGCAAAGTCAAAGTGAATCTTCAACTGGGCAAGGGACGTTATCCAGCAACAGAGGCGCTGCTTTCTTGGGCAAGTATCTCCCTGAAGAGGGGGTGAGAATGGAGGATGTTGTAGACGGCTCATTTGCAGAGGTGCAGCGCAAGCTCAGGCAGCCTCAACAAGGTCCTGCAACTAGCCTTGCGGAGGTAGAAGTTGTTTCCTTTCCAAAGAATGATCCGCTTGAGAATACTGACGCCGCAACGGAGGGTTCGGGTACACAAAGAAACAGCCAGGTATCAGACGAACTGGCCTCATCGGCAGGAGAACAACAGGTGGATGAGCGTGTCTCCGATCATTCCGTCGGCGGCGGGGACGACCAGCACAGCAAAGGCGGTAGAAGGTTGCGGAACAATTATCGAGCACGCGAAGACGAGCAAAGCGAACCGAGCCTGAAAGCCCCACCTGCACCACTTCACGGTATTGACGAGGAGGGGCATAGTATGCAAGAAAAAAACTGTGTAAGTGTAAATTTGTGTTGCAGAACATGCAACAGAGTTACGCCTGTCATGCCAGACAGCCATGAAGTCCTCTTTTCATGTGTGTTTTCCCTTACAAGCCACGCATGACAGGTTTTCTCTGTCATGTAGAGCAAATTTGTGATGCTGTTTCTCAAAGAAAGGTACACTTACACACTTTTTTTCCTGGATACACAGCAGCGAGGACGACGACTTCCAAACCATGGCGGGGAGTGCGAGCAGCAACTCTTCCGCTGATGCGCCACGCCGTGGCTCTTTGGATCACCCTGACGGCGCAGCCACCGGAGGCGGACCCGCTCCTGCAGGCTCCTTTGGGGCTGCTACACCCTCGTCCCCAGTGAAAGCAGAGCAAGATGCAAGCTTGTTTGTTGACGCCTCTTCGGACGCCGAGGCGCGCAGTGCTGCTGGGGAGTTCAAATTGAAGCCGTTCGGCTCGGTTTACGACGAGGAATTCGACATGGTCGATGAAGATCCTGTGGTTATGGATGGCGGCTCGGCCTCGAATTCCGCGTCCGCTGAGGCACCTGCGAGTACTTCTTCTGAAAACGGCACGAGAGCAGCTCGAGCGGGAAGATACAACATGAGCTCGACAACCTCCCCGCCGCTTTCCTTTTTCTTGCGGTCACAGCAAGAGCAAGACAAAGCCTCACAAAACACGAAGCTCCGCAAACGGAACCCGCTGATCCAAGTTATGGGGGAGGAAGGCCCGAATCGTTTCGACAGCGACGACGAGGAGCAGGACCTGTCTTACGAAGACTCCTCTTCTGCCTCGCCTTCTCCGGGCGCTGAGGAGGTCAATGCTGCTGGGAACCCTCCACATCCGATCATCTTTCCACACTTCCAATACCATAAGTCTCCTGGTGTTGTGCAGGACCAAAACTACGCGGACCATTCGCCTCTTACCGGGTCCCCAGCCTCCTCCAGCAGTGTCGACCAGACGGCGCGCGGAATTCGCCGGGCTTCAAGTAACCGGGCAAAGATCTTCGTCATGCAGCAAGACGGTGGATTGGCGAGTTTGGACTTGGAGTGAAAAAGTAGACGACCACCTGGCATTTAATATCCTCGGAGATTCGAATTCGATACAATGAATCTAGATCTACGTATTACGTCGCAAACGAAGAGCATGCATCACCCATATTTTTTTGTTTCGCTAGTAGTTCATTGCAGTTAGAGGACGTTTTCTTTTTTGATTTTTTCGCTATGAAGGCTAACGACTGCCGCTTTCCTTGTGTCATCTCGCTTGCGAATGGGCGGCGCGCCTCTTCGATTCATGTGGGACATCGACATTGGCTTGCAATGAACAAAATGGCTTCTGCTTCCCCTCTACGTACCTATCACTGTCGTGTACTAGTTTTTGTTTCTGTCTAGTTGTAAAAGTTTCTGCGAAATGCTTTTAGTTGCTCACTTTGTTAGTGCAAAGCCAGCGTAGTTTCAGTTTGTCAATTGAATGATTACACAATAAGTTCAACAAGCGTCATTCTCCTACTTTCGTTTCTGTACCTGTACAAGAATCATCCAGCTACGCTGATCATTGCCTTGCTCTAGTTCTGAATAGTCAGACCAATTGCCGTTCATTTCTTTGTGTAAATGCTCATATCTCCCCCGTTCGTCCTGGGGCTCAACCATTTTAGAAAAAAACTAACTTCTCCGTTTGCCGTGGCGTATTGTGCTGCGTCTGAAAATGCTGACGTTAAAAGTTCTGAAGAAACGTAAGGACCCAATTTCAGCAGCACTATAGAAATTGACGGTGTGGCAGTACGCAGCCGCACAGTTACAATCACAGCTGCCATTCCTCTTGTTCTGCTTTCCGTCCGGAACGCTTTTGGATCTGCTACTGAGGAAGCTGGCAGCCGCCTGGCAGCCGATCACGGAGCTGATCAACGAGTCGCTCCTGTCAGGGTTTCAAACTTTTTGAGGGCGAAGATTTTAAAGTGTTGGACACCGCTGCGCTGCTTCTGTTCAAGGGCAAGGGGGACCGTGCTGATTTGAATGACCATCGAGGCACAGCCAACTCCGCGATCTTCAAGAAGAATCTGCGGAAGGCATTGCGCGAGCGCTTCGCGTGCATGCTGGAGAAGACCGGGCGGCACAGCCCGAGCCAAGGCGGCTTCCGCGAAGGGTTCCAGACGGTCGCGCCGCTCTTTGTCTGGCGGCGTATTGCGGAGGATGTCCGCCGCATCTTCGGCCTGGGAGGCGCCGCGGACCGCCGCGGGGTTTTCATCGGGCGCGCCCCGCCTTTCCGGGGCCGCTTCCCTTCCCTTGGTGGCCGGCGGGCCCGTCACCTGGCCCTGGTTGGATGCCCCGGGTGGCGCGCTTGCCGGCAGTCCCAAACGGGTACAGCTTCCAAATGCACAACCTGCCCGCGGTCGTGCAGGCCTTGACCCGCTTAGGAGGCGCGGTCGAAAGCGTCGGGGCCCGGCCTTTCTGTGTCGCGCCTAGGCGGCCGCATTTCGCCGCCCCGGGCCCCGGTTTGTTTCTTTGTTTGCTGGGTGTATTTCGGGCGTGGCCCCCCACCAAAGAGACCGGCCGGCCCCTTGCGATTTTTTTCCGGAACCCGGACGGGGCGGGGCTGGTCCGGGATGTTGCCCATATCCAGCGCACAGCCGGCCGCGCCTACCGGCCCTTTATTTTTGATTGCCCGCCATGAAGGCCCTCTCGTACGCGGCGACGGAGTCGATCTCGATGCGCAGCAGGGCCGCGGCTTCGTTCATCGGCCGCAGGGGGGAGGGGAGGCGCCATAAAGGAGCACACCAAGCGCGATCGCCTCGCGGCCTTTGCTATTGGAGCGAAATAGGTCGGCCAGGTTGGGACGTTGCAGGCGCTACTAAAGCACCGGGATCACCAATGCGAGCCTATGGCGGAAGATTAAAAGGCGAAGCCATTGCCGGACCTGGGCACCACCTGGAAGGCGGTGAGGGTTGCACCAGAAGCCTCGCAAATGGCGGCGGCCGGTCCGCTGAGCTAGGAGCCGCCTGCTTGCGTAGCGAGTTGAGATGTTGCGGCGGCTGCTACCAGGGTGGACCACGCCCGGGCGCCGACAAGCGCACTCCCTCTCGAAGTAGCGAGGGGCGTCGCGTCGGATCGCCCGAGAGCTGTGGCCCGGATGCACCGGAGAGAACTGGGGCGGCCGGCTCCTGGGCGCAGTCATTGTCGGCGGAACAGTTTGCGGCCGTGAAGCGGGGCAGCAGCCCCCGCATGCATAGCCGAAGAGCGAGCGCTCCGCCCGCCCCCCCTGTGTGTGTCCCGGCCCAAAACGAAGCGAAGAAGACCGGGGCGATAGTCGGTGGGGGTGAGGAGGGCAGGCAGCGCCGTCCTGGCGAAACTGGAGACCATTCGCGGGCCCAGTGCCCCGAAGCCGGTGCGCTTCCTTCGGCGGGCCGGGGGGATCGATCCGGCCGGCGCCGCGCGCAGGGCTTCCCTCCGGGCGCGCGCGCGTTGTTATGTCGCGCGCTCGCGTTTTATCGCTGCGCCACTTTCTGCGAAAACTCTGCTTCCTATCTAATTGATATGAGTTCTGAAGCACGACGAGCGTCCGCGCGTATGTGTGGCGTTCATTGTGTTGTTGCGTCACTCAGTCGTCTTCGCGTTCCATAGTTAGCCGAAGCGTTGTAGCAACAAACAGAGTTGGCCTAGATGATACTTCACATCGATACCTAAGTGCTTACAAGAAGACAGAGGAAGGGGCGAGCACAGCGGATTCGGACACCAAACCACGTTGCTCGAGGGTTACGCGAGAGATTTACCATTCCAAAGCTACACTCATACTTTCTGACTCGTGCTCGTGTGGATGTGACGCCATGGCAGTTTCCTAGAGTGTGTTTGTTCCGTCACCCGAATCATGCCTGCGTCCGTAGATCAGGGGTACGTATGGAGCGGTAGTGCTGCAGCCTGGCTTTCGTGCCGTGTCGTTCAGTCCGGCGATGCCGGGATACTGGTTCGATACAGCACCAAGCTCGATTCCGACGACGATTGGTATGAGAAGTTTCTCACGCCTGCTGCGCAAAGGCGTTTGTTTCGCACAGATGAGCCGACTCCGGATCTCAAGGCGAAGTCCGGCGACAGCTTTGGGTCCGCGGAGAAACGCGATAGTGGTACGAAACTTGAGCTAGCGCCCGTGCTCCCGACGCGAAAGAGGGTGATCAGCAGTGTCAAGGCGGTGCCGGTTCCACCAAGAAGTACCGAAGACACCACCAAAGGACCACAGTCTTCAGGCCATGCTGCAACAGCGAAAGCTAGTACAGAATTTCACCAACCCCTTTCTGTACCTGTCAGAATCGTTCCCCTCCCGGGGAATTTCAGGTCCGGCTCATCATCATCGTCGTCGTCTTCTGCCACAAAAAGCAACGTAGATTTTCTGCTTATTCCCATACTTAGGAGTTTCAATACTGTCATCGATCCTCATGTTGAGTCGATACGGAAACGGATAAAAGGAGATGAGTTTCTTGACGTGAAGTTCCGCGATCTTTCGGATGAAATACCAAGTCACGACGAGAGTCTCTGTCTTACTGGCTTTCGGGGCAACTATAATTGCGAGCATGATCATGCAGTCGATCCATTATAAGTATATAAAATCAAGATCTTCAAGAAATCTTCTAAATCAGGACGAAAAGCGCGGCAGTGGTGGCTTGGAACCTGTTGACCTTCCTGGAGGTCATGGGAAATCTTTCGGGACGTCCGCATCTAGTTCGAGCTCCTCTAAGGCTCCATTGTTGCACGTCAGCACCACCAACGACGGCACCACCCCGAAAGATCCACCTCTGCGCTTGAGTTTGGTAAAGGACCTCAGCCGTCCTCGCGGGCGGTCAAAAAGTGAGAGCTCCACGGGGACAGTGCAACTCTACGAGCGCCTGCAGCAGGACCGTATCATGGTTTTGTGCTTCCTTCGTTTCATGAATTGGATGGTCACCGAGGAGCGATCGACATCTCTGTCTACATTCAGTGCAACTTTTTTTCCTCTCCGTTTGGTCAACAAGAATTTTTTTATTCAAAAAAACAGATAGCGCCAGGCCGAGCGTGCAGGAAGACGTGATAGACGAAAACAAGGTTCCAGGCTCGAAGGAACTCACCGGCGACCTGGCCCGCTTGGTGCTGAAGAAGGCCTTCGAGCTGGGCGATCCCACGGAAGACCTACTCAGCCAGGCAGATCGGTGCGCCAACGGGTTCCAGGTCCACGGAGTTCTGTACAAGGTGCGCAGCACCCTGCAGAAACACGACCGGCGGATCGCCGCGCTCCGCCAGCGGCTCGTCGCGCTCACCTGCTCGTCAGACCAGCAGCAGTCCTCCCGCGCGCCACCCGAAAAGATCAGCGTCAGCCCAGTGGAGCAGCAGCCGCCGGTCGATAGTCTCGGCGGGCGGGAAATCGACGTGGTGGTGAAGGATGACGAAGCGCAGGAAGTGGAGCTCTGCTCCTCCGCAGAGCAGCGGTTGGCGGAAGAGAAAAAAGAGATCAAGCGCGAAGCCAACCGCATCCTTTTTCAGCTCGCGGGGCTGAAAGAGAGGCTCGCAATCTGCAAGGCGAAAACGGCACCGAGATTTCCGCAGTACAATACCGCGGTGCAGGAAATCTCCACTTTGCAGACGCTGCTAGAGTACAGCCTCGGGAGGTGCCAGGGCTGCAAAGTTGCGCTGGAAACGGCAACGCTAAAGCTGATGCCAAACGTCGAGTGGAACGCCGAGGGAGATAAGTATTTTGTGCTTGTTTTCGTGCTCACGGTCATGATGCAGCGCAAGATGGCTCTGAAGCGTTCTTGTTTTTCTCGTTTTTCCCGGCGCAGGGATGCAGGGGTTTGCACCACTTCAACATGATCACTGGTTCCCTTTCACAGAAAAAACTAGCCAACCCACTTCTACGATCAGGTATACCCTGCACCTGTGTCCGAATCCTGGCAGTAATTTTCCCATGTTTGTGCCCGACATTGACGGGGAAGTGCGGGGCAAGCGTGGTAGCTTCACGCTTCAACGCGCCGGTGGGAGCAAAAAAAGCAGCCCGAAGAAAGACGCGGACGAGCAGGGAGAACTGAACACGAAGAAACTAGGATCGGTTCGCCGGGAACAGATTCTGAACGCCAAGGACGAGGCGCTGTACGATTTGTACAGTGGAATCGACGAATCGCAAAAGTACCCCTACCACTGCAAGTTTCAAACTACGGACGGGGGGCACAGTGTATTTCTATATTTTGCTTCAAGCTTTTGATTTGACGCAAGGACTCGCGTCAGCTTCCTCGAGTGCGACCAGCCTGCCCTCTTAGTGCCCTGCAAATTTGCTCACATCATCGTAGTGTCCTGTAAATGTGCTCACATTGAACACTTTATTGACTGCAGGTGTTGATCCTCGGTTTCGACTACGGCGATCCGGAACTTGGCAAAGAGCAGAAATTTGGCGAAGTTTACAACATGTTTGGAGAAACCGTTGCCGAGCTCTTCCTTTTCCACGACCGGCATGTATTGACGTGCCAGCTCGTCCCCGGTATTCAGCACTACGACCCGGGGCTGGTGATGATGGCGGCCGTGCTGGTTGGCTCCGCGGTACCACCCCTGGCGAAGCAGAGCAGCCCAAAAAAGTGAAGTGATACCTGTCAATGGAAGTCACTGACCGGCGGGTCGTGTACTTGTTGTGTCGTGGTATATCACCCACTGAGGCATACGCACAGGAATTCTGTTGTTATTTCGATCTCTCTCTCTCTCAAAGACTCGCGAGATTCGTTTATCCTTTTCCATAGTTTTCTTTTCACACATGATTCCGATTCGCATGTTGGTCGGCTCGCAAACCCGACTTCTCACGCACATGAAAGCCTGTCTGTATTTGTGAGACAGCACAGCATAATGCGCAGATTTTTTCAAACTCAAACATCGTTATCGTTTTCGCTTAGAGGAATGGTAGTATCCGTGGACACCAAACATTGAAAGGAATCAGCAGGGAAAACTCAAACTATGCATAATAAATACCTGCTTGCTCTAGCTCTGCCGCAGAGCCACAGGCTTGCAAGAGTGGCACGGAGCCAACACTGAGTGACTTACGGTCTTGGCAGCATTACTAGCTAACGCTATCTAATCCTACCACTGGTCGGGACCAAAGTAGTGGAGCTTTGTAGCAGTTGCGAGAGAGCACTGAGGTCCTGAGGTGCGACCACACGACGCAGCGCGTTTTTTCTTTCCATGCCAATCGACGAGATGAAGTTTACGTCTATCCTTTGCGCTTTTTTCTCGCGTGTCGTGTCCTAGTTTTGCTTCTTCGCGAGCTTGACAATTTTGAAAATGATGATGAAGCAGCTACGTTCTTCGTGCAGCGCGGATCATCCGCTTGCGCGCCGTGCCCAACTCAGGCTCCGCCTCCTTCTCCAGAGGCGAACTGTTTGCGCGTCACCCAATAAAACGGCGTCGCTGTCTCCGGTCCTTGCAGCTTCACAACAAGGGCGAATAACCTCGGTTTTTCTCAATATGACGCGCGATTTCAGCGCCACAGCCACCGTGTCCTCGAGTACTGCCTCTAGCGCAGTGCCGTTTCATCTTGGCACCTCGCAGTCGTCTTCGAGTCTGAATGCGGCACACTATGCACTGGGAGGCGCAGCGCTCGCAGCAGGTTTGGCGGTGGTGACTGCAATGCTTTCAGACGCGATTCATGCCGACGAGGCACCCGTACGGCCGTACCACCCGGAGGGAGAAAGGTGCCGATATTTTGCCAAGTTTTAGTGCAGTTCGTTGCAGGGAGCTAGACGAACCGCTTGAAAACGCCGAGCGAGCGCGTCTATTTGAGAAATGTCTATGCTTAGCCTGCTAGGCTTAAGCTTATCTCTACCCATTACAAATACGTAAATGAAATTTAGATACGGCGACGACTACTCTGGGCGTGTGCGCGCGATGCGGGAGGTGATCGATCCGCGTCTCCTACTGACGTCGGAGGCCGAGCTGCGCGCCGCGCTTTCCCTTCTGGCGGGCTGGAAACCTGGAAGAAACTACTCTGACGCCGAGAACGACGCTTTCTGGCAGGCGAAACAGCTGGTGAAGAGCATGGTGCACCCTGTGACGCAGGAGGTGATGTTCTTGCCCGGCCGCATGTCCGCGTTCGTGCCCGTAAACGCACCCACCGCGATGGGGATGCTGCTCCACGGGCCGACGGGTCCCGCGGCCGCCGCGTTCTGGCAGTTCATGAACCAGACGGGCAACGCCATGACCAATTACGTGAACCGGTCGGGCGCCACCGTGGACACGTCCGCCCTGTTCATGAGTTTCGCGTCCGCCTGCACGGTGTCCGTCACGGTTGCGCTCGGGATGGGCAGACTCGTGGCGCGGAATCCGGCGCTGAAAAACCTCGGCTTGTTCGTCCCCTATGTCAGCGTCTGCATGGCGTCCATGGCCAACCTGTTCTTGACCAGATTTGAAGAGTGGACCAACGGCGTGCCGGTCTACGACCAGGACGGGCAGCAGCTCGGCGTCAGCGCGAAGGCCGGCTTCGAGGGCGTGTGGCAAACGGTCACCACGCGCGGTTGGGTCACGCCACTCCCGATCCTCGTGCTGCCGCCTGTCCTGATCATGGCTGTACGCCGGGTGGTTGCAAACAAAACCGTGTTGCTGGTATCTTCTATTGGAATACTAGTAAGTACTGTATGCGTTGTTGGTTGGAAATCATGTGTTTGTGGTGCGACTTCTTTGTAGGAGCGACGATCGACAATGATACATATTAATACATAGATTGAAAACTTGTTTGGCTGTTTTTCTTTTCCATCTTCAACATCTCATCTGTGTTCTTTCGGGCTGTGTCTGATAGATTAGGGACGCAAAAATTGAACAGGCCACCGAAATTTCGATGATCATCGGGTGTATGTACTACTTCTTGCCGTTCACGCTAGCGCTGCAGCCACAACGGATGACATTAAAGCCGGAGGACTTGGAGGAACGGTTTCAGGGTTTGAAAACCAAGAGTGGTGAGCCCATAACGCAAATATTTGCCAACAAAGGCCTTTAAAACATCGTTCGGAAGAATAAACGGACGAGCGACTTCTACTTTCGTCATACTTACAAATGTATGAAGCAGCAAACAAAGTTCTTGGCAGCTTCTTGGCGCGGATTGCGCACCCACGACCAGTGTCCTAATAGCGCCGTCCTGTGTAATATTTATCACCAACGTCGGCGGCGAAAACATCATTTGCGGTTCTACATGAGCTTGGGCTTTGTCGGGCGTAGTTTGTCTCATCTTCGCGAGCAGCTTCTCACCTGAGTGCACAGCACTGCGTGATCGACAGCAGCTAGGACGAAGAATGGTGCAGATAGAAAAAGGCCTCCAATGCCTTCGCTGGCAGGCGGCGATTATAGTGCACAGAGAAGAAATAGAAATAGTGATACGCACGAGTGCATTCTTTCGGCTTCTTCTATGCGATAAGAGTCATCTTCGTTGCAGAATGAAGCAAATGCACTTTTAGAAGAAACTGAAACTGTATGGTTCCTGGTGATAGAAAATGTCACCAGATGGTTTTGGCCGTTTTTGAAGAAACGAACTAGCAGAAGAACGAAGCATCAAAAGAACAAATTTTGCTGAACATGGTTCTTTGGTGTTGCTCCCTCTTGACAAATTTGTAAACATGACGAACTTTTTTAGTCTCCTTGTGTATGATACCACCGACTTTTTATGAACCTGAAGAGATGGTCGCGCGGAGCCGGACGAAGCCCTATCATGCAATGCCGCCAGGTGACATTATCTGTAATTTTTTTCTGTGTTTGAATGATGAACTACGAACATCACAAACCGTAACCGACTCCTCGTTTTATGGGATCGTTTCTTGCAACACGAAGTCCAAAAATGAAATATGTCTCCCCGAATCCCCATGCGCATTCAGTACGTTGTGCATCGTTTTCTGAGTAGTAACACTCCTCGTCTTTTTGCTCAATGTTTTGAGCGGCCGCAGCTCATTTTTGTGAAGCGTGTCGCTCAAGCAAAGCGGATTTTCGTCGTAGTGAGTCTATTCGATCGAGCGTTCATTCTGGGGAGTCGTAAGGGCACAGCTGCTGGGGGAGCAGCTTGATGTATAGAGGATATCGACAACGTCAACGACCGAAAGAGAGGTCACTTCATCGTTTCGTCTTGTGTTGTGGGGGCTCGCGGCACCTAATCGTGTTCGTCGGGAGGCTCGCAGACAGCATTTAACTGCTTTTCGTATGTACTCGCGCAATCTCAAAGTGAAGTCATCGCCATGTGTACGGGCCGGAGCCAGACGTATATCCGCGCATTTTTCGTCACTATGGTTCTATCTACTAATTGTAGCGTGTAGACGTGCTGATAGTTGTAAAGCTCTACTCAAAGTGTATGATTGTGATATAAGTAGTTTCACGGGGAACAATAAGACCACACTTACTTTGACTTCCCAACAGAATAAACCATGTCAGCGTCCCTTGGTCGGTCGAGGAAATCAGTAGCGCCTCAGCAACAGCCAGCTGTTGCAAATTGCTCTGCCTGCCGTGTGATCTCTGGCCTCGCTGCATTGGATACTTTGAGCCGCGGCGTAGCGCCTTCTTCGGGAGAACACGATGGTAACGCGAAGAAAAACGACGATCACACAGCCTTTGACTTTGTGGCTGATGTGCCGGAGGATAAAGAGAACGACGAAGGCCTGCGACGCGATGATCTCCTCATCGAAGCGGGGGATGCAGAGGCCGCGATTGTGAGGCAGAATAGCTTTCTGCACTTGAGCGCAATTGACCTTCTGCAGTGGATCCGTTTCGCGCGGTACCCGGGCGAGCCGGCGAGTCAGTTGATGACGCAGGCCATGCTGGAGTACAAGGAAACTCTTCTTGACGTGCCGTTTCTCTCGCGTTTCCTGAACGGGCTACCACCCGGTTACGTGGCGCAGATGCGCGATTCGGCCGATCTGCAAAACCAAAAGTACCAGATCGCCGCGTTCCAGCAGAAGTCCCTGGAGCTCGTCGAACAGCAAGCACACCACCCACACACTCTGGCGCCCGCGATTCGCAACATGCAGCGCGCGCTCGCGGAGCTCTTCTACCCGCCCGATTTGTCGCAAGACCTTGTCCCGGACGCGAATTACAACGAGGATGAAAAGGAAAACGCTGACGAAGAAGATCACGTCGAGGCACTGCACGGCAAGTTTCTGAGCAAGGACGGCCACCAGGACGTGTGCCTCGTCAACGAGGAGTACTGCAACCCAAATATCGAGAACCGCAAAGTGCAGGTCGTTTTTATGGAGCTCTCAACTGTTACATTCTCAACTGTTACATGAAATTTGTAATGCAAGAATGGCAAAAGTGAAAGGGAAAAGCTTGCTCCTTTTGCATTACAGGTTTGGAGCAGATTACAATGCTATCTAGCGTGTCGAGAACTTGTCATGCGGAGAAGGTTTGAAATTGTGAAAAGTGATAGCGTTTTTGCATGACAAATCATGTAACAGTTGAGAATGTAACGTTTGAGAGCCCCATAGTTTTCCCCCAGCTCGTGGATCCGGCCCTTGCCAGTCTGGTGCGCGAAGTGCAATGTAATGTACCCCGGCCGCCGCCGACTTTGACCGATGTCACGGCCGCCTTCGACGGGCCGTCGTCGACTGCGTTTCTGGAGACCGGGGGACCAACAGCTGAGATGGACCACGAGGAGCAGGAGCGCACGCCCCACGCACCCGACGAGCGCGGGGAGACTGGAGAAATGATTGCGGAAACCATGGGCGAAACCGGGGAGATACCAGCGCTTTCTCCGAGCGGTTCTTGGAAAAATACCGGTTTGACAACAACCATGATGGAATCTTCGTCCTCCTCGCAGAGGCCGCGGACATTCGGCGGCAGCAGCAGCTTGCGGCAGCGTAGAGGAGCTAGAGCAGGAGGCTCGACCACGTCGAAGAACAACGATGGAGGGGGCGATGAAATGCTCGTGCAAGCAGACGGAACTTCACCAATGGGTCCAGCTGCGGAAGAACAAAACGCGTTCCTAGCGCAAGAAGAGGACAGTACGTCTGCTCGCAAAACAAAGGGAGAGGGGGCGTCGACAGCAAAATGGGAAAAGTGCGTGGATCCGTTGATGCAGCGACAGGAGATTGTCCGTGCCGGCGGCAAGGAGGGTTTGCTGGCCAGGCTGCAGGACCAGGTCGGAAAAATTCGGAAACGGTTCGAGAAAAACGAGGTGCAAATGGTGTTGCTGGAACAAGGCGGAAGCATATTTGAGCTGCCGTTGCGGTTCGTGTACGGCAGGGCCGAACCCGGCGACCTGATCAGTTTTCTGGAAGCGACGCACCTGGACAACTACACAACCCCGACGCAAGCAAAACGGGAAATGTGCTTTCCCGGGGCCGTGCTGCGGGTAGACGCGAACGCACCGGAAACCGGAGAGATGCAGCGGCTTAAGCAGTTGGGCCACACCGTCCCCGGGAGCGGTCTCAAGGCCGCGGATCCGAAAGAATACGTCGTCGCCGACGGGTATGAAAGCCTCAGGTTGGAAATCCTCAAAGTGGAAATGATTTGTGATGCAAAAAAGCGACTCCAGTGGAAGCGGCGTTTGTAGTCGGCGCATGACAAATTTCCCGAGCACTTAAAGCATCTCTGTCATGCAGGATAAGGCAAAGGGGTGCCGTTCTGTCGTGCCAAGCAGCACTCCAATTCTTCACCCCTAGCAGGACAATAGTCGGCCTCCATGGCGTCCTCTGCAATGCAGTCCTTTTTGCATCGCATTTCATGCATCACAAATCATTTCCACTTTGACGATTTCAAACCTGACGCTTCCATAACGGGTTCCGCGTACCGGCCTCCGCGTACCAGGTGCTCGACAAGACGCCGCGCATGGTGCCGCGGGAGGCGGTCACCCGTATCTACCGACTCCACGACGTCCCGGGGGGCACCGGGTACGTCACACTGGATGCCTCGTTTCTGCACCGGCTGAAGGATGTGCTGCGCGCGGAAGTAAAGCGGTCCGGGACCTGGATTCGCACCCACTTAACGGTGAATCCGAAATACCACCGCGGGTGGACGACGTTCAGCCTGTGGGGCCTGGACGACCAGGCCGTGATCGGGTATCCAGGCAAAAACACCCATCCACATCCAATTTGTCATGCAAAAAATACATAAATTCCTGTGCTTGTCATGCAAAAAACATTCACTACATGATTATGATGATGCAAAAAATGGATGTGGACAGGTTTAGGTTTTTTTCTGTGGATATCGGGATGACGCGCAAGGCCCTGGGCGACAAGGTCGAGAAGCTGCTGAATGCTTTGGTGGAGCAAGCGTTTGACCGCATTTTCCCGCAGATGAAAGAGATGGACGACGGACCCAAAAAGCCGGCGGGAGTGACGCAGGACTGGACTATGGTCTTGTTTCCGTTCCAGGAAAAAGCAATCTTCCACCCCCTCGCGCGGAAGCATCACGACTCGGAAAGCAAAAAGGACCTCGACCCTGGAGTGGCGAAAGCAAGGCCCATCCCCCCGACGACGGCCACGACGGCAAGATCCAAGCAGAAAGGATCCAGCGCGTGGAATACTTTGCGCGACTACCTTTCTTCGAACGAAACGTTGGCCGAGCGCGCTCGGCACGAGGCCAAGGAGGACATGAAAATCAAATTCCGAGAGAATTTCAAGCAAACCATGCACAACCTGGATTTTGAGGTCAATCTTCGGTCCATGACGGCCATCGAGGGGAAGTTCGACAACCTAGCGCGCGCCGCGGCCCCACTGAGCATCAGCAAGGACAGCAGTAGCAAGCGCGACATCGCGGCCGTATTGAACAAAGAAATGACCAAGGTATCGGATGCCATCTGGGCCCTGGCGGATCAGGTCCTCGCGCACTTCGAGCCGCTCGAGCTCCCGCCGGGGGCACCCGAGCCCAAGGTGGGAGGGCTGGACGAGGTGCTGGAGCGGCTCCCGGACGAGTTTCCGGAACTCCCGTCGTTGCCGCTGAAGTTGGAAGAGTTGTTTCTGCTGGACGAGAAGGCTGGCGCCGACGGAAACGCGGATACGGTGTACATGTACTTACGCGAGTACGGAACCTGCCAGCCGACGCTGTCGACGGAAGCGCAGGGCGTAGACTGCAGTAAGGAGGAAAAGAGCCACACAGAACACCAGCTTTGCCCAGCAAAGTTCCCGAAGATCGCGGAGAAAAGCGCGCACATCAGTAAGCTCATTCCGCCGGCGCAGCAGGAGATGCGGATGAACGAAATCAACCGTGCATCAGCATCGGGGGCCATGCAGGTAAAGTCTTTTTTTTTTTTGAACAAGAAGAAGATTCAGATACAGATTGATTTTCTGTTTCATCCTCCTGATTTCGATTTGCTAGTCGGTGATGTGTAGTAAGTTGTAAAGTACTAGTATAATGCCCTCCCCCTTCGAGCACGACCACGAGCAGCTCCAATAAAACACGAACCAGGACTTCACACCATGGCAACCCAATGCAGCAGCGCCGTCGCAGGCATACATGGGGCCGACGCGGGCGCAGTATTACGGAGGAGGATACGGATACGGTGGAATGTATGGTGGGAGCGTTGGTGGAATGGATCCCTGCTGCTGCTGTTGCGTCTACTGTTGCGACTCGTGCTGCCAGATAGCGATGATGGAAACCTTCTTCTACACGCCGACGCTGTTCGGGATCCCGGCGGGGACTCCGTGCTGCTGCTGGTGCCTTCCGGAGTATGGCGTCGGTATGTGCCCATCGTGCCCGGTGTTGTGTTCGGAGGGGTGTATGCCCTGTGAAATGGGAGCGTGTGCAAACCTGCCGGCTATGGGTTGCGATTTGGGCAACATGTGCGGCCTCTGTGGCGATTTGCTTGGCGGCGTGGGAAATGTCCTTGGCAATATACCGATCTTCGGGAGCAGCTCGTAGCATCTTGCTTGTTTGAAATTCTCTCACCTGTTTCCTAGAAAATTAACATGTACGTTTTGAAGAGAAGTAGCACAGTCACAGAAGTAGCAGGCAGAAGAAGAACAACTTTAGCATTACAAGGACAAATTTCGATTCCGTTTCAACAAGCAGGGAACCAAAAAGAAAAAGATCAATAGCAAGATTTTATGAAAGTATTCTGCAGCACCTCCTCCGCCAGCAGGCACCTCGCTGAGTGCTTTTCAGTGATACTAGAAATCTCTGATCTTCCTACTCGCTCCTCTCGTACTCGGTCGTGAATGTGAGTTTCGTAGAAAGCAGCACTAAAGTATCTAGATTGATAGGATGCGAAAATGAAAAACTGAAATTGAAGTTGTAAATTATGCTAGTAGAAGCGCAAGCGCTATGCTATCGTCGATCATCATGGCGTAGTAAACCCGCCTTGAGATTTAGTTTGTAAAAAATTGGTCGTCCCAGGCCCCGACGTAAATAGAACAAGCTGCCACTTGATATTGAAATAAAGCGAAAAAGTGGTAAATAGAAAAAAATGAAATTGACTCAGCATGCCTGTACACAGAAGAAAAACGGCGGCACCGACGTTATGAAGGTCTTCAGAATGTAAAATACTAGATAAGATCCTTGCGCAAAATGAAACACACGACAAAGTACTTGATAAAGCTGTGGAGAAAGAAAAGGTACTCGATGGCGATGAAGCGAAGTGCCTTAAAATATATGTGTTTGACGCAGAGCATGCCCAAGCAGTGTGATCAAATGAGCAGTGAATTACCATGGATTTTTTCGGTCCTGTTTTTGAGAGGATTTGACACTGTAGTAGAATCGATGCTGGGAAGCAGGCAGCAGGTCTTCTTGTCGCCTTTAACTTTCTTGATCAGAATTTACTTAGTGTGCCCCGCCAGGATCCTTTATTTCATGTTCCAACATGGAATGGTACCCCTGGCCCAGCATGGAGAATATGATCTGGTTTTTCAAAGCTGAAAATAAGAGTGTAGAAGTCCCTTCAGCTGCAAATAGACCAGCAAGGAAAATCGATATACCTGCGCATATTGAATTTGGCAGCCATTTGATCAGGGAAAAAGAGAAATGGCGATCTGATCGTTCTCATTAGTAAACACAAATGTCCTGCAGCTCCCTCCCGTGGTCACAGTCTTTCAGCGAGAACTTATGGTAATGGTCGTGGTGGCTCATACATTGCACTACGTTATCTATTCTCGCTAAACGGTAATGGAGACATATCATCCAGATCACGAGCCCGTAGCATAGAAGTCAGTGTGGTTTGCGCAGCCGCTTTTATTGGTCCTCCATTTTCGCGCGCTTTATTCACCAGTTTTTCAGTATTCGTATCAAAGAATACCTCTTCTAGTTCTATGCTACGCTCCTGACAAGAGGAGCTGATCCCAGGAAGAACAGCATGGCCGCCCACAACATGGTATCCTCCGTAGTACCCGCCACGCAGAATGCCGTGGAGTTCGGTTATTTGTATCGTGACCCGCCGGAAGACATTCGGCAACTCACGCGGTACTATTTTCCGAGCAAAATCGGCGGCAAGCCGGCCTGGTTGGTGCCGGAAAACTACCCAACGGACCTGACGTGCGCACGGTGCGTATCAAAAGGAAAAATCCCGCCTCCCCATATCAAGACGAAATTTCTGATGCTGGATTTGAGTACACAAATCAGCTTTGTATTGCAGGAAAGCATTGCAGTCAGGTCCCCAGGCTAGGTAGGGGCGTACGCGTCTAGTTGTTCAGCATGGCAAGCGGCTCCGCTTTAGGCCCAACAGCATGACAAGTCGCTTCCATAATGGGGCGGAAGCTTCTGCCCTTGCCTTCTTGCAAAACAAATGTGATTTGTGGCCTCAAATCAGCAACGCAAATTTTCGGAAACATGCCTTTTCAATATGGGGAGGGGGGATTTTTCCTCTCAATAGTGCGGGTCACGGATGCGGTTTCTGCTGCAGATCTACGCCAGCCGGGAGGACGCCAGCCCGGCAGCCTTTCACAGGATGCTTTACGTGTTCACCTGCCGCGTTTGCCCCGACCAGTTCCGCTGCTTCCGGGCGCAACTACCAAGGCTGAACCCGTATTATCTCCCCGATAACCCGAACAACTTCCCCTCGGTCTCCCACGTAATGGACCTCTACCGACACGGCAGCTGGAGCAAGGGCACGAAGGAACCTAATGGTAACGAACGTTTCTCTTTTAGTTTTTTACTTCTAAACATAAACTTTCCAACCTGTTTCGTATTTCTTGATGAAAAGGGATGCGATGAGTTCGCATTCCTACCTTCGATGGGTAGAAGGTTTCGGTACACAACATGCTGCAAGAGACGAACAATCTAGGTAGAAATCAAATAACGTGTAGTTCGAGATTGAGACGTAACTTTAACTTATTTGTTTTGCAGATCTGGCCATGCTTTCGGAGTACGAAATAGATGCGGAAGCCGATTCGAGCACCGAGGAGGAGGGCACGTCAAGCGACGACGAGGTGGATCTCGCCGCGGTCTTGCAAGACCGTCGGGACAAGGAACTGTTTCGGGAGTACCAGGAGGCGAATGGCAACGTGCAGGTCTTCCCCACGACGGCGGAGCAAGAATGTGCAACAGACAGTACTGCGACGGTGACGACGACTACAGTTGATCATTCCTCATTCCAAAAAAATGGGAATGGCGAAAGCACCAACAGTAGCAGCACCACCACAACAGCGACGCCGTCCTCGTCTGCGCAAAAGACAAAGATCAAGAGTAGTATTGGTGCGAAGGATCTGTCTACGACGACGCCCGACAGCGCAAAAGGGGAACAGTCGCCTCAGCTGGATGCGTCGGAAATGGCATATTTTGAAGAATGGAAAAAGACGCACGGCCGCGACGACGATCCGGCTTTTCGAATGTTCAAAAAGGAGTGTCTGCGGCGGCCGCGATGCATTTTGCGCGTAGTGATACCCAGGGAAGAGGAGGACGACGAAGAGATCGAGGTCGAAGATGAAAACAGCGGCTCCGAAATTGGCTGTGACGACAGCTACAGCTGCCGGGCCAACAACAACTCCCCCGCCTCAGCGGTCCTGCAGCCGTCACCCCTGCCGAAACGACGCCTGTCCGCCCCTCCACGAAACGACGACAGTGAAAACACGGACGCCATCAGTGCTCTGATGCGCAAAAACTTTCTTCCGGCCACCCGCACACCGCCGCCGGCGGGCAGCAGCAACAAGCCCACAATCTCCGCAACGAAAAGCCAGGAAGCGGAGCGCAAGGAACAGCTAGTGCAGAACTTCGAGGTGCAACGCATTCAGGGCTGCTACATCCAGGACCGCCCATCCACACCCCAAGTGCCCAAAACCGCTCTCGGAGTCGACGGGAAGAGCCCCAATGAGCGCCTGAAGGAGGCGCACGCGCAGAGGACCAATAGCACCCCGTCCTCTTCTACGCTGGTGACCAAGGCTCGCTCCATGTCCGATGATGGCGCCTTGAGCCGAAATGTTAATTTTTTGACGACCGTGCCAGAGAATATCAATCTCCAGCAACCGCCCACGGTTTCAGGAGCTGCAAGCAATTTTCTTTCAAACGTGCGAGCACAACAGGATCATGGTGCAACGCGAACTCGCAGTCCGCAAACGACCACATCCTCGAACGCTTCTTCCCCCTCCCGCAGTCGGCGACCCGCCCACAGAGTTCCGCTCCATCCAACGCGACAGCAAGTTCTTGAGAACGCGTTGCGCGAGAACGCACAGATTCCCCCCGAGGAACTCATCACGGAGAAACTGGTGGACGAAAACCTGTCAATGACCACGACGCCCGCGCGTCGAGGGCCAGACGGTGAAGATGTTCCTGATGGAGATGATAGTAGTACTATCGTTGCTCCAAACAGCGGCTGCAGTGCAGGGGACAGAATGGCGGCCTTGTCTTCTATCACAACGCCAGAGGATCTCATCCTCTGGTACCACGAGAAAGACAAGGAAAACACACGGCCGGATCGCATCCCCCCCTGTCGACGCTGCGGCGCGCCGCGGGCATTCGAGTTCCAGCTGCTGCCCTCCATGATTGCGATCGCGAATACGCATCATGACTTCGGCACGGTTCTGTTCTATACCTGCACCGCCAACTGCAGCGCTACCATCGATGGCGTGTCTTACAGCGAAGAGTACGGTTACGTGCAAAGCGAGCCGCCGGAGCTGTTGGCGCAAGGTGGAGGCGAACTGGGTCCGCGTGCACATACCAAGGGATGAAGAGTGTGAGAGACTTTTGCGATGCTTGGCTTACTTTGTTGAGATTTATACATGCAACTTTCCCGCCATGCTGGAAGCGCATCCGCATTCGCAAACGCAATTACGACGCCGGAATAACACCTTTGTTTTCTTGTCAACGACGAGCACGACACTCAGTAATACGTGCAAGCGCATGCACTTTTTATTTCGCAAAAAAGCAAAAAGCTGTGCCCTTCTTCGTGGCACGTACGCAAGTGGCCACTTCCTCGTGTTCTACGAACTCATGATATCGATCTCTAATAGTGTTTCCTACAACTCAAAACGCGTTGCTCAGCCGAGCGAGCACGATTCCCATTATGATCCCATCGAGTACAACACTTAGGCGAAAGCGACCCTCCCGTGATCTTCATACATGAGTAGTGAGGTGTGCGGCCGCAAACATCGTGAACGGTCGACGTGAATACACACAGTATCAGAAAGATCGCAGCTCGCTCAAGGATATCGTACCCACGCAGCGCATTGTTCCATTCTTGTTGCCGTGAAGATGGTCTCTTGTGTGTCCTAGAGATACAACTTGCCATCGGCATCCAGATCCACTCCAGCAATGCTGTGACTAGTGTGTACGTATTGGAGTAGCCACATCAGTAGAGTTAGATGTAGAAAGAGAAGCCCACTGCCACGTGTGCAGTTTTTGTGAGTTTAATCATTTCCGCGAGCATCAAGAAACCTCGCTCATTCTTCATGGTTGCCAGGCCTTGAGATTCTAAACCGGTACTCTTACTCAACTTAGAGTTGGTTCATAGAAGCGTCGGGTAAAAAAAAGATTGGTTTTGCTTTGATAAGTTACGGCATTTTTATCATGGAATGGCGGTCGTTATGGACCAAGACTGACAATGAAGTCATCGTGTGAAGGCTCGACTTCTTTTCTTTGGCTGCGTACATCTGAATTTTAGTGCCAGCCCCAAATTATTGACATCATCTGTACGGTGGAGAAAGTTGGTCGTCTTGATCCGAGATCCCCTCCCTCCGTCTGAAGCACTTCTTCAACGCACGACTAAATTCTACGTTCGGGTCCACCTCTCTACGGGACATCTACTCATCCCCTTGATTAAGTAATTGATCGTCTTGCAGTTGCGCGACAGTCTGCTTGTTTTCCCCGAAGAACAAAAAGAAAAAAGCGCGGACACACGACGAAGGAGGTGCCCCCTCCTGAAACTGAATCAGCAGAATTTCCTCGGACATCAGGCGCGAACGTGTGCGGAGCGGTACCTGGCTACAAAGTGAGTCGGTGCGGCGCATGTGATTCGCGAATTTTCCTCGTTGGGAACGAAAAGTCGGACATAAATCCGACGATCCTGCTCACCCATTCTACGAGTTCGTGAAATAGATTTCGAGCAGCAGCACGAGGATCCGAATCTGCGACCGTGTTCTAGTGTGTTTTGCGGAGCTGTGGCCGCTAGCACCAAAACGAAATCTACAACTTGATTTTCTTCCGCGGAGTAAGCAATTGGATCTTCCAGCAGCACATCGACTTTGGCCTTTTTTGGTGCACTGCTTATCTCGTAGTCGTACCTGCCACAAAGCCACTATGGGAAAGAAAAACTTATTGGATAGGCTACAGGAGCTGGACTCCCAGCAGGCGGGTTTACCAGCTGGGCCAGGGGAAGAACAGGGGGATGTGCAAATCGAGAACGGAGAAAACCTTCCGGCGGGCGAAAAACCTGTTTCTTCTGCCACCAATCGAGCGCCAGCACAGCAAGAGGCGACAACGACAGGAGGAAAAAGGCAGAACCAGAAGAGAAAGACTGTGGGAGGGCGCGCTGGAAAACAAGGCCAAAATAAGTCGCGACAGTCAAGTAAGAATACCGATAAAAACGTGAAGCCAGCAGAACTTCTACCTCCAGCAAGATCGGACCAGGATCATAAACAAACAGACGGTGTCGAGACCGGTGCTCATGCCTCTTTCGCTAAGGAAGAAGTGCAGGTCCACCAAGCGAAGGGGATGAAGGGCTCCGCGTCCAGCTCATCGTCATCCGTCTCTCACGCTAAGACCGTTGCGGCACTCGCAGGAGCGCCATCAAAGGAGGCGCCGCACCAGGTGCATCGAGACTTGTCGGAGTTGCGACAAGCTTTTCCTATACAGAAAGCAGAAACAGCCGGGAAAGGAAATGCGAAAAAAAAGAAGAAGAAGAAGAACCAGCTGGACGTTCAGGTGTATGTCGAGTACTTTCAATGGAGTGGAAGCCTTATGCAAGCGAAAAGAAATAGAGGTAGAGGCTCCTCGCTGACACACATTCATACAAAAGTACTTATAATTTTTCTCTTGTAGTTCTTGGCAGGCGCAGGTACATGTTTCATGCGTCACAGTTTGTAGGATTACTGACGGTAATGTGCTGGTCGCTTCACTGCAAAATAGAAATAGTACAATCAAAGATCCGATTTCAAGTTTTTTGACTGGAATTCGAGGAGCGCAGCCACTTTTGCCTTTCATACGTGAACCGGGAAGCCTGAATGAACTCATTGCCCAGGCTGCAAAGGAAGGATCGCGGATCCGATTCGGATATACCCAGGCCTACAAAAAAACCTGGGCAGACTGCCATCGGAATGCACCGCGAATATTCTTCAATGTACTTACTAACTACCGTTACACGTTTGTCCTTTTGTATTTGTTTCGCAACGGCACATGAATTAGAATTCGGCGTAGAATGACGTTTGTTTCGCAACGGCACATGTATTTGTTTCGCAACCGGCTTCGACATAGAATGATGTTTCCGACTCTTTCTGATCAACATGTTTCCGACCCTTTTTCATTGAAAAAAATACGATTCACACATTCACAGGTTCTGTCGCCGAACTTGGTCAGTCAATGGATCCCCGTGCGCTGGTCGCCGGATACTTGTAGTTTTTTTACTGACCGCTCGACGAAAGCGCCTCGCGTCGGTCCGAGGACGCAGTATCCAAGAGATGCATATAACGCGCCGTGCATCCCCGTGATACGGGTCGACTCTCCCGTCGCCGAATTCAGGGCGCGGCGGCACGACCCGGGATATTGGGAATATATGTTGCTGCAATAGTATTGAGATTCTCAGTGGTTATTGCTTCTGTGCTCGCGATAGTGTGTTGACCTTCCTGATCGTTTTCTGTGTTGATAGTCATTTTCGCTCTGTTTTCGCTGGGCAGTTATGTCTTTTAAAGTTTTCGCAGGGGCTGATACCGATTGAAATTTTCTCCTGATTTTTCAAACTTGATCCCTGGAATTGTAAAAAGCGCATCTAGACACAGACACAAGATTGAAAGCGCAAAACAACTAAAACAGTGCGGGACTTCTGCCTGTGCCAGCTCCTGGTGCGGACGCGCCGCTTGCAGTTGGGATGAATTCACTGGCCCAGATGAACCATCCGCAGCAGTGCGTCACGAGCCAACGTGCTGCGCCATCCGTGCCGTCAGTCCCTCCTCCCGAACTACTTCCACAAGTCCAGTCGCAGCAGCACAGTGCGTCGTCGTCCACCGCCCTTCTCCCCTTGTGGGTGGAAAAGCCGAACGGACGATCACCAGCTAAGATACTGAGTGACAGATTTCCGCCGGAAAGGGCCCTAGACATGACCAAGAAAGCCAGGGAGATAGAAAAACATAGAAACGAGCTCGAGGGGTACTACGACAGGCTGTTTGAGAGCAAAATGACGGGCACAGAGTATCTTGGGTATGACCTCGGGAAAGCGGTAGACTTAAAACGGTCGTGTGAGAAAGCAGAAGCCGAGCTAGCGCTCATACTGCAGGAGCAGGCAGATATTTCCCCGGGCGATCTTTGGGACGTTGCAATTCTGGATCCCAAGACCAAAATACCGATACCCGCGATAAAGCAAATTACACCGCGGATCTTCGAGGACTTGCAGCAAGAAGCCGCTCGGTGTGCCGTGCCAGACCTACACGCAGCGGCAGCGATGTCTGCGGAACTACTGTCTTCTGCAGTAGGTTTAGTTGCTGGCGATGGAGTAGACGCGGAACAAACAGCGCGGTTGCAGGACTTGGCAGTCGGACTTGGACAGAACGAGCGCGAACAAGCGTCCGGGAAGCCTATCGCATTGCAACCTGGGCCTTCCTGCTCTCAACTCGCTCCCGGTGGCCCGCTGAAGTCCGCACCGGAGCCTGTGCAAAATGGCGAAGCGCGCGTGCATGTTGCAGATCGAGCGTTGAAGAATCCAGCGGTCACTTCGGACTTGCCTGCGCGCCTTGATCAGAGACGAGATGAACAGCAAGACGGATATAATTCGTCGTTGCAGCACTCGCCAGGGAATTCGAGCGTCAGGGTTACGAAAGAAGACCTTGCTCCTACACCCCCAGACGCCCCTCGCGCACCCGCTGACAAGGTGTGCACAGGAGAGCAGGATGGCAGCGTGATCGCAAATTCTACTGGGATCATCGGGGAAAACGAACCAGCTCAACTACAACTGAAGGACCCTTCAGGAGGGGCGGATATGATGGATGTTGACCAGGAGGGCAGCGTCGAACTTGGAGAGAAAGCTTCACTTCCACAAAATCCAGGTGATGCTGCAGAAGAAAAGAAGCCCAGTACCAGTTTTGAATCCGCAGGGCAGAACGGACCACGTGTCGCAGCCGAATCCAGTTTGTCTAAAGACGGAGGCGGTGCCCGCGATCTTGAAGACGCAGTGGGCGCGATCATGGACGGCCAGAATGCAGAAGAGATCACTACTTCCCTGCTCCAGCCTAGTATCAACGACAACAAGCCGGACGAAGCTGTGGGAAAAGCCACGGAAGAGTGCGTCTTGCCAGCTAACCTCGAAATGGACAACGCAACAACTCCGGCGGAAGATGGTAACCTCGTGAACCAGCAGAATTCCCTGGTGAATAAGGAGGGCGCGCTGTTTCCTCCGATGAAGCCTCGATCACCGGAGAAAGAGGCGTTAATGCACCATACGGAGAAGAATGCAGGAAGCGTTTCTCCCCGTCTCGAATCGCCGCCGATTGACGACCAGGACCAGTTTACGGTCAATAAAGATAATGAAGCGGGAGCTGTTGACGCACTACTTGCACCCGCACCACAGATCACTCAGCACGAGCCCACAGCCCCGCGCAAAAATTCTGTTGACGATTTGAAAATTAGTCGAGATTTAACAAGCGGTGTACATCAACCACAACCTGTAGCCCTGCCCTCTACTGTTCCGGCTAAAGACATCCCGGAGAAAAGTGCAAACAAGGGAGAGCCAGCTTTTGCGGAAGAGGGAAAACACATACAAAATGACAAGCGTGAGTCAAAACCTGTTGCGCGAGAACCACTGAACCTGCACAGCAAGGAAGCGTCGGACTCCGCGCCGTTAGCGGTAGGTGTACCGACACCGACTGCGATTCCTATTCGAGAGGAATTCACCACCAGCCGACATTTGCAAAAGCAGCTACAAGGGCGTCAGCAGGAAATCGAAATCGTCGACGTGCCCGCTAGGGGGACCGCAGCGGAGAAAGAGGCAACGGAGAACCAGCACGAGCCGATGGTTAAGCAGGACGACAAAAATGAGGTTGAAGTCGTAAAGGCAAGCGGAAGTGGTCTACACGGCAACCGTGTCGGCCTCTCTGCGATTGGCGCTGAACAAGACGCGAAGAAGAATCTCGATGACAGTCAGGGCTTGCTCTCGGTTTCGCTTGATGTTGAGAAGAAGCCACAACTTGTTCCGGCTACTTCAGTGGAGAAAAAAGAAGGAAATGTGCAGCAGGAAAAGTCCGAAGAGGACGCGAAAAAACTTTCTGGATACGAGGCAGAGTTGCCGGAAAAAGCAGCAGCCGATGTCAACAGCAACATCATTGATCGAGCAGTGTCCGTGGTGCGTGATGATGACAAGCCTGGCGTCGAGGCGGACAAGGTCAAGGCGGACAAGCAAAATGAAGAAAAAACCGAGCAGCGTCCGAATCTGTTGCAGACCGAGGCTGCGCTTTGCGAGGTTACGAAAGAGCGAGAACTGCAATTCCAGCCCCTTTCGCAGGACAACAAACAAGCGGCGGAGCGGGAGCGGCCGGGAGCTTCTACGCAATCAGTGTTGCCAGCCGTGCCCCCTACCGAGGGGGGACGTGGAGGTTTGCAAGAGGCCTTTCCAGAAGTTTCCGTTTCGCCAGATGACGCGGCCCAGTTGGGTGCAGCAGTCGCGGTCGATAGTCAAGCGGGCCGAGGTACTAAGAGCGTTGAAGTGGCAGTAGATCGAGAAGCCGCGCCGGAGTCCACGGGGATGCAGGAACGGGACACGAGTTTTTGTGCTGATGAGCTTGTTGATGATGTGGATATTTTCAATCTGAAGACGACTAGTAAAGCTGCGTCCGGCGCCGAGGGTCTGTTGGTCGAGAAAGCGCTGACGAAGGACTACGTGCACCAGGAGCTGCCATCAGCTGCTGGACGCGTGGAGGGAAAGCTATCGACCGGACGCAAGCCTTCAACTGAATTCACGAAGAGCCGCTTAAACGATGTTGATGTTAACCAGCAGGATGAAAGAATGGAGACAAAGTTAGCAGAGCAGGAGAGCAATAACCCTTCGATGGCGCAGGCGCAGCTCACTCCTTCGATCAGGGCGGGCGAGAAGCCGGAACAGCACCGGGCCAATACCACCGATGTCAAGCAGCTGGTGGAGCCGACACACCCAAAGATTTCATGCAGCGCCGCGAACGTCGACGTCCCCGTTCTTGAAATATCGATGCCGAAAGACGACGGTGACGCTCTTTCTGTTGTGGCGAAACCCCACGTGAACGTTAAGCAGGAGCAAATATCTCCTGAGGTGTCGGCACGCCCGGCTTCAAATATTGAGACGCATGATCAGGGCGGCAGCTCCAGCTCCTCTGGCAAGCAAAACGAAAGTAAAGAGGGCAGTCCAATATTGGACATCTTAGCGCAGAACCTGCAGCGGGTGCAGGACATGGGCCGCGAGGTGGGGGTCTTGCCCGAGGAGCAGAAATTACTTGCCGAGTTGCTCGAAAGCGCGCAAGGAGTTTTTCTAAAGGCGGTGGCGCGTAACACCCCAAGCGCTCCTGCCGCCGCGCCTGCATTTGTCAAAAAGGAGGAAGATGCCACGGCTCCGGCGGTTTGCAATTCTAATTCATCGGTAAAAGCGACAGGAGCAGCAGATGATCCGAATAAGAATGTCAATGTTCTTGATGATGCAGCAAGGAGCACCAACAAGCAGCAGGACGCACCAGCTGTAGTGAGTAGCTCGCCACCTGTTCTTTCTGTGCCATCTTCGCATCAACTATCCGCCAAAGTATGGCCAGAATGCGATCGCGTGACTGTGCCAGCGCCGCCTAAGGCCAGAGAAGATGCGGCTGCTCTTGCGAAGCCTGACCCTGTGAACATGATTGAAACACCATTGCACGACACTTCACCTGCTGGAGATCATGATAAGAAGTCCGCAATTGTGCGGCCAGCTCCGGAAACGAAAAAATTGGCTGCGGCCGAAGATGGAGACGTGAAAGCAAGTACCAGAGCGGACGAACAACAACAGTCGCTGCAGCAACCAGGAGGGCCGCCTGCAAGGGCGGGCGAGGTAGTGCCGCCTAAAGCCAGTGAAGATGCGGCTGCTCTTCCGAAACCCGACCCAGTGAATAAGATTGAAGCTGCAACCCTGCACACTTCTGGAGATCATCACGATGAAAAGTCCGCAAGAATTCTGGCAGACGCGGAAGCCACAAAATCAGCGGCAGCCGAAGATGAAAACGTGAAAGCAAGCACGACAGCGGAAAAATCGCTGCAGCAACCAGAGCCGCCTGTGAAGGCGGGGGATGCAGCGCCGCCTAAGGCCGGAGAAAATGCGGCTGCTCTTTCGAAACCTGACCCAGTGAAGAACACTAAGATTGAAGCAACACCATTGCACACTTCAACTTCTGGAGATCATGATGAGAAGTCGGTGCAACCAGCTCCGGAAACCAAAAAATTGGTTGCAGCGGAAGACGCTGACGCGCAAGCAAGTACAAGAGCGAAACAGTCGCTGCAGCCGCCAGGGCCGCTTGTGCCGGCGACGGGCGAGAGAGCGGAGCCTAAGGCCAGGGAAGATGCGGCTGCTCTCGCGAAAGACGACCCAGTGCAGAAAATGGAAGCAGCGTCGCACACTCCTGAGGATGATGAAAAGTCCGCAATTTTTCCAGATGCGGGAGCCACAAAATCGCCGGGAGCCGGAGATGAAGATGTGAAAGCAAGTACCAGAGTGCCACAGGAACAATCGCTGCAGCAGCCAGGGCCGTATGTGAAGGCCGCGGGCGAGCAGGTGCCAGAGCAGCCTCCGAGTCTACCGCAGCTCGTCGAGCGGGCAGATGAAAACGCAAATCAAAATGCAATGATTGCGCATGTAGCAAATCCGGTCCCGGACACAGAAACTGTCACTGGCGGCGTTGAGGGAGTGGCAGCGGGCAGGCCAGCGTGGGAACTACCGGAAACTGCTGCTGATCGAGAAGAACCGCGGCGCTCGACTGCAGAGGTTGCTGCGCCAGCGAAGCTTGCAGCAGTAGAAGACCGCTCGCTCACCATAAATCAGAAGGAATCGCACGACGACCCTGCTTTAGGCAGCTCCGCTTTACAACTGACAGATGCTGTAGCACAAGAGAAACCTGTCAAAGGCACAGATGAAGCAAAGAAGTTCACCCCTGGTGGTGAAGTTGCGCAAGTCGATAAAATTAAAACCGCGGATGATAAAGTGGCGGAGCTGCCGGGTAAAACAGTGGAAAAGTCAAGTGAAGACTGCGAAAAGGAATCGCGCGGCCAGGCTACCGCAGATGCTGCTGCTGCGGCAACGGCAACATCTATCGTAGGAAAAAACCCAGCGCCAGGCCCAGTCCCAGGCGACGCACAGGTGCACAGCAGCAAGGAAGAACCGCAGGACCAGCCACTTCCAGCACCAGTCCAAAGCAACACGAACATTCCCCCGCCTTCTCCTCCTGCACAAAAAGAAAAAGCCGATGCGGCAATAGAGGGTGAGCCTCTACTCCCTGCCGACGTTGGAGAAGTCGACTTGGCTTCTAAATCGCCAAAACTGGCGAAGGAATCGACGGAAATTAAGGGAAATAAAGAAGATGCAGGAACTGAATCGCTGGCTGCGGTTGCGGCTTGCTCTGTAAGCACACCTAAGGGTGGTGAAGCTGTTGGCCTGCAAAAAGAAAGCGCCAGCAGCAGTCTTCAATTACCGGAGGGGACAAAACAAGAAAACCTTCCTGCTTCGTCTTCTTCCACAGCCTCTGCGGCACAACTGCGTCAAGCCGAGCAATCATCTGCGCCTTGTGTCGTAGCTGACGTGCCAGCGCGAGTGCTGGAAAGCGAGACGAGCATAAACGAGGTGCCCGCTGTTCAGGAGTCGAAGGAGCAAAAACGCGCCGACTACGACCACGTTGGTCAGCCAGAACAGCAGTCAAGCAGTGCGAGCTCTTCTGAAGGAGCTGGGCTGGGCATGGCACGAAAGACAATGCAGCCAGCAGTTCCAGATCCAGTTGCAGAGCAACCGGGTCAAACCGAGACACGGGGGAGGTCGAACTCGAATTCGTGCCACATTCCATCCATTCTAGAACGTGCCTCTCCGAAAAACGGGCCTTTGTACCGCGAGCCAGCCCCGCGCCTCCCTCCATTAGATCTAGAAGTACCTCAGCGGCCAAGGGCCGGCGAAACAGTTCGCGCGCCTCCTCCTGCCGCGTCGGCACCCGTTGCAGCCGAACCCTCTGCCGCCCCTCGACCTCCTGCTCCTGCTCCGCCTCGGAGGAAGAAGTTTCGCGACATGAAGGGGCTGGGTAAGACTAAGGGCGGAGGCGCGTTCGCGTCTGAAGTTCCCGGTAGCCATCCGCCAGCGGTTGCCGCTAGTCTTCCGCCTCCGGTTGTTGCCGGCAGCCTGCCGCCGCAGGAGGTTGCAGGTAGTGTACCGCCACCTGTGGTTGGTAGCCTTCTGCCGCCCGTCGTTGCAGCAGCAGACATCGAAGGCAAAGAGCACGAAAATTCGAGGAACGACGCAGCGCTCTCTAGTGCGGAACAGGGTAAGAGCAAAGGTGACCGTAATGACTCGCGTTTGAACAACATCAAACCGGTGCAAACTCCGTGTGAATCAGGAAACCCTGTCGAGAAGGCTTCAGCATCTATATTGCCCGCCTCAGCTGCCTCGTCGGCTGATCCGGTCGTCCAAAACAAGTCTGCTCCCTCCGTCGTTGCAGATGAAGCGCATGTGAGTGAGACAGTGGCCGCCGCTCGAATTAGTAAAAAACCGCAAGCCGCTGCAGCGGAGAAGAATGAAAAAGCAGAGGAAAAGCAGGCACAACAACGACCAGGGACTGCAGCCGCGCACACTGATTCTACCAACTACAAGAAATCTTCTGATCCCTCCGTGCCTGCCGTCGTGGCTTGTTCCGACAAGGGCGACCGAGGAAGAAAGAAAACTACTGCTATGGAAGTACCTGAGCACGACCAAAGGCAAAAACAGCTTGACAAAGGGCGGGAGAAAGTGGAGAAACCCAACATCGCGTCTGCGTCACTGAAGGACTCGTTGATCAAGCCCGAAAAAGACCTCCTCTCCAAGGAGGAAGGGCATGATAGAAATCGGAAAGCTTCAAAGACTACTGTAACGGCGTCGGCGCGTACGAATGCACGTGATGAGGGTTGGAAAATTCCTCTGGACGACGCGGGCGAATCACATCAAGATCAAAAGGCAAACGCTGCGAACGAAAACGAGAAGCAGCAGGAGCAAGAAAAACACAAAAACCGCGAGCCAGCTCCATGGGAGGGAAAGCGATCGAAAGGCAAAGGGCCGGGAAAAAACGCCAGTAAGGTTGGCTCCGTCGAAAAGGGGAAGGGACCTGTGGATAAGAAAGGAGCAGCAATTTCGAACAAAGACTCGCAGTCGGCTTCTTCTGCGCCGCCAGCTGCAACTGGCAGAAAAACTGGTGGAGCTGCTAAGGGAAGCAAGAAAGGCGATAAGGGCGGGAAGAATTGCGCAGCAGCAACCATCAAGGGAAAAACCAAAGAACAAGAAAAGGAAATATGGAAGAGCTTCACTTCCAAGTTCGGCAGCAGCTCTGAAAAAGGGAAATGCAAAGGCGACCTTCCCCCGCCGAAAGGGGAAAATAAAGGGAAAGGCCCCACGACAGCGAGTGGAGATCTAGCTCGTGAAGCGCAGAGTGAACTGCCCCAAGCTAATATTCCAAATGATGCGCCGCTGTCTGCGTCGTCGGAGCCCTGGTGGATGGCTGTGCCATCTGAAGATATTGTGCCCGCAGCGACCACGAGCGCGTCTGGCACGTACTACGACGTCGTTGGTAATACTAAAACGAAAGAGGACCACAACAACGAGGATGGACAAGAGGCGAAGCTAGACACTGACACTGCTGGCGGCGAAAGGATAGAGAAGAAAAATCTGGACGATGAAAGGCAGAGCCTTGCTGCGGTCACCAAAAAAATCAGTGCTAAGGGCGGAAAGCGAAGCCGGTCGCATTCCCCGCGCCAGCATGATCGAAAGACCACACGTTCCCCACACATAAAACGTGATCGAGTTCGAGATAGAAAGGATACCGACGCGAAAGACGTGCACGTCAATGAGCGCGCACGTTCCTGGGAAATGAGGCGTGGCAGGAAAGACACCCTCGCTGACGGGGCTCAACAGCAGAATGATGGAAACTATGACGGCGTGCGGGGAGGACAACGAAGCAACAAGGAGGCTGACACTACTGGCGCGGACTTCTCGAAAAATAAACAAGGTCGCGATCATTATCATGAACAAGAGGGCAGCAGGAGAAAACGAGCTAGTACGGATCGCGGGCGCTTTCCCAGTAAGGATTATGACTCGGCGGGCAAGCAGGGCATTCAGGAACTTGCCTCGTCCAGGGTTGCAGGGTTTAGTGCGAATGACAAAGGACGGGACCACCGGCATACAAGCGCTCGGGAAAACCGCCGCCACGACCGCGATCGGTACGACCGGGAACACTGGCATACGAGCGCTCGCGATATTAACCGCTGGCACGACCACCGGGGCGGCCGCGGTCGGCGCGAATCCCGCGGCCGTCGTGATTCCCGCGGCCGTCGTGACCGCACCGGCTCGCGCCAAGAGTCCGTCCGCGGGGGACCAGTTGATAAGCCCCGCCGTGTTTTCGAGCTCGAAGAAGAGGACGAGGAGGAGATGAACAAGATTCGAAAGCGGCGAAAAACTGGCAAGGAGGAAGATAGTAATAGGAAGGGCGATTATAAGGCGGCCCCGGTAGGTAAAGATACGGCCCAGATCCAGAACCAGATTCCCGCGAGTTCGTCTGCCAGTGCCGGCAACGCAAATGCGACTGCAGATACGACTGCATTTGCAACCAAAAAAGGAAGTGACGCAAATCCGGTCGCAGATGCTGCAGCCGTCGGAATAAAGGAAAACAACGCAAATCCGCCGTTTGCAGTCGTCTCCGGAAACAAGGAAAACAACCCGAATCAGGTAGCAGTCCCTGCCGAAAAGGAAAACACCGCAAATCAGATTGCAGTCCCCGGCAATAAAGATGAAAACAGCGCGCCCTCGGCTTCAGCCGCCGGAAATAAAGTGGAAGAGAAGCAGAAATGTATTGAAGTACAAGTTGAAAGACCCTCTGATGGTGATACTGCAGTCAAAGAAAAGGCTGCTCCTGCAATTCCCGATCTGGTGGGAGAGCAAATCGTCGACGAGACCACGACGATCAAGGAAGCTACAGAAAGTACCACCGCGGGGAAGCCCCATCATCAAGCTGTAGAAGAGCTTCAAGCAAATCAAGATAAGGCCTGTGCGCGTGCCGAAGAACCTGTCATTGTCCCATCTTCGTCTTCATCCTTCTCTTCCGCAGCACCGCTGTCTGGAGAAACGTTGTTGCCCGAAGATCACTATCCTGTGCAAAAGTATCGTACTCGTATAAATCCGCTACTGGCATGAATATAACTTCTCACCAACTTCCCAACAACTTATGATCAACTTCTTCCCAACCTTTTCACCAACTTCCCAGCTGTTGAGAAGTTGGCGTAGACCGCTTGCCGCGGTTGTTCCGACGCTTGACGCAGAGTTGAAATCCACGCGAAGCTCCTGACAGGCTTCCGGCTAGGACGTCTCAGAAGGAATATCCCGGGCCTCGATTCGTGGCCGCACGTAAAAAGCACGCCGACGCCGCATTTTGCGGCAAGCGCGGCGCGTTACATCAATTAATGCACAAAGCAATAACTCACTTCTCAACAACATCTCTACGCACTTCATCTTACCAGCTTCGCGACGAACATTCCGGCGCATTCTGCGGCAAGCTTTGAGCTTTTGGAGGCGTCATGCTAATTCTTGCATGACGCCTCCAAAAGCTTAAAGCTTGCTGCGAAGTGCGTCGGGAAGTTCGTCGCGAAGCTGTTGAGAAGTGCGTGGAGAAGTTGTTGAGAAGTGAGCTATTGATTTGCGCATTACTTGATGTAGGGCGCACGCAAACTCGCGTTTTTTTGTGAAAACAAATAAAACGCAGACAATATATCAATTGATTAGCTGAGTAATTGGCTGCTCAGCTAATCAATTAATTAATCAGCGCCAGGCGAGAATGGCCGGCGTTCAAAGCTTGCCCGCCCAAGCCGCGCGCAGCTCCACATCGCCGAGGGAAGCTGTCTTCCGCTTCCGGCGATTCTTTCTTTGATGGCTGCACGCAGGACAGATGCGCGCGCGCAGAAATCACGGTCGCGCGGCCTGCCGCCTCTTGTATACGGCTTTGCGCGTGGTTCCGTCGTGCTAACTGATGAAACTGCACTGCAGATAAACGGACAGAACAAGACTGCGGTCTTCTTTCCATTTATCTGCAGCGCTGTTCCTTCCAGCTCTTGCAGCTGCAGTGGCAACTGCAAGCAGCGAGCACGATATAACTCGCAGCGACGGAGTGACGCGACGCGTCGCTTGGTCGAGGCGAGAACGACGCCAGCATGTCGCGGCGCGACGCCACTTCTCACCGAAGTTGGTGCGGAAGTCGGTGAGAAGTGGCGCGCGCCACTTCTCACCGACTTCCGCACCAACTTCGCAACCAACTTCGCAACCGACTTCTCACCGACTTGTCCGTCAGATTCTGCATAGAAATTTTAGCGGATTTATACGAGTACGATACTTTTGCACAGGATAATCACACAACTGCAAAATCCCAGTCCGTGACCGACGCCGAACTGTTTGAGAGTCTTTGGAATGCAAAAGAACTGAGCACGACCAACTACTCCGCTACGATTGGCGCTGCAGATTACAACCCGTCTTGGATGGGTCCGGTCACGATGGATCCTCCTCCCGTAGGAAGCTGTGCCGCATCTTCGAAATCCGTAAATGATTTCTCGCTCAGCACGCCTACTTTTCCCTCCTTTCCCACGACATCGAGGCATGGTATAAACGAGCACCGCATGTATGTTGACCATGATCTCTTCATCTTGTTTTCTAGTTAGTGCTCTCCGAAACTGAATGCATATCCATTATGTTGCTGCGCCATTCCTTCCTGAAGATGTAACTCGGATCGACCTCTCAATTCTTTCGAGGCAAAAGCCGGCGTGATCCGTAGTTGTATGCAAAACTAACTGTCATACTCAGATCCGGCTGCGTCTTCTTTCGGATTCGCAGATCCGTGGACCGTCGGAAGCCAGTTGATGGAGCACCAGTGCTTTCCCTACGGCCACGACGCGTCAAGCAGCGCACCACATCAGACGGTGGAGCAGTGGTCTTGGGCGGATCAAGGATCAGCGGACTATCAGCAGCCAGCTCCTTGGGAAGACTTTATGGGAGCTGTCGGGCCTCGCGTTTCAACATCTGGATGGGCTGATCGAACTCAACTCTCTACTTTTCCTGACGTTCAGCGTGTTTCCAACATCTTCAACGACCAACAATCTGCTGCCACGAGCGTCGCCCCAGCCACCTCCGCGGCAAGTGCGACCGCGTCGTCTGGGGAGAACGCGGCGGAAGAACAACCCGCATCCTCCGAGGAACTACAACCGGGTAACACCAAGACTGAGACGAAAGAGAGTGGCATGATAAGCGCTGAAGAGCTGCAGGCTTTGGTCGCTTTGGCTATTCCGAAATGTGGAGAGGAGCAGCGTTCTAATTCCAAGACAGCAACCACTTCCACCGGAAATAAGCGCGACCGACGTGGCGATTCAAGCGCAGGGCCGGCGCTTGTGCCAGCCCACTCAAATCAGGAATCTGAACAAAGCCGGGCAGGCAGCAAGAAGGCGACGGGACCGGTAGCCGGGCGTGCTGCTAGAGCACAGAAGTCGGAGGCTCCACCAGAACATCAACCACCAGCTGCAACTATGTCGATAATTCCGTCGGGCGCCGCCTCGGAGAGTGCACCAGCAACCCAGGCTGTTTCTTCTCGAGACTGTGCGGTTGTGGCACCACTCGAGTCTGGGAAAAGAGATGAAACTTCAATACCGGCGAAGGAAAGTCGGAGTTCAACTGGAGCAGGTAAGCTTGGTGTTGGAGAAAGAGGTATGCGTCTTGCCGACCAAGGAGAAAAGACTGGTGCCGACCAGGGCGAGAAGACTGTTGCCGACCAAGAGAAAAAGCTTGTAGTTGCCGACCAAGAGAAAATGATCGTTGCTGGTGAGTGTGAGCAGCGTCCCCCTGCAGTCGGAGTGCAATATGAAACGAAAGGCGCTCATGCTGCAAACGCATTTCCGGATACGGATGCTCAGTCGCATGCAGATGGGACCTCTCTCGGAAGAAAAGACGAGGTAAAAGTCTGCGATCAAGCTGTGCGGGCGGTTGAAGTTGAAGGTATGTATGAATAAATGCTAATACTTGGAATTGGACTGAAAATGTTACTGGCGACTGCTCAAGGTGGTCATTTTCACAGTCATGCCACATCATTCGATGTCAACGTTAACATTCACTATTCTGTTGTGTGCAACTAATCTGGAAGGAATAGCTTATGTCTGATTTTGATCAAGTAAAACTAACGCCAATGCTGTGCGTACATTAACACGTCACAGGTGAGATACTTGAAGAAGAAAAAAATGCGAAGACGGGAGCGGTCGCTTCTACTGTCGCGGCGTTTTCAAACAAGGAGGCTCAGGACTCGAGAGCGGATGCAGTGAGCCGCAACGACGCAACGCAAAGCTCAGAAAGTGCTATTTATTTACCTTGTTTGCCTTTGCGCCCTTTTTCTACTGGGTCTGGGTGAGCTTAGATAGCACCGCGTACTTCTACTTAGACTCTAATCCCACTTTCTGTGGTTCTTGTTTGGCTTTTCGCAAGTTGGCCGGTATGCAAAGTCACATGATCGTGCATGTGAAGAGAAAGTAGCATCTTGTGACTTTTTTCTCTCTGCAGGTGCGAAGCAACTTCTTGGCGCCAGCGAAATTTCAACGAAGCCCCCTTCTGCTTCTGTGACGCTCACCACACACACGCAAGATTCTGTCCCCGAGAAGAAAGGCAAAGGTCCAGAAAAACTTCCTCTGATTGGTGCAACCACAGACCAGCCCGAATCTGCCGTTGCCGAGGCAGAACAAAGCTCGACTTCTTCCATTGGTATTGCCATTGCGACTTCGCGTTTTTTTCTCCTTTCCAAGCACGTGCTCTGTATCCTTTCGTCCATAGTTTTATTTTGCTTCACGTTTATTGAAATTCAAAACTCTTTCGAGCTCCCGGTATAGATAGGACAGTAGGAACAAACTCTACTCCTACTTTATTCTAGGTACAGTTGCAGGAAAAGTCCAGGTTGCTGCACCCGCGGATGCTAACACCACCGACGTTCTGACAGTTTCGGCCCCTACCGCGTCGGTCGCGTCTGCTGCTGCGGCCACGGCGTCGTCCGAAAAAGGTGCGGTTCCTGAAGAATCACGCGTTGAAGTTGTAGTTGATGCTGTGCCCGAAACACCAGTGGACGCAGCACAGAAAATCAAAGCCATTCGTACTTATTTCTGTTTGTTATGTTTTGGTATCGAGAAGTATTTGGATTTGGTTGGTCTAGGATCTTGCAGTGACAACTTGGTCGCATTTTTTCGCGTATTAAGTACGCCGTTCGATAGCATGAGCATCTGATGAAGTAGTGAGCGCTCACATTTTCTGCGCGACCGGCATTTGCAACAAAATGTTGAAATTCTACGTACCCCACCCTGTATCATAAAATTCTACAGATGAACATACAGAAGCTCGTCCAGCTACTCCTCCTCCTTTCGCCGCTGGATCAGTAAACGCATTTGTCTCAGGAACGAGCGCTCATGAAGACAAGCAACACGAGTTGGCCGCGGCTCGGGTCCCGCAAGAACTACAGGTGGTAGAGCACGAAAGTGGTGGTAAGGCACCTCCTGCCGCCGAGAGAGTTGACGCTTCTGGTGGCAACAAGGACGATTGTCATGCAACCCGCATGTCGGAACCGGAAGCGGTAGCGGAGCCGCAAGCGGAAGTTGAAGTTCGTGAGCATAGCGATCTTCAAATCAATTCTCTTCCTGTCGACCAGATCGGTGCTTCTGCGACGATGGCGATGCAGCCCGTGTTTCAAGACGAATTTGATGTTGCTGCTGCGACCGCGGTGAGCCCCGGCGGCTTTTGCGCCACATCCTTGATGCCAGATCTTCTCCCCGATGGCCCTTTGGTTCCCGACCTTCTAAACGATGACCAGAACGACGAGACAAAGTACCTGCACGAGTTGTTTTCTTCGGTAGCAGCAGCGCCAGCGTCCGTCTCGTCGCAGTCGCACGACCAATATATACCGCACCCCCTGGCCATGGCCAGCACGACCGCGGGACCAGCGACAGGCAGCTCAGGAAGCACAGTTATTTCTGGCCAAGTCGAAGACGTAAACATGCAGCCCGATAATGTTGCGACCGAGGTACAACCTCAGGCTGTCGCTGTCGACGTACAACGGATCGAGGACCCGAATGAAACCTGCTTAGCGACGGAAAAGAGCAAGGCACCGGTAGAGCATGTTCAAGAGAATGAGACACGCGGGTCAGGAGCTGAACTCTCGGCGCCTGCCCAAAAGGTAGAAGATGCTGCTAAAGGGGAAGACATCAAGATTACGGTGCCGGAGCTACAAAGCGCGAAAGTGGAGGCGTATACGATTGAAGTGCCAGCGGAGGAAAAGAACAGCGACGCGGCGAAAGCAGACACGACGTCTAGAGTTGCAGTTGGAGTAGAAGTTGAAAAGCCAGAGGGAGCAAATTATGAAGCTGTCTCGTCGAAGGAGCTGAAGCAGGACAGCATTTTTGTTGAAGCGCCCAAAGTTCGTGAGGAAAACGCGACTCAACATGCAGAGGCCATTCAGTTTAAGGCGGATGGGCTACCTGAAGGACCAAAGAAAGACGCCAGCACGAAGTACGACAAAGCGAAGGCGAAGGGTGAGCAATCTTCCCTGGAAGAGAGGGAGGATCAGGCCGAAAGCAGTGGGCGCCAGCACCAGGAGGTTGCGACTGCATCGCCCTCAGAGATGGTGGGACAGGATGCTCTCGCGGCTCAGCCGGCTTTTCCGGCGCATGAAACAGGTGGAGCTAGTGGAGCATACGCGTTCAAAGCAGACAAGTCTTCGGATGATGTCTCCCAGCAGAAGGACGAGGTCATGAAGCAGAATCTTCTCATTCGGGATGACGTGGAACTCCACCCAGCAGAAGCACAAGGGAAACAGGCTGCGCCACCACCTGCCGTGGCCGGAGTAGAGGCAATCACGCGCGCTGCAGACGCTGCTCCTTCTGAACGCGAGGGATCCCTGGACATTAACAACAAGGATGGAAAAAAGGTGGTCCTGCCGGCAGTAGAAGAACAGAAAAAAAGTGATGAACTTGCCGCCTTTCCCGGTGCTTCGGAGTTGGAGAACGCGATGCACAAGATAGAGACCTCCTGTGAAAGTGGTGTAGAAGAGATTAACCTTAAGAAGGACAAAGAGCAGACGCAGCCGCAGGCCCAGGATTTGCCGGTGAGAAAGAGTGCGGTCGTTGACGTAGTTCCAGGTGTTGCGCAAGACGTGCCGAAGGATAAGGAAGGAAGTACGAGCCTACGTCAGCGGCCCGCCTCGGCCAAGAAGAAAAAGAAACGTCGTCGGCGCGAGAGCGCAGAATCGCAGCAGGCTACCTCGGAAAATTGCCGTTTGTCGAAACTAGACGACAAGGCGGAACATGAAACGAAGGTGGAAGCGGACCAAGCGCTCGGCCCGCGGAAGAAAACGAAGCGTGCCACGTCTGCTGATGTGATGGTCCACCCTTCGGCTAGCCTGGTCATTGAAGGATCTGCTGCCGACAAAGGACCAGAGACTGCTGGCCTTGCGCCGCTTCTCGATGCGCGCGCGGGAGCCCCATCGGCATCGTCAGGTGCGACTGCGAAACCCGAGCAGCCGGATAATGCCCCGGGCTCTTCCGGTGATGATAACAACAATCACAGCCAGAAAGATATGAAGCAACAGTCCGAGGACAAGGCGAGTGAGACGGGTGTTGATGGCCGAACGGCTTTTGCTTCTGCTGATACATCAAAACATCCGGTTCTGTCGTCCGAGACGAGTACCTTCCCGTTCCTCACAAGACAAAAGGCAGAACCCGCAAACGTAGAAGGCAAAAATGACAGCAAGACCACGCAAAAAAGGGACGCCTGGGAACCACCGCGCTCAAGCTCCAACTTTTCGCAGCAACATCAACCCAAGTACAACGCATCCAGACAGACCAGCAGCGCTCAGGAGTGTGGACATCTATCTCACTCTCCTCGAGGAGCGCGCGGAGCCAACGATCGTCAGCTGCCAGCAGGGCGAGACCGTGTTCGCGGCGGCCGGCATGACAGTAGGCAGAGGAGCGGTCGGGGTGCACCAGGTTACCTCCATAACGATCATAATATTTGGATGGATGCTGGCGACGACCGGAACAGGTAAAAAGCTTGAGTTTGTTGCAGTACTACGCTGTATCTTTTTGTTTTATGATCACGTTCTTGATGCCCTGATGTGATGACAAGGATCGCAAGGGATATGGCGCCAGCTATCATGGTGCAGTTATCGTGGTAGGACTCAGAGTGGTCATGCTGCTCTACTTCGTGCTTGGTGGAACACAATGACATCGTGAACTCCACTTGTATTTGCAGGCGTGACGATCGCGATCGGGATCGGGAACGAGATCGCCCTGCTCCGTGGGAAACGAACAGGGATCGCGACCGAGATGACCGAAGGGCACGGAATCGAGATCGTAACCAGGATCGCCCTGGTGCGCGGGACGCGACGACTAGGGATCGCGAGCGACAGGACTGCAGACATTGGGATCGGGATCGCTATCGCTCGGGGGATCAGCGTGATTTCCAACAACGCGGGGCTGGTGCGGGGGGCGATCGTGGCAGGAACCCGCAGCGGGGCAACGATTACAATCATGGCTACCGCGGTGACCGGGAGCGTGAGCGTCAACGTGAAGAACGCGACCGTAGAGAACGCGAACGTACTAGAGAACGCGAGCGTGGTGATCGCCAACCGGCGCCGGAGAGGAACGAAAGGCTTTCGAGCAAATGGGATCAGAAGCCGCAAAGCATCGTGGAGAACAAATCAAAAAATAGCTCTTGTGCAGCGTCCTCTTCAACTGCCCAGCAGGGCGTCGACAATAACGTGTCGAGCAGGCAGAACAGCAGTAAAAGTCACACCAAAGGCGTGAATGTGACCGAAGCGGGGGAAGAAAAAGGCAGCTCCTATCGCGACAAGAAGGTGCCGCCACCGGAACCCCAGCCGCCTGTGACGAAAATTGACCCGCGGTTTGAATACGAAAAGAGGGCGGAGCAGGCCGAGGCCGAAAAGGCGCGACAGAAGGAGTTGCTTGCCGCGAAAGAGAAGAACCAAAAAGCGGACGAACCACAGATGAAGGAAAAGGCGTCGAAGGAGAAGCAAAAAGGTGGACGATCAGAAGACCATGATAGTGGCGGACAAAAAAAAGATCGCGACGAGGCCAAGCATGAGCATCGTCCAAAGAACCGCCGCTCAACAGCGGCGCAAAGAGACCCGCCGAAGAGAAACAAAGACGATCGCTCCGATGGCACCGCGCAGGGCCGCGAGACACGCCGCGAGCACGGAAATAAAAGATCGAGGGATACCATTGGCGCCAAGGATGTAGAAATTGTGGCGGATAAAACTACAAACCGCGACCGGGACCGCAAGGAGGATAACAGAAACAAAGAGACGAAGCCGAAGCCTTCTCGGGACCGCGGCGACAAGCGAAAAACCTCGAAATCGGATGAAGCAAAGGGTACGAAGAAGAATAACAAGCGGCCGCGATCCCCGAATGGCAGGAAGGAAGACGTTGACGCCTCCGAGAAGAAAGAGAAGAAGATGAAAAAAACTGATGCTCGCGACCGAGACGATGATGTTAACGACAGTCGTGAGCAGAAACACAAGAAGAGTCGCGACCGGAACAAAATAAAGAACCGAGATGATAAGCGGGATGAGGACCGGGACCGGCATCGGAACAAGAAAGAAGAGCGCACTGGTGGTGACCATCGTGAGCGAGATCGCCGGAAGACGCGCGGCGCAGCGAGGGACTCAGTTGTAGAAGTTGAGGCCAAAACGGGGGACCACGGCAAGAATAAATCCAAGAAGGAAGCAGAAGCCTCCGTGCCGGAGGCGAAGAAACATCACGCAGCCGTGGGGTCCGAGAAACAGGACCGACAGCAAGACGGTTTCATTGCCGCGAATAAGGAACGAGGAGAATTCCGCACGAAGGATACCACAGCGACGCTTGATCAAAACCCGGGAGGCAGCGGAGCATCCGTTTCTGGATCTGCTTTGTGTTCGCCCGATCTGGTGGACCCGAATGAGAAAATGGAAGCATTGGACGAAGTCTTGGCGTCTATCGATGAGATCAAGCTCGACGAGGAGCCCGGCACAAAGAAATCCGGCCTCGACGTTTCTCAGCAGCAAGACAATGCATCGGGAAGCCGACGGCAGGAGAAAGGCGCCGAGGAGAAGGTGGGCCAGACGCAGCGTCACCGTTCTCGTAGAAAGACTGACGCAAGAAAGGGAAAGGAACAAGACTTACCGAGGAAGGACAAAGTAGAGAATGTGCACAAAGAAAGGAGAAGAAGAGAAACAACCAGGACCGATGAAAACACACGAAAGTTGTGAAAGTCATGTAAAGTAGTACACTTCTTTTTTTGCAAAAAACATGAAGGGCAAGCTTTTTTGATTTGAACTTTTTTCTGCAAAACGTTTCGTGATTTCATTAGCGAGGTTCATTAATTTTGATAGCCAAGAATTTCCTATTCCGCTATCAAATGTTGCCTGGTAGATGAAATTCACGCCTCGGTTTTCCGTCGCAAAAAAGTACATACATATACATCCTACATGAACCAAAACCAAAAGGATGACACACAACTGTCCTCTACATTTTTGGTTTTGCTTCTCTTATTCTTTTGAATGAGTCTGAATCTGAAAGGATATCATGTAGAGAAGTAGCTCCTGCATGCCCAGCGGTGAAGGTGAACACAGTCACAATGCTTTAAAATCCTTTCGTAAATCTCAATAATCTAGAAGAGTCAGGTCCGCGTCGGGACGATGTACTGCTGCAGAAACTTGATTGTAATGTGGCACATGCACCACTAGTACCACAAGCACATCAACCTCACCTTTCCTCCGTGAGCCAAAGAAGGATGAACTCATAAACTTAAATCGGTGAAGACACATGAGGGGAAGATACTAGATTTTCAGTAAGTACACATACCCAGCACGAAGATTTGCTCCGTAGTATGTTCAGTTCACGTTGTTGCTCATTGGGCGCGTTGTTATCCATTTTTCGAGGTAGAAAGTCAAGGTAAATCCAAACTCTTCCAGGTAAGTTAAGGCAAAACGTCGCTCACTAATATTTTAAAGCTCGAGGTCCAAGGCTCCCCAGTTTTTCTGAAAGGTTTTTTCTCGGTAGGTTTGGTAGGTGTAAGGTCATCAAAAAAAAGCCGAAGAGGTATTTCAGTTATCTTGCTTCAAGTAGCTAAGGCTCCCCAGGTTTCCCTCCGGTTCTGTTGTCTGCTGAAAAGAGGAAGAAATTTTGAACAAAACGCGAACACTTTTCATTTCATGGCCGATCCTGGCGCTCCTGCGAGTGCGTGGCTTCAGTTTCGAGTCCGAGTTGGGGGGCAGATAGACGCCCACCACGCGATCATCCGAAGTCCGAAGTTCGAAAAAATAGAAAAGTCTGAAGCTCATCAACGTCTCAACCTCAAGTAGCTCGAAGAATATTTTTCTGTCTCTTCACGATGCAAAACGTCGCGGAAGAAGCTGCAGATTTGTACATGAGTCGACTCAACATTAAATTTAAAGCCCTCGACGAGTGGTCACGACCGTCCGTGGAGAGAGTGAATTGAAGGGACGATAGAGAGAGAATTGTAGTACGAGAGAGAGAGTGACGTGTAGAAGCAAGAGCGCATTTTTGTGAGAGCAGACTGAGAGAGCAGCGCGGGAGGAAGTATCGTGTTGAAAAAGAGCCGTAAAGTTTGGACGTAGCTCTAGGTGGAAGTTTTTGCATAAGCCAAGTATAATCGTCGTGCATCGTCGCATGAAATCAGCAGTAACTCTAACTCCGCAGACTTTCGCCTCCGTTGATCGAACTTCAAAATACTTAATGCAGGCCGCCCTCGTCAGCAATGAAAAAGAAAATGATTGCTCCTTCTTCGAGTTCTGGAATTTGGTTTCTACTGTCAATTTAATTCAATGCATCTATTTTTCAATCTGTTTGACGATGATCTACTCCGCAATCGCGACAATTTTACTTAGGACTACAAGGTAGTTGCAAGTAACCAAAGCAGACCATTGATTCTCCATTTATAATTTTCATCATACAAAGCGACGTGAAGCACAATGAAGACTCTGACACGATTGCGCTCGTACCAGAGTGCGCGAACTTGCGGTACCACGCAAGTTGTGAAGATGCAGCCGCGGCCTGGTTGAGAAGTCAGACGAAGTGTGATAGCTGTATCTTCAACTACGTCCTCTGGGTGGCTTCCGAATCGCGGCTACAAGAAATTCACGGGTCGCCGTCTTTGCGTTTTTGTTTTATTAGCGGCGTGGCGACCGCGACAGCTTGCCCCCAGGAAGATCGGCACGGAACAGTTTGCGGATTTTTTTTCCGGCTTGCTAATTTGCGCTTCTTGCAGCATTAGCATCGACACACAGGAGGAGCGACAGGAGGCCAGCACGTTCGGGAGGCTGAAGGTGAAGACAAGCGTCTCGCTTAAGCACGTCCGGCGAAATCGTACGGTGTCGCTCTTGATTTTTCGTTCCAGCTTACCGTAGAAAGGCAAGATTTTCTCCGCGGAAAGCCGAGCAGTAGCGCAGCCTCCTACCCGGTCTCTTCACCTGCTACAGTTTCACAAAGAGTTCATTCTTTCTTGCACGACCATCGACCAAAGAGTGATCACGGCGAAAACGCTGTAGGTTTCAGACAAAGAATTTTTTCAGTCGAGACGACGTGCAACCAACGCCTCAAGAATAGCTGAATCGGCGGGAAGAAGCCACGGAGGTCCGTCCTACTCAGATCGTATCGCAAGTTCGCTGTTACCACGAACAAGGCAGAGGACCGGTTTGCTCGACGTGCTGCCGGTATTTTGATTTGAAGAAGAGCGGCAACCTCTTTCACGGAGTACGATTGAAACAAGCGACAACCGTCACCAGAAGCACGGATTACCATTAGCAACAGCAAAGAAATGGCGAGTAACGGCAAGCCGCCGACGCCAGCGGAAGGGGCGGCAGCTCCAGCGGAGGGCGATCCGGAGGGCACGCCAGAAGATGGCCAGCCGAAGAAAAAGCCCGGCGACGAAGACGAGGTCTTGGAGACCTTGAGGCAGATCCGAGAAGAAGAACAAGAAAATAACGAAGACGAGTCAATTGACTCGCAGCCATGGGTAATTTTTTGATGTTGTGTGTGACGTCGAGTCAATGATTGTTTCGCCGCGCTCGTTCATCTCGATTACACACTTGACATTTGAAAGATTTCATTCCCGTTGTAGTGCTGATGCGAACATGTTCATGTAGCAATTGCAATTTTTATGATTTTGTTGAAAAATTTAAATTTTAGGTCGAGAGACAGAACTTTTCGCTCTTCATTGGTGCGTGCATCGTCGCGAACAGCATTACAATCGGGATAGAAGCCGACGACCAGAAGCAAAATACGCTGGAAGGGAAGACCCAGATCAGCGACCGCCTGGAGTGGTACGTGGTGGAGAACCTGTTTCTGGTGATTTTCCTCTTTGAGTTGTTGGCGCGGCTCACCTACAAGAAACTCATGTTTTTCACGTCGTTCCAGAATTGGATCGATTTCGTTTTAGTGGTACTCAACGTGGTAGACACCTGGGTCATGCAGCCAGCATCCGGCGGCGGCAGTTTCCGAGCCTTGACAGTTTTCCGTGTGATCAGGATATTGAGGTACTGCGACGTTCATTTTTTCGAAGGTCGAAACTACAAACTCGATTAATTATAGAATGAGAATGTGAAAAATGTAGTTGGTTGAATGAACAACGAGTTGCTACCTCCGGCCGTGGGAGCGGTAGCGAGATTGATACAAGGGCCCGGAGCAGGTGAGCGCGTCTTTAGAAGCAAAATATTAGGGGACGGGTCGTCTTGGTCTTTAGAAGCAAAATAGGAATCATGCGAACAATTTCACGAAAAATCAACGCAAATAACAGGTTAGTACGAATCATCAAGATCCTGAAAGTCTTCCACCAGCTTTTCCTGTTAGTATCGGGTCTGTCAAACGCGATGCGAACGCTCTTCTGGGTCGCCGTGATGCTCTTCATCATGCTCTACGTATTTGCTTTTGGTTTTTCTGGATGAATGTGAATGATCATGTGGATGTTGTGCTTTTTTCCGCCTCCGTTAATGACTAACGCTAACCTGCAACACAGAAAATCATATTTGTTTTATGTTCAAATAAGATCGATGCAAAAAAACACAAAACAGACCTGCGCCATCTACATGACGTTGATAATAGGGCACGACGACATCAATTTCAACCCCTATTTCATGAAAAAGGGATGGGACCACGAAGAATATTTCGGAAACATATTCAAGTCCATGTTTACGCTCTTTCAGGTATAGACAGGCTTCAAAAATACAACCCAAGTTTGTATCTGCGCAATGCTTACATGTTCATGCTGATGGCTTGCACAACTCACTTTTTTCTAGATGTAAGTACTTTTTGAAAGGATGAATGAAAAATCAGGTGTGCACCCTTGACGGGTGGTCAGAAAACGTCGCAAGACATATCCTTCAAGTACAGCCAAGCATGGTCTGGTTCTTTCTGGCGTTCGTTCTGTATAATTTGATTTTGCACTTCTTGCTTTTTGATTTATCAATTTCGATTTCCGAATCAGTGTGGCAGAAGTGCTCCAAATTTTATACGCAATGTTTTGTCGAATTCTGCATCGTGGATACGTCGGAAATAAAGACAAAAAATCTGAGTCTGACACAGCCAAGTACTGTTACTGTAAAACAGGTTCGCGAGCTATGGGCTTCTCAACCTAGTCGTTGGAGTGATCGTGGAGTCAACGCTAGCCGTGGCGAAGTTCAACAACGTCGTCATTTTGAAGAAAAAGCAGGAAGACAGAAAACGTGCGCTGCAGCACATAAGAGCAGCCTTCGAGCAAATCGACGAAGACGGATCCGGATCGCTGTCAATAGAAGAACTGAAGCGCGCCATGGAAAACTATCAAATGTAAAAATGTCTGGGTCTGGAAGATTGCCAGGTTTGTCATGCACGTTTTGCATGACTCCTGATGTCTGTAATGGATGCCTTAGCATCACAGATTTTTTGAGGGCCTCGCGATGCCTATTCCGCATGACAAATGCCCTCTCCGCGTAGCAACAATTACACTCCCGTTGCCGCTCATGCAATACAGGTTTTTTTGGAATCCAAATTCAGCATCACAAGTTGCATTCTTCCAGACCCAGACACTTTTACATTTGATAAAAACCCAGAAGTCGCAACACGATTGAAAATGATCGACTTCCCACTAGACGATCCGGAGAGGGTACTATTGCATCGAATGTTTTTTTTCTTCTATCTTCCAATATGATTGTTCTACTTCCGAGTTGCGATGCGTTGGCTGTTCTCCTCGTCGTTGATCGATGGTCAAAAATACGAAGACCGCATCGTGTGAAGATCTACTACTTCCCACCTTGACCTTGTGTCGTCTCAGGTCTTCAATCTGATCGATGTGGACGGGGAGGGCGAGCTTCTGATTGACGCCTTCATCAAGGGTTGCATGCGACTCTCCGGGCAAGCGCAGTCAAAGGACATCCTGGAAGTGCTGATTGCAGCCTCCTCCCTCGGCCGCGACTTGATGGGGCTGGAGGACCGAATTCTGCAAATCCAGCAGCGCACCCAACAGCTGGACCTGAAGACCGAGACCATGGTGCGACAGGCCGACGACATGTTCGCGGACCCCAAGGTTTTCAACCGCATGATGCGTATGAAGATCGACATCGACTAGTTGAGCTTGACGAGATGCACCGTCGGTGCAAACATCTATCAAAGTGAATGACAAGAATGACTGTTGTAATACACAGTCTCGAAGAGCTTCGAATCCCTTACAGAGATTTTTTCTTTCTTTCAACTAACAACCTAGACAAACAACCTAGAAAAGTTTTAATTCAGTGTCAAAGCGTGAAATGCGAAGTAGTACGGTGCAACCAGCAAGAGTTGCCAACAGAGTAAGAATTCAAAGTAGGTTTTCATTCTTGCAGTACCGACCTGTGCGCCACACGGGGATGCGTACAGCCGAAGACGTTGCCGTTAGTTGTGCTACGGCGGCAGCGTCTCATGAAAAGTAACCGATTCTGCTGCTACTGGGAGTGTAGTGCGACTGGTAACGGTGCCAGAGTATGTAGCATCAGTTCACCAGTTTAAAAAACCAGTGCAAACTCAATTTCACTGCACAGTGTACGTTCTATGCTCTTCCTCTTTCTCTAAATTTCACCCAACTTGTATAGTACCGGAAAGTACTGCCTGAACTGATTTTTTCTTCCCACCCATCAACTCAATATTCGTGACCGATATCTATGTATCTAGTGACAACTCGCCGGAGCCCGGCAAAAATATTAGTGAGTGATTTGCCATTTCCTTACTTCTAGCTCGTTGTGGTTTTCGTTTCTGTGTCAATGCTTAACCGTGATGCCGATGGGAGTTCTTCCCGTCATTTGTGGACCGCCAAAAGCAGAACTTCAGCGTAGGATTTTTAGTTCAGGCCTTCAAACTGAAATTACTGATCTCACACACTCCGTGCAATTTACTATTTATGGATAGAGTTGATGATAGTCACACTGTACTAACTGTGTTAATGCCTTGCAAACGAAATGCACAAAGTATGTGATACCGAGTATCTGGGCAGCAGAACTCGATGTGGATAACAAATGATTTTCAAGAAGATGAACCTTTGTATTGATGAATTTAACGAAGTCGAACTCACAGCGACCAAATAAATCAGATCGGGTTTCGGAGGCGGAACTAGGCACGCAACTTACTCTTGCTTGTAAGTGTGTACAACATTTCCGAATCTTCGGAAATTTCAACCAAGTCTGTTCCAATTATCATGATTTCCCAGTGGTAGTGTAGTAAGAGGGAATTCATCAATAGAGACACCGACCCGGAGCCGGAGCCTGGGGTGTTATATCGGAGTCGCTTGGGTGGGCCGCGGGAAGAAGGTCGATCGTTCTCGCAACTAGATCGATAGGAGATCGACACATGAAAGGCAAAGCCATGGAACAAGTATCATGGACGTGATCGCAAATCAGAATCTGGCGCACCATCATGTCACCTCCAGTACCGAGAGTACTCTGTCTGCACGGCTGGGCACAGAACGCAGAGGTCTTTGAACGGCGCATGGCGAAGATAGTCGATGCCTTTCAGGGCGATGCAAAATTTGAATTTTTCTCCGCGCCTCTGGTGTTGCCTCCACGTGGCGATTCAGATCGAGTCGACGCGCGCTGCTGGTTCCTTCCATCGGATCGCTGGGACAATTTTGAATCAGACCAAGACTATCTTTGTTGGTGGACTGTTACAGTGCCCGCGCTGGTGGACTTTTTACAACAGCAGCATGAGCCTTTCGATGCAATCTTGGGGTTTTCTCAGGGGGGTTGCGCTGCGGGTATGCTCGCATTAATGGCTGACATTGGGAAGAAGTCCTCGGAAGCGGATGAAATAACCCACAGAGCCGCATCTTGGGTCCGCGGCGTTGTAAAGGAGGAGCTTGCGAAATACTTCAACTGCACAGATGACAGGAAAGGCACTTGTTATTCTGAACACGAGTCAGAATTGCTAGTCGCAATCACCGAAGAAGTACGCGATGAAGCTGCCCGGAGAGCGCTCTCGAGTCTCTATGCAGAATCGAACACATCACGGACAGGAGACGAGAATCATGCTTCAACTCTGTTTGGCCAGCGAAACTTAAAAGGCTTGATGGACTACGCATCTCAATCGGCAATAGCACTATTTCAGATACTTTGGCAACGTCCACCACACTTTGTCCTTATCGGCGCATCACCCTGGCGGGGAGCGCAGTATACACTTGAAAACGAGAACACAGAATCCGGTCTGCAGCTGCGTTCGCTGCACATTATCGGAAAGCGGGATACCAGGGTGCTGCCGACACAGCAGGAAGAGGTGGCGCGGCTTTTCGCCACGCCTGAGTTTTTTTATCACGATGGGACGCATGCTGTCCCTGACATGAGGAACGCAGAATGTGGCGCAGTTCTGCGAGCTTTTCTGCTCGCACCAGAATGAAAGAAAGGCTCTTCCCGAAAGATCGTCTGGTGTGGCCAAACTGGATGGCGTAAAAATGAGACGATGAGGTTTGAAAGTAAGTACGACGTGAATCCCAATCCATTGGATTGAACATGATCTTGATCGGTTCGGATCTGTGTTGCCCAAGAATCGTCTCTCGTTGGAGACCAGGAAAGAGGGCGAGTATTTTTTGTATTTCACTGCAAGCGGCTCGCGCGGCATTTCTGCGATTCTCGTGTGAGTGGGTTTTTTTCGCTATCGTAAGCGGGAGAGATTAAGTTTCCTTTGTACTGAGCGGTGTCTTTCGATTTCGTTTTCGTTGGCGTGCTATACAGCAACAGCTCCGGACAACTTGAACTTCATCGGAATACTGTACTATGTGGATCAACGAAGCGAGCAGGAAATAAAAGCGTTGGAACTACGATTGTTTTATTTTAGATAGTTTAGGCACACATTAGAAAGTCACTGGCTCCCTGAATGATGGCTGCCGAAGTCGAGATATGATGCGCCGATCCTAGGGTGGTGAGTGGCACATTCGCGTAACGACGACGGCGAGAGGGTGCGCACCACTGTTTACATACACAGCACATAGACGCGCCAGGAACCTTTTCTTTTTGTTTCACGTCTTTGCTTGATCGATCGATCACGCACCTTGCCAGCAGCCACATTTCTCGCTGACGAGCACATTATCTCCACTCTCCATTTACTATGGCGGACAACGAAAGCGATGCCAGCGCCCAGCGCAAGAAGGAGGAGGCGGCCGAGGATGCCGAAATCGAGAAGATGGCCCAGAGCCAGGCCAGCAGTGACAAGCTGGTCAGCGAACCCATCATTTTTCACGGTGGCGTGCTGGAGCACGACTACTGGCTTTTATACGAGTTCTGTGGCATGATTGCGCGCTTGTTCATCATGGGTTACGTAGGATCCGAGGCAGAGGACCGGTTTGCGAAAAAACCTGGGGAGCCCTACTCATCTTTCCACCACGACAGGACAAAGTACACCGGCTTTTCACTTGATAATTCGCTACCTTTTTGTTTGGCCTTCTTAAAGACGAGTAGGAGTACAGCTGTTATCGCTATGTGCATGTGACGTTTCCTTGTTGAAAACCGATGTGGAATGTGGTTGGCGTTGGTGTCCCTAAACTACTAATGTAGTCAAACTACACGTCAACATCAAATTCTTCAGGTGGTGGGTGCATGTGACGTTTTTCGCCTTGTTTCTCATAGACATTGGGATGCGGAGCTGGTGCGCGGGGTTCTGGAACCACTTGAAGGACGAGATAAACTTGCTGGAATTTTTCATCACAATGGGCAGCTTTTTCTACCTGTGCATCTTTCTCACGACGAGCCTTTACATCAACGCCGCCGGCTTTTGGCATGTATTCGGCGTTTTGCCGATGTTGCGCCCATGGGTTCGAGCGTATCACCTTTTTTTGAGAATGCTCTTTTCAAATGTAGTATGTGTATATCTTTGTTACTTCGTTTTCTGCTGGATCATCTGGATTTCGATGTAGTAGTTGAAAGGAATATGATTTCACATTCGTCGAGTGACATCAATTAGAATTATAAAAAAAAACAGCACAAATTTTGTGATCTTGTACCACAAGCGGATGCTGCAGCAGGGGAAGACGACCGTTTTTACGTCGCTTGTGTTGATGTCCCGCGGCATCGGCGATTCGCTGAAAACGCTTCTTTGGGTGTTCTATGGATTGCAAAAATGTCTGGGTCTGGAAACTTGTAATGCTGCGTTGGGTATAATGAGTGCTCTGTAATGCACAGCCAAGCATGAGAAATATCTGCGCTTCTTTGTGTTGCGTTTTTCGCATGACAAAACTTTCGAGACAGGCAAAAGAGTCTCTTCTTGAATACGCATCGCAAACTTTTTGGTCATGCCAGACAAGCATGACAAATCTCGCAATCTTCCAGACCCAGACATTTTTGCATTTGATATGTTCGTGGTCGTCTTTCTCCTGATGTACGTGATGGGCATTCTCATGGTGCTGCAAGTCGGCCAGAACGACGAAGAGTACAATAACTACTACCTGAAGACCGGCTGGGACCACGAAGAATACTTCGCCAACGTGCTGCTTGCCTGCTTCACCATGTTCCAAGTGGTAACGAGGGATAAATGGTCGGAGCAAATCACACGACACATAGGAGAGCTGCAGCCCTGGGCATTTGTATGTGTTTTCTTTTTCATTTTCTTTTTCGTTTTGATTTTGTCAACGATGATGACCTTCACCTTTGTTTGATTGGACCTGCATGTTGCTGAGCTGTGGTAGCTGCGCGCGTTGCTTTGTGTTTGATTTTGAAGGGATTGCTACATCCTTGTGAGGTATTCAATCTGAATCTCTCTATCTAACTCTCAGCCAAACACATGACACGGCTGCTTGGGTCATTTAAATCGAGGACAAGCGTAGTACTGTTACTGAACCAAAAAAACAGATCATCGTGCCCTGCTTCATGATGGTGACGACATACGGTTTCATGTCGATGATCATCGGCATTATCGTGAACTCCATCCTCCAGCTTCAGGAAGAGAACAGTTCCGTGCAAAACAAGAAGGACGCAAAGGCAAAGAAAATTCTCATCGAGTTACTCAAGGACGCCTTTGCGAAGCTGGATGAGGACGGTAGCGGGTCTCTGTCGCTTGACGAGTTGAAGAACGCCGTGGAGCACCCAGAGTTGCGAGCGAGATTAGATTCCATCGGGTTCCCGGTGGATAGCCCCGAGGACTTTTTCACCATGGTAGACACGGACAATTCCGGGGAGGTCGAAGCAGACGAGTTCATCATAGCCTGCAGCAGGCTAAAAGGTATACTTGCTTTGTTCATCGTGCTTTTGTCGCAAGAACTTTTATCATGGGACATGTACATGACTATGTGCTTGTGAGTTCCAAGTGCTGCGGTGCAATTCTAGATTCAGACAGAATTTGGAAAAGAGATTTTCTCATCCTACCACAAAAAAAAAGTCGCAAAAAACTCTCAGGTCCATGCCTCTCCCGAGATATGCTAGACGCGGAGACGCAAATAGACAAGCTCGGGCGGCTGCTCGTGCAGATAGAAGACAAAGTTTTGGAAAGCGGCGAGAAGATAAGTAAGCTGGATCGGATCTGCATGGGCGTGGTCGCGCAGGCGGACTCGTTGATGAAGGAAATGCACCGCAAGCAGAAATCCGGGGAGATGCTGCCGCGGCCGAACGTTCTCGGCGACGACCACGTGAGCTTATCGCACCAGCCACCAAGTCCCATGCTGGACAAGCACGAGCTGCGCGGGCCGCTCCCACCAACGCTGGAGGAGCGACGAGCAATGAGAACGAGAAAAAAGTTAACCCAGTCGAGTCAGTCGTTTCTGTAGTCAGTGCAGTACGTCGCCAGACGAGGACGACAAAGGAAACGAGGTAAGCCAAAACACCGCAGGTTGTGCAATCGCTCTCGCTGAGTAGACGCTAGAAACCATATCAAACTGCGTGTTTTGGATTTCAAATGAACTCTGTGTCCCTAACGGAAACACCAAATGTTTTGACCAACACCGGTTTAGCATGGATTTTCAATTCTGTCATGATAGCTAGCATCAAAGTTGTAAGCACCTTGAAAATGTAGGATAAAGTAGACGCACACTTGATGCCCATTTTTAGTCAACGAACCAAAAGCGAAAGAGCAGTTTTTCGTATACAACAACATTCAGATAGAAGAACGAACTACCTAGCAGTACCCAAAAATGTACCTTACACCTGTGGTTTAGTACTGTACAAAAGTCAATGAGCGTGCCGCTGTACATTATGCCTAACAGTGACCCCGCGCGATGGATTGAGCTCCCTCATGTAGAGATTGATGATTGTTTCGTCGCAAATTCATTGAAATTGATTCTGTAGATGCCGTCGGTCGCATGATGAAGCGACCAGAGCTAGTACCGCCAAATTTGGTTCTCACAGAACCGTAATTTTGTTACGCACGTCGTCGCTTCGTGCGCCTTTCTCTTTCATCGTCGCTGAGTGTAATTGTATTCGTACCCGAACCGATCGTAGTCGGAGTCGCAGTCGCAGTCGGAGAGGGAAAGAGACACCGTCGCGATCGCTCGCACAGGCCCAGCTGTTGGGTTTTCGTGGAGACGGAGTAGAAGTTTCTCAATTTGTCACTGTCGTGTAGTAGGAGTTGCAGAGGCACCCTAAGCAAACCTGACGATTCTGGTTCTTGGCATAACGCATCGAGGTTGGCTGGGACTTCTCTGGAGCGTGTCTCATAGTTTTTTCCAAACCACTACGACTGGTGTCCTTTGTTGCAACGTCGACACGATAAAATGGGGCGACTCCGCGACGGGTTCGACTACCCGCTTCCAAAAACGTATCATGAAGGCGTCAAAGGCGGGCGCTCTGTTATGGCCAGCGGTCGCGATGCAGTCCAGCCAAAAACCACTCCAATGCTTACGCCAGGGCCGACCAGGTGTTATAAATTGATATTTTTACTTTTAGTCTGTTTTTCCTCATTTATTTTTCGCCACTCGTCGTTATAGAGCAAGGTCGTGTGTGGGTGTGCGTCCCATTCCATTACTTTTTTCATTTTCTCCGTAGATAATTAATGGTGATCGAAATCAGGGTAATGGTAAGAACAACTTCTACGCCGTCATTCGCATTTTTCCATTGAATGCTTCTGATGCAGGTACAATCCTGTCCTTGGGTCGGTGATCGGACAAATCAGAAGCACAATTAACTGGGCACGAGCACCACCACGATTCAAAGAGGCCGGAGGTACAGTGAGTTTCCATTACCAGGATAAGCCGTGAGTAGACCACAACTTGATGATTTTTTGACCTTACTGGAGAACGTGTACTTTGCAAAATTAGTTCATGATGATCGTATCTTTGACGCCGGACAAGCACGGAGAAACGTACACGTAGATAGTTCGTTGCGAGCAGGCTGCAAAAAATTTACGACAGCGAAAATATCGAAGACGGATGTCAGAAATTACAACCCGGAGCAGCCGAGCAGAGCACCGAAGTGGTCGATGCCAAAAGGCAAAGGGCACACGGTATTTTTGTGACAAATTTTGAGCATCATTCATTGATTTGCGTTGCTCTGCAATGGATTCGACGCCGCTCTGCGTCAGCAGTTGCAAACTTCTGCGACGTGCATCACCATCAAAACAAAAACCAGGTTCCGCGATTGAAAACCTTTGGCGCAGATGTTTTCTATGACGTCAAGAAGGACTACGTAGACTGTGCACAGGTCGGCGGTGAAGGCGGAATTCTGGTGCAGGGGGCGGTGCAAGGCCTGGGAACCCGACCAGTTAAGTGTGCGGATCTGAAGCTGCGACCCAAAGCCGAGGCCAGAGTGAAGAACTATCCCCAGAGACCAGGACCGGGCACGTATCGGAATTGTTTCGGAATTTTGAAGTTTTCATTGTGAATTGTTTTACATATTCCCCCGTGCAGATGAAGACAAGACGTCTGGACAGATGATGGCTCGGGCTCCATTTGCTGCGATGAAATTCTGAACTGTGTGTCGGCGGTTCATCTCAGGTATGCAAACCAGCAGGACGCGGTTTTAGATAGGCCACCGTGCTACACGCAGACGAAGTGCGACTTGGACAAGGCACGCTTCCCCGGAAGTTATGTGCTATCCAAGCGGGGCACGCCACCACCAGGCACGTACGAGTGGGATGACGTCGTGAAGAAGGGAAAGAACTGTAATGGCGCGCGCCTGGAGCAACAGCTCGGCCACGCCAGCTCGTTCGGGATGGGAGCATCGTAAGAGGAGAATATATCAAGGTGCTGGAACACGTTCATTCTCCTCGCGTCTTCGAGCTACGTAAAAATGAACTACACGATTCTTCAACACAATTGCAATTCCAAGTATACACCGTAAAGTATGTAATATTATCCTTTTTACAATTCTGTATGCTGCGAGCAGAAGTAGTGGCATCGCAAGTAGAACTATCATGTTAGACGAACTTTTGGTATCAAGCTGATTCACAGATTTTCGACAAGAACTGCAAGTTATGTTTGGATACTTTTATTGTAGAGTTTGGAATGCACCGATGAGACTGTCGAAATGAAATAAGATTTGGAGAATTTTGATGTCACTCGTCTGTGCTTTTCTGTATCACAATCACAAAAAAAGGTCCCACCTCGACGCAGTCGCAACTTGTAGAACCTCTGGAGCCCCTGCTCCAGAAGGGCCGAGACCAGAATGCCTGGTTCTGGCTCTTCAGTATGCCCTTTGTGCTAGTACAATTCTAACGCCCGAACAAAGCTAAGCATACTCTCGCATCAGTCCAATGAACTCGGTTTCCTCATCGTGCACAGACAACACTTCAAAGGCTATTATCGTGCAAACGCAACCGTCAAGTCGTGCCAACGATCCGTTTCAGTCGTACACAACTATTCGTGCAGATCGTGTCGCAGAGCTACTACCTACGCATCGATAATCGTCATCTGACTGACTGTACAGTTTTGTTTACATTTTTATCCTCCTACCTACTGCTAGTGGTAAAAGGAAACATAAACCCACAAAGTCGTCGAACGTTCTGAGAGCAGGTCCTCATTGATTCCTCTACCCATTGAAGATTCGCCGAATCATTTTGAACAAGAAGTTCTCTATGCTCATTTCGGTGATGTACCCCTCATGCTCATCTTCTACCCAACAATCCCATGTGTATGTGTTGATGTGATTCCATGTCTTCACAGCTGTACATCTTACATTATCTTTCGTCATGAACTGTGATTCAAATCAACCGCAACCCGATTCGCAACATTACTTGTTTCTCTTTCCCCGCCTCCACCTCCACACTTACAAACACATGAGTACATAATTACCTGCTATGATGTTGCCAACTTCAGCTTGCTCGTTCTCGTGAACGCGTTGCACTCGTTGCTTGCCGTGACCGGCGAAGATGCCTCCAGTTGTAAGCCGCACAGGACATTGATTTTCCTGAGATTTGACACCTCTTGCCTTACTACAGTTGCCTTCGGTCGAGGTCGTTCGCCCTTACGGAAAAACGCGGCGTCAGCAACACCTCCGTGAAAATGAATCCGGTTTTGGTGATTCTGATCCTCATCCTTGCGGTCTTCCTGAGCATCATCGCGGTCTTCGCCCTTGAGGATCGCAAATACCTCACTTTCCCGGCGTGGTGGTGGAAATTTGACGAGGAGGCGTACGAGCGCAAAGGCGAACCGCCCGAGAATGAGGAGGAGGCGAAGCGAAGAAACGAGAAAAACGGCCTGCACAAGCTGTGGCTGCGCCAGATGGCCTTCTGGTACTGTTACTACAAAAACGGGTCTTTCCCGATGGACAAGAACCTCATCGACCTGTTCGAAATGGCCCACGAGCTGCGGGAGGAGGTGCTGCAAGAACGGCGCCTGGAGATCCTGGAATCGCGCGGCGCGGAGAAACAGCTGCGGAGGCTCTCCGTCTTTGACGAGTATCAGGATCATTTGTTTATGGCGAAAATGGAGATCGGCAACGCGGTGCTCGCGGAAGCGACCGACCGACAGAGCCGCCGGCATTTGACGAAAATGGCGGTGGAGGGGAAGGATAAAGAAACCCGCGACGGGGCCCGTGCGACGCTCCACCGACTGGAACTGTTCAGCACGACGAGGTTCGTCGCTACGCAAACCGACTCCGGCATCGGCGTCGCAAACGCGAAGTTGACTCCCTCGCAGATCCACGAGAAGCAGAAGGCCGTCGCGCTGGCGAACAAGATGACCATGGAGCGCTGGTTGCGGAATTTCGACAGCACGAAAAAGTGGCTCTCGATCGTGTTGCTTCAGGGCATGGAGAAGAACAACAACCTGTGGATGCTGGACAAGCGACCCACGCACTACTGCTTTATCGACCCCAACGCGATCGTCTTTCAAACGTTGGAGGAATTCCAGGTCTGGAAGCGCAAGCAAGACGATCTGAACGAGGAAAAGAACTTCAACGCGCGAACCGGCAGAAAGCAGAACACGCAGAACGCCGATTTGACGACCGGCTCGGGGGCTATGCAGAAGGGTCTCTTCAGTCAGCGGGTTGCGTTGAAACAACTGACGGACCCGACCAAGGACCACAACCGGACAGACATCTTCTGGGGAAATGACGTGCCGGTGGAGCAACTGAAGGAGGCGGTAATTTATTATTTTTTGGCGTTTTCTTTGTGGATATCAAAGCCAGTGATGTAGTCTTGTTTCAACTTTTGCGGGATCTGAGGGTAGAGCGAATCAGTAGATCATACTCGTCACCCTGGTTGATAATGATATTGGCAAATGACCAGACATGAAGTACTCAGGTCTTTTTATTGCAACAGCAAAATTTGGACGCATCTTCACAACAGGCCCCTCCGATGGAGACGAAGAAGACGTCAATTTCCGCTGCGCTGACGGCTTGTCCGCGCAACGTGATTGATGTTCTGGCGGACAGCACTAGCAAGGGCCGGATGGTCACCTTCTCAAACCTCCCCCTGCCTCCGCAGGTGTTCTGCGCCTTTGAGGTCACGATTCAGCAGGTCGAGTACAACAAAGTGTTGATTCGTGGCATCAAGAAACGGCTCCGGGAGCAGATCGCGACCTTTTTCACCGCGGCGCGACTGAAGGGCAAACTCGCGAAGGTGCGGAAAAACATCGCCGAGCGGGATGCAGCGGCCGCAAACACGAACCCGCTCGCGCAAAGCGCCATACAAAATCGCATCGCGAAAGCCAAGGGCAAGGCGAAGGCGAAGCCGAAAGCAGGGAAGTCCGGCGGCATGATGGGGGCCTTTGAGGGCGCGCACAAAGACGAACGTCCCTGGTCAAGTTCTAGCGGGGAAGCGACCTTGATGTCCGGCGCAATCGAACTCGGACAAACCAATTTGCTGTGTGAGGAAGCACCGCCCGCTGAGAATCTTCAAGACGACCCAAATGCCGACTTTGTCGACCTTCGCGTCTTCCGGGGAGAAGATGAAAGCAGAGCGGTTTTGGACAGAAACTTCAGAACAAAACCCTCCTGCAGCTGCGGGCCCGGGGGAGCACTCGATCGCTCGTGTCTGCAGCATCGAGGAGGTCGCGCGGGACTTCGACCTCCGCCGGCAAAAACTACACTTCTAGAGGACGATGACTCGATGCAGACCTCTCCTCCGGTCAGTGTGAAGTACGGTGTGAACGAAGTGACCAATCTCCAGCCACTGCTGGATGAGCTTGAGCGAAGCTACGGCGCCGGCGTCATGGAGAACGAGACCCGACGAATGAGCGCGTTCGAAGATTTGCAGAGCCGGCTTCAAGCCCTGGAGGAGTATGACAGCACCGATCGCGAAGATTCCGAAAGTAACGGGAAATTCCTCGAATCGGAAACGGACAGCAGTGATGATGACGGCAGTTTTTCTACTCGTCAAAACAACGGTAACAAGGTTCTCGACTACAGGCAAGCGTGGGAGCAGTTGCACACAATCGATGAGGAGACCGACGAGGACCAAGACACTCTGGTCGAGGGCTCGCACTTCATGTCAACTTCCGCAGCGTCTCGCACCGGTTCGAAAGAGGATGCTGGCGGCAGCGGCACCGCCCGCTCGGGCAGCAGCTCCAAGGAGGGCGGTTCGGCCAAAGCACCCTCTGCTGCAGGAAGCGACACAAAAGCAAAAGCCAGTGCCGCAGCGAAGAGCAAGCTCGGGAAGTTATTCGGGGCCAAGAAAAAATCGGACGGAAACGACACTCCCCGATCGCACAAATCAGGGGATTCCGGCGGCAGTTCGGAACGGGGGAAGAAAAAGCTGCTGGCCGCTTTTGGCGCGAAAAAGAAAGGCGAGGGTCCCGCAAGAGGTGCTGATGCGGTCGCTAAGCTGTTCGGGCTGAAACGCCCGGCGAAAGAGGAAGAAGAAGAGAAGAAGGCGCCCGGCGCAGCGCGCATGTCCGACGATAACCTCGGGCAGGCAAAAAAGGATGTCTGTCCGCACTGCGACCTGCCCCCCTTCGTCATTGGTATCGCGGCGAAACCGCTCGACCACCGCAGCCCGCCGCAACTGGAAACCAAGACGCCGATCGAGCCGAAGTTTCAAAACAAAATCGCGACCCACCTGCGCAACTTCTCCGAGGACAAGATGCCCGGTCATTTTCCGATCTCGCTCGGGTTCGGCTCGGACGGGCTGATTCACGTGCAGGAGGGCATCGGGGACCGCACGAAGAAGTACTACAAGACGAAGAACGGGCAGCTGCGACAGGGAGACACGCTGACGGTTTTGGTGGACCGGATGAAGGGCAATGTGTTCTTCTTTCGCAACGGGAAAATCGTCGAAATGGAGCAACAGGTGTCCGATCAGGCCTGGGCCGACCTGCTGGAACCGGAGGCGAAGATGGACGGCTGGGATTCGCACTACGAGGACGGCGTGCAAACGAAAATGCGGGACCTGATGCTGCAGCAGAAGGAACAGCAATGGAAGGAAATGTTCTACAGCGAGCTGGCCGAAGAAGCCTTGGCGAAGGAACAGAAGAAAAAGGAGGACGCCGAGGCGCGCGAGGAAGCGCGCATGGAGGCGGCAGTGAAGCGACAGACCGAGGAGGACGAGCAGCGCCGGCTCGAGATGCAGAACAGCAAATTTGTGGTGTTCCTGAAAAAATCGCTTGGGATCAAGACCAAAGCGCTGGACGACGGAAAGGCGAAGTCTGGCGTCGCTCCAGAAGAACAGGAAGACGAGGAGCCCGCGCTTGACGAAAACGCAAACATACTCGCGTCTGCGTCGCCGGTCTCTGCCAAATCGGAGAAAATGTCAGCCTCGCCGAGTTCCGCCACCTCAGCCAAGATAGCCACGACTACAGAAGGCCAGCATGCGCGAATCGACGAAAGCACAACGAGAAAGACTGGTAATCATCGCGCAACGTCTCCAACTGTCGACAATTTTTCCAGAAGAAAAACGAACAAATTGCAGGACGGCGCACACAAAAGCGATCCGCAAGACCAGGACGACCCTGAACTCGAGGATGAGGAAGGCGGCCAGACCCGGGGCACGTCGGTGAATTTCGAAGGAGTTGGCTTTGACCCCGATGAGCAGGTTAGTCTCGGTTCCCGGGAGAGCGAAAGTCGCATGATGGACGAGGATGGCAACATGGATGCGAGCGGGACGAGTAGCGCCTCGCCACTGGGCTTGAGTGCGAGCTTGGGCGTCGATGAAGGTTCAGCGCAGCTTGAAGATCCGGCGACTGCGCATGCACGAGGTCAAGCGACCGGCGCGCCGCTTGATTCCAGCGGGAGCACCGAGGACGACGTGAAGGCGCGTCGGGTCACTTTCGGGCAGCAGGACAGCACCGATGCTATCATTCCTCCTTCCGAGCCCGATGCGGAACGCCCGGCCGCCTCAAGTGAGGATCCGCTGGAAGATTCGCAAACTTCAGACACGTTGATGCGCGGGTTCATTCGGCGCGCTTCCACGCTGTTCGTTCCCTTGTGGCGGAAGAAGGGTGGAGGCTATGACGACGGCGACGAGGAGGACGACGGAGAGGAGGAAGACAAGCGCACGCGAATCAGGCGCGTTTTTCGACGCGGGGTGCGCAAAATTGCCAACAAGCTTCTGTTTTGGCGACCGAAGCGCGGGGGCGATAGCGATGACTCCGACAGTGAAGAGGACGACGACGAGGACGCTGATGGGCAATCTCGCCGGGGGAGTGGATTTTTCGGAAGACGAATCATGCGAAGTAGCAGCAGTGGCAGTGCCGGCTCTTCGGCGGATGACCTCGCGGAAGGTGCGGAAGGCAGCGGTGGTGGTTCTCCCACGAACAAGCGACTGCAACGCCGAAAGAGCACCTTGGAAAATCTGATGGAGAAGGGCTGGAACATCGGTTTGCAAACGATGGAAGACCTTGAGAGGGATGACGACGACGGGGGCGAAGCCGGCCCGGTTGACCCGTCATCCGCGGAGGGTGGTGGCACTGCTGGTAGAAAGCGCCCGACGAACTGTCTCGGGAGGCTGAAACATGTGCTCCGATCCTTGTTTCTCTTCATTTACAGGATGATTATGATCGTGGTGTTCGCGGTACGTGTGCTAGTGCTGAATCGCGAAAAGGACCGCGACGAGCTGCGCTTGCTGCGCAACCCAGCCCGGGAGAAGCAGCGGCGGCTAGAGCAGGAGGAGCGCGAGCGCGAGAAGGAGGAGCGCTTGCGGAAAGCGGAGCAGGGCGTGTTCACCGAAGCCGAACTTTTGGTCTTGGATAAACAGTCTCTTTCCCGTCGGCGGGCGCAGCGCGACCTGGATCTGACGCAAGAGCTGGAAGAGAACTTGCACCAAGCCCTCGGGCGGCAAACGCGGCACCACATCCGGCTGCCCAGCGTGATGCTGCTCGACGTGCGCGATTTGGCGCACTACGTGGTGTTGGGCACGGAGGAGGCCGCGCTCCGCTTCGACGTAAACCTCGGCACGTCCGAATTCAAGATCCGCAAGAACGCCGACCAGCTCGTCACCGAGCTGCGGCAGCAGAAGGAAGCCCTGGAACGGGAAAAGGAAAGGTTGGCGCAGCAAAAGCAAAACGAAAATAACGAGGAGGAGGACCCCGACGCGCCCCCGATTGAATCCTCGACCAGTAAAGAGTCCCTGCCGCGGGTCAACCAGCGGGACAAGGACATGAGCATGTCGCAAGCCATCGACGCGACCCCGCTGTACACTTCGGAAAACCTTGCGCCCCACCACATCGAGGCGGACACGCTGTACGTGTGTGAGAGTGCGGACCGCGAGGCGAGGGTTCTGGGCGCCAGCAAGCGGTGGGAGGCGGATTTGGAGCGGCGCACGCAGCTGGCGGAGACGCTGGAGGTTCTGTTCGATGAGAGCAAGAAGGGCGACACGACACTCCACCTGAAGCGTGCGGACGCGGTGAAGGACCGACTGAGTGACACGAATCGCATGCCCTTCGGCCAAGAAACGCTGTTCGGGGAACGCGGCGCGTTCGCGACGCGCACCAAGACCGCGCGGACCCTGGACGCGATCGCGATGTTCAAAACCGAAGTGAAGCAGGTGGTGTACCGCGAGATCAAGGAGATCGACGCCGAGCATTGGCAGGGGATCTACCACGTGAAGGGCCTCGGCCGCCGCACGATCTTACGCGCGAAGTTTCTCTGGGAGGTTTTGATCTATCGGCACTGGTACCGGCTCACGCAAGGGAAGACGGAAGAGGAGAAGGTCGCCGAGGCGCTCAAAAAAGACGGACCGGTGGAGCTCATCGGCGACGTGCAGGCCAACATGGCGGCTAAATTTTACTACTACGCGCAGGCCTTGGACACCATTCGGATTCCGCGTTTGAGTGAACGGATTTTGGCCTCCGCGATCGTGGAGAACCACCAGTTTGGGGAGTGGATCGCAAAAGCGAAGAAGCGCGAAGAAGATTTGTTCATCACAACGCACAAGCTCGATGCGATGGTCGTCGACCAACGCCGGCGCGAGGGCGGGACGAGGGAAGCGCTTCTCGTTTTGGACGCGCTTTTGGAGGAAAGCAAAGCGCGCAAGGACGCGTTCAGCGTCGCTTTTCTGTTGCAACAGGCGTGCTACAAAAACTACTTCGATTCCCATTTGGGCGTCACGCCGGAGACGCGCATGATGCGCGACCACGTGGTTCGATACTTCTCCCACCACGCGCCGTACTTGCTGCACCAGCTGGTCACCCGGCGCGACCCGGTCGCGTTGGAAAAGTGGACGCACGGAAAAACGTTCTCCCACTTTTTCTTCGGACGGTTGATGCCCTGGACCAGTATGGGTTTTGGTCTGAGCACGCAGGAGTCGTTCCTCAAAATCGTGCTCGGCTTGGAGCAAAAGGACCGGGACGAGCGGCGGACCCGAGCCTGGTTGCGGCAGTCACAATCCGATGCGCAGATGGACGACGACCCCTTCCAGGAGTTCGACGCGCGAATTGCGAGCTTCACCATTGCGCGCCGGCAGAACTGCCGCTTCCTCACTGCGGACGTGGAGAAGAACGCGGCGGAGCGGGCCCACGAGTGGCTCGAGACTGCGCAAAACAGCCGGGGGCTGCAGCGCGCCCAGGACAGCAAAACGAGTTCCGGTCGGGACGACCCGCTAGTGCGGAGGTATGAGCATACGACCGCGACGATGACAGACGACGACCAGAAGGCGATCACGTTCAAGAGGACCATGGAAACCTACCCGCTGCACCGCTCGCAGGAGGACATCCGGCGGTGCCGGATCAACGGGTGCCGGTGCAACTGCTACGAACCGATGAAAGTGAATGACTACCATAGCACCGACGCGGGCCACGGGCACGTGAACGACTTCAAGTACATTTGCGCGAACTGTGGGCATTTGGAAGTTTATCACCGCCAGCCGCCGGGACAGCGACTGTACCACAAACCATACCCGAAGCCCGGGCCGATCGATCTGCTCGTGATCCCCGGGAAACAGAGTAAGAAATTCCTGAAGCTGCCCAGCATGTGGCGCAAGGTCAAGGACGAGACAGGGCATCGCTTGTACTACAACCTGAAAACGCAGGAGTGTCAAAACGAACGCCCTTCCTCAGGGGCCATGGGCTTGCTATCGGAGCACTTCTTCAAGAGCAGCAAGCGGCCACCCTCGGCGGAGCGGTGCAATACCTGTGAGAGGTGGCGCAGCGTGACCAGAGTGGTGGTCAGAAAAGTGGAAACGAAGAAAGCAGTCGAGAAAAAGGCGGTTGAGAAGAAAGCCACGGCGAAAAAGTCCCGCCGAGGTACAGGGAAAAAGCTTTTGTAGAGTAGGCGTTCACTAAAGGGCTCTTGTGATTGTGGGTGCGTCCAAGGTTTTTACGTTGGAACTTTGCTCACTTTCACATCACTCCTTTACGTTCAGTGGACCATTTATTTGAAGAAGCAAAAAGTAGTTTCCATTTCCAATCAAAGCATTTTTGCAATGAACCCATTCCAACCTACGCCTAACTGGCAAAGAATCAAGAAGACTGATGTTATTCCGAACGCACCAAGACGACCAAGATTCGCACGATAACTCAGGACCACGATGCGAGCAATGAAACGAATCGCTGGCGGCCCACCGCTGGGGTTGCAGTTGTTCGCGTCCTGTTCAGCTCCGCCGTTTCGTTTGCATATTTATCAAAACATGTATCTTTTGCATTTTTGCACATTAACCTCTCACGTTTTCCTGTCTCGCGTTTTTCTGTCGTCCACCCAGATTACTAGTGTTAATCTTCGTTCTTGTGTCGTTTTCGCTCTTGAATCGTGCACCTAGCTTTCGTCCCGGACTGCAGCTTCTGCTATCGTTCATCTGCCACGAGCACTAAGTCACCGTCGTACATCAAGCCTACGAACACCAAACCTATGTAATAAAGCAAAACGAAAAAATGCGAGTCGCGCTTTGTTACATCTTCGTTACATCAGGTTCAGAATGGGAAGTCAATATCTTTCTACCCTTCTTTTTTCGGTTTCGGGAAAGTCACAGAAAATAGTGGTATTAAGGTTGATGGTGAGCCACTTGTACTTGTGACCCAAAGTTAGTACTGCGAAGGTTATTACGGGAAGATTGACATTGAAGTTGAACCTCGATCGTCGACCGCAATTCGGCAAAATGGCTCAGTCGTGTATACTTCTTCTACTCGGGCGGCTTCTGCTGTGTGTGTGTGTTTTACTGAAGACCGACACTGCGCTTTTGGTGAAAGGTCTAGGCGTTTCTATCGGTCACACGGAGGATGCGACGAGTCCAAAACGCACGTCCCTGTTGCAGCGACATCGCGTATTGGAGAAGGAGCGGCGTCAGCGCCTCCTTCTGAAGCGAAGCAAGGAAGCAGTCGGGGCAGGCGAAACGGCGCAAGCTGAATCTCAATCGACGGCGATGCAGGGACACGGTGATAAATCTGGGCAACCACCACAAGGAGAAGCGCCAGGACAGCCGGGCCAGCCGCAGGTGCTGGATCCGCCATGTTGCACCTGCTGCTGTTGCTGCGCAGGCTTCTGGGCAATCGTGCTTCTGGGGATCATTGTTGCCGCGAGCTGGTTCGCAATTGACGCAGGAGGGGAGATCGACGAAATGAAGCGGCGAGCGGGACAAGGCCTAGTCGCCGCGGGAAACGCGGTACAGACACAAGGGGAAACGGGCGCAACGCCAACTGCAGAACCTGAAGCGCTAACCGTTGGAAGTGATCAGACTGCACGGAAAAGATCTAATATTCCGCCCCCGAAGTCCGCCGAGGAAACTGTGGCGGACATCGCGAGCGCGGTCGCACGGCCAGCGAATGCAGCCCGCCCGGTTCCAGTAAGGGATGCCGCTCGAGGGCATAAGAATAGCGCATCAGACAGGAGTAGTAGTCGACGTACCGCCAGTGACAAATCGGACAAGAAGAAAAAGAAGAAGAGCCGGAAAGTGTCTGAAAGTCCTGGTGTTGCAGGCGCTCGCGTATCCGACAGGGCCGGCAGCCGGGTGCTGAAAAAGAAAAAAAGCAAAAAGGACGCAGCTCTACCTCTCGCGGAAAACGGCGACGGCGCAGCGACTTTAGATCAGTCGCGATCTGCGTCAATGAGCAAGCCCCCCGCACCAGAAGTAGACCGGGACGACGTCGCGCTTCCATCCCGGAAGGGACCGCCGCCAGCTCCGGTGGAACAGGTCGCAGAGGAGGCGAATGAAGCAGGAGAGGGAAATAACGTGGAGACCTGGGTGGACGAGGACGGGAATGTGCACACTAGGACCTCGAGTTCAGTGAAAAAATCAGCGGTCAAGAAAGCAGTCAAAAAGACAACGACTACGACGACCACGCACAAAGCCCGCAGGACGAGTGCCGGAGGAACGGTGACCACAGAAGAGCAAGCATAGGCACATAGCAAATCGAAGCTTTACGATCCTTCCTGTAGGCGTGCCAGACCTGGCGTCGCGGTCCCCGGCGTCCAGCATTTTTTTGATTTTTTTGCCCTCGCTCCAGCTCCTTAAGTAGATTGAGATTCCTTATGTAGACTACTTAATACACATTCTTCTGTCGTTTAATCATGGTCCTATGATTCCATTTTTTTGATAAAGCTGTACTGAAACAAGTTGGATCAATGTAAATGTGTCAATTTGGAACACGTGCTGCTGCTTGAGCCTTGCCGATTCAAAATGCTACCGGCGCAACTGAAACGCAAACGCAAGACGGAAAAACTTTGGTAGTTCTGCTTTCTTGTAGAACAGCAGCTTCGCAATTGCACGGAAACTTCTTTCTTGTTCTAGGTCTATCGCTCGAGCTCCAAACTAACAAAGTTCATAATGGAAAAACTCCTATCAACCTATTGGATCGCTCCGTCGTCGTTGCATGGCAGATCAGGACATGGAGCGAAGTTCAACGCCGAAAATTGTGGCATCCTTTTCTCGATGATCATGGTCATAAGAAGTGTTTCCAAATTGCGAAATACGATGCAGCAACATCCGAGAAAAATATCCCCGTCACCTCTGTCACGTTAAGCATGTAGGGCCTCAACGATTGCGCTTGTCTCAAAAATATCTCAGCGTCAACAACCAGAACTACATCAACAACCTCCAAAACAATAAGCCTAGCTGGTGTAGCACAACTTGGAGAGGAATTTTGGGAAAACAATTTAGAAACAACGAGAAGCAAAAGCAATCAACTCTTGACGTTATAATCAGTTTCTCCCGTATAGAAAAACATGGGCGCAGGCACAACTTCAGCGATGGAGCTGCAGATACGCCGGAAATGAACCGGGACTGTTAAAGACGATTGAGACCACCCAGCACTGAATAAATTTTCGAAGAGAACAGCCTCAGAAGAGAAGGAACGCAGACAGAATATTCCGTAGCGTTTCGGTCGGCCATCTTCCCCGTGTGACATTGGACGATATTACACCGATCACAAATATAAAAGACGCACTCCGACAAGATGGGAAAGAAAGACAGTAACAACCAAATGGAGGCGTGGCGGAAGAAAGCCAAGGACAAGGTCCGTGCCTTCAACAAAAACCTGCGCAAGGATGCCTTCGACAAGAAAACAAAAAACATGACATTCGACGACGCGCAAGAGCAGTTGGAAGATCTGCAAGGAATGAAGGAATCAGGCGCGATTAGCCATAAGAACCAGGGGAGGCTAGCGACTTATGAAAAGTATATATCAGAAGAGTTTCGTTTTTTTTTTCGAAGAAATTATCGCAAAACACGACGGTATGGACCGCGTTTAGACTACCTTTCGCAGCAGTCATGCACATTTGCATTTTTTGTTGAAAGAAAGTACGAAAAAAGTTTGTCGTAGCGTCGTGTTTCAAATCCTTTCGATATTGATTCTGGATGCTTTTGATGAGAGACGAAAGTTCATTGTTTCTGAAGTAGCACAAAAACGCATTGCAGGTATCTCGCTAACAACGCGCCCGAGCTGCTGAAGCGACAGAAAGAGAAGAAGGAAAAAACCGAAGAAGAAAAGCGGGAACGCGCACTAGAGAAGAGAAGAAAAACCGCGAAGTTTTCTGTCTTCTACCACCCAACCGACAATCCGTTTGGCATACCACCGCCCGGGGAAAAGCAGCAGTACCGGCACCCGGACGGCAGCGTGCAAGCCGTGGCACCTTTCGCGAACGACGACAGCGATAGCGAGGACAACGCGAAGAAGCGACGCAAGGCGGAGACGCTGCAGCTACCAGGGTTTAGCGCCGGAATGCTGGCGAAGATTCGCAAGGACGCGCAGGACCAGTACAAGCAGGAGAAAGTGGAACAGGGAACGCCAGCGGAGGTGGATGTGGATCACCACATCAGCTACACGCCCCCGATGCCGGAGACCCCCTACCCGTTCTACAACGCCCCGACCATGAAGAAAGAACCGATCGTCAATGATTCCCAGCTGATTCGTGACACCATACAAGCCATCAGCAACGTGCGCGAGGCGTTGCTGCAGAACGTGATAGCATCGACGTACGCCGGCTACGGCGGTAAGATGAACTGGGGGAAAGACGGCGCGAAGGGTAGCTTCGACAAGGGCAAGAATTTCTTCAAGGGCGACGATAAGGGGAAGAAGGGCGGCAAAAGTAGCAAAGGTTCGTCGGGTGGAAAATCCAAGGGCAGAAGCAAAGACGAGGCCGTTCTTTTTGTCTGGAACGACAAGCCACCAGAGAGAGACCTCGAGAAAGGAGTTTTGCGACCCGGCGAGAAACCACCGGCAGAAGGCGCGGATGGCACTACGTCCGCTTCGGAGCCCAAAGCCAGCGCAGCCTCCGCCGCCGCAGGACGGAGCATGCTTTTGCAGCGGTTGGCACGCAAGGGAAAAACAACTGACACCGCGTATCTCCAGGCGCAAACCCAGGTCTCTGCGGCAGCAACCACCACGAAGGAGGAGAGTGATGTCGCACAAGAAATGTCAAAATTTCTTCGCGAGATCGACAAATAAGAGGAAGAAAAGGGGCACCAGCCATCGTCAGATGTCGCTGGTGACCTCGTGGCGTAGCTAACCGTAAGTAATGGTCCCCAACTCCTCCCGAAAGTAACACCAGCGACGTCAAAGCATCAGCACCGTAGTCATGATCAAAGTATATGTATCACACACAGTCTGAGTATGAATCAAAGCGAAAGTGCTTCAATTTGGAACAGCGCGAAATGCGAAGCTTGCTCCATCTTACGCGGGATGGAAGTGTTTCGACGTCTCGGCTTACGCGGCGCTGGATAGACGCACCGATAACATTAGTTGCATCACCATCAGATCGTTCATGAAGAAATGGGAAATTGAGTTGCATTCTTGCAGCCCCTGGCACTGCCTGAGAAGATCAAGATCCGCAATAAAAATTCCATGCGAATGCAGCGTGCTTCAGATCCAAATCAATGTAATGCTTCGAGTAATGGTTCTTTTTCTTTCCGAAAGTCGAGAAGATCTTTAAATCCTTCACGCCCGGGTGGATCGACACGGCAGTAAGATCTTCAAATTGATCGAGTGGTAGTTTCTGGCGTTCTGAAGATGAGCTCATGTCCATAACTTCTGCTGATTTACTTTTTCATTGTCTCCTTGCCTCTCACCCAAACACAACATGGCTCTGGTCGTCTCGCGCTATTTGCACTCACGTACTTGATTTAAACACTTTTTTCTTGAACTTGACTGAACTTCAACATCACCATGGCATCGTGATTGGCTTTGCTTGACCGGATCCACAGGGACCTACTGTTTTGGAGGAGCAGTGGGAGTGGCCTCAGGATGGGGCACAAAAGTAACCCGTACAAGAAAGCGCGTTCCGCCTTCCGCTGGAAGGTACAAATCTTTTTGCCGTTTTGATTTTTTGTCGGATATGTATTTTGAGCCTGCAAAAGACGAAGAGGAATACTTCGTTGATGCTTGTCTTGCGCAAAACCAAGCTAGCCTCCCCCACAATGGGAGATCTGGTATTCCACACGCGCGAAAGCAAAGGTCGAAAGCGAAACCATCGGGCGAGGAGGAACATTCTCTTGCTCGGTCAAAGGCTATTCGAACAGTGTATTTTAATCATAGCACGACCACCAGCAACATGAAATTCGATTTTCCTGTAGCGACAAATTTTCTCTTGGCAATTCAAAAGATCGAATAAACGATACTACAGTGGAAGAAGAAGCGCACGCGTCGTTTGCAAAAGAAGAGAAGGAAGATGCGTCAGCGCTCCAAGTAAGCGCGTACGGGTAGACGTTGGAGCTTTATCTGTGGGTGAGACAAAATCAAGTACATTGGCCATGAGCTGACCACACAGAGGCCAGATTTGAAAATGCTCCGACTGTCAGAACACACACCTTGCGTCCTCCTCCAAAAAAAGAAGCGCGGCCGCCTTGTCCTGAGAATGCTCAGAAGTGAACAAGCCAAAATCAAGATGTAGCAGCGTGTTCTCCTAAAATGCCATCTTTGCAGCAGGCTGTTGTGGCGGGTTCATTCTTTGGACAGCTGTCGTTTGAATGAGATTGCATTGACATGTTTCTGCCGTCCAAAGTCGTTTCCAATAGCGGTCATCCGCCAAAAGCGTCCCTAAGGGCACCACTTGAGGAGGATATTTTTTTTGATTTCCGACGAGAGAGCACAGAGAGACTTCGGTTGAGGTTCTTTCGTGCGCGTTGATCGATTCTCGAAGCTGAAAAATGGCCTCAAGTTCTTCTACGGCGCCTCGCGTCAATATCGACGACCTGACAGCGATGCGGAACGAAGCACTCGGCAAGCTCGACAAGGAGGGACAAAAAGCGTGTCGTGCGATAGACGAACGTGCGAAGGCTAAAAAGGAGGGGTTGATGCGGCAGAATGAGACGGATAAGAAACACGCCGCCCTTCAGGTATTTTGGTGCTGTTGTCTCGTTGTTGTTCTGCTATGCAGAACGAATGTATCAGTCACTACGCTTCGCAATGATGAGAACTTCATTATCGTATTCGTACTGTCCGATTGAGAGCGGCCCTCTTCTGGGCCCTCTCAGCGGTGACGATAACTTCATCCAACACCCTTTACCTGACACGAACGTACTAACGATCACACCTCGTCATGATGAAACTTCATTATCGTATTCGTACTGTCCGATTGAGAGCGGCCCTCTTCAGGGCCCTCTCAGCGGTGACGATAACTTCATCCAACACCCTTTACCTGACATGAGGCTTTAATAAAGCACGAAACTTGTCGTGCGAAGATCATACACCATACCAAGCTGGGGGATCGATCCTACTAGGGTAAATTGTTGATGATGTGCAACTATTTCTTTTGTCCTCTTTCTCTTCATCAGGTAGACGCCAAGCTTCGCGCTGACGAGCTTGAGCTCGACAAAAGAAAGCAAGATCAGATTGCGCATCTACAGAAGCACGCAACAGACAAAAAGGTATTTGCGGCAAGTAGATCTGTGAAGCTTTATTTGTAGTTCTGTCAGTTTCAGCATTGCAACAATCATGCCCCCGGTCTTGCAAATGTGACACTGTCCTAGTTCAACTGCAACCGGTGCGCCACCATGGCCAGACAAAAGAAAACATACACAGGAAGCGATAGAAGCGCGCGCCGCGAAGGTGGCGAATGAGTATGCCGAACACAAGGCCGACACGCAGCTCGGCGAGGTCGACATAGCAGGAATAGCGGAGAGCTCGATCGCAGAAATTCGACGGAAATACAAAGCATCCGAACCACCGGACGACGACTAGTAGTGGTCCTCGCCGCTTGAGAGGTCGATTCGGACCGCGGGGCCTCCGCAGGAATGCTTGCAGCACGTCTTGCAGCACGAGGAGCCTAGTCATTCTTGAAATATGCGAGTCAGATTTGCAGGACAGAAAACGCTTAGAAAGCAAAATAGGTCTGTTCGTTGGCGGCCCGAGTCTTCGCGACAGTCGCGGTTCTGAGTTCCTAATCTGGCGACTTGCCTCCACTTAAGCAATGCTCGATATTGAGACCTTGTTGTCACATCAGTTGTTTGGACTCAACACGATGTTCATCTGGAACTTCGTTCGCGTGAGCTTGAGTGCCAATGCGTCGATGCGTGGAGGTGACGATTTCGATTCCGTTGTTGTGAGTATTTTGAGTGACCACAGAGTGAAAATTCGTTGAGTTCCATTTACCAGAAGATCGAGAGTTGTCTTTCTCATTTCGTGCTGCACAAAAGCATAAATAGCGCTTACAGCAGACAACCAGTACGAACGAAACGTTTGAAAATCTATGTTTATCCTCCGCGACCACCGACCTTGCTGCTCCATCGCCACTGCGTTTCCGCTCGCCGCTGTTGTCGCTTGCGCGCAGGCCTTATGAACTGCAAAAGTACTTATCGTACTATAGTATAAATTGCAATACAAATTTCCTCAGCATGAGAAATAAAATTTGTAATGCAGATTTGCCTTCGGAGCAAGATTTGTAATGCAAGCCTTGCATTTATACGAGTGCGATACTTTTGCACAGGATTGGCCTTCTTCGTTGCCGCAACCAGTGAAGAGTTCGATTGGCAAGGCGGCAGCGATGCAGACCTATTTGGCGGTGGTGCAAGAGAGATCGCAACCAAACTCGAAGAAATCCCACACCAGTACTTGCACAAGAGGAAACATCATCACCGAAAAGCCGCGAAACAACTGGTAGCAGCGGCTGCGAGCGACGTGGATCCACTACAAAAACATGGAGGCCGAGGTGAACATCTTGATGGTCTTGCCAGGGGTGGTGGAGAAAACGAAGGAGTGCAGAATGTAGGAGGATCTCTATCTCGCCAAGCGACGCCGCTTTCCGCTGTCGCTTCGATCGAGTCGGAAGCGAGGAATGAAGCGAAAGCATCTACTGTCGGACGAGATCACAGTACAACCGGAGACCCTGGCACAGCCGAAGATATCAAAACCCTGCGTGCGCAGGGTACAGAGCTGGCAAAGGTACTGTAGATTTGTGGAGCTGTGCGGCTTCTGCTTCTAACATTACGTTGTTTTCAGGCAGAAGAATTTCATTATTTTGTGAAAAGCAAACGCAAATCCAATCGGAAAAAACAGGATGACGCCGCGTATCTTCAAAGCTTGGACGCGTCGCGCGCCCAGTCTTCCGGTGCGGCGGACGACGAGGATTTGTTGGCTTCGATGGAGCGTATTGAGCGTATCGCCGAGGCGGTCACGAAGCGTGCGGATCAAGTGCTAGACCGATACAGCATATCTCCTTCGGACGCCGACGGACTAACTGGCGATCCCTTTTTTGACCAGGATGGGAATGAGTGGGTCGACGATTCGGTCTGGCACGACAGCTACAACAGTTCCTGGAAAGACGTGAACACGACTGTGAGCGTGCCCGGCAACGCCACGTGCGAATCCATCCTCGACCTGCTAAAGGGTTCTTTAGGGTCGGGCGCGAGCGTCATCCTGGATAACGTAGTGTGCACGGCGGTCGACGCGAACAAGACGGCGAACTCGAATTCCACCGCGAATGCAACTACAGCCAATACAACGAGTAACGAAACAAACTCTAGCAACGCATCTTCTACGAGTGGAGGAAACGCGACAGGCAACTCTTCAAATTCATCTTCAAACTCGTCGAGCGGAAATTCCTCAAATTCTTCTGCCGCTTTCGCCGCACTGGTCAGCAGCTTTCTGGAGGCATCCGCGGGGACACGACATCTGGGAGATGATGCATCAGGTTCGTGTTTTTTTTAAAACGTGCGCACTTTTGGTTTTTAGCAATAGCAAGTGACTTTCCTTTCAGACTGAAAGGCTTTCAGTGTAACCTCACCGTTTTGCCGCTGATGACCTATCATGTCGCACATCATCAGTCTCGGTCTCACTGTGTGTGCTCTTTCTCTTCGTCGACGATCGGTTTAAATTGCAGCGGCATTCCAGAACACTATCTGAATCTGAATTCCGATGAAGATTCTGTTTATTTTACCCAACAATTATGAGGTCGTGGCGAATCTTCCGGTGACGATGAAAAACAAAAAGAGTTCCAGCTGCGTTTTCGAGTTCCAGCAAAAACTAGTGCGGACGCGCTGCGATACGTCTCGAAAGCGCTGCAGAAATTGAAGAAGAAAGCGTCTCGGGCGACGACGCACGACAACCGGAATAAACGCGATGACGAGAATGATAAGGGCAAAGATCTTCGTGGTTCACAGCGTTCCGCGAGTTCTTTCCTTGTTGACCCGATTAAAGACGTGAACGACGCACTGCAGGCCGCGGAAGACGTGAACATCACAAGCAGCTTACAAGCGACAACCACGGTCGCAGGGATAACAGCCTCCTCTGGAACCGAAACCACAACAAGCACCTCAACTTCGACAACTACCTCTATCAGCACGTCGACCACGACCTCGACAACAAGCTCAACAACTTCAACCACCACAACGGAAGACGCTACCGCGGGCTTGCTGAGCAGCGGTGAGGAAGCGAGTCTCGCGGAAGTGTTGCGATCTTTGGATCGTGCGAAGGCGGAGATTGAAGACGCAAGTCGAAAAAGTCAAGTAGATGACGCCTCGTCCTCCTCCTCGAGCAGTGACGACGATGATCTGCTGAGCCAAGAGAACAAGGACTCCGGAACGGTCGAGGTTTTACACGACACCACCACGGGCCCACCGAACGATGTGTTGAGCGTTGCGGGAAGCCAAGTCGCTCCCAACATGGTCGCAAATTCAACGAGGACAACGACCACGAGCCCGGCGAATGACCTTGTCACCATCGCCAGCCAGAACGATAACAGCAATGTGGCTTCGAAGAACGAGAACTCTACAAGCAGCTCCCTGTTGGACGACTTGGATTTGCCACCCCATACGGACGCACCGCTTCCGGAGCCGGGTGATCTTTCGTATCGGGACTTGCCTCCGCATACGGACGCGCCACTTCCCCAACCGGACTACCAATTACCGCCCCACACCGATGCGCCCCTGCCGCTGCCGCCGCCTGATGACCGTACAACTCACGTGGTGCAGCGAGAGCACGCTGTTGCAAAGTTTTCTTTATTGGAGCGTGGGCCTGTTTTTCCATCAGATTTTTCCGAGGAAACAGATTTCGGCGCCGGCGGTCAAGAAAATGTGCAAGGTACAGCGGCAGCCGATAGGACGCTGGCTGCTGGGACTGCCGGTTTTTTCGAAACCAATGACGCGACCGGTTCTCAAGGGCTATCAATGCACGAGTCCAGAGCGGCAGACTTTGATTCGCCATCATTAATTCCAGAAAACGACGGTAGTGAAGAACCTGAACGGCTCCGCCATGACAATACGCGGCAGCGACATTTTCGGAATGTGCCGAACGGCGGTTGGCATGAGCACTGGATGAGAAATCCGCACGGACACGAGGAGGCTTACGAGTACATTCCTTTACCGCACGAGGGTCGTGACGCGGACCCGGCAATGTGGTCGCTCATGACTGCGACTGAGAACAACGACGGGGACCCGACTACAGCGCGGCGCTCCGACTCAACACCGGAGACAGAGGAGACCGCGGCGGGCGGAATGCATTCGAGAGGTGAAGAGGATCATGATGATGGCGACGGTGATGCTGAACCAGGGCACGTTTCTGCTGTGGGAGGTGCTGCCCAGAGATTCCGGGCAAGTCGTAGTGGACCTGACGCCGACGACCGTTACTCCGCCGCACAGCTGCATTCGCACCAAAGATCACACAAGCCGGCACGAAAAGTCGTTCGGAGTTTGAAGGTCGGAGCCAGTAGCCACGACTCGACGGCGACGCAGGACTTTGAGGGCAATGATTACGATCGAGACGGGCGACGTGTTGAGGATGCACCAGATGAAGGTCATTCGTCTAGCGACGACAATCAGAAAACCGACAATTATGTCAGCACAAATGGTTCGTCGTCGGAAAAATCATCACCAGATGAAGAAGATGCACAGCAATCTCCTGAAGATGAGAATGCGGTTTCGCCGCATCTGATGAAGCTCAACCTGGATGCCGAAGCTCTCGTGGCAATGACGGACGACTGCCTCCATCGGTTGTCCAGTGTGGTACAGCAGCGCGACGGAGGTGGAAAAACAGCTGAAGGCAGCAAAGCGCAGTCCTTCCTTGATCCAAAGTCGAATCCTTACAACCAGGGTGGCGCAGCGAATGGTCTACTTTCGAATGACGACGAGGACATCAGTTTGGGCCCACTACCGGGCGAGTTTGGCACGCCACGGTCTGCTCCATCAGAACTGGCTGCGCAACCTGCACGAGGAGAGGGGGGTGTACTTGCAGCTCCAGGCGGAGGCGCGGATGGCGGGGCAAATTCGATTTCGTCACAAGAAACAGCACAGCCTCAACCAGGCGATCCTGGCGTGAAGCAAGAGGTATCGACGAGCTTCTTGGATACTGAAAACAAAAGTCCCGTGGACCGGGTTGCGGGGGCTCTGACTGGTCTGCCACCGGGCGGTCTCGCACAGATGCCGCAACCGACTTACTTCGTAGCCCCCAGCGTCAGAGGCGGAGCAGGAGGCGGTGACTACTACAATACTGGCTTTGCTGGGGGTAGCGCGGTGGCTCCTGTATCACCCCCAGTCGGTCAAGGTGCAGCGGTAGAAAACTATGGCCCTGTTTTTCCTCCGCCCCCGATGCAGATGCCGAGCGGGCTACCGAACGCGCCCTACGATCCGTACTACGAAGCTTTTCAGTATCCGAATCCATACGAAGTTGCTCCTTATCCAGAAGATGATTACCCGCCGGGGGTAGATCTAGGTCAACCACAAACAGGAGAGCCAGGAGGTCCTTCCGGTACGGATGGCGGTGGAGCAGGTGGTGATGAAACACAGTCATCCTGGCAGGCCCAGTCGCAAATACCTGCAGATGGAAATATTGATGGCGCAGATGGTGCGCAAACAGATGAAATTCCATTGGACGAGTCAGAAACTGATGCACCACGACCCGCGGAGCATGCTCGAAGTTCTGTCCATGGCGCGCTGAGCTTCTTGGAAATTGAAGCGGAAGCGGGTGGTCATGCGAAATTGGAGGTAACAGCAAACGATACACAACATCACAAAAAATCGTTGCTTCGTGGCGGGCACGCTGTTGCGGTAAGCCACGGACTACAGAGCGGGGGCAAAAATAGTAGCCCTACGAGTAGAAAAAAGGCAAAAGACACGGCTGCTTCGTCAGTATCGAGAATAATCCCCTCAATGCAAAAGTCTGTAGGAAAGGAAGAACCTGAACCACACTCCGATCGCCCGTCTTCGCACCGAGGAACAGGTGCAACTCTAGAACGGATACCGAAGACGCTTCAGCAGCAACCGCAACCGCTGCAGCTCGTACGCCGGGAGCAGAGCTTACTGCATAATCAAGACCAGACATTGACGAAAACTACATCACTCCAAAAGACGAATCGCAAAAACGAAAAGTGGGTTGCGCCGCCAGCCGCCTGGTCGGGCACCGGTGCTGCGCCGAACGGTGGTGGAACGAGCTATGCTACGACGGGCGAGGCTACTTCATCCAACCAGAACCAGAACGCTGCGGCTCGAACAGCTCGTGGCAGGAACTACTACCCACCGCCGCCGATGGGTGGCACTATGATGGTGGATCCATATACGGGACAGCCCGTTCAGCAGCCCCAGCCCATGATGCAACAGCCAATGATGGTCGATCCATACACCGGGCTGCCGGTACAGCAGCAACAGCAGCCGCCCATGATGCAGCAACCGATGCAACAGCAGCAGCCGTATTACAGCGGCCAACCCGCAGCTGCACCTGTGGGTACACCGGGCGGAAACTACTACTCGTCAACTGGTCAATCCTCGTCGGTCACCGGGGGCGCTTACGGCGGGTACACGGACCCGGTTACCGGGTTGACGGACCCATTTCTCGGCAGTCCCGGGGAAAATTCGGCGTCGTGGGGACCCGGCGGTTGCGCGCAGTTCTTGCTTTTCGTCATCATCGTCGTTCTCCTGTGTTGCTTCTGCGCCAACTACGCCGAGACCATCAACGCGAACATTGCCCCGCACCTCGGCGGCAGCAGCAGAAGACGAGACCGCAGCGATGACGAGTCCGACCGTGGGGGTGGTCGCAGCGGGAGCGGGCGGAGACGAAGAGGGCGCGACGATTCCGACTCCGATCCCGGGGGTCGGATGGGTCATGGACGCAGCCGCGATAGGGCGGCACAGGACAACAATAATTCCCCGGCTTCTCGGCTCCAGCAGTCGCAAAATGTAGTGAACGCACAGCAGATGCAGCAGCAGGCCGTAAACTACAGTCAGCCGCAACTACTGCAGCAGCAAGCGCTGGCCGATCCGAACTACGGAGCTACCTACGATGCTGGTGGTGGTGTTGCAGCCTCGTCGAGTGCACCTGCACCTCCAGGAGCGGGCGGTGGTGCTGGTGCGGTTCCGCAAAGCCAGCCGCAGTAGCAGTGGTGAAAATTAGAAATGCTTCATTGAAGATATCTAATCTACTGCGAACTGTAGAAGCACGAGAATACAGAAGAATTTTATTGGGTGCGTTTCTCCAGAGCACATCCAAGATGCTGAAGCCTTGCAGAACTACCACTAGCGCCAGGAAAAATAGTGCATTCTCCTGAGTGTGTCCTTTAGAAATCCGTGTCGGTTTCTGTTTCTTGTTCGCAAACTGAGGGATAGAATGCGATATACAAAAAGGCGAAGCAAAAATCAAAAGACACAGAAGTCAATGAGTTTCCAAAAAGATTCATTAACTCGGCCGTACTGCAAAGGGTCCTGATGTTCCAAACCAACATCGTATTTATTCGAGTTTGATATGAAGACCCCGAACTGCGATTCGTAAACGTAATTTCCGGCTGCTACGAAAATATGCAGTTGCAGACATGAAAAAACGTCAACGTATGGGCACATTGAAAAGTATGTACTTCGTAGCTCGGTGCAAATTTCCATTTGAATTTTTCATGGAAGTAACTCGTGTCGCATGAAAATGCGTTGCTCTCCTTTCACTAGTCGTGTATGGGGATAAATGTCCATGCAAAGTTTTTCGCGCCAGATCTCAATTTACCTGAATTAGATTCAGCAGGAGCAGCCTACAAAAAGTGCATTTTTTAGGATCTTGATCTTCAAATATGGTGCGCCCACACAAAAGTTCTACTTTATGCAACCAGTTCCTGGATTGAAATGTTTTACCCGAAGCTCTTCGACACGCACGGATATTCTGCAACTTGGTCCCAATACAGAAAATCGCATTTGAATCTGTTTGATCTATTGGTTTTCGCGTTCGAACAAAGACAAGCGCGGTCTTGGTATCGCGCCGCGGTGACTATCGCTTTTTAGCTTACCCCGACGATTTGCGCAACTAGCAACAAGGTTAAAATTGCTTGATCACTGCCATCCTACAGTCCATAAACCTGAAACGCCCAGGAGAAGAAGGAGTTCGGAAGTTTAGAAACATTTCTCACAGCATATTTCCCCAGTGCCCACACCTAGATCGATATTTTCGCCGATAGATATTTCACCTCGTGAAGTTCTCAAATCGTGGTAATTGCATCGTCCTCCCGTTTTTTAAAAAAAGTTTTACTTTTCCTCCCTCCGGTGTTTTTTTCGAATTGAAAACACTTGAAAATGTCGAGCGATCGCAGTGACGACGGCCAGGAAAACCAGGAGCAGTTTACCCTGGAAAACCCGGATGTGTGCACAAAATACAGAACGGCGGCGGACATCGCCAACAAGGCACTGCAGGTCGTCCTGGGCGCGTGCAAGGAGGGAGTGGAGGTCTTCGACCTCTGCAGACTCGGTAAGAGATGATTCAAGTAGCAGGAGTGGGCGCATTTGATGCCCTTCTCGAAAAGATTTTTTCCTTGCTGATCCTGTTTCAAGTACGTTTCCTTGTTCGTATGGGCATGAACAAGAGATACTTTTCAACACGGGAAAACTTACATGAAAATGTCTCCACAACAGGCGACGACACGATTCTGGAGGAAACAGGGAAGGTATACAACAAAAAGGTGAAAAAAACCGAGGAAGCTGAAGAGAAAGACTCCAAGAACAAAAAGCAGGATGCGGGAAAAAAGATGGAAAAAGGTAATTACAACTAGGCATAATGTTCGTATTCCATGTCAATTGCAATTCTAGCATTGAGCTCTGAGTCTGACTGGTGTTGCGTTGATGTTGATCCGGAAACCGGAAATTGAAATTGAATGCGAATTTACAGGCATTGGGTTCCCGACGTGCGTGAGCGTGAACGAGATTGCGGGCCACATGAGTCCACTGAAGGGCGAATCCAAGCCGCTCCGCAGCGGAGACATCGTCAAAGTCGACCTTGGTGTGCAGATCGACGGCTTTATCGCTCAGGTCGCGCACACCATTCTGCTCCCGCCTGGTACTTACTGTTACCTGATTTTGTATGTAAATGTACGTATTGCTTTTCTGCTGCCCCCGGATTATCTCTCGTGATAGCGCTAGCAGCAGCAGCAGGCCCTCCACAGATTACAACGAAAAAATCAGGTGAGGGAGACTCTCCAAGCCAAAAGGGACAGTTGAACGAAGCCGGAAAGGTCGCGGATCGCCGAGCGGATGTCGTCCAAGCCGCCTACACCGCCGCAGAAGCTGCTGTCAGAATGATGCAGGTGTGATATTTAAACGATGTGCAATTGGAGGGTTTTAATTATCGTCTGGTGTGGTGATATGACACGGAGACGCGCAACATTGTGCTTCTTGGAATACCAAGTCCAGTGATTTTGGAAATGATTTTTTTTCGCCTTACGATGTTCGACAAAAATCAAAATGAAATATAATTACCTCCAGGTCGGCAACAAAAACACCCAAGTTACCCAAGTCATCCAGAAATCCGCCGATGAATTCAAGTGCCAACCGGTCGCAGGTACGATTTTTTTGGACGAACTTGCATTGTGCCATTCATTTTGTTTGCACTAGAAGCGAGAAGAGTCTGTTTCTTCTTGTTGTCGCCTCTGTGTAAACTTGTTGTGGAAAAAAACTTTTCTTTTTTGGAAAAAACAGGCGTCCTCTCTCACTTGCTGAAGCGTCACGTAATTGACGACGAGAAGACGATTTTGGGAAAAGAAACCGACACCGACAAGGTCGACGAGTTCGAATTCGAAGTCAACCAGGCCTACACCCTGGATCTTATGCTCTCCTCCGGCGATGGAAAGACCAAGGAAATGGAGTGCCGACACACCGTATTATCCAGTTGCATTTCCGAGATGTGCTTCGGCTTCGTGTGTTTGATGCAATTGCATGCTTTCTTGTTTGCATGAGAAAAAAGCTAAGCAGGAGTCCACCTCGATGGACGAGTAAGTAGTTTTCTCATCACGTCGAAGGTGCGATAGCTTTGTTTTGCATAACTACGCCACATTCATTCTTGCAATTTGGAATTCCTGCATCGACTGAAACTACAGGTCTACAAGCGCGCCCAGGAAAACCAGTACATTTTGAAGACGACAAAGGCCAGACAGTTTATTTCCGAGGTCGGCAAGCGGTTCCCGTCTTTGCCCTTCTCCCTCGCCAATATTGAGGACGAGCAGTGCGCTCGGGTGGGTGTTTCCGAGGCGAAGCGCCACCAATTGTTGCACGAGTACCCAGTCTTGGCGGAGCGCCCGGGAGAATACATCGCCCAGTTCAAATTCACCGTCTTGCTGCTGCCAGGTAAGGAATTTTGGATTTCTTGTTGAAATCGATGAACAAGAACATAATCTTTGGCAGCGCCTTGCTATTCCTTTACTTCACTCCATTTTTGCTCCGCATGGTGTGTCACGCCCGATCATTTTTTCATTCCACCTTTTTACCATCATTTGACAGGCGGCACCAAGAAGATCACCGGCATCCCGTTTGCTCAGTCGGATGTGTTGGAATCTGGGTACACCGTTGAGGACGAAGGCCTTAAGAAATTGCTCACCCAGTCGGTCGCCCCGAGGAAAAAGCGCGCCAACAAGAAGAAGGCTGGTGGCGAGGAAGCCCCCGCTGCCGCCGCGTAAGACGCAGTTGCAGTAGTACCGCAGCACGACACAGAAGTAAGATTTCTACATCAAGGCAGTACGATACCTCCGTCAGTTCATTTTCAGTTAGAACGCTGCTCTCAAAGGAAAGAAAGAAGTTGAAGCAGTGAGCTTTGGTTCTCTGTACGAAGAGAAAAAAAAAGCTTACAAAGGCAACTTCTTAGTCCCTTCATTTGTTTAAAATCGATTTTCTACTACTGCAATTCGCTACACTTCATCTCTCTATCTAAATGCTAGGACACCTGGTCTCTCGTCTCTTTTTCTAGATGATATCAAGGCACGAAACCTTTGGATGAAAAACGTTTCCGTCAGCAGGTCTAGATCTGGTGTGCGATATATGAGACAACTTCAAACGAAAGGAGTATTCCGCAGAAAAATGAACCTGAATGCCACCTGCTTTTCTCAGCTGAATTTCTAAGAATCTTTTTGTGAAATATGTAAAAACGGATAGGAAAAACTACGACCATCGTTTTTGAAGTATATCGCGACTGGGTCAACAATGCCATCCAGGACACCACTGGTGGCGTTGTTTACAGTCTGCTGGATTCGCAAGCTCGGAAAAAAATCCGCAAACTACTGCGACCAAGGCTACTTTTACACTTCCATACAAGTACAACTCGCAAGACTTTCAAACGACCAGCGAACAAGGAGCTATACCGCGAGACGGCTCTCGTTATATGAACCTTGATGATATGATTTTCTTCGCAGTCACCGGCACGCTCGCAACGCAACCAAAACAAGAAGTAGATTTAAGCTCATGAAGTCAAGTTTCAAAAAAATCAAAGGACACAAGCTCTGGCCCTCCGCTGGCGCACCTGGCAGCACGCTGGTCAGTAGTGAGCAATTTTGATGGAGTTCAAAATCATACATAAGGCTGTCCTCAGCTGCCGAAACATTCATGGACATGTATTTCGTTGTCGCTTTCTCGCACCTTCTCCAATCGAAATCGTAGTCGGCTTGTTTATCGTCGTGCTTTTCGTATGATATACTTGCTTCGCATTCGCATTCGCTTTCGCTCCTTGACACTGACAAGAGTTCAACTATTTTGTCTCTTCACTAATGATTCTCCAACTCCATGAATCGTTGTCGTTGGTTGATCCGCCAATCGTCGTTGATCTTCCGTGGTGATATGATGTGTCATTGAGGCCTCTTCTTATTTCTATCCGACAGGCATTTGTCGTGGTTTGTAGTCGACGCGTTTTTTGTTGGTAAGCAGAATCGCACCAATACCTCCATCCATGAAGCGCACAAAGTCATTTGGTTCCTTCCTTACTCGGCGCGGCCGCACCGCTGCGGCCGCGGACGTAGAGGAGCCTGCATCAAAAAAAGGCGATACTGCGGAAGACGCAGGGGCTTCCAGCTCTTCCGCGGAGCAGCCCTTTTCCAGCGCAGCAGCAACGGAGCCTGTAACTGCATTAAAGTCTACGAGCAAAAAAAATTTGAAGAAAAGCAAAAGCGCAGCGGGACTTACGGGGGCCGCATCTGGAAGCAGGAAACCAGGACGCTCAAGCTCTCTCGCGTCTTTTGCGAAAAATGTCCTGAAATTCCAGCCCGTGCAACAGGAGCAGTTTCTGGTCCGGGTGACGGTGACCGATTCCTCGTTAGAACACGTGGAGAATGTCAAGGTCTTTTCCTCCACTTCCATGGCAAAGGAGGTTTCCGCCACCGGTGGAAAGGCGCTGCCGCACCGAATTCGGGACACAAATACTGCAACCTACAACGGTCTGCGTGGATGTCTGCACATTCCTGGTTTTGATCCGATTGAATTTTCCGCAGGGTCCGGGGCGGTTTCAGGTACTGATAGTTTTGATTTACATTTAATGTGCCATTCTTGTTCTCTTCAGTCTCGGATAGTTGCACAGTACCAAAGGCAATGATGGGCCGTGAGTATGCTTCCGCAAAAGTAGAAGCTGCGACAGCAAGGCATAAACTTGTTTCTAAAAAAACTACGTCAGGTGGCATGTTTTCGCGCACGCGGTCCGGTAACCAAACGGCTTTCGTCGGTGAGCCCGGCCGTACGAAGTTCACCGCGCTCGGCGCACCATCCTGGGATTGGCGAGATGCGTTTTCCGAGAAACCCGAAGAGGGGCACGCTGCGGAACTCGAAATCTTCCCCTGCTGGCGTGGCGATTTCGCCGACATTGCCGACGCCGCTACGAGTCCCCCCCAGCGCTTGCTTCTGGTGAAAATCCGGAAAGCGTCTGCAACGGAGCTGAAGCGACGGCTGCAGCTGCAGGCCATGCGCGAGGCCTGCGACGAGGGCAATTACGACAGCTTAGTCGCGCAAATTGCGAAGGCGCGCGTGGTATCAAATGCAAAAATGTCTGGGTCTGGAAATTTGTGATGCTAAAATGTGCAAGAGGAAGTCACTTCCTTATGCAGGAAAGCATGACAAGGTTGCAGCGCGCCTTTTCATACGAACTCCGCATGAGAAGCTGCGTTTTTGTATGACATAAGAGGCTACCACTGTTCTTGGTCATGCAATACAGATTTCACAGGAATGCAAGACCAGCATTACAAGGTCCAACGTTCCAGACCCAGACATTTTTGCAATCCATACGTGGCGGGTTGCCTGCTCGCCGACATCGACAAGGCCGAGATGGTATCCTGTGCAAAAGTATCGTACTCGTAGTAATTGCTATCATGCATGACAAATATCCCTTTTTGGGTAAATCAGCATTACAAATTCCATTTTTCTTCTTGAAAAAATTTGTGATGCAATTTATACTAGTACGATACTTTTGCAATGCATAGATGGTGGTGAAAAAGTTGAAAAGTGAGGGGAAGCACGTGAACGAGGGCTGCAGCCACGAGGCGTTGCGGGAGATGATGCAGTGGGACAAGGTGACGTCGACGAAGCCGGCGAGTCTGGTAAAGGAAGAGGTCGACCACTTGCCGGATAACTCGGCTAACATGGTTTTTGTCGCGAAAACGCCTAGCATCGCCGCGGCTTCTACCACAGACGCGGCCTCCGCCTCGTGCACTGCCAGTGTCGCGGACGAGAGTTGTGCGACTACTGGTTCCGTTCTTGCCGAGGGGGAAGAAGTAGAGCCACCGGGAACCTCCAGCGCTGTGGTCGAATCATCCGAGTCCGTAACTGCTGCAGCAACAGAGGCGCCGGCGGACGAGGCGGAAGCAGCCGCGTGCTCCTTTACGCTGAAGAAGCTGAAGCCCGGCAGTGTCGAGGGGGCGAACCATCCGCCGGACTACTACAACACTATCTTGCGCGACAACACACCTTGCACTGCAAGTGCGAACTGTGCCTGCAACGTACACGAGAATCCAGGCGAAGTTTTGGAATTCATTCCAAGTACAGGATAATTTGCTTCCGTAGGTTCTTCATGCTGAAGAGGGTTAAGTCATGACGTGCCTACCTGCGCTTGCTCCACTGGGGCGCGATAGCACTCTAATGGATCTGTCTTGAACTCTTTTTCTGATTTCAACATTGATCGACTAGTACAGTACTGATAAAGAGTCTTGAATACCAAAATCGACTTTGACTTAACATCGGATCTAAGTACATCATGATTATGACATCCACCAGATGCGATCCAAGATTGTCTCGGGAAGTGGTACGGCAAGAACGCAGACGAGATTCTGTTCCGGGAGCTGGTCGAGTCCGCCCTGGCGGTGGAGGAGGGTTCCGTCTGGAAGGCGGGTGGGAAACTGATCTTTTCCGCCTTCGACCGTAACCAGAGCATGGTGGCGCTGCAGCGGCAGCTGGAGCGGGCTGGGCGCCGGAAGTGCGCGGACATGATGCTGAAACTGTGCGCGTACTGCGAAAAGAAGTACGCGCCCGGGTACGTGACCGCGGTGCAGTGCAACTTTCATCCCTCCCCAAACTCCTATCACGACCAGCACCGCGACATTTACAGTGGCAAACAGCGCGCCGGCCCGAACTGCACGTGCTCTTTCCGCGAGTGTGTCGGCACGGTGTGCTTTTCGCTGGGTAGCAGTCGGGTTTGCACCATGGAGACGTTGACGGACGAATTTTCGCACTTGCTTCCCTGTGGGGACAGTTGCGAGGGGAGGACGGAGCGCGTGTGGCTGCACAGTGGCAGTTCCATGTACTTCAACGCGGAGTGGAACGCAAACCACAACCACGGCATCCCCAAAATGGACCAAGATTGCGGGCCACGGATCAGCATCGCGTACCTGATGGGAGCGAAGTAGCGGTCGGGTACTGAAATACGAGGTGAAAAAATGTACAAAGTTCTGAAGTAGAAGGAAAAATGAATAAACCAGTTTTCTCGACTATCGAGGAGGTGGGATGCTTGAGTTTCAGTTCCGCACGTATTGAGAACTCAAGAATAGACTTTTATCAATTTCTTAGCCACGTATGTTTCTGTATCTTGTTTCGCTTTCTGCGAAAGAACAGAACAGGTACTAAGCCTAATCAATGTAGTTTCACGACACGAAAAGTAGTACAACCAGCAGTTACTAGCAGCAGCTGCACTACGGACTGGTTTGAAAAACACTGTCAGTGTCAGAACTGGAAATGCACAGAGGAGCTTGTAGATTTACCTTTGCGAGATGATCACCAAGAGGACTGACGGTGACGGTAAAAACTTCGATCTTGTAGATTCACGTTGATGCTGCTATCAAACATATGCCTAACCGTCCGCCACGGTCTTCCTGGGACCAATCACCACGGGAGCCTGGCCTTGTTTTTATGTTTGTATCCCCTTCGAATCGTCATCGTCAAATCCAAATCGACGATCGTCTAAGTCGTATTCGTTTTGCTCGTCGTCGTGTCTGCGAAGTAGAGACCCACTACATAGATAAGCAGAGTGGTGCCAACGCATGCATATATTCGTTGTAGCTAGCCTCATGTAGGAAGTAGAAAATGTAGCAATCCTTTGCTGCCACATCGTACTCGTTCTCTGAAAATACAATATCGAAGTCGCCATCTCGTGCTGGTCTCATTCACATTCTGTTCGATGTTGTTGCATCGTTCATACTGTGGTGGAATATATATCTTTCTACCTGCTTAGCAGATTTAATTTATTGTAGAGCACGAAGCAGGCTTGTTAGGCTTAGGCCTCTTTGTGTTTGACTTTAAAGTGTGACGGTTTTGGTTTAGTGCTTGCCATTCATCATGTTCACCGGAACCAAAACAGTATCTAGCCCCAGCGCCGCGCGTGCAGCGTCTCCGCAAGTGGGCGTTGGGGATCCCGACCACGCAGCGCTCACTTTGACGGGACACTCTCCAGTGAAGTCGAGCGTGTTCAGTTTTGACCAGCTTAGCGTAAGTCCGGAAGTTGACCAAGTGCAAGTGCCAATGCTGGCACGCACCACCGGTGCGTTGGATGGTTTGAGCCCGGGTGTGTTGAAAGCCGTACAACGCGTCAAGGACAAGGCGAGCAAGGGGAAGAATGCGAAGCAGAAGGTATATATAACTCTCTGTTGTCGACGACTTCCCTTTGTTTTTCGACTTTACAGGAGCCACACACATGTTCTAACGATACACATGCGGAGCGCAAACCACATAGATGAAACCTCCAAACTTCTCCTAACTATCGGCAGTCGACCTCGCCCGCGAAGCAGCGACCATCACCTGCAGTGGATTTGGTCTCTGTTGCAGAAGCGGCGACAGCGCGTGCGCAGGCAGCGGAGCGCATTGCGGAAGTTCAACGCGGGGTCAACAAGAAGGCCTGCACGAGAATAGCAATCGTGGGCGCAGGCCCCGTGGGGCTTTGGCTCGCACTCCTCCTGTGCCGACACTACTATCCGAAGGGAAAGGAGCACCTACTCGCAAGTCAAATCGCTGCTGGCTTTTTCCGCTCGAAAAAACGAGGAAAATCGGAAGGGGGAGCAGGGAACAAGGACAAGAAGGGGAAGGAGGAAAAGAAGTCTGAGAATGCACTGGATCTCGACAGTGGGCGAGACAGTAGTCCGGAACACGCACGGATGCGCGATGAGCTGGAGAAGCTCTTTCGCAGTACTGTGGCGCAAATCGAACACCAACGGACAGACACGCCAGGAGCACACTCGAACGCCATTAGCAGTCCCCTTCGCACCACCGGCGATTTGCAGCAAAATGCGATACAGCCACCACTCGTGATTTCGCAATCGCGTCCCCAAAGCCGGAGCACGCAACGAGTCACGACGCCGGCGCGCGGAGCGAGAAGAAACAAGGAAGAGAACAACAAAACACCAGAACCATCCGAGAGCGGGAGTACCTCCTCTCCATCAAAAGTAGCAGACAGCCCGATTGGCGCCGCCACGGTGGCCGATGGCCTCTTTCCGCGCGGCCGGTCGATTAATCCCCGCCGGGCGCGCAGCATGTCCCTTACCAACAGTAAGCTGAATTTCGGCGCGGACCAGAATCACCTCCTCCGTATCCACATTTACGAAAAGCGGCCCTACAAGCAGCACGGGACGCGGAGCATTTTACTGGCGCTGTCGACGCAGACCGAGGGTTTGCTGCTTCGCCACTTGAGTAAATCGACGCGCGGATGGTCGCCCTGTGCGCCGCTGGCGGAGTTGGAAAAAACGCTTCGGCAGGAATTGGAGAAGTTCTGGTGGCCGATCGTGAAGTTCCACTGGCATACCCCCGTGGATCTGGACATGAAGATCTTCGACGTCGTGAAGAGCCGGTGGGAAGACTCGTTCTTTGAAAACAACCAAGAACAGAAGTTCGCAGGAAACAACGAGGACGAGGAAAATGAACATACATCAACAGGCAGTCGCGCCTTGGACGCGATTCGTCGAAAAAACCAACGCGCGGGATCTTCCATCGAGCCGTCTAATCCGCCTGGGTTTCACATCAACGGCACCACGTTTGACGCGGCTTTTGTTTGCTCGGGGAAGAGCGCAGTGTCTCACTTGCATAAGAAGATGAACCTCACTAAAGCAACGATTTTGAGCTACAGAAAGCGAGGGGCAGTAGTTCCAAAAAGTCTAGCTGTCGTCGCGAAGCAGGCTAGCGCGGAGGCCGCGGCGGGTACTAGTACTAACGGGAGTAGTTCCTCCGCATCTTCGATATTTGCAACCGGCACGGGGAGCAGTGCAACGGCATCTCCGTCGAAAGGGACAACGACGGGAGCTGTGGTACCGGTGGAGCAGGATCTCACGGAGTTCCGTTCCATCCAGGATCGGAAATACAACAATTCTTTGTTGCGCAACGAGAACATCATCATCCGCGAGCTCGGCACGTACGGCTGGGTGTGGCTGCTGCGGTACGAAAAGCAAATCTTCAAACGCACAAAAGACGTGAGTGGTAGTCCAAACGCAAAAGGTGGTACTGGAGCCGCAGGTTCAAGCAGTCCGTCCCACGCGGTTACCAGCAAAAATCATCAGGCGAAGACAAGCGCGGCGGGAAAGAAGTCCCTGAGAAAGATGTCAGCAGCGGCGGCGGACGATCATGCAGATGGGAGCAGCCGAGAGCAGCAACAAGAGATTGGCGATACTAGTGCAGGGGCAACGGGCGGCGCAGATGGAAACGGTGACGGGGAGGAGTTAGACGAGGTCGCTGCGGCGCTCGGTGAAGGCGACGAGTCGCAGCCACAGAGAAAGCACTTCCAGAGCTTCGCCGAGATGGCTTCGTCGGGTTTTGTGGACACGGACACGGGCGACCCCTTGTTTCTCGCGATGGAAAGCAGCATCGACTATGAGAAGGCGTTCGGAATCACCGTCAATGTTACCGAGGCGAACCACTGGGGGCTGCGGCTCGCACCGCGACAGAACAACGCCCATGTTGCGACTTCTGGCCCTTCCCCCGGACGAGGCACCTCACCGTCACCGAAACGCGCTGGTGGAGATCATGGAAACAGTAGCTCTTCCCCAAAAAGAAACGGCTCCCAGTCGCCGAAGCGCGGCGATGCATCCTCGCCGAGCAACAAGTTTCAAGGTGTGTTGCCGGATATTGTTCTGACGCTACCGCGCGCAGAAAAACCAAGCTCCTCCGGCGGCGAATCGGAAGAGGACGCGAAGGAGAACCAGACTACGGACAACGAGCCTCAGCAAAACACGGTGGTCTGCTTCGCTGGTGATGCGTTGTGCGGAAAGCCCTTCTACCTCGGGACCACGCTGCAGTTTCATCTGCACGACATGAATTTTCTGGTGTCTAACGTGAACTGGCAAAAGGGTGCAGCTTTGTCTCCGTTGGACTTTCGCGCTTACGAGTCCCGCATGCGGGACACCATTCAGGGGTTTTTGACTCAGAAGAGCAACAGCGTTCTTTCCACGTCAGCAAACGGGGGAAATTCCTCGTCGCCGGGCAAATCTTCTGCCGCAGACGGGAGTCCCAGCGCGTCGGGCAAGCACGGAGCAAAGGGGAAAAATGACCAAAAGAGCTCCTCCTCGCCGTCGGGTAGGTCCTCAAGTAGAACCAGCAAAAACAACCTACTCGGGTATGAGGTGGTTGCCGAAGGAGAAGATAGCGCGCAACGAGTACACAAACTTCCACAGGTCTCAATGCTCAGCGTCGCAGCGGACGGGAGCGTCCGGGAAGAAAAGTCTGCAGACGCTCCTGCAAGCGGGAGCTCAACAGCGTTTCCCTTCGACGCTGCAAAAAATCTTGCCGAAAATGATTCTTCAGCCGTGCCGGGCGCCCCCCCACAATCGCCCGTGCACCTTTCCGTTTCTGCTCACGACCATCAGCACGTGCCTGGTGCTGGTGCCTCCTCTTCCTCCGCGCTTCCATCTGTTTACTTCAACCCACTGTCTTCATCCACGACCCACTCGGGGGGACTAGATAAGGTCGACGGTAGTTCTTCTTCTGCAGTTTCCACCGCTGCAAGAAAGAAAAACCAGGATGACGTGGATTCCGTTCCTGATGCTGCAGAATGGAGTGGAGGTGAAAACCAGAACAATGGAGGTACCAGCAGCCGTTCAGTACTTGTAATCGACGGCGCGAACTCTAACTCACTGATGAAGAAGGTGTACCACGGCCGAGGGAGTGCTGGAGGTGGCAGCAGCAGCGCCAGCAGTTCGGCAGCGGAAAACGCGTCTACCACTGATACGGACGTGCCATCATCCTCCGCATCCAGTGCGAGCGGCTCAAGTTCAATGACGCTACCTTTGCCATCGAGAAGAACGCCAACAGAGGCGAGTCACGCGACGGAACCGGATAATCGTAAAAGTTCTGCTGTCAAGTCTGGGCATGATAGAAAAGGAGCTGCTCATGCTGATGGTTCAGACGACAAGGGCGCAAAACTGACAGTGGCAAATTCGCACGCAGCCGTCGGAGAAGAAATGGAGCAACGACAAAATTTTGGCTACGCCGCGGGGCAAGAAACAGAGTCAACGACCCAGGTGCTCAATTCCATTTTGGAGGCAAGAAAAGCGGACCAACCTTCGCGGTGGATTGGGTCGCACGCGCAGAGCCCACACTCTCCGTTAGATTTGGCCACTGGCTCTAGTACACCGGGTGGAACAAGCGGCACTTCCTCCCGTACGGGTAATCTGTCGCGTGGAGGCCCACGTGCGCGCAAGTCCTCTATTTTTGCGACCGACGATGACAAACACTTACGGTCTGATGCGGATGCGGCTCGCCAAGATTTGCAATCCCGGGGGACTACGAGAGCGTTTGCCGCAGCACAAGCTACAACTGCAGAAGTAACCGCAAACGACTCTGCCAGCTCGCCGTACAGTTCTTCGGCGATTCCACTCAGCCGGAATCGCCCCCGGGAAGCAGCTTTCGCGTTGAATCGATCGCTAAACTCACCCTTGTACTCCGCCTTCGCCAGCCAGCTCGCTCAGCTCCGGGCGGACAAGAGCAGTCCGCAACCCGAGCAGTACTCCGCGTCAGCGTCGCCGCCGCGGAAGAAGCCTGGGTTTCTGCAGATGGGAGACAGCGGAGACCTGATGAAGGACCTCATGCTGCCGTCGCATTCGCCGGGAACCAGCAACTCCGCCTCACCGACGAAGAAACGAATTCGAGCCCTGGCAGACGTGGTGACGGAGGTTCAGGCGCGGCACAAACTGGCGGAAGACGACCCGATCCACAAGCGGAATGAGGACTTTCTCGGTCAGTTCTTCTTGAAAAAATAATTGTAGAAGATACAGGTATGTGATATTCCGCCCAGAATTTATCAAGGAAGGAGCTTCAGGAAAAATCATCGCTTGTTTCGGGATCTGGGAAGCCGCCCATCAACATGAATTATCGAAAGCTTCATAGCGATAGAAATAATCAATCCAAGATACAACTAAGGCGATTTTTCGCAGCGATGAGGCGATCAAGTATTTCAAACCCCTCCAAACCTTCTTATTCTTAAGAGAAGATGATGCAGTGTGCAGCTTTTTCGCAAAGATCGAACAAATGTATGTAAAACAGTGTACGAGTTTACGTTGTCGTGTTTCTGTTTGTGATATTTGGATCAATGCTATTGTTGTTGCTTCTCCTTCTCAGACTCTCCTCATTCAGGTTGAAATCACAAAGGAAAAAAAAGTAAACCAAAAAGACAAAGAATTGGTGTGAATTTCATAGAAATAGAACTGAAAAAGAAATGATGAAATGGATAGGTCATTAACAAGGCCAGCGCAATGTTCATAATCGCAAGTATTTGGGTTTTGTGTCAAGGAATGTATTGCACGACTTGCAGTCCGCCACAATAAGTACGTGTAGTAGAGGACGATGACCACATTTTCGTGGTGTTTCGAGATGCCCATGGCTTCTGTAGTACCCATTCATGTTTGGCCGTTTTTACCTTGTCGTGTTGTTGGTAGCGCTGGGGCAGTGAAGAACATTTGAAAATCTAATTATAGGAATAGTCTCGATCAACAAGCGATTTAGATTTCGTAGATAGAGACGGACGGACTCTCAAGCACTCCCAAAAGAAAAAAGATGATCCGTTCCGACAGGGTTTTCCGGCTCTGCAACGCAAAAGGGTGGTCGGTGAAAACGATTCGCGGGTCCCATCACATGTTGCACCGAGAAGGACATGGCCGGATTCCAGTGCCCGTGCACGATCATAAAGTACGAATTGATGTTTTGCGGCATGTGCTGCAAAGTATAGAGCATGCGGAAGAAGGGGTGGAAGTGGTGACGCGGTATCAACAAGACGGACAAACTGATGCGCGACACCCAGACGAGCCGCTGCAGGATGGGCGGATGGCCACGAGGAGTCGGCGAGAGCGAACGGGAAAACTGGATACATCTTCACACATCGCAGCCGTCGCTCCTCAGCCGTGGATTGACCGCTCCGTCACTGCATTGACTTACTCCGAACGAGCTGAGGACGTTGAAGCCTTCTACGTCGCCGCAGCTGCCAGGCGAGAGACAGCTTTGACAGCGGAGCAAAAAACTTTTTCTGACCTGGAAGAGAAAGTTTTGGTCTTCTTCGGTAAAGGTGAGTACGCCAGTGCAGTTTCGCTTCTGGAGTCCACGATACTCAAGAGCTACAGAAAGCAACGCCCGCGATTTGACGAAGCGCTGCCGTGTCTGCAGGACCTCGAGTTTTATTATGTCAATGCGCTACAGGAGCTTGCGCTGACGCACTACGAGTTTGGAGCAAATGACCAAGAGCAGTGCATTAAAAAAGTGTTCGCGTACCTCGATAAGATGAGGAGCGTTTGGTGGCGCGAGCGCGACTCTTGCAGGATCGGCAGCACGTGCAAGGACTTCGTGGCCGCGTTGGTGAGGGATCACAAGAAGCAGATTGAGACGGCGGGGAGACTTCGAGTCAGACACGTCAACGCAGCAGCCCAGGGTCAGCAACTGGATAACATCACCTTGGAGGAACTAGAACGGCGTGTTGTGCTGCAAGTGGCTTTCCTTTTTGAAGAACTTGTTACCGTGTGGCGGTTAATTTCCGTATCCGACTTTGTGGAAATGTTGCAGCCGCACTTTGTGTTGAGTCTTAGTTCCATGCGATGGCCTCCCAGTGAAGCGCTCGCGTATCATGTTTACGAAGCATTCGGCTCCGAAATCGCTTCCAAGGAGCGAAAAACGACGCGCAAGCGTGCCACAGCTGGTGTGGGCAAATTACCAGAAATGACGGCAGCGACAACTTCGACTTACGTGGACAACATTATCAAAATTTTCGAAGACGCCTCTGTTTACGCAGCGGCATTCGACACAGCGGAGGACACGATGACGCAAGTTCGCCAACTGAACGACTGTCAGTGTCCAGATTGTTACGATGTGGAGAAGATGCAGAGAAAATATCTCGCCCAACGTGAGTCGCTTAGCTTTTTACGCAGTGTTTTGGTTTTCATGTCGCAGATCCAGAGCAAATGCAAGGCGGTCTTGGGCACCTCTGCAATGGTCGAATATCTTTGGAACCACCAACGCAGCACAATCATTGAGCGGTCTTCTTTTGCGAGGCAAGCTCTGACGCAGGACAAACAGAATGCTAACGCGGGTTTTCTCGTGGCGACATTGGCGGACCCATTCTTCCAGATCGCGGACGTTGGAGCGAAAAACCTTAAAAACTTTTTTCCCGGCTATGGCAACTCCATGCCTCAACAGCCGTTAAAGAATTTGTGGAACGAACAGCTCTTGATCACAAACACTGGATGGGAATCTGTGATTCTCTCTCTGTACGATGCCTTCCGTGTATCCGGCCACGCAGGGGGCACGCGCTTGTGCAGCTGTATGGACCGATACAACCTAGTCGACTCCGCGATAGATACAGCGGTCCTTACAAGCGAATCATCATTCCTGCTGCTCCGTGCCTTACATTACGCAACCAGAATCAACCAACCATTCAGAACCGGGAAATGGAATGTCAAGAGAACCCCCAGCACAGACTGCGAGTCGAAGCAATACTACCACGAAGCCACGCATCTCGCCTTCATGTTTTTCGCCCCCGTGATTTTGTTTTACCGCATGTGCCAGACGCATAAGGACGCGGACATTGTGCCAGAAAAATGCAACATGACGGGCCGAGCAACAATGTGCCTTGGGTGTTTCGCAGTCACTTCGGTTTGTCGCGAAGTACTGCGGTTGTGGTGCCATGAGCTTCTCGTGGCGATTCAAACGATTCGAATCAATGGGGTTTGTATGGAGGACTGGTTGGAAAGCAATTTTGTCGACGACGCTTCCTCGGAGCCGTACTGCACCACCGTTGATATGGGGGACGGGAAACCGGAGCGTGAGGTGTGCAACCCGAACCGCAGGGATTTGACTCCTTCGGCGATATTCGCAGATTGGAAAAAGATGCGAAACCAAATCACCACTTGGTTCGAGAAATTCGACTTCCACGGCTTCGACGAGGGGGCAACCTTGCCACACCAAGTGCGTGAAGTCCACGCGTACCGCAAAGGTCTGTTCTCCGGAGACCTGGACGAGTTCTTCCCGAAGTATGAGGTCCGCATTTTCGCCCTGCTCCGTGAGTTCGATAGCTTGACGGACGAGGAGTCCGCAAAGTTCCAAGCTCTTGCGGATGAAAAGACGAAGTCGAAAAACAAGGTCAAAAAAAAGGAGCGGAAGAAGCTGCAAACCTTCCTGGAGCTCGCGAAGTCACAAGAACGACAGGAGGTCTGGGGCAAGCATTTAGAATCACAAGGCAAACGCAAATCCTCCGCGATCTTGTGGAAATGGACTCATCGTTTTGCAGATGCGGAGACCTCTTCCTACTTCGCGGCACAAGCGAGCGAGTTGCTTGCTTCAGAAGTCGTACTTGGTGCTCAAGGTGAGGACGAGTGCGACGTGGAACACGAGCAGTCCGACGACTCGTCTAGCGTCTCGAGTGGAGGAGTAGAGAGCGACGATGACAATTCCGACTGCACGAGCGATTCTGATTACAGCACGGAGTCGACCACGGCGACTTCTTCTACTCGGAGTTCACCTTCAGCATCAGCACTCGTTTTTCCATTACCCTTACGAAGGGACCGGGCTTGTCTCGAGTCGCTGGGCGACACTCTCGAGCTCGTGCAGGAGTTCCGCTCGCACCATAAGAAAGGCAAACCCTCCGACCTTGATTGGCTGTGGGAACTGTGGATCAAAAGGTACAAGCTTTCAGAAGAAGACATCGATCTCGTAGAAGCCACCCTGGAAGGAGTGCGCGCTCATTCGTAATTGATAGATACGCTGCGCCGAGAGCAAGGCGAAAAGGAAAGGGGAACGAGCCCTCGCCGCAATTGAAACTCGTCGCAAATTTGAATCTCAATATGAGCACGATGATTCTACAAACACAAAATTTTGAGACAGTTTTTCTGGTGAGCACAACAGGAGAGGGAATTGAAGCCGTCTCCATTTGGCGCGTCTTTTTGCGAACGCGGCTAATCTTCAGCTGTATCTGAAGACCATTTCGTTTTCGATACGGCATCACCACCATAGGAGGTGTCTGTTCGTTTAGCCCCTAGGTGCGCACAAGTGCCAACCAGTTTCGAAGTGTAGAGAGAGGTGTAGAGCAGGTTGGCTCTTGCTGTCTTCAGTTTGCGGGCTTGTTTCTGTTTCTCTTTGTTCTCGGATGTTAGTAGAGCGGTAAAAAGAGCTAGAGCTTCAAGAAGACGAAGAAGATTTTTTACAGATATTATCTTTGAAGAAAATAAATTGCACAATCTGTAATCATGGCGACATCCCTCGAGGAGCCGTTGCTTCCCCGGACCCGTGTTTTCGTGAACCCGTTGGAAGACGCCACGCCCGGATGCCTCCGCGACGTCGGAATCCAAGCGTTGTTGATGATCGCGGGCATCTATTTCGTTACTCAGGGTGCAGTGACTATCGGAGCTGTCTGCCTTCTGGTGTACTGCGTGTTGTATATCCGGATGCAAACCCAGCACGGGATGGCGCAGCATTTGTTTGACCCGTCAAATCCCTTCGACACCAGTGGAAACCGGGTGAAGGAAGCAGAGGAAGACCAAACTACTTCGGAGGGCCCTGCTGCTAACGCGAACACCAAGAGTGCAGTATGAAAGTAAAAGTTTTTATTGCTGCGCAGCTTATGTCGCTTTGAAAAGTCGAAGAGCGTGGGAGCTCGTCGAAATTCAATAGTTCTTTATCTTAAGTTACTTACATCTACATCTTCAGCCGACAGGCCTGATTTGATGAGCTGTTTTATCAGCAGAAATTCAGGTGTGTTATGTGCATATGCATGTGATGTGTAAGTGGTCTAAGCTTGTTTAGTTTCGTTTCCTTTTTGAGCTGAAAGCAGTAAAGAGGTGTGGGAATACGATAGAGGAATGTAAGAAGAAAATAGAAGTAGAAGCGTCATAATCATAATTCAAGGGAAAAAGACACAGTGCACGACTTCAGTTCCGTTCGTACATCTGAAAATGTAAAGATGCGGGATTGATGCAACATATCCGTGGCAACACTGCGTAGTAATGTTCCAGCAGCAAAAGTTAAAGTACTTAGATCCATAAGTCATAGATCGACGGGAAGAACGAAAGCGCTAACATTGATGAAAACGGTCAGGCTTTATATGTCGCTCAGTGTGGCGCACTCAGCGTCAGCGCCGAGAAGCTGGGCCCTGGATTACGCGCAGCACGGTGGAACAAAGTAATTTTGCGCATTCGAAATATTATCGGCAGACAGGTCGGTGATGCAATGCTATATTTTTCGAGATGTTTAGTTTGAACTTCATTATGATGTTTTCAGACAGACGTCGTAGATCTCTTTCCTATTTATGCGATGCGAGGATCTTGAACTTGAGCAAAGAGAAAGAAGCAGCTGCTGAACTACTGTAGACGATCCAGACCGATGAGATCTGCATGCGTGATGTGTATCATGCTTAATCATAAATGAAGAGTCTTGAGCTATAAAACAAAAGAGAGCTGATGGACGAGGTTCACATCTTGATGGTATCGCAGGTTTTTCTTGTCATGCCAGCATGCGCGCAATAAATAGAAATACTTTACTTTGTTGAGGACAAGTGTGGATCGCAAGCGCTGGATTGCTGCTCGCCAAACATCTGGGAAACGCCACACCTAGTTCGCTCAACTGGCTGACGCGTTTCCAATTATTTTGAACAAATTTGGACCCTCGGCATACATAAAAGCTTTTTCTCTCACGGTATTTGCTTCAAAGATCTTTTCTTGAAGATGAAGGTTAAAGTCGCTGTGTTTATTGTCTATTGGACGGCGTTTGGTATCTTGATGTCAACATCCGTAACCCCGTCAGCCGCTCTGACCGTGGCGAGCAAGCAGGGGCACCTGTCTGATGACGCGCAGACTTACCTGGCGCATCTCGACGAGGAAGTGGAGAAACTCGCTAAAACGTTTGCAGAGCGAGGCTGGGTGCGGATTCCGCGTGCGTTCGGCGGCAGTCGCCTGCCGGAAAACCACCCGCAGTTTAAGAAAGGCAGCACGAAACGTCCCGAAGACGCGGTGAAGGAGTACGTCGAAAAAGTCGTCATTCCCTCGAATAGGGAGGCAATGAATGACGAGCCGCGGCCGTACGCCGATACATGGCAGCATGTTCGCGTTCCCGAGTGGGAGACACGCGACACTTTCGAAACGGAAACGAAGAACTTTGCGGAAAAAATGGAGCGTTTGATGCCGAAGGTGGAGAAGGAAATTCGCGAAAAGGTAGCGAAGAAGCATCCGGCCATCCGCGGGTGGAAGCTCCTGTCCGAAAGAGAGCACGAGGCGAAAAGCAAAAAGATCATCTGGACCGAAAAAGAACTGGCGCTCTCTCCGATCGTGCAAAAGTTTTTCGACCGTGTGCACGGACAGAGAAACGGACGGCTGCCGTTGCGGATGGACGGTAGAGAGGCAAAAGATGCGAACGAGGTGTCTTATTGGGTGCTCCAGTCCGAACAAGCAATCACGCAGGAAACAGACGACAACGGGGAGGCAGTGCCCGACCAAAGTCTTGCGTTTACCCCAAGCAACGGCGTGCAAAAGAGGTGGACGCTGCGCTATCCCGTTGATAAAAATGCCCGTCGACACGATCCGTGGAGTGAGGCGGCAATGCGCGAAACTCAGGAAGGTGAACACTGGCACATTGACCAGCAGACACTGGAACCGGACGAGACAGGTGAGAACGGTTGGAACTGGCAGCAGTTCCCCAAATTGAATGGTTGGTCGGATATGCACTCGCTATCACTGGTGACATTGCCAATCTACCGCGATATCGAGACTCCGGTCGGTGGCGGCACGGGGATCGTCGACAAGTCTCACAAGCTGCTTTGGTACCTCATCGCGGATCTGCGGAACCGTGTGGCCAACCGGTGGGATGATTACCCAGGCCGCGTGAAGTGGTGGAAAGAGACGGACCCGGACAAGAGTGCGGCCGGAATGAAGTCAAACCAGGGTAGCAGGTGGTGGAGATTTTTTAAGGAGGCTATCGGCAGGGATAACATCAAGGTGTCATGCCCGGCTGCGGGAGCAGCCTTGAAATACTTCCAAGCTGGAAGGTCGAAAAATGGCACGTCCCACTGGAGCGAGTTTTCCTGGTACACGAGGCGCCGCAACACATGGGGCGTCAAGGCCGGGGACCTGGTGGTGATGCACCCCAATTTGGTTCACACGACCACGCAGAACTTTTCCAGTAAAACGCGCTTCGCCTCACGCTTCGAAACCTACTGGAATTTGAATGCGCTTGGGGTCAAGAAAGAGGTACGAGTACCATAATTGCTTCTTTGAAAACACTACGCACGGCTGATCCGGACGAACTTTTCGTGGTCGCTCTGATGGTAGTGCAGCTATCTTGTTTCGCCAAAATCAAAACAAGTAGGAACAAAAATAACGCACAAAACGAACAAGTTTGCCGCGAGTTCTTCTGATTCATTCAGTGGAAGCCTTTTGAGTATTGCAATCGTGGTGCCAATCGGACATAATCCTCATCATGAACAACCCTATTCAACAAGTTTATTGAAATTTTACAGAAAGACAAAGATGATCGCTCTTGGCTAGCCGGATCGCTGCAACCCGCGCTGAAGAGACGCGATTTCAAACCCTTTATGTTTGAGATCGATGAATGGGACGTCAGTTGGGGGTACAATCCCGAGGCGGCTTGCAGCGAATGGTGGAAGAATGCACACAAGTGGGAAGGCAAATCCGCAGAACATGATTTTTGTTCCAGGTGCCGATGGAAAAGATTTGGCTGGTACCACTGCGCCGGAACCTGTCGAAAGTAGTACTATCCTGAAGAAATGGACGCGGGGGCATAATCTTGAGATAGTTGCTAGCAATAAGGAAATGTAGAATCGGGTTGAGGAGCACGAGGAGCAGCCGACGCTTTATGACCGGTGTTTACTTTATATTTGAATTTGCCTCTGCACCGATTGACTTCGAGTTCGAGACGCACAGGCAGCCTCTCTATGATCATGGATGCTGCCTAAAGTGCCTGCTGAACATCGAGGGTGACAAAAATGGCCGCAGGAATTATGATCACGGGTAGCTGCATCACAGTTTTACCTCTCGGTGTGGAAGTTTTATTCTGAAAGTCCGTCAGAATGACAATGAATAATGATATAATGTTGCCCGTCTTGATACATGATCGGGCTTGATAGAAGATATGTTAATGAAGATTTGTGTTTCGAATGTGAAAAGCCCAGAGAAGATTTGGTGGCTTTCATTTTGTATGGTTTAGTTTACCATCATCAACATTTTTATCATCTATGAATCAATGGGAAAATCAATGTTTTACTTTCATCCGAAGAAAGTTGGACTCTCTGCAATCTTCACCACGTCGTTCTCTGAGAAGTGTTCAGGCTCTGCGACTGCAAAAAAAGGCTCCAGTATGTAGCGTTTGATACTAGAGAAACCGCACAGGAGGGAACCTCAACCTCCTTTAATCTTATAAGTTTAGATAGGGATAGTTGATTCGCTGGCCCTGGCGCTGGCGGTATTGTACGATATGCTTTTTGTAAATTAATACAAAGAAGAAATGCCAGCGAAAGTTCGCTGAAAAGATTTAGGTTAGAGTGCGCACAATAAAAAGGTTTCATATTTCTAGTATTTCGAAACAGCTACATGGCGTGACACCAACAAGCGGGGCCCTGCGGGCGTAAGAAATGCATTTATCCCTATGCAGTGTTCTGAAGGTAAAGCTAAATTTTCCGCAACAAATTTTTTTTTGCTGCCCGCGACCTACCTGATTCTGCTTTTGTTGTCTTTGTTCGTCACAGATACTTTCCTCATGCTAGTCGATGAAGGTTGCTTTTTGTGTCGAAGTCGAAGTCGACCGCAGTTTGTCTTTTGAAGCGATCCTCATTTTCATCCCTTCTTTCGCAACGATCTTGCTTCTGTACCTTTATACGGTCATGGTCCTGATATGAAGAATTGCTTTTGCAGTGGCATTTTTTATCATTTTCATCCCTCTAGCACCATGACGATGACTATTTATAGCTTAAGCTTTGCTAGCTTGCAATTTTAGAACGAAGGCGATCCAGGTTCTGAGCAGCTGGTATTTCTATTTTGGCTTTCCGATGTGATTGCATTTGCAATAAACATGTTCTGCAGGAGCAATTTTTTTTTCTAAAAATTGATGGAGCAGTGCCACCGTGATGCAAGTTAGTGTGCATCAGCTTGAACGTTGTGCTTGTGGTACTATGCCTATGGGTATCTCATCAAGCCAAAGATCCCATGGTTTCTTTGGTTTAGAAGATGTAGTCTAGGCCCGAAAGTTCATGATGATGTTATCAGAGGGCTATTGCTAGAGGAGTAGGTACTAAGACTCGACTCGTCGCCAAGCCCAAGCTTTGAAAAGATGATGTCCGCTACTCTGCGTCGGAATTGGAGGTATTACCTCACGTCCAGACGTGGTGCCGCGTCCACTGTCCGACAGCAGTCCGATGTGGCGCAACCGACGACACCAAGGGCGGCAAGTGCGACGTCTGTGTCGTTTCAGGATGCAGCGAGTCTTCACTATCAGACCCATTTGCCGCAGCCGACCACTCCGCGTGCACTGGCAAACGCAGCGAAGCTGCAGTCGTCTTTTCTCAGTGGGAAAATCGACCCGGTTTCGCAACTGCACATGTCGACCAACGACGGTCGTGTCCACGAGGATGTCACCGCCGCAGTGAAGGAAGAACTCCAAAGAAGTCCACGGCGTGCTGTTGATGCTGGTGATAGTAGAGCCGCATCAGGAGAAAACGCTGCTGTTTCTGTAGCAGTTGATGTCAGAAGTTCGGCAGCACCACCAACGCAGGGCAAGCTAGTCGATGTGCGCATCGACGGTGACCAGATTTCACCGAGGTAAGAAGGAGATAAAAAAAGTGCCAGATCATCAAAGCAGAAATTGAAGCTCTTTATTTTTCCGGACTTCTACTTTAGGGTTTAGGTTTTTTGTTTCTCTATCTACAAGAAAAACAAGTTGCTCTTCGCGCGACGGACGAATAAATCCATTCCCATGACATCACCCAACGACAGGTGCATTCCCCAAGTGTTCGAGTTGCTCCAAGGCAAAGGCATTCGCGTTCAGTGCGCGACGTACTATCGACAGGGCGGCGAATACAAGCACTGGCAAGCGAAAGTGAACGAGTGCGGTCCGTTTCCGGTACCTGTTCGGGTGCAAGTGCCGCAGAACATCACCGGCGGTCTGCGTGACCCCGGAGACCTCGCACTGGCAATGGACACTCTGGAGGCGGCGATTGGCTATCATGGGCAGAGAAAGCAACATCAGCAAGATGTGCTTGTTGCCGGGAACAAGATTTCGGAGAAACACGAAAACGACAAGCAATCCACAGTCCCGGACGGGTTTGTCGTCGTTTCCGGGGACCTGGACTTTATCCCGCTGTACAACAGGCTGCAAGCGAAAGACTCGCTTTGCTACGTGTTGGTTGATTCCGCACGGCTTGGCACGCGGCGCTCGGAAGACCTGCGCAAGTGCTGCACGGAACTATTCACGTTCAACCGCGCTGCCGCTCGACCAGAGAACCGCAATTTTCTCATCGAGTGTGCCGACGATTTGCAAAGCGGTCCTGTCGTTGAAGAGACACGAGATCAGCCCGGGGCGATCGGCGGGGACACGGCTACGTCGCTCGCTGCGGACAACAAAGGGTTTATTCCACCCGCATCGAAGAACACCAAAAACCGGGTAGTCGGCCACGTAGCCGCTCAGCCAAGATCGGACGAGTCTACCACTACAGCAAGCTGTGGTCGCTCTACCGGCACAGCTAGCACGGAGGATTCCGCCCGTACTAGCAGAGATCGTCGTGGGCAGGAATTATACCAGGGTCGTGCAGTAAAATCCGATGATTCATCCTGGACTCAGCCGTTCTTGCAGGAGCCAGCGCTCGCAACCTTGGATGCGAGAGCAGCTGCGGTTGGGACGGTTTTGGTTCGCTTCGGATACTTGCAGCGTTCGCACCGGGCGGAAACCGAAGTGCCGCTGACACCGACCGCCATGGCCACGTTTTTGGAGAATTGTGGAATTTACACGTGGAGGAATCTGCTCGAGAAAAGTGTCTTTACAGGAACGTCGCCGGGTGGGCACGTCAACTTAACGCCAAAGAAAGGAGCGGAACGAGAAAAGCTGGATGTCGAGGGCATGGTGAATTTGTGCTTCGACAAAATTCGCGACCTGGTACAAACCGAAAAAACTGGTGCTTTCATATCGAAAAAAAGCAGTGGCTGTGACCGGGTGGCGCCGCAAACACAAATTTGCGATGGAATTTCAGCATCACCCAGTGCCGGAGCCTCGCTGTCCGAAAAGATCCGGCCCTGGTTGCGTCAGCGCGTCTACAGTGGCGCGGAAGACACATTTCCGCTGCACGTGGAGCGTCCGTTTGAAATCTTCACTGCGACGTTTCGTGACGCCGTGCTAGCGCGGCACGTGTTACCGACAAAGAGTGCACTCTACATCGCGGAAATCATGCGTTGGCTGGGCTACTACGACGTGACGAATGTCTCTGACATTCGCGTGACGAACAAAATCGTGCCTTCTTCTGGAGGGGGACGTCAAACCGATGAGAGCCAGACCTCCCACCCTGCGAATCCGTGTTTGATTGAAGCTATGGACGTTTTCATGATCAGAAACAAGTATCTGCGAAAGAAGTGGAAGGCGCCGATCGCTGCTTGGGTGCAGAGCATCACTGAGGGGGAGGAAATTTTGGCACGAGGCGTGGACAACGGGGAGGAGGGTGTGATTGAGAACTGCAGTGCTGCTTCATCGCCAGGCGCTTTTACCACGTTTGCTTCTCAACAAGTAGAACCTTCAACAGATCCGGAGCAGCCCAGCCGCTTGATGAATGCGCAGCAGCAACAGAACCCGCTGAGCAGCACCCTGGAAGCGATTTACCCCGGGTGGGCAGCTCTGGATGGTCCGCAGAAAGCCGCGATTCTGTGCCGCCTGGTGTCGTCGGCCAAGCGGTTTGAGACCGCACCCTACCGGTCCAGTCTGGTGGAGTTCGTCAAAGCGGGAATTTTGCAGCATCCGGGTTGCTCCACCGGGTTTCCGATCATCACGGAAACATCACAGGGCGTTCTGACCAACGCGGAGATGTTGCTCTACGATCGGCAGTATGCATTGCAAAAATATCGTACTAGTATAAATCGCAATACAAATTTTTCCAGAAAGAAAAATGGAATTTGTAATGCTGATTTCGCTAAGAAACAAGATTTGTCATGCATGATTTCAATTAGTACGAGTACGATACTTTTGCACAGGATAGGCAGCTGCGATCCTGGCTGCAGCAGGTAGCAAAGCAGGAGGTTCTTGAGGCTGCTGCTGGGTCGCTTGGAAACAGCACAGAAGGGGCTGCGCGGGTCGGCATCATGTCTACAACCACCAATTACCCCAGTGTTGTGCCAAGGCGAAATTTCCGCTCCTGCGTCACGGATGAGGATTTTCACCTGTTTTCCAGCGCAAACTGGCAAAATTTCTTCACCACGTTGACAGTTGCGCATACACTCGTACGGAACCAACACAACCCACAAGTGCGATCTTCGTTGGTAGCCGGAGGCGCTGGTGGTGGATCTTCATCAAGACAAGGGAGCAATGGCGCCGCTCAACATGGAATTGAGTTAGGTAACCGCGCCGATGAAAGCAACTTGATGTACAGTAGTGGAGCGAACCTTGTTCCGAAAACGAGTATGGTCAAGCTTTCGGGAGGGAGTAGTGTGACAAGACCTGCCGACGCAGGTGCAGGGAAGTCAGCTGGAGTTGCACCCGCGGTGCCACCACCATCTCCGTTCCATTCAGGTACTGTTCAGAAGCACAACAACTCTGCTTCTGCTACAGTGCCACCCAGGGTCGCGGCGCCTGTTGCAGCGCGAAGTGCGGTGGGCGGTGTGCTGAACAAAAAGACGTCTGCAACAACATCAAGGCACCAGCCTACTACAGCTGCCAGGCCGGATCCTTACGGCACGCCGCCTGTTGCGCTGGGTAAGAATTCTAGATTGCCATCGGCGCTGGCAAAGCGACAGAATGGACGAGGTGGGCTTTCAACGAGAAGCGACGGCTTACCTTCTTCTAGTGCAGTTGTCGACTACACAAAAGTTTCCACTATGTCCAACAGCATTGGCCGCACAAATCGGCGTCCTGGTTTTTCCGCGGCTACATCAAATGACAGAAAGGGGCGTCGGCCGCGCCGCATGCGCAAGCGCCCCGCAAGGGGTCCTTCGGGGCGATCGGATAGTCGGTGGGACAGTGAGGACTTTGAAGCGGACAGACCGAAAAGTAGACTTGATGAAATGTACGGGTTTTGAAAGCAGCTGCAGCACCGCTGGTTTCGCAGCGTGCTCCCCGAAATGAACATTTATAGACCGACTCTACCACTCGATGAAGAAGTCATTCCGCGTTTCTCTTTCTTATTTTTTCTGCGAGCTGCGAGCTGCGAGCGCGAGGTAAAACTAAGAGGAATGATGAAAACGGAGAAATTACAAAATTAGCGACATGTTGACGGCCATGCGACGGCGATAGAAGTTTCACACGGCGAAACGGAACATAGAGGCAGCTCTAGCGGTGGAACTTTCTTTGTGTTTTGGTCTAGCTGCCCTGTGATTTCCATAATCTCAGAGCTTTGTCCTCGCAACTGCACCGACAAGATTGAAGCGTATTTTTTGACGCAGTCGCACTCCTCATCCTATCGACCTACCACGACTGCGACTAAACGCATCAGGAATTCTTTTTTTGCTTTGCGTGGCGTTTTTTTTTGACTCTTCGTTCACGTTCAGTGTTTGTTTTCGAACGAAACCATCAAGAAGCCCCCAGTTTTGTAATTTTGTTAATATTGTGTTTGTGGTTTTCCTATTCGTATTCCTGTCGAACGTTTGAAATTGAATTGCCAAAAAAATCTGGTATCAGAGACGCATGGTCTGTAGCTGCAGCCATGATAATGAAGAGCCACGCGTTTCTCAGAATGCTGTGTTGATTGCATTCCGTGCACAAATGTAAGAGAGCCCAGCAAGTATAAATGTGGTGGACTAGTACTTTGCGTGTCCCGCTTGCTTTGCAGGCAGGCGTAAGTCTTTCCCTGGCCGCCATGGCTGCGGCAGCGGCTTCGCCTGCGTCGTCGAAAGATGCAGACGTCGCGGACACTGCTCCCGCTTGTGCTATCTGTTTGTCCCCACTATTCAGGAGCTCCCTTGACTCGGAGTCGGAGGACGAAGATGATGGCGTGCCTGCTCTGATTCTGCCGCCGAGAGAAGACCGCTGTGGATCTGCGGGACCTGCTGCGTATGATGATCCAACGCAAGGTGACTTGGTCCCTTACGATGGGACGATGAGTCTGACAATCGCCGATTTAGCTGGCGTGCGGCAAGAAATGGGTCGAAGTCGAAGTAGAGGCCGCGACGCTGTGACTGCAACAACTCAATGGAGGGAAGAACGACCAGGAAGCAGGCCTTCACATCCAGACCGCGTTCAGCGCAATTATAGTCGAAGCACTTTAATGTTGCCGCAAGTGGAAAACGAAGCTGTTGACGTGACGAGACCTGGTTTTACTTACGAAAATGCAGCCGCAACGGCGCCGGCGCCGCTGTCCGTGTCGGCATCCACCCCCGTGGTGACATCAACTACATCATCTGTGGACACTACGACAGCAGTTCGCGATAGTACACGTGCGCAGCGGGATTTCACGGGGTCCCCCGGATGGCTTGAGAGGCGGGGACACGTGCCTTGGCGAAGCAATTCCCGCAATGAAATCGACGAGCAGCAGCAACAGGACGGAGGCACAAGAACGGATGCGCCAGCACGACTTCTGAGCGTCTCAGGAGTATCTCGCGAAGCAATGGAGACCGCGAATCCTTCTGCTCTGTCTGGTGCAACCGCGACCACCTCCACCAGCAGCATGACCATCGGTGGCAGAAGTGCGAATCGCAATCCACGTGAGGGCACGACCCGCACTACTTCTACTGCAGGAGGTGTTTTAGAGCGATCTGGTTCTGGGGAAGCCCATGTAGAACAGGAAGTAGGCGTAGCCGTACAATCCAGGCCTGCTGTAATCATGCCCAGCTCTGCTTCTGTGGGGGTGTACACGACATACAGAGCCACAGCGCCACGTGAGAATACGTTGGACAGTTTCAATGACAGCGATCTGATGACGATCCCGTCGTCTTCCTCCGAACAGGGGGGCGCTCCGGAGGAGGACGGATTCTCCGAGTCCGACGCGTATTTGTCACCAAGGATGCTCGTCCTGCGCGAAGTGTGGCTCGGATCACCGTACCATTCGGACTCGAAGATGCTCGGCCGTGGAATGGGTATTGAGGGCGGCACCGTTTGCCGGGCCGGGCAGCTGTATTCCGCTGGTGCAAAACCGCCACGCTGCAACTGCGTCACCTGTCGGCACGAGCAGAACGCACAGCTTCGCAAGAAGATGCTGCTGTGCACTCGTGCAGCCGCTGAAAGAGAAAATCAGACTCAGACAGCAGGTTCCGATCTTCGTGGTCAACATGTTAGTTCCGATGCAGGTGGAGGTGTGGGCCATACGGCAGAGGCTTCAGAAGCGTTACCAGAGCTAGAAAATGATGGTTTGGAACTACCAGCATCAGAAATCCTCGTTCCTCCACCGCTTCCTGAGCACCTGCGTGAAGTGCAACCACAGGTGCAAGAGATACCGTCTTCGAGAACTGCGCGACCTGGCTCTGTGTTCTGCTCCGCGGGGAGGGGAGGGGGGGCAAGTGCAGTCGCACGAACTTCTAATGCTCAGGGTGAAGACCGACACGAGGACGACATCGACAACCGAGTAGAGCCAGCAGCAGTACTTTCTCCGCGAAGTGGTGGTCCTACGACACTCAGGCTCACACAGGGCGGTAGTGCATCCAACGACTTTCCTGTTGCGCCGGTGCAACGTCCCTTTCCACCGGTTGCTGATTTACCGCCGGTAGCCCCGTCGCCTCCCCATCCTGAAGCACGCTCCTCAATCCCGGTGGGGAGCGATAACAGGCCGCGGCTGCACTTTCCGGATGTTGTTAATTCCGATGAAGCTCTTAGTGCAATTCATTCGACGTGCAACAGCTGTAGTATTGACAACGTTGCTTGCTCCGGCGCAAAAGTAGAAGGTGAAGCAGAGTTGTACTATCGCAAACTCCCAGCTGCAGTTCTTCAACAACTTCCGGGCGCGTATGACTTTGTACGGCGCGAGCGCGTCCGCAAGCTTCCGTGCCACCATTTTTACCACAAAGACTGCCTTGCGCCGCACGTAGTAGGGGAGTACATGAAGGAGGTAGCAAGAGTCGAGTCGTGGAGCCCGGACGCGCGCCAGCGCCACAAAATCGATCGATTTTGGTACCGCTGCCCGCTTTGCCGGGTAGGCCATTGGGTCAACGTGGAGTACTTGGCGTTTGACAACGACACAGAGTTCCTCCAATATGTCGGTCGGGTGGAAGCTTGGGAAAAGGAACTTGCGCAAGAAGCGGACCAGGCGCGGCGGGAGCATGACGAGCTGAAAAAGCAGGCTTTGCGCCAGCCTGTTTTGGGAGATGAAGCCGACGTGGAACTAGAAGGGAGAAGACTGGCGATGTTGTCAACTGCCGAGCAACAGGAAAAGAATGATGAAAGCAGCACCCTTGGGGGCTCTCGCTCTTCTGCAGCAGCTGGGGGAGCGGCAGCGGCCGAATCCTGCCTCAGTGCTCCACCACCAGTAGGACAAAACAGCCTGCCAATGTCGTCCGCCTCCGATCGGAGCGATGTTCTTCGGGCGAGATGTCGTTTCTTTTCTCCTTCCTCCACTTCTGCAAGCAGATCGTCCACTTTGGTGGGGGCCGCAGCGTCCGCACTTTTTGGAGCCACGACTTCGTGGTACAGCCGGGCACGCAGGGGTCACCACCAGACGAGTAGCTCCTTGACAGTTGGACGAACAGGCATAACTTTGCCTGCAGTGGAGCACCCGTCGAATGAGCGCGAGCGTGTGCTGCGTCGCAGCATAGACCGGAGAACATCGTCGTCCTCCGCTTCCTCGTTAGCCACGGGAACAACCTCGTCTACCGGCACCCCGGATGAAACGGCCCAGAGCCCGGCTGAGGTGAGCAGAACGCCGTCCAGTTCGCCGGTTCTGCGCAGCCTGAGACACCGGATGAAACGGCGTTTCTCGAGAACTAGAATGCACCCAGAGGCTGCGACGAATTATTCGTCGGACGAAAATAGTAGAGTGGAAGAGAGTTATGCGGAAAAAGTAATGCCCCCGGAAGTGGACGCAATACCGTACAAGATGCCCCACGCGCGGACGCTATACTTGAACCGATGGCCCGAGGAAGCCCCTTCGCGGGACCTGGTCCGCGGATTCCCTGCATCTCCAAATTCAGAATCTTCTTCATCGCCCAACCGCCCCGCGCCATCAACAGCGCGCTCGCTTCTGGGCCTAGCCGGCTTTGTTCCCAGTCCGGCAAGCCACCAAAGCCGGCGTCGCGACCCCATAGCAGGGGTTGCTGGGATGCTGGGCAACGGGTCTCCTATTGCACAACACCGGCCTGCTGTAGGCAGCCCACCCCGGACGGGGATGGGAACACGAGAACGTCGAGTGTCTCCTGGAATGCCGAGCGCATACGCAAATACCAACACTAGAAGGTTTCCGCCTTACATTCAATCCCTATAATTGATGTACAAAGATGAATTTTTTTTCTTCATCTTCAAGTTTGCAAGATACAGTAAAAGAGAAAATCACCGGTAGTAATCTTGTCAATTCGTAGGGAGGAAGCCTATCCCCATAACAGCGTCTTTTATGTTTATTTCGGAAAGAAAATTACAAACAGTGCTACCTCGAGCCTGGCTTAAAACAGAGTTTTTCCATTTCATTGCGCTTTATGAGTTGCACTCTACCGCTTGATTTGGAAAGGCTTTGCGGTCAAGCAGCAGGTGCAATGCTTTGGATTGGGTTTATCGATATATTTTGTTTGACTCTAAGTAATTTTTTCGCCTCTCCCTATGGAAACTACAGTAGAATAAAAATAGCAGCTGTAAAGGTTCCTCCTCCGTCCTAGAACAGAAGCATATACATCGGTATGTTTATGATTATGCATATGCTACACGATCTTTGTTCGGAGAGAGAGTGATTCGCTTGGTTGACAAAATGCAACGGCAGATTGAAAGTTCTCTAATGTTCTTCAGGCTTTCGCCAAATCCCGTCATCACAGAAGAACAGGATACAAACTGACTGCAGCTGAATACAGAGGACGTAAGTAAACATACTCACTGCATTGACCACCTCCGAGGAACGGAGCGGGTTGAGACACGCTATTGCAGTAGTGGCCCTCTCCAATGGAGGAGTTCTATGTATCAGGTTTGTTTTGGACCGATTTCCAGCCGCGTTTTGCTTTCTTGTGTATTGTCACTGTTTTGCGATTGACTCTTGCTTCTCCAACATAATTTCTCAGCCCACCGGATGAACACGGTACTTTAACTTTTTGGGAGTCACAAGCCGAATTAAGGAGCCTTCTTTCCCTAACGTATGCGTAGGTAAAAATGTTGACCGTTCTTGATCTCGTGATCGTTTTTGTTGTCTTCGGTGCCATCCGACGCCTTGGCCAGCATGCAAGTTGGCGGGACACGTGCACCAAGCGAAGAGCTTGGTATACAACTTACTACATCCCGCTTTACCTCTGCATCCTCGGCCTTTGGATCGCGGACCTGGAGCGGTGTTTGGATTTGCGCAGCTACCTGCTCCCCGACATCAAGCAGTCGCGCTATTGGGCCTGGTTACGGGAGCAAAGAGACCATGGGGAGCGGCGGAAGGTGGAGAAGCGGGTGTTGCTTGCGCTCGGCGACATGGTAAAGCTGCAAAAGGAGCGGCCGGATTTGCTCCAGAAAATGACGGACGTCGCAAAAGACTTGCACGCCGAAGAGACGGCCGCGGAGCAGGAACATAGCCCGCCGAGAAACGAAAAGGCAGCGAAGAATTGGGAACGCTTCGTTCAAGACGCGCCGGCAGTGCAGGAACAGAGATCGAGAGCAGCGGGGGAAGGACATGGGCAAACCAATCAAGATCGGGGAGATGGCGGCTCTTCGCCTGCACCACAAGCGGAGTTGTCGGACGAACCAGGATCAAGTGCGTTTGCATCGCCTGCGGCGAGTGCAGATGGCGGCGACCAACGCAGGGGAGTGGTTGTATTGCCTGAAGAAGTTCTTTTGAGCGGCGGAGGTGGACCTGGTAATCGCCGTCCTTCATCGGCAGAAGATGAGCCGGCAGACGAGGACGGAGCGGAAAGCGACAGCAGTGGTCAGTTTTTGCGGCCGCGGAACCGCAGCGGGGGTGTGAGATCAGCAGCGCTCGCGCCACTAGACACTGAAAATCCAAGTGCAGGTGCTGGTGGGCCACTATCGTCACCGCGGGGAGCAGCACATATGACCTCCGAACAAGAAGAACAACAACGCGAACAACATGACAGTGGAAATGGCAGTGCAGGAGCGCCCGCGAGTTTTCTCGAAGAGAATCCGGAGGAGAAGCTGGAAAAAATACCGATAAAGAGCAAGGCCATTGAAGCCGGAGACGTGGTGCAGGAAGTGGCGCAGCTTCTCCACGGCCACGAGCAGGAAGGGACGGAACTACTTCCAGCAGCTATTGCTGAGCAGGAATCCGAGCTGACGAGAAGTGGCCGCCTGAAGACGAGTGAAGAGAAAGCCCCGACGGGTAGTTCGGCTGCAGGAGCAATTACAGAAAGTGAAGGGTTCTCGGTTTCCCGAGCAGCACAGGGAGGATCTGACGTGGCTGGAAATCCAAATCGTCCACTGCAGGCGAATTTGCATGTACAGCACCCAGCGGCACCACCTCCCGCCCCCGCTACCACCACTGCGATAGCGACCGCGCTTGTTAGCCGGCACCAGAGCCGGGTTCGACGAGAGCAACCAGGCCGAGTCACGGATGAGCAGCTCGAGCATGAGTCTGCGCTGCTGGATGAGGTCGAGCACAAGCACATCTATCGCATCCCCGCGATTCTCAGCATTTTGGTGGATCTAAGTGGCGTTTTTGTGTTAATCACTTTCGTCGTGACCGGCATCAATCTTTGCAGGCACCACAACCGCATGGGAGAAATCGGAGATTTGTTCCACGACAAGGAGAGAGCTCCTGGCACGGTTTCCTGCGGCACCCCGACGCACGATGAGGTGGTGCAAAAGCTCAAGGTCGCGCACGCGCTCACATTGGCTGCCAATGACGAGAAGCAGGCTAAGCTCGTGGAGGGTACTGCAAACACCGACGTGGCGGAGCAGGTGGAGAAGGCGGCCAGTAGTGAATGTGAAGACCACACTGCGAACAAAAACAACCTCGTGTTGCTCCATGCAAGCAAAGAGAAAACTGGAAAACACAAGCGACCATCGCGATGCTCCAGAAGGAGCAGTGTCAACAGCTCCGCCGTCTCTTCCCGCCGATCGTCTTCTGTTGCCGCCATCAGCGAGTTCACCACGCTCTCGGAGCGCATGCGCAACAAAACCGAAATCGAGGAGCCACATCTGGCGCATTTGGCGATCAAGCCGCATGACTACTCGATACAAGTCATTTTGCTACCGGTGGTGTATTCCCTACTGGCGTTCAAAAGCACTTTACGGATGTCGGAGCTCATGTCGGGGACGGTCCACCACGATCGCATTCACAACACGGCCGCTATGTTGTACCACAAGGTAGGAAACACGTTGTACGCGGCACTGGTGATGCCGCTGTCCGACCAAAATTCGTCCGCCGGTGAGGCTGCTATGATTCAGCCGGAAGGTATTATTATTTTTTTTTTTGTGGCTCTACGAACAACTACTTAACAATCTATCACTATTGACTTCTTCTCCACGTGATCTCTTGTTGCTCTCCGGACGCTATTGTCAGCAACAGCGGTATTGCATGCAGTCCGGTACTTTGAGTTCGAAGGTTCATCTTGAAGCTAAGCCTCAGTCAAAGCAAAGACTCCGATTCCAGTTTACAGAGATATCATCGTAATCTCCAGAACCAGCCCCGCAAGACATCCACGCGGGTGACGAGGCAAAGTATTTACCACTCCATCTTCGCGAGAGAAAATTCAGCCAGTATTACGAAGCGAACTTTTACATGGCCGACCTGTACGTAGCGTGGGCGTTGTGGTGCTTTTCGAGATTGTGCGTCGGCGCGGTCAGGAACCAGGGTCTGCGCAAGCAACAGCGCGAGCGCATGTTCGACCCGTTGAGGAAGATTACGCTGCTTGGTAGCTAAGTGAGGTTTTTCATTCAACACAGTAATGACAGTGATAGTGATCATCATACTGAGCACAAAAGATTAACTACTGCATCTGTGTACAACAGTGCCTGGCACACCTGTGAATTTTACCACTGCGGTTTTTTGACTATACTTCCACCCAAACTTCTGCCAGGCGTCCAGACTTTCGTTGTGGTGAACGCTTTCGGTGCGGCTTTCCAGCTGGTGATTGTGTTGTCGCGCGCACTCGGTCATCGGTACGAATTTGTGGATCACTTGCTGGAGAGGCACGAGACACTGATCGAGACCCTCGAGTCCATGATTTTTGGCGCCGGCCTGATCGCTTCCATGGGCGCCCTGTACAACATCGTCGCTTTCGAGCGGCACATGACCCACTGGCTGCGTCTGTTTGAACCGAAATGGAAGTTTTGGTCGGCAAAGGTAAGGTTTTGAAGATACCGCGTCAGTCGTGGCCTACACGTCAACATTTGCTTTTCAATGCTGTCTGTATCGTAGTTTTGCATCGACGCAGAACATGAAGTTGAAGGAAGTTGTGCACAGGTACGTAAACGTATCCAAAAATTTCCACAGGTCCTGGTTTCGCTTGGGCATTTCCAACTTTTGTTTCTGAACATCCTCGTCCAGTCAGGCTTGGTGTCCGAGCAGCAGAAAAAGCTTTTGTTCGCGACCCTTGTCACGTTGGAGTGTCTCCCCGTCGCGATCATCAATCTGAAGGCTTGGGACGCCAAAGCCCACTGGGCGCGAGAGCCGGAATGGAGCCGGCCAAGTGTCGTGCACGCAGACGGATCCGGGGAAGCAGGCGGGGGTCATCATTGAAATGAGTACAGGGCTCTCTTTTTCATAATATTCAACCGAATCCACTTCTCTCTTCTACTCTCACACCATGATGACGATTTCGCGTCCTGGTAGGTTTTAGCGTTTTGTGTTTCGCCACCTCTGTATATTGTTTTTTGTCTGATTTAATGTTGAACCTCGACAGATTGAAATAGGTTCAGGTCGCGGCAGTGCTGAATTCTTTTGTTTCAAATGAACCAGAACCCGAAGTGAGTATTTTGATTTCGATTCTATTTGAAGATGTCGAAGCCAACGAAACTCTTACTTTAGAGAATAAAGTCAATTTTTGTTTTTCTTTGTCAGCCCACGTAGTTCAGGTGGCTAGCCCTGAAAAGACGGGACGGGAACTCACTGACCCCTTCGATCGGTTGAAACCGATTACAATGAAAGAACTCCTATTTATTTCACACGTACAAGAAAAGGAACAGCCACGAGCTGACCGATGTTGTGTGTGATGTTCTCGATAAACCAGATGGTTCCAGGTGCAACCTTGCACCAGTAGTTTGTTTTTCTTGTTGTTGTCTGTGGTCGGTTTGTTCGGTTTCGGTATTACTAGCCGTAGATTTCGTAGTACAACTTTCTAAAGTTCCCTCTTCATGATTATGGTTCGTTGGGTGAAAAATGTTTTTCTTTGTGATCCTGTGATTTCGAAATCTTGGTCTTGTTGCGCAGGCTGGCCACCCTAGGCAAAACCCAAATGAATGATGGACACGACGCTCGTGGTGTCTTTTGCTCACGACCAGGTGGACGCTTTTTTGTTCTCGTCGGTTGTTTCGAATTGTGTGGCTCATCGCCCCAGCGTTCACCACAGGAAAACTTAGTAGCAAACGACATCCATCGGGCTAGGCTCTGGACTGAATTTGCACATAGTTGCAGGCTCTTCAACCGGATCGAGATCCTCAAGAACAGAGGTCTGACTCATCCACCTCATGATGAAAGTGGCAGATACTAGAGTGGGAGAAACAGTGAGTGTCTGTGTGTGTCCTGTAGTTTAAGCTCAAAGTCGATTCTGAGCAGAACGCATAGTACCGCCTAGTCTGTTTTTCATGAAATCAATCGCTGAAGAAGCAGAAGAAGAAGAAGAAAAGCCATGGTCGTTTTCGCGTTCTCACTCTCTTCGATTTTTTTCTGCCTGACACGGCCGAATCAGGTCGGTTCGATTTTTTTGCAAAAACGCAGGAGTGACACGACTACAGCTCGATCGCATTTTCTAGATCGTTCGGAAATTTCGAGAAGATCCCGTCGAACTTCATCACCATCAGACTCTCCAATCATTGCAGAACCCAGTTCTTCTAGTCCCCGGTAGGTACCCGTTTTTTTTGTCGTGATGCCGTTCATCTGCTACCCCGGCCTTCCGACCTTTACGTCACTTTTACAGGAGCATGATGAACATCTTACTCCCAATGTCCGGCTCTGCATGATGTGCTATTCAGATGTATTACCCTTGCCCTATCAAAAGCAATAGCAGAGTCACTCCTCGTTCCGTCACCCTCACCCCATGCCCATGAACAATGATCCTGTATAAATATGTCCTTCACCCTTTCTACTCTTTCTAATGATTTTCCAGGCAGCCGCAACAGGCATGCACGGTCTCGCCTGCATCGCCTGCCCAAAATCAAGCGCAACCCTTCGCCGCAGCGGCGTCACCTGAGCTTGATACGTTAACCCAGGTGGAACACCAGGTCCAGCAGCGCAACATTTTTCGCAGCGTAGACCATCCTCCGCAAACCCAGGACAGCATGGCGATGGGCTCTCCTGCTCGCTCGGTCGGTATTCCGGCTTGGTTGACGCCGTACGGTCCGCCGTTGGATCGCGAGCCGGCGAGCTTGTCCGACTACCACGCCAATGACCTGGAATTTGTGCGGGCGCTGTTCGATGCTATTGCCGAGACCGGCAGAGATCCTGGTGTTGGAAGTGCGAACGTTCGACTTGCTCCGTACGACCTTTTCCACGGTCACGTGATGCGCGGGACGTTCTCTTGGGCCGCAGGACCCGCATCAGCAGTGCCTACAGCATCATCTGCAACAAGACTGATCCAAGAGCAGGACTCTAGAGTACTACTTACCGGATCTTCAAGGCCATCCTGTTCTTCATCAACCACATATCATACTGAAGCACCCGTTTCTTGTACCCACATCCTTTTTCACGCAAAGGAGTACCCGAAAGAGTACTCTTCCGGCTGCGTTTTGCTTCCGGTCGGCCACGAGAAGGCGGGGGGAGACCAAGATCCGAGGCTCGGCTCTCACCTCTCCATCGAGGACCAGGATTTCGACAAGCGCAATTTCCTGTATTCGCCGGCGCTGGATCGGAAACAGATGTTTTTGGTCGACGTCAAGCACAAGGACTTCCCCGGTGCACCCCTGATGTGCGACGGAGTGTCGGGCACGCGCTACTTTTCTGTGGACGAAAAGAAAGTGGCCCCGGAGCAAGTCGGACTGGTGGATGTGGTGTTTGCTGAGCGGAGTGCAAGTGCCTTGCCGGAGGCCACGCCAGTCGTGGAAAAAATTGTCTTTGTCAGTCATAATTCCGGAAATAATCCAAAACAACAGCCTTCCGGCGAGACCGCATGCGATAGAAGTGTCGTAGAAGGCAATAGCGCCGCGAATGGGAAATCTTCAGCACTTTCGGCGTCAGCATCATCAAGTGAAAACAAGTCCACCAGTCCTGGAACACACAACCAGTCGTCGAACTTCAGTCCATTTTCTAGACGGAGCAGTAATCCTAATCTGTCAACGAGCCGTGCGCTACACTCGGATAGGGACTTCGTTGAATGGACCGGGACACTCCGCGACTTTTCGGCAGATCTCTTTCGAGACCTCAAGCAGCTTGCAATCGGTCTTCATCGAGCAGTGGTGTTGCCAGCGTGTGCGAAGCTTCTGCGGAAAGAACAGAAGACTTTCGTGACAAAGCTTCCCAGTGGTCTTTACACCAGCGGGGATGTGCTGACCGCGATTTCCGCGGTTAGTTCGAAGTTTGTCTGGCAGTGGGTGCTACGGCAAAGTTGTAAACAATGGGACGGCTTGTCGCGCTTGTTTCGACATAGTGCGGACACGAGCGAAAGCCGAACGCAAATCGGTGCAACACTGGACGCCCCCAAGGATTTTCTCGCTGCGGTAAAGACTGGAGATCAGAAGTTGGTCTCCCACTTGCAACAAACGACGACCGCTTCGAGTTCGACTTGGGAGGACAATAAAACGCACGCGCTTTTTACTACCACTCAGTCAGAGTCAGCGATCAGTATACTCGCTCCCATCATAGGTGAGCCTGACCTGAAAGACGACGTTTGGGTCTGGGTAGCGCAAAGCGTTAATGCGTGTCGAATCGATTTAGTTTTGCGTGTTACACGTGCTGAGTACCGGCGGCCGAACGACGACGTACTAGAGACGAAGCCCAGGGCTATTCCCCTCTCCGTTGCCCAGCGCGCTTTGGACTACAGCGACTGGGTCTGCAACGACGCAAGGCTTGGACTTGAAGTGGCTGCGCGACTTGTGGAAGATGCAGGCTACAGGGAGACGTTGTCGTCCGCTTCTGAAGAAACAGAAACTTCTTTCTTGACAACTACCAAGATGAGTTGGATTGACGTATTTGCAAAGCAAGCGGGCAACAACTCCGATAAGCCACCCACAGGGGCCGAAGGGGAATTCCACGAACCCTTGCAGCCGGTCCTCGGCCCGGCAAGTGGCGCGCTGCTTTCAAGCGCTGCAGACAGGGCGTTTCAGCCAAGCTGCTCCGGTGCGAGCGTTATTTTACCTGATGACGATATCAATATCGCGGAAAAGTCTTCTCAAGAAACTGCCTCGCCAATGGCAATGGACGTACGGGAGTACTATTTCCCTCTGGCAGCCACCACCGTGCAACGTATCGAGACGGAAATTCTCGATGTGGCTCAAGCTGAGTTCGCGCAAAAGTCAGAAGAGCGGTTTCTCAGACAAATTCGGAAGCACCGGGCGAATTGCTGTGACCAGCACGCGGACCGGAGCCGGGATATGCACGGTGAGGAAGTACTGAATAGCAAGAGTTCCTCCACTGCTGAAGCCGGTGCAGCACCGCAATCCCAATCACCAAACTCAGACAGGAAAGTAACCCTTGATGAAGCAACAGACGGCACCGCTTGGTGCATCCTCGTCGGTGGTGAGAGCGGAGGTGCCATGGTTGCGGACAAGAACAGAACTCGACCGGGCAAGTACCTTGGCGGCCACTGCTCGCTGCAGAACATTGGGCGGATGTACGAGAAACTACTCCCGTGGTTCGGCGCGGACCGGATCATCGTCGTAACGCAACTCCAGGAAACGCTGGACTGGCTGGAGGAAGTGACCTCGAGCACGGAGAGCTGCCAGCGGTTGACGGGGAAAGCCACGCCCGAGTTCTTCGAGACCATGCAGCGAAAAAAAAGGGAAACGTACAAGGACTGCGAAGCGTTGCTGCAGAACGGCGGGGCGGACTACGATTACGAAGACGTCAACGTCTGGAGCCTGCTCAGCGTCCTGCGCAACCCTGGAAGTGCCGCAACACCAGCGTCGTCCTCAAGTAGTTCATCGGCAGCAACGACGAGAAATAAGCAGCACCCAACCAAATTATTTCAAGAAGCGACGACGTCATCGGGCGGCAGTGCCGAAGACTGCAGCAGCGCATCCTCGGCATCTCTATTCGATGACTCGTTCACGACACCAAAGAGCCAGAGCGGGATAGCTGGCAGTAATTCCGGGGGCCCGGAAAATGAGCAGTACTTTCTGACACCCTACAAAGCCAGTCATAAGCGCACACATGAGCAATTTACTTCATCTGCAGCGTCAGCTGGTCGCAAGAACTACGAAAAGAGGAGAGCGAAACGCAAGACGCTGCCGCGGAACCCTGGCTCAGTTTTCCTTCTGATCAATACCCACGGCAATACGCATCCGGCGGTGAAGGGGAAAGAGGAGGCTTGGGACGAGTGGTATTGCCACTTTCCCTACCCGACAGCGGCGGACCAAGACCACATCTATTCCATCGCTGCCACCCAGGGGTTCGTCGACGAGGAAGGTGCCGCGAGTGGGCGCGATAGCAACGTGAGTCGCAGTGCCAGCGCCAGCCCCAGCGACACGGAGCACCAGATGAGCACGCGGAACGCAGGAGCCGCCTCCTCGCCTCGACAGGACTTCGGGATGGGCCCCGGCACGGCTGATTTCGTGATGAACATCACGGAGACGGCGGCCAACCATTCGCAAGCCCTGAATCAACAGCAGGTCAATGAGACAAGCGCGCGATTGCTCGCGGGTGAGACGAATGAAACGGAGAACGACTTGGACGGTTCCTCGCTCTCGGGCTCGGTTGGACACGTTTCAATATCGGCAACTTCTTCGCCCGCGAGTAGTAGCAAAAAGGTGTTCACTCCGCGAAGCGACGGCCCGGCTGCAAGTTGCGGACCGGCATCGACTGCTGGCATAATAGCAGCAAGCACAACGCCTGCAGCAGGCGGTGTCTCTTCCAACGTCAGAAACAAAAATCGCGTCCGGTCGCGCCGCACGTCCGTGGACTGGGGCGCCCCAAAGTACCGCTTCCGACTCTATAGCCAGCAGCTCTTTCAGGCTTTCCACGACCTCACCGCTCGATCGCCGAACACGCAAGTCATCACTTTGTACCAGTTTTGCCTCTCTGGCGGCTTCGCAAACTTCTTCACCTTGAAGAGTTACCAAAGATACTTCGACACGCTCTCCTGGCCACTGTTTGTGATGGTAACCTCGGGACAGTACGAGCCGGCTTTGGGGACCTTCGCGTCGTTTTACTGCGAGCAACTGGTAAAGCACTTGGAATTCAACGAGAAGCACTTTAAAGGATCAGGTTGTTCAGCGACAGGAACAACAGCTGCAAAGACTGAAGAAGAAAATGGCAGCGGCACCAGCGCAGCGAAGCAATCCCAAGCACAATCACCATCCGGCGTTCAGCTCCAGCATGATCTGTCGTTGAAAGAGTTGTTTGAGGAAACTCGTTTACGTTACCATCATGAACATGGGGAACTCGGACAAAAAAGAAAGCGCACGAACGCTGGCAACACCACAACCACCATACCTGGCCTGGAGCGTGCAGAAACCGCCTCGTCTTCCTCCACGTACTACTTAGCGGCGCAAGAACTGGATCGCGAGAACAGCACGAATGCGCAGCAGCAGTCGGGCTTAACCCAATATGCGGCTGCTGGTGCTGGCGCAGCGATGTATCGAGAAGACGTACCACTTCTTGCGCGAGACGCTACTGAAATAAACCCAACACAACTACCTGGATCGGAGCAGCAACTAGATGCCGATGATCCGGTTCTCTCTCGTCTTCAGGCCGCTAATTCTCGGGCGCAAAAAGAACAGGAGGAGGCTTTCTCGCGCAAACAGATGGACGAGCGGGAGCCGCTTTCGGTAGGAACGTTGAGCTGCTACGCCGGCATGCGAACTCCGAGGCTTTCGATGGAGGATGTTCCGATCTCGACGATGGTGAATGTCGGGAGGTACAAGAAGCGCAGTAGCAATTGTACGCCTGACCCTGAGCCAGCTAGCATGAGCACATCGCGTGTTGGAGGTCTCGCCTTGGAAAAAATACCTGGTGGAGATGATGGGCAAAAGCATGTTTGTGATTCACCGGCGTGTAGCTCCAGTCGCTTATGATGATTTTTTTGCTGTGATAGTGTCATGGGTTTGACCTTGCTTGGATGAAACATCCAGCGGTTACTTTCCTGCACAAAAGTGCAACACATCTACGTGTATCTGAATCTGTGAATTATCAATTACAATTTGTATTTGACAGAGTGACTGTGACTCTTTCGCATCCCTTCTGCGGCCGAGAATGGGACCTGCATTTGGTAGTGAAGCTGTGTTCATCGAAGCCGTTGTTGCCTTCTCTGTTTCGTGCGACTGCCGTCCTTTGCCGTTACTTTTTGAAAAACATCACCTCCAGGTGGTCAATGGTACTTTTTCAAGGAAGATCCACTTGTTGCGCTCTTGTGTCATAGAAACAGATCCAAAAGTGGCACATGACCAGGTGATATGATCAGGAACTGCGCTCGGCAAATTCCATTCAGAAAACTTACCAAGTGTAGTTCCTGTAAAGTACATTAGTACTAGATCCTAGATAAACTTTGCTCAGTACTTTGTTCTTTTTACACTCATAGCGATGAAGCTACCAGGATCGATGCGAGCTCCACCGCAAGTACCAGGAGAGGGCCGACTGCATATCATTTTCCAGTCGCCACGATTTTCATTTACTTCCTCAGATTTTGATTTATAGCAGTGACACCGAGCAGATCTGCGCGAAGAAGAAAACGCTGGTAGTATCCTAACGCCAACGTCTACTGCTTTCTCGCAACACGATCCAAAAACGCGAAGATTCCGCAATCTTCAGCTTCACAGCATTGACCTGCTTGCTCATCTTCCCTTCCAGGCGACTCTGACTGCGGCAGTATCTCTGATTTTTGACATGTGAACGTGTGTCGCCTTTTTGTTTTTTATCGCCCGTGGCTGTGACGCACTTTACTTTTTAGTCTCTTCTGTAACCCGATACTCAAGGACGGTTTGGTAGAGATGCGTGGTGCGACACGACTTCAGGACCGTTTTTCAAAAACAAAAGAAGCTCCCCGCTCGTCTAGAGAAAGTTGAGACTAGCTACGCCAGTGGATATGAATATGATAATGATAAAATTCCAAGACACTAACAAACAGTACTCCTACTCGTATTCCCTGTCCCTAGGATCAATGACAAATAGCGCAGCATCCTCGATATTCAAAAACATATGTTGAAGATTCGGCTCACGCTCAACAGCGACCGCACACACTCTCAGAGCGCGACGAGGTCCTCGTTGCTATGACGAACATAAAGCACACCACGGGGCGCACGCACTTCCCACCATGGTTCGAGATTCTTTTTTCTTGCCATTAGGAACTGATATGAGGTATAACCGGCGGCAGGGGCAGCGATAGTGGTTGTCAGCTTTTCCAGGAGTAGCCATGCGGCAAGACCACCAGCACCATGGCGGTCACGGGGGGAGACATCAACATCAGCATGTGGGGAACGGCGGAGGTAGCTCTTCATCCACCGCGCCGATGGGCGCGCGCGGCGGACCTCGGCCCGAGGAGGACCCGGAATACAGGTTCTGGCTGCTCTCTCCCCTGCAGCTCGGGTTTTCACAGGTCAGAATAGCTCCGCAATTCCAGGACGGGCGGGACATCGAGATGGCAATTGCTGACATCCGGGTGCGGGAAACATCAAAGTACCTGCTTCTCGAGCACCCCTTTCCCTGCATCGACGTGGTCCGCTGGCGTGCCAAGCGCAGGGACCCAAAACCGAACTCCGCACGGAACGAGAAAGACAACGGAGGTATATAGTACTTACTTATTTGATTGATGAACAACTTGTCTTGAGCAAGCCTGAGTGCAGGGCCAGGACTCGTAGCAGGTCGAAAATTATACACCGAGGCTTGGAAGATGTTGAAGTTGACTGCTACAGTTAACCTACATGACACGAATCCGACCATAGAAACTAGTCGATGGACGATAACAAACCCTCGTCCTGTGAGTTTGTTTTTGGACCTCACTTCCCGACTTCACGCTCTACAGGTGGTGAACAAGATGACGACGAGGAGGACAAAATCGAGTTTCAGTCTGTGTGGAAGCGACAGGACCTTGAGGACAAACTGGGGAAGGAGCGGTGGTTTACGTTTGACAACCGGCGACTCTACTGCCTGCAGAAGTACTGCGTCGAAAAGGCCGCGGAGCTGCGCCGGAGGCAACGGTCGGACGCACGCTTGATGCAACAGCAGGGCAAAAGTTCCACGCGGGTGTCCCCGAACAACGGGCGAAACAAGGACCTCTCGTCGTCCCCACCGCCGCTGCCCATTTACATTCTGTGTCGCGAGATTCCGCGAAAGATCGTGAAAGAGATACGGAAGTTTCGCACGGAAAACAACGGCGACGCGGTACGCATAGGGCACCACCACGACGAGTGCAGGAGTATATGGGACTGGCGCGTTGGAAAGGTTTGCGACGTGGAGCAGTGGAAACGGCACATCTGTCCCGACCCCAGCTCGGGTGCGCATCGTAATTTTCATTTTCACATACGTATGTCCGTCGTGTTGACTCGACGGTATTTATTACGGAAAAATGCTGTTCTTTTGGCGGCAAACAGCAATGCGACTACTGTTCGAGCAAGAGTTATCGAAACAACAACTCCCACAGGCTCCACCATCCTCACTCCCGAACTGATATCGGGAATCCTGAGGCAATTTAGCGGGCCTGACGTCTTTCTCACTGTGCAACCGCGAAGGATAGAAACCGATCTGGAGTACGAGTACGACGGATATCATGGTTACCACGACCAGCACCGCGGCAAAGGACCGCAGACACCGAAGTTGAGCCTTCCTCTTCCGGAACACCACACCAACTTCTTTTAATGAGGCCGGGGGCTCCTGCTCCACCGACGGTACTGCGGATCTGCGTGATCTATGGAGCAAATTTTTCTGCAGGCAGATTGCGTCGAAGACCTCGTCAGCGCAAGTGGTAGCGCCGGCCGAAACACATTTTTCAGCGACCTTTGAAGCGACGGACCGGAGGAAGGTGGAGGTGGAGTGCTGTGTAAGCCCTACTTTTCGTATGGAGATTCAACGAAGAAGAAGATGACGACCTTTGTTTTTCACTCGACGTTGAACAAAAAGGACACAACGCGGACAGGAAAAGATGCGCAGCATCATCTTTTTTTGCCGAAGGAATATCGGGGAGATCTGCCTACGTTGAAGATGAGACAGAGGAGAGACACAAAGAGGACTGGTCTCTGACCTTTGTCGTTCGCACTCTGAAAAATTTCCACATTTAAACATGACGCTTTTGCCACGTCTTACTCTCATAGGCTCGACAAACGTTAGACACAACCACAAGCGACCACAGATTAGATTGTCGCTCTAAAAATCCATCGCAAAAAATACAACAACGACGACATTATCATGAAACTTCTCTAACTCATCATTTGATGCGCGACATCCACGACGCCATTTTGTGTTTCTTATTCTTGTCCTAGAAACGTTTGACTGGCCGTAAGTCCGCCTCTCGCGAACGGGCGGGCATGTTGGAGAGTTGCAGACACCCAAGCGCGCTTCTCCCCTACGCGCAAGCAAACCATTTTTGCGAAGACACAACCCATCCCGCCCCACAAAATGTACTTATGCTAGCACCATAGCACAGCGACATCAATGAGCCCATTCATCGGGTGAAAGAAGTGATGCAAACCAGAAATGGCACAACTTGGGAACCATGAAGTTTTGTGTTGCCGTTGGCCAAGATGTCCACGCCCAGGAACAAGTCCATGACGTGTCACGAAGGGATGCGATAATCATTTTGGCTCTAGTGTGCCCGAAGATCCGTGATCTTTGCTTCGAACGGGGAAAAATATGAATAATCAATATCATGAAAAAAGTCGAGGTATGTATCGAAAATGCAGCGTGCGGCAGCGATTTTCATCAATTGTCAAAGTCGGTAATACAAACAACCTGTAAAGAATGTTGTATGTCCAAAATGGCCAACGAGAAATGCGTCTAGAAGAAGTTCATACAAAGAACCGGGTGTCGTGTGATCAACAGCGCTCAACTGCGAAGGATAAGATCTTCATCTGTTATGGCTTCAAACGAACAAGTAAGACGACGACTTTATCCATTGTTCCTCGGTTGTTATGTAGTCGTGTGTACGTGTATTCAATTTCTGCATCTATTTGTTGTCGCTCTTGCTCTAGCTCTTGCCGTGGAGCTACATTTTTGTCTCTAACTTTGAAGGTCAAGTAGGCAGAGACAGTGCCAAAACAACTAGGTTCTCTTTCACTTTTTTGCGAGAACAACAGACCGCGACTGGTTCTCGGCCACCGCAGCTAGCTTGTCCTTACAACTATTCCTCCATTCCAACTAATATCACATATAACATTCTAACTCGAACCGTGAGAGGTTAGTACCTATCACATCAATCCACACCTACTACATTCTTGATCCAGTCGTAGTCGCCTGCCAGGATGACGAACACAAGGACGGCTAGCACTCCGCCCTCCCCCGATGTTTCGGCGCACTCCGCGGGAGAGCAGGAGGTCAAGTTTTGGGATAGTTTGAAGATCGTGGATTTCCAGGCGGCCAACGCGCCCGCAGTCTTTGCGCAGTCGCTGAAAGACACCGGATTCGCGGTGCTGACCAATCATATCGTGGACGAAAAACTTATTCAGGAGGTGTACCAAGAATGGCGCGATTTTCTGACGTACCTGGACGAAAACCAAGAAAAATTGTGCGCCGAGGAGGACCTTGAGCAGGAGTTTTCGACCACCTCTACCGACCCGGATTGCAACGCGGATGAAAGCGAGGAGGATGGAAATGAAATCGTGGATGACACTACCCCGAAGGAGCAAATAAACCAAAAGCAAGCAGAAATGTTTTCCCTCGAGAAAAACGGAAAAAGCAAGAGCAAGAGCCCGCTTCCGTACATGCGGAATTTGAAGACCCAGGACGGCTACTTTCCGGTGAAGCACGCTGAGTCCGCGAAAGGTCAGACCGTGCGGGACATCAAACACTACTACCAATGCTACTTCCCGTGGGGCCGCTACCCGAAAGAGGTGTCATTGCGGGCGCAGAAACTCTTTCGCCAGATGATCCAGCTAGGTACGGAAGTTCTTTTGGTTCTTGTGGATGGAGATGGTCAATGTTGATAAATGTCAAACATGTCTGCGTCAGCACGTCATAGTTTGTAAAAATCGCACCTGTGACGATGCCTGCGGGGGCGCACGCGCATCCATCTATTGTTACCACGCCTATATTAGAAGTTGATAAGAAAATTTACTTAAATTTTTCACAACACCCAGGGCGCATTTTGCTGCAGTGGATTGACGAGCATATGGATCCAGAGGTCCGTGCGCGCTTACCGGGGAAACTTACGGACTGCCTGTCTGAGGAGCAGACGATGCTGCGTGTCTTGCACTACCCCGCATACAAAAGCAAGGACTTTGCGCCCGGCGCCGTGCGCGCCGCCGCGCACGAAGACATCAACCTGATCACTGTGCTTCCGGCCGGCTCGGCACGCGGGCTGCAGGTGCAGAGCAACCAGAGTGGGGAATGGTATCGTGGCTTCAGTTCGATTGTAAGCCGTTGACCATTTTTTTGCTTCTGCAGCACGTTCACTCTCTCTCGAGTCGAACTTTTTTCAAATTCTATGATCTGTTTCATCATCTGTGCACATTTATATCGCCGGCATTCTCAATACAATTCGTTGTTCTGAAAACACAACAGGTATGAAGTTCCCTGTGTCCCCGGGTCGATTGTGATCAACATTGGCGACATGCTGCAGGAGATGACAAACCGGGAATACATCGCAACCACGCACCGCGTCTTGAAGATGGAAGAGGGCGAACGGATGTCAACGCCGTGCTTCATCCACGCTACGAAGGATACGTACCTCTCCGAGCGGTACAAAACTGCGGGAGACTTTTTGATGGAGCGTTTGCGGGAACTGGGAGTTGCATAAACCTTCACAGGAAACAAGCTTTTACCCCCCAATGCCAACGCGAAGGAGCCCGAGATGTCGACCATCAAGGGTGCTCTTCGTGACTGTCTTCGCGCATCATGTTTTTGTTTCATTTTTTTCTGAGCTTTGGTCCTCGCGCTCCAGGGCCGTTTTTGAACCACCATTCACAGTCACTTTCACGATGTAATCGAAAACAAATAATATTCTACACATAACGAAAGATTTGAGCAGGACCAAGCATTATGATGATGGATTTCCAGATGAGGCAGCCCATGCCACGAAATTATTCTGTGAGCTCCAGCAGTATGTGTATGCTGTCCTTGAATCGATAGAGGAACCCTCTATCATAGAGGAACCCTTTATCTTCAAGAGCATTGGTCTAGGTTCGAGAAGAACAGCGATACAAAATATTTCACGATCCAGGCCCGATAGCGATACAGCAAGAGGCTTTTCCGCAAGTAATGTGTCTGTCCGTCAGAGTGTCAAAAGAAAAGGAAATCGCTGGATTGACCTCTATGGGGTTGCTGACTCATCATCATCATCACTCACCGCGTCGCGGGGCCCAAGAAGCAATATAACTCCGTGCTCCGACGTGTCCGTGGTTCTTCGGTGCATAGATGGTGTTCAGCTGCTTTTCTTTGCGGGAAGGGTAAAGAGAATCAGAAAAAGTAGACGAGTGCTCGGGAGTGAAAGAGCTGGGCAAATTATACCTTGCTGTTCACATGCATGGCAACGAGACCAGGGAGTGCGAGCGGATTGCTTATCAACATGTGGGAAAATATCATATGAATTCTTTATAATAGACTCAGACTCACACAGTCGCAACTTCATCGTGAAAGGCAAAGCCAGGCGGAAGAACAAGTTCCATCATGAATCTGGACGCGCCCAGTTTGGATCCGAACCTTTTATTGCTGACTACGGCGGCATCTTCGTTGGATGGACGAAGTAGCAAAACAGCGGCACCACGGCAGCCACACTTTTCGACAGATTCGGTGGCGCAAAACTACCCAGTCGTCATGCAGCATGTGCAAACTGGCCCTTCGGTGCAGCCGGGATCAGCCTTCGGGTTTGGCACAATCAACCAACCTGTCACTCAAATTCCCCAGCCTGTGACGCCGGCGCGGAGTAATTTTGAGGATGCGAAAGGACCCTCTACTTCGTGGTGGGTAGGCGTACCTCCATATTCTGCTGGAATCGTCAATGCAGCTGCAGTATCGACGCAGAACGTTGGTTACAATCGGGATGGTTCGTCCACTGAACATCAGGGACAAGGAAGCCCGCGGCGCGATCCGAACGCCATCTACAAGTCAGGCCCATCTTCATCCCCCAACCCAGCGACTTCTTCCTGGGCGAGTCCGCGCATGGTAGCTACTTCACCAAACACTAGCAATTGGTGGGGAGGAGCAGCACGACGAGAAAGCTACGACAAGTGGGGGTCGTGGTACAACGACCATGGTCAAGGAGGCACGTATCATGGCTACAACAACTCGAATAGCACGTCATATCAACAGAACTACCGGACCAATCAAAAGTACGACTATTGGAACAATTGGGGCACCAACTGGCACAACAAAACGTGGTATGACAACTACAGCGGCTGGAACAACGACAAGCCAAACAGTAATGCTGGTAGGGGGCATCAGCAAAACGATAAAGACTGGTATCATGGACGGGAAGGGAGGGAGCATGCAAGGAATGCTTCATCTTTGTCGCCTAGGTCGTCGAGAGCGCAGTTGAAAAGATCGCACGAAGAGATTGAAAAGAACCTCCAATCAGCCGTCAAGGGGTACGACGAGGAACAGGAACATGAAAAATTGCTACAAAACTCTCCTTCATGGCGCAACAACGTTAATAGCAGCAGATCCCGGTCACAATCTCCGCAGCAAGTCCGGTCGCGAAACAGTCGGGGGCCGCGCGAGAAATTTGTCTCTGAGTACAAGCAGCAGTACAGAGATCCCTCCCCAATGTCAAACACACGTCGTTCCAGAGGCCGTCTTGTTTCGGATGCTGACGGTGACGTTGGTGGCGCGTTTGGAGGCAGCGCAGAAGATTCGAGAGCGGGCGGACATCAGAGCAGAAGCAGGAGTCGTTCTCCGGACCGTGGACGCAGCTCCGGGGCGCTTCAAAGAACCAGTTCGGGGTACTGGAACAGGAATGCAGACATTCATCATCAAACTGGTGAATCTTCTTCTTACCTAGCACCTGCGACCCATCTGTCTTCCAGTCGAATGATCATGGACCACGATGGCGCACGATGCTACGGAAATGGAGAGACTGCTGCACCGCTGCAGGATAACATTCCGAACTCATCCGTCGAAAACGGTGCTCGCACAACTCAAGAAATCAACTCTTCCGCGCAACAGCCAACTTCTTCCGTACCCGTGTTTTCGGACCGCGTCCGCCAGCTGAAAGCCGTCTGCGACGACTACAACCATAGCGCTGCAGACACGAAAAAGCTGAAGGAGCAAAAGGTTCGGCGAGAGAATCGCGAGCATTCCGTCGCACAGGAAGCCCGGGCGACGCTGTTGCAGGCCCTTGAGAAGCACACCGAACAGGCAGAGAAGCGGGCAAACGTGGACGCACTCGCACAGGTGCTGCTCGAGAAAAAACGGTCACAGCCGTCGTTGCGCAGTTCCAGGCTTGTGGCGCCTGACGAAGCAGAGGTCGAACCGAAAGCCGGAGATCCCGCGGGGCTCGGAAATTCGTACCGACCTGAGCATGTCAGTCCGCGGTCGCCTGCCGCGCAAGGGGCGAGTAAACCCGATCACATTCATATAAGAGGTTCAACTGTTGATTTTATAACTATTTTCGAATTTTTCTCATATAGCTAAAACGTAATAGTTTTAATTAGCTAGCTTTGCGGCTTATGTAGGTAAGCTAGGTAGGTTCTTTGCGGCTGCAGACACAGCCGCAAAGAACCTACCTAGCTTACCTACATAAGCCGCGGAAATAGCTATTTAAACATAACTAGTTTCTGAATGCAAAGTAGCTATTTGAGAAAAATTCGAAAACACTTAGAAAATCAACAGTTGAACCTCTTATAATTCAGGACGAAAAGGCTGGCCGCGTCACGGGCTTCTTGGCGCAATCGCCGGGATTTAGAAATCGAGAATCGCAACCGCGCGGGCACCACCAGTGGCAGGTACTACCTGCGAGTAGACGTTCCTTGCTGAAATCTGCATTTGCGTCCAGGTTCACCTCGTGTAGAGGTTTCTTTGCTGTTGCGCTCGTTTTTGTTTTGTGATTTTGAGAAAGTCGATAAAATGCGCACCAGCCTCCCGGCGCGTATCAGCGCACCTTCGACCTGGAAGCTACGCCGACGCTTTCCAGTCCCCGGGACAGGAGCGGCTCCCCTTCGCGGCAGCTCTCGAGCCTTGCCGGCTGCGCTGCGTTGGTTCGGAATGACCCGTCCACCCAGGAGCAGAGCCCAGAGCAAAAGTTGAGCACCCAGCGGTCGTACCGCACGGATCTGGCACACCAGATTGCCGACAATTCCACGTACGTGGCAAATCTCAACCCGTTCTGGAGTCCGCGACGGAAAGAAGACGTTCTGCATCGGGAGGCGAGCGCAAACCGCGTCCACGTCGGTTTGCACCAGTGGGAGCGAGACGAAAAGCACGCACGGCACCTGGCCAAGTGGGCCACGCAGCGGGAGCGGCCGCATAGCAGCGGCAGTCTGGCCTGCGGCGGTCGTCGGAGCGGTAGAGGGCCCGGGAATCAACACGCGCATCACGCGGACCATGTCATGTACTTATGTAAAGTTCGGCTGTTGTCAGTGCAATTTGTACTTATGCGTCGTCGTGACTGACAGAAGTGCCGTCAGTAAGGAGTAGACCACCGTAGTGACTGTTTTTTTCAGCCCGCGCAAGATCAGGGGGGCGGGAAGATCCGCTTCTGTGGTGTAAGTGTCTTCAAAATGAAAATGAATCTCACTATTACAGGGATACCAAATCGTTTTCGGTGCAGCCGCCCCGCCGACCGTCGACTTCTTGTTCGAATTCTCGGCGCTCGAGCTTGTCTTCCGGCGGCCAAACCACGGACTTCATCAAGCGAAACCGGTTGCTCGCAGCGTCGTATGGAAAAAGCAGACGAGACAAGCAATTCGAGGTGACAAACACGCTCGATCAGTTTTGGAAAAGGGAGAATGATCAAGGTAGAAATTATCCCTTTATGTACCGGCTGTACACTTTCCTACCTTGTTGCTTGTAGTTGTAGTCTTGGTAGAGTCACCCATCCGATGGGCATCGTGTTGCTGTTGGTGTGCGGAATATACCTTGTTACTCTACAATAATCTTTAGGTGCTCGAACCCGGCTTCTCGCGTCTAGCGGTGTAAGCAATAACTACCTGACCCACGAGCAGCGGATCCAGAAGAACGCAATCGCGTTTTTGCAGAAGGTGGAGCAAAACGACAAGCGGCTTCCGGTCGTTCCAGAGGCCAACTCGGAATACAGTTCGCCTTCCCCCCAGCTGCTGCAACAAAATCCTCCGGGCGGAGCTGGGGCGGGAAATCCCCGTCAATACGAGCCCTCGTCGCCGTCCCCCGGAATGAAGATCGGAAACATAAACGACGGTCCGGAGGGCTTCCAGTTCAACTTCGGTCCGAGCCAGGTCTGCATATCCCCGGGAAAGAATCGGGGAACAGTGGCGCTTGTGGTAAAGGATCAGCAAGGGCGGATCACGCAGCAAGTAGAAGATATGTCGAAGGTAAATCTAAAGGCAAGAAATAATCACTACGATAAAACCCAGGAGCCTTGTTTAGGTTTTCATGTTGACACATTTAAGCGTGGTTTGGACGAGCATGAATTTGAAATTGCAGCCGTTCAACAACAAAAATGAATTTCAAGTTTAAGCTGCATTTCAGGTTTCTACAGCGCTTGTTCGGAACTATGCGGGCCCCGATCCCCCACCCTCGCAGCAAGAAGTAAGGACTGCAGCGCCCTCTAGCAGACCCGCGCAATTCATCCGCCCCCCACCATCGCAACCATGGCCTGATCTGTCCTTGATGCCTCTACCCTTTGAAAACAACCCGCCGAATGCCAGTACCCCGTCGATGGGACTGCAGCCGCCGCAACTTTCGGCCATGCCGAAACTGCCGGATTCTAGCACCAAAGTCCACGATGCAAGGGCAGAGAGACACGCGACGTCGGCAAAGAAATGGCGCGAGGACCCGGGGTTGCACGATGCAATATCGAAGTCCATGGCCGCCCAGCAGCACCAGGTGCAGCCCCCAGGGGAGCGAGACAGAAAGCAGTCTTTTCAAAATGACGACAAGAGGCCGGCGCTGTCTCATCGTCGATTGAGCAGTAGGAATGCAACTCAGGCAGCCCAGGGGAGCAGACACCAGCACTCGACGGCAACTGCTGACTCCAACAAGCACGCGGAAAAATTGTCGCAGAATTATCGAGAGCCCACATCAGCGTGCTCCAGCATGGCGCTTGTGCCAATGCCATCTGCCATTACACCAACGGCGATTGTGCCTGTAAACCCGCATGGCTCTACTTCGTCTTCGCGCACGCCCTTGTTGGTGCGCGACGCCTCCCGGAGCGCAAGTGTCCGTGCGAGCAAGGAGAAGGACCGCAACACCGCCAGCAAAGAAACAAACTCCACCGTTTCTCGCCGCCCGAGCAGTGCTAGGCGGATGTCCAAGGAGCAACTTGTTTACGAACAGAACGATTTCTTCAGTCAGAAAAACAGAAATCGAGTGAAAACGAAGAGCATCCACTATACGCAAACCTCTTTCAATGTTACCAATTACGCGCGAAATCGCTCTGGGGCGCGGACGCCGACACCAAGGTGAAGAGGTCGTCGCATAGAGCGACACTTGAGAAGATGGGATGACGCGTATTTCTGTTGTCGTTGTGCAGCTAAGCCTAAGGCTTACCAGTAACCACGATCATCCGCTTTTCCATTTGCGAAAAGCGAAAACTTCAAAGCAATCACACAAATTCCAACCCTCTTTCCCGGTGCGCAATTATGATAATGATAGGAACCAGGTGATAATAAATCGGATAACTGTCTCGCAATCTTTAGATCGCAGAAGTTTTCCTCCGTGTATGATGAGTTATTTCATATGTTTTGAGTGTTCTTAGCAAGTTGCCCTTTCAATTAGTTATTTGTTTCATTTTTGATTTTGACGTATCAAGGGAGCAATGTATGGATTTCAATACAGTTCTTCGACAAGTAAAGCGACACACTCCAATTTTAATTTAAGTAGAAAACCAAAAGCAGCACCGGTGCTACCCTGAAGATAATTTTACAAAAAGAAAAGCAAGAATTAATGGAGTGACGTGAGGAACTAACAACGTACATATTGCACGAAGGTTAATACTGGAAAAGTATCAACGACATCACCATACACGAACATTTTCATGAAAATGACTTGATGTCATAGCTTCGACGAGCTAGTCCTGTTTGTAGAATCGATTGAGATTGACCACCCCAGCCTAGATGTTTGAGGATAACTTCTCACGCCTATTAGTACAGCCTCTGCTCCGTCTAGTGGCTTTCTGCTAAGAGTGAAAGATTGGATTCCTTTGTTCCGGGCTGACCGTTTCCTGGACCTTGAGGCAGCGCTTGGCAGTCTGTCTGATCTTTCCTGATCGCGTATCCGTTTGTTTTTTTATTTTGCGTGAGGATAGTAAGTTGTTAGTGTGTCTTCGCTTCGCTCCTCAATGTTCGTGGCAATTCATACATTGAGTTCGTTTTTGTCGCTCAGGACAAACATTTAACTTCTGGGAATGCGTTTGCATTCGCCGTGCCTCGCAACGGATATTTTCGATCGTTGGTGTCGATGAAAGCGCGCCGCGAAGATAAACAACGGTTTGGAGCGTCGCAGGTCGTGCTTCGACTCGAAGGTCGTACTCGTATTTACAACTCGTGATATATCTGTGGCGCAGCTGATGCAGCGCCATACATAATTTCTAAATTTTTTATATTCGCTTTTCGCGGTGGCGGTTTTCTTTTGCCTGTGTTTCTTACGATGGCGATAAGTTTCGGCCACGTTTCGCAACTATCGTGGCTCTTCAAAAGCGCACGTACATGAAACGTTCTGAATCTGAATCGATCCATATCGACGTAGAATGACTTGAGGGTACCAGGTAAGAATAGCCCCTGTCAGCAGGGGCCTAAATAAAGATGTCGCACAACAAGTGGAGCTACCGGAAATCTCAAACCGCCGCAGAGGGCGTGGACTTCATGAAAATAGAAGAGCGATCTCATCTCACTGAGCCACGATTGCCGTTCCAGGAGGAATTTTTCGATCCACTTCCACATGTTGACTCCCAGGTTGCCGGCACTGCACAGGACCGGTCCCCGTCGCCGCTCGGAAGCGAGCACTCTCGGTTTTTGCAGCACCGGGATCGCGACATCGATGCATTGGTGTCAAGTCTGGTCTTCGCAACCTCCGCTGGCGGTGCTTCTACAACCTCTCCGCACGGAGCTGGTGGACCGCATCGTCGGCTGAACAGTCCACAGGAGCGACAGCGCGGCATCCGGCAGCTCGTGCACGGTGTGGGAGAGAGCATCAAAACTTCAGTTCCCATCAACGTTAAAAAGCAGAAACTAGATTTGGTATCCGCGTTTCGCAGGAGTCCTTTGTTGAATCCACAGGTAAGCAGCACGCGAACTACACGAAGTGCGCAGCAACACCAACTACAGCAGCAGCCCTCTATCTTCATCAAGGATGACGCCTTCTCGTCAATGCTCAATGGAGGAGGTTTACAACCTTCCCGTGCTGGTCCACCTCCACGTGCAATGGCCAGTCCGACGGTGTTTTCTGAGCGAGAAAAGCTTGCGGAAAGACTGTTTCTTGACCGCGCGCGGCGTGCAGAAGAGGAGAGACTGCGCATGCGAAGTCCGGACATGGTGCCAAGTCGTTCTCGCTCCCCATCTCCGCTGGATTTAGTGCTGCGCAATCAGGGACGCCGACAAGGGTCGCCGTCCTCGAGAAGTCCGGTGGGTGAGCAGGCCCGGAGACTAGTGGCGGGAACCTCGCCGTCCGCTGCCAATGGCAAAACAAAAAAAGCAGCCGCAGAAGGTAGTACTTTTGCGGCTGGTATATCGGAGGCGAAAGGTACTGATAATGACCGCAAAGGAAAAAGCGTGAAGTCACACTATACCCAAGGGCAAGGCCAAGAAATTCGTGGTCAACAGCGACGCATGCCAGTAGCACATCAAAGCGATAAAACGAACACAACCAAAAGCACGAGACCCACCACTCCCAGTGCAGAGCTTTCGAGATCAGATGGCCCACAGAAGGCGGATGCCGCTGCAAACAAGAGAAGCCGCGATAGACCACAGACGGCAGCGCGAGCCAACTCTGCTGCTTCGAAACCATCTTCGCCAAAATCGAAAGAGAAAGATGGAAAGTCTGCAGCGAAAAAGGACAAAACTTCACCGGAGCAGGTAGGTAAAGCAGGAAAAGTGACGAAATCACAGTCAAAAAGCAGAAGTCCAAAAGGATCAAAAGAAAAGCCCAGCAAAGGTTCGGATGCAGTTGAAGACAGGGGCGGCACTGATCATGAGCCGGAGGACCAGGGAGCCGATGCGTCTCATTTCGAAGCGGAAGCCGGACGAAACGGCGCGGACGGCACTGCGGATCCACCAAGAAGCAAGGCGGTACGCAGTCGCCCAGCGTCCGCACATCCGAACAAACACAGCAAGAAAAGGAAGGATCAAGGAGAAAAGTCCGCTGCTAAACGGAAAGCTGATACGAACGACGACAGTGCCGAGATGAAAAAATTTCTCTGCCCCCCGAGTGGCGCGGGAGGAGACGCTGTAGAGCCGCGCTCCGTTCGCAGCGTCTCAAGCCTCGGCGAGCCGAGCGTCGGGGAACAAGATTCGGTCGCGGTGAAGCGAGCCAGACAGGAATTGCCGGGAACAAAGGTCGGATTTTCAGCGTCAAAAGAGCGGCGAGAGGAGGATGAAGCCCTCGGGATTGTCGAGGATGTGGACTCATTGTCGGTTTCGCAACAGCAATCCAAGATTTTTGAGGACGTGGCGGGAAAAACCGTGTTGGCGGCGAGTGATAGCGAGGAGATAGTCGAGGACCATGGGGCAGATCTTGCCGCTCTTCGCGTAGCGACAGACTTGGGAGACTCGTCTCACCATGATAAAGTCCAAACGCCAGCTGCACTTGCGCAGTCGCAGCAGCAGGAAATGGATGCGGCCAGCAATGCCGGTTCCTCTGCCAGTAGTGGAACGCACGCCGTAAGACACCGGAATTCCTTTCCCAATCTCCGACAGGACGTGCCGGCACTGGAGCTGCAGAACGGAAAGAAGCCCCAGCGCTCGCAAACGATGTACGCCCTTCGCAGAAGAGAAGATTCCGATACCGAGCCGGGAGCTGGAGCGTCTGCATCTCCAGTCCGGGCGCAATCTCATACTGCTGTGTTGAATCAAAGGAAAACCGAAGTCCAGGAGGATTTGAAACCCAAGGTCGCCCCGTCACGCAGCGCACCGTCCAAACAAGAGCAGGAGGAGGAGGACGAGGAGTTCGACAAAGATACTGAGCAAGTAGACCAGGGTGTCGCATCGGGAGACGACGGAAGAAATCCACCCAGTGAAGATCCGGAAGATTCTGGTGCAGTTGCAAGAGTCTCGTCCGACGCTGCCGCAGAGCGACACTTTCTTGCAGGAACAGTGCCGTTACACGAGCAATCGCGCCAGGACGCCTCTTCCACCGAGCATGCAGGTGCTGCCGCGGGTCTGGAAACCCAAATCGGTGTGGCTGCAGAAGGCGAAGTCCAACCAGGCGACCCGGGTCGCGAGAACGAACAGGCAAGTCACCAACCTGAAGGTGAAGACGACGCCGAGCTTCAAGATACCGACGCCGTCCCTGAGGAACCACCGGAGCCGCCCCAGCCGGTCGTGAAGGATTTAAAGTACCGTCTCGCCGCGCTGCGGCAATACGTCGAGGACGGGAAAGAGGATCTGAAAAAGGAAGCGAGTCAGCGAGACGAAAAGCGATCGGTCTTGCGAGATTTCTTCGTGAAGCGCGGCGCGGATTTCCTCGAAGTCGCGACGGAAGAGCAACTACTGGAACTTGAAGCGGAGATGATGCGACGACAATCTGAGGACGAGAAGGCCAGGAGGAAAGCGGAGCACGAAGCTGGGGCGGAAGCGAGAGTAGCGGAAAGGGTGAAGTCGTTGAAGAACTACGTTGGAGCGGAGAAAGAATCGCTGAAAAAGCAAGCGGAGGAAAGGGACCGCAAACGAGGCCAGCTCGCTTCGTTTGTGTCCGCGACGGCGGGAGAGAGTACTGCCTCCGCAGGGAAGGCAAATCGGCCTGGCGAGGTGATAAATGTGGCTTTGGCAGATGCGGAAGCGAAGTTCCAAGAAGAAGAGCGTGCACGCCTGGATGCGGAGAAAGACGAGCTTGCGCGCAGAAAGCGGGAGAGCATCGACATGGACAAGTTGCACATGACGCGGCGAGAAAAAGGCAAATTGCAACTCCACCGTCTCATCGAGGACATTCAGGAGGAATGTGAGCAGCAGCGCTACGATCCCGTGAAGGCAGCGGAGTTCGAGGATCGCGAGAAGGTTTCATCAGCGCGGTCAGCAGCGGCGAAAACAAAAACGCGAAAACCGTCGCCGGACGCCGCTGTGAGTGCGCGGAAGATGCACAGATCAGTCCTCGAGCAACAGCAAAATTTGAATCGTGACCGTGCTGCTGGGGCTAGAAACGGTGGCGCCTCCGGGCTACACCCAAAATCCTCAGCGACGACGAGTGGTGAAGCAGCGCAGCGAAAACCACTTTTCGCACTCAGTCCGAAGAAGAAGGCCTCGTCTCGGCCTGCCGCGTTGTCATTCTGTGAGCGAACTGATCGCGGTGCAGGCCAGGCCGGAGATGATTACGAGTACGGATCGGTTTATGCCTCTGGTGTTCATCTGGGACAAGACACAGGCACTGCGAATGTCGCCGCAGGACCGGATGAGGCTGCTCATCGGCGCGTCGCGGCACAAGGCATGCCGCTAATACAGCCAAAGAAGGTCCAGCCGCGGGGACACGACCAGCAGGTTGCTACAGATCTTCCCTATGGAGCACCAAAGCCGAAAGTTGTAGCTGGTACTAGAGCAGAACCAAATCTGGTGCATCAGGACAACACTGGAAAAGTAATCGAGCACAAGCCGAAACCGCTACGGATCCAGCCGAAAACAGCGACGAAAGGCAACACTGTGATTTCTGTCGACACAGATGATCGAGCAACTTCTCGAGCTGCCCTGCCTGCAATCAGCCACGGTAGCAGGAGTAGCCGGGTCGCCGATGAGCAAGCACAGCGAGATGAACTCGGAGGAGTACGCATAGTTGTAGTTGATAACGAAGCCGCTCGTGAAAGTCGCCGTCTCGCACGGGAGCTGTCAAATTGGAACGCAAAGATGGAGGACGCCAATGTTTTTGCCGACGTCGAATTTGCGGACGACGACGAGGAGAATCCCGTGAAGCTGGAAGCAGAGCGGCTGGTGAAAAACGGCCTCATTAAGGATATCAAGCAGCTGGTTGACGCCCACACCGAAATGCGTCTAGAATCCGCACGGGAAGCGTATGAAGAAGAACAGCAGCTGCTGCTAGCCACCCGCGGCCGCCGCGGGCCGCCGGCAGCAGACCAGATTCCCGCGGAGACGGTTGACGAAGTGAATTTTCTGGATGTGGAGGACGAAATTCTCGGGGAGCCCGAGCTAACCGAGGACGAATTGCAGGCGCTGAAGGAAAAAATTTTGTCGATTGAAGAAACGTTGACGGACAAGCCCGTCGGTCCTGTAGGATCTCCTTCGCGGAGGAATGTGTTTCAGGACCGGGAGGTAGAGCATGTTCGTGATGGGAATAAGAACAAAAAGGACACAGACAGAACAGCAAAATCAGACAGCGCAGCTGCGGTTCGGCCCGCGCTCCCGCTAAGTCCTGCGGTTGAGCGTCTTTTCGGGGAGGATAGAGACCCGACCGTCGGGATTGCGTCTGCTCGGAGCTACGGATCGCCCCGGGGAAGAAATAGAGATCGAGCACTACTGCCCCCACTGAACACGAGCACGACTTCGCGGTCGCAGAGAGACCCCCAGCAGGACACAACCTCTTCTATCGATATCCTTCAGACGACCATTGCGGTGCCAGCAGAAATTACAAAGAAAAAGCTGTACCATTTGCAAATGGAAAGCCAGTCGGTCGGCGACATGCTCGATCATTACGAACGTGATTTGCAGCAGCGGCTGAGCGCGCGGCGAGAGAGGGAGCGCACTAACAATGCAGATTCGTCATCGTCCGAAACGGAGACCGAAAAAGCAAATGCGACAATCGACATGGACACGGCACAGTGCCCGCACTTGCCGTTTTACCTGCAGAAGATTCAGCAGTTGCACCGTACAAAATTCGTGCCCGCGCGCCGTCAGTTGCGAGCCTTCACGAGCCTGGTGTCAGACTTGCAGCCGGAATCGTACCCCGCGGACTCGGAGAAGGTTGTTTCCGGTCTGGTACGCGAGATCGCGGAAATCCAGGCCGAGTTGCGAAAAATTGTGGATCTGAAAAGGGCTGAGGAACACTTGACCGATGAGCGGATAGCCTTCGTGGCAGCAATGGGCGGCACGGCGGAAGAACAAGCAGTAGCTGCGAAAGCAGTGGCGGAGGAGTTCTTTGCAAAGCAGCGTGCAGTGCTGGAGGAGCGGCGGCAGGAGCCAGCTCAGGAAGTTCCTGTGCAGTCAGCTGCGAGTACAGCTCGGTCTCGTCATGCAGATGAACTGAAGCAATCGAAAACTGTGCCAGTTACCGTGACCGCCCGATCTGCTGGGCCAGCGCCAACTGTTCGCTCGAACACAGCACGCAGTCTACCAGGACCAGAGCTGCTGTATCACCAAGAGCACCTCTTCAGTGGGTCCCAGCAGCAGATGCAACAGACCACGCATATTACGCAAGAAAGAAATAGCGCTAGGGTGCCGCCGCGCTTTCCTCACAGTCGGGCTGGGACGCCAGTGGAGCAGACGAGGTCCGCTCGGGATAGTAATTACGGCTCGTTACTGAGCAATAAAACGGAGAAATACGTGGCACCGCCGCTCGTCAGACCGCAGTTTCGCGGTGACTGGGATGTGACGGTCGAAAGTTCGACCTACCGCTCGCCACGACTGCGGAACCCCAAGCCGCCCAGAAATTTTATCGAGTTACCTCGTTCAGTTTTTGCAGACGAACCGGAAACGAAAAGGTTCCTGGAAGACGATGAAGTCGAGGTCATTGAGGGCACGGCTGTTGGTGCAGATAGTTGCGTGACCACTGCGGTCTTGCAACAACGAAAAGCAGCTGCGGAGGACGCAAGAAAACACCGCAGCTCGGCAAGTCGGGCCAGCGGCAAGTACGTAGATTCGGATTACGTAACCCTAACCATCGGGCCAGCGAGTTCTCTGCACACTTGTTCACCAAGAGCTGAAGCCGCCCCTGACACTACAACAACTGCAGTGCGGGAAAGCGACTCAATCAGCAGACCGACCTCGTCGGGGAAGCCAGCGCTCTCCCCGTCCCCGTATAAGCGCAATCTTTTCCCCCTTCAACCGAGACCCGTGGACGAGGTCTTGTTGATGCAGGCCTGTTACAACGACAAGCATGCCTTTTCCCGTATTCTCGCAGGTGGGTACATCCGTCGTCTGACGCTCTCCGCGGTCTTCGGGTTGTTCGTGCAAACGAGAACCGGCGCGCAGTCGCCGACGCCCTTGTCCCCGCACAACGGCCGCATTACCACTGCAGGTCTGACGCACCAAAAGTATTTTGTGGACAACTGGCTGAGTCGACAACCGGACAAAGTCGCCACCAGTCCGCGCCGCGAGCCCTCCCACCACGAGCAGGGCACGACGAGTTTCCGGAATTACCAGTACGGCGGCTCCTCGTCTTCCACCGCACCGGCCCGCGTGCGGGGGTCAAGCAACTACATCTCGCCCTTGAACAGTGCCAGAAGGGGAACTGTGGAGAAGCATTTGTCGCCCCCAATTCGTGTTGTGGATCCGGTTCTTAACCAGGAGAAAGTTTTGGCCGATGCGGTGAGGACTTACCTGCAAATAGGCGAAGATCAGCGGTGCCTGTACAACCCAGACCCGATCATCTTTCGCTACCTCCTCACGAATTCCGCCCACGTGCCGCGCGTCGAGTACTTGATCCCGACCTGGAAGCGAAGACCCGTGGCGCCGGCGAATGAAACGGAAGTAGAGTTCGCGGTCCGGATGGACGAGGAGACGAATGCTGACACGAACGCGGTTTTGCGGTACGTGCGGTCTCTGATTTCGCACAGAAACGACGCGATTGTGCGGCAGAAGCGACGTGCCGGAGACGGCGGTGAACAACCGCATGACTCAAGAACGATTGACGACATAGGACAGGAGCAAAGCAGCACCGTACGAATTAACGACGGGCGTGCTCCGGTGAAAAAAGTTCGGATTGAGGCCGCGGAACCGAAGAAGAAAAAGAAACGCAAATCCTCGATGGATGACACCTGCACAACAACAGGGAAAAAGAAAAAAAAGAAGAAAAAACGCGAAAAGTTGGAGGGACTTGACGACAGTCAAAGGGAAGGAAGCAGGGAAAGAACTGCCTCAAGAAGTAGGAACAAATCTTCCAATAAACGGCGACATGATCATACAACTGGGGCGTCTGGCTCAGGAGCCGCGCCATTTTCCGGCGCAGCATCCTCTGCACGCCCTCCCTCCCCCAAGCTCCAACGCCGGCCCGACGGCGACGGGCTTGACGTCACGCTCGACTTGGGCCTCGAAGTTGCGTCGGTGTCTTCAAGTAGAATCCATGAAGACCGTGAAGATGAAACTTCTGCACCACCAATCCTTCTGAAGGTTTCCATGAATGTGTCGTCGTCCGCCAGTTCTGGCGATGTAGAGGAACCACAACCGGGAACCAAATCTCTGCCAAAAAAAGAAGCGATCGGCGCGTATTCTACACCAGCTTCGCCGATCACAAAGTACACGATGTCCGTTCAGGATGGCATCCACGACGTTTCCCTCGACCCGCCCGAGGAGTGGCGCGAGCAGCTCGAGCGCGAGTACGAGGCAAAGCGAAGACTGGAAGAGGACTACACGCATGTCTACGAGAAGATTGCGGATCCGGATTTCGAAAAGCTCACGTCCGCGCGCATTTTCGGGTCGCCGCGGATGTCCCCGAACAGCCGGCGACGAATGCGGCGCGCGGTCGAGTACTACTTCGACGCATACGGCAACGTGGTCGACGGGAAGGCGCTGGAACGGGTTTCGAACTGTCCCACACAGGTGTCCAAAGCCTACGTGCGGAATTTGACGAACGATGTGTACACGAGAATCATGACGGAACGGATCATGCAGGAGCAACTCACCCTGTTTCAGTACAACTTCTACCGCTACCGTGTGGTCCCGCCGTACCTGGCGAATTTGTACGAGACGCAAATCGACGACATGATCCGCAAGGCGTTTGTGAAGAAAAATTTGAAGGAGGTGTATCTCTACTCCCTTGCGATGTGGCGCAAGATCGAGGACGAGCGGCTGGCGGAGCTCGCGGAAAAACGGCGTCGGGAGGCGGAGGAGGATATGCAATGTAAATTTCCCGTACATGTATAAAATGCATGACAAATTCCGCTAACTTGCAGTGTACAACTTGTCATGCTAGACTAGGATTGAAGGCAAGTTTTGCTTTTGTCATGCAGAGACTGCATTTGTACGGGAAATTTACTGTGGATAGAGGAAAGAAAGCGGTTAGAGCGGGAGCAGAGAATGCGCGAGGTCGAAGAAATCTTGCTCGGACGGTCGCCGACAGACGGGCAAGAGCAGAATGTCGTGACCTCGCTAGCGGACACGTCCAATCTCGAGGAATTGCGTGTCGGGCTCGGCGACCCGGTTCTAAGCCCAAGGGTGGATCTCGGCGCGGCTGGTGGTGGCGGTGATAGAGATAGCACCGCGGCCTTTGGGACGATGACGAGCCGACGGGGATCTCCGCGGCAGAAGCCGAGACACTACAAGGAGTTGCTGGAGCAGCAAGCGCAAGCGGAGTCACTGCTAGATGATGACTTTGGAGATGTGTTGCAGCGGTATTCGGAGCATTTGGAGTACGACACGCGGCACCAGGAACTGAAAGCGTCAATCAATCAAGTGGAGGAAGAGGCTCGGCGTGCGAAGGAACTGGTGTCGCAGATGAACACTGATGTCGCGAACAGAAAGCTCGAATCTACTTCGCAAGATCTCAGCACAGGAGCGAGCAAGGCCAGATCCCCTGCCGCAGCTCCGAAAAAATCTTACTACAGTTTTCTTCCCTCGATCTTCGAACTCGCATGGCAGGAGATCTACGATAGGGAAGTGATGCGGGCGGAATTGAAGCTGATGGCGGCGGAGGATCGGGACATTTTGACGGAAGATGAACTACGGCGACTGGCGGAGGAAGAGGAGCTGCGAAAGAGAGGCTTGTTGGAAAAGCAGGAGTTCGCGAAAGTGTTGCTTTCTTTCTTGTACCGGATTGTCATCGACAAGATGACTGCGGAGCAGGGGGTTGGAACGGAGCTTGTTGACGGCGTCTTGTTGAACATGAACAACTACTTTTTGGATGAAAAAGACACGTTTGAAATTCTCGCTAAAAGTGACCGGGAACGAAACGAGCAGTATCGAAACATGCTCGCAGGGCAAGAAGAGCATCAAGGGACAGTACTACAACAAGACGACGCAGCGACAGTTGCTTTCGGCGAGACAGCTTTCAGTTGGGACCAGAATGTCACACTGCAACTTGACCCTGGCACAGCTGGTGTTCTCGGCGAAACAGGAGCCCCGCCAGCGGGGTTCGGAGATGAAGAGGACCCGAACCAAGCATTCGCCGACCGTGGCGCGCCAACATCAACTCTCCAGCTCAGCAACACAACTTTGTTTGATCATGATGTTGCGCAGCAGCAGCAGCACCACGATCCACATGCGGCACTTTTCGAGCACGCTCTGGACTATCCGATCCCCCCGGCCTGGTTTGAGAACCTGGAGCAAAACGAAGTTCAATCCGTAGTCGGCGTCAACAGTGCTTCCGACGCCAGTTACTTCGAGCACGAACATGAGTACCTCGTCATCCGCGCGGTTGCGACGGTGTACGTGGATTACTTGACCGATCCGAAAAAGCGCATAAACGGGGAGATGGTAGATCTAGCGAAATCCCAAGCCGAGTCGATCCGCATGATGCAGGACGAATTGAGGCGCTTAAGGGACAACCTCCGGATGCACGGGCTGCTTGGCGCGGAGAGTCAAACGGGCTTAATTCCGGACCACTTGCTCATTGGGGGAGAGCAAGACGAGAGCATGCAAAACCTCTTCCGCACCGACACAGTCCCGTGGCGCAACGCAACGAAGATCCAAGCCTGGTTTCGGGGTATTCTCGGGCGCAGGATCTACAAAGAGGCGCTGTTCCGAAAACTCCGGTGGAAGTACAATCGCATCCGGACCGGCATTGCGTCCGCACGGAACCGCGACTCGCCTCTGGGCTTCAACCCGTTTGTCTACCACTTGCCAGTGATGAACAACGTCGGAATTCAAGCGGAAGAGGCCAGCGGGGTAAATTCTTCGATGTTTGCTGAAATGCTGGATGGCGCGGCGAGGCAATTATTTCCTCCAGAAGGAGAACGAGACAATGTGAACAGCAGACCGGATTTTTCCAGCCAGGAACTTGTAAACCAGGGAAGCAAAGCAAGTGCGAGTGCCCAGGAAGACGATCTGCAAATTGGTGTAGTCCTTGACGAGGACGATGATGGCGACCACGAGCTCGAGCGCGTCGGCTCCGACGCGATTCCAGGGATGAGTGCGAGTGCTGCCGGCCGGCCCACCAGTGCGCACCCCTCGCGATTACGAACCGTGGTGCGCACGCAAATTGCGTTGCGGCGGGACGGCAAGCAGGGAACGCAGGAAAGCTCGGCGAGTCTTGGCGACCCCGGGATCGACGATGACATGCTCGATGTTGCACACCTCGACGGGAGGAATTTGACACAGAAAAACTTGCCATTCCATATCGGCGCCGACAACTACGATTTGTTTTCTTTGGCAGCAGATGACTACGACGACTTCGACGCGCTGGAAACGGAATCAGGTCCGGCGGTTCTGCTTGTCCCGTCTCCTACGCTTGATGATGCTGACGACCCGCTGATGGCCAGTTTGGGACGGGATCGGTTCTTAGGTACGATGCACAATGGGCAAAAACTGGGGGACCAGGCTGCGTTTCTTCCAGAGCATCAACATGTAACGAGTCAGCAGGAAGATCATGATCAAGGCCTCGACCCAGGCGATCCTGACGCAAGCGCGACCGAAAACAACACGAAGAAGCGACCGGAGCCTTTCTTCCCCACCCTCATTTCGCATCAGGACTTTTCTCCTCGCTATGCACTTCGCCAGCGCGGGGCCCGGTCCGCTCCGAGCTCGCCGCGTTTGGCCTATCGAAGGCGGCGCTTCTACGCCGAGCGGTCGCGCGATCCGTCGTCAAAGTATCCGCATTACGCTTTTGCGGAGGAGCCATCGCAGGAGGATCCACGAGTGCCGAGGTGCCTCTGTCTGCTTTCGGTCGTGACAATTTACTCTTGTTCGGTGTGTTTTCGAATTCGGACGAGCTAGCGATTTATATACCGAATCCATATCCAACTCAACTTGACATAAACAGGTTCTCCACGGCGTTTATCGAGCAAAATTACCCCTTCGCTCTGTACACACCTGTTTCCTCGTCAGCTGGCGACTCGCAGTCACAGGGCGAGCCACCGCCACCCGTGGAGATTCACTACCTGCAGGACTTGCTGAAGTATGCATTTGAATTGTCGATGCGATCATTTCAATTTATCATTTGCATTTCTAAGAATGAGTCATCGTTTCAGTTTTCTGTTTTCAAAATAAAGTCAATAAACGATCGGCTTTATTTGCTTTTCATTTTGTTCAAAACGATAAAATACTATCAGGTCCGAGATCATCGATAGTCGCCGCACGTCTGAGATATCAGAAGTCAAAGATTTCTTGGAATTTCTGGACCATGACTTCTTCATGCACCCGGTTCCCGTGGAAGATCGTGTTTTGGACCTGCAATCCCTCGTTGGAGCGGTGAAAAAAATCGTCCGAAAAGTCTTGACGGGCGGCAAGTACAACAAAAGTTTATCCTCCGCCGCATTGGAAATCGTTGCGCAGCGGCATCCCTTGGGCGAGGAGAAAGAAATCACTAGCGCGGAACGCCGGAAGAAGCAGAAGATGAGCAAAATGGCCAGTGTCGACAATATCGGCGAAGCCAAGGCAGAAAATGAAAACGTGATGAAGAAGACAGCGCTTGAACAAGAAGTGGAATCCTGTCGTGCACTCTTTTCCGCCACCGAGCTTGACCTGCTTTCCCGTCTGCTACCCTTCTGGCGCAAAGTCGCGGCCACCGTCGCAGCGGACGCCGACCTGCAACAAACAAAAGCGAAAAGGAAAGACGACAGCGACAGTGAAAGTAGAATTTTCGGGGAAGAGAAGAACTTCCTCGATTTTCTGCTGAATCTCCGAACCACACTGGAGCGCCTGGTCGTCCAGCACAACGACGGACTTTTGAAAGGCGTTGCGACGGACTTCATGGACACTCCAAGACGCAAAGCATTTGAGAAGAGGAAAAAGCAGAAACTTCGCAGACTCGGCCTGCCGACGAAAAAACACGTAAAAAAGAGCTTTGCCTCGCCCCGCGGAGGCGGGGGCGATGACCTTCCCTACAGTGCGAAATTATTCCCGCTCTCAACCTTTCTGTCCGACCGCGGTGGCGACAGCTCATCATCGTCCTCGGACGCAGGCCCCGGCCGGCACTTAGCCTCACAGGAAGCAAGTGTGGAGCTCTGGGCTGCGTCGCGCAGCCGACACGGTTTCTCTGTCTCTGACGCAGGTGGAGAGGACCATGAGTACAACTACTACGACCAGGATCGCTCGACTTTTGAGCAGCAGTATGCGGAAAATCAAAATGATCACGAAAGAGAGCAGATCGACCGCCGGTTAAACCGCGGCTTGAAATCCGTGTACACGAAGCGACCGTTGATGAAGTGGTACCGCGAAACGCACCCGATCCCGAACGCAGATGCTTTTGCACGAAACTTGGTTCGGGCGAGACGTGTGGTGAACCGCGAGGAGAAAATCGACACGATTATCGAGAAAGAGCTGCAAAATCCGGAGGAAACTGTGATTAGCGAATTCCTGACGAAACAGGAATTAGAGCAGAAAAACAACGACTACTACGACCGACGGGAGAAGCGGGCGCTGTGGCAAGAAGATTTTGCGCAGCAATCTGCGAGGCGATCAGCGCGGGGAGAATTGCAACAGCTTGGGCACGCCGAAGAGGTGGAGTTTCTTCGTCATCTGATCGCGCCGTACGGGGCAAAGACGGAGGCACGATTCCTCCGGCCGCCGTCTTTGAAGACGAAATTCGGTATGGGGATGACGACGGAGAGTTCTACTGCGGGACAGCCACGAGCAGTGCGGTTTGAGACGCAGACCCAGAAGCAAAATCGGGAACGGAGTCCCCCGGGAGAGATCGTCAAGGAGGAACTACTTTCGGTGGAGCTGTCGCAAGAAATGCCAACAAATCTCCGGTCCAAAACAGAACAGTCCCTCTGCGAAGACGACTTTCTGGCGCACTTCGCTCGCGAAGACCACATTTTGTCTGCGCGGCGACGGAAGAAACAGGACCAGAAGCGGGAGTTGTTTGAGCAGAACAATTTAGACCGTAGAGGCCGGAGCCAGCAGCTCCACACGAGAGCAGGCGCATCTTCAGCGGCATCGTTTCAAAATGGCCGTAGTCCCGTGCAAGAGCGAGCGGCAGTAAGCGAATTGGAATCCGCCGTCGTCACCGATTTTTTGCACCGAACGGCGCAGCGAAGAACTTCTCCTCCGCGCGTGCTTTTTCCCGTGTCGCAGCAAGTAGTTTCCGGCTCACCTCCGAAGCAGGCAAATGCCGACTACAGGCACGAGCTGCGACTGGGCCAGAGTCCGGACCTCTTCCAGCGCCAGACACTCGGCAGCGCGCTCCAAGACGCCTTGCAGCAAGCGAAAGGCCGGTCGGTAAAGGACGCTGTCTTGTCCGAAAAAGCTGGCAGGGATGAGTTGTGAGCCCTTGCCGTAGCAGGTGTGGGTCTGCTCGAGTCGTACAGGAACAGCTTGGGCAGAACGCATTTGCACCCAATAAAACCCTCTCTGTAAAATTTAAATTCATAACCTATATCAACTACGGCTGAAGCGCAAAAATGTATATTGTACCTACTTGTTACTATACTTACTTAGCTTGCGAGTCTTCACCTTTTTTATTCAGTCTTACTTGCTAAACAGTCATCGAGCAAACAGAAGCACAAATGAATGATTCGGTAAAACCTACACCACAGTGTGGCCGTCCCTGCATGTTTTTGTTTTGCGTATACGGTTTTTACGATTTTTTGCACAAAGACGAAAAGAGAGTCACGCCGGCACGGTCGAACCTCACGCCTTCGACGCTGTTTCTGACTTTGATGAGGGTGTACAGTACTTCTTGTTGCTACCGTTGCCTTTTTTGACTCCTCTCTTTCTCGTGCAACTGCAAAGATCTTGTCCCATTCATTTTTCGAAAGCTTTATCAGCACTGCACGGCTGACATGATTACGTTGAGCTTATTGTTGGCGTTGAGCATGATGCTGGAGCTGCGATAATTTACGCATGTACAATGATAGATTCGGGAGTCCCTTTGTAACAAATACAAAACGATGTACGACCTGCATGATATGTCCTACACCTCAAGCGAGCTGATTTTAATGAGAGACCACAGCGGCACAGTTTCAATCTCGAAAGCAGCAAAAATTTCGACACTTGTCGACGTCGGACTCGGTGCCGAGGCCGTGTTCCTCGAACCTAATTCATTGGCACTGTTACATTCGCATTCGCTCGAGTCTGCTCAGTCCGTCGCAGTACCATCGAAGAGAGAGTTGAACGTGTATGCGTTGTGAACCGTAGGTGGCCATGTTTTCTTGATTGAGTTGTACTAGGAAGACCCGCTTTATAGAAGGTTCGAGCTTCGCCGTATCGACTCGACCACCTTTAGACAGTTTCAGTTGTTGTATATCAAGCAGAATTACCAGCCTGTAAGTGCATGATATACTGTAAAATCCATGATGTTTTTTCTTCTTGCCGAAGTGAATGTTTTTTTATTGAAGTCGAAAATCCTTCTAGTCCACGCAGAGGTTGCGGTTGTAACCAGCTGCCTGAGAAAAGGTTTTTTCTGAAACTAAGTAACGACGTACTACTAGTAGTCAAAGTCTTCATTGCCCTGGATTATAGAGCCTGCTCGATCTGCATCTCTTCATCAAGACGCAGAGTCTTTCTTTCCGGTGCGCAGCACCAGAGCTCTGCACGAGTGAAGGATAAAGAAACTCTACAGAAGTCTCCGCCTGGACATCACAAAGCATTGTCGTGTCTCCGGTAGCGCATACCCTCCAGAGGACTTTGCAGCGGCGAGCAACCCTGAAACAGTTTTGGCAGTGCGACGCGGCGACGATGGCTCCAATTTAGAAACCGGTCATGGCTGACGACGAAGTAGGGCTTCCTGAACCGCCTCTGGAGGTGCCGGAAGGTGCAGCTGCGGCTGACGTTGAGGAGCAAGCGTCGCCGCTGTTGAGTCCTGTGTTACCGCACCCGGACTCGGAAGAGGGTCACCACGGCGTGGTGCCAGAAGCAGATTTGACAGACAAACCGGTAAGAACAGGACTTCTAGTCGTGCATGTTGAAAGTGATTTATGTGAAGCAGACACGGCCGTCGCCATGGATGTTGTAGCGCTGTTTCCTCTAGCCTGAGTGAAGAATCTTAGTGCGTTAAATTTCAAAGCGTCAAAGTTAGTAGCCAAAGGCACAGCAGACGTAATAAAAATGATCGAAAACATAAAACAGGTCGAAGACAACACGCTTCATTACTCGGCTGTTGAAGAGGTTTCCCTGCTCGCCGATGAAGACGGCGAACAGGAACAGGATCGGGCCGAGCCGGAAAGTTTTGCGTTTTCCGACGCTGTTTCCGAGGACGAGGACGCGGCTCAACAACATTTGAGAAGGAACCTCGCGAGCGACGGGAAGACAAACTTAAACGCAACCTCCAACCTCGTCGATGTCGACGACTCTTTCGAGATCCGAGGCGTGCTCAGCGGCGCAGTGCCGGCCGGCCCTTTTGAAACCTCCGTCTCGGATTTCTCGTCCGATGGTTTCCCGGACTCCGCCAGCGGGGGTGCAGCTCCCAAGCGCAGAAAGCTGCTGCTGGAACACGAGACACCGCACAATGTGAATGCCGAGCGGTTTTCCTATCCTGTTTTCGATAGGCGCGAGTTGTATCACGCCGGGAACAACGGGAGTGGTCTTGAAAATAAGCACCAGATCTGCAGCTTCGTGAACGAAGACCGCGACGGCGACGATGCTGACATTGACGACGACCTTGAGGATTTCGGTCTCGATCGCGAATCTGACCAGGCCCAATCGTTGCCATCCAGCGCAAACGCGTCGCGGACCAAGTTGATCAGCGATCCCATCGTGAAAAGCGCCGGACGAGCTGCATCGTCGTCGTCCAGCAAAGGGACTGCAGAAAAGCCTGGGTGCGGCGCAGAAGGAGTAGGCCAAGAGTTTGCTGCAACTGTTGCGGAGGGAATCAAACAACCAGCGTTTTCGCCAGTGCCGGCAGGGGCCGACGGTACTTGCTCATTTTCATTGTGCGCGATGAGTTAGAAAAGCTCGAATAGCTCTCGTAGGGTTGTCTATCGCTATGTGATGTATGTATGAAAAATTGTAACATGGCGAAAATAAATCTTTTCCGCAGCTCAGCTCTTCGTCTACCTTGTAAATAAAGTTGAAGATGACATTTCAAATATTCGGACCAGGTGGGCTTTCGCGGCAGCGCTCAGGGGAGCATGCACGACTTAGCAAGTGCGAACGCGAAAAGGGAATTGCCAACAACTCCGCACGGATATCTGCCGTTTCCCCGATTTCATACCGGTCAAATGCCCCGTCCGCCGCTAGCCGTGGCAGCAGTATTTTGATGACAGTTCTCTGTTTTGTAAATTGTATATGCATCATGTATGAGCATGATGTACCTAACTTGTCGTTTTCCTGAGAGTGAAGAGTGGAACCTTTCCTCAGTTCACGCACAGCTTTGTGTTTGTGATGTTCAACACTTTCACCACAGATCTTGCTGACCAAGAGATTCTGAACTCCATCGGGGGTAGAAGTGGAGCCGACTACGTCGCCAGAGAATCGCGCAGCGGCGAGGTCGAAGTCGGTGGGTCTGGACCGTCGCGCTCCTCCAAGCGCGCCCGGTCGGTGGATCAGGAGTTTGCACTGGATACGCATAACCACAAGCAATTCAAAAGCGGCGACAGTGGCAATCCTGCAGCAACGGCTGAAAACGAACAGGAGCAAGACCTAGACAAAACGAAGTATGGCGCCACCGACAGCGACGGGCACGAGGGAGAGAAAAAGCCCGCCCCTGCAGCTACATCATCTGCGTCCACTGCACCCGCTGCCGTTGTCGAAAACGCCGTGGCAAACCTAAACGCGTCCTCCGTCGACGACTATGAGACGCCCCTGTTCGGGCCAGACCCCAATGATATGTACGGCTTCGCGTTGGCGCCGAAAGCCAAGTCGAAAATCGGACGGCAGTCTTCGAAAGCCGCGCTCGAGAGGTCCGGCCTGGCGGATTACCCCGGCGTTAGTGCAGGTGGTGACGCTCAAGAAATGGCAGACATCACGCCGAGCTCCATGGCCATGTTGAAAGAGCAGCTGAAGAGCGTTGCGGAGACCGGCCGTGTCGTTAGTCCCGAGAAAGTACTTGCGGAAAAACAAGCGAAATCCAAGAACAGTTCCGCTGAAAGTGAGCCAGGCCCGCGTGGGCCCGCCTCACCAGCGAAAACCGGTATCCGACCTTCATCGAAGGTCGCGGCAGCACCGCAGGCGGTCGTCGCGCAACCGCAACAAGAGGAGTTACATTCGCTACCGCGCCAGCGATCGTCCAAAAGCCTCACGGGCCGGCTCATACAACCACCAAGTGTAGTGGTCAACACTGCGAAGAAGGAAGATCATGGTACCGCTGAAGGTGATGTGGAGATCCCTTCCGCGGAAGTTGAACAGGATCAAGAGCTTGCCGTGCAGGAAACCAAAAGGACTTCTGAGATAAAAGTCCGTGCAAACTTGATGGTGATGCCTGCACTGAAGGGAAAGGGCAAAAGCAAAGATGACGCGCCAGCACCGCACGACCAAGAAGCTGCACAAAAGGGCTTGGATTTTTCGCATCCACAGCCTGCGTCTTCGTCTTCGGCCAGCAGCAAGAGTGCCTACAGCCATCTCCCAACCTCCACGCATGCCCATTTCCGGGCAAAGCGCAAGTCCGCACACCAATCGCAGCTACAGCAGTTGCAACAGCAACTGCCACAAAATCTTCGGGAGGAAATTTACGACGACTGCACCGCATTGACGCATTTGGACGAGCTGTCCATTCTCGAGAATTTACGGAAGCGGTACGCGCAATTCCAGATCTACACCTCCGCGGCGAAAGTCTTGCTCGCGGTGAATCCTTTGACAAAGGGGAAGGAGATCGACGCGCTGTACTCGGACGAGCGGAAATGCTTGTACCAGGACAACGACACGCGGCTGAAACAGCCCCCCCACCCCTACGGGGTCGCGGACGCGGCCTACCGCCAGATGCTGCACGAAGGCCAGTCCCAGGTGCTCATCATCTCCGGGGTGTCGGGTGCGGGCAAAACGGAGACTGCGAAGATCGCAATGGGGTAGATACTTTAAATTGTGTTTCAATCGCTAAGTTAGTAGAAAACCATTGCCCTGGCACATCGTCATCTTCTCCTTTTTGATCGTGGTCTAAATTCCTGCTCCCTGTTGTGGAAAGCAGTTTTTTTATTTTGCTCGCAATAAAAATTTCGAATCTTTTCTTCATACTAACTTCAGGTACCTGGCCTACCGTTCCCGGTCGCACGAGATGGAGGCTCTGCAGCTTGCGCAGAAGATGCTCGATGTAAATCCGGTCCTGGAAGCTTTCGGAAACGCTGCTACGGTACGGAACTGCAATTCGTCGCGATTCGGCAAGTACAACGCACTCCTCTTCAACGTCGTCGGCCATTTGCAGTCCGCCGAAATCCGCGCGTTTCTTCTGGAATCCTCTCGCGTCACTAGTTACGGCCAGGGCGAGCGGTCGTACCACGCTTTTTACGAGCTCCTCGCCGCTTGCGACGAAGAATTTCTTGCGGACCATGGGCTGTACCCGACGACGAAATCTTACCGCCTGGCGAAGGAGGAAGACATCGGCCGTGGCGCCCCCCACGGCGTGTTCAAGCGCGACGACGCTGCGAACTTCTTGTCCTTGCAAACGGGGCTGCAAAACGTCTTTCCGTCGGAAAAGGGCGGAGTAGAGCCCATTTTCAAACTGCTCTGCGGTCTCATCCATCTGGCGGAGATTGACATTGTGAACGTGGAGCAAAACCTCGCCTCTGATGCGCTCCGGTTAGACAATGAGGCGAGTGTCGAGGCGGCTGCGACGATTCTCGGTATGGTGTCTGTTGCTCTTGAATTCTGTTCATGATCATGAGTTGATCTTGATGTTGAACACTTTTCATCATTTTCTCTTTTTACAACAGGTCGCTGGCCATTTTTTCAAATTCGGCTGACTTTTTTTTTCGCGTCAATCACCTGCGCCCGCTACCTGCTGGTCGTTAGCCGTGAAAACAAGGATTTTTCTTTTTTTTCATGCGTTTTGCATTTTTCACACGGACTCCTGGAGCGTCGAAAACTGTGACTGTGTTTGTGTAAAAAATGCTCGTTGATCCCAACATGAAAATAAAACGCTCAGGACTCAGTGTGGACAAGCTGACAGAGGTTTTGACCACGAAGTGGGTGGTGATTGCGGGTCGCGACTCGTACCAGGTCGCTCGCACCCAGCCCCAAGCCATCGGGCTGCTGCACAGTTTGAGCAAGTTTCTCTACCGCAAGCTTTTCGACTACGTGGTGACGAACGTGAATGCTTCCCTCCACGGGAAAGACCATTCCACCAAGCGGAACAACTCTCCGAATTTGTCCGCGAGTTTGTCACCGAACGACATCAACCCGGATCTTGGCATCGGTACTAGCAACCTCCCGCCCCACCAGCAGACCATCGGAATCCTCGACATCTACGGTTTCGAACAACTCGAAGCGAACTCGTTCGAGCAGTTGTGCATCAACTTAGCGAACGAGCATCTGCAGCAGTTTTTCATTGACAATGTGCTCCTCGGGGAGCAGGAGCTCTACAGCCGCGAAGGGCTGAAGTGGACCAGCATCGACGTGCCGCAGTGCGGTCCCTGCGTCAGCGCGATCGCGGATTGCTTCCGCATGCTGGACGACGCGTGCTTCCGCGTGGGGCGCATGTCGCAAAAGGAGGTCACGGCCGCGACCTACACGCAGAACGTGCACGTGCACTTCAAGACCGGCGAGCGCGCCCGGCAGCACGGCATCGTGAAGGAGCCGAAACGCGGTCGGGGGGTCACCGAAGTAGACAGCATCCTGAAGTCGGAGGGATTCGTGATCACCCATTTCGCCGGTGACATCACGTACCACACGGCCGGGTGGCTGGAGAAAAACAACTCCCGGTTGGACGCGGAGCTGGAGAAAGTGGTCGCACTCTCGAGCAACTCTCTCGTGTCCAAATTTGTGCTCGAAGAGTCGGACAAATTCCAGGCCTCGCCGCGGAATCTGCTGGCGGACGGCAGCAACTTGAATCGCGAGCAAATCGACGTGATTGGGCGCGCCAATCGCAAGGGCGCCAACGCGACGCTGGCCACGTTTGACTCCGTGAGCCGCAAGTACCTGGGCGACTTGCAGGCGTTGATCACGACCCTGCAGGAAGCGAACCTCCACTACATCCGCTGCTTCTGCCCGAACGCGGTGCAGGAACCGCACTTTTTCGACAAACCCGTGGTCCTGAACCAGATGCGCGAGTCCGGGACGTTTCAGCTCGTCGACATCATGCACCGCGGGTACCCGCACCGGTGCGACTACAAAATGCTGGCCGCGAAGTTCCAGTCCACGATCAAACTGCCGGACGAGTTATCAAATGTAAAAATGTCTGGGTCTGGAAGATTGCCAGGTGCAGGTTTGTCATGCACATTTTGCATGACTCCTGATGTCTGTGATGCATGCCCTAGCATCACAGATTTTGTAACGGCTTCCTGATGCCTATACCGCATGACAAATGCTCTTTCCGTGTAGCAAAACTTGGACTCTCTTTGCTGCTCATGCAGTACAGATTTTTTTAGAGTCCAAAATCTGCATGACAAGTTGGACTCTTCCAGACCCAGACACTTTTACAGTTGACACGAGTATGAGGCCTACGACGCCAGAACGTTCATCGACCTGTTGATGCTGGTCCTGGAAGTCCCGAAGTGCGACTACGTGATGGGCATCTCGAAATTGTTCCTCAAATCGGGGAAGCTCGCGATTCTGCAGAAATTGTTGGCCGACAACGCGAGTCTGCAGGTGTCCGCCGACCTCCGCCGGTTCTTCACGAAGAAGAAGCTGAAACGCTGCTTGCTCGCTGTCCGGTTCGCCGTCTTTTTGAAAACATTCATCAAGAAGTGTCGCCGCGAAAACCTCGAAAAGGGGATGGTCAGTGCGGCGCGCACCTTCGTGCGGTTGGTGCGGTGGCGCAGGCGTGCGCAGCGCCGCCTGAAATCCGAGAGCAACGTGACGACCCTGGTACGCGGGATTCGCCTGCAGATCGAGTTGCGGAAGTGGCTGCAGCGACTCCTCAGGCGGGTGCGGTTGTGGAAAGCTGTTTTGCGATTTGCCCTGTTGAAGCCGAGGATGGCCGCGGTCGTCGACCGCTTTCGACAGCGTAAAATAGCCCTCCGCGAACACCGTTACCGCCGGTGGCTGCAGGGATCTCTGCTGTTCGCGCACGTCAAGAAATACGTCCGGAGAAGAGTCGCACAAATGCGAATCCGCAAGCAGCAGCTGCGGCAAAATGTTGCCCTTCTCTGCGGAGTCCTGAAAGCAAAGATAGCTTTTTCGAGAGCTCTGTCGGGGATCCGCAAGGCGCGCAAGGAACTGGCCGAGCAATTTCTCCACTTGTTCTTCCGCCGTGCCTTGTTGGTCTCGAAGTTCAAACAGTACGTTGCAGGACTCAGGGCCCGTATCGCAGAGAAGCATGAACGAGCATCAAAAGCAAAGCGGAGTGAGGAGCTGTTGTGCGCATTCTGGCGCATCAGTCTGCTAAAACTCTTCCTGCGCCGCCGTTCCAATACCAGACGGCTCATCAAGCAAGCAGCGGAAACGCGCCGCGCGGAGATCGCGAAGCAAAACGTTTCTGCCTTTGCCCGTCACGCGCTGCTCACCGTTGCGCTGAAACGATTGCTGCAAACTGCCAGAGTGTCCCAACAGCAGCGTCGAGTGAAGAGGACAAGGGAGTTGGTGGAGTCCTTCGCGCGGGGGACTCTGATGTTCGTCCACGTCCGGAAATTTTTCCGCGCCGCCGTCGCCGAAAGGCGCGCCATTCGAAGAGTCCGGGCGCAAAGATACTGGGACTTCTTTCTCCGCTCGGTGCTGTTCCGGGTGTGTCTGCGCCTGCACATCCGCGACTGGCGCTTCAACAGGGCGCTGAAGCTCGAGCAGGAGAAGAGGCGACAAAAGAAACTCCGGGTCGAGGCGCTGCTGCAAAGTCTGGCCCGCGGTTGCCTGCTTGCCGTGCACCTGCGCAGCTTCGTGAATGCTCGGAGACTGGGCGCTAGGCGGATCTTCGAGTTTTTGAAGGAGAGTGGGAAATCGAGGGAGAACAAAAAAGAGGCATTGTTGTCCCTGGTCGATGCGCATCGGAGGAAACGAAAATTCGCTCGCGTTAATAACGTCGGTTCCAGTTTTCCACCTTCGCTCCCTCGCGTCGACGACATCTTCTGCAAGATCATGCACTTGCGCAGACTGCAGCTTCGCTGGCGCGCCTACAGAACCGCCAGAAAGCGGGACGAGAAGGACAAGCGCATTCAGCATTTTTGGCGCAAATTCGTGCAAGGAGCCCTGCTGGTGCTGCACAGCAAGAGATACATTCGCAGGAGGAGGTACAAACGGGACCTTACGAGGTCCTTCGCGCGGGCTGTTTTTTTCTCGATCCGGCTGCGACGCTGGATCCGCAGCATGAAAGAAACGTTTTTTCTTCGCCGCGTCGAAGACCATGTTGCGCGCGTGCACACCCGAACGAAATTTTTGCAAATTGTCACCGGTCTGGTGTTGTTCAAGCGGGCAGTCAAGGCCTGGGTGCGCAAGCGACGCGCACGGCGCAGTGGATCGACTTCCCTCAAAACCCCCGCGCCTGAGTCCCCGCTGCTGCAGAAGTTTGTTGCCGCAACGCGCCTGTTCCGCCTGCTCCGAAGGTGGATCAAGGCCTCTCGGCAAATTACGCAGCAATCTTTGCTGGTGGTTGCGAGGTCGTGCCAATCGGAAGCAGTAGTAGTAGAGCCGGCCATTAAAGATGATAGCCTGATGAAGGACAACAAGAAACCAGACCGCGCGAGCTCCCTTCGGGTGAGCAGCACGGTATCCACCTTTATCAGCGGAAATTCAGCTGCTACCTCTTCTTCCTCTACCGCTCTTCTGCCGTCGACCGAGTCCGCAATTGTTAGTGTCGGAGGACCCGCCGAGGATGAACGTGTGATAGACCACCAGAGCGGTGGTGAGTTGGTGCTCGCAAACAGCGCTGTGAATACGAACAGCGATGGCACCGTCGTGACCATGACAGCGGCGAGTTTTTCCCAGCTGGTAAATCGCATTGGTTCCTTGGAACAGCAAGTCAAGTCCTTCAACGACCATATGGCGTTCTCAACTGTGACATTCTCAACTCTTACATGAATTTGTGATGCAAGAGTGGCAAAAGTCAAAACAAACCAGGGAGGTTGCACCTGTAGCATTACAAATTCTGCACAGATTTAGGTACTGTTTAGCCTTTCAAAAATTTGCCATGCGAAGTAGCTTCACCTTGTGGATGTTGATGTATATTTTGCATGGCAAATCTATCATGTAACAGTTGAGAATGTAACGTGTGAGAGTCCCATAGACCAGCGCGAGCGCATGGAATCACTCGAGCGCGAGGTGGCGAAAGTTCCGACCTTGGAGCGACAGGTGAAGTCGCTCGGTAGCGAGGTGCGACGCACGAATTCCCGGCCTGCGGTGTTGCGCGACAGCAAAAGCGTCGGCGAACAGAGCTTACGGGCCGCTCCTGGGACAGCGGGACCACGCTCAGATCGAGGAGATGATCATGTCTCAGCCGTTGCGCAACCTGGTAGTTCCAAGGGAGCTGCGTCGAGCTCAAGTTCCAAGCGGCCCGACCAAGCACAGCAACAACCGCATTCCAGTAGTTGTAGCGGAAGAATTTTGGTGGACCTCCATGGCAAGAACCTTGTTCATCGCGACCAGCGTGGCTCTACGTCCGTCGCATCGCGTTCGCGGGACGCCCCGATCTTTACCGGTGGACGCGAGAACCACGTAAACACGTCGCGGTCGCGGTCGCGCAGTAAGCCTCTCACAGGTGCACGGCTGTCCGACCACCAACCCGGCGACAGTAAGAACCTGAACGGCAACATCAACCCCGCACGCATGTCGGTGATACGGCCGAGCCCCTACGGTGGTGGGGGCCCAAATCACCTCGTGACACCTATGTCGGCCGCATCCTCCATCAAGAATCGCGCGCTGTTGCAACACAGCAAAGACAATGACAAAGACCACGACATCCTGAATCTCGGCCGTTCGTCCTCCTTGCGAATCGACCCGACGGGGTCGCTGAGCGGCGCTGCCAGGAGCAGTGGCGCCCTGCATCAGATATGCGAGGACGACGACGCCAGCATGCAGCAGAGGCAAAAGTCGTTTTCCTCGGCGCTGCCCCGCGCGTCCTGTCGAAGCCGGTCACGAAGCAAAAGCGGATCCCTGTTCGGGGCCGCGAATCAGCGCGGACCTAGTGTTGGCGAGGGTGAACAAGATCATGCCGTCGAAAACAAGGAAAACGTCGAGCAAGTGGGCAAGTCACTGCGAAAGAAGAGTCATCCCCTGCAAGATTTGCACATCGACATGTCTGAGGGGGTGCAGCAGATTCTGCACAGCAGCAGTACCAAGAACGCAGATACAGAACGAGGTGCGCAGGCGGCACTGCGGAACGGCTCGTCGCCGAAAAATGACTCTACAGCATCTGATGTTGTTGCCAAAGGCTCGGAACGAAAACCAAAAGATACAAGCAGGTAACAAGGTTTTCCTGAGTGGTATTGATATTGTAACACTCTTGGCAGTGTAGAATTAGGGGAGGCTTGTTGAAGCGATTTCCATTATTTTGTGATATCTTTCTTCGATATGATCTTATTTCTACTCAACACACAAACAGATCCTCCTCCGCCGCACCGAACTCGAATAAGATGAGGCTGGGTCACGACAGTGCCAGCAAGCGCATTACGGATAACCTTCGGACCGGATTTGGGAAGAAAGATCCGGCCTCGCCCCCAATGGTGTCGCCCGATGCGTTCCAGAAGCCTCCCCGTCCGGAGCCGTCGAGTTTCAACTACAACAGTGCCCTGAACAAGCTCAACGATGTTGGTGGCGGCAACACAAATGGCGCGTCCAGTTCCAGTTCATCTTCCAATGCGATTACCCCCTTTGTCTTCCCGCAAGACTTGTCAAGTTTCGAAGACCGAGTGAACTCTATCGCGAACTACGAGGAGGAAGATGGCGTACTAGTGCACGAAGAGACGCATTACATACGTGGGGATTCGTTCGGTACCGTGTCGCTGCGTGACCACGTCCTGCAACAGCAGCAGCGCCGGGAAAACATGCAGCGTGGGAAGGGAAACGGCGGGAGTAAATAGAAATAGTGAATCCGGGCTCATGGTCATGAAAACATACAGCTAGCAAATAGTTTGAAAAGATCAAAGCAAATCCCAAATCGAAACTGGGAATGACGAATATCAATATTCGAAAAAGGTTTACTGCGTCGTCGTCGAACCGCAGGAGCTTTACTAGTAAAATCTTCGCCCTGCTTCGGCATCGAGTGTATGGATGATAATTTCCGAGAATCAAAAATCAAGCGTTTGTAGCACGATCTATCGGACTCAGACCTATCGGATATCAGATTTGCTTCGTTGCAGCTCCTTCTGCATTCGAAAAAAAAACAACGTATCTATAGAAAAAGCAAAAGGAAAACCCGACATAAAAGTAAAAGAACCAAGAAGAAATAGCTCTACCTCTAGCTCTAGTCTCGTCTCTGTAAACTCTCTCAAACTCAACCAGTGCTACTACGTAGCGAAAAGCTCGCTTCAATCTCTCTCCTCTTTTATTTCTGAATACTTCTTGCGCAATTTTCAATTTGCGCCTCTGAAAACCCACTACTCGTCAAGTTGAACGTCCGCAAACCAAATTGGCGAGTAGTAGGGCCTTTCAGCCGAGGATCTTCTTGATTTGCACGTAGTTCAAGCCCACCAAAACTACGTAGGTATCTATACAGAATTTTCCGACGAAAAAGTCGAGAGCCACGGACGATTTCGAGTGGCGCTACAGAAGTGTGAATTTGCAGTGAATTTGTATTGCATGACTTGCATTTACTTAAAAGAGAAGAGCGCTACGTATGGACACGAGCCCAAGCATACCACATAGCCTGAAGGGCTGCTCGTCGCGTGGTGGCGCTTGCAGCACCAAAAGAGGTGGTCTTGCGGGGGCTCGCCGGGCTGTGTAGTGCGTATCTAGCGACCAGAGAAGGTGGGTCGGGGGGCTCTTATTCTTCTGCGCGTCTGCCTCAGAAGTTCCTCTCCGAAATGGTCGAAAGGGAGGGCGACGCCTGAACACAGGGGCACTAGTTCAACATGTATGCTCTCACGAGTTGTGGTTGGCTCGGCTTGGACTTGGATATCTGGGAGCAGCCTCGGGTGGAAGGGGAGGCACGATTCGGCCGCGGACGCTAGCTTGCTTCGCCTGCTGTGCTCTGCTCACAACTCCCTACGTGTCTTTTTGCCTCCGGAGCAAGTCTTATTCGACGTGATCCCCAGGTCAAGAATTCCCTTGGTGAATTTTGGGACTTGAGCGCCACTTTTCGACCGTGATAAGCAAAGTTTAGCGCAGAAAAGTGCTCAAAAAAACGCACAAGTAGACCCTGGGAAGTGGGGCCGAGGGGAAACGACAGGCGCCCGCTGTTGCCCTGAGCGCCTCTATATTCTGCCGAAAAGGCCTGGAGAGTTCACGCGCCTGCCGGATAGACGCGTCAAAGCTCTCGGCCGGGTCCTTTCGCCTTTGCTTCCGCGCCTTCATCTTGCCTAAACTGCGCTTATGTGCTTCGCGGCTCTTGTTTTTGGCGTGTTTGCCGCGGCTGCTGCAGTGCTTGCTCTTTTGCAAGCACAGGAAGACAAAACTCACATGGCCAAAGAATGACGCCCAGGCCATGTCCAGCTGCCCGCCGCATAAGCCTGGACAACTAACTTCTGCGGTGTGCAGAACCCACTTCCCAGAAGAGCAAAAGGGACAATGTCCCGGCAGTCTCCTCTGCTATTTGTCATGCAAAATGCACTACAAACTCACCACTTCTCATGCTAACGGGTGTTAAAGCTCTAATCTATACAGAATTTCTCGACGAAAAAGTCGACAGCCACGGCGCCAGCGCAATACGACACCCCTAGAGGTGATTTGACGCACAGCCGCGATGGTAACCTAACTGAAACTGATCTACTCCAGTTACCAACCCGTAGCATATCACAACGTGTTTAGTTTGAAAATATCTAAAATATCTCGTAAATTTTCATCCTGTAGCCTGATCGCTTTTCGTGCTCAAAATTCCAAATTGTATCAACAAAATTCAAATCGTAATCGAACGATGTGAGTGTGCGCCTGCACGCCTACGAAATGAACGGCACCACTGCTGTCGCACGATGTTGTTGCAAAATGAAGAACACGAAAGTTGTCGCTCGATAGTGGCGGTGAAGTAATCTAAAGAAAACCATTTCCAAAGCAAAATTCACGAAAATAATCGTTGCCGGAGTGACTCGAGCAGCTGGAGTTCTCTTTTTTTGCGCTCAGAAAAAAAAATGTAAATGGCGGAAGTTCCATTGCGTCTGTCAGTTGTGGTGTTACTCTTGTCTACCTGCTTTGTTTTGTGGGACATCGTCTCCGGCTTCAATCTATAGTATACAACTACTTCAGCACGTAGTCAGAGACATAGGAAATTATATCTTGGCTAGGTAGTGCGTCGTGTTGGTGTTGAAGCTCCCATTGTTCTTCTGAGCATTTTTCCTTGTTGCCTGAGATCCGAAAAATCTAGAACAGGGGGAGCTATGCCGTAGAGTAGTTGTTAGACCCATCGCACACACACAATCACCACCACTGACGCCACGTCGGTATCTCCCCCGACTCCTTGCGACGGAGTTTCGATGCCAGATAGTTAGACACCCGTACGTGGCGGGTCAGCTGTGCCCCTTTACAGTAGAAAGTAGGTAGAGCCTCAGCGCCCCGCGCATCTGTGTGCGCATTCCATCTAGAAATATGGTCCCGGTCGGCGATTTCCCTCTCCACAGCGCTGGCAGCACTTCATCTTCTTTTGACGGGCTCTGGCTCTCAACATCTTCTTTGGACGGGTTCACATCTTCTCTTCCACGGCCACGAGCGCACAAGGTGCAAGAACGAAAGCTAGCAGGTCGCCCCTAGTCTAAGCACAAGCAAACTAGACCACGACGAAAAAGCGGAAAACGGGGGCGCGGAGCCTCGAGAATGAGGAAAAGATATACATCTGGACCAGGAGCTGCTGAGATGTCGATAGATCCTGATATTGATTTTCTCTGATAGAGATTCCAGATGTATCCCTTCTATCTTTTCTCGATTCAAGGAGCGGATCCATACATATTCGAATTCCCCACGATCCAGCGCAGCCGCCTAGTGGAAGAATCTCAGATTTTTAAGGCGCAGCTAAAGTTCGTGTCTTGATTTCGTAGACGCGGACTTTGTAGAACAAGACGAAGGTCCGGCCAGAGCCACCCGAGAGAGGGTGGTAGCACGAAAAATATGCTACCGCCCTGCAGAGCCTGATCGTGAAGAAAGCGGAGAGGTGAGCTCTGCCGCAAGCTGCTCCCGGGCGGAGGCAGCGAATTGTCTACAGAGTTAAGGGACAAGCACCTAACATATATGGTGCCCAATATGACCCTAAACTCGCCCAAGCCCCGGACCGTCCCAGCGTAGACAGCCGCACCACAGAGGGCATGCTTGTGAGCAGATGGAGCGCACCCGGCCGCGGCTCGAAGAGACGAAGCTGCAACAGTGTACCTCAGTGCCCGCGACTCAAAGAGATGTAGTTGCATTATGGCGCGATTGGTACAAGGAACGGGAGATAATGCTGGCCGATTAGGTGTTTCTCCTGAGAGCGGTGCCTCCCTGCTCGTTTCCTCCGGGTGATCTGCGAAGTCATGTTCCACTTGATAGCAATAAGTATAGCTTAAACAGGTGTGAAGGATCCTCCTCCTCCTTCTTCTGAGCATTTTTCACTTTCCACAAATAGAGAAAAGTGAAGTGTCCTACTCACCTCTTGTATGAGGAAAATGGCTTTGAAAATATCGGTCCGACCAAGTTTTTTCCAAGCAGATGCAGAAAAAAAAATTGATATTTCGGAACACATGTGATGAATTTGATGAAGCTCGTCGTTAATAAAAATGATCAGCAAGGTGTGGTCTGCACCTACAAAGTAAGAAAATAACGGATGCTCAGTCAAGCATTGCACGATCAACATCGTACCTTGCACCTCAAGATCCAAATGCAAACGATCCCAACCAGATCGCGAACAAATCGCGACTCATTGACGAAACAAGTTTTGATCGCATGATAAAAAAATGCTCCCCTGTCGGTGATCGGTAACGGTATGGGTAGTGCCGTACTTTGCTAAAGCAAGTAAATCACGTTCTTGAGACCAATTCTCTCTTTCCCCTTACCAGCACCAGCGTCAGCAAAAAGCCTAACTGTAGCTAGCAGATCCAGATTCTCTAGTCTATCAATAACAATAAGAAGCGAGCACTTGTTTTAACTATAACTGGCTCTAAGTTCATTTTTATGCCTGCAAGTTTTGTAACCGTAGCGCGTGTTTCTATTTTTTTCTGAAATTCAGTAGAATTCCATTGCTTTCTAAGTAACTATAGCGGACAAAAAAAAACTTCTGTGTGCTCATCTTTGTTTCGCGATTTGATAAAATTTCTAAACGTACAGTAAGAACAGCAGCAAGAAGCATAGCGCCTTTTCTCTAGCTCTGCCATCTACCTGAAACACCAACACGACTGCATCTTTAGTCATCCATATTCTCAATCTCAGTCGGCTCGAAAAATTAAAACGGCGATCAGTTGCACTCGTATTGGCTGGGCCGCTTTGGCTCTCCTCGTGAGCCTACTGCAGCGTGAGAATTTCGTTCTTGGCGCAGACTCGCAGTCGCCCGGCGTGTCCCGCAGGTCTCGCAGCAAGTCAAATTCGTCGCAACGGGAAGTCGGAAAGGCGAACAGCAAAGCAACAGCAGTGGCAAAACCAAAAGGAAAAGATCGATCACTGAGAGTAAATAAAATTTGCCAGAACAGGCACAAGCAGCGGGCGGAAACGGATCAAAGGCTTACACAAGTGAGCCGAGTTCTGTGGCCCTGTGCGGACTTTGGAAACGTGGCAGCTCCCGAGAGCGTCGGCTTGATACAATTCGAGGACGCGCAGGCTTTTGCAAAGCATGCGCGCCATAGGACGACGCTTGGAGAAACCATCTGCCTCTACACAGGAACCGTCGATCTCCGCAAAGACGATTATCTTCAGCGCAACCACTATGCTCGGCACAGTTCTGAAACTGGTGTCGTGAGTCAAGGCGCTTTTATTCAAATCGACCGAAACGCCGCGCAGAAGGGTCAACTACATGGGACAACAGACAAGAAGGAGACTGTTCTGGGGAAATACGCGGGCACTTTCAAAGATAACCAATCTCACGGTCGAGGCACCATCCACCTGGGGACGGGCCGAGCCCTTCTCGGGCAGTGGAAGGAGGGGCGGCGGGCTTTGCACTACGAGAGCGGCGAAGGCCGCGGCGAGAAAGGCCTCTCAAAATGGGGACGCGGGCAAGTGGAGATAGTCGACGACAGTTTGCTTCCACATTGGCTCGATCGAGAACTCAGAGCACCAGAAAATCCCTGGAGAGCCGTTCAGTTGTTCGATGGAGAGCTCTCGGAGCACTATCTTCGCGAAGACCGTGCGCATAGGCACCCGGACCCGCGACGGATTCTGGATGGTGACCACATAAAAACCGGCAGTGTCGATGCGGATAGGGATACTGATGCTTTGACGCATGCAATTCTTGGCCCTGAGGCTGAGGAAGACATCGGGTATGCAGATCTTCAGGAGGAGCTTCTCAACCCGTACCACGATGACAATGACGACGTGGCAGCCCTCATAACTCCTCAACAAGTGCGCACCTTAGCCCGCGTGAACTACTTCGCGCGCGGGGCGGGGGAATTCTTTTCAGCGATCGAACCAGCCCTCGGCAGTCACGGAAGTGGAGGCCCGGCTGCCTCCTACAGACGCGGCGGGCTTGTTGCGGACTACAGCACGCGGAAAGCCATCCAGGAGGCGGAGAAAAACGGGAACAGAGTGCTCAAGTCCACCCTCAAAGCGGAAATTTGGTACGGGCCACTGCTTGTGGATCCCAAGACCGTAGTCAGCTCGGCGCACTTGACGCAAGATCGGTTGGAGCACGACGATCCGCAAGGCGGCAAGCGCTCCGGTATGTCGCTGCTTCGGACGGAAACCAGATACGATCTCGATCCGGAGAAAATTCGAGAACTCCAGGAACGGGACAGGCAGAACGAACGGGAGCGGCAACAGGACCCGCGCGAGGGGAGACGAGGTGGGCCGCCCCCGAAAGCGGCTCCGCTGGGCAAAGAGGAGCTCGAGAGGAGCAAGATCACACGCCAGCGATTGTACCGGGGGCCGTTGAACTCTCGTCTGCAGCCCGACACAACCACCCGGATGTGGCACAAATACCTAGCAGAACTCCCCTCGGTCATTCCCGCGGAAGTGCGGGCTCGGACCCCGTCCGAGTTCGGTATCGTGGAGGTCTGGCGCTCCATGCCGCACCACTTGCAGCCGCAGTTTCGGCAAGAGCAGGAAAGACATTGGCTGCAGAATCCGCAAGGCGCGATGATACCGCCAAGAAACGTGGTGGTAGCGGATGCGTGGCGCAACCTGTTTCCCTTCCCTTACTTCTACCCGCCGACGGCGGACCAGTGGCGAACCATGGAGCGCGACACCTTCGCGGACGTGCGGGCTGCCGACGTGGTCGAGCGTGGTGGTGGTCCCCACGTGTTCAAGCTCACTGCCTCGCACCAGGGCGAAATGCGAAACGGCAGGCCGGATGGCCACGCGCGTCTTCGCTACATCTGGCCGGAGGACAAAGCGCTGAACGAGCACCATCTGTACAGCGGACCCGTCAAGGCGGACGACGTTGGCGGGAGCCATTTATTCGATGTAGGGGTGGTTGACACCACTGGAACTACAGCTAGTGGCGTGCTGCTTCCTTCAGCTCAGTGGCAAGATGGTGAGGAAGTTTCTGCTCGAGCGGCCTTCTCGGGCACAGAACCGAGCAGGGAGCTGGCAGCAGTACATCACTGCGCAACAGCATCGCCGCGACCTAGAAGCCGATCCCTTGGCTCACGTTTTTTCCCACGCAGAACAACGCAAAAACTGTTTTGCAGAGCAAGTACGGAATTGCAGTCGCGTCATTTGCGGTGCCATTCAACGAAAAGAGCGACGGCAAATACATGGAAGGGGTCACGCGAGTGGGCAAGTACAGCACTTCGTCTTACCAGCTTCAAGGTGAGTGGCAGAAAGCTGGCCACTCTTACAGCTTCGAAAAAGGAACGATCGTGCTCTACAGTCTCAACCTGGGAGAAATTGTCGAGGTGGAGCGCAAAGTAGAAGGCAGCGCGAGAATCGGGCGGTCCATTATAGAGCGACCTCCTACAATGCAGCAGCACAACTCGACCTCCTCGTCCTGGCTGGCTCAAGGCAACAATCTCAACGGAAAGGCTTTCTTTTTTCTACAACAAGAACGAGGAAAGGCTTTGTTTCCTCCTACTCCGCTCCTCCTCCCGACGCTACACTTCCGCTACTTGCCCGATCCAGTAAATCCAGGCCGCCAACCGTGGCCGGTGGGTAGCACGGAGCCGGCAGACGTCGACGATTATGGCCAAGCGTTAGCCCAGGCACGCCGAGACTTGTGGGCGAGCAACTTTCCACATACATCTTCATCTTCGTCCGGCGCGAATTATAAACCGCACGAGTTTCGTGCGGGTCAGATGCGGGACAGACGCCACGTCTATCTTGTGAGTGACCATTTCTACGCGCAACACCCGTGGCAAGCGGACCAGGGCCTCACGGCGGAGCGGCTCCGCCAGCTGGACGACCGACACACCTTCCACACCGCTCACGCGCTGGAAAAGGAGGCTTTGACGGTCCACGACCAGAGGCAGACCGGGACCTGCTACGCCTACGCCACCGTAGCGCTGATGCGCATATGCCGCTTGCTGTACCAACAGAACCGCTCGGCTAAGGACGAGGGCACCGGCATCGTCGTTCGCGACCCCGTCGACCCGGCGGTCACTTGGGGGATGGACTTTGCGCGGCAGCTGACGCGCGATCTCAACCCCGTGCTGCAGACCGGCGAAAGCACCGCGATTCTCGGCCGCGAGCTGGAGGGGGGGAAGCGGAGGGTGCTTCCGGTGCGGAGATCCACCCTGTTTTCGCCAATGCCGGGCGGCACGTCCCGGCACCTCCAAGCGTATGCCGGTCAAACCGTGCTCGAACCCATTGCTGATGAGCACCCGCTGGCTGTGTTTCAACAGCATCCTGCGATGGTCGGAGTGCCGCTTGCGCTTCCGCAGCAGTCGCCTTGGTACTCCGAGCAGCACCAGCAGCAGCAGGACGGGCTTTGGGGAGTTCACCAAATGCTCGCACAAGTGCAAAGCCAGGGTCTGCCGGCCGCACAGCAGCAGCTTCCGTTCCCTGCATTGATGCCCGCATTGATTCCAGGAACAACCAACATGGTCCCGCTCGCGCAGCAACACCAACACCAGCAGGGGCTGTGCCAGCAACAAGCACAAGACCGCACGAGACAACAGGTCCAGCTGCTGCCTCCTCCGCGGCAGGAGCACGATGTGCGCGAGTCTTTGCCACGCGGCGGCATGCTCGAAACGCAGATGCTGCGCGCATTTGTTGGCGTGAAGCGGCTGCTCGATGCGGAGGACGTCGTAACGTGGCTCGAGACAAAGGGTCCGGTGGGCGTCGCGTACGCCACGAAGAAGGTGGAGGATTCCGACCGGATGCAACCGGACGAAGAGCGGGCCAGTGGCGGACAGGAACCACAAGAAACCGACGAAGTGACTGCCAAAGAGAGAGCGAAAAAAGCCGCCCAGGCCGCGCCTCGTGTGGAGTCCCTCCACGCTATGACCATCATCGGGCACGTGCGGACCGAACCCAACGCGCACCCCGCCTGGGTCCTGAAAAACAGTTGGAATCGGCCGGGCTTTCGCATCTTCCGCACCGACAGCAAGGAGTTCAAGAGCAAGTTTCTCGACCAGTCCACGGGCAGCTACTACGTGCCGCAGCTTCTGCCCCCGGAACGCTATTCCACGACCCAGGAACAAGCGAGGCAGCAGCGGCACGCCATCGAGCGCCAAGATTAGTTACTGGGAACGGTTACTGGAATCTCCCGCGCCGTCAAGCTACTCAGACGGTCGACTCGGAGCAGGTGGACCTCTTTCAGCAGCAAGCTCGCGCGTAGCGAGCCCGGCACCTACTCCGCGAACATCGGGCAGAACGCCTCCCGTCACACCGTCGCGGGGGTCGCAGATGCAAACCAAAAGCCGGAGCCCTCGGCCTCGTGCTCATCCTCACGGCCCGCCGCAAACGCCCAGGCGCGAGATGTCTCCACCCCCAAGCCCCACGATGCGACCTCCCCGGACGCCGTCACCGAATGATGGCGGAGCGCGGGCGAAAAAGCGCAAGGAAGACCAAGGGGCGTTCACGATCTAGAAGATGCACAGGCACGCCGTTGCGCACAACATACGGTCTTGCTGATGGTTTTTCGATCGAATTGACTCAGCATTTGTGGTTATTGTTATTCATCACGTCCGCTACTCGTAGTTTAAGTTGGCACTGTCAGAAAGTAACTAACTAAAATAAAAAAGCAAACTGCTTTGACTTTTGCAAATGTAATTATGCTGCGCGAGACTTAACTGGTACAACTGGAGAACTTCGTAGTCTATTTGTATTTCTATCGTATGAAGAAGAAAGCCCATGTTTAGACGTACATGTCCAATAATATACACAAAGAAAACCCTTCTCGTTCTCGATGCTCTTCTCTACAAAATGTTCGCGCCGAATGCGCTCAGGGCAACATGACACCATGCTCACTTATTGTTAAGCAATTTTATGAAAGCAGCAATTTTATTAAAGCAGCTCCAACAAAAAGTTGTCCTTTTTTATTGAAGTAGCGCTAGACGTATGAGATAAAAGAACACCTTTCAAGAAGCGGCTCCGTGTGACCATCCTCATTAAACATGAAAGACCAACCTCCTAACGGTGAAAGTATCTATGTATCTATAAGTACCCACAAGCTTGACTTGAATGATGGCGGCGGTCTGGTGTCGCTGCTCGTGTGTGAAGCAAGTGTTTTAAAAATATAGTTCGTGATCATTCTGGTCGCGAGTAGCAACGCTGCTACGGTTGAGCCCCCGTGGTCGGATTCGTTCCGGGTCGTCAATATGCCGCGACGATCGTCTCGCATTGTTCTCGATCTTCCTCCCTCGTGTAAGCAATATTCCAAATCCAACTGGTACACTCAATTGATTTGCCAACATTCGGGTTTTTAATATGGAAAGTAGTAGTAGAAAACTCGAAGGGCATAGGAATCTGAGAGAGAAAACATGCGCTCGTCTTTGCCGCTTTGGTGTTCAAGACAGGCAGAGGAGGTAATGGAGTGAATCGTGGACGACCCACAGCCCCTACGGAGCGAAAGCGATTCAGTTTGAAAACGAAAGTCAGTGTCAGTCGCATAAAGCGTAGAAGATTCCACAATGAAATCCTCTTTCAAGCCCCGTTGGCAGCGCCAGCCAGGACGTGGAAATACCGTGGTTGGTGGAGCCTCTTCTTCATCCATTGCTTCCGCTCAAAAGACGAAGCCGGCATTCGATTTCACCGCAATCGAGTCCATGCGTGCTGCGGCATTGAAAGTCCTCACATCCGCTGTGCCTGTGCAGCAAGACGCGTCCTGGTACGATGCAAATAAAGTGGAGGAGAAGTGCTTCGTCAAGTTTTTCTCTTCGGTTCTACCTACACTAAGTGGGCCCAGCACTGGGTCTGCGAACAGAAAACGTCCGGCTTTGGAAGCAGGGGAAACGAGCGCCAAAGAGCGGGAGGACGACTCTGTGTCTGCCAGTGCGAGTGGCACGAAGCGACGTCGCGTGGACGAATCTAAAGCAGAAAACCGAAAGGGAGACGTTAGTGAGCCGGAACTGCTCGGTAGTGCACCCTCCGCTGAAGTGGTTGACGCCGGACAGGCCCGAAATGTCCTATCCGAGGAGGCGAAACGTCTCCTCGACAACCTGCGGGCACGGCTCTCAATGTCGAGTAATATCGCCGGAGACGCGAGCAGTAATCCTGCGAGGGACTTCGGTGCGTCAGCTGCCATGGTAACTTCGAATCACAGCGGCGGGGCAACCAGAACCACTAATCGCGCACCGGACGAGGAGGAGCTGGAGAAGCAGCGCGAGGCGCTTGACCGGGCAGTGCGCGAGTACAAAGCCAAGGCACGCTCTTTGGCGACAAACTTAAAAAACCCTGCGTGTCGCGAGTACCTTCAATCGAAGCTAGAAACTGCCGGGATAAAAAACATTACCGATTATATCGTTGATTTGCCGACCACAGAGCTGCTTCCAGGGCCGCACGACCGACTCACGAAGAGAAATTCTTCCGGCAGACCGGGCTCACCTGGAAGCCCCGCCGCAAGAAACCGTAACTCAACCGATAGGCTTGAGGAAGCCTTTCCACTACGTGACCCCGCGCTGAGGTGTCCACGATGCGAAAGCGACGAGGTGCGCTACCGCCACGTGATCACAGTCAAGAGCGTTGATTTTGCGAAAGCTGAGATCTGGGGCTCCAGGAATGAAGACAAGCAAGGGTTGGATCGAGCAATCTGCCTGTCCTGTAAGGAAGAGTGGGACTACGAAGTGTGAAAAAGCTGCACTGTTCGTCACCAGCTCATGTTGATCCTGGAGTCTTTTTCTCGTTTTATCCGCAACAAGAACTCCCGCCATGGTCATCAAGACGGCTGAAGACATATCCGTCATCTCTGAGTAGGGCTATCAGGTCCGTGACTGTGTTTCTTTCCAACACAGTAGATCCATCCACTTACCTGCGCCAAGCAAGGAGGAGGGGCGAGCAGTCTCTCCACTCTGCAGCTCGTAACGGAGCTACAGACCAACCCAAAAACTACAGCTGCAAGAGCCGCGCCACTCGCAATTCACCACAGAACTCATTGGGTGATGTTCATACTTCTTGTTGTTGTGTAGCCTACACTAGCTGCGGACACGATCATGTTGGTTCAGACTCGCGCCCGACTCGTCCGCCTGTACGAGCAGCCTGATAGCCTCGTCGATCAGGCTCTGGATTTGCTGGACCTGGAATGGCCGAAAGAGGCGCACATGCGCGGCGAGCGGCGGTCCTCGATGAAACAGATACCCGGAACCGCCATCGCGGGTCGCGGGGGCCATCTCGCCGTCGTGGTTCAAGATGTTGAAGCTATCGAAGATGAGGCTGAACAAGATGGTCACGGGGCACAAAAAAAAACTCCCGAAACAACTGCTGGCACCGGCGCCCGAGTTGTTGCTCACGCAAAAATCAGTCCGGTGTTCGTCACCAGCGAGCGCCAGAACTGTGCGATGCTGTATTCACTGGTGGTTCATCCGGACCTACGGGGCCAGCGGCTTGGCCAGAAGATCGTCCACGCAGTATTGCGATGGTTGGCGGGAGGCAAGCTTGCTTTAGACCAGGCTTGTGACGAGCAACTTGCTCGGCGATGTGGGTCCGCGGAAGTTGTTGAGCAGCCACGGCAAACAGAAGAACTCAGTAGCGACGCAGGTTTCGACTTCAAGACCCTTCCGCCGTATTTGTACTTGGAGTGCAAGCCCGCCCTCGCCGACTTCTACCAGAGAGCACTAAACTTCCTCCCGTGCGAGCCAGCAGGCGCCAATCTGCGAAAGGTTGCGAACAAAGTGGAGCAACAATCGGTGTTGCAGCTTGAAAACATGCTGGCCGGAAAACTACGCAGAATGCAAACTGCAGCACGGGAAAGTCGCGAAGTTGAGGTGTGCGAGTATGGTGGTACGACGTGGTCTTCCACCTTCCCGATGAAAAAATCCTGTGCCGCAGTGGACCCGCCTTCTGGAAGTAATGGAATGCTGCACTTTCGGACGCGGCTTCTTTACGAGCGCCCGTTGGAGCACCAGGTGTTTTTCTCCAGCCGTCTTGATGAGTCGCGAAAAGCTTTCACCTTCTTTCTTGAAGGATTTCCGCACCAGCGGCAGATCGGGCCAAGTTGCGGTTTGGTTGCGTTGCACATGGCGATTGCGTATCTGGTTGAAAATAGTGGTCAGCATCTAAAGGACAAAGATCAAAACCATGCAGATGGAGCTCCTCAACTGCTTTCGCAGACGACCGAAGAATCGCCAGCATCATCAAGAGCCAGTCTCTTCCGCGCGCTCTTTGAACTTGCACTGGCAAACAAGTATTCTTCAGATGGCGAAATGTTTTCCTGCGACGACATGGCATCTCTCGTCGAGGCGATCTCCTCATCAAATGCTGGCACATTCCTGCTCGAAACGAAATGGTCAGGGCTCGACCGCGTAGGTGCGAGAGTGGTTAGGATAGGTGATGAAGTAGGGGCATTTTCAAGAATTTCTGATATGCTGACTCCAGGACGGAGAGGAGAAAACGATGTGGGAACAAGTACTGGCGTTCTTTTGATTCCCTACAATAAGGACGGAAGTTCGCACGAACCAATAATTGCAGCTTCCTCGGCAAATCAGAATCCTCGTGCTCTCGAAGAACTACAGGAGCACGCGCACTGGGGCTGTGTAATCGGATACGAGGAAGGAGGAACTGATGACGCGTACATTGCGCATGGTTTATCGCGAACCCTGATCAAAACGAAAGGCGAAAAGCTAGTGCAGTCCTGCAGAGCGCTTTTGACATCGAAACATCTCTGCGGTCGCGCAGTGCTCGTTTTCCGAAAGCCCCAACTGGTAGAAAAGTGAAACAGCCGACAACTACACCGCAACTTGATGCCTCCGCGCCACACCGTCTATTGTGCACAAACAACCTCTTTCAGTAGAAAAAAAGTAAAGTTGACAACCTTGCTCAACGGTGCCGCACTTCCGGTTCGATGTCTACTGGAAGAACTGATGTGTTTCACGGTCAGCTCTTGTGACACGCTCGTCAAAGAGGAGCACGCACACGAACGTACTCTCAATACTTACTCATCAGCATCCAGTATCGGTCGTCACATAATCCATTTCGGTTTTGCTTTTGGATGCCCTCGGTATTTCAACTACATCATGTTTTTTTTTCGCGTCGAGGGCGAGCTGATCGCAAGTTCTCACCCCCAAGTGTTGCAGTCCATGGAGCCAGCCATTTACACAAATTGGTACATGAGGTTTCTCTCTCGAGCTTTGATCCACCATTTTTCCCCCGTGGCTGCCCTTCTGTGACAACGAAGGGGAAAGTCTCATTCTACCCGAAATACAACTACCACTTGGCCGCTTTTCCCATTTAGAAATTTGCGACACGACCCATTGCTCCTTCTAAAGCTTTGAATGTAGAAAACTTTTGCGCTCGTCAGCACAAGTATGGACGAAGCTGAATTTGAGTCGGTGGCCAGCAACGAGGGCCAAGAGGGCGGCCCTCTGACCACGCCCAATGTTGTCGCCGGCGAGCTTGTAACGAAAGAACAAAAGGAAAACCTCTTGCAGGCTTTCCGCGCCGCGACCCAGCCGCTACTGGCCGGGATACCATCTTTTGAAAACAACGACCACGCCCTGATCCGGTACTTGCAGGCGAGAAATTGGGACTTGAAAAAAGCGGAGGCGATGCTGCAAAATACGCTAAGCTGGTATGGCAAATACGGCTTACCCTCGGCGAGGGCCGACGTAAAACTGGTCGCCATGCGCTCGGCCTGTTGGACCTTCTTAGGCCGGAACACCAACGGCGAGCCGATTATTCTGATTCGCACCGGCTGCTGGAACCCGCAGGATTACAACATGGAAGAGTACGTGAAATACCTGCACTTCTTCCTTCGCAACGCGAACGAGTGGGTGGAGAGGTCGTGTCAAGTCCGGACCGTGGCAAACTACCAGCAAGACCTCCTGTTCCCCCAGCACATGGACTACGGGGACATAAATGTGCACTATCCCTTCTGTCGCGGGTAAGTGGAGAGTTTGAGTCAGACTAATCTTCGCTTTTTCTTTTTCAATCTTCGCAATTCTCACTTACTTACTTTGAAGCTCTTGCTCGAATGTTGAACTTGAAGCTAGCTGACGTCGGGCTGTTGCCCAGTGTACGGGTCAAGCAAGCGGTCGTGCTGCCTGAAGAACATGAACATCACATGTCTGTGGGCTTCATCTTCAACTTGAAGTTAGATCGATGAAAACAAAACAGGATGGTCGTGCTCTTTGATATGAAAGGATGGGGCGTGTGGATGACGAAGTACTTTGGCTACATCCGACAACTAGTCCAATCGGTGCAAGACCACTCCCCGCAAATGCTTGCCAAGGCCTACCTGTGCAACGCACCACGAATATTTCAAGCGGCTTGGCGGGTATTATGTTTTTCTACCTAAGTGTCAGTACGCCCTGGACGTATCTCTGTCTAGTCTTGAGCCCGCTTCCTCTGGCTTATTTTTCAGTTGCTTCTACAGTAGCAGCCGTATCATGCCACGACTACGAGCAGCGGAGAATGAATCTTCTTTGATACGTAAGTCAATGAAAAAGATGAAAACCCTCTATCTATCTCTCAGATAATCTCCCCGTGGGTAGACGCGAAAACCAGGCCAAAGGTTTGCTTCCTGAAAGTCGACGCTAAAGCCGCCACCGCCGCCTCCCAAGCCGCAGACGATTTTCGCGCCAGTCTGGCCCAGCAAGTGCAGCAGCAGTGTAACCCAGGCAGCGGAGCCAAGTACCGGGTGTTCGGCATTGATTGCCAGACCATGAAGCAGGCCCAGTATGTTTTCGAAACGGTGAGGAACGAAAAGGCGAAGCTGCCCACCGCGAGAGAGTTGTTGTTTGACCTGGACCTGCAGACTCAGCTGCCGTCGTTGCTTGGTGGTGGAAGGGTGCACCTGCCGATCCCGAATCTCCCGAACGAGCCCGACGAGGCGGACATGGACGCCAGTCTGGCGCCGAGGCTGCCACCCGAAGTGGACGCCGCGAACGGGTCCGAGGACGTCGTGGATGAAAACGAAATGACCTTCGAGAATGAAAACAATGCCGATCCCGCCGTCGACTTTCCCGTACCAGACGACACCAAGTTTGTTGCCGCAGAGTGATAGTTTTACTTAGCTCCGGCTGGGTTTCGACCACGCTACTACCCCTTGGAGGGGCTTGGGTAGTCTTATCATTATCAATTTAGATTCTAACTCGACGTCCTTGATGCGCTGGTGCAATTTATCATTGCTGCACCTTCGACGACCCGCGTGTAACTAAAGCGCTTACGCTGTTGACAGAGCGCAGCTACCCACTCACCTTTGATATTTCCCCTTTGTACAATAGCTCCACCGTAATTTTCATTTTTCGTTCGAACATGTTTCTATTATGATGAGACCGGTCAAATAGATATCCCTTGGGCAAAGCTTTCTTCGATAAACGTTTGAAGATGGGATCACGGCTTTTCAAATTTTCGTCATACGAAACGAAAACGGAAAGTCGGGCGCCCAGCTTCTGGAGAACAACAAGAGTTGGAACGCGAACACACTGAAAAATTACAAACATTTGCATCAAAGCTCAACGACAAGACCTTGGAGTGCCCTGGTCCATCACAAAGTTGTCTTCCGTTCCATTGCTGATATGGTCTTTCTTACCGGTCGTGTGCGGTGTGCTTCAGTCGTTCGCCGGGAGTAAGGGGAAGTGATTCGGTTCCCTTGTTGACCTTGACTTTTCGCCCCCGAAAACAAACCTAGCACCAGCACGTCTCAGCAAGGCTAAGGCAAAGAAGAAAGGATCGTAGATCTACTTTCAGATTCAGCGCAGCTCGTTTAGTGAAGATCTCCTAGCATTTGGCGCTAATGTAGTTTGGATTTGATCGCGCTTTTTTCTTCACATTCCCCACGGCTTCTTGGTTTGAAATTCAGTGAGTTGCTCTTCGTTCTTGCGTCCTGTGTACAGATAATCCAGCACCTCTTTTACAGCGCAGCATGGCCTCCCCGCCGCCCTCGCTCGAAGATGAGGAGTACCCGGGCGTTTATTGGGTGAAAGCCTACTGGCTCCTGTACAACCTGAAAGACGGCGAACGCATGCCGCGGTGCCAGGACCTCCCCGCCAACGCCTTTGGCCACTTACGCGACGCCACGCGCGTGTTTGCGGTGACCCATCCGTGGCTCGGGCGCTACAGCCCGGACCCCGACGGAATTCAAGTGGAGACGCTCCGGTCAAAATTGAGTTCCATGGCCGAGCAGATGCTGCTGGACCGGAAGGACGTGCTATTTTTCGACTACCTGTCCCTTCCCCAGGTGCACCACGAGAGCGGCAAGGACGACCGGACGGAGGAACAGCTGCGCCGCTTCAAGACGGCCCTCAGCGGGGACCTGATGGGCCGAATTTTCCTCACTTCGCGCGTGCTGGTGATCGACGAGGTGCCGAAGGAAGCTGTGTCGAACACGGAATTTTTGAACCGCGGCTGGTGCTTTTTCGAATGCGTCGTGGCCAGCATGAACGCCCTGGCCCGGGACCTGCTGTGGGTGTCGGAAAAGACGAAGTCCGAGATTGCGCGCTTTCGGAAGTTGAGCGCGAAATTCCGCGAAACGGGGGAGCTGGACGAGTTGCTGCAGAAATTCGACACGGAGCTAAAAAGCAAGAAATTCGCACTGAAAGCCGACGCGGCGATGGTGCGCGGGTTTTTCGTTTCGCTAGCGCGCTCGCAGCGTCTCATCCGCGCCGCCGCCGGGGGGGATTGGGACGGATGCGAGAGCATGCTCGCGCAAAAAGCCGATGTGATTGCGCGCGACGGTTGGGGCCGGACGGCCCTGCACGCGGCGTTACTGAATGCGCGGGTTTCGGTCGTCGCGCAGCTACTGAAAAACCACTGCTCAGCGCACGCCGCAGCGATGAAGACACTGACGAACGAAACGTCTCTGGAACTCGCAAAGGAGGGTGGGTCACTTGAATGCCAGGTCTTGCTGCAACACAAGTTCAAGCATGGCTCTAGTGTACTAGACACAGAAGTAGAGCAAGTGTCGAGTGGAGGGACCGCAAGCGGTAATGCGGGACCTTCATCCTCCTCGTCAAAGCCGAGTACTGCGAAGCTTTTGACCATTCGCGCAATCGAAAATGACGAGGAGGGGCTGAGAGAGCAACTGAACAGACTCTCACAGCCAAACGAGGTTGATGCCCGGGACGAGCACGGGATAAGTGCGTTGTATTACGCGGCGTCGTTACAGCATGTCGAGCTGGTGAGAATGCTACTGAAGGCTGGTGCTAATCCAGACCTTCCGTGCGGTGGCGACCAAGAATCAGCATCAGCCTGCGCAACACGGCTAGGATTCGCGGATGTCCAAGAACTTTTTGCAACTGCGCACTCATAATTGGATGATGATCGTACTAGTATCTACAAATCGTGTGACGGACACATCGAGAACAGTTATTGAAATCTTTTCAAGATATCTGTCAACAATGTGAATGAATATTTTTCTTGTACGCAAAGAATCTCAAACTCAGCCAAAGGAAAAGGAACGAAACAAATAAAGAAAAAAGTTGAAGCGAATGATAGACTCTGAAACGGATATGTGACGACCACATGTTTTATTTTGTCGTATGGTCATGATATGTTGCAGAGTTTACGGACGGCTATCGATGTGTGGACTTGTTGAGCGATCAAAGACGAGTATACCACTTTGGTGCGAGCTCCTCGCCCTCGGCCTCTCCTGCGAATGAGAACTGAAATTTATTTTTCTATTGTGTATCTACAGTTTCTGCGACTTCGATTTCTGATGCTCGTGGCGGTTTTTTCTTTCCATTTCGTACCCTCGCAAAACAAAAGTCAGATTTCGAGTTTGTCGCTGTTTGAAGCAGCTTTGTGTGTGATTTAGTGTTTAGTCGTCTCTGAATCTGCTGCGGTCTCCATCGGGAAGCCAAAAAAGACGACCTTCGCCGCTCGATTACGATTGCGATAGACTACGTCGGCTACTTGGCGTTTTTTTTTTAGACCGAATTTCTTGTAGTTGCAGCCAATTTCGAATTCGATCCACCAGAAAACTTGCAATGCCGTCGAGTGCAGCTTCTGGTCCGAGCGAGGACCCCTTCCGCCAATTGTTCCTGCAATCCGTCGAGGAGAATCTCGCCGATAGCCCCAGTTTTGAAACTCTTGCCATGCTGCTGAAGCTAGCGAACCCAAGCTTCAAACGGCAGCAGTGCAGTGATGACAACCTTCGCGAACGGGCTTTTAAATCTTTGAAGCTGCGTGTCCATCCGGACAAACATAACAACGACCAAAAAGCGACAGAGCTTTTTCAGCGACTACAAGAGTGGTACCGTGATGCCGTTCGTGCGGGGGAACAGCCATCGAGAAAAAAAGGTCGAAAAGGTGAAGGACGCGCCCCCCCGCCACACCTACAGCTGCCGGGGAATTTCGATGTTTTTCAGAAGTGGCCGTTTTTGAACAAGGACTCACTCAGTGCCGATGATTTCAACGTGGCTACAGTCTGCAACATAAACTGCGCAAACCTGCAGGCCCAAGTCGAGCACGGACGCGGTCTGAGTGTGAAGGATTCGCTTTCCCCCGCTAGCCTCTACTCCCAAGAACGGCCAATCGATACCACAAAAATCAAAACGCTCACCGACCCGAGCGCTGAGGAGATCAAGCTGCAGATTATGAAAAGCGGCCCGGTCGTGAGTAAGAGCTTCCGCCCGTCAGGCAGCCTCCTCACACAGATTCGCCAATCTTTTCCTGGTGCCATGCGGACACATCGTTGGAATGACTCCTCATCAGTGCCCGTCGCAGTATTGATAACGGGTTGGGCAACAAAAGAGTATGGAGAAGCGTGGACGCTTTTCTTTCCCGGCCCGCAGAAGCCAAACCTGGAAGAGAACTGGCCATACGACACGAGCGACATCCGAGGGGAGAGGGGCAAGACAATGGCTGTGGGATTACACCAGTACGGTGTAGAGCGCCAAATATCTTTCGTCGATCCGTCGCATTTGGCAGACATCGGCTGGTATTCGCGCCCTTACTTTCAACTGACGCCCGAACAATTTCAGTCCGGACTTCGACAACGCGGGGGCTTGTTCGGCAACAATGTCGCGCCGCTCTTTTCCGTCGTGCTGGCTGACATGAAAGACCTTAACAGGTTTGGTTCCGTCATGCAAAGCGCTAGCGAAATGGGCAACGCGAGACGGGAAACAGAGCACGACGGGGTTGCAAAGGCAGCGAGGGACGAAAAAGTGCTGATCGAGCTGCATGCGCCGGGAAAGAAAAGCGCTAGTCGGACGGTGATGATAAACGACTTGGCATTCAACCTCCAACAGCAAAAGTGGGTCGCATCCTTCAAGATTCCAGAACCCACGTCCAACCCTCGTGGTCTTTTTGATCTTTACTGAGGTCGGCTATTCCGTCATCGCCATAGAGATGAAGCCTTGCCCTCGTGTTGCGAACTCACCTCTACTTTCATCGAATCATCGCGGTTTGCGGCGCGCTCTCTCGCAACCAAAGTCGACTCGTTCTATCTTGAATGATGGTCTTGGTCGCGGCTTGCTTCATGCGGCAGGATGAAAATTCTGACTTGGTTTGGGCTCTCCTACTACGCTACCACATTTGCTACTGGCAAACGAAAATTCTATGTAACGCAGAGATCTCCCTGAGGGAAATCCAATTGCTTCGGCAATGGCCATCCTGTGCCTGCGTGCATGGGCCACTTGCTCTACTTGCAGCTTTCTTTATACTATCGTAACAGTTACGTCGAAAAAGAGTTCGGCTTCGCTTGGTAGCGATCTTTTGTCTTGCGAGTATTTCGCCTCACGATCAACAAATGCCGCTAGTTCTGAGACCAGAGAAGCAGTCGCTCGCGCTCGAATCGAGTTTTACGCCGCTTCATCGCTCGCACCTGATAGGTCACGAAACTTTTTCTGTTACTAGTGGAGCCATCTTCTCGAGAACATCGGGTTTTCTTGTCAGCTGGGTATAGACGAGTGAAGGAAGACTGTAACTGTATGGCAAAGCTCTAACGATATCCTTTTGCGTCTCATCTTGAGTGAACAACAGTATATATAAATTGATTGTTCTTGTTCCTCTCCCAGCCTACTTAGTCCCATTCGTTCTGTTTTTTGAAATAAATGAAGATGACTCGAGCCAGGTAGTTCAAAAAGTATGCCGGAGTCGTCGAACCAGGTCGAGGTTCTCCGGCAGCGGTACCGGGACATTGAACAGCGCATCAGCGATTTGCTTGCCAGCATGCGTAGTCGCCAAAACGCTGTAAATCTGCGCCTCCGGAAACTTGAAGACGACGTAGAGGCAGCAACCAAGAGAGCAGATGATTTATTGCGCAAGCAAAAGAACCGAGAAGTGGTGACCGAAACCGAGGTGGAGGAAGCAAAGTTAGAATCGAAGCGTCTTAAGCAGGAAACGAAGTCCATTCAAACGGAGTCTCGTGCTATCGAAAAGCTGCTGGAAGTGGACGTTCCGGCTCTTCAAACTGAACTCCAGCAAGCAGCCCGAGCCTACGATGAAGCGCGAGCCGCCGAAATTCGAGCGAAAATCAAGAGGGTGCAGGACATTCTCAAGGACGCACTCGAAAGAACCTACGACAGCTGGCTTGATGTGTTTCAGGACGTCCCCAACGGCAGCCGAGAGAAGAAAAAGTGGACAGATGCTGCGCCCCTTCTTCGCGACCTCTACCAGTGCCTGCATCGTACCCCGGCAAATCAGCAACAAGCGTCTGACGTCCTCAGCATTTTGAAGAAGCTTTCGAGCACGCACGACATCTCTCCCGAGTCGATCAGTGTTGACTTCGTTCACGAGAAGACCTGCATTAGCTTGCGCGAGCACTACTCTTTCCTACAGTGCGATGTGGGCAGGATCTGCAGCGTCTGGCGCTTTGTCGTCGACAAAAATTTGACCACTGTCATGGCAGCGCTGCAGGACGAAATGCCGGACATCGACACCGGCGTCCCAGCGTGGGCGCAGTGTCTGGCCGCCGGTGAAAAGGACATGGTGGCGCGCTTGATGAAGCTTGGTGCCAACCTGCGCTGCGGAAGCCGCACGCTGCTCGATTGGCAAAAACCTAAGGAAGAGGCTAGGTTTGAGCTTCAGCCACCGTGCATGGCCTTGCGACAGGCGTTCGCCAGCCAGTTTCTCTTCTCCTTTCCATCGCCCGCAGAGGACGCCAAAACCGTTGCGGAGAAGCAGAGGCGCTTCATGGAAGCCATGATGTTTCTGCAGGACCAACACCGCATCGAGATCCCCAAGTACAAGCTACCCGGCACCGACACGACGTCAACGAAGCAGCCGACGCAGCTCAGCTGGCTTTTCGATGGCATGACAGGCTGGGCGTTTTCTACCATCCTGGAGTTTCTGCCAGAACCCTACCCATCTCAATTGATTCGCAACCTGCGAAAAATCGTCGACGCGTATCGTCTGAACATCAACGAAGCAGGAGTGACGAAGGACGGCAAAACGATAGGGGAACTGTTGCATGATTCTCCGGTGCATCTCATCGAATTCTTCAAACTAGGCGTCAACGTACCGTCCGCCTCTTTCGGCAACGAGTCCACGCAAGCCATCGTCGACGATAGCCAAAATATCCATCACGGACAGGTGAGCGAACGCCTCAGCCTCTTGATCAAGGAAGCGCAGAATTTTCTTCAGGAGCGAACTCGAGCTGCTAACAAGCTAGCAGCCACCGACGCTCCTCCTGCTCGAAAACTTGCAGCGAAAAGCGTCCCGATGAAGAGCCACAGCATGAAATTCCTTGGGGAAATGTTAAACGACGCCGCAAAACAAGCAGGACCAGCGGGCAGCAGCAAAACCACTGTCGTTTCAAAAGACGCGACTGGACCCGCGACAAAATTTCGGGCGGTAGAACGCAATAACGCCAAGCTAAAGGTCGTGGCCTCCTCCTCCAACGGTGGCACGGCCGAGTCAATTCGAGTTGGGAGCGGTTCCTCTTCATCATCCTCTGCGAGACCTCGACCTACTTCTTCTGCTTCGGCCACAACAAATAACGCGTCACTCCAGCCTGGGCGTGGTGGCGGTAGCAACAAAAGACCCGCTCATACTGCATCGTCGTCCTCCTCCTCAAGTTCGAATCGCCTGCTCCTGCCTGCCGCCGAAGATGAAACGGCAGGGCGGCTTACTCACGGAACAATAGCAGAACAAGAAACAGACTCGCGCACACTCCTGCTCCGCGAGCTGTCGGTCACGGGAAAGAGTATGAAGCAGCGTATTGCAAGCCTCAGAAAAACGGACAAACGATTTGAGAAGTTAACCGTGAAGCAGATCACCGACGGTATCCGCAGGCAACTCGATCGCGTTTGGAAGTTCACCGAGAAGCAGGGCGATTCGCCGCTGCAAAACGGAAAACTCGGTCTCCAGCTGGTGTTCGACTACGTATCGGCCAAATTTTCCCGCGACGACGCCGTATCCACCGTTTTCGGTGCTCTTTTACAGGTACATGATGGACTTTTTGATGTGGGCAACATCGATTTATTCAACTTCAGTTACGTGATGGATGCCTGGTTTTGTTCTCTTCGTGGTGGAACGTTTCCACCTAACTATGTGTATGTCACCTCCGCTGTGATAGCATGAAATTACAGAAAACCGAGAGAGTCGCCCTGCACATGGACATGAGTGACATTCTGCAAATAATGTCTTCTTCGCAGGCCAATAACGAGTATGGAGCGGGACTCCAGACTTGCTCTCCGCTGCGGATGGTGCTTTACGTTCTCGACGGCCGGGTGGATCTAGGTGACAAAGCGCTTCCCGGGCGCACGAGCGTGCGCGCACTGTTCAAAAAGCTGAGCCAGTTGCACGCCCAAAAGCCTGCCACGCTGATCGAATACGGGCAGAAGTGTTTGCGGCAGCTGAAGCCGAAGCGTGACGAAGACCTGCGCACGGTTTTCGATCTGGTGGTGAGTGGCGAGGCGCCGATGTACGCGAAGAATCGGCTCCGTGGCCTGTTCGCGGAGAAGGTGCTGAGCGGCAACGGAAAAGAGGTGAAAGACTGCCTCGCCCACGCTGCAGCTAACAACAATCTGCTCGTTCTGCCTCTTGTAGGTCACATGTCCCAAGCCATGCGCAACCTGTTGCGCAACGTTTGGGAAATTGCAGAGCTACTCACGAACGCATTCCTCTCCGGGGATCATATGCAGAACGCGTTCTCGCCCTTTCTGCTCGAAGAAGTGAATGACGCGCCCCTCGTGTCCTCTCCCTCGCACAAGCGGAACGCGGGTCAGTCGCTGACGAAGGTCGCAGCTCGCGATCGAAAAAGAGCTCTTGACAAAGATAGCAGTAGCACCACCTCACACGCCAAGCGAATAAAGGGCGCCAAGATGTTGAGCAACAGCGACCCACAATGCCCTGCACCTGCTGCGCCCCCGAGAAAAGACTCTGGCAGCGCGTCACACATTTCGGAACAACAGCCAGCGAATCCTCCTGAGCCGGTTGTTTATCGTCAACATCGCAGCGACCGGTGCGACAAGCCGCGTTTAGCTACGTTCATGACGACTACGATGCTCGAAGCGGTGGGTTGGAGCGGCAACGACAAGACTGCGAAACACAAACTGAAAAAGCTCTCGCTCAAGGACCTCCAAAAGATCTACAGCGCCATTCCCCAACGAGACGCGGACAGCTGCGACACCCGATTGCGGGACCAGGGTTACGAAAACGTCGTGGATTTTTCTTTACATGCGAAAACAGACCTCATTGAATACCTGCTGCGCATTTATGTCCTTCAACCGTAGAATTTAGAAAAAGAAATTGAATCGGAAAATAATACTTGACCTTCTAAGCTATTTGCCTGAATATGTACCCCTCGTTATCTTCATTAAGTATCGCTGAGTCAATCTCAGTACGGTTGAAACTCTGTACATTCGGTTCATGTTTATTTGCGATTGTATTCTATCTTTATCTAGTCTTAGACTTAGGACCGAGATTTTCCTAGACTTACCATTCCAGTGTTTTCTACCCACAGAAACTCCGTTCTCTGCTCTGGGTCCAGGTAGTAAACACGACGGGCGCAGGTAGGCCAGACTATTAGTTTTCATACGTAATTGTCACCGAAATTAACACAGCTAGGAAGACCCGGCACGTCAGAGAAGAGCAAAATAAATGGAGCCGAGGACGAGAATTCTCTGAATCGCCAAAGATGAATACTTTTACCGGTCGCGCAATGAATGCCGGTACCCATGTTGACAAGCAAAAAAATTGAAATATCAACGAAAACAAGACGGCTGCGAGTCTACGTCAAAGATCAGCCATGAAAATGGATGGGCAAGCGTTTGTTTTGGGAATGTAGCTGCTGTATTCCGACAACTTTTTGGCTGCATGTTGGGGAAATGCCAAATACCTCTTTTTCACTTAATCCGCAAAAAATCAGAATTAGACTCAGTAAACAGTTTTTTTTAGTAGAAAAACTTGCGTCGCAAACCGTTGCCGCTCTCGTAGAGGTGCAGGCGGTTCCTTTTTTTGCACAAGTTTCACAACTGGCGCTCAAGATGATGATCTTCAAGACCATAAAGATGAACGATGATCATCTTCCCCATAACTTAACCTCTAGTCTAGCGAAAAAGTAGGAATTTAGTGAAGGCGAAGGCTAGTTTCCCCGAGCAGCTACCCACACAAGTAGAGCACTTCACATACCCGCCCATGTCACATCGATCATGACGGCCGTCGTCAAGCACATTCCGAAGGAAGGCATTCCCGGCGCCTGCGCGATGACGAATACCGAGAAAAAGACTTTCTCTGCCACAGAGGCTGATGCTTGTCCCGGTCATCAGCAACGTCAGCAAAATGCGCCAACATGTGAAGGCCTTGTTCATGGCGCGCGGCAATCTTTCCCCGCAAAAAGAACCTCTCGCTACTTCATCATGTCCGACACCTATCGGAGCGTTCTGTTTTGCGCAACAACGCTGCTAGTGGGATTCGTCGCGTGGAAGAAACAGGCAGCGAATGGTGACAAAATGAGCGACGGTGGAGGAATACTGTCCTTCTGGGAGAGGGACGCGAACGGGAATGAAAATGCGTTTTCTTTTTCATCTTCCAATCCGGTGACTTTTGTGGCAACGAGCATCTTTTCCTTCTTGAACACACTGACGACGTTTGAGGAGCTTCTCGTGTTGACGGCAGTCTACACCATCTACGCAATTTTGGCCAACAGTTTCTGGCTGTGTTTCTTCAAGACACGCCGCCCAAATTTGTGGAACATTCTGCGGTCTCGGCCCGGTTTCGTGTGCGAGTCGCACCAGGCGGAAATCGTGATGTGTTTTACCCTCGCGCCGCACCACCTGATCGCGGGACTGTTGCACATTTACGGACACTACCTCTGTCCGGATCTTCACCGTGCTGACGCAGGAGTTCTTTCTGCGGGTCAAAATTTCCACTGTGCGCAGTGGATCAAGCATGGCATCCTCTGGGAAGCCGCCTTCAACTTGCAAGACTACGTTGCCTGTTTCGCGCAGTTGTTTCCGCACAATTCACGCCGCAAGGTCATGGCGGATCATGTCGCTGTGGCGGAACAAGTACCTGATCAGGCACAGCAAATGCAGCCAGGGGATGAAATGAGCGAAGCGAATTTAGCGGAAATTCAAATTTCTAACCCAAACGGTATGGACCGCACAGCAAGCTCCACCGGCGGCACGAGGACGCCCTCGAGGAGTAGTTATCACCGAGAACAAGACCCCTCCTCCGCTGCGAGCAGGACTTCCTTAGTCACCCAGCACAAAGTCAAAAACAAAACTGAACCTGCGCAAATGAAGAATGGAAGCTCGCCCAAGAACTTTTTCCCACCGCTGACCCGGGGCCGCCTGGCGCTCGCGGGACACCACTTCGGAGCGGGGCTGTTCGGGCTGGCCTGCGTGGAGTCAGACCTGTTGTACCGAGAGGACCTGCAGAAGATGTGCATCGCACTCGAGTTTGCGGCGGCCATCGCGTTGTTTCTGCTCGGCTACCTGTACACGCTGGATTTTCGGCGCGACCTGAAGCCACTGTGGTTCTTTTCCATCGTGAACACGACGGCGTTCACCTACACGCGCGTCTACGAGTTCCCGAAGTACGCCTTTTCCCTCGCCACGCACCTGGTACAAGGCGCCCAAAACGCGCACTACTCCCTGCCCTTCGCGCTGTTCGGACTTGCTTCGCTCGTTGGTTTCGCGGTCTTCAACTTCCACGCCGTGTACGGGTCGACGAAACGAGCCCTGAAAATGCAGGAAGTCCTGTTCGAAGAGCTGCTGCTGAGACTGAGAACTCGGCAAGACGAATTGGCAAGAAGTGGCACACCAACTCCTGCTAAAATGAAAACCAAGTGGCAGCGGATGCAGTTGTCGTTTTTGCCGTCGGCAGAGAAATTCCTGGTTATGAACCTGGAACTGACGAGGAAAACGAAGCGCAGTATGTTTCCAACAGCTGCTCGTCGTCCATGAGGATTTTTGTGCTTGTCCTGTGGTGCAGCGTGACAGGCAGTTAGAGTTACAACTTCTAGTACTCTGACCGAGTATCGCAAATGGATAGATTTGGCTGAGTAATCGACGGACGAAAGCAAGAGCAAGTAAGTGTATACGGAATAATATTCCGCGCTTTTTTTTTACCATTTTTCGCTTCCTGCTGTCTTTTTTTGGTTTTCAATTATACCATCGCGTCCCCGTTCCGGACGCGGACGCGTTGCCCCTTTACTTTTTTTTGCCACATCCAGAAAGAACACCGCGTTACACTGTTGCAGGTGCAGCACAACCTCCACAATAAATCCGATATAAAAATGTTTGTATTCACCCCGTTTCGAGCAGTTTCGTTTCTTGTATGATTCCATGCAGCATGTAGCTTTTCTTCCATGTGAAAGAACCTCTCAAATCTCAAATCGCATTGCGCGCTTGAAGTCAAGCAGCAGCCCCACATAACTCACGAACATGTTGAAGCATACTAGACATAAATGCTTTTTTGTATCAAATGCGACCAATCATCTGAATTCCCATGAAAATAAAAATTTAGGCACATCGATCCATAAAAATGAGACCATTTGTTTCTTCCTTTATGAAGCAACTAGGCTGCAGCTTTAATATGTTGGTTGTTCTAGCACGCAACTTCTTGAATCTGACGCAGTCTGTCGTAACAGAGTGCCTGACCCGTGGAGCAGCCGAGTGAGTGTGATCGACATCCTAGCAGCCATTACAATTTGCGCCTTTTTCGCGCACAGTCGCTGATGATTTTTTTGTGTCGATTGCTACTCATATTTCGTCTTTCTCCTGCTAACAGTCGTCTAATGGTACTCAGTGCGCACATGGGGACAGGACGCGTGGTGAGTGAAGTGATTCGAGAATACAAATAGATGATTCGCGTTCGAATCTTGTGTTCGAGATGCGAATCATGTGCATCGTCGGAGATGAATAGAAGATGAAAGTCCGTATTTTCTTTTCGATATCGCAGAATATAGAAATTGAAAAAATCCACGAATAAAACATGGAAACTCATGTGGACCGCGAGAGGGACAGGCTGGCCCAGATGCGAGAGAGGACACAGGCGCTTATTGCATTGCAGCAGCGCTCGCAGGAATTGCAAACGGAATTCGCCTCCGTGCGGGAGGCACTGAACGCGCACGCGAAAGGAACGGCGATTCTACCACGGGAGGAACTCGCGAAGATGTCGGACAAGATAAACAACGGCACCAAGGAGCTCGAAGAGATTAATTCCCAGCTCGAGCAACTAGCCGCCGACGAGGGAATCTACGACTTGTCCTCCGATGTCGCTTCTGAATCGGAGGAAGATCTGCCGAGCGAACAGGCGAGGTTGATGGAGACGCTGCACCGAACGCCCCAAGATGTCCACACCGTCGTACTCAACCAGGACGATGATGAAGGTGAATATCTGTTTGATCTGTGGCACGGTGCCGCGGACGAACTTCAGACCCTCTACGACAGCCTCGACCGCGCACGCTCCGCATACTCTAGTAAAACCAAACCGACCAAAACCCAAAGAACCCAGCACACGAAAGAAGTCGTCGCAGCTTTGCAAAAGGTGGTGAAAGACAAGGGGATTCCTTCTTGGCAAATAGGTTTTGACTCTGTGAAGTGGAGGACCTGCGTGAATGTCCGGGCATACATGGCCGTGATGTGCAACGATGCGGGAAAAGTTTGCAGCCTGTGGCGATTTGTCGTCGAAAATCAGCTGACGGAACTGCAAGTCGCACTCAAGGAAAATTTTCCTGGTATTGACGATGGCATCCCCGCATGGGCGCAGTGCCTTGCGGCCGGAAACGACGCAGCGTTGCCACGCTTCCTCGAACTTGGCGCTGACCTCCGGGCAGAGGATACACCAAACAACTGCCTCTTGGCCCCCCTACCCCACCTCGCGCAGCAAGCGAAATCGCGTCGGTTGCCTTGCGCCGCTGTGCGGCAGGTATTTCTCTGCCCTCTCCTCTTCTCCATCCCGGTGCCGCACGTCAAGGAAAGGGAGCGCGAGAGATTTCAGAAGGGTCTGCTCCGAGCCCTGGAATTCCTCAAGAGCGAGCACGGCATAGACATGCCAAAGTACAAAGTCACCCTGGACGGCGGCTTGCTCGATTTGACGCCTCCTAAACAGACCCAGATCAGCTGGCTCTTCGCCGACCCGGTCTCCGACTTCTTCTGCGAAATTTGCGACCTTGCTCCGCCGGCGGTGACGTGCAGTGTGCTGGACAACCTGGAGAAGATCGTGGACCTTTACCGGTTGGACATCAACGAGGAAGGTGTCCAGGACGATTTTTCGCTGGGCGAGCTGCTGCAGCACTCGCCGGCACATTTGATCCGCTGCCTGAAAATGGGCGTGAACGTGGCCCGTCGGTTTGGAGACGACTCCCTGAAAACTCTGGCAACCAACGACGAGAGCGTGGCCACCACGCAAGTTAAGGACCGCGTCGGCCTGCTGGTGCAGGAAGCGCAGGCCTTCCTACTCCGAAGCGACAAGGATAAGGAAGATATTGAAGTTGTCCCTCTGCTACTGCCGCCAGGCGGAGCGAAGGCAACGAGCAAGAGTAGTGCAGTTGGTATTACGACTGCGATGAAAAACATCAAAATGAAGACGAATACCGGAAAGGAGCTTGCTCCAGCGCAGCTTCATGATGTCAGTTACGAGGGTCCACCAACCAAAAATCGCAAAGTCGAGGTTGGTAATAAAAGCAAAAGCACCACTGCCGTACAACCTACATCCTCATCTACTAGTAGTCGAACAGCTGCAAATGCCAAGCCAGGTAGCAAAGGTATTATTTCCTCAAAATCGTCATCTGCTCCTTCGGGCCTGCTTGGTGTACTAGACGAAAGAGCCAGAGAGCAAGATGCCCACGCTGTTTTGCTGGAGGAGCTGTCCTCAACGGCGCAAATGACGGCACGCATTCCCGGGTTGCGACAGTCTGACACCCAGTTTCAGAAACTGACCGCTGCGCAAATTACCAGCGGGATTCGGAAACAGCTCGATCGTGTGTGGAACATCGACAAAAAGGCTAAAGGGAACTGCGGCGCAGGCTCACCACAACGTAATGGGAAAATCGCTCTTCAGCTCGTGTTCGACTACGTCAGCGTCAGGTACTCGCGGGAAGACGCCATATCCGCCATCTTCGGGGCGCTGCTGCAGGTACTTGCTCATTGACTTTCAATGTGATTATCAAGTGGCGATGTATTCTGCAACGTACGTCTGATGTTCCTTTTGGCACAGAGTACGAATACTGCGTGTGTCTACCGTGTGAGCCTGATCGTTATCGTATCATTTGGCGCATAAACTTAAGCACATGCACAGCAACGAAAAGGAAATGAGTCGCGACGCGATTTTCTTTTATTTTTTTACTTTGCAACCATTTTTCCAAACCAAATTTCCAGGCGAACAACGAGTACGGAATCGGAATGCAGACCTGTTCACCTCTGAAGATGGTCCTCTACTTGCTCGATGGCCGCGTAGACCTCCCAGAGTTGAACGAGACGTCGTGTTCGCTGTCCGCACGGACAAGTGTCGCGACTCTGTTGGAAAAGCTCACCTTGCTCAATTTGCAAACCGGTCCCGCGGCGGTCCTTGACTACGGCCAGAAAGCATTGCGGCAATTGAAGCCCAAGCGGGATAGCGACATTTGCACCATTTACGATCAGGTCGTCACCGGAGAAGCGCCAGTCTACGCAAAGAACCGGCTGCGCGGCCTCTTCGCCGAGCGGGTGCTCGGCGCCAACGCGTCAGGCGTCAAGAAATGCATGGCTGAAGCAGCAAAAAACTACGACGGTGCCCACGTGCCACCTGCAGGGTACATGTCGCCAGCGCTCGCCAAGCTGCTGCGCAACGTCTGGGATATCGCGAACCTACTCACGAATGCCTTCTTGATCGGGGATCACATGCAAAAAGCGTTCGCGCCCTTTCGGGTCGCTCAAATCGCAAAGACGGCACCAACCGGGGGGCCGTCAAACAAGCGAAGCGCGGCCTTAGCTGCGGAAGCAGGCGTCGACGAGCTATCGCTATCGAAATCTGTTTTCCTGCCTCCTGCAGCGGGCAAAACAAAAAAGACTGATCAAAAAGCAAACGGCACCGGACTGGTCGTCGATATTGGAGACAAGCATAGCAAAGTACCAATGTCAAACCAGTCGGAAGTGAGCGGAAGTAAGGGTAAGAATGCCGACCCCCGTCGTGAATATCCGCAGCACCGAAGTGATCTATGCGACAAGCAGCAGTTAGCAAAATTCATGACGGCAGCGATGCGCGAGTCTACCGAGTGGAGTAATAATGATAAAACAGCAAAACACAAGCTGAAGAAGCTCAACCTGAAAGATCTACAAAAGATCTACAGCAAGATCCCGCAGCGAGATGCTGACAGATGCGACGATCGCTTGCGGCACCAAGGGTATGAGAATATCGCCGACTTCGACTTGACATGCAAAATTGAAGTGGCTGAATATCTTCTACGCGTCTTTATTATCCATTGAACTGGAGGCTGAGGGATTCTTCGCTGTTAGCGCTAGGTAATTATGCGCCTCCGGGCGATAGGATGAAGATGAACTGTGTGTCCGACGGATGAATAAAGAAAAAGGACAAATCATCCATTACCATTGTCCTCAGGCCCGGCATCCGCGTCGTCAATTCCAGCTTTGCATTGAGGGGTTTTGTTGAAATTAATGCGAGTGGTTCCAAAGATACAAATCATGGACTAATACTACCGACAGAACACAGACTACACCGAGATCAAAAAAATTACAACAACGGAGTTGCATCAATTTATTTGACCCAGAAAATATATACCCATCACCATTCGATTCACGAAATTCATATCGATGGAAATAAAATCGTTGAATCTTATCTGAAAATCGAAATCCATGCCAAATGCCATCAATATTCATCTTGAATATCATTTTTTCTTCATTCATCGGTTGATAGTCGATCGGATTCCATGTATCCAAAATCAACAAAGAAATAAACAAGATTCGAAGATTCCAACCGTCAAAATTACAATCAGAATTGAATAAAAAGATAATTCTTAATGAATCCCCGAAATCTCTCATCATCATTTTGATCGATCTGAGAATCTGGATTATTGCCAGAATTTTCTTATCATAATTCCATTCGATCCGAGAATCTGGTTAACAATATTTTTCAATTATTTTTTTTGAAGATTCGAAGAGAATCTGAATCTCATCATATTTTTTTTTGAATTTTGGCAATTATTGAAGACCTACAATAGAATCCATCCAATTATTGAAATCTGAATCCATTCATATATATAATTGCATGAAGATTGAATATAGATATCGATATAATTTGAAAATTTTCAAAAAATTTTCAGAATTTATGACCATGTATTCTCTACATAGAATTTGCATTCCAATTGTAATTTCCATATCAATGAGAATTATCCAGACCAATTTCTGCATTCATATAGGTGCAGACTCAAATCAAAATCGATTTCTGGATGCATGGCAAGAATTATCAAGCGTCATATAGAAAAGCTAGTTAGACCCAGAAGTCACAGACACGTTGGTTCCGTCTTTGTGAACCTGAACGTCACGAAAATAATAAATAAGATCACTTCGCCGGAGTGGTCCCTCCTGCTACGCTAGTAGCAGTACCTGTGTCCACTAATGACGTACAGATAGCGATAGGCCCACCCCGTCGATGATGATGTGACAGTTTTGCAGTAAAGACAAATAGCAGCTGTTGTACCTCTGTCGTGTTTCGGTTTACGTTTACGAGCAAAGTTCTGATAAATAAATAAATTTCGAATTTTTCGGTGAAAAAGCAAGCAAGGATAAAGTGAACGACGGACACTACTTCTTTGGTTCGCGTTTCTTGTTCAAGGTTGTCGCACTAGCATGCACCACGACAGCCTTTTATGCGATTCTTGTGGTTCTGGCCAAGCAATTTCCCGAATAAACTCCTCAGAGAAGTTGAAGTTTATCCCTTCGAGTCGAGCCGGAGCCGGACTCTTGCTCAACAACATACCAAACTTTATAAAAAAATAATTGATGACCATCAATCATCTCTAGGCGCGCTCGGGTGTATTGCTCGGTGTCGCGGTCCAACGCGTTGGTGCCCCAGGCCGCGCCCAGAAATCTGCGAGGCCGTAGGTAATAAATTTTGGTATTGTCCTGGTGGTGTTTTCCCGCAAGCATCTTTGTCAATGTTACCATCATCGACATGAACATGGGGAACCAACTGCACACAGCATCTCTGATGAATGACAGAGATCCAGATCAACACTCTAATAGTGCCCATATCTGTATTGAACGCATGTAATATTTTTGTTAGTAGTTGCAGCTTCGACGTAGCAAATTGGTAAGTAACTGTGGGCACAAAAAATTAAAGCTCTTGCTCGCTATATTTCTTGGAAAGAAGTTCGCACGTAGAATCCAAAACTATCATGTCAAGCGAGCCTAAAGAATTGGAATTCTGCTCTGGTTGAGCGAAAATTATCAAAAGTTGTTTGCAGCTATCCGCAACTATCATGATGATTTTGCCTCTAATAATAATAAATCGTGTACTCAAGCAGCACTGGACAGTTCTCTTGGATTCCAATTCTAATTCAAAAAGCAGGACCGGAATACCAGAGTATGATACTGCAATCCGTAGAACAAGAAAGGAGTAACATGATTACCATTGGAACTCCAAGTCAAAGGAACGAGTAGCAAAGTATAGATGGATATTGCGTGAACTCACCACAGCTGAGATAGAGATGGACACTGGTGACCGCCATGCATAGGCTGCATCGAAATGAGCCAATCATGGAAGCACAAGGACAAGCAGGACAAAAGTCTCATATAAATATATATGAATCAAAAAATTTGTCTTTAACTTTATTCAACTACATCCTCCACTGCTTTTTTTCTCTAGTATTTTGGAAGTGATGCCTTTTTGCCTACGGGGAGAGACCCCGCTGCTGTAGGAAACCTGAGGAGGCAACGTCTGTGTGCAACGCGGTGCCGCTGTCTTGAGCTTCCGTCGGACTTATCACCGCGTGCTGGTGCTGTGGTGCCGCGTGCACAACGGGGGCGACCACTGGTCCTTGTTGCACAAGTAACGGAATCGCCATGGCGGGCCGCATCATGAACGTCGGCACAGCAAGCCACGACCTGAGTTTGTTTTTATTTCGCTAAAGTAGAAGTCCTCGTAGACTCTTCACATATCACAGTGGATTAAGCAACCAGGGTCGCGTGCGTCGTCACCAGAAAGATACTGCATGGGGGCTGCTTGTACTTATCTATCAGTGCCGCTCTCGCGTTCCTCTTGTTCCTTCTGAAAAATAAGAACTACGTCAACGTCGACCGGCACGAATACAAAAATAGAAAAGATCCAGGCGATTTCAGTACCTGTTGTTCCGCCCGTCCACAGCCAGTGGCGCAGCCTCTGGGCCTGGCGGCGGGTTGGTTCCAAGACTTGTAGTTGCTGTATTGAGTGAGGAACTTCTATGTTGTGGTCCAGCATCCCCGTTGGGAGTGGGCGCGAACTCGGACGGATCCGTCTGGCTTGGCGTTACCATCCGCCGCCACGTCGACGCGTCGGAAACTACGGAATCGAAACTCCGGCCAGCTAAATTTTTCTGGAGTTGGTCTCGATCCACGTAGTTTTCTGTTTCTGCACTCTGGTGCTGTCCTCCTGCTGGCGCGTCATATGCATCTGCGTGCTGATCTTCGGCTGAACCTGAGACATAAATCACAAACGATGGATATTAGGATCGATTGTTCTTGCTGCAGCACTTGCAATTGGAATAGGATCGATTGTTCTTGCAGCACTTGCAATTGGAATTGCAGAAGTAACTGCATATTTAGAACATAATGCAGATGGTCGTCACCAGGTGTAGGTAACTCCCCCGAGTAGATGCGACTTGAAGTTGAAACGGAAAAAGAAAGAGCGAGTGCCCTGATGTTGCGCACCGCCACTCTGGCCAATCCGCACCGACCATGGCCATTGCAAGCTGTCTGCTTTATGTGGTGCCACGACCTCGTTGCTCGTAGCGTTGTGCGCCGTGGCGTCTTCGCCGCGCGTGTCAACAACATCAAAAAATTCATCGTTGCCTCCTTCGGCTTCCTGATCTTCCGCATGTGCGCGACGCAGCCCTTGCACGACAGCGAAGCTTCGGTAGGGAACAAGATCCGCGGCATCCGTGTCATTCTTTCCCGGACGATCCAAATAAACCATTTGACCTTCCTCGTCGTCGTCCGCGTCGTCTTCCAGCGGCTGTTGCACGACCTGCTGGGACTTGTCATTATCGGGCGCGGTAATGTACACGCCGTCCTGGTAATAACGCAAGTTGGCCAGCCGGTCGCCGCCGGCTTGCTGCTGCTGCGCCGCCGGCATTCTGGTTTTACTTTTACTTTTTCCAGCAGCTCTCGCACTTTGCAAGGTCGGAAAGTTAACATAATCACCAGGAGCAGTGCCAGAAGGCCCTCGCCCGTCTGATCCCGTAGTAGCGGAAACAGATGAAACATCTTGATCTTGTTGAGTCCAGTAGCTGCGTAGCACATCGGGGTTTCCCCACGCGGGCCAGGGGGGCGAGGGAGGAGCTACAACTTCGTGATTAGCGCCCCCTGGGCCTGTGGTCTCGAAAGTAGGGGCCGCGGCGTTGTAGGCGGACGCGGACGCAGGTTGTTCGTCCGATACTGACAGGTAAAAGCCCACGTTGCTTGCGCTGGTCGCATTCTCACTCCGACTGCTGGCGCTCGGCATGTCCTCTTGAAGGAGCGTGCTGAATGAGCTCGAACCACCGTAGTTCATGTTTTGCTCGGAGGTTGTCGCGCCCGCTGGTGCGTCCGTGGTGGTTGAGGCTATCGACGAAATAGAGGCGACGCGTCCGCGTTGGGCCAGGGACGACTGCGCTCCTCTTTTTACCTGCTGTTGAAGCAACGCCTGCTGCTGCTCTTGCAGAGTCAGCGGTCGACCTGTAACCCTGCAAAACTTGGGCACCGCGTACTGCATTTCCACGACCTTGGGAGCAGGTCCTCCGCCCCCTCGGGCCGATAACTGCTGGTCTCCCGAATACTGTCGCAGATTTTGCGCCCATGCGGACGAAGCAATGGAGGCAAAGGAATCGTTTCTCCGATTTCGAAAGGAGCTGCCAGTGGTCTGCTGCTGATGCTGGTGCGCGGAGGCAGCAGAGGATGCCAGAGAGTTGGAAGAGGCGATCCGCTTGGCGCCTCCGTTTGGTGCAGCTCTGGGCGTGGTTGATGCGGGCGTGGAACCGAAAGCCGGGCCCAACGAGAACGAGCCCATCGCGAGGAGCTGGTCCTCTGTAGTAGATGCTGCGCCGGCGGTCTCGGCAGCTGCGATATTCGGCGACCAAAAGTTTTGCTTGGAGCTGCCGGGAGAGCCGACGGCGGTGAATGCGGGTGACGAATGCTGGGAGTTCTTGTCGCCGCCTTGCGACAGGGTTTCTGCAATTTTTAATTGCAAGTTTCGTAGTTCCGCGACTTCGTCTGCCTCCTTGCTTAGCTCTCTCAACTGTGTTAAAGTTTGCTCCGGTTGGCTCTGAACCCGCGGTAGGGGCGGAAACCCATACGAAGAAGCAGGCAGTGGCCTAATCGTAATCGCAGACGCGCCCGCCCCCGGAGTTAAGAGCAGCTGCATAACTGGTGAGCCCGGCGCTGAGGCTGCGGCTGCAGATCCTCCGCGCTGGTATTGCCAATTGTGGTGCGGAGAGGACGAAGCTGCACCAGCAGAGCCCGGAGCAAATACATCGTCCGACGTTAGAGCATGCCTACTTGACTCGGGTTCCCAAGTGTGGGCCTTATCTACACCTACACGCCTCTCACCAGTCTCAGATCCGGAATAGCGGCGCCTGCGCAATCCGCTGGAAGGCGTAGTTGTGCTATGATTGCCTACGCCGGACCAGCGTTTGCTGCTGCCTGTTGATGCCGGCGATCGGACTACGCCGGGTGCACCGAATTTTTTTGTCTTGTCCTTGTGCACCACATCCCCATGCGAAACGCCGTTCCCATGAGTGCGAGCCGCTCCTATCTCAGCTGCCGTGGCGAGAAAAAAACCACAGACACGCAACATGGTGGGCGTTTTCGGGAGCCTCTCGTCGTTCTTCTACCTGTAGTTCTTGCGCCGCCTGTGCTTCGAGTCAATGTCGTATCAAACAGAGACGACCTCCCACTGAAGCTGCTGCAGGCTCGTTGTAAATGAAGGTGCAAAAATTTTGTTTTGAAGGCGGCCAATTTGTGTGTGAAGTTTTTAACAGTCGTATCCTCAAAAATTGCACCAATTGATTTTATTTCGGTATTCTGAGCGAAGACAATAATCAACTTCGGTTTCTTTCATACACCTATTTCGATTTTTTTGGTGCCTTCAATCTAGTAATGCATAGCCAAAAAGTCTTGAGTAAATCCTTGGTTAGTAGTTCAGTATACTTTATTTTTTTCTCGCGATGCCTCTTCTTCCAAAACTTTAACTTTTTTTTTGTTTGGGGTTGCATGATCCAACTTAAAAAAGATTCTACATATGTAAAATCGAAACCTCCAACAAAAGATGGATCTTGTAGCACGACCTTTCTCGTTGACTGAGGATCTTGATCTCGGTTGCACTATACGACAAACGGATAGAAGCGATCCTCATCCTGCGAAGCAAATGGAAAAATATGGGATTAGCGGCAGTATGGAGGACGAGAATGTGGAGAACTATTGGCGGAGAACTCAAAGTCTACTTGTTCTAGGTAAAGAAGTACAACTAGTCACTAGTATACAACGCTGATCCTTGAAAGACACGAATAAAGGAGTTGAAAGGTTTCTCCTACAGGTACACGTACACAATTTGAGATCGGACCATGTCACATGTTTATGCTTATCTATGCATCATGCGGAAAAACAAAAAGTGAATTGAGGCGAAGAGTTACAACTTAGCAAGTTGATTTTTTTGTTGTTCGGTTTCGCACGGCGGAGTATTAATTATTGGGTGCAATACTATACAGGTAAAAATAATCGCGCAACATCATTCAGCTATTCTGCCACAGCCGTGCTGCTCGTCTACTTGGTCGACCGAGCAAAGGCAAACCCCATTGATTCATATATTGCTCTACGTACTTGGCTAGTAGTGCTCGTCTCTGTCACTTACGAGCATATCAAAACTGGTTCTGCGCATCATACTGGATGCCGTAGACGTCGATTCACAGAGCAAAAACGGGACCCGGCATCCCTTCTTTTCAAGCTCGTACTTCTCGTGCCGGAGGTGGACTTGAACTTGATTGGATGTCGTCAATCTCTTCATCGTATTCATCGTACTAGCTACGGCCATCAAAAATCTCAAAGCGCTAGGCCTAGGGCTAGCGGCCCTCCATCAAAATAAACGCTTTCGCTCACGCGCAGCCGCAGCCAAGAAGTCCAACGATGCGTCTGTCTTTTATATATTTTCCAAAATTATAACAAAATTGCAGGGCGTTATTACACTGGTCATTATGAGCGAAGTCATGAATTTTCATTTTTTTTGGATAATGGTCAAAAGGCGGGAGTATACCACCGTGGTCTTCATCGTGGTCATTATTTTTGTAAAATGCCATAATAGCTGGCGAGGATCGCGTCCTCGAGGACGCAAGAGCAGCAGAGAATCGCCTGATTCAGATTTGCGGGTATAGAGGGGTGCGCTCTTCAGCCAGGTAATCGTCTTCCAGGATTTCATTTTTGAGGACTTGCTCGTCCACCTGTGATTTTGGTTCGTTCACGTTCACCGTGGCCAATAACTCAAATCGTTCTTCATTCTGTGCGATCGCCCCAAGAACTCCAACAGCAGGATCGGAAGGAGAAGCAGCACAACTTTGCGGCTCATCCTTGACGAAACCGCGATCCGAACCCGAAGCCCTTGCTCCATTTTCATCTGCACAAACCAGATTTTGTTCCGTCCTTCCTGTCGAGGACTGCACCTCCGTCTTCGGACCACCCGCCGCAGCCGACGATAGGGTGCATTCTTTCTCTTGTACTTGTTGCACAGCGGCAGCTTCGGAAGTTTTTATTACAGGCTGGTGTAGCGTTTCAGGAGTTTCGACATTTTCGACCTCGGCTTGAACCTCCTGCTGCGTTTTAACTTCAGACTCCTCCTCCTCCTCTGCAACGGGCATCAACTGCAACAAGGGCGCCGCTTCATCGTCATTTTTCAAAAAAGTCTCTTCGTGGTCGTCCTGCTCTTTGGCTAGTAGTAATCCGGCAGCAGCAACTTGGAATGCGATCTCCTGTTCATCGTTAGCTGGTGATTTGTACGTGCGGCACGGTGGCAACTGCGCAATGTCATGTGGCAGCGTTCTGCTGGCAGGCTCGGGATTCGGATTTGCTTCTTTGGCGACGGCAGGGCCGTTGCCATCATGAGCAGCGTTGTTCTTTGGCTCGTTTTTTTGCGTCGGGCCCATGATGTTCTTCACTGTGGCGGTCGGCGCGTTTTTGGTCTGTCCGGCGAGAGTCGCAGGAGCGGGCAGGTCAGTGTCTGCATTTGCGAAGTCAAATTCGTAGTAGAACAACACTCCGTCTACGAGGCGCTGGGTCACCTGAGCCAGAGGCGTGAGGAGAACTTTGGTATCGTCAACACACATCCACGTGTCGTCTCCCCCGGTTGTAACAGCCACGCGAACGTACGTTTTGTAGTGCCCAGCGTCGAGAGCGGAGGCGGACACATCGAAGCCCGGCTCCGCTCCGGTGTGTGCTACGAAGGCTTGCAACGAGGCTTGCACAGGACGGCCGGTGTGCTGCCACCTGGATTGTTTTTGTTTCTCTTCATCTTGTGCATCATTTCGTCCTCGTCAATATTTTAATGTTTGTACAACGATGTTTATGCACAAAACCACAGTGGATCTTCAAAAAACAGGTCCATGCAGAAAGCTGGCAAAATGAAAAAGCTACCGCACGCTCCCCGGTCGGCCGAAACCATCGAATCGCAATTGGTCTTCCACAAAAGGCTTTCGCACTTCCAGAGGCATCTTTCGCATGCCCCCCTGGTAGGGCGCGAAGCTGACGAAAATTCCGTCGGCCGCAAGGTCCCGTTGGACGAAGTGCGTTTCTTGCAACAGTTGCAAATCGCGCACTTTCACGACGCAGCGCTGCTGCTTTTGCGAAGCCGTGAAGTTGGCCGGGAGTCCAAGCGCCTCCCCTTCTTGTTTTGAAAAAGTTTGGGTGTCCACCGTCCCCTCCACCTCGCGGAGGGTTGTGTCCGCGCTACAGGTAATGGGGAACACGAGCGATGTTGTTTCGTTGGCCTTGTACTCGAGCAGCGACCCGGTACCGTGGACGGTGGCTGGGCGGTGAATCAGCGTGGGGTGGGAAGAAAGTCTGTTTTTCCGCTCCATTTCCTCCTCCTCAGCGGTCAGCGGCCGCACTACAGTCGCCGACGCCACATGGTTGATTCGGTCGAAGGGGTCGCTTTTGATCCAGCTGCGCTTCGTCACGACCGTATTCATCATGCTAGCACGCGTCTGCAGCCTCCCGCTCGTCAATACGGCCAACGCGCCGAGCAACAGCTCGTGGATGTCCTGCTGCGTGCCCCTGGCCGCCTGGATGGGGTCGCGGAAGGCCTTGCAGACGTAGTCGAGAATCGCGCTCACGTTCACGGGGGGCACAGACTGCAGCACGCGGGTGTTGTCGAAGTACCAGCTCTTGTTGAACACAGTGCGCTGGTCGAACTGCTGCTTCAAATACTCAGCGTAGAAAGTACGGCAGGCCTTGCCGATCGTGGCCGCTTGGGCGTCTTTCTCGAGACTCTCCATCGTAGCTCCATTCGCATCGATGCGCCGCATTTCCAGAAATAGTTTCCAGTAACTCGGCGCCTGCATCAGGAGATGCAGCAAGCTGTTCACTTGACAGGTGTTCCCCAGGTTGGGCAGGCCCAAGGGCAGCGTTCCGGACTTCCTCGCGTTTCCCGCGCAGGGTACCAAAACGCCCGCCCCCGGGTCCCCTCGACTCTGCTTCTCGCAACGTTGCACGTAGCCGAGGGCAAGGGAGGCTCGACTCGAGGATCCCTTGTTTTCTGCTAGGCCGTCCTCGCCGGCATTCCGAAACTGACCGGAAGCAGAACCAGAACCGGTGGGGCCGCCAGACTGCTGTTTGCTACTTGTTTTCGCGCCTTTGTCAGATGACTTAGCGGCCGCGATCTTGGCGGCTTTCGCGGCGTCGGAGCAGCACGCGACACGCAAGATTCCACTGATCACGCAAACGCAGCTGACGGAACGGAGGCAGATGAGAACAAAAGCGACAAGTCGCCAGAAACCTAAGTAGCCCACGGTGTCCGGGGGGCGACGGAACGAAGCATCGGTTTGCCAAAACCAATTTGAATTCTGCTGCTGGGCGAGGTTGTGAGCATTTTGATTTTGTCCTCCATTGTTGCCACCAGCGTTGTTCCCATTGCCGTTCCCACCTAAACGAAACATGCCTCCGCCCCACGAATTTCCACCGCCTGCACCTGCGCCCGCTGCGCCTGGTGGAGGATTATTAGGGCGATTCCCCGGTCCGCCTCCCACACCGTTCCCGTCGCCCCCTAACCGCTGTCCCCCGCCCGCGTTTGCCCAGTACGAACTCCCACCGCCCTGGTTATTGTTCCAGGCATTGGGCACCGGCGCACCCTGCCGCCCAGGAGCATTGTTCTGCCGTTGATTGTTTCCGCCAAAGCCGTGGACATTTTGCATAAAACCGCCACGGTTATTTGCGCCATGGCCGCCCCCTCCGCCAACATAATTATTGAACATTCCGCCGCCGCCACCAAATCCAGCGGCCGGCCCTCCGACTACAGTCTGTTGCCTTGGTATAAACACCGCATTCGCGCCCGCGCCGATGGTCGCCTTCAACTCGGGCGAGAAGAAGCTCGTGCTGTCCTTGGCATACATGCGGACGTCCGGGATACGCCACTGCATGTGCTCAATCCAGTTGCTCGGCGAGTAGCCCTGGTTGTTCGGGGTGGCTTGCACCCTTGTGTACCCGATCTGGATGCCAAACCCGAAGTCGTTGCGGACACACAACCAGACGAAAATCTCCAGCACGGTCAGAATGAGAATCACGACTAGACGACCAACGCCTCTGTGATAGTAAGTAGGATGAAACAGTGGGATTTGACTTTGTGATCAAAACTCATCTTCACTGCATCCTTGTTTTCAAGAACGCAATAAAGTGGGCTAGAACAGGAAGGTTGGGGTTCTTGCCGCACTGCATGCAATCAGATAAGAAGACGGAGACGCACCAGTGTCTACAACGTATAGATGAACATGATCAGCCTTCAGATACTGTTGTTCTATGCTTACCTCATGTTTTTCCAGCGTTGTATCAGTTTCGTCTCCGTGTTCATCGAGTGTGCCAAGCAGAACGCCACGCCAAGTAACAGCACATACTCAAACCAGACGTGCTCCGCGACCGTGTCGTCGTTTCCCAAAACCGCGGGCACCACCGGCTTCTTGTGCTCCTGCACCGCCCGGAACGTTTCCAGCACGTTGAAGTAGCGCAACAGGGAAAGCACCGGGAGCCAGGGAAGCCGCGCCACGTAGTACCACGAGGTCTGCTCCAGCGGTAGGTGGAAATTCGGCCACTGTTCCTCCGGCCGTTCGGTGCTCAGTATGGCGTTCTCAAACGTTACATTCTCAACTGTTACATGATTTCTCATGCAAAATCAGCATCAACATCCACAGGGTGAAGCGACTCCGCATGACAAATTCCCAGAGGGCTAAACAGCATTTAAATCTGTGCGGCATTTGTAATGCTAGAGCCGCAATTGTCCCCCTTTGAATTTTGGTATTCTGGCATTACAAATTCATGTAACAGTTGAGAATGTAACAATTGAGAGTCCCATACTCAGTTTCAGCGGCATGTGCGTGAAGTGGAGCCAGTATCCTGTGCAAAAGTATCGCACTCGTACTATTAATCGCATTCATGCATTACAAGTTTTTTTCTCAGGTTAAATCCGCATTACAAATTTTCTTTTTCATGCTGAGGAAATTTGTCATGCGATTTATACTAGTACGATGCTTTTGCATTTCGTAGCCAGGACGGGTAGTTGAAATCACGTAGGCCCTGCTGGTCACGGGTCATCAACCAGAAAACGATGTCAATCAGCGCCCAAAACAGCAACATTCCACACACCATGGACGCAATACCCGCGTTGAGGAGCAGCCAAAAGTGCTCCGGAGAATACACCCAGGGCTTGAACGCCCGCCAATCGCAGGTGAAAATTGCCAGGAAAAGCTGTCCCAACATTTTCGCGAAATGAAGAGTAGAAATCGAGCTTGTCTACCAATTCGAGTTCTAAAAATGGCAATAAAGAATGTTTTTGTTTCCGTGTGTGTATGTGAGTAAATACTTCTGAGCTCGATGTGGAAGTGATTTTCGTCCTAGGTGGTCCTAGCTAACTTAAATAAAACTAAGTTGCCGAATGTCTTGCTATTCTTGAAGAAGAAGATGAAGAAGGAGCATGCACCGTGTCCGCGTGATCTCCCTAGAGCAGCTACAACCGAGCGAACGTGCTAATGCCAAAAAGGCAACATCTCAAATAATCGTAAATTTTTCCTTGTGATTGACAATCACAAGGAATTTACGATATACGAGTTGTGATCTCGGGTTTCAAAAATAAAAACACAAGACGAGCGCGCGTGAAATCGGGACCTTCATTGGCTTCGAAAAAACTACGCGCAGCACCAGCCGACAAATGAATCGTGAATTTGTTTCCTCACAAAGTAGATCAAGTTGATCTTGACCTTGATCATCATGCTCATATTAAAAAGAGCTGAAGAAATGCCGCTGCGAAACGATGATCTTCACCACCAGGTGCATCCGCCTCAGCGGGTTTTCTGAAGAAAAACCCGCACTGCAAATGCGGAGCGAGCGGGTAAGGAGAGCACGTCCGTCTCTGTGCGGTCGAACACTAAGGAGATGAAGGATGGTGTTTGATACAACAAAACCAAAGCCGTGCAACACTTCCGTATATACATCCTTCGTGGTCGTCCTTCCACTTCTTCTTCAGAGGCGTGCACGTACCGGCAGATAATTCTGGGAACGAACGGATGAGCGCGTTTGAGTGTAGTTCCTAACTGAAACGAATGAGTCACTCTTGTCGAGTGAAGGAACAACTTCCACGCGATAATAAAAATTGAAGAACTGATATCATTATGGATATGGACTGCGCAGCAACACCTTTAGCACATGCACTTTTTTGTCCACACGTGCCTTTACAGGCGGTGCATCAGCGAGACGATCATACACTTACACATACACAGAAAAAATAAAAAAGCTCAGCGTATAGATAATTACATCATCAGCGTTGGGTGAAAAGAAAAGCGGGCAAGAGCAAGGCGAATGAGCTCGAAAAAAACAAAAACGTCGGTAGAGCAGTATTGCTATTGTGGACAAAAAGTATGCGTTTCGTGTGTTCCGTAACCTGAAATATTCAACGGGGGTGATTCAGTTTCCTGCCCGACTGACGTCGCCGGTAGACTTAAACGTAAATCTTTTTGTTTTTACAGTTTGTTCTCGATCAGCCTTATCGCCTCGTCGACCTGTGTGGACGTTCCTGACACCATGACGTTTTCCGAGGGATCGCCTTTCGGTGGCATTTTGACTCTGGCGCCGCTGAGGTCTTGGATGGAACGCAGATTTGCCCCTCCCTTTCCGATGACAAACCCTTTCTTGCCAGCTGGCACGGTAATGCAGCGAGTCACTGTCTGCGGTTTCAGCTGTGCGCGCTTCTGCCGTGCCTCACACTCCTGCCAGATTTCCAGCACCAGAGCCCTTCTTTCGGTCACGGTTGCAGCGGACAGGTTTCGCTCGGCCAGATTTGCGTGCCCCTGAAGGCTCTTCCGAAGCTTCGCTGCGGGGGTAAACAGTGTGACATCGCACATGATTGTTTCGGAAACGCCCTTGAACGACACAAATGCAGAAGAGGCATCACCAAATGCTGGGTGCATGGCGGCTACCAGTGCGTTTGCCATGTCGGCGTGTGGCAGGGCCGAGAGCTCCCGAGCCAAAAATCGCCCACCAGCAACAGGAATCATCACTGCGGCAATCAGGAGCTGCTCTCCGGAGAGTTCGCAACAGGTGTCGTGACCGAGGATCACCTCGCCCGGGTAGCATTGTCTCTTGCTTTTCACACTGGTGTCGACTTCCACGCGCGTGAAAACCTTCGTATCTCGGAACTGTCGCGCCGTGTGCGTCGTCTCCGAGTCCACGAACCGGACGGTGCCCTCCCCCAGATTTTCCGCGACACTGAGATTTGCGGCGCGCAAAACATGCACCAACTGCTCTTCTGCGTGCCTTTGCTGGTACTCTCCACGGCGCGCCTGCTTGCGCAGCTCGAATGTCACCTCGCGATTGTTGCGGCTTCCCTGCGAGCCGAGCAGATTTGGCAAATAACTGGAAGCCAGGAGCCACAGCAAAAGTTTTTCGTGGTTTTGTAGTGATTGAACGCGTTTCCATGTTGCGTCTTCTCTGCCGGAGGTGCTGCCTAGACGAGTGCGCTCTTCTATGCAAGCACGTTTGCGCAGGAGCGAGAAACTAGACTGGAAGATGCTGTTTTCGCTACATCCCGTTCGCGCAATTTTTGCCAGCGGGTGCCCGATGAATATCGCCGTGTATGGGTCGTCGATGGGTATCGTTTCGGCTGCAGTCCTTCCTTGTCTTCTGACAAATCGTAGCATGTCTTGGTGCTGCTGGGTGAGTTGCTGGCCGGTGCGTTGGAGTACACGCTGACCCTTCGCACTGCGTTTCTGCAGAGCCGCTCGCACATTCGGCTTCCCGAACATCTCCTCAAAATCGGCCTCGGAGATAAATCCAACCTTAATAAGAGCATCGTAGAACTGACGCGCCGTGTCCTCGATTTCGCGCATCTTGGAGTTGTCGATTGAATGCAGTCGACACCAGGCAAGTTCCTCGGCTAAGTCTGCGTCTGTGAAGCTGGGAAGGGGACACTCACGGTAGGAAGTGGTGTGCGTCTTGGGTATTTGAAACTCCAGCGCAGGCTTCGACGGCATCTGGTCTCCCACTCCAGTTGCTGTTCGGGAGCCTGGGTTGTTCCTTGCCGCTGCGAAAAGACTCGCTGAGTTGTGCTGCTCTTGCGTAGTATGTTTCCGAGACGGCAGATTCGGCGGTCCTGTCGTTGCCGATGGTGCTTCTACTTGAGTTTTGCTGGGGAGTGACCGTGAGTTTGTTTGCTCGAAACGAGATCGCTCGTTTCGCCACCGCCACCGCTCGAGATTGTACTGCCGCCAGGCTTTCACCGCGCCCCAGCGGTGCAGAACGTCACTCGAGAATGCGCAGCAGGCGCGCTTTAGGTGGATGAGGCGGACCCGCTCGGCCGGTGCTTCGATGATGCTGTCCTCGAGAAAAGGACTCCCGTGACGCAACACCGCGGCGAGGAGGACCGCGTCGGCGACGAGACCGAAGTGCAGGCCATTCACGACGAGCTGCACATACTCGATGTCCGTGTAGAGTTCCGTCATCAGCCGCCCAAGCGATGAGACGCCACGCCGGCTTCCGGTCTTGGACAGCAAAAACGCGCCCGCCTCTTCCAAAGCCTGATAGCCTTGGTCGACGCCCTTCTTGTTGATCGGACTCAAAAGATACTGCGAATCGGTGAGGAAAGTGCGCGGATCCAGCGAGTTGGGAAGAAGGTCTTGCAGCATCAGCAGGACGTCCGCGACGCGCATAGACTGAATCTCTGGCTCCGGGAACTCCAGTAGCCGTTCCCACTGCGCCTTCGTCACCAGACGGTGCACGGTACCGGGCGTGGTCCGACCGGTGCGGCCCTTCCGCTGCTTGGCCTCGGCCTGCGCGATCAGTTCCAGGGTGAGCTGCGGCTGCACCGACCCCGGTTGTTCGCGGAGCCGCTTGTGTCGGCAAAAATCGATCACATGATCGCAGTCTGCGATGGTCACGCTCGTCTCGACCACGTCGGTCGCGAGTATGAAAGCGGGCGCGTTTGTCGGCAAGTCTCGGATGATCTCGTGTTGCTGCTCCACTGGGACCCCGCCAAACAGTGTTGCGACGTGCGTGCCGTTCAAAAATCGCAGGAAGTGCGCGCACTCGTCGATCTCGCGTCGCCCGGGAAGGAAAACTAGGACCCGAGAGTTTTTCTTGATCACCTTCTTTGCAAGAAGTCTGTCTACCCATTCCAGAAAATACCAAAACGGTGGGAGTTTTGCACCCACATTGTGCACCGACGCCGAATACAGTTGCCTTCCAGGATCGCCGTCTGCCTTTGTCCCGTTGCGGATATCGTCCAAGTATCTCTCTTCGATCGGGAATCGTTGGCCTGAAGATGAGCGAAAAATTGCCGCGGGCTTTCCCGTGGTTGTTTGAAAGTACGCTGCCATCCGCCCCGTGTCTGCACTGGCCGACATAATGACGATGCGGAGGTGCGGGCTCTTGCAAAGGTGAAAGTGCTTCAGTGCGGCGAGCAACAGATCGGTGTAGTGTGTTCTAGTGTGAACTTCGTCCACAATCACGTGCGTGTAGCCCAGTGTGCACCCGTCCTGCAGGGCCGTCATCATGGCAATGGCGTCAATACAATAGACGATCGATGTTCCTCTACCGACGAGACTCTTCCCGCCGATCTGATATCCAATGTCCCGACCTAGTTCGGCGGAGTGCGTAAGATCTACTGCGCGGAGCGCTGCCGACTCCGTAGCAATTCGGCGAACCTGGCATTCGTGGTGTACTTATAGAGTTATCTACTTGGTCTTGCATTTCTTGTACACGTAGACGTACACAAAAAAGAAAAACATAAATGCAACAGCTCCGGCGAGTTTAGCCTTCAAAAAAAGCAAGAGACCATTGCCACTTGGGACAAGAGCCATAGCTTGTTACACAATTTGTAAACCTGGGTGCAAAGAACGCGACGTAGCTCCCCTTGACCTTCCTCAGCGGCTAGCAGAAGCGGCACCAAAGACGTTTTCCCCGATCCCGTCTCCGAGTCAATGATGGTTACCGGGTTAGCCCGCACGGTTTCGCGCAGGACTTGGCGTTCCCGATACAAATCGGCCGAGCTTACGAAAGGGTCGCTCTCCCGTAGAGCGATGGCGCTGCGCGCAGACGGCTTGCGCTCCACGCGAAAGTGCATTTCCGTGACATTGAGGAGCTGTGCGCGCGGGGCTCGCACGGAGATGACAAGACTGTCACCGTGCCGAGACGGCATCGCTTCAAGCACTCGACCGGGCGCGGCTGCGCTTTTTACTTGCTGAATAAGTAGATCGTACTCCTCGGGTCGTGGCTTTCGGAACACGAAACGCTTGTAGTGGTGATCTCCTGGCTCCATCAGGATCGACTGGTCAGCGAGGGCTTGCTGTTTCGCGCGAACTGCTGCTCGATGTACCTTCGCTTCCTCGCGAAACCGAAGCCGAACTCTAAGTCTTCCAGAAGAGGCGGGGCTACAACACTTGTTGCAGTTCTGCTTCCACCACGGCCAACTCTTGTCGAACAAATCCTGCAATCCCTGCGCCTGAACATAATTGCCGATTTTGTCAAGCTCCTTTGTCGACACAGTGTCGTGTGTCCTGGCACCCACAGGCGTTTCATCGTTTCGTGTCGCGTTTGCATCTGCTTCGCGCTGCACCAATTCATCACTGTCCGAAAGTCGCGCAAGGGTGGTCAGAAAGGAGAGCCACATTTCGGCCAGGCTTACGGGGTTGACTGACCGACTGCTCGTATGAAGATCGCGCCCGGAGGGCGATATTGGTAACCAAATGCGTGCGCGAAAATCTAACCAGCGCGAAAGCGGGCTCCACCACTTCCCCGCGGCCCTAAAGGGCCGCGGACAACTACTGTCGCCCGCGGCGGCCCGCAGGCTCCTGCGATAAGCATTGAAGGCGAAATCCGGTCTGCTATTTCGCAGCGGGGCATCCTTTCTAGCCCCCTGCATGACAAACTGGCCCCCTGGCCAAGAAGGTATGTGGAAAGCCGAATATCCGCGGACCCTTCCGGGCCACCAAAATCGGGCATTTCAGACGCGGCGGAGGTGCCGAATTTGTGCCCCCAACCCCGGGCAAACAGGGATTTTGTGACATCCCTCCGCCCGCTTCTAGTGCGGTTTTTTTTTCCCAATCGCGATGGTACGGCGCAAGCGCGCGCCCGCCGGACCGCCCTTGGTGGCCAGTTTCTAAGCCTGCCGGGGGTTCTCGATTTCTTTTAATTTTCGCGTTTTTTTCTGGTTTCTAAGTGGCCCGGGGGACCTGCACATTTTCACCGACCGCAGCTGACTGGCAATTTCGAAGCCTGCGGAGGGATTGGGCTTTTGCGCAATTTCTCATCTTTTTTCACTTCTCAAGTGGCCCGGGTGATCTGCACAAAATCCGACGATTGCTTCCACCCACGTTATGAAGCAATTTTTTGTCATTTTTTTCCAACTTTTTTCACGTATCAAGCGGCCCAAGGCTTCCGGACAGGTCGCGGGCCTGCTTCTCCAACGCAGCTGGCCAGCGGGCGGAGCAAAAAACAGTCCGTCTCTTTTTCAGATATCAAGTGGGCCAAACCGCAAAAATGCTCTTTTTGCACCTTCTCCCGCTTGGTTTCTGCCGTTTTTGCGACATTTTTGACCTCCTGGCCATTTTCCCATCTGGTCCACTTTTTTTCCCTTCTCCCGCTTCATTTCTGGCCATTTCCCTGACCTTCACGCCTCCCGGCGGTTGCCCTATATGGTAACGGCAACTGCCTTCGCGCTGCGTTTGCTAAGCAATATCGCAAGCGCGCAGAGCGCGCGCGCCGGCTTCGTGGGCCGGCGCGCGCTCTGCGCGCGCGCGCGCACGCATTTGGTTACCAGATCAGCACTAGCAGCTTGTTCATTAACATCGCCATTTTCATTTGTACTACTTGGGGATGACCGCCGTTCATATGCTGCGATGGTTTTCTCATGGTGCTCCAACTTCGCCGCGAATGCCTGTATTTCGTTGGAGTGCTCCGTCAGATCGTTCTCAGTGAGAAGGGCGGGGCCGATGGCGTCTTCTGTCCCAGCGTGGTCCGCGGCGGTGAAGAGCAGCACCAGAAACAGAAACCACACCTCGTCTGCAGAGAGCAAACGTAGGGTCGTAGCCCACACAGCGATAGTCTGAGCTAGTACTGGAACGTGGGAGCCCGCAGGGTGGTTTAGAAGAAGGCGCGCAAGCACGTGACCCACGTTGTTTAGACCGACGGCGGACTTCGCGAGAGTCACCCCGCAATTGATTTTCGGAAGACGAAAAGCGGCATTGTCTAACGGTTCCTGATGTGCCGTTGGGTCAAGACGCTGAAGCTGTGCCAGAGCTTGTTTGCGGATATCCTCGCCCTGCAGTCCAGTAGAGGGAGAAACGGCAAGTAGGATAGCTGGTCTCGACAGCTCTGCTGGTGCCACGCGGTCGCGATTGTGGCTAAAGAAAGAACCGAAGAGACTGCTGTACACGGTCTGCACTCGGAGCGAAGTTTTCTGGTGCAGCTCCGAGATAAAACCTGACAAAACATTCTTCCAGCCCTGACAAAGATTCCCTCGTGCCCAGACGTCGAGCAGGCTACCCGCGATGCCCGCATGGATGTAGGTCAGTTGCCGTGTGCGTAACGTCGCGACAGCCGTTTTGTTCGCGCACCAATTCTGCAACAAGAACTCAGCGCCGATCCAACCAAAACTCAGAAGGTTCCGCTTCTTCCCGGCGGCCCAAAGCCTATTCTTATACGCTACGAAGTACCAGGCTGCAGCCCGTTTGCGTCGCACGTCCACGACAAGCGACTGCTGTACGTCCTGGCGCCGTTTCGCGGTCTGCGTCGGACTCTCCGATGCGGTAGCTGTTTCAGACAGGTGCAGGCTCACCGCGGCATCGATGCCGGCCAGGTGTTCAGAGATGTCGTGAAACGCATCGAGAAACTTATTCCTCAGCTGACGCACACGTGCCCGGAGCACGTCCTTTAACTTGTGTCTTTCCCGCCGAGAAATCCCGTCCCTTGGATTGGCATGGTCAAAAAGCTCGGCTTCGTGGCGCAGGCGAAACACGCGAAGAATCTGCATTACCTCTTGCTCGTACATCTGGTAGTAGGCTTCCGCTGTATTCAGGTGTTCCGAATACCCCGGGTACAGAAACTGCCGGTCAACCTGGATGCCGCGTCGGCCGAAGTAGTACTTTGCGCGCTGCTTCTGGATCCTCGCTTGTTCAGCGGATGCTGCTTCATCTGCCGGCGATTTCGTGTTATCGCGGCTACTCTTGCTCTCGATCACTTGCAAGGGTGACGGCGTGGTCGTTCCAAGGGGAGTATTCTTCTTGCCGTCCGGAGAGTTGGATTGGCGCTCGTGTTCGTGATTGTGTCGTTCATCAACGTCTTCTACATCTACTTTTTCCTCGGTTGGGTCGGTGGAACTCGCAGGCTCTTCCATTTCCTCTTCTGGAAGCTCGATCTCCTCAGGGCATCGTGGGCAGATATCGGTGCATTTTTGGAGCGTTGTGTCGCGGTGTACCGTGACTTTGTCCGTTTTCTCCATGAAGTCAGGCCATTCTTTCGGACGACAATCATCGGGCACCTGGGCCGGAACGCCGGTTTTTGGAAAGTCCACTGCATCGGAGTGGCACCGCGCAAGTGCGAGCGACTTTTTACATTCCGCACCTTCCATGTCGGCGAAGACCTTGTGGGCGTTTGCAATCTGGCCGAGGGAGGCGCTAGAGCAGGAGCGTTTGAAGTACTCCCGCAGCTGGTCCTCTAATGTCTCATCCTCGTCGGGCCGCAGCGGCTCGTTGGTACTTTCCGAATAGTCCATTGGGTCGTGGATGACTTGTGGGCGCAACGAGGGCTCCCAGCAAACGTGATACATGTCACCATCCAGATCCGATCCCGCGATTTTGTTGGGCATGTCCCGGTCCCCCTCGGTCGAGAACACGACGACGTCCCGCAAATGGCCGAGCTTTTGCCTCACTTCTTCTCCATCCACGGCAGTTGGGAGGCGTATGTCGCCGGGGTGAAGGCATGGATTCTTCGTCACCGTTACAGGTCCGCGAATTACCTCGCAAGCTGAGAGCGGCCCGTCAATGTGCTCGACCGCGCTCGCTTCATGTGGCCGCAGATGGTCAGGTTTGGTGATCCGCACAAACACCTCGTTTTCCCGCAGAACACCGAAGTCATCAGGAATGCCCAAAAGAGTTCTGCCCTTAGCCACGCGCACCGCTGTCCGTTTGCGAATCTTGCGTGCTTCGGCCCGGTAGTGGTTTTGCAGCAGCCTTGAGAAAAATGGTTCTACGAGCGGATCAAAGCCGCCCTGTGCGTCGGAGACAGCGCTGGCAGGAATGTTAAAGCCTACCCGGCGAAGGTAGGCCGCGGACGCAAGCGGTTCGAGTAGCGTCCGCGCCTTTTCCTCCAGCCCACGCTCCACAACCCGCAGAAACGCCTGCTCGGGCACCCGACAGGAGCAAAGTAGGAGCACAATTTGCTGATTCAGGTAGCAGTCGGTCGGCTTCGCATAGCTGAGCACCTCCATCATGGAGTACTCGGATTCGAACTTCACCTGACTGGGCCGCAAGTAGATTTGCGGGTGGCATCCGCCATCCGGCAGAGACGGATTCACCACTAGCACACCCTTGGCGCCGCCAAACCGGATCTGATACGCGCTGGGAGGATGCTGTTGCAAAAAGGACGGAAGTTGCAACTTTTCTGCGAGTAGCCGTGCGAACGAGAGCGTAATTTGGCCGCTACCGTCGGTGAAGCAGAACCCGTTCCGTTCTACGTCCGGGAGCGTGGCAAGAGCACTCCGCGAAACTCGCACCGTCGGCCGACTGCTGGAGAACGCCAAGGCCAGACGACTGGCGTACTTCGCAATCCCGCCCTTTGCGTACACGGCGTCTAGGTTCCCCACCCAGCGTCGAATCTGGTCCACGGTCACGGAAGCACTGTGGTAAAACCAGCACGAGCGGCCCCGCATTTGCGAGTTGCTCCACCCTAGAAGCCGGTACCGCCGGGAGCCGATTCTGATTCCGCCCTCGAATACACGGCTGATGCATTCGTTTAGCTGTTCCGCGTCGTTTAGTTCGTCCAGATTTTCCGAGCAGAAACTCACACGAAGGAAAGAAACGCGGTCTCCATATTCTCGCAGCAAACGGTTCGCCAGCATGGCCTGTGGCGGTCCGAACAGAACTCTTGTCGGTGTGATCACGACTCCGAGTGTCCATGCGCTGTCGGCATCCGGCAACGCCGAGAGTCGCTCGTCCGCTTCAGCCGAACGAAAGCTTCTCGAATTTAGCTGCGCAATACCTCTTGCAGAGCCTGACGGTGACGTGTCGTGCTCGTGACACATATCATGAGATGGTCGCGGTCCATCACCCATGCCTAGATCTGGAGTCGAAGTGTGATCTTGTTCGTGCTCCTGGGTACACGCCGCGCCTGGTGGGTACACGGAAAAAATGCGCTGCGACAGATCGACGATGCGTCCGGAGGAGGTGCAAGAACCTCCAAAAAAAGCTATCAAGTATTGCTCGACTGCTCGCGCCAGAGTAAAGTACTTCTCCCAGTCGACGGCAACGCACGACGGAAATAACCCAACACCAGGAGGAGTGCTACTTGTGGATATCGACAGGAGGTGCTTCATCTGTTCGTCGTGGGACGACAGGTTCGAATTATTGAGGTTGATGTGTAGAAGGGCGGCTTGGATTTGCGGTGCAAGCCAAGGGTATTCCGAGCGAAGCTCCGCGTACACCCACTGCGTTTCCACATCACCCTCGAGCAGGTCGAAATCATTTTCTCTGGAACAAGGGGCAAGCGTTGCACAGCTGTCCGTCGTGTTTCCGACAGTGGACGATGACGGGAGTTTTGGAGATTTCGCCAATGATGACGCACCGCACAAAATCAGGACTAGGTTCTGCCGCAGGACTTGGATAACGGCTAGAAGTTCAGCATGCGACGATAATTCCAGCCGATAACAGAAATTCTGTCCGAAAAAAAAAGAAAACTCCTCCCCTAAGCAAGCGGGCATCTTTTTCGTCTTCTCCTTGACTTGCACCTCGTACAGAAAGTCCGGCGGTCGCCGCAGGACCAGCACGAGTTCGTATCCTCCCGCCCTGGTGGTGGTTTTCTTATTCGTTTTCGTGGCACCACGACGTTCGCCGATCACTTGTTCTGACGATCCAGTAAACGCCGCGACTACATCACGCATTTCGATAATGCTCCAAAACGGAAGATCCTGTTCGTCGTCCTCTCCACCACCTATGCCGGCTCCCGTACCGTCTTCTTGCAGACGTCGGCCCTCCTCCTCGTCTGTTTCAGGAGAGAAAGACGAAAATAATCCAGTAATCTTTTTGAGCCAGCCCTTCTCCTGCGGTGACTTACCGCCATCCGCGGCGTCAAGGAAGCGGCCCGACAGAGCAGCTTTTCGCGGTCTCAAAAAGGGCTCCGAGTCGTTGTAGCAATGCGTCGCAAGCCGAAAGGAAATCCTGATTTGCGGAGAAGTGGGCGAAAGCCATGCAACGCAACTGTTGTTGAAACAGAGCGCGCTTTTCTGATGTTCGCCTCTTTTCGCGTCGCCCGGAGGGGGGCGAGACTCGATGTAGTCACATGTCGACGTCAGGTATCCAACACTTAGCGGGCTGGTAAGCTCAAACCAATTCTGTCCTTTTTTCTTTCGACCGCCTCCTGTGCACGTATGTGGTGCACCTTCGTAGCTAGATACAAACCCACCTGGAACAGCTGGGCCATCGACGGAAGAAAGCTGCACCTGCCCCGATTCATCAGACACCCAGACGTACTGCCGCCTCCCTGGCACATACGGTCCGGATATGTTTGCCTTTGTGGTCGCTGAAGCAACTGTACCAGTAGCTCCTGCACCACCTCCAGCAAAGGAATTTTCTCCCGACGTATCAAACTTTTCCACTCTGCTGTCCTGGAGAGCTTCACGCCTGCGAAGCAGCGATTCTGTTTCTCGAAGAAACAACGTGTTGGCGGCATCAGCAAGGTGTTGGAAAAAGGCGAAACCGCCATTGTTCTCGGCAGAGCTCGGGGTGGACTCGTGCTTTGAAATTCTCCAGTTTCTGAGATCACAACGGAGAAGCGCCGTGAACGGGAAGACCGAGTTGCACGAACTGGCCTGTTCGCATTTGGCTGTCAGAACTAGCCCCAAGTTGCACTGAAGTTTGACCAGGAACTCGCTGGTGATCGGAAAAAGTGCATGGATTCGCGCTACGCATACAGTGCCTCCGTGATGTCCGCGCTCTACTTGCGACGGCATTTTGGTCGGGTTTTCCGAATTATATCTATTTCTTCTCGCACTTGCGCAGCGAGGCCATTTGTTTCGATTTCTTGTTGCACCCTCAAATGCGCAACGTCGACGCTAGCGCGCCCTTCATGATGATCATCCTATTGATTCCATCCACCTAACTGATCCATTATTCTCCTGTTGTCGATCAGTACATCTTCACGTATCTTCTGCGCTTCCCGTGAAAGAGCGAGAGAAAGATATTTGAGCGGGGCGGGGATAGAATGACCATCTAGTTCATCTTCATTGTGATTGAAATGGAAATCAGATGAACGACACACATCACATCAAACCACGTCCGAGGCAGAGATGACAACACCACAGTCAAACTTCATAAACGCAAGCAGGTTGTAAAGCAGATGGAGATGATCACGATCAGTTTCAAAATCGTAAACAAGTACTTAGAAATACAATGAATAGATCTTCAACACTAGATAACACTTTGTCGACGTCTCGAACATGGGGAAGATGCAAAGCAGACGCATCGCCCTCTGCACGTCGTGCACAAAGCAAGATCCGTCCATCGGCGTTGGGTAGATACTTGCAGAACAATGTCATACCCATACTAGGTCTAGGCAGCACCACCACCACGTTTCGACGAATCACAACAAATTGCATCTTCACTGGACAAAGACAACACGACATGTTCAGGACGGATCGACTTCGGGCTCAGCGCAGTATGTGCAGGTGCATGGAAAAGATATGTTCTTTGTTTGGCGTTTCTGCGGGTACGAGAGTCCGGATCGCTAGCGTCACTCTCGTCACACAGGCATTCATGTCGACGCGACGTGTCATGACTGTGACGTTTCCCACAGTCTCCCGATTGGTTTTCTGTCTGCGGACTGCAGCAAGTCTCCGACCCGCTGCTGTATTTCGGTACTCAGGTCGTCCTTGGGCCGAGCTGCGTCCAGTATGTGCCAAAATTTTTCGGAGCTGAAGGATGCAAACTGCGCCCCGACCTTTTGCTGAAATTCGGCTTTTTCGTAGCGCTCCTCGCCGAAGTCGGACCTCTGCTTCGCGGTTTCCGGGTCTACTTGAAGAAAAAAAACGCAGTCGGGCTCGGGAAGGCCGACATCCGGCGCCTTGCACCAGCTCAGCGACTTTTTACCTGATGAAGCAGAAGCAGATCTTCAACATACATCTTTTTCCTGCCAGTTGCGTCTCTGCATTGCATGTCCAATTTAGGCTGGTACTAATGAGAAAAAGGTGAGAGAGTGGTTTTTGTACTTCTCCTCGAAATAAAGGTTACGTAAACGGCGGCGGCAAGTCAAGCACCATACCTTTCGCGGCAGTATACGCGACCCCTGAAAAGGCGTATCGATCGCAAACGATCGTCGTGCCAGCTGCTAGGTCTTTCTCGATTTCCACGGAGGTCTCCCAGCGATTTGCGGAAAACAGCAGGTGTATTGCCTCGTCTGAAAGCTCGGACTTTGACTGAAGGTACCTGCAGTTGTTGAGGTTGATGGCGGGGCTAATAATTTCTCAACAAGATGCGTTTGTTTGACATGAAGTAAGTAAGCTCCTGTGCAAAAAAGCTTGACTGAGCTCATGTTTAGTGAAGCAAGAAAAAAATTCATATACGAATTTATCAGCCCTCCAATCGTCGTCGTTCGGTTTGGGAATTGTAGCTTCTTCACTGCCCGTCCACTCTCCCGCAGGTACTCAAAAAGTCGCTCCGATTGCGTGCTCTTCCCGCTGCGGTCGAGACCTTCGAAGACGAAAAACAAACCGCGCTGCATCTTTGCGGCCATCGTGTTTCCGTGGCAAGAGGACGATTAAGTATCTGAACCTGAGGGCGGCCTGTGGCAGAGCTTCCTTTGTTATGGCTTCATTGTCGCCACCATGAAGCCCGGCGCACGTTCAGGCACTATATACTTACGCTGTTAAAGGTGTACGTACGTGTTGTTATTGTTTAGAGAAAACTACTATTCAACACCTCCTGAAAGAATCGAAACTGAGGACAGAGCAGGCATTGTGAAGAGTAAGAATTCTCAAAGATGACAACAGGCGGGAACGTTTGTCAAGCCTGTAGCTGACCACTTCCCGGTGCTCCTAAACCTGCTACGTCGCCTTTTGGCTACTTCAAGCGATCGATGTACTTATCATGTGGACGATGCAATAAATTCGTTTTGGTATCTCTACTAAAGAACAAGCATGTATGCGTAAGTTGTGGCTCTTTTTCAGATCTTCTTCCGCCATGAGTTGAACACCAAAACAGCACATAACCGACGACAATGTGAAGAAGCACCAGATCGGCCACGTTTATCTCGACGTAGAATTTTTGTATTTGTTGCTCCTGCGAAGTGTCGTGAACTAAGCTCAGTAGCAATGCCCAATCCTGAATAGGGTACCCGCAATCGACACCAGGTGCGGTGCAATCCATGGTAAAATGTTCTGGGTGATTCCAAAAAGTGTCGTATGCAATTTTCTCTCGCGGCAGCTCCAGATCGTCAATCCAGAAAGCAGGACATTTGTCCTTGCTGTGGTGGGTAGCAACGATTCTCGGAAGTGCAAGGCGGGACGGAGGATTGTGGTGATAAAGCTGTGAAGCCACTAAAGGGATCGTTTTCTGTGACTGGTCGTTATCAACATCTCTTTCTCCACGAGTTGTCTCTCGTCCAGCGGCTTTGATGTTGCTCCTGCTTGACAACGCGCGCGATGCGGCGTTTGTAACTGCTTGGGTCAGGGTGTCCTTGTTTTTCTCGTTCTCGAGAACATACTGCTGCACTGCTATTACATCATGTACATGAACTCCAGCTACGCTTGAAGGCTCGTGCAGAAGGTCGTCAGGATGGCTGCCATCTGCAGCGTTGCTTCCCGTGGATAAAAGTGAAAGGTCGGTAAAAGTCACGTTCACACTATGGGAAGACAACTTCTCAGGCCCTAGCTCAAATTTGATTTCGACATCGATATTTTCCGTCGCCGCCGGTGCGGCTAAACTACTGCTTTCAGTGTCTATTGCGTCTCCCCCTTCCTCCAATGCTGTTTCCGCCGCAACTAGTTCGAGACAAACGCTTTGATCTTCCTCCGGCGCAACCAGAATGGTAGCAGGATCGGCAAGCGCACTGAGACTGTGTTCGTCCAAATAGCGGATTTTCTGCGTCGTGTTGTATTTGTGCATCAATTGCCACAGTTTCGCATTGAAATTTTGATAGTGTAGAGGTCCGACCCACCTGCCGTGCGATATAGTTGAACTGGCTCCACCGTTCGGTCTTAGCTGCTGGTCGGCTCGCTCAGTAGTGTTTTTTCGTAGCAGTAGAGAGCCTATGGTCCCTCTGTTGGGGTGCTCGTCGCGAACTGAAGTGGTTGTTCCGGTGTTCTGCTGCTGCTCCTGCTCAGCTTCCCTTCTAGGATCGAGGGTGTAGAAGACAAGCGTTTGCGCGGCGAGAAAAAGAGGCTTCCAAAGCGAAGTGCCGTATCCGGACAGCTCGAGTTCTTTCAGAAATGCAGCAACTTCGGAGTGCTCTCGGTATTCAGTGGCAGCGATGACAAATCGCCTCGTATTCCGGTTTAGCAGTCTGCTGCGGCGCCGAAAGACGAGCGCGTCAGCGATAAAGGGAAAGTGGGTCCTTGCGCAGTCGCGTAGCTGTTCCATCTCACTGTGATAGCCGCTTCGGCTTGGGTCAGAAAGTCGTCCTGCAAAATTTGTGGCCACCAGACACTGTCGCCAAAGAAACTCCGCGACACGAAGGATGGCGCGTAATTGTAAGCGAAACTGGTCAAAGCCGCATTGCGATTCGTTAATTGCACCGGTTTCGACATTAATCTGCTTGGCAAGGATCTGGCGCCGATAGTTTGACACCACGGGCGGTACAGGCGTTACGGTCATTCTGTTTTTGCCGGCGAGTGATTTCGTTTTTTCGTCGTAGCCATACTGCGCAGCGTGCACAATCGGGAGCGAATGTTGATCCGAAATGGATTCAGATTCTTGATGACTAGGTTCTTGCGCTCCTACTGCATACTCCTCACTCCTATCAGAAATCCGCTTCGCCTGCTTTCGCAGTGCTTGGTGACGCATGTAGTGCAGTTGCGCGACCCCGGGCACGAGAAACTGTCGCATGTTGTCCCGCCAGTCGACTGGTCCCCACATCCATGCGTTTTTCTTCCACTGCAGAATGTCCCACAAAGCGTCTCGCATAATCGGATTTCCCGCGGTCGAACCGAGAATCAGGTGGCAGGAGTGCCTCAGCCCAATGCTGAAACTGCGCAGTTGCGCCCGGATCCCCACGTAGTCGGCGTCGCCCCGGTCAATGATGTCGCTGAGATTCTCGGCGAGCAGCGCGTCGGAATCGATCATGACACCCCCTTTGACAAACGCGAAGTGATACCTGCACAGATCCGCCTTGTGTGCGCCGAAGGAGAAATTGTCGAAGACCGCTTGGATTTGGGTCGGCGTGTAGCGTTGTGTGTTGCCATCCGGTGTTTGGAGAACTATGGTTCGAAAAGCGACAAAATTCTTCACGCAAGTTTCGTCGTCGAGAAAAACCGGGGTCCACTCGGGGCCGATGTACTTTTCGTTGGCCTGCAGAAAGAGCCTGGCCTCCCTGTTGTTCGGTGGAAAGGAGTAGAGAACGAAACGAGGGATTTTCGCCGACGTTGTAGTTGCTGTGGTGGTTCTGTTGTGTGTGCTGAAACCTTCGCCCCCCGCGGTTTCCGTGTGGTCAACACCCAGCAGGACTTTGTTAGGGTCTTGGTGTTGAGGAGCTGCACTGCAAGCCGTTCGGTGTTGAATAGAGGACTCTGGAAGTGCACGGAATTCAAGGCGTACGAGTGGGTTGCGTCCACGTCCGCGCTCTGTGTCATGATTGGAACGCGCCGTGGCCTCGAGCTCGCCATTCTCGTTTACAGAAGTGGTCGCAAGAGCCACGACAAACAGGCAAGATAGAGTTTGCACCAGAAACAACAAAAAATAAAACATCCTGCGACTATGGGGTTCTGGGATACAAATGTGTATGTTCTGCCGTAAGGTGACGCACCACTTGCGGACCGCCGGGCCCAGCCGAAAAATCTGATCCATGGTATCGGTCATTGACTCCATGGACCTCTTCGGAACACTTCGAAACACGAGTAAGTAGGTCAGGCAATCATCAGGCCACGCAAAGTGAGAGTAGCTCCTGCTCCTGCTGCAGGAACAGGTGCACATTAGACACCCATGACTTACTATTCCGATTCAAAATTGTACAGGTGGTGGAGCCGCGGAGTTCAAAGACACTTGATTCATTGTTCTTCGTGATAGCTGGGTCAATCATAATTTTCAACCTGGCCAGCATCTTCATCTTCTTGATAAGACCAGTGCCCTTCCTCATATCGTACAAGTCCAGGTGCGTCTCTTGGAGACGCCCGCCTCTGTGTCATTAATATGGTTCATTTCATTTCAAAATCAAACATCAAGTCCACACAACAAATCTCTTTCTCCTTCAATCCATGAATCCCGGGGTTGCTACATTCGCCGCACCATTCTGTCCCTCGTAGTATTGGAGTTCCACCATCATCGCAGCAGCTAGCAGCATTGCTTTTTCGTCCAGGGTCACCGGGTCGGGAGGGGTAACGCGAAAAATCTGGGCGTCCGCTACGAATTCCAGCAGTAACTGGGTTCCCGTCACCGCCTCCTTCTTCAATAAGCCGACCTCCTTGTTGCTCCCCGCCTCCTTGATTGCGTACTTGGCCTCGAATCCCGCACAACAGAGCGCGCCGAGCTGGCAGGAGGAACCCTCCACGGTGAAGGTGTGCGTCGCAGCATCGTCGTTTGCGCCGAGGTACACCTCCTGCCGTGACCCGCAGAATCGGTTGTGGTCCTGGACGTAGCCAATTTTTCTCCTGCCCCCGACTGCGTGCTCAGTGGCGTGTACGTGGATCTTGGGCCGGCAGCAGGCGGTGCAGCACTGCGGCCCGCAGTAACAGCAGAGACAGGCAAGTCCTTGGCAGCTAATCCCCTTCTTGATCTCCAGTAGCGGCACACCCGGGGCGTTCTTTGCGTCGTCTCTGTTTTTTTCGTCGTTCAGACCGGGGATGACCGGACCTGCTTGTGCAATGACCGGGGCCATGACGAGCTGCGGTCGCCCGTAGAAAACGTCGAACGTTAAACCTCGTATCGTGCCGCAACAGATCCGCTGGCACCAGTTTGTACCTCGCTCGTCAATGTGCATCATGGGGAGATTCTTGTCGTCTTTCACCGGATACAGCTCGTACTTGTTGCCCATCTCGAGCCCGCACAAGAGCTCGACAAAATCATAGGCTGTGACCTTCTGCCGGATGAAGAGCTCCTGCCCGAGCACGTCGCCGTTCGCGGGCATTTTTATCTTTTTCGGCAGCGTCGCGCCGGTAATTGGGTCCGTCGTTGTCGTGGTAACTTCGATTTCCCCCTCCTCGACCCCCTCCACAATTTCGCCCTCCACTACAGTGCCGTCCTGGGGCTGTGCCGCTTCGCCCTCGGCTTCGAGGCGGCGCTGTTGTTGGGTGAGCTTCCGGGTGGTGCCCAGTTCCGGCCGGAACCGCTGGCGGTGCTGCTCCACACAGCAACCGACGCAAAGGCAGGTCCAGGGCATGCCACAACAGAGCACCGCGAGCATGATCGCCATCAGCGAGGCTGCTGCCGTGCACTCGATCCCGTACTGCAGGGTGACATCTCTTGTCAGAAGAATGTCGTTGTAGAGCCCCAGCGCGGCGGAGCAATTCCATCCTGCTTTCCAGGTGTCCAGTTTAGACATGCAGGTGTACCGTGCAAAAGTAGTAGCGCATACTTTTATTTCCGTATCAAATCCAAATCCAAATGCATGAACGGACAGAAACAAAAACAAGGGGGAGCTGTATCACCATCGTGTCTATGTTCCTGTTCGTGTCGTGCCCAGATACTATCAACTACACCGACACCAGAAGAGCATGACAGGTTTGCCTTTCCTTATTGTTGTTCGCTTTGATTGAAGTAGCACGACTTAGGTGGTTTCTTGTATCGAATCTGACACGTGTTCGTGATGTACTCTACTTCTTTTGCAGTAGATAACACTCGTGCGAATGCAGCCTACACACCTGGCCTTCAGCCAGTTCATCGGGGCTGCCTGAATAAAACTTAGGGTCTTTAGCTCCTGCTGATGTTGCATTTCCAGCCGCGGCCACGCCCGGTTGTTCCTGTTGAGAACGTTGCAGGTATGAGAACGAGCTGGACAAATCTGAGGGTCCACCAGCCTCTTCGTCGACATTCCGCGAAGACCAAAGTGTCACGGCGTTCGAGGACGATCCCGTGGTAGAGGAGTTTGCGGATGTAGAAGAATTTGAATTGTTCGCCGTGCTGACAATTTTGTTGCGCACCAACTCGAGGTCCTCCAGTTTGTCGCTTGAGGTCCGGGCCAGACACGACTGATATGCGTCGACGCACAATGCCGAACACGTATCGCTATTTGTGCCCGCTTGACAGGTATCCGCCACGCTGCCCAGGGTTGAGTTCTTAAGTTCACGATTCTGTTGCAGCAACTTCAGCCAGGCCTTGGAGGAGCTCGTAGTACTAGCTTGTTCGATCGCGTTCGGCCCGGAAAGGTTTGCCGGTTCGGGATTATCGATGTAAAAATGCAGCCGCTTGCCCAGCCAGCTCATTGCGTGTTCGGCATACAACTGCAGAGGGTAGAGAGACTCAGGGATGGCGAACATCAAGCCGGTGTTACAGGAGTGACGCTGTCTTGTTGCATCTTTACCTTCTTGAGCAGGCTCTTCAAGAAATACAGTTTGCGGCTCGGAACGCAGCGCGGAAGCAGAAGTCAACGCCTTCATCCCGTCACTCTTCTCCTGCTTCTTCGCATCGATCACTTCTACGTCCCGAGGGTCAGCAGCATGCTGGGCCTGGTGAACTTCGACGTGCATCGGTAATTGCTCGACGGCTGTTCTTTCGTGGCTCTCTACGACATTGGTCGATCCTGGTTCTACAAGCACGTTTTGCGTCGTGCTCGGTTTTTTCATCGAGTGCGTGTGGTGATGTCCATGTCGCCTATGTTTGTGTTTTCCTCTTGCAAGACCGCCTCTGCTGTCCCGTATGACTGCTTTGTCGTGGGTACGCATTTTGAACCCAGGCGCCACCCGGGCGTGGATCAAAATGAAAGCAAAACAGATGGAATGCATCTTGTAGTTGTTTGTTCTATTTCTGCGCTGAATGCAACCAGGGGTCTGAAGTGAAGGCCAAAGACGCGCGGAGCTTGCGCTCACAGAAGTGCTCTGCCTCATCCGCTCCACCCTTATTTCGTGAGCTTGTTATCATCTTCGTCCCACTCTACTAGCGATTCAGATTCAGATTTGTTCTGAAGTCACTCTTTTTTGGCCGACGCCGATTCTACATTGGTTCCACAACGGCGACGCCGTGCGACCCCGATTCCACAACGGGAACGGAGCGAGGAGCTCTTGTCGATGGTGCGCTGATACAAGCTCACTTTGGATTGGCATGCGCCGAACACAAAAAGTATTTTGATATTCCGATCTAGTACAAAAACAGTCCTTAATACAACTTAATTTTTTTGCGCAGTGGAATCATCAGGATGAGAAAAGTTCATTCAGTTTGGAATGCGATTGATTGCCAGAGTTCACATCACTGTTTTTTCTGTAAATGTGAACGCTCCTATAATATCCTTATCTTTTATTTCCTATTCATGTTGATAGTGTCTCCTGGCTATCATGTTGTCGTACAACTACTTTCCTTTCGATTTCTAATCTCCCCTGGTGACCTCCTCATCCACCTCCTGGTACCCGCGCGCCGCGAAGAGTGTTCGCGTTTCGTCATCCGCGTGCGAAACGAGGCGGTAGAAGTACCCGCTGCTATTCGCCAGTAATTCTGGAATTGAACCGATTTCCGCAACTTCTCCCTTGTCCAGCACCACCGCTTTGTCGTAGTCCACAATGGTATCCAGTCTGTGCGCTACCGACAAAACGCAGCAGCCCTGGTTTTCCAACCGCAGCCAATCCGTGATCGCTTTCTGCACCTGCTTGTCGGTCGCCGCGTCGCAGCTGGCCGTGGCTTCGTCGCAAATCAGAAGCTCGGGCTTGCGCAGCAACACCCGAGCCAGGCACAGCAGCTGCCGCTCCCCGACGGAAAGATTGGTCGCGCTTTCCTCGATTTTGTCCGTCAGCTGAAACCGATCCGCGAGCTGCGACGCGCGGAGGACCGCTTGGCACTGCTCATCGCTGTATTCGCCAAAGGGATCGAGGTTGTACCGGATGGTGAGGTCTGAACCCCCAAAGACGACGGGATCTTGTGTGATAATTCCGCACTTTTTTCGCGCTTCGTCGATCGGCAGGGTTTTCAGGTTTGTCCCGTTCAGCAAGATTTGACCGTCGACAACCTCCGCGAGCTGAAAAATCGCCACCGCCAACGAACTCTTCCCCGCACCGGTCCGGCCGACCACGGCGCACCGCTCGCCCGGTAAGACGGAGAAAGCTAGGTTTTTCAGCGCTGGAGGGATATGGAACTGTCAGGATTGAAATCGTCAAAGTTGAAATAGTTTGTGATGCATAAAATGGATGGCAGTTGGAAGCCCAATTTCTGAGCGGCGCATGACAAATTTTGGCGGTCCCTAAATCCAGTTTGTCATGCTGTTTAGGCAAAGAAAACTGATTTTCTCATGCTACTTTAGCAGCTCGAGCTCTAACCCCGAACAGGCTTGCAATCGGCCTCACTTGCCTCCTCTGCAACACACGTGCCTCGCGTCATGCATTAGCATTTTATTATGCATTACAAACTATTTCAACTTTGACGATTTCAATCCTGACGCTTCCATAAGGGAGGTTCTTTCGGTAGTGGACTGTTACGTGGTCGAGGCGTAAGCCGGTTGAGACGACAGTAGTAGTGTCAGCTTGTTGTTCGCAGATGAGGACACTTTCGCTAGTTGTACTAAAAGCTGCCTGCTTGTTGGCGTTGACTTTCATGTCTAGCAATTCAACTTCTCCAGTAGTTGTCGCCGCGCCGGACTTTGCTACTTGCGCCACCTGCTCTTGCTGTTTCTTGCTTCTTCCTCGTTTTCTTGCATTGACTCCGTCGTCGATTCCCTTGTGGTATTCGCCGTCCTTTTCCAAATTGCACAGTTCCGAAACCCGCTCGACTGAGGTGAAAGCCGCTTCAAAGATGGCGAAGAACTGGCACGTGTAGTTCATGGACATCGTCAAATTCATGCACCACAACAGGGAAACTCCCAGCTCCCCGGCCCCGACGTCGAAGCCGATTGCGCCGAGACAGGTCAGCAGAATGATGTGGGAGGAAAGTAATTCCGCGCGGACGCCGAGCCAGCGACTAGCGGAGTTGAACGCGTAAATTGCCCGGGAGTTCAAGTTCACCAGCCGCGCCATCTCGTCGCGGTACACAGTTTCTGCCTGAAAGCATCGCACGGTGCTCAAGCCGCCAATGACCTCGCTGACCAGGGAAACCACGGGGGACCGCGTCAACGCGTCCAGCCGCTGGAGATCTCGGATCGAGTTGCGACAAATGTTAAGCAGCGTGCCGTAGATGAAGAGGAAGAAGGGAAGCACCGCGAAGAAGTAGGGAAAGTACACCACGGTCAGTAATCCCAGCGCGCCGGAGGACCAGGAGAGCGAAACCAGCGCCGGAAACATTTTCAACACCAAAATCGCGTCGAGGTTCTCCGTATCGAAGGAAAAGCGGTTCAAGATTCGGCCCATCGGTGTGGTGTCGTACCAGTGCATGGGCGCGCGGCAGACCGAAATCAGCATGCGGCTGAACAGCGTGCCGGCCGCACGAACGCAGAGAATCGGGAACAGGATTCGCGTCCCGGAGATGAAAAACCACACGCAACCCAGCAACAGCAAATACCGGTGCAGGTAGTAGCCGTCCTCATCCGGCTCGCAATTGGTCGTGGCCGGGCGTTCCGCGAGCTCGACATTGCACCGGGACCAGGTCGCGACCCAGGCGTCGCTGCCCACGACGCTGACCCGCTCCAGGTTCACGCAGAGGAACCACACCCCGCAGAGCGGCGCCATCCAGCCCATGGCGCCGATGTAGGTGGCAATCGACTCCGGTTTCAACCCGGACCCCGTCGCCCGCTCCTCGACCTGCATGATGTGGCCGTCCTTGTTGTTTTTGCTGCTGTCGCTGTGATCGGACATGATCTCCACCTGGTCCAAAAAAACCGCCATGTCCTTCGAGTCCCCGGAGTCCCGAGTTGTCGTTCGCTGACGGAGCACTTTGCTCGAGAATGGAGGAGGAACTGGCTTGAAGTTCGCTTCTGATGCTCTGGGATCATTCTTGTTACCTGAGGTGGAATCCGTCGCGGTCTCGTTCCTGTTCTCGACAATGAGCTGCTTCAAGTCGCCAGCGCTGGTGCTCGAAGTCACCGCTGAGGCGATTTCTGCTGGAGTTGCCTGCTGCTGGTGCTGCTGTTCTGCATGTAGTTCTCGTGTCTGATCGCCGATGAAGAGCACTTCGTCGTCCAGATCATCTTCCTGGATAAGATCAGGACTGTCGGCGCCGTCATCAGCATCAACATCTCCTGCAGCACCTTCTTCGTCTTCTATGGAGCTGACACTGATGGCATCGGTGTCCACCGCTACTGGCGATGCAGATCCATTTTTCGGACTGTTTTTTCCCGCAGGTAGTATCATCTCCCCCGCCAGTTCCAGCGCACTCACTTTCCCGTTCCGTCGGCTGATCGCGATGCGCTTCACGCAGTCCCCCTGCCCCTCCCAGCTGCGGGGGTGCTGGCTGGTCGCCAGCACTGTCAGTTGCTTCTGCGGATCCAGACTCTGCAGCAACCTCTTTTGGACAGCGCGACTCGTGTGCACGTCGAGCGCGGCGAAGGGATCGTCCAGTAACAACACGTCCAGCTCGTCAAGGTCGTAGATCGCACGTGCAAGCGCCACGCGCATCTTCTGCCCGCCACTCAAGGTGACGCCCCGCTCCCCGATCTGGGTGCGGTCTTTGTGCGGAAACTGAGCCACGTCGTCGCGCAACTGAGCGATTCGCATGGCGCGGTGGTACTTCAATTTGTCGTACTTGCGGAAAAAAAGAATGTTTTCGCGGATAGAACAGTTCCGGATCCAGGCGGTTTGCGCAACATAAGCCATGCGGTAATCCAGCGCCGGGAAAACGAAGGGCGCCGCGGTTTGGTTACTTGCGGCATTTTTTGATGCGCTTGTAGCTGGTAAAGTCGGACCATGATTTGCTCGCTCAACCTGGGTCTCGCGCAGAAAAGTGTGCAGCAGGGTGGTTTTTCCCGCTCCTACGCGGCCAAACAGGACGACAATTTCCCCACGATGGAAATCGAGTGTGACGTTTCGGAGAAGGGCAAGGTCAGACTTTGATGTTCTTTCGAGAGCTAGTTCAGTTTTGTTTGCGTCACTCCCGCGGATCGGGAGAAGTTCCCCGGAAATAGGGGCCGACTCACCTTCCGCTTGCGCTTGCTTAGAGCTGCTTCTACTATCGCGATTTATTTCTTCCGTTTCTCGTTTTTCCAGCACCTCTTCCTTCATCAAGCTCCCCCTGTTGACATGATCTCCCGCCTCCTCTGCCTTGGGACTGGACATTCCGAGAACACTGCCCATCACAATCGCTGAGGTTCGAGATTTCGCGCGTCCCGCCATCACGGTTGCGCGTGCCTGCAACGTCGCGGCAAAAGAGCTCTGCTGTTCTTTCTTTTTCCTCTGCTCCTCCAGTTCTTTCGCCTTCTTTGCCTGCAAGGCCTGCGCTGCCGCAGACCACCGAATGTCCGCGTGGGCGAGGCGCGCAATCAGGGTCGTGTGTTCTTGTGCAGCTACGGGGGAAGTCGTTTTATCGGCCAGACGCGCAGGCGTATTTGCAGGCAGCGCGCCGGTCTCTAGATCGATGTCAGCACTTCTTGTTTTAGCGACCTGCTCCTCCGGTTGTAGCACTTGAATGTCCTCCAACATCATTGTATCTCCTTCCGTGCGAAGTAGCGGTAGGTGGTCACCTCCTGCTCGACCTGCGGTACTATCATCAAAAATCGCCTCTTCCGTCGAGTCTCGTTTCCTCAAAAATTGCTGCGTCCTTCGGATGACGACCACAATCTGTGCGACGCCAGACAGCGTGTGTCCGAGCTGGATCAGCGGGAAGCGCAGAACCCCAATGAAGGATAAAATCCCGAAGGCCCTGCCCGGGGTCAGTAGTCCGCCGTGAATGGAGTAGTGGATCAGGGCCATCGCGATGGTGAACTGCGGCCAAAACGTGTACAGAATCATGTTTGCGGAATTCAGCAACAACTCGCGACGCGCGTAGAACAGTTCCAACTTGCGGACGGCCTCGATCTTGTCGATGTAGGGCTTTTCCCACGCGAAATACTTGACGACACGAATGCCCAGCAACAACTCGTTGCACAGCCGCATCCGCTCGTCGAGAAAAACTTGCCTTCTCGCCCGCGCTTTATAGAGTAGCCCGCCGACTAGAACATTAAACGTGATCATCAGACTCAAGCCCGTGATCACGATCGCCGCCGACGGGCCCATCAGAATCACGAGGAAGACGGAGCACACCGCGATCAGAATCGGTGCTTGGTACATCTGCTGAAACAGCGGCGCGACCTCGACCCACCGCTGGCTATCGCTCGCGATCAAATTGAGAGCCAGGCCCTGGTCCAGGTCCGCGGAATTGGTTTCCAAAATTCGTTTCCAAACCAATTGGATCGACAGCGCACGCAGCCGCTGCCCGATGTTCATCATGAGGTGCAAGGACAAGTTTCCGCACACCAAATTGCTCAACGCGCAGAAAAACAACCCCACGCCGTAATAAGCCAATCGCCAGTCGATCGTGGTGGAATCCCCGTCGCATGTTTTGCTCGGGACGGAGTAGTGCTGCCCGGTCACCGAGTTGTACTCGGTCGTTGCGTGGTCCAGCATGGGGACCACCAGCACCTCGTTCGCCGCGTCCGAGTTGTCGCACTCGAAGGACAGAATGAACGAATGGGTAATCAGCGGCACGCACAACTGCGACGCGACCTGCGTCATCTGGATTGCGAGCGCTTTCAGCATGCGCGGTTTTTCCTCCTTCCAGATCCGGGTGAGGAGGGACGTGTGGAGAGGCTCGGGGTCCGGGTCCAGCACATCATCGGTGACCAGAGGTGGCAAGTCTGCAATGTTCACCTGGTCCCTGCGGGCTTTCAGAAGCACAGGTGTCATCCACCGGAACGTGGGGTCATACGGAATGGAAGTCCGCACTACTGGCGGCGGAGCCGGGCTTACTGAAGAAGATGTCATAATGACGGAAGGGAAAAGCAGAGTGCAAACAAGTGGGAGTAAAACTAAAATAAAAGTCTGAAAAATAATGTTGTGGATATGAGTGAAAACGTAGTCGTAAGGTATAGTCACTTAGTTCATGACCATGACGATGACCAACGAAAAATACATTCAAGTTTAGTGTGTGTTATTTATATTTTGCACCAAAAAGGACAGATGCATGTCTGTAGTGAGCAGAGTGACTCAACAAAGCAAACTTCGGAAAATAGAAGATGTTTTCAACATTTTGGTTTTCTACTGTCTGCACAGGAAAAGATAGAGTATGACAAAAACCCTCGAGGGACCCAAACGCAAACGGTCATCGGGGAGAAAAAAAAAAGCACTTCCTTGCTCTACTCCTAACGTAATAGGATGCATAATCGTGAAAGAGGCAGCGGGACTCCCAACTGATGCATCCAGATTCTCAAGTCACATGCCTAAGTAATCGTATGCAGTTGCAGCTATTTAGCTAGTATGCGCGGAATAAAACAAATGGTAGAAGTCGTAGCTAGTGGCAAATGTTCTGCTTGTCTGACTTAAGTACTTATTTCATCTGCGAGCATCGTCTAATGCAGGGGGTAGACAAAATCTGGGGACCGAAACCGATGCTGATGACTCTGGGCACGAAGATCATAGGAAACCAAGCTTGAGGTTGAGTGCTCACCTGCACGGTATACAAGACTTCACGATATGAAATGAAAAGCGCCGTCGAATATTTTCGCCAGTGCCGTACACTTCTGTTTCAATTGAGACCGGTGAGATACTGTAGCAGAGCCAGCATCTGCACTTGACGCGTCTGAGTCACAAAAATCACACCGAATAATTCATTGACACAACGTAAGGAACTCATTTGCCTAGTTTGCTTTGCTCTTTTGACCAAGTTCTGCGAAAACCAAAAACCCCCGCTGGATGCGAACTAACAAAGTGAGACCTGCATCTAAAGGTTGCGTGCAAATAATCCAGATCGTTTGCATCTAACCCAGAACACGTGCGCGATGACTGAAGTACCAGTGGCTTTTATCAATACCAAGCTGTTGCTAGTATGCGTCATTCAGCTCCAGCGACAGCTTCTTATCAACTTAGATAGCAGTATTTCAAAGCTTTATCTTTCTTCGAAAGTTCTCCTCATAAGATACTACCTAATCATAACCATGACGAAAAATTACGCGCACCCGCATACTTAAGTTGTTCCACTACCACAGTACTCTTCTACCGCGCTCTATTGCAAAATCGGAACAGGATGAAATGCATGCTCCGAAAGAACAAGCACGCTTCTGCAATAAAGAACAGCGAGACCTCGGGTCTAAAACTTTTTCCCATACATCATGTGATTCCCCTTTCCTGCCGGCGGAGGCATGTTATTGTGCGGCTGTTGGAAATTTTGCTGTTGTTGAAAATTCATGTCTTGTCGCGGGGGTGGGATAAAGTTGGGGTTTTGACCATACTGCTGCTGTGGCACGACAGGGGGCTGCTGTTGTGGGGGCGGCTGTAATTGCTGATTCATGTTGTTGTAATTTCCGTAGTTCATACGATTGAGCGAGTCTATGTGCCCTCCTCCACCGGGAGGGACGCCTGGGCCTTGCTGATGAAAGTTATTCTGCATCTGCTGTGGTGGGGCGGGATTTGGGTGCTGGTTGTATCCACCAGGCGGGGGTCCAAGCTGCTGCTGATGCTGCATATTTGGGAGATGCTGCTGGGTGTTGTATTGTGGCTGATTGATGTCCTGATTGTTGTACATCTGCTGCGGTGGTGGTCTCTGTTGCTGCTGTTCAGGAGCATACTGGCTGTTGTACGATGGCCCACGCATCGGCTGCTGTTGTTGTTGATTCAGATTCTGGTCGTAGTAGTCATTCCCACCTTTGTTGTCGGGCTGCTTCTTACCGCCTTTGAAGTCGTTGCCGTCAGTCTTGCTTCCACCCGCCCCGGAGGATGGGCCGCTCTTTCCGCCACCAGACCCGTAAGTGTTCTGGTCGTTGTAGTTGTTGTCGTACTGGTTATGTTTCCCGTATTTTCCACCTCCAGGCTGCTCCTGATTCTTATTGTTATTATAGGAGCTCTTGTCGTTGTTGTAGTTTTTGTTGTAGGACGAACCCGAACCGCCATTCTGCTTGCTACTTTTGCTGTTGTATTTTCCATCACCATAGTTGTTGTCCTTGTCGTAATTTTTGTCGTAAGAGCTACTTGAGTTATTGTAGTTGCCTCCTCGATTGTTCTTGTCGTTGTAGTCGTAATTCTTAGTGCCGTAAGAACCACCGTAGTGGTGGTCATTTTTGTCTTTACTGTGCTTGTTGCCAGCAGCGCCGGCTTTCCCATTACCGTGCTCGTTGTAGCTGTACTGATCATAATTTTGATGTTGTCCGTGGCCTCCGCCTCCCCTTTGGTGTTGCTGGTTTACCGCTTGGTAGTTGAAGTGCTCGTAGTTTTCTTCCTCCTCTTCTATCCTGAGCAAAAACGTCCCCACACCATAGCTGTCATGCAGATTTGCAATCACAGAAAGATTTGTAATGCGCATCCCCATGAGTGGCATTTCCACTTCCAGTCGCGTTTTGGAGTTCGACTTTGTAATGCTGTAAACAGGATGGGTAGATAGCTTTGTGATGCGGCTGCACTTGCTAAACTGCACTACAATACCGAGAGGAACTTGTCATGCGTGATTCCCAAAACTTTTCGACTTGTGTTGCGCGATCCCCATCTTGACTCTGGGGTGGGGACGTTTTTGCGCGGCTTATCTTCCTGCCAGTAGTTTTCGTCCTCGGCCACCCAGTCGTCGTCCTCGTCCTCCACGTCCATATCCTGGGCGTCTATTAAAGCGAAAAATGCCCCCACCCCCAAAGTTGCAAAAGTTCGTGATGCGAATTTTCCAAATGAAAACTTTCTGTCATGCATGAAAGGAGTAGGAATCTTTCTGATGTAGAGTCTAGGCGTGTATCGCATCGCTTGCATGACAAGCGCCGCTCTTGCTTGTGTCTTTTGCAATACAAATTTTTGCTATTCACGTCGATTGGAAACCTGTTATGCTGATAGATGCAAGAGGGCGAATGTGTCATTTGGAAAGGTTTGCAATACAAATGCTCCCAAGTTCGGGGGTGGGGGCATTTTTCCTTGTAATAGCGTCCACAGGAACTTCCGTGATGACCCGGGACACCTTGCCGTTCGTGATGAAGGGAACGAACTCGGGCGGCTTGTCGTCCGCGTCCAGTCGAGTTAGTTCTGTGTATTTCGTTTTGTAGGAATGGGTTTCATTTTGACGCTCAGATGAAAGGTACTAGAGAGGATGTCCATACATCATAATATCCTTCAGCGGCGCGCATCTTCGTGTATTAGTATTGCTTGGAGGAAATAGAAGAAATACTCAAAACCAAGGAAAAATCAGCAAGTCACAATAAAAACACATACCTTTTTTCTGCGAAGCGGGCAAGTTTGCGAGCCATACTACTTTTGGCGGCGCGTTGAGGAAGTTCTGATGCTGTTCCAGCATCCGCTCCACCTCGCCTCCGAGAAACTTCACATTTTTCTTGGTCAGGAACAGGTACCCGCCCCGGATGTGGATCTGATAGGAAGATGTTGAATTACTTATATGAGGGCGCAACAGAACAGAGGCAGCACAATGCAAAAATTCCAAAACAAAGAAACATCCTGAGAATCGATATCCATGCATAATACGGGAGTCGTACTCTTGCAGAATATTTTTATTCAAGAGGGTGCTCGCGGCCTTCGCCGTCACACACGAAGGTGCTGATGCAGATACTGATACTTACGTATAAAAACACTTTGCCGTGCAAACACGAAAAATACCCTTGGTCCAATTAGTAATTTCGTCCCCGGAAGCGCCTTTTCAAACGTGATGCCAAGCGATTTCAGCGATTCAAACTCGACCGCCTGAATGTTCTGGCCGCGGGCGTCGACCAGATGAAGGCACCATGTGCTAAAAGTCTTGAAATAGCCCTCACCGCCGGCGCAAGTATATATTGGGTGCGCAAGGTTAGTCAGTTTCTGGAGCTGTATGTAAGAACGAATGATCTTGTGTTCATCGTCATCGTGGGACGTGCTTTATTATCTGTAATTCCGTCCTAGTTCGACTTCGAGTGATGGAGGATTGACAAAACAAAAAAAGGAATGATTGGTCACCATGAATCACATCAAAGAAATACCCTGAGCATGACTACTTGCAAGAATTTTCGAGAAATATCTCCCCACGCTCAATTCTTACCTGCACGAAATGCAACCCGTCCAGCACGGTATCCTGCTTCATGTCTTTTATTTTCTCGGGAAGTGTCGGTGCCTGTTTGATGTTTCTCACGTCGCTGTTCAAAACGTACTTCCGGGGCTGGCTTCGCAGCTGCGGATCCGGAATCTGTTCCAGTAGGTCCACATTCCAATCCGGAACGCGCTGCACAACCGGAAGAGGCAAAGCGCCAACCATGTTTTCGGGAAGAAATGCGAAAAATCTACTACTTGTTCTTTATTTACTTCCTTATTTTTCTTTAATCATATGATGTAAGGACTTAGTGACGCTAGTGAAAATCTTCGTGTCGTGCAAACAAACGGAGGATATCTAGGTCTAGCGCTAGTGAGGAATGCTGGCGGGCGTTGCCAAAATATCCGTTTGGCTTTGGCTATTCCACAAAAAGTGACACAGCGACAGCTGGTAATCGTAAGCGAATAAAAACATGGTAAAGCAGTGGGCTTCACTTGCGTTGCCGCTGAAATGCAGAGGCTCTAACTCTAAGTAAAAAAAAGTTGGTCGAAACAGAGTTAGGGTTGCTACTTCAATAGGTGTGTACAAATGATCGGCTAGCGAGAGAAATCCGTCGTTTTTCAGTGTGCCTTCTAATTGCGGATCCTTAAGTAAGTGACAGGTTCACAAAAGACCAAGGCAAAAAGCAAGTAGAAGGGATCTCTTGACCACTTTCGATTTCATTCCCGGCCGTCAAAATCAAACATAGCAAATGCATGCAAAAATACAGCCTGCAAATGTAGCAAATTCCTTCGTGTTATTTCAGAGAACAACAGTCCCCAAGAACAACGTACTTAAATTATGCTTTTCCACCGGCATGTCGACCTCAATTATGAGTTCATCTTCATGTGGGGATAGTTGTATTCTGTCGCTGTTTTTCTTTCTTTGTCGCTGGTTCTCCACTTTTCAATTTTTGTTTTGTTATCCTCGTCGTCAAGGTTCACACAATCACCACGGGAAAACCGCAATCGCAAACGCGATGTGAGTTCTTCCATTACCACTTGCTTTACGTCGACAGGTTACAGATACAGACAGGATGCACTCCGAGTTGTCTTTGTCACTGGGGGCGTGTCGTCGTCGTGGGGATGATGAAGAAAGGTATCGTATATAATATTTTCTGTCGCCAATGCCATCACTCATTGCAACTGTCAAAAAATAATACGACCCCACATCACCACTACACAAGAGGTTATCTTGAATACGTTCGGAGATTTTTGCGGTAGCGAAACCATGCTTACAGTCTCGTCCACGCCAACCACGTAAAGCTTTCAGACATACAAAGCTTCTTGCAGAGTTCATCACAAATAGTACGAGGAAGTGTTTCAGACAAGATGAATTTCATGCCATCTCTTTTTGCGTAATAAATCACATTTAAAGTAGACATCGAGGTGCTCGAATTCGCACGAGGCCGAATTCATATTTTTCGAAGAAGTGTAAGGATAAGTTTAAAACAGAAGTGTTTCATTGAAGAAGCGTCGCGTAAAGAAGTAATTCTAGAAGATGCTGATTCGTATTAAGTTGGTTCTCGATGTGAGCGAATCGGGCTCTTGAGAGCTGCGAGAGCAACAATGAATAGCATGGTAGTTCATAAGAAGAACCAGGCAAAGAAGTATTCGGATCCAGCAGCGGCTTACACAAGGTTTTCATTTTTCACCCCGTGATGTTCTACTTCCGCACTCAAACTTACTTCTTGAGAGTGTTGTCTCCTCTCAGCCGCTGCGCCAGGTGCAGATCCTTCGGCATGATGGTGACTCGCTTCGCGTGCAACGCACAGAGGCTGTAGTTTTGATGACGATTGCAAATGTGAAACGTCAACTCTGCGATTGACAACATCAAACAAATAAAAGAACAGCGAATAATGGTGGAAAACCCAAAATGTAAAAAAAAAAGCATTAAAAAATAAAGTAAAAAGTACTTTGTATCCTCTAGCAAGCCGATCATGTAGGCTTCTGACGCTTCCTGCAGCGCGACCAGGGCCTGGCTCTGAAACCGGATCTGCTTCTTCTCGTCTAGGGCGTGCACGATTTCCTGGGATAGATTGTGTGTTTGAGTTTGCATTGTCTTTGTTTCCACGTTTACTTCCAGCTAGAACAATGTTCATCATTGCAATGCACATCACCTGTTTTTCTCTACTAGATTCGTGAATTTCCTTTTCCAAAAACCAACACAGAAGCAAAAGGCACCAGACGAAACAGAAAAAACAAAGTGTGCTTCTGTACCCGCACCATCCTCTGGAAGGGTGCCCTTCTGATGAGCAAATCGGTGGACTTTTGCAGGGCGCGGATCTCTTTCAGTGCCTTCTCCCCTGCAGTTTGTTCAACAACGCATAAAAAGTAAATTGAAATTGTATTAAAACTCTAGTATTTCTGCAGCACGAGCTCATTGAAAACGAAGTGATAGAAAGATCATAAAAGTTGTCGTGCCCACAACAAACAAAGAAAAAAGACTACCAATCAACTTTCTCAGTCGTAATTACCTGGCTTTGCTCTTTTTTTGTGTTTCACCACGATGTTCGGGCCACCGCCCCCGCCGATCATACCACCACCGAGTCCATAGTCCGGCTGCTGTGGCTGGCCCGCAATGTAGACGCCCTGCCCCTGCTGGAGGTTTGGGTCCAGCATCTGCTGCTGCTGTATGTACCCTCCGGCCTGTTGCATAATCCCGTTCTGATCCACATACAGTCCTTGCTGCGCGTACTGTGGTGGCGCTCGTGAACTGGAGGATGCGGACTGCTGCGCGTAAATGCCACCAGGGTTAGCTGAGGTTGAGGTTGTCGCAGTTGTATGTAGACATTGACATACGAAACAAAGAAAAGCTTTTCCAAGGGTATAAAACGTAAAAGACGTCTCAAACCAATCATGAAACACCCACGACGTCAACAAACAAACTCGGAGATACTCGTCATAAAACAAGTAGGTACTGTTGTATTCCGCAGCATCCCGTCGAAACTCGTCTACCCTTTGCTCGTAGGTCTGTGCTGGTAGTTTTGCCCCCTTGTTGCCCGACTTCTGGACGGATTTCTCGTCCACTTTACCCGATTTCTTTGAACGCGCCATTTCGTTTTCTTACTCAATTACCGTCGTAATTGGTAAAAGAGAAAACACAGGTTAAGCTCAGAAATAGGACTGGATTGCTTCTTTCTCACTGATAGCGATAGCTGTCGTTCTTCTCTTTCCCTGAAACAAAATGGTACAGGTACTTCCCTTTTTTATTACATCAAAAAATATTCTTTTCTTCTTACGCCTAGGTTTTTTTAGAATGACGAGGAATCCAAATCGTTTTTAACGAAAATTACTTCACAAACACGAACTACGAGCTCGTTGAAACCTAGGTTTTGTTCTATCTTCATCGGTAGATGTACTAGATCAGTTAGTAGATAAGGTATATTGAATACTTGCTGTTGATGAAAATAATTCCTAAAAAATGAAACTACTTGTTTACCGACTACATGGCCTTCAAAGTGGTTGTGTGTGTGTGTGTGTGGGGGGGCAGGGGGCTGGGACACTGACGTCAAAAATATCTACACGTCGGAAGATTGACGAAAAATTCAAAATTAGAATCAACCGACGGAAACTGAAACTCGGTTCGTGAAATAGCGAATATATGGTGGCGGCATTTGATACAAATCGAGATGAACATCGGAAAATTTTTGACAGTAAGCACGTACCTCCAACCTCGGTACCGTACGAACTCATTTTGCATTATGATCGCCCGACCAGGAGCTTTGAACGTGATTTCTTCTGCTCATCATGTACTGCTCGCGACTCACCTTCTCTCTTGTCCTGCACCAGTGCAGGTATTAACAAGTGTTCTGGATTGTTGCAGTCTCATAACGTCCTCTTGTTATCCTCGAAATGCACAGTAGACGTGGAGTATGATTTACGACGGCCCAAATCCCAATACGAGAGGAGTCTCTTCTGCGGTTCTCTTATTTAACGACAACGAAACCCAAACCCTCGACGAAGCAGAGCTGCTCTAATAAGTATGCTCACCTATCTTTGACCCGAGATATTATAACGAAAGAAACCATACTGAGATGCAAAGCCGAACGAGCTTGTACTTGCAAAATCCATCTGGTGCAACTCCTGCGCAGCTCTCGGTGGGTTGCGCTTAGCACGATAAAGTCCAAAGAAACATCGTCCTTGAGCAGAAACTCTTTCCATTCTCATTCAATTTTTCGTCCTTCATCGAGGTGATCGATCTTTGCAATTAAAAAGTAGTTGTCGTTTTTGTCGCGGCGCAAGTAGAGTGGTTTTCATCAACATTCTTGTTGCATCCTCTTCATCGTCTCCAACAATGAAAGTGGTCCATTTCGTCTGTATAGCGTCAAAGGAAGCTCTAGCTCAACAGTAAAGCACCATAATATCATCGCTCTACCCGGGAGCGGATATTAGATTTAGTCCAGTTCTGGACAACTAAGTAACCGGAAGGCATTTTGACTTTCGTATAAATTTTGCAAATACAAATACGCGCGAAGCTGCGAGCGAGTTCTCTTAACTACAAGTATAAGTCCAGGGTAGAAGATGACGTAAAGCTCGGGGTAAACGTATCAGGTCATAAGTCAATGGCTGTTCACAATCAATGTGAACTGAGGCGTCCGCAGAAACAACAAACAGGTTGTCGCTGCGGAGGATGAAGCTCAAGTTTCTCAGGCAGACACGAATTACCGCTGAACCTTGTTTCTGGCAGGGGCATAGTTCTGTCTTTAAGGGAAAAGTACGCAAATAAGAAAAGAAATGTTTACACATTTTTTCGTTTTCAAGAAAGGAGAAACGCCGAAACTTACACTTTTCTTCTTCTAGTTCTGTTTGTGGTAGAAGTTCTCAAGCTGCAAGAGTTGCTCTTCGTCAGATTTGTTTTTGTTTTCTTGTATATCCAACAAAAACGTAAACGATGTTGTCGTTGCATGATCTACTTCGACATCAATTTTTTTTTGTGCATTTATTTCCTTCTAGTAGGACCGCGACGAACAACATACATTCCACTATCGCGCAGTTGCAGCCGGCGTCCCTTTGAATAATAAACTTCCGACAACAAGAATCAAGATTTCAACCACTCTCTACTTTAATATTTCCGAGTTGAACAAAATCTCACCCCTCCACGGATTTTCTGGTCAACGCCCGGACTTTCTTTTTCCACTGATCCCGGTTGTCGCGGTACATCACGGCCGCGTCTGCGTTTGCCGGGCTGTCCGGGTTCGGGTCCAACAGCATGCTCAACACGCTCATCAGAATGCTCTCCACTCCCAGTATCGGTCGCCATCGCTCGTCGGCGGTTTCCTGCTCGTTGAATGCGTCCGTGCCCGGAGGATGCAGGATAGAAATGCAGACCTTACCGTCGGGGTTATGGCGTTCTCAAATGTTACATTCTCAACTGTTACATGATTTGTCATGCAAAATTTCAATCAGAATCGACACAATCAAGCTGCTTCGCATGACAAATTCCCGAAGGGCCAAATAGGCTGGCAATGTGCTCCAAATCTGTCATGCAAAAGGCGCAATCTTTCCCCTTGTAGTTTTGCCATTCTTGCATCACAAATTCATGTAACAGTTCAGAATGTAACGTTTGAGAACGCCATAGGGGTAGATGTTCGGGTGGAAGAGCTCGGTCTCAAACACCATGTCGGGTGGCGAGTTCGGGAAATCCGTGGGGAATGTCAGTAGTGCTGTGGCAGTGGTGTTGAAGGGTTGTGAGTATATATAGTTTTTGAAACGCGTTACATCCATACTCATTTTTCCCGTTCGGATTTTTCGGATCTGCATTTCACCATGGCAAAAGTCAGGTGGACACACTCATCAAAACAATAACAAGCGCAGTAAAAAAATGCGCATAAATAAACATTTGCTTTCTAGGAAGTTCAACCTCAAGCTTTACTTTACAGCCAGTTTTTTATACCCGTAAAAAGACCTCCTTCGTAGAGCGAGTCTTGTGGTCCTTCGAAACAAACCCTCCATTTGAACAGATTGCTGTCGTCTTCTAGCCCGACTGAGAATCCGTTTGCCTCGTCCTTTGTCAGCTCGATCAACTGCTTTGAGAGCAACTGCTTCGCGATTGAAGATGTCATTTTCGTTAGCGTTCGATATTGATTAAAGTGCCTGTGATTTTGGAGACTCCTCAAACACAAACGATGATGCAAATAACGCGACAAAACGCTAGCAATAGTGGAAATGCGGACCGGAACCTCTCAAAAAATGCAGTAGCTCCTCTTGCAACACACTCGAAATGAGAAACTGAAACAGACAACTTCTACATCTAAAAAGTATCTATGTACTTCCATCAATCTTTCACCCGCCTATTCTGGAATGTTAGGAATTTTGTTGCGAAGTAAATTCAGATTTTGGTGAGCTCGTTTATGTTTTACCGGAAGATACGGGCGGCTCGCGAATATGGGTCAAATTGCACTGCAGGGTCGGTTTTTCAAAAAGTGCATGGTCGCTGGTCGTCGAACGTTTTGGATGCTAATTTTTTTGCGATAGATTTTCCTTTTTCTGCGCTCGGACGTGCAAGCACGTGTCTGTGTCGATTTCGATGAAGAATAATTCCTCGCTTCCTTAAGCTGCATCGAGTTCGAGCCTGTGATTCGATTTCGAGCATACTGCTGTACTACCATGCCCGGCGTTACTCTGTTGTCTATAGTAAAGTTCGAGTTCTTATGGTTTAGTAAGCACTTCGTTCGAATCAGAAACGCCAGCTAACGCTTCGTCTTGATGCGGGCAACAAAAATCGAGACGAGTCGACTCGTAAAGCGGCAAAGCGCGCGCAGGCAGAACACTACGTCTGTGTCTGCAGGCAGAACACTGTAATCAAGTCACTCCTTGTGTGCTATTGTGTTTGTGACAGTATCACTTCTACTGTCGTCCTTTTTGCTTACAGCATGTCGGACAGTGAACGGTTTCTGTGGCTTACTGAACTTTGGCAGTGCCTTTACGTCAGGAGAACAACGATTTGCTCTTGTACTTTTTTTGCGGAAGAAAAGCTACTTCTTCGAAGATATGTACTACCTGTGCGCCGTCGTGCAGCTCGCCAGCATACTGGCGGGCGTTCTTTGCCCGGGGATACCGAGTCAATATCTATCCATTGTTGTCGTGCGTGTCGCAGGAGTCGCTGTTTTGTTTATCATTCGCTACTGGTACTACTGGTGTCGCGATCCAGAGTTAGTATCCACGACCAACATCTTCAGATGCTGATGGTGCATGCTCCCAGATGACCCCTTATGTTTACGTTCATCACTCATCATGTGAGATCGGGAGCGCCATCCTGGCCGGTGTTGTTTACTTTCGGCACCACATTGTATTCCTCTTCTACCTCTACGGTCAACATTGACGCGTCTGACTCTGACGCGGAGCCGCCAGTAGCGTAGTGATGCGGGGGTTGTGGAGCCTGACCAGCACCTCGAAACAGGCCCGGATCGCTGTCAGAGTGGCTGCCCTCTCGCGGCGCGCCCGCTCCGTTGCCCGGAACCGGTACCTCTAGACTGCGGGGAACCACGACGAAGCTGTCTGCGGCGCTCGCTGGTTGTGACTTGCTCGGCGGCCTCGGCACATGCACCCCTGAGCCGCTTACTATTCCCTGCTTCGGGGACCCCGGTGGCGGCGGACCTTGTGGTCCACCTCCTCTCGACGTCGTCCCAGGCGGCGCGGGCTGGTGCGCATGTGATTGCTGAGGTGCTGGGACCGCAACGCCGGGCGGGACGACTGCCCTCTCCGGCGGGACGAACCCGACTAGCGAGTTCATCTGGGGCGGCTGCTGCGGTTGGGTCGCTGGCTGGTGTCCTGGACTTGGCACCGGCGCTGGGGGAGCACTGCTCCCTTGAGCAGGTGCAACCTGCTGGTGCAGCTCAGCCTGTGCCATCACAGCCGGTGGCGCGGAGGTGGAAGATTGCGCGCCGCCGGCTTGCTCCGTGCGCAAATTCCGTGCCTGATCTTGACTACTTTCACGCTTCTTGCTCACGTGCTCCTCGTAGGACCGCTGTTCTTCTTGCAATTGGGTGCGGAACCCCGGACACAGGTTTTCGATGTTCTCCCACGTCACGCGCCACCAGACTTGCTCGTTATTTCCCCCACTTTTGCTACTTGTGCCACCTTCTTGACCGCTGCCCGGGGGTGTCGTGGTAAACATTAACAACTCCCCCTCGAGCAACACGCGGATCACGTTCTTCAGCGTTTCCAGCGTCAGCTCTGCGAGCACCTCGTCCCGGGTGTCTCGCCCCTGTTTGTGGAGAACCAGAATCAGCCGCAAGACCATCAACCAGGCCTGGTCAAAACGCGGCTGGTGCTGCAGGTGCTTCAGGTTCAGCAAAAAGAACTTCGAGGCGATGTTCAGCGCCAGAGTGCTCAGGTTCTTCGGGGCGGCCTGCTGCGTTGCGCAACTGGTGAGAAACGCGACCAGTTTTTCCACCACCTGGATGCCCACGTAGGGGGTGTAAAGTCGGGACACCGTTTCGGACAAAACCACCTCTTGCAGGTCGATCAACAACTGGAAAAATCCCTGCACCGCCTGCTGACTGCCAGGCGCGGGCGTCATCTGCTTCAGCGTCAGCCAGAGCTGCGCCATATTCTGACACAAAGCAATCAGTGTGCGGCACCAAATCTGCGCTAACACCTCGATGTTTGGACCGCTAGTACTTCCTGTTGCGCCTTGTTGTGCGGAGGACGTGGGGGTGCCTGGTGGGGCGCTTCCGGACAATGAATTTGCTGCCACGGTACTAGAGGTTGATCCGGAAATGGAGGATGGTCCGCCTGCGGCAAGTGCGGTTTTGTTCGTTGGGGTCGGCACTGCCGACGCGACTTTGGTCCCGCTGTTGGAGAGCATGCGCAGCATCGCGAGCAGCAGCCGACACATGTGCTCCGGTGACTCCGCTGGGATTTCGCCGAGGCACTGGGCGTAGGGCTGCAAGCCCAGCACCGGTAGTATCGTCGGGTGGAACAAGAGCATCATGGTCTCAACGATTTTCTCGATCTTCAAGCCTCGCGTTTCCATCAGTTTGTCACCACCGTTTTGCTTCGACGGATACCCCGCGCGGAGGAGGCGGAACACCAGAAGGACTTCCTCGCTGGTTTGGAAAAGTGTGTGGATCTCGTCGTGTTTCACGCTGCTGAAGAAGCAGTGCACTGCGTTGCACGCGACCATGGAAAGCTGCACGAACAGTTTGCGCTCAACCTCGACCCGCTCCAAGAACTGCGACAAAATTTCCGCAACGGAATTGCGCCCCCACAGGTCCTTAAAGCGGAAAACCGCGACCAAAGCGAGAGCGGCGGTGCGGACCGAAATCTTGTCTCCGCCAGCGACAATGACGGAGGAAGTGCCTGTGAATGTGATGCGAGGACAAATAACAGGATTTATATAAGTACTAACTAGTACGATAAACAAGCGTGCGACTTTGATTGAGAATCGCGATCGTAACCAACATGTTGAACGATGCAAATTTACCTGCAGCCGCTCCAGTTCCGGGTCCCGGTACGCTGCTGCTCGCGGAGCACAGGATTGTTTCTAGCACCGCCTTCCCGGCGGACCGCAGCTGCGGAATCGGACAGTGTGCGACCTTCGCGCAGAGCCGCAGCGCGAAGCGCAACACCTCAAAGCCGTCACCGATCGTCACCGTCGACAGGCTTGCCGGCGGCTGGAACGGCCGCACCGTGACGTCTCCCCCGGGGTTCGCTGGCAAAACGGGAGACGCCTGTGCAACGCCAGCGCCGTCGGCCGCGCCAGACTGGCCTCGCCACGTGTGGAGCATCGCGAGGAAGATGCTCGTGGAGAGAAGATTGAGTTGTCGCGCGTTCAATTTTGCGAACACGTTGAATGGGTCGCACTTGTGAAACGCTCTCTCCACGATGGGCCGAAGCGGGTCGGGCGGCTTCGCGTTTGTCGCTACGGTCTTTCGCGTTTTGCGCTCGCCCTTGAACGCCTGGGGGGTGGTCGTTCGCTGGGGTGGCTGCGGCTCGACGGGGAGGGACATGGGGGTCGCTGTCGCTGAAGAACTGTTGACTGCAGGCGTGGCGCCGTCGGCTGGCGCCGCTGCGGCGGCAGCGGTGGAGGCGTTCGTCGAGACGTCGTCGTCCGCCGCGGCCGGCGGCGAGGGCTCCGCCACCGATCGCTTCTCCGGCACGATGCCCGGGCTGGCGGCTTCCCTCGCCAGCCGCGCGCCGGTCGGTGTGCCGGAGCCGACACCGCCCGCGCTACGAATGGCTGACAAACTGCTGAAGTCCGCTTCAGATTCGGCGCTCAGATCGTCGCCGTTCGCCTCCTCTTCGCCCATAACGGATAGCATCGCGCTCACCTTCTCGAACATCCACCCCGTGCCGGTTTTCTGTTCCGTTATGGTGACCAGGGGGAAGCGGCCCCTGCCAACGCCGAAGAACGTGTCCCACACGGTGTGGTGCACCGGCAGGTCGGCGATGGCGCGGATGTCCTCTTCGTGCAGCACGTAGTGCGACGGCTCCTCGTCCGGGCCGCCCTCGCCTGCGTTGCCCGGTGATGGCGGGACGGATTCGACCGTGTTCTGGGGAGTGGAAGGCTGTGCTAGAGCTTCTCCACTGCCGACATCTCCCATCAACGACGCCCGTCGCCTGGCCTTGCTGCCCGCGGGAATCAGCATGGGGTCGTAGAGCGGTATTTGCGGCTCCTCCCAGCAGGAATACAGGGCGAACAGGATGCAAACCACGACGAACGACGAGTCTTGCACCATCCGGTTCGGGTTCAAGGCGACGAAGTTGAACAAGACCCGCAAACACTTGATCGGCCGCCGGTTCCACGCCAACAGCTGCTCCGCCTGCGTCTTGGCGGCGCCGGAGGAAAGGTTCAAGTCCCCGGGAATGGCGTTATTTCGGAAGACCTGCACCCCCTCGGAAAACAACAGTTGCACGCAGCTGCTCGGCTTCGAGTGGTCGTTCCAGCGATCGTCCAAATCTTCCAACCGCCACAAGCTCTCGACGCAGCTAAACGCCGGCGAGGCGGCCAGCCGATCCAGGTTCAGCACCCGGACCAGTGCCTCGAAAATGTCTTTGCCGCAGTAGTTCAAAAACCCCAACCGGTACAGCGGCTTCAGCTTCGGCCAGCAAGACTTCAGCCTCATCGCGGCGGCAACCGTGTTTACTCCATTCGAGTACTCGTCCTCGTCCGGCACAACTGCGCGTTTGCTCGGCGACTGCGACGGCGCATTGCTCGAAACGGCACTGTCTCTGCTGTCGGAGGTCCCCGCGGCTTTCTGCGGATAATTCAAGTCGTCCTTGGTAAAGATGTGCATCCAGCGGCCCGCCATCAGCTCCGAATCGAAGCCGCCCGTCTCCGGAGTGCGGATTTCTGACTCGCGGATGCGGTTGAAAATCCCCTTCAGCAGGTCCTCGTCGAAGTCCTCGTTCTCGTTGCATTTTCGCAGGTTTCGCACGAAATCCTTCTGCTCCATGCGGTTTTTCACTTGCGGATTGTACTGGTCCACGTTCAGCATGATCACGGAGAACGCAAGCGTGAAGCACGCATCCGCTGCGTTGTAAAAACCCTTGGGCTTGTTCTTCTGCTGGCCTGCTGCTGCCGAGGTCGTGTCGTCCTCGCCGCCTTCAGTAGACGTCGCTGCAGCAGTGGTGGTGGTGCTATCAGAAGCGCCAACATCTTCATTGTCCTCGCTGTGATTCCGCGCGTAGAACGTGTGCGAAAAGATCTTCATCAGTCGATCGATTTGCTGTGCCTCCTTCGGAAGGCGGAAGGTTTGCAACAGAATCCGCATGGCAACGTCCAGCCCCATGTCGGCCATGTCGAACTGGGCACAGAAAACCGCGTAGCAGTGCGTGGAGTCCGGGTTATTGCCGCCGAAAAACTCGCCCACGGCTTCAAACGGCATCAAAGGCGAGTTCTTGAACAGCCAGGAAAGTTTGACCTGAGATAGTATTGATGTTTTTTCGTTTCCTCTGAAGCTTCTTTGTCTCAGGGGCCCAATTACGCCTACACTGCAAAGCTGTATGAGGACGAAAGGACGTCTACGTGAATGATCATGATCTTCAAAATGCTAGAATAAGTATCCGTACCGCCCACTCCTCGTAGACCTCCGGGAGGTCTTCGGTTTTTGCGTGTGGTGGAGCGGGGACGTCTGGGAGAAAAGCCAAAACTGGTTCGAAGATGGCTCGTGCTTTTTTAGGTTTCTCCTCAAATTTTTTGATGCAGCCCAGCAACACTTCTCTTCGCCGATCCACTTCGACCTGTGTTGGTAGCTCGGCGTGGGCCTTCAGAATGTAGTACAGACCCATGACGGCAAAGCCGGCTGCGCGAGACCTGGGGAGAAACGAATGCGGTCGCGACAATCATTTATTCAATGCTTTTTTCGAGACCGCCAGGAATAACTCAACGAAACAGGTGTTTTTGCTTGCCTTTGCCCGCGTTTCGAAAAAAACTAGTACTAGAAAAAAAGCGAATAAACTAAAACTTGTTCATCAGAAAAAGAAGCGCAGAATGAAGTACAGTCGTTGACTTCGCTGGCCGGTGAGGGTGACCGTGTCCAGCGTGCTGCAGAGACTAGCAAGGCTTTTGCAGAGCTCGAGACAGGACTGCTGTTTGTAGTAGCAAGCATCGGAGATGGAGTGTAGCACCGCAGGAATGCCCGGGTTCGCGGAAAATGCCTCCTCCAAGTGCTCCAGCAACACCACCAAGGCATCGGAATTCAGCAAGACCCCCTGCTGCGCCACACTGGTCGTCGGTACGACCCCGGTGCCGGAGGCCGCGGCAGCGGCTTTCTCCGCGTTGTAGGCAACGGCTTTCTGGTGATCCTGAATCAACCTGAGGTAGCAGCCCACGGTGATGGCTTCGACCCACAGCGCGTTCCCTCGGGTCATGGCAATCCCGAGCAGTCGGTTGACGAGGGGCAACAAGGTGCACAGGATCGCCGCAGACCGGTGCTTGTACAGCGCATTGAGAATGCCAAAGGGAATCTGGACCATGTACGCCTCTCGGCTGGCTGCGTCGACGAACACAGCTGCGCTGGCGTCTGTTGGTGTTGATACATTGGAATAAGCTGCAAGTCTCTTCGTCCCGATAGAGATGAAAGTGAAACGTACAACGCTTACAAGAGAAGCAGCATATCAAAAACCGAATCTAATCAGGAACATATGAAAAGGAAAGCGGAAAAACATCGCAACATTCAAAAAACCAGTCTCTTCCTCATCGCCGCTCGTCCTACTCGATGCCCAGTAGTCGTGCTCGATTCCGGTTCTGATTGCTGCGGCAGCGATCGACATTCGACTTTCGTCGGTCGCGACCGAGTCTTTCCCGCTGGTGAGAAAGCTGACGCCCCATCGCACCATGAAAGGAATGAATTCAGGCGACGCGTACTCCGTCACGATATCTAGCAGCAGTCTCAGCGATGCCTGTCGGAGGATAACGCTAACACGATTACGCGAAGATGCGGAGGAGGTAGCAGCGTCGCCCGTGGCATCGGCGTGAAATCGGGTCAGCAGGTGTTCGAACACCAACTCGCACACGGCGCTCCTGTTCGCCGGGGCCGACGTGTGCTTCGCTGGGTCGACGCAAACGCGAAACGCCTCGATGGCCAGGTACAGCACGGTCTCGTCGTGATCCTGTATGTAAAGCGAAAACAAAGTTGCACGGTGAAGACCCTGCAAGGCCAAAAAAATTTTTTTTCAACAAAGTCAGATGACAATAATGAGGGCTGCAAAAGCTGTTTCTACATTCAGATCGACTTTCTCACGTCAAGCGCCGAAAAAAGTTCAGGCTGCTCACAGTTTCATTTATCACAAGTATTATTACCCCAGGTACAAAAACCGTAGTCCTTTACAGTACCCTCGACGTTTCTTCGAACTTGCACTGCTCCACGCCTTCCGCCACCTGTCGCAGAATCGAGGGGTCCCATGCGTGTGATCGCAGCATGTTCAAAACGCCCTCGAGGGCCTTCCCCGTCGCTGGCCCTGCAACTTCTTTGGCGCGGATGACCTGCAGAAAGGGGTAGAACAGTTCCGCGTCCGTGACGTGGTCGCCCGTGGCGAGCTTGTGCCGCAAGTGGTTGAGCAGTTTGCACAGTCCATCCTGCTCCTCCCATGGCGGTAAGACCAGCGCCTCTTGGAATTTTCTGTTCCCCCGGACGATATTCAGCAGGTTGCTGACCTGCACACCGCAGAGAGCGCGCACGCTACTCTCCCGTTGCATCGACCTTCCCGTGGAGGAGGAGGATGAAGAGGCACCTTGCTGTGATTGGTGGGACGACGCTGTGCGTGTTCGGGTCAACATTCTTGTGCCTGGGCCTGACGCGGTCGTGCCGCCGTTTGCGACTACGCCTTGTTGCGCCATGTCTAACCACTTATGATTCCCCCAACGCTAGTAGGGCCTCGCGGCAGCTCAGGTCGCGTGCATTGTAGTCGGACTTAGAAGCAAAAGCATGGTAGTAAAATATCGGGAACTTAAAAGCGACTGCTGTTGCTTGCACTTGCTCCCGCGCGGCATGGTCTGTTTGCGCAACTAACTTATGTAGTTCACAGGTCGCCTAGAAAAACATGACGACAAGCAGGAAGCCATTGGGCGATTTTACTTTTACGTGTCTTCGTTGTGCCATCATCCGTACTACGGTACTTGCCTTTCTAGTACTTACTCTGCGCACTATCTGCTACTTGTAGTTGTACTTTACTTCTCTTTGTTTACATGCTTTGACTGTATATTATCATAATCGTATCTATAAGTTTCATCCAATAATACCGGGACACTCTCTGGATATTTCCATTTCATAGTATACTTCTTGCTCTTCAAGAGACATAGTTGGGCTTCGGTGGATAAATTTAGACAGCGTAGATTTTCGACTACAGGAACACTGAGTTTCGGGCAGCGAGAGAGTGATCATCCACGACCGTCAGAGAAACGTACGTATTTGCGGATCTGGATCGCTTGCGTTCTTTGCTTTAATATTCCGAAGTAGAAGCAGGCGGCTGCGCAACCTAGTACTAGTAGTTCTACATGCGGTACGCCGCAGGGTTAGTGCCGCGGTAGTTTTGGAGTGCAGCGTTGAATCGATCGGGGTTGAACGCCCGGGAGGCATTGGACCCCCGGTTCCGCACAGACCCCGGCGGGTGAAAGTGGCTTCGACTACTGGCTGCCAAGTTTCGCAAGCTACCAGCGACGTCACCCCGCACGTGGTTTCCAAACCGCCCGTTGGCAAGGTTTTCAAGCTGCCCGAGCCCACCTCCCATTCCCCGGCTGCTTCCCCCGAAACGGTTGTTGCCGCCGCCGCGGTTTTGCAGCTTGGAGAACATCGTTTTTCCCTTAATCGCGTACAAAATGCCAAACGCGGCACACATCATGGGTATCCTGGAGTAGCTCAGCCAGCTGAAGTAGTCCCACTTGTTGCTCTTTTTGCTTTGGTCTGCGCTCTCCTTTGCATTCTTCAGGTCGTCCGTGGTGGCAGAGGGACTCCGGGCGGAGGGCTGGGAATCGCGATTCCATGGCCGCCGCGGCTCGAGCAGGTCGAACAAAACTCCAAAGCTGGCGGGCAGAGATTCTGCTTGCTCCGTCGGTTTAGCTGTGCCACTACTTGAGCGTGTACTTCTTCGCACAAAAAGCAAATCGTTTGCAAAGCCTTGAGCTCCGCGAGACGCTGCTGCCATCTGGAGGTCTGGATTTCTTCTTTCAGGGAGACGAGGCGCTTCAGATGACAATGAGGGGGAAAGCGACTTCGAACTACCAGCGTTCTCGTCAATACCCGCCGCGGTCTGCACATCTTCGCTGCTCAAAATCCAAAGCAGTGGCAAAGATGGTTGCAACGGGAGACGTGTTTTCTGCCCGCCTGTTGGTTCGGATTCGGATTTCGTATGGGAGGTCCTCGCTGCGTCATAGAAGTGCTCGAATGCCACTTTCGCAGGAAAGATCTTCTTCCGGGCATTGTTTAGAAGGTGGAACGCGAAGACGCGGTCGCCCCTTGCTACCAGCAGCATCTCGCGCTCCCCGAGGACTTGAATGTCCAGCTGCTCAACAGTTCTTTTCTCGCTGGCGTCTTCGTCGGACCTACTTTTTCCTCCTGCTCCCGTCTCGCCCGGAATCTCGAGCTGCCACAATCTGCGCGCGCGTACCATTCGCTCCGTGTCATCGCAGTGCGTCCGTAAAAGTTCGTGCGTGGATTCGACCAAGAAGGTTGCTGTGTTGATAGAAAAGGCAACGTAAGCGAGGTATCCGTCCCATCGAACGGAGTGAATCTTGAGTGGAGTTCTGGTAGAGCCACTTTTTGTTTTTGCAGCAGTAGCTCCGCTGCCAGCTAGACCCTGGTCATGTGTTCTTTGATTGAAAATTTCGAAATCCTGCAATCCCCGCATGCATCGTTTCACGACGAGCGACAGTGGCATCGGCGGTCTCGACGATTGCTCGAATCCGTGGCTCGCTGACTGCTTCTTATCCCGACTCGAGGGCTTTGGAGTAGTTATCAGCTCGAGCACACCCCACGAACTGGAAGTTCGCCATAGAACGAGGCTCAGATCGCGATGGCTTTCCATCTGCAGGATCGACAGAGGTAGCTGGGCGGGAACACGGCCATTGCTAGGTGGAGAACATTTTGCAGACTCCGTCGAGGAAGCCCCTGCTTCCGTTTCATTTGTACTTGAATCAGTCTCGTCCGCGCTGCAAACGCCGAAACTTCCTGTTGGCGCAGCCAAGGTGAGCAGGTCTATGTCGTCAGAAACGCGTCGGCCGTCCCGCGAGTCTTGTGCGTGAATTAGTCCGTTTTCGTGGGCCGCGACCACATACGACCAGCCTCCGCGACGACCTGTTACACCAACAAGGGCTATGCTGGAGAGTAGCGAAGCAACCTGTTGAAACGAGAGACAGACATCAGGACGATGAAATTGATTTAGGATCGGAATCTACATCATGTATTCATGCTGGATACAACTTACATTTACTCAACAACTGCAGAAAATGTTCATTTTTTTAGCGATTCAAAATTGCTTATCAAGGATGGGCACTTAGTGGATACGAACCTCGGCGCTTGCGCTACTCTCTTCCATGACCATGTCGGCAACCGGTAGCCAGTTTGCTGTCAAGTTTAAATGCGCATGCGGTGGGTGGAAAGCGGCGAGCTTCTCTGTGTCGGAGATCTTCCTCTCCTGCCGGCTGCGGCCTGCGGCGTTCTGCATGGTTACCTTCATCCGGAGAACTTCCGCGTCGCACTTTATCAAAACCAGCCCGCCGTTTCCGATCAAAGTCGTATAGAGACTTGAGCACCTCGGTGAATTCTCTGGCACAGACAACCGAACGAGTGCTCGGCTTCTGACAACGTTGTCCGCTGTGTAGAAAGCAATAGACTGTTGAGGTTGGGAATTATACTGTGCTGCTCTCCTATTGCTCGGTGCATGTTCACCACCAGGGGGACTATCTTGTTCCAAACTAACCAGCACGTGCGTCGGCAGTCGAGCATGTTTCCCATGGTCAATGGCTTTGCCAGTTCGCGTCGTCAAAAACCTCGCATCAAGGAGCGTCGTGGCCGCTTGTTGAGCGGTAGGAGTTGTGCTTGAAGCAGGGGACGACCACGCCGGGACGACGAGCTTTTCAACCAGCCAGTCAGTCGAGAATCCCTCAGCGTGGATCTTTATGTCGGTCGGACTCCTTGATGACCCAAATGAGGAGATTTGCGGGTTGTCGTCTTGCTCGACGTTAGTTCCATGACCAGCAACGGCAGGAAACTCCTGCTCGAGACCATCTAGTCGCTGCTTCTGCTCGAGTAGCTGCTCGTGTAGCAGTCCGATTTCCGTATCCAAAAGGGTAGTTGTTTGTGTGGCAGGTGCGTCTTGATCTCGTGTTGTTTCATTCTGCAACGATGTCGACGCTGCAACCGCGGCGATGACAAGTAGCCAGACCGATAGCAGCATCTTGCTCTTCAAGATCTGGTCACAAGCAGCGATGATATCATTTTACTTTGTCTACATACAGGAAAACCATGATATACTGATCTCCTCAACAATGCGAGAGCCAGAGCACCGTGATATTCATCGCCACAAGAGTGAGGAGGAGCTTAGGGGGAACAGGAGAAGCCAAATTGTGATTGCTATTGCAATTGCATTTCTCGTCAAGAATATGATCCGCACTCACTGTTGTGAAGCTGTAGATTATCATTATCTGTGTTGTTCATATCCAGGTGTAGGACCAGGACGCGTGTTGGTCCCAACGAATCACTTGCTGAATCTTTTTCAAAAAATTCACCCAGTCGTCATTATATGTAGTAGCAGAGGCAGCGTGGGGCGCATGCGCATCAGCGTCCACTTTATCGCGATTCTCATTTGATAAAGTGTGCGCTTTCACGACATTCGCTGCATTTCTGGTTGCCGCGCCGCATAGTCGATCCGCTTTAGGAGCTGCTCCGAAGTTGAAGTAGGATTCGGATTCTGCAAATCTTGCGCTCTTCTCCAAGACCTCACCTTGTGCATCGCACCAAACCCAAGCCAGATTCGAAGCATCATCCCAATGATCTGTTCCCCCTTGTCCCGCGTCCAGGACATGGTTGTTCTGCCGAAGCAGCAGCCGCTCCATCTTCGGACGTATTGGGATCGACAGGTAGTGCTCGTCTTCAAACTTTACATCCGCAAGGCCGCCGAACGAACACGTTTCCACTTTCGAATTGTAAGTTTCGAACGTGGGTGGCGAAAACGGTGTCCATCGTGGCTCTGCTTGATGTCGGGATGAACTTTCTATACGTTTTGATGCAGATTGATGTGCCACCCGCGCGCAAGATTTTCGTGAAACGCGTGGCGCAACTGAGCCTTTGAAGGACTCTCTGTAGTAGTCTATGGCGATGTGATTCCCGAAACTTTTCCGAGTCTGGTGCTGGTCCTGGACCCGTAGATTTGCATCGACGAAGTCGCCACGGAGCGGTGCGACGAACTGCGGCTGACAACGAGTTTTCTTCAAGTGACCCGCAAGCTGACGTAAGTATCGGACTGCTGGCTCCTGCCAGATTTTTGCCAACCGGAATATAGTACCGCGAATCGTTCGTGAGGAAGAACCTGTTACTGCTTGGTGTTCGTGTTGACTATCTGCTGCAATGTGTTTTTCCGCCTCGCGCGTGTAGACCCAGAAGAAGAGCCAAGTGGCGTGCGCGAACACCGCAACTTCGCGGCGACACTCTTTTTCACTGTAATTGGCCTGCGTCAGGAACAAGATGAGGAACCGAAGGTAAAGCAACCAACTCAAGCTCGCGTCGCCTTCTGTGCGAACAAAGGTTTCTTGGTTCCAGACCCCCAAAACAATCTCGCCCAGCGACCACTTTTGATTTCCATCGGTCAAAGCATTCCGAATGTCGACTTCGTCATCGACCAAAATCGGCGATAGTAAGTCGTTATTGCCACCACGTGGATTTGGCGTGTCCTCGTCGGTTTCGAAGACGTGGCTCTTGTAGTTTTCGGCTTCTTCATCCATGTTTATGTTCATTTGCAGGGCCACATTCCCCAAGATGCGACTCGCAAGAGAGGAAAGAAACCTCCCGGCGGGATCTTTGTCTTTATTCGCTAGCTGCTCCTGTCTGGTCGATTCTCGAAGGGTCAGGAACACGCGTAGCTTCGTGGAAAACTGCTTGGACTCCTTCAAGTCACGCTCTGGATTGACGTGCGTCACTGCACGAAACTCGCCCCAGGGCTGCTGTCTCGTCGTCTCCGACGGAGCACTAGTAGTAGCCTCCCTCTCTTCAGCAATAATTTCTTCACCAGCCATACTTGCAGCAGAACCTTCTGCACCTCCGCCGAGTTGAAACACCTCGCGAGCCTCTTCCGCAAATGCGGAGCTGTGTATCCAGTTCAGCAACCCCGCCAATTTCTCCATCCACGACCAGAGGTCAAACGCGTAGAAAGCGGTGGGAAACACGGATCCGGCGTCGATGTCACCGAACATCTCAGGTGCGTTCCTCGTCACGAACGACGGCAACGCCACGCTTCGCATCTCCTCCCAGCGAACGTGAGAGAGCTTCTGACGCTCCACGGTACTGTACGTGACGGGCAAGCGGCTATGATCTGCTGCTCGTGCAGCTCCTGCGTCTACTGGCTCATCTTGCACAAGAACTCGGTCGCCGCTGTCTTGCTGAACAGACTTCTGGACAGCAGGCGGAACCAAGTGCATAGACGGTGATCCGACTAAGTAGCCCAGTTGCTCGTAGAAGGGTCGAACATGGTCTTCCTCGTGAATGTTGGGATTGATGTGGTCTTGTTCACGTATTTGCTCGCTATCCGCTGAAGATGTTCCGCCAGCCTGACCTTCATCTGCAGTTTTTCTTGTGCCCTCGTCATCGACCGCAAATGCTGCTCCTTCAAACGCCGTGACGCTTTTCTCTGGCCGACAGAGAATCAACCAGGGATCGGCAAACCGCAGCTCATTTGACCGAATCCGCCCCGCGCAGGTGACAAAGTCCACGGTGCGGTGAAGTAAGATCTTTCTTTCCACGATCTTGCGGAAACGCTTGAACAGCCAAAACAAACTGCTCCACGGCGACCCAATCAGGACGTTGCTGATGGACACCAGAAAGAGTTCGAGAAACAAATGAAAGTCCGGGAGACTACCATATCGGGTGCCGGACATGATCCTAGAAGTGCCGGAAGCCTTTTGCGCCTCTTGCGCGACCAAATCCTCGGACGAGTTCTCCTGAAAGACCGACTCTATGTCAACCTCTCCTTCGAGTTTCAGGGCGCGCGCCCAGTCCCGCGTGTCGGCACTCGTAATGACTTGGAAATTGTATTTTCGCGTGAAGTACTCCGCGAGCGCGCGCACACCGACAGAATCCGGGTTGTCACTACTGAAGTAGAGAACAAAGTCTTGCCGCAGGCTTCCGACGTCCTTTAATATGCGAACTCTTGACGAGTGTGCCCGTGCCCGACGAGAATTACGACATTTTTTCTTGGGTTTATCAGCAGCGTCAGTCTTGAGAGAGTTGCTTTCCGTTCCGGGACTCTGACCGTCTGGTACTTCGCCAATTTTCTCCTCTTCGTCCGTGTTTACTGCTGAGAAGCGCCGCACCACGCGCTTGTTTTCCTGCGTTCTTTTGCGTTTTCCAGAGCGAGGGCGTAGGTTGGCGCTGTACTGGAGTGGCAGCCGGTCTGCGGCCGAGGTCGAAGTTGTCGAGGTGCTGGAAGACGCTGCGATGCTCTCACCAACAGTAGACGTTGACACGTGATCGTCAGCACTAACATCATCATCACCATCATCATCTCCGCATGATGCTAGGTCGCCCAAAGCTTCGCTTTCCTCGCTGGAGCTACCGATCTCGACTTCTTCACCGAAGATAGTGTAGAGCGTTGCAACCTTTTGATATTCCTCAACAATTTCCTCCACTTCCAGTAAGCGCGTCATCGATCGTAGGTGGACGACAAAAACTTTCTGGCTCAGGAAAAAGTCGACGACAGACTCCAACAGAGTTGGCTGCGGATGCGGTGCTGGGTCGTCTTTCGGTTCCGCTTGCGCTTGAGTCGAAGAAAACCTGCCGCTTCCGCCACTTCTGTTCCCCGCCGCACTTTCCAACTGACAACCATGCCACCCCATGGTCGTCTCGTCCGCGTTCACCGTGAGCCCGCACTTGTACTGTGTGGCCGCTGGAGGAAGATCGTACATGGCATTTAGTCGCTCCGTCCGTTCTCTCTCTTCCTTCCTTCTCCGCTCTTCGGCGGCAAGTATGTAGGGACGGACGAAAAGCTTTTCCAGCGTTTCTCGGTGGAAAAAAGCAAAGAACGCGTCGAGAAACTGTGTTCCGATGATTGGCTCAGGCCGGCTTTCCAAATTCAGTGGGTCGTTTTCATCGCGCTCGAGCGGCTGCCGCAATTTGTGGATGCTGTGCTTGTCGTCGTGCTTCAAAGAACTGGACGATCTTCCCTGCTGTTCGGCCGTGCCTTCAAAGACAGACGCGAACACCTCGGTGGCCAAAGGGCTTGGAATTTCGTCCAGATCGTCCGGATCTCCTGCCTTCTTCCTACTTCCGGAATCACTACTTGCTCCGACGTCCTCTGGCTCCCAGAACCCGTGAAAAGCGTGCCACGTCTGGCGCAGCACCACGACTGGATCGGCCTGCACGGCTTTGGACTTGAGAAATTCCAAGAAGCACGCACGCTTGTACTGGTAAAAGGTGTGCGTCGTCTCATTGCGAGCGGAAACAGGAAGCTGGCTGCCTTGGTTAACAAGAGAAGATGAATGAAAAAGGTCTTTCTGTATGCACGGAAACTGCGAAAATTCGTGAGGCAACACATCACTGGGAGGCAGTGCTTGTCTAACTTCGCCCGGTTGTAGACTTTTCGCCACGATATCGTCCTCCGACACGCTTTCCAGTTCGAGAGCATCCCCGTACACCGGTGCGACAGAACCAGTTCCGTCATTGATGGTGTAACGCACGGAGGTTGCTCCAGCCTCTAGTTGCAGCTCCGTACCACCCGCAGCTTCTCCTGTAGCAGTGCGATAGAAGTCAGATCTGCCGCGGAAAACACTTGCAAACAGCGCTTGCGCCTTCGTGATTTTCGGATCCACCGTCCATCGCATCGGACCGTCGCGCAACTGTCCCCCTGTGAAGTCTAACACCGGAATCTTGGATTTCTGCTCGGAGTCGGTCGATGTTCTCCTTGGTAGGACTTCGGCAACGTCAAACTCTGTTCGCCATTCCACCCTCAACGGGTGAACTGGTTTGACATACGCATCTTCCACGTTTGATGATGATGTTGAGATAGTCGCAGTCCTATTCCACTCATACCGGTCCTTCGCGAGGTTGAACAAAGACCAATCTGCAATGTAGTCCTGGAGCTTACGGACTGTCTCGCCGTAGAGAGCTTCCCACTGCGAAGGTATAACAATAATTCGTCCTGTTTGGTATCCGAGAAACAAAAATTCCGCGAGAGTTGCGATCTGATTCCCGAGAAACGGCGGAAGATGGTCCAAGAGCAGGTTGCGATTGGCGCAACAGGTTTCGATGAAGTCCTTTTCTTCAGGCGTTGCTGCTTCGTGGTCCCAGGAAATGTGGAAATCTGGGCAGGCGGTTGATGAGGCAGCTGGTATAATTCCTGCACATCTGGAAGCTGTGCTTGCTTCGCTTCGAGTCGGGGACGCGAGAAGCACCAAAGTTACCGAACAAATCAACCACATTTGTTGTTCATCAAAATACAATAGGAAATAGAGAACCAACGGGATTGAACAGTAAGTTTGGCTGTCATAGGAGATCAAAAAGCCAGGAGGGGACCGAGAAGTCGAAATCGAAATCCCCGCCGCCTGTAATAAATAGATCGTCCTGGCCTTGTGCCGGATCTGTCATGATGATGTCAGAATTCATTGGGTTCAAGTTCCATCTGGGGGCGGCTCTGTCCTCCCTACATCGGACCGACTTTTTTCCCTGGACCGGCACCGGCTCCTGAGGAATTCGATCATAAAGTTTGACTGGCGCGAGACGGAGACGGTGAAACAGGAGCAGGAGCACCGAACAGAACTGAGCTCGAAGTTAAACAAGAGCATTCGTCTACTTCAACCCCACGTACTCGTACGACGAGGGAGCTGCGTGCGCGCAAGCTTATTTTCTATTGGAAGAGTGCTTGTGGTTGTTGCAAAAATTCTTACAATTGAGCCTACATGCGTATTTTTGTCCGCGGATGAGGGAAAACTCCAATGGCTCTTGGTCTTTGAATTTGATAATCATTGAATACTGCTTCAGTGCCCAGTACCCTTCTTGAATACTGCTTCTTGTCTGTGTCCCCGCGAACGAGGGAGCATGAATATGTTCTTTTTGTGATGGTATCATAGCGGCTGCGGCAGCATAGGTGAAATAGAAAAAGAAATACTAGAATTCAAATTAGCATCATAAACATAAAGATAAGTCTATTTTACAATTACATTACTAGCATCGATTATCCACATGAGTATAGCTTTTTCTTCAAAACAAATGGAAATGCGTAGTTGCATTTTCTGGCGATAATGAAAATTTCAATCAAAATTGGAATGCATGTCAAGGCCAAGCTCAGCCTCAGGAAGAACAGCCACTGACTGCTTAGTTATAGTTCTACAACGTGTTGAACATGTCACTGAACATGATTATCTAGATTCACCAACTCCTCTTCCTAGAAGAGAATATCTCTATGCCTCATCGTCCTCTCCAGTTAAATTGGAAAAGATGACGGGTCCCGTTACAACGCTCGTCCGCGGCCCGTTACAACGTGGTACCGGTTTCGTCTTCTGGCAAATCAAAATTCCACTCTTCGCTCGCGCCGCTCTGTCCGGCCGCACCGCTCTGTCCATTCACGCCACCACTCGCCCCGGAGCCGGATGTTTCGGCGAGCTGCCCGATCATTGTCCTCTCCTCCAGTGGGGGGAGGCTCTCAATGATCGCTTTCAGCCGGTCGGGACTCCGTCTTTCCCAGCCGAAGTTCTGGGCCCCGATCAGCTCCTTAGCGCGGGGCCGGCTGCTTGGGTTCTTCTGCAGGCAGTAGGAGACGAACTCACGAAACCTGGGGTCCGCCTCCTGGGGCGCGACGGGTGGGGGCATGTTCAAAATGTTCTCCATGATCTCGAAGTAGTGCAGCCGCTGGCGCTGGTAGGGCGCCGCGCCGTTGTACAGTTCGAGTGCGGTGATACCCAGAGACCAAATGTCCGCCTTTTGCGTGTAGCCCCATTGCGCGCCGCTCTGTCCGGCCTGCAGCACTTCCGGGGCCATCCAGTGTGGAGTCCCAATGCAGGTATTCCTTGTTCGCTGCTCTTTCAGTGTGGCCGCAACGCCAAAATCTGCAAGGCACACTTCGCCCTGGTATAGAAGTTTTCGTTTTATTTTTCTAGCTATGTAAGTCATCTCGAAAGAAGGACTGCCTACAAAACTCGAGAAAATTAGTAGGGCACTCACGGGAAATGAAAAAGAGAAAGCAACAGACGCAAAATGCGTGGTGCTGCTAGTCGCTTTGAACAAAAGTAAAAACCTTCACCATACCTGTGCTCCGAGCAGTACATTTGCGCCCTTCAAGTCTCGGTGGATTTGCTTGTTTTTTTCGTCGTGTAAATACTCCAACGCCTTTGAAATTTCGTAGAGAATGTGCAGCACCGTTCCGAGTTCATCATTCTTAAACCCGCCCGGGAACTGCGAACGCAACAGGTCCGCGGCACTGCCTCCGGGCATCAGTGGCATGACCAGCCACATTTGTCGTTTGTAGGGGAAAGACACGTAGTGCGAGATGATGTTGGGGTGACGGCACAAAGCCATGGCCTGCAATTCCTTCCGAATTTCGTCCAGTACGTCGTCGTTCGCGAGCGCTTCCAAGTCCAATATTTTCAGTGCACATGTTCTGTTGTCGTTCGTTCTGGCAATGTGCACCCTGGCGGAGGCGCCGGTCCCGATTAGGGTGGTCATCTCGTACGCGTTCGGGTCCGAAGGCCATTTGGTCCCGCCGGAAGCGTTCATGTTTGTTTTTTTGTCCCTCTGGTATAGCAGGATCAATTTATGTAGGGCATGAAACAGGGTGAGGTAATACAGCGTAAACTTAAAGTAGCAAGACGTTTACGTTTCCCGTTCCAACGGTACCGAGTAGATGTAGACCTCTGAACGACGTTTTACATCTTTTCACCCTCAGCAAAACTAGATCTTCTAGGCGAAAAATCAACCACAGTGTTATTCACGAACAGGAAGCAAGGAATGTCGTAGCTCTTAATATTCAAAGCCACAAACAGCAAACAACGAAACTACGTAAAAAAAAACTTGTTTTGTTTCTGCTTTCTTACTTTTCATCTTCATAGAACAGGATTCATGGTTGACTTTTGCTTCCATGATAGGAGGTCAAACAGAAACAAGAAGATCGAGGAAATGATCTTGATCTCCGGCGCAGTCTTTCGCGATGAAGTCTATCGTAAGGCACCACCGTATCGATCCTCGTGACCTTGCGCCTGAGCTGCTGTCAACATGATCCCAACATTGCCTTCAAATTCCAGCGACGGGCGCCTGTCTTCTCCCTGAATCGGACCGGATTTTGCAGCTTTTGCTGTATCGCTATCGGTCAGCTATTTCTACTTATGATAAAGTTCGACCGGCACGTGAACCAGGGCAGGAGCGATCGACAGAACCAACTGAACGTAAACTCGGAGTGAAATAAGAAGAGTCCTTGACTTCGACGCTGCAAACATCGAGGGAACACAGAACTTGGACCCGTGTGCAAATGTTTTGTCCGCACCTTGAGGGAAAACTCCAATGGCACTTCCGGGTCTTACTTATTTGATGTCGTTTTTCTATACAGTTCTTTGTCTGTGTCGCCAGCGATGAATATGTTTCGTATGATAATGGCGGTATAATGTTTTTCATGAGGGCGGAACTAGGTGAAGTACTGCGTTTGCGGGTGCGATAAAGGACTTTTGCAATTGTCCACATGAGTCAGCTTTTTCTTCAGTGCGTAGTTGCATTTCGGGTGATACATGAAAATGTTGGATGAATGCGCATGCAGCTCCAGAACGACAAGAGAAACCTCTATGCCTGCAGATTCACCATCACACCGCTCCAGAGAAACCTCTACGACTATGCCTCATCGTCCTCCGGCAAACCGGCAAAGGTGACGTGTCCGGGAACATTCTTATCCGCGGCCAGGTCCTTGCTGGTTTCGTCTTCCGGCAAATCAAAGTTCCACTCCTCGGTCGCGCCGCTTTGTCCCTTTGGGCCACCGCTCGCACCGGACGTCTGCGGATTTCGCTCGGCGAGCTGTTTGATCTTTCTCCTTTCCTCCAGCGGGGGAAGGCGCTCAATGATCGCTTTCAGGCGGTCGGGAGTCCGTCTCTCCCAGCCAAAATTCCGGGCCCCGATCAGCTCCTTGGCACCGGGCCTCTTGCTCGGGTTCTTCTGCAGGCAGTAGGAGACAAACTCACGAAACCCCGGGTCCGCCTCCTGGGGCGCGACAGGTGGGGGCTTGTCCAAAATGTTCTGCATGATCTTCAAGTGGTGCAGCCGCTGGTAGGGCGCCTCGCCGTTGTACAGTTCTAGTGCGGTGATGCCCAGGGACCAAATATCCGCCTTTTGTGTGTAGCCCCCCTGCGCGCCACTCTGTCCGGCCTGCAGCACTTCCGGGGCCATCCAGCACGGAGTCCCGACGAAGGTATTCCTTGTTCGCTGCTCTTTCAGTGTAGCCGCAACGCCGAAATCCGCGAGGCACACTTCGCCCTGATTTAGTTTTCGTTTTTTTTCTCAAAATATCGTCTCAAAAAGTAAAAGACCTCAGCCTGTTGGAATCGAAATAATGAGCATATGTTTCTTTGAGTTTTTGTTTTAGCTGCAGCATTTGTAGTTCAAAGCAATAAACGCGGAAGACGTGGTGAACTTGGACTTGGTTGATGTTTCGCTTTCGAACCAAAAACATTCAGCTTCATCGTACCTGCGCGCCGAGAAGTAGATTTGCTGCCTTCAAGTCCCGGTGGATCTGTTTGTTTTTGTCGTCGTGTAAATACTCCAGTGCCTTCAAGGTTTCGTAGAGGATGTGCAGCAATATTCCGAGTTCATTCTTAAACCCGTGCGGGAACTGGGATCGCAACAGATCCGCGGCACTGCCTCCGGGCATCAGTGGCATGACCAGCCACATTTGTCGTTTGTAGGGGAAAGACACGTAGTGCGAAATGACGTTGGGGTGACGGCACAAAGCCATGGCCTGCAACTCTTTTCGAATTTCGTCCAACACATCGTCGTGCACGAGCGCTTCCAAGTCCAATATTTTCAGTGCACATATTCTGTTGTCGTTCGTCTTCGCAATGTGCACCTTGGCGGAGGCGCCAGTCCCGATAAGGGTGGTCTTCTCGTACGCGTTTGGGTCCGAGGGCCAGTTGGTCCCGCCGGAGGCGTTCATTTTTTTCTTTTGCTTGACCTCTCTATTGTAGGATCGATTAAGACGAGGCACTAAAAAGGATAAGGTGACACAAGGAAACCTTCAACTAATTCGGCGTTTACGCTTCGTTTCTGTTTGGAAGGTACTAAGGCGGTGTAGAGGTCTGGACGAGTGTAAAATCCTTTCAGCAAAACTACAACTCATGAGCGAAAAATACGAAATTGCAGCAAGTAAAGAGTTAGCTCCAGCATCAAAAGGAAAAAAAAATGTCGATGAAGTAGGGGAGAAGAAGAAACTCGAACTCCTAGGCTGGTACTACTTCTGAAGTCGACACACTTCAAATAGCAAAAATGTGGATCGCGTTGATTGCTGCGTCTACATATTCGCATTGCTTGTTCGAAGTGATCCTGATCGTCATTTCGATAAACTTTTCCATTTCCTTCTTCTTGTACCTACCACTTCTTGCAGAAAAGATTTTGGCACTTGATCAAGTTGCAGATGCAGTCCAGCAGTCAACAACAATTTGTTGTCTTCCTGGCATTTTACAGAGCGAAAACAATACTCGTCTTCTATTTTCAATTACGTGAATATGGCAGTTCTACGTACTTCGCTTTCGTTTCCGTAACTACCGCATGTGAATGACCCCTGCATCATTGCATCAGCGATTACAGCTTCCTGGCTGCAAGAACAACAGCAGACTGAGTACTAGCTGAAACAAAAATTCTCAAACCGTGGGACAATTGCAACAGAGGGCAGCGTTGATTTATGAGCTCTCCTGCTTCGTCATTTGGTTCATTCAAAAGCAAAGATCTCGACGAACAGAGCGCAACATGCTCATTGATGTCATTTCTGAAGTAGATGGGCAGCTATTGCTACTTTACTTCTGCTGGTTAACATCCATCGTTCTTCCTACAGATCTGAAATCTCTGCGAACTCGCTCTCTTCCACCGCGACCACAGAGGTTCCGAGAAACGCGGGGTTCAGTTGCAAAGGCCGGCTTTTACTCCCTGTATTTCCACCAGCACCGCCCGCGGGCCCGCCACTGCTGACGGATTGCTTGCTCCCAGGGGCGGAGGAGCCCAGCTGACTCCTCTTCTGGTACCACTCGCAATTTTGCTCCAGGATCTGCTTCCCCCGGCGCGCTTCGAGAAAAGCACAGTGCTCCTTCATCACCTTCTGAAATTGCGGGTTGGCGTCCTCCGGAACCAAAAACAACGCCGCGTGGATGTGCTCCACAGCTGAGGATGAAAATTATGTTCTTGTTCCTATAGTACACTTGGCTTGCGCTTCAATAAACCATGCACAAACACGAACACCAACACGAAGACAAACTAGCATACAAATAAACGTGGTGACACTATAAGAAATTTCTATATATAGATTCGAACAATCTTAGATAAATCATACCGAGATTGTCCGCCTCGAAGAATTCTTCAATCGTTTCCTCGGCGTGGTCTTGGATGTCCAGCAGAAACCGGAAGATGAAATCCAAATCGTACGTTTCCCGTCGCCCGAGCTGCTGGCCAAACACCTCCTTGCCGAGATAGCTTCGCAAATCTGCGACGTCCTGCAGCTGATCCTCGACCAGCTCCGCGAGAAACGCGAAACAGAACAGCTTCACGGACAGGTCGCTGCTGACCTGGCGGCGCAGCGAGTTCGACACCGAGAAGTCGCCGGCACGGGACCGCCTGTCCGACGCGTTGCTGGACGAGATCTTCTGAATCGCGGCCGACCCGCCGTATTTCGAGGAGGACGAGGTGGACGTATTGATGGTTTTCGGGGTCACAAAATACGTCTGGCTGTTCGACGTGGCATGCGACTGGGATTGGGAAGAGGATGTAACAGCGTTAGCTGCGGTGTTCGCGTCCAAGGTTTGTAGTTGCTGCCTCTGGCCCACCTCACGGACGACCGGTTCGCTGCTAGCACTGCTGGTTTTCGACGTGCCGGTCTTGCTACTTACCGCTGGTAATTGAGAGACGAAGCGCTGTTCATCTCGCTCCGCACTCCTCGCTAGTACTTGCTGTTCGATGATACTCTGGCTGGTCTGGTTCAGCGTGCCGGGCGTCGAGTCCCGAGCCGTCATCAGATTCGGCTGCCGGATCGTCGCTTCGGACTGCTTCGGCGAGGTAGACTCTCTGTTGCTGGACTCGTCGCTACCGAGGATGTGCGCGTTGATATCTTCAGTGCCTTGTCCACCACCTGGGGGGTAATTTACTCGATCCTTACTCTGCGAAGAGGAACCCCCGCCGAAGACGCCGCCGTCGTCGGAAGAATCGTCCAGGATCTCCTGGTCGGCGATCATGACGGATTTCTGGAAATCCAGGCTCTGCTTGTTGTACACCGCGGACCCCTCCGCCACAATGCTGGAGATATTCGCCCGTGAAGACGCGTCGTCTTTGCTCTCCTCGTAGTCGTGCTGAAACACATTATTGACCAGAATGCGGGAATTTATTTCGGGCTGTAAGGTGTTGCTAGCAGCACTACCAGCACCAGCCGCATTTACCGACTGTCGATGGCCGATGAGAATACTTTCACCGGTTGCGCCGCCCATCAGACCGCGGTGGAGCGCATCCAAGTGACTGTCACTCGAGCGACTCTTCGAACCGGATGTGTTTTGCTCGGAGGTGGCGAGAACTTGCTGCTGTTGTAGCTGATGCGGCCCTTGTTGTGCCAATCCCTGCTGCAGGTCCGCAAAGCGCACCGGCAGGTCCTTGGAGGAAGAATGGGAGGACTGGCCGCCGGTGGGAATCCCGCTGTCCCGAGGGGAACTGTGGGCAGGCACCTCCGACGCGTTGCGGGACTTTTGGTAGTCGTGCGCGATCGAAAGAAGGTCCTGGCTCGCATCCGAATCCTGGGTGCGCGCACCTACGATAGATACGGGTGGAAATGAGTATAGCTGATGTACTTATGTAGATGTAGAGCATGTCGCAAGTACATACTTGTGCTGTTTTAGTAAGTAAAAAGCCGAGCCCTACAGTTCTTCTTTCATGCCACTTCTTGGAACGTCACCATCAGTTCTCTTGGCTAATATCGTTGCACAACTACAAGCCCACTACAATAAAAACGGCTTTTTGTACTGGAAAGCGCCTCTACGAGATTTTCTCCTCTTCGACCGAGATCTGGTGTGAGAAAGTTGCCGGGTTTGTGCTCCCTTTGCGGCGTCGGGTGCAGGTACGAGCGATCTTGCTCTGGGGGCTCGATCACAACCTGATCCATACTGGCGCGGTTAATATGTGCCGGCAACATCTGCTGTGTCCGAACTTGCGCTTGCGTGTACTGCCGACTCGAATGATCACCCGGGACCGGTTGCAAACCACCGTTGTTCGAAGCCATCAGTATCGACGGCGAAGCCTTCTGCTTCATCGACAGTGGGGTAGGGTCAATCAGTGACGGCGTGCTCCTCAGCAAATCGTTCTTCCCACCCGCCGCGGCAAAGCGCGCATTGCTTCCCTGGAGGTCCTTGCGAAGATGATCACGTGCAACCTCCGGCGACAACCCGAGCGCGTCAGCCTCTTCTTGGATGAAATTGCTCACCAGCGACTGCACCGGGGCCGATTGCACACCAGCGCGGCCGGCGTGAAGATCCTGGCCTCGGAACACCACCGGAGCGTGAAACTGCTCTTCGCCCTCTGGAAATACCGTGCCTGCCCGTGCTGCAGCGTGCGCCTTTTGCGCCACAAGCTTCTCCTCCTCGCTCAAGGGCGCTTCCAGCTGCTGCAACCGCTGGTACATGGCACGCAGCCCGTCGCGCAACCGTCGCGCCTCCGCCTTCGCGGCTTCGTCCCGCGGCACGGAGGTTTCACCGGCACTGGACGACGCTGCAAGGGGCCGTGTGAACTTCTCGAAGTAGTCCGCTAACCACTGGTGCTTGTCGTCGCCCGCATTTGTTTTGGCAGTATTGGTGAAAGAAGCGGGCGGTTTCCGCAGCTGCGCTGCAGCTCCGTCCGGCCGCCTCCCATGCGCCTTGGAGCTTTTTCCCTTGCTCTCAGCGCTGGTGCCTCCCCCTCCGAGCGCAGGACTGGCATGATCCGCGATGCTATCTGGGTCCCCTGCGGCACGATTTTCTTGTTTGCTCATATCCAAGTCGTGCCCTCTTTTATCTTCATGATCAGTGGTCTCTTCAAGCGCCGGATCTTCCAAATCTTCGACATTTGTGCGCGCGACTTCTGCAGCGATCTGACGACGAAATTCTTCGAGCCCTCGCTGCACGGCCGCAATCTCCTGACAGTGCTCTGCGTTCCACTTCAGCGTGCTCAGGCGCTCTCCTTCGTGCAACACACTCTCCCGCACCTGCTGTACCTGCTCGTACCAGACCGGCCACTGATTTACCACCTTTTTCAGATACTGTTCCGTGCGCTCCTCGAGGTTCTGCTTCACACTGTACGTGTTGTCGACCACCTGCTTGATGCAGTCCGCCGTCTCCCGCACCACCTCATTGCGTTCTCGGCTCAGTTCCGCAGCCGTGGTCAGCAGAATGCGCCGTTCCAAGCCCTGATTTTTCTGCCGGAAGGACGGCCCGACGACATCAGGCTTGTTCCCGCCCTTAATATTATTTCCACTGTGCCTCCTCCGTGCGGTAGTCGCGTGGTTCGCATTTGTTCCGCCCGCTTCTGGCAAGTTGTTGTTCTGTTGTAGCAACAAGTCTCCACTGGGCCTCGAGGGTGAGCGGCTCCGGCGACGAGCCGTTTTTAAACCGGCAGCTTCCTCCTGCTCGTCGTACCCCTGACTCCGCGTCTGCACAGATGAGTTGCCAGTCGCGTCGGGATGCAGCTGCTGCTGGCGTTCCGCCTGGACGCCCCTTCCAGTCCCCGCGGCGGCCTCTTCATCTCCGGAGGAGGATCCCGCTGCATTTATTTCCAGCACCTGACTGTGCTCCCGCACCTGCTGAAAGGACCGCGAAGTGTTAGAGGAAAGTTTCCGTTTCATGTGCCGCGTAGTAGAGGTCTTGCTGTCCTTACTGTTTCGTGCACTCCCGGGCGACAGGTTCATCCCCTGGTCTCCTTTCGTGCTGATCCGACTCTTGTTGATCCCGAAAAGACTGGACACGTTCAGTCCGGAGGGCTGCTGCTGCGCATTGATGTAGCCTTGATGGTCGTGAGCGAAGAGGCTCTGCGACTCGTTGTTGTCATTTTCCTTGCTCTCCACGGTCCACTGGAGGCGCTTCCGACGGCACTCCTCAAAGACGGGGTCGATCGTCACGGGCCGGTCGTTGCCCAAACCGGAGATCATGCCGCGGACCAGCTTCCTCTTCTTCTGCTGCTCGCGCAACGATTTCATCTTCGACTCCAACTTTTCGTACTGCCTTTGCAGATGCGAAATGTGGGTCGACGTGCCCGGAGGGTCCCGGGTTGTCGTAAAACGCAGTGGGGGAGCGAACATGATCGTCGGTCCCCAGGACGAGGAGGCAAAACTGAACGATGGTTGGAAAACGATGCGATGAACGCGGAGGTGAAGCTGCTGCTACTAGACACGAACGTCACTCGACACAAAACTAATTGTAATTGTACTTACACGTCAAAGCGAAACCCTATTCTCTTCCTTGTACTTAGTGATCACAAGCGCTTCCTCTTCTGAATGTAGGTGTTTACAGCGACATTCTTAGCACCGCGGCCGTGCGCTGTGCACGACATCCAAGAGTCGTCTCTTTCTTCGTGCGCCACAGTTGCACCGCAGTTTTTCTCGATGTGGATGCCAGCACGCCTTCGCGGCTATTAAGAAGCCTCTCTCACCTGCCACTACTTGCGAAGCGAACGAAAACCAAAGGAATCTGCAGGTGCAGAAACGATGCTGAAAACGGGAAATCATCTGCTGGAAGCTCGCTCACTTTGATTGCTTTTGTTTCGAATGCGGATGTGAGTAAAACCGGCTTTGCGAAAATTAAAACACCTCAGCGTCAGCTCTCGTCTCACCCTCACGCTGCGCAGCCATTAAAGCAGCCTACAGCCTTGGGCCGCTTAGCGTGGACTCTGATATTACACTTACAGTCCCGGTGGAGAAAGTATAACCAGTGCGAGTTCTTCACTACTGTTCACAAAGCGCGCTATTGCTATTTAAGAAGAAGATAAGGTATCTTGCAGCACAACATGCTGCTATTCAGAAGTTGGCACATACACCAGCGAACGTGCTGCCTCGCTGCACGAGTTCCACTCGATACCCACTGGGATCGAGCGCAAACGCGATTTGTTGCATGTTGCCGTCCGTGGGTTTCTTGTGGAATTTGACACCAGCCGCCTCCATTTCTTGGCAGCAACTGTTTAAATCGTCCACGAGGAACCCAATGTGGCCGAAACCCTGGTAGTCCCCGCCGTTTCCGTTGCAGATCACGAAGTCCTCTTTTGCTTCGGTCCCGTGGTTGTGTGTCAGTTCCAGGACTGGATACCAGAGCGATTTCACAAATTCCCGCGCGTCCGGGCTGTTCGGGTCCTCCTTGCAGACGGTCTTCCACTTCTCCTCCTCCTCGGGCAGGAACTTCGAAGCGAGAAAGTAGTTCGTGAAGTCGTTGGGGATCTCCATCTTGCGAACCACTGTCATGCCCAGCACGTTCGTGTAGAAAGCAATGCTGGCGTCGGCGTCTGAACGATTAGTTTAGCTTTTGTTCGGGGGTGTAAAGAAGCGACTGCATGTCGCTTATGCTATGTGTTTTTCTATCAAGCACTTTCTACGCAGAGCAATGCCTTCATACCAGCAACACCAGAATTCAGAAAATATCTTGCTTTCATACCTTTCACCCGCAGCATCGTTTGACTCAAGTTCGGGCCTACGCCCTCGAACCTCGCCTTCGCTGCCTCGCTTTCCGTACTTCGCGCACAGAGCTCCAACCAGTACCCATCGGGGTCCAAGGCGAACGCCAGCCCCTTCATCCGTCCCTCGTTCGGTCTTTTTTGAAATTTTACGCCCTCCTGTTCCAATTTCTCGGAAAACGCATACACGTCGTCCACGTTGAAGGCGATGTGGCCAAACCCACGGACCGGCCCGTTTTCCAGGAACAGGGGGCTCTCCGGTGGCAGATCCGATCCTGAATTCCCGGACCAAACCTTGAAATTAGTGTCAGTTTCGCTGCCGTGGTTGTGCGTCAGCTCCAACGTCACTGGCCCGTTCATGTCCCATAGGTACTTTTCTGACGCTACCGTCGTCGGGGGCGGGCTTCCTGGTCCCTGTGGTCCAACCGCTGGCGGGTCTTTTGGGTGTTTTTTTTCCAAAAAGAAGAGAGAAAACTTCCACTGCGGGAAGTCGTACTGGTGTACCAGTTCCATGCCGAAGTGCTTTTCGTAAAATGGTACGGATATTTTCGGATCCTTGATCCGGAGCATCGTCTGCTGCCAAACCGCATTGTAGCGCCGACCGATACCGCTAGCGACTGAGGACATGATTTATGTTTTTTATTTTATCCGGTAACAAACAAGGTTAATAATTTTTGGAGGTTCATGTGCAGGAAGATGAGATGCGGCAGTAACGCACGTGGCCGAGAATGGTTCTACACATAGAACTTATGCCGAAGATTGCACGATGTAAAGGAGGTGGTAGAGTGCTCCGCAACCGCAAAGCCTAGAGGTCACGAGACTTGAACTTGTTTACCTGGAAATCCTTTCTTAGTTTACAGATATGGCATAGAACTACAACAAGAAACAAAACTACAACTTAGGACGTATAGACATCCGTTGAAAAATCATGAACCAAACTGAAAACCACTTCTACAGGTACGGAATTATCACAACTGTGGCATCAACAAATCAAGAACAGATTAGATTTTTTTTTTTTGCTCAGAGCTTGAAACTGCACGTGAACCAACCAGAACGTTATGAGCTCAGTCCTCCAGGTTTGTCATTCACACAGATCGATGCAACCGATGATCACCATGAAATGAACATGATTATGAGGCTACGTCGTGATATCGATGCGCGATATCGATTTAACATTCTCTTTCGTTACAAAAGAGGCCACTTAAAGACTACATCGGATGCGCGTCCGGGTGAGCTCGCTACTGCGCGTTGCCTTCATATTTGCGTGATCATCCAATATAAACAGAAACTGATTTTACAAATCCCAAAGGTTGCACACCTGTTAAGTACAGGCTCAGTAGCTGTAGCTTCAAGCATCCACTAGCACGATCCGAACTGGAAAATCATCGAAGCCGTCGGCATTGCGCCCTGGCCGCACATGGAAACCTCTTGTGTCATTCAGCAAAGTGATCATCCAATGCACCGGGTAGTGGTCGAGAGTCAAACTCAGAGCCCGGGCATCCCGCCGGAAGAACGGACATCGCTTACCGTTCCCAAGACGAGGTGCCTGGTCGTAGATTTCTTCTGTGAGCAGAAACTCACTGTCACCATTGCGGATTGCAGACATAACTAGTCCCTTGATATAGCTGAGCACTTTCTGCTGGGTTTCGCCGAGGGTCATCGAGAATTCACGCATGAAGTCGCTCGTATGGGAAACGGCGATCAGTCGCGCCTCCTCGAGCGGCTTCTCTCCCGAGGATTCTAACTTGGCTGCAAGGTCGCGCATGTACAATATGAAGACGTCATTGTTGGGATCGTTGAATTCTATCGTGATTGGAAACGCTTCATCGTTTAGACGAAAGCGGTCTTCCGTAGCGGCGTTGAAAATCTCTTCGTGGCGGTTCGTTATTGCGTATTCTTTGCGCTCAAGAAGTGCGAGAATCTGTGGCATTGGCACAGCGGAACCATCTCCGCATTTTGGTGCAGCGTCCCGGATCTCCGGTGTGATTTTGAAACTTCCCCCGCCTTCCTGCGCCGCATTTTTTGCGAGGTTCACAAAGTACTCCGTTGCTGCAATCAAGTCGCGGGCTCGTCGAGTATCAGAGATGTCTTCCAAGGTTTTTTTCGATCCAGAATCGACGAAACGCTCGTCTAAGGGTCCAACAAACTCGCGCACGATGCCAACTATTTCGTTCGGCAACCTCTTTGGGGCTGTATGTCTCCGGTACGTGGCAAATTGAAGAGCACCAACCTGCGATTCGTTTACTTACATTTACTGTGGATTTCTCTGCTGATATCTCTAGAGCTAGACCTAGAGAGAAATAAGCACATATGATGAAGCACGGCGTTCTGCGTCAAGAACGCTTTGATATTTGCGACAGTCCTAGCAGTCCTCCTCCTTGTCATAAACTGAATAACAAACTACACTTAGCCCCCAAATGCCAGCAAGCAGTTGAAGAAAAAGCTATACCATGGCGCCCACTACATGCTTTGAGAAATCCTTTTCGTAGACCTCTTTCGCCGCACCGATCCACTCATCGTATTTCTTTCCTTTGCCGTGGTGCTTCTTACCCTGCAGCAACAAATCGGAAAAAGTTGGTGGACGCTGCGAGACCGGAGGCTCTACAGCGTTTCCTGCTGCTGCAACTGGGGCGGAAGACGAAGAGGCGCTCGACGCAGATGCCATGGCTCTTTTATCAAGTCGTCCTCTTACCTTTATCTTCAAGTTCAATTTTTCCGTATCTATATCTCGCAACAATAGTAGCACCTCCACTGATCTTAAACAAACTTGCTGCTGCTGCAGCAAAACCTAAAAGTTCGAAGATCAAGATCGTAAAACTAAAGGCTTTTTGTTTTTCATAATTTTGGCTCGCAAAATCGAAACTCCGAAGAAAATACAGCAGCTCTTGCAAGCCTTGCAGAAGCAGATAACGCTGGCTGCGACAGCAAGCATGACGGCAATCGATTTGCTCTCACTCTAGCCTTCGATTTCAAAGAGCGCGATGGGTTCGACGTAGAGCATGCTACAGCTGACACAACGCCAGAGCCCACTCCCTGAGGGTGATAGAACAAATATGCCGCTTCCTCACGTAAAAGATTCTGTGCAGAAGCACAGCCGCCCTGGGGTGGATGATCAGTACGAGGTATTAGTACATCCCTCTGCTATGTGGTCGCTTGTTCGCGGTAGAACATGATAAAAAAGACATTGCTGGGGTGGAGGCGCCTATCCTCATCTTTCTCTATTACTAGAATTTGCAAAGCTTTTTTCTTTGCCTAATCTCACGCGTCGCAGATGAAGATCTCAATGGGAAAGGTTTCCTGTCCCAGTCCGAAGCCCACGGGCAGGTGCGTGGCGGAGGCCGACAGCCCCGGCACGTTGCTCAGCCGGCTGAACATGGTGAATTCCTTGGGCGAGAGGTGCAGTCCCTGCATTTCGTGCTCGAACATGGGGTAGCGCTTGCCATTGGCCAGACGCGGCGCCTCCTCGTAAATTTCCTCGGACAGCAAGAAGACGTGATCCGCGTTCTGCGCGGCCTTCTCCACCAGCTTCACGATGTACTCCAGCACCTCCTTCTGCGTTGCGCGGTAGCTCTCGCCCAGCAGCTTCAAAAAGTGGTTGGGCAGTTCCGAGGAGCCCTTGCTGACCTTCTGCCCCTCCTCGATCGCGGGCGCGTACAGGCCCTCGCGGTTCTCCAGCTGGTCCACAAAACTCGCGATCATCTCGCAGTTTTCGGTCTTGGCCGGGTGGTAATTGAAGCGGATGGTGTAGGGAAAGCGGTAGCCGAACCGGTAGTTGTCCGAGTCGAACCCCGCACCGTCGAGGATCTGGTAGCCCTTGCGCGCGATCACCGCGAACACCTGCCGGGTCCCCGGCACGCTCCCGTCCGCCAGTTTTGGCGCGAGGGCAAAAGCCTCCTCCGTGATGGTGGCCGTGTCCGAGCCCGTCAGTGCGGCCTCCCGGCAGATACCGACGAGGTAGTCCGCAGCCTTCTTGTAGTCCCGGCCCCGCTGCGCGTCGGACAACGCACACAGCGTCGCGCGGGAAACAACTTCCGCGCCGGGGTACTTCACCTGTATCAAAGTGAAAAAAGCCCCCACCCCATATCGGAAACGAAAGATGCGCGAATTTGTGATGCTGTATTTGAGTACACAAATCAACTTGTATTGCTAGAAGGCCAAGAGACGAAGCTGCGGCCTAAATTGCAGGCAATCTGTCATGCTGTTTTCCATTTCGAGTTGCCTCCTGTCATCCTGGAGCTACAAGGCTTTCCCTACTAGACAGCACTACAGTCCGCATCTTTTGCCTCCTAGCATCACAAAGCTGATTTGTGACCACAAATCTGCATCACAGATTTCCGTTTTGATATGGGGAGGGGGCATTTTTCATTGTAATAACCTGACCGTTGAACTTCCGGATGATGTCCACCACAGGCTCGGGGAGCTTCTGCGATATGGGGTTCTCAAATGTTACATTCTCAACTGTTACATGATTTGTCATGCAAAAACAGCAATAGGGACATGGGCAAGCTTCCAAGCCTTGCATCACAAATTTGGCACGGATTTAGATGCTGTTTAGCCCTTCGATAATTTGTCATGCGAAGCAGCTTGATTGTCTTGCGTTGCGGCTCATGGTCATTTTGCATGACGAATCATGTAACAGTTGAGAATGTAACGCTTGAGAACGCCATATGCGAAAACGTTATCTTCGGATTTGCGTGGAAAACGCAGAATTGCCACATGTTCACCTGAAATTCATTTTGTTTTCGTTCTGTGCTGGCGAAGCACTCCACGTCGTGGTCGAAACGCCATATGGATGAAGAAGATTCATCGCATTCATTTTTGCAAAAAAAAAGTCAGTAAGCAAGTACGAGGCTCCCAACGACTTTCTTCTGGAATCGCAGCGCGCGAAACTCCTCTTCGGCATGCTCCAGAGCGCCGATCCACTCGTCGAAAGATAAACCGCCACTGCTCACAAGGAGATCGGAAAAAGTTTTCTTTCGCACAAATTCGACAGTGTCACTGCTTGTGCTCTTTGATGACACGCCAAATGGCGCGGTGGACGACGAAGAAGACATCGGCTCTTTTTCTTTTACTTGGGTTTCTTCCCTTCGCGACACAATCTCAGAAGTCTCTAGCTACGACGGACAAACTTATTTCAGAAGCTCCAAGCAAATACATAGCACCGCTGACAAAAAATGTCAAAATGTCAATACGCGAAGCTCCAGACACAGCAATGTGGCTGCGCGACACACTAGACTCATAAAAAATCCGTCATAATTACACCTACGACAATCTTTTCAAGCAACTCGATTGATTCTCTCTACGTGTACTCGTCAGCAAAAAAATGTTATTGTTCTCAATACTGGTGACTAAAAAAAACGTGTGAGAACTCAATCACTAGTTGATGTTGATACACTAGAGCGCATAAAGGTGCCCTGCAGAGTGACCGAGAAAGATCCTTCTCGATGCACAAGGGCGCATTGCTAGGAACACTTTTGGATCTGTCAGCTCGTCTAATCACACACAACCAAAGACCTCAGTGTTGGAAGTGATTCGCTGGCTCGTGTTGCCAAGAATTGTCGGCTTCCGTCCCCACGACCGAAATCGAGAGGCGTTTTCCTCTTCGTCCTCTTAAATCCTTCATCTTGTTTTCCGACTCCAACGCGGCGCGCGCGAAAATTTGTAAAGATCACCAATCAAACTGTATGCTCGAGATGGGTTCTTCATCTTGCATAAGAGCATTGAAGTGTTTATTGAATTTGAAATCGTTGAAACGCAACATAAGTTATTAACCAGTTGAAACGGAAAGGTTTTTCGCTGCAAGCAGACGCTTCGCAACATGTATCACCGGGGATGGTGAGTTCGTCGACACCTTTATTCTCGTTGGACAGATTTGGAGGTGCGGGGAACGCACGGCGGGGAAACGGCGAGCGCAGCGTTCGTGAATTATGTACAGGGGTTGCGGGACGAGAAACTAGGTGTGACTAGAGAACAGGTACATACGGAGTAAAAATGGCGAAGTACATGGAACTAGCGCTGTCGAAGCAAGAACGACATAGAAGACGAGAAGCCTGCTCGACCAGCTCCGAGCTGGTTCTGGAACTTCCGGCAGAGCTCTTCAAAAAAATGAAGCGTTGAAAGGACCGAGGGCTCAGACTCAGCAAGGCCCCGTTCACTTCTTCTTCATTGAACTGGCCTCGCTTTCGTTTTCTCCTTCCTGCACGGTGGGCATGACGGAGACCTTCTTTTCGGTTTTTTTGTCCTTCTTCTTTTTCTTGTCGTCCCCGTTCAGCCCGCTCCAGCTCTCTTTCAGCAGTGGCTTGATCGCTTTGGGGCTCCGCGGCGATTTCTTCTTGCCGTCCCCGAGGAGCCCGTCGCCATCGAGGTCAGCGCCAGCTGCGCCCTCCTCTATGCCGGCGAGGCCCCGGATGGCGCCGAGCGACGAGACCTCGTTCAGGACGGTGGTGGCGTAGACCAGCTTCTTTTCCAACTCCAATTTGTCCTCCTCGGATTTCTTCTTGGTCTGCTGCAGCTCGCGGACGAGCACGTCGTTCTCCAGCCGCAGGTTCTCGATGCCCGCCTTCTGCTGCTCGACGCGCTCGCGGACCTCGACCACCTCGTCCTGGAAGGGGTTCGGCAGTGCGCGGTACCGGGCCTCGATCTGCTTGCAGATCTCCTCGGCGCGAACCATTTGCTCCTCGCACATCTCCTTCACCAACTTCATCTCCCGCTCCGCGTGCTCGCGCCGCTTGATCTCCGTCTCCTCCGCTTTCTTCGCGCGCTTGATCTGTTTTCATTGTTGCCGTGCCGATAACATGATGTACCGAGGGCTTACAGTAAACGTAAGCATCTACGAGAACGAAGTAGCCGCATTTGAAGAATAAACTTACAGAAAACACAAAGAAACACGCAAGCCACTCAAATAATACGTCTCGTGCGCACTGCTCTTCCATTTCCCGTGCGCGTTTTCTTTGTTCTTCGTTCTCTACCACCATGACGTCTATTGCTCGCTGCCCTTCCGCGATTGTGACCGCGTTGTCCTCTGCGAGCTTGGCTAGGCGCACTTTTTCCGGGTCTATTCTCTGGCCGTCGGCGATGGCCGCGGCTAGGTCGAGTTTCAATTGGTTGTTGTCGCGGGCCATCTGCTATCAACTGTAAAAATGTCTGGGTCTGGAAGAATGTAACTTGTGATGCTGCGCTTGGAATCCAAAGAAATCTGTATTGCATGAGCAGCAAAGGGAAGGCAACACATGCTACGCGGAGAGGGTATCTGATCAAGAAGGCCTCAAAAAATCTGTGATGCTAGGGCATGCATCACAGACATCATGGCTCATGCAAAATGTGCATGACAAACTCCCCAAATCTTCCAGACCCAGACATTTTTACATTTGATATCTGCTGGGTGTCGCGCTCCAGCTTCTTGTATTCCTCGTCCTTCAGGAAGTGCTCGTGCTGGACTATTACAATCAAAAATGCCCCCTCCCCATATCAAAACGGAAATCTGTGATGCAGATTTGTAGTCACAAATCAGCTTTGTGATGGTACAAGGCAAAAGATGCGGACTGTAGTGCTGTCTAGCGTGGGAAAGCCTTGCAGCTCCAGGATGACAGGAGGCAACTGGAAGTGGGAAACAGCATGACAGATTGCCTGCAATTTAGGCCGCAGCTTCGTCTCTTGGCCTTCTAGCAATACAAGTCGATTTGTGTACTCAAATACAGCGTCACAAATTCGCGCGTCTTCCGTTTCCGATATGGGGTGGGGGCTTTTTTCACTTTGATATGGACCTCCTTCTCCCGCGCGGCGATTCGCTCCTCGTAGGTGCGCTCTAAGTTGGCCAGCTTGTCCTTCAGTTCGGACACCTCGTCCACCAGGTACTGCATACCCTTCTCCTTCTCGCTGATCTTTCGTTCCATCTCCCGCTGCAGGTCGGCGTACTCGTCGCGCCGTTTTTCGTTCTCCTTCTTCCAGTGGTCGATTTCGACGAGCTTTAGTCGTTTTAACGTGGTTAAATGCAAAGCGCGCAGACACCAGACGGCTCACTTTGTACGGTGAGAACAGCAGAACAAATCAATGTCGCCATCGGAACTAAGTACTCGGTATCATTGAAGAAAGAACAAAAGCAAATAACTTGTCCTCACGTTCTACTACTTGTCCGATCAAAAAACTATGTTTTTTGTACAGAAAAGAAAACAGCAGAAGTCAGTACCCATTCTTTGTTTTTCTCGATGATGTCTTCCTTTTCTTTTATGATCACATCCTTCGCAGCGAGCTGCCGGTCGTAGAACTTTTTCATCTTGAACGCGTCTTTCTGGGCCTTTGCTTCCACTTCCTTCTGCTTGTACTCCCATTTTTCCAATTCCTCCTTGAGGTCCGCGCACTCCGCAGCAAGTTTTTTGTACGCCGTTTCCTTGATGAAAAGCAAGTCCATGGTTTCCTTTTGCAGCTCTTCCTGTTCCAAGTCCTTCTCGCGGATAATGGCTTATGAACTGCAAAAGTATCGCACTAGTATAAATTGCAATAAGTACAAGTACAAATTTCCTCAGCATTAGAAATGGAATTTGTAATGCGGATTTACCTGAAGAAAAAGATTTGTAATGCACGACTGCAATTACTACGAGTACGATACTTTTGCACAGGATATGGCTTTCAGCTCGACGATTTTTTGTTTCAACTGGTCCACGACCTCGCGCAATGCGGCCATGTCCTTCTCCAAACGCTCGGCCTTCTGCTTCTGCTCCTGGACACCGCCTTCGCCGACCTGAACATTTGGGGTTGGGGCAGATAGTTTGTTGTGGTTGCAGGAGCAAGAAACCCGACCACTTTGATTTTAGTTTCACACAAAAGTCGAATATCTTGAAGCCATGGAAAATCAAACAAGCAAATCAGCTTCAGCGCATACTAGCATGTCAAAACAAATTTCACCTCCAAATCGTAGGTCTTCTTCAGCTTGTCGTACTGTGCCCTCAGTTCTGCTATCATTTCTTCGTACATTTCTTTCAGTGACGTGATTTCGCCGCGCAAGCCCTCGATGATGCGGTCGCGGGTTTGGATTTCCTCTTCCATCTCCCGCCCCAGATCGTCCAGCTCTTCGCGCAATTCGTTGATTTCGGATATGCGGTTCTGGATCGTCTTTTCGAGCTTTTTCTGCAAAGCTTTCAACTCCGCGATCTGCTCGTCTTTCACTTCCAACGCCTGTCGCTCGCGTTCCTCCGCTTCCTTCAGCTTTTTCATCCACAGCTCCTCGATTTCGTACTGCTTCTTGATCTCCCGCTGCACCTCCTCCTTCAGCTCTTCGATCACTACTTTCAGGCTGGCGATCTCCTTGTCCTTTTCCTTAATGACGATCTCATACTGGGCCTCAATCAGGCGGACCTTCTTCTGTGCGGCTTCCTGCTTCAGCCGGGCGGCTTCCACCTTCTCTTCAGCAAACACAAACTCCTCCTTCAATTCCTCCAGCTCACGCAGAATCCGCTCGTGCCCGATCTCCTTCTCGCGCATTCGCTCCTCCCAGAGGAAGTCCACGTCGCGCTCCCTGGTCAAGTAGAGGTTAGAGATGAGAAAATGCATAAAAGTAAAGCCCAAGATCGATAAATGATGCTCCACTCCAGCAGAAGATAGCAGTCGAGGCAAGAAGCGTCGAGTTCTTTGAAACTACAGCAATGAAATAGAAATTGATCTTTGTTGTGAAAAAGAAATCCAAACACCAGCACATCAGTACCTTTTCTTGCAGGCGGTTATCTGCTCTTGGAGTTTTGCGATTTGTCCCATGTAGACTTGCATCTCCAAATCTTTCTTTTTGATCGCCTCTATGGAGCTCTTAAGCGTTACATTCTCAGCTGTTACATGAATTTGTCTTGCAAGAATGCCAAAAGTGAAAGGAGGAAGCTTGCGCCTTCTGCATTACAGTTTTTTTCGAGAAGACCTGAAAATACTCACAACGTGCACAAACAGTGCACAAAAATGCACTTCTACTTGTGAGATGTAAGCTGTTCCGAGTACATTTAATTACAGACTTGGAGGGACGGATTCTAGTGCTATTTAGCGCGTCGAGAAGTTGTCATGCGAAGAAGCCTTGGTCGTGGAAAGAGTCCGAGTGATAGTCTTTTTGCATGACAAATCATGTAACAGTTGCGAATGTAACGCTTGAGAACCCCATAGCCTCCTCGGTCTGGATGTTCGCGTCCTTGATCAGCTGCTCTAGCCGCCTAATTTTGTGCGTGAGCGCCGCGACTTCTCCGGACTTTTCTTCTTTCCGAGCGGCCTCGCGCTGCTGCACGCTGTCCGTGATTTCCTTGAGTTTGCTCATGGCGTCCACGGCGATGTCCCTCTCCTCCTCCAGGGCGCGTATCTTTTGCTTGAAGCCCTCGCGGTTTTCCTGCTCCATCTTTTCCAGCTTCTCGTACTTCTCGAGCCAGTATTCCCGCTCCTCCGCGCCTTCCTTTATCTTTTCCTCGAGCAGCGTCTGTTTGGTGATCAGTTCCAGCCGGGTCAGCTTCATCTCCTCCTCCAGCTGCTTCCGTATTTTCGTCGTCGTTTCCTTGATCAGCTCCAGCTCCTCGGTCTTCTTCTGTTCCATGGTCGAGAAGTCCTTGATCAGCTGTCGGTACCCGGTTTCCTTGTGCTCCAGCAGGTCGTCAAACTCCTGCTTCTGCTTCGCCAGCGCTTCATTTTTGTCCTTTTCGGGGTCGAAATCGACGTCGCGGTTCAGGTATGCTGTGCAAAAGTATCGTACTCGTACTAATTGCCTTTATGCATTACAAATCTTTTCCCTAAAGGAAATCCGCATTACAAATATGCAATTTATACTAGTACGATGCTTTTGCACTGCATATCAGGATCCCCTTGATTTCCTCGTCGCGCTCCTTGATGATTTTCTCCAGTCTCTCCACCTCCTCGCACTTTTCCTTGTAGGAAAACTGCACGACCTTGGTTCGCTCCTCAAACTCCAAGACGCGCTTGTCCGCGTCATCCTGGATGCCGGTGATTCGCGCCCGCTCGGAGGCCACCAGCGCGTCCAGGTCGGTGTTTTCCTCGATCAGCTTCTGCAGCCCCTCCTCCTTCTTTTCCACGACGAATTCCACGTCCTTGATGCGCTTCTCGTACTCCTGTTCCGTCACCTTCATGGCGCGCTTCAAGTCTTCCACGCTGCGTTGCAGATTCCTAATGTCCAGCTCCTTCTCGGTGATCTTCTGCTTGCTGTCGACCTGATTTGTTATGTTTTGATGTAGGCACGATGGGCACCTCTAAATTGATACTTCGGTTCCTTCTGCGTGTAGAAGTTCTTGCGAATCAAGGACCAACCTACCTCGATGATCCAGCACCTGTTCAAGGAGCTTGCAGTGTCATGTGCTTCATGGAAAAAAGACCACAACAACCAGAAAACAGGACCATGTATGTGAGTATCTCTGTCCTTAATTACCATGTGTTTTTTCAGTTCCACGGCGGCTTCCCTGACTTTCAGGTCCATTTCCGAGGTGAGAAGGCGTACTTTTTCTTCCAGGTTTTTGCACTCCTCAGTTTTCCCCTGCATTTGCTGCAGGAGGGAAGCGTACCCGCGATTGGTGATCTCGATCTGGGTCGAGAGCTGCTTCTGGACCACCTTGGCGACGGTTTCCTGCTTTTCAATTTGCTGTTTCAGCTTCTCCTCGTTTTTCTCGTACAAGGCCTTGTCCGCACTGATGTTGTCCTTGATCATGCCAATGTGCTTGATCAGCCCCCGGTACTTACCGGGGTTGAATTCCGCCATCATGTCCTTCCGCGCGTCATCGTCGCGCTCCAGCACGTCCGCGAAGCCTGACATGGCTGCGCGGCTGGCTCCCCGAGTAGGGTGGAGCTGCTGGCACAAGAACTTCTGACGACCTAGGTGTAAGAACGCTTGACCACGCTGATGTTACACGCACTCGCACAGCTCTGTTGCCGTTGCGCGATGAGAAAAATGATCCCCAAGGTCAGCGGGAAACGCAGCGGTTGTCGGTAGTAGGCAGTTGCCTAGTGCCTTCTCACTCCGTTTCCTATGCAGCAAATCTTAGTTAGGTGCGACGGCGACGCGTACTGGCACTCACCCAGTGCCGGTTCGAGCTATCAGCGTCATGTTCGAAGAAAAGGTTCTTCAGTTCAAGCTTGCCAGAAAGTTGCAAAAAAACAACATTCTGTTCCCCGATCGGTTTCGTTTGGCTTGTGTGGGGCTTCTCGGAATCAATCACCGCCCGGCAGATTTCTCTGCACGTCCTGAGGGGGTGGTGCGCGGGGCAGAGGACCCGTCACGGGCGTTTACATTTCTTTGTTGGTTATAGTTTCATTTGAATTTCATCATACAGTGAAACAGTTGGTGTCCCGTAGCACTTTTTTGGTACAAACAAAGCCAATTTGGTTTAGTAAAGGAGGAAACTTCAAGACCCTGCAAAGGATACGCAAAAGAACAAGATGAACATGTCGATCCATCATCGCTCAAGACACCACGCGCTCTATTCTCCGGCGACCTCTTTACGCACACTCAGGCCCTCTTGCTGCATTCACTAAGGCTCACACTCGACTCTTTCCATTTGCCGCTTTCTCGAATCTCAAGATGCGACCACAATCCTAACTAATTTTTCCAGCAAGTAACCTCACTCAGCACAGACGCAAACTTTCCCTCAGGCTACATATCGAGAACGTGAAAGGCAAATCATAATTTTCTATTGCAGCATACATAAGTGCAGCGATCTCAATCTCGACACGAGCGAATCTTCTTCTTCATACATAAAATAACAAAATAAAGTGGCGACTCTTGCAGACTGTTTCTTTGTTCTTCGAAATTCGTTAGATTTTTTTCGCGCCACTTCTTTATCTCTGTTCCATTTCCGTTTCAATTGCATCTAGGGCTGAATGCAGCCGAGGAGGTAGATGTTCTTTGTCTTTTCGCATCGTTGGACAAAAGAAACTCACCGGAAGGTGCAGAGTCAACCATGTTCATGTTGTCATTTCCCCCGCTGGATTTCCGCTTCAGGTCGAGCTGTCCGCCCCGTCCGTCAGAAAAACGCGGCAGTGCGGGTAACCCGAAACTGTCTACTTCGCGTCTTTTTCCCTCCCTGCCGTTTTGCTGCTTCTGGAACAAGCTTCTTCCTGACGCGTCGTCGACAACGCGGAACTCCCGTGTTTCGTTTCCTCGATGTCCTATTGTAGCACCAACGCTGCTTGCAAGCGGTAGGGGAAGCTCCTGCTGCAGCTCCTCATACTGCAACTGGCGGACTAAGGCCGCGCGCTCATGCTCCGGGATCCGCATCCTCCGTGGGTGATATTGCAAACACTGCTGATCGAAGTGGTCGTGTTCGCTGGAACGATGTTGAGGGATGTTGTGGTCCTGCTGGTGTTTATTCTCTACTTCGACCCCCTGTTGCTCCAAAGGTGGGTGGTCCATCGGAACCCAGGCTCTGTCGCACACACCATCTTCTGACACTCTCGGCGGCGGATCCTTCGGCATGAAATCGATCTCGATGTCGGCGACATCTTGCACCATAGACATGTGGTTGCTGTTTCCACCACTGGTAGAAATTTTCAACATCTGCTCCGGTGCGAACAGAAAAGGAGCGGCTCCCGTCCTCTCGGGTGAAAAGTTAACACCTTGAGAACTGCAAAAATCCACAACTGCATCGCCCAGCTCTGCTGCTTCTGCTTCTCTGTCATCTTCACCCGAAATACTTTCATCTGCCGAAGCGGCCTCCATTAGTTCTGCGTAGACTTGATCGGCGTCGTCCTCCTCTTTTTTTCCCTGGACTGCAGCTTCGTCCAGGGTGTCTGGCATTTCCAGCACACTGTTGTTGTCGAAGGGCGGTTGGGATTCCGCCCGCTGCTGCTTCAGGGTCGCAATCTGCCGATCGAACCGTGGCAGTTGGCGAAAAAACGCCTCGGTTGTATTACCATGAAAAATGCCCCCACCCCCGAACTTGGGCGCACTTGTATTGCAAACCTTTCCAAATGAAACATTCGCTCTCTTGCATCTATCAGCATTACAGGTTTCCAATCGCGAATAGCAAAAATTTGTATTGCAAAAGATCCCAGTTAGAGGGGCGCTTGTCATGCAAGCGATGCGATACATGCCTAGACTCTGCATCAGAAAGCTTCATACTGCTTTCATGCATGACAAAAAGTTTTCATTTGGAAACTTCGCATCACAAATTTTTGCAATTTCAGGGGTGGGGGGTACTTTTCACTGTAATAGTTTCCCATCTGGCTTTTCAAGAACCGCGCCCGGGTCGTATCGCAAGAAAAAACTGTTTCAATGTAAACTTGTAATGCAGAAACGGCATCTGAGAAGTGTTTGTCTTGCTACACATGCAAGACACTAGATTTTTAGCTGTGTTTTCCCTTGGGAATCTTGCATTGCAAATTTTCTCTGTGATGTAGAACAAACTTGTGATGCAAAACTTGCAAAATCCTTACACTGAAACACTTTTTTCGTACGATAGGTCGGTGGTTCGATGTACTCCGCGCCGGCGTTTCCCTCGAAGCGCGGGTGGAAGTTCGTCGGGGTATCGATGCTCTTCCGCACCCGCTTGTTGCTCAGTCCCAGGGAGGTGCTACCCTCCGATGGGACGCCACTGCTGCCACCGAGTACCCGCTCAAACTGACTCAACGTGCATTCCGTATGGATTGTAAAAGTGTCTGGGTCTGGAAGATTGCAACTTGTCATGCTGTTTTCGGACTCTAAAAAAACTTGTATTGCATGACCAGCAAGAGGGGTGCAGTTTTTGCTACACGGACAGGGCATTTCTCATGCGGAAGGTACATCAGGAAGCCCTCTAAAAGTCTGCGATGCTAGGTCAAGCATTACAGGCATCATGGGTCATGAGAAATATGCATGACAAATCTTGCATTCTTCCAGACCCAGACATTTTTGCGTTTGATATTCCGGGTCCCAACGCAAGGGCACGAGTTTGGTGCTTGGTGAAGATGCTCCGCCACCGGTGGGAGAGAGGTGTGGCGAAACCGGCGTTGCAGGTTTGCGGCTCTTCACTTCAAGCAGGGGCTGCTCCCCTCGACGCAGGGAGGGGATGGACTGGATGCCATACTGGAAGTTCGAGCCTTGTGACGTCCTGCTCGTAGAAGCATTAGCCAGCTGAGACGTTGAGTACGGTGCAGGTGCTTGTTGGCAGACACGAGAAGTAGCAGCATCGTTTCCTGGCCGCGTTTGCGACTGCGACTGACCCATGATCTGTCACAGCGCACGCGCGACCTCCATCTGCTAAACGCACTACTGTTTTCGTGCAGTAGACGAAAACTTGCAGCGTGCACATCCTTCAGCCGCATGAATGCGAAAACTCTCCTCGCAATAAATGAAAAACACACGACCCGTACCACACCGGCTTTAACAACCTTTACAGCCTCTACATGCTCGCTCTCCCTCTCGTCTCTAAGCGTGATTATACATCAAGTGCGGCTTCGTATATGGCTGACAAGAAGTAAAAGACTTTGCGCAGAAAAATCGAGAGTGATTTCCGCGACAGCCTAATGAAGAAAGAGAAAGCACGTGCCGGAACAAGGACTCAATGAATTCGGCGGCGGCCGTCGTGAGCGCATCGCGCAGTGTCGCAGTTTTGTGGTGAACCAAATATACGCCAGACAAAATGCGCGACCTGCAAGTCACTCGTGTTGCAATTGCTTTCCGGTTTCATTATTTTTGTCTCAGGCATGTATTTTTCCACACTCGCGAATAGGCAATAAGTCTAATCTAGGGTTTCGTCGTTATGGGGGAAAGAAGAGGATGAGGATTAGAAGAATATCATGCTGCAGTGCTTGATTATCTGATTTCTTTCATTGTGTGAGGAAACGCAGAAAACGGAGTTCGAAACGGAAGTGCGGCCATGCGGTCGTCTTGATCTGTGCACGTGGACGAGGAGGTAGTGCTGGCCAATTAATAAGCCGAAGCCTTTTATATGACACGTCGGAAAGCTACATGGTCGTCGTCGAGGCTCCTGACAGTGACACCACCAGCAAGCATGGCATGGCACAAACAAGAACACCGAGGACACCAGGGACATCAATAGACTGCTGTGCTGCAGGCAATTAAGTAATTTTCCGTCTCCGTGCTGCTCACTCGTCGATGCCGCGGAGTCGCATCCGCTCCATTAGGCCGGGCATGTGTGCTGCGCCGATGACTAGGACGCTGTTTCCTCGTCCCTTGTTGGTCTGCAGATGCTTCCGCACCTCGAGAAACATCGCCTCGTCGCGATCCATGAGAAGCCCCCGTTGAATGACCGGTAGCAGGTTGAGCAGGAGGAGAAAGAGGATGAACTCCGTGACTAGGGACAAAGTTGTGTCGGCGTTATCATCGTCTCTGAGGTTCTGACTTTCCCTTTGATGGCGGACCAGGAGCTCCGTGCTGTCCCCTGCTCTGTCCGATGGTCCTCGTGCACACGACAGCACTTCTTCCAAGGAACCCAGCTGCCAAGACTTGCTCCAGACGACCGGCTGACCAAAATAGCTCGTTGCAAAATTTGACAAAGAGATAGAAGTTTCTTGCGCAGAAGTAGGTGCTGGCGTACTTATTGTAGAATCGCTGCTCAATGGGGTTGCTGGAGCGGCAACTATCCTGACCGATTGCGTTATTTGCTTGTCCTGCGGGTAGCCGAGTCTATTTTCCTCTACTTGTTGCGCAGCAGCTGCAGCAGTTACGATTGCTGATTCTGAAACTGGAGATGATGTTGATGCAACTCCAAATCTGCGCTGAGACGTGGCTGGTGTCGCTCGGCTGATCAGGGACCGACCTTCGTGGAGAACGCTCTGGCCGTTGGCTGCCGCGTGTACACAAAGCAGCGCGCGCGATCGCTTCAGAAGCCGAATAAGCCAATGAACGAGTGCGACGAGAAGAAAAATTGGCAGTAGAATCACGCAGGACAAAATGACGCTCGCAGAAATGGTGGCAACCTGAATGATTTTATTTTTCGTTTTCCATTTCGAAGGAAGAGACTAGAGCAAGTCCTGTGTTGAACCGCAAGAAGCCTGAGCTCACTAAGTAGCACCACGTTGACTCCGGCCGGAGCCCTGGTGGTACGAGACGAAAGGTAAATCCAGCTTAAAAACTATAAATATTCAACGATCATGTGTTCTTGCACCAGAAACGCCAGGCAGGTCTTCGCCGGCAGGAAAGCTAGCGCCCGAAAGGAAATCCCAATGACGTCGGGCCGGCGCTGGTCGGAGTAGACGAAGCTGCGCCAGAAGAACCGCGGCAGCGAAAGCCACATGAGAAAGTTGTAGAACAAGTGCCTCGGCGTGGGCTTGGCATGGTGCAGCAACGCTTTCCCCAAGGAGTGGTCGTTTACGTCGACACAGGTCGGCGAAAATTTGCACATCCGACAATACTCGTCCGCAGCAAGGAACTCTGCGCCCGCCAGCACCCCCGCCCACTGCATCACGCCGTAGAGTACACCGATCCCGGAGGACAGAAGCACACACGCTCGACAGCACGTCTGCCGAAACTCCAACGCGTGCGGCAGGCGCTCCGGACTGTAGGCCTTCGCGAGGCGCACAGTTGCAAAACGTCCCTCGCACAGCCCCTGGTACACGTGTGCATACGACTGCTGTGCTTGTTCTGGTGCCCTTGCTGGAGCCGCTCCTGGCGTTGCAGAATCAGCCCGACTTGGAACAACTTCCCCCGCTCTATCCTGCACTTTATTGCTTAACGGGAAAAAAGAGGATGCTGATCCACCTTGCGCTCGGCGTGGTCTACTGTCTATCGTTTGTTTTGCCTGCGCTGCACCTCCTTGAACACCATGTGCTGCTGGAGAAGATGGATCTTGTCTATTTTGAAACAGAAAGGCGGGTATTCGTGGCATCCGCAGCGTGCCGAACCGGCGATAGGCCCGCCACCGCTCCAACACCCCGCCGATGTGCATCAAACCGGCGGTGCTGGACCCAATCGTGCCGTCGCACTCAGGAAAATCCGTCACCAACAGCATCCGGGCCTGCAGCTGCTCCGCGATGAAGGCTTGCTGCAGAAAACTCACTTGCCGGGACCGCTGCAGAACGAGCGCACAGTTTGCGCAGTTCAGGCCGGACTCGAGCGACCCCTCCGGGTGGTGCACGTCGCGGATCAAAGGTAGCACCGTAGAGGTCTGCAACTTCGGCGAGTAGAAGTTCCACGCGGAGTGCACCCCCCGGCCGTTCAGGCGTTCCTGGCGACTGAAAGTCTTCAGCTTCCGATCGATCGAAGTGTCTGAGTCGTCGCTGTTCGTGGCGGAAAACGACTCGTAGGACCGCTGCGAGCAAACGCTTGCAGTCTCGAGATGATCCAGCGAAGACGAAGCGGCTGTGGCGTCGGTTGGCAGAGAAGATGAAGATGATTCGGGTCTGCTGTTCAATAACACGACACTTGGGTCACTTAGGGTGTTTGCCGCGTTGATGGTAGGACTATCGATGGCGCCGTCGCCAAGCACGAGTCCCTCGTCGTCACTAGCGTCATCGTCTGCGTCGCCGCCACCAGGCTCTGGAGTCCGAGCAGAGATCGATGAAGCTGCAAGCGGTGCATTTATTGCACCATGGCCCGACGTGGTTGTACTTGTAGTTGATACAGTCACTACGCTGGCCACATCCTCCTGAAAGGAAAGACCTGTGGCTTTTGTTGTGCCACTCTCGCTCATTTCCTGTGACATCATTTGCTCGAGTTGCAACTTGTCGTGGCGTCCGCCCGTTCCTGCAGTTTTCTTTTCCGAAGGCGACCCTCGCGCACCGCCGCGGCCTGAGAACACAAAAGTAGCCTCAATTCGCCGCTCCTCCCGACGCAGGTCGCGGAGCCTCTGGGTGTCCAACTCAATCATCACGAGGCGCGGGCGCTTCCGCACACACGTCAACCAGGCGTCGCGGGCACTGGCCGCGCTGATGTGCATGGTGCCGACGATGTACAGAGAGTCCGTATCGTTCAGCGGTATCCGCCGCATATCAGATGCAAAAATGTCTGGGTCTGGAAGATTTGAACTTGTCATGCTAAATCTAAATGATGCAAAAATCTGTGTTGCGTGAGTGCCAAAAGCTGTCCGCTTTTGACCAAGTTGAGAGGGAGTTTCTCATGCAGGAAAGGCATGATAGAGACCTCAAAGAATTTGTCATGCTGGGTCTCGCATTCCAGACCTCATGGGTCATGGAAAACCTGCATCACAAATCTTGCATTCTTCCAGACCCAGACATTTTTGCATTTCATACCGCACTGAAATGGGCAACTTGCGGTCGTCTTCGTCCAGGGCGGGAGAGTGCGATCCCGAGGGGTCGATGAAGAAACCTAATAAAGGTAAAGGAGCGTGATAGGTTGCGTGTCACTGACAAGCATAGCAGATGAGGGCTCATGACTACTGCATGCTTCAATTGTGGCTTGCTTCCACGAGCCGCTTTGTTTTTGTTTTAGCAAGCTTAGATGACCGTGACATCCATTTTAGCACTTCTAAACGAGGAAGCAAGTTGTACAACACTTACGTGCCACGGCGGCATCCCGCTGCGAGTCCGCATCGATCCATGGGCGCGCACGAAGTGTGCGGCTTCCCCAGCGGCGGCAGCAGCAATTCTTGCCGAGCGCGACGAGACACGGCGCTAGATGGTTTGCTCGGAAATAAACCAGAGGGACAGCCACAAAGAGAATCGACAATGCACCCCAGAGGCTTAACACGCCGAATATTATTGGCTCTGCAGCTTCGGAAGAGTAGTATCCCGCATCCGGCCAACAGAGAATCAACACGGTCCAGATGCAGACATCGACGGTAATCAGATGGGGTTTCCGTAGAACTTCCGGACGTGAAAACTCAAACCCGTCATCGGTGGGGAGGAGGCCTTGCGCGGACGCCATGTTCTTTGCTGGAGGTGCTGGAGTAACTACAGTTAGACTTAACGTTTTTGATTTTAGATATTGCACAACCTGGACAACACCAAGACTTGGAAGACTACCAGGGCTCCATATCATATGTTCGCTATACAGAATAAATATCAAGGAATCTACTGGAACGCATGAATCGATCATGCCGGACCGATCGACTACTCGCCTACGGCTTCGCAAAAATGAAACAGCCACTGCAGCAAGTGGAGCTCCTCACAAAGGGAAAACACGTGACGGCACCGCCACAATAATCGCGGAAATTGCAGGGCTGCAATTTTTTCAACTCTCCAAGTCAGTGCGTCGCCGCCTCCCATTCGGTCAGAGTGGCCACGACATTTAATCATGGTCTGCGACTCGGCTCACCAAGCGGGTGGCGGCTTTTACGCGGGCTGCCATGCAGTGCATAAAAACCGACGGAAGGAAGAAACACACGGCAGAATCGTGAAGCAAGGTATCGTCTTCAGAAGCGACCACTACTCGCAAGACCGCTTCGCTTCCCGACTGAGGTCAAAAAAGGAGGTCGCTGCAACACAGCACCGAGCAGGCGCTCTCTTTCATCTGCAACGTTTTTGCATTGTTTTATGTCTTCGCGTTACGATTACAAGGGTTCCGTGCAAGAGCGGTTGCGTAAACAAAGCTCTCTTCGTTCTGCGATTTATTTTAGCAGCCAGCAACAGTAAGAGCAAGGATTGCGGCTCTTCTGATGTTCTATCTGAAGTTCTAAAAGCCATGGGACTGCGCCATCCCACCAGTTCCTCTTCACTATAAGTCTTTCGGGTCCTCGGCGCATACGGCATAATGTACTTTTCTCAGTTCTTGAACGACTCCCACTTTGTCGGCCCGTTGAAGTTCGAAGTCCAGTCGGTGTTTGCTGGCTCTGCGGTGCTTCCAAAAGCCTGCCATTGCTTCGATGGCGGCATTTCCAGCGAGCTGAACGACATCAAATCGTTCTGCGGCCTCGTGTTCTGCAGGTACGTGGGTTTACTCGCGAGTTCCTGGCCCAACCTTGCTTCTTGTGCTTTGAGCTGACACCGCTCGGTGAGCAGCTTCAGCCGCTCTTCCCGCAGTAGCAAAAGTTTGGAGCGCTCGGTATCGACGTCTGTTGTTTTGGTCGGATTTTCTTGTTTAAATTCAGAATCACGTGCATCAGATCACTTCATCAGATCACTTGAACTACTACAACATCTTTTTTGGAGATACTTATGTTCCTCCTTTTGTAGTACCGTACGAAAAAAGTAGAACGCATTTACAAGCGAAAAGTTGGAATAAATGCTACTCGCCATGAGCAAACTCCGATCCTGTTCGATCTGGCGGAACTTTTCGAGCAGGATGGCGTTTTTCTGGGAAAGAGCTTTCTTCTCGCGGTCCATGGCCTTCAGCTTCACGCGCAGCTCCTCCAGCTTCTCGTTGTCTATTCTGGCCATCTCCCTGTACGATCAATGAAATTTAGGTAATGGGAATGGCTATCACAGTCCAGTGATCTTAACATCGAACAGTATTGCAATACATAGGGATTGGGATTGCAACAGCTGGATCAGTATACTAGAACGAACTTCGAACAAAAAATTCAGGCTAGTACGGCGTCGGCGCAGCTAGTCCTCTACTATCAAAACGGCTACATACCCTCCTCTCAATTCCTATATCCTAATCCTTTTCAAAAACAAATCCATCTTCCGCGCATACCTGTCCAGTCGCACGGTTTGTAGGGCTTTGGAGCGGAATTCTTCGAAGTTTCCGCTGCTTTCCTGCAGGACCGGGTCCACTTGCGCGGTTGCTCGATTCGGGTGCAACTCGGCGATCAGCAGAAGGTCGTTTTCCACCTGTTCAACTTGGCCGCGGAGGAACTCGTGGCTCGCCTCGACCTCATCCAGCCGGCTCGCCATCTTTGCACGCTCGACATCCTTGATGCTTTGATGCGCCTGGAATTTTCATTTGCATGGTTTGTTCCCTGGTCGACGTGTTTGCAGTCATCGTTTCCGTTGTGTAGAATTCGAGTGTGGACATCTTTACGGCGTCTCGACCTGCTCTCGCGAAAGCTGCAAAACTACTTTTACTTTCAGTATAGATGTAAGTAAAAACTACACGGCAAGTACCTGCAAATCTTCGATCTGGTGCCGGAGACGCAAGATGGCCCGCTCGAAATCCCGCTTTCTGCGCATCTGCAGTTCTAGATTGGCTCGCTCCTCGAGAAACTCGATTTCCGCCGGACTCAGCTCCTGATTGCCTATCTTAGCTTCCGCGCGCCATGCACGAGTGAGCATGCCACCTATTGTTGTTTGCGGTTCACATATCACTGCATTCGCAATCGAATTGGAACAGAATCCAACAACGGATCTTTTCACATGTTCAATATGTATCTCAAAAAATCCTTTGTAGTTTGACCGTACTTATGTCCAACGAGTTAGGTTACCTACAGGGGAGTACGCAAGGGAAAATCCACATCGAGAAAAAGGTGCATTACCTCCCGTCACATTGCTTGTTCCGTCTGCGGAAGCGCCGCTCGGATCACTCGGGTTCCCGCCTTCCCCAGTGGCCCCTGGTTCTCCCGCAGCGCCATTGACTCCTGGCGGCCCGGTTGAGACCATTTTGCTGGTGCTCGAAGATGCACCGCCGATATTCACTCCGTTCGGCGGCACAAGTGGCAGGGTGACGGGCGGTCCGTTGCCACTTGCCGTTTCCGCGGCGGTCCCGTGTGCAACGGCGGACGAGGCCGACGCTGCGCCGGTCCCGGAGACAACAGCGGAGGCTGGTACAGGGACCGGGGAAAAGGCGGGAAGACTGAAGTTGCTCGCATCGACGGGGATGGAAGTGGGGAGCGGCAGCCCGAGTTTCTGGCACTTGGTCACGAGGTTCATGGCGACGCAAAATTCCTTGACGGAGAGCCGGCCGTCGGCGTCCACGTCCGCCAGGGTCCACAGCGTCGTGAACTCCGCCGCGGACAACCCTGCTTTCGCGAACAGTCTCCGCGTCGCTTCGCACTTCTCCACGTAGCCGGGGGGCGGGCTGGGCGTGTGCTCTAGCTGCACACTGCGGAACACTTGGAGGTATTGCTGCAGTTCACCATCCGTGGGACGCCAGTCTACCTGCTATTGTATACCAGCACTTACCACGTACTCAACATGTTCATCATGTTACACATACACTTTTAGTTTTACCGGTATAGGGCGATGCAGCATTAGCAGAAGCCAAAACTTGCCACAGAGCCCTCGCCAGAGGGGCAATTGTACCTGTGACGGCGCGGTGGAGGAGGAAGACGCAGCGCCAGTCGGCGTCACGACGCGGGGCGAGGTGCTCGGCGTCGCTCGCCCACTCGAACTGAGCTGCAGTGGAGCAGCCGGCTCCTTTTCCACCAGGTCATCCGAAATCGCGGCACCCTGCTGCGCGTGCGCAGCCAGTCGACAGGCGACGCTGAATGCTGCAAAATCGAGCTTTCCCTCGTTGCGCGCATCTGCTATGTTCCAGATTTCGTGCAGGGTCTTGCGCGGGAGATCTGAGGATTGTGTATGCATTCTTTTTTTTTTGGAGAGGCTGACATAGGCCGACAAGAGCCTTGAGTGAAGTCCTTGTAAATGATGTTTGCAGCCAGGAATTACTGCATGCTCGTACTTATCTCCACGTAGTGGGCGTTCTTGGCGCCCTCAACACCAAAGGCGTGCGCATACATCAAAAACTGTACTTGATTTCGCCAGCAACTCGGCGCCCTTTACTCCGCCAAGAAATTGACCGTCGGGCTCCAGTTCCGCGGAGTCGAATACACGCCGATAAAACCCGAGCTCTGCGGCACCGAAAAGGTCCGTCATGGTGGAGATCCGGGAGACAAGCAGAGACGACGGGTCTCCGGGTACGCGACTGCGAGAACGTGTACTTCCCGAAGTACTAGAGGAATTGATGTGATACGAATGCTAAATTAAAAAAAGATCCTGCGTCGCCTGACTCTGGTTTTATTACGGGACGTGATTTCTAACGACTCCTAAATGCTGAGCGTTACATTCTACTTCCTCCACCTACGAAGCGACAAGATGAAAGGTGGTGGATGTGCAACATACTTCTTATACGATTCGGATGTTATGCAATCAATTTCAATCTTGCGAAACAACGACACGATCCGCAACAAACGACGAGATCCGAGGAGCTGCCTTCAACTTCATCGAACCAGCGAAAAAGGGAAATACTAGACGCAACCTCCATTCACAATCACTCCGGCACTCAAACACATGATGAGCTTCGAATTTATGTATTCTTATCAAAAAAACGTACAACTAGAAGCACTGTATACAGCTGCCACGCGCCTGTGTGGTGCAGTTGTGTGCTTCATCAGCTTGCTGAGTGTGACGTCAAGGTGCCGCGTTGCAATACTACCTGTAACGTAAACTGACGCGTTCTCCCATGCGCTTTCGCTTTTTCCTGCGTACAAGCTTGTTCGTCTTGTTCATGAAAACAATGGCACAATTCCGAATCAAGGCCACTAAGTTAAGGTAGCAACAGGCTGCATGCGGTGTTGGGGACCATTTGGTCGCACTAAGCATTGTCCCCAGACCGAACAGTCCAGAGGCTGTTGTTCCCAATCCCAGTCCGTGCTGCTCATTGTGCAGACTGCAAAAGCAGCTATGCACTGGGCTCCGGTGAAGCAATGTCCTCTGCCAAGACGACAGTAAAGTGGTTCTTGCCGCTCCTACAGGTCCAGCTCCGCTAGGGAAGCAGCCGAATCTTGAACGCAGGAGTAAGGGCAAGAACATCTTGTTCAAGCCTTCGCCTTCCCTTCTTTCTTGCTGTTCTATTTCGGCAACATGTAGCGAGACATGAACTTGACGTAGCCCTCTCGCGTGGCGTAGGCACCGCAGAAAGAAAGACAGTAACTGGACACGTAGAACGGAAAGTTTTTCTTCAAATACGTGGGTTGTTTGGCGTACGGAACGTAGCGGAACCTGGTACGTTTCACAAATACAAATTGCAAGTTGAATATGAATGGGACCGGGACAACTGCGACAGTACAAAAGCAGTTCCAATGATAAACTTTTCGCGATGCAAAACCTGACAAAGAAACCGCACTAAAAGCCAAACCAGTCCTGATCGCCTCGATAGATTTTGATGTATGCAACGCCGCCGACGCCGGCGCTTGCGATCGCCGCCAACTTCAGTCCGCCGCGCTTGTGGAACGAATGCTGGATGCCTTTCAGCGTGCCCAAAATGCAACAACCGACCGCGGGAAGCCACACTTCAAGCATCGAGATTTCACGTTAGAGCGGGGTAACAAATTCTGCCGAGTTGTGGCCGTCCCACTTTTCACCCGCCCGGCCGGGTGGGTGACTAGTGGGACGGAACCAGGAGCCTGACCACCTGGCCGAGTCTTGCTTTTCGCCGTTCTCGTGGTCAGGGTCCTGGTTCCGTCCCACTAGTCACCCACCCGGCCGGGCGGGTGAGAAGTGGGACGGCCACAACTCGTCCGAATTTGTTACCCCGCTCTATAGCAATTGCTATTCTTCTCCGACGCCAATGACCATCTAGATCTACATTAGGTGAAAAACCTTGGAGAAAGTGGGGGCGTGGAGGCGAGACGCTGCGGACCGACTTGTATCTTAGTTTGGCGATGTTGAAATAGTAGACACCATGGGTACGATCATTGTTCAGAAGATCTTCTAGAAAGAAACCGAAAAAAAATTGGCAACGAAGAGATGAAAGGAAGAGACCGAAAACCAAACAAGTGGCGAGGACCTAAAAGTAAAACCAACACATACGCGCGCAGAAGATCGACCAGCGATCCACAACACGAGAACAAGACAGATCGTTGAGGAGAAACGGCATTTTCTTTGCCTGCGGATGCGTATTTGAACTTCTTCTGCGAGTTTCAGTTGTTTCAGGAATGTAACAATTACAATATCGTCGCTTTTGTCGCCACTCTCGAATAAAATTCAATCATCTCTTTCGTAAGAATGCTGAATCGAAGACCCTCGCCGCTGCAGTATTTGCAGTGAAGCAAACTTTACAGAATCAGGGCGATGCGCCACAGCAAAGGCTTGCACTAGTCGTCGCTGGATGAGGAGTAGTCAAAGCCACCCTTGGGCTTTAGCTTCGCTGATCCCCCGGAGGAAGTGCTTGCTTTGTTGCTGGCAACTGTGCCGCCGAGCAAGCCTCCCACTTTCGCGGCCTTCGATACAGCTCCACCAGGTGGTGGTTCGCGCCGTGGACTTCGCTCTTCTCGTTCCCGAAACACCTTTGCGTTGAACATGGATTTGAATCGATTAATGCTCGCGTTCCCGGGCCCGGAAGTGCCGAGTCGCTTTCGCTGCTCGGCGTCCTGCTGTGCCTGGATCTCCTTCATGTCCAAGTCTGTCCCGGCAATCGAGGCCTTGATTTTCATCTTCTTCTGGTTCTGCGCCGATACTTCGATTGTGGGCGGATTCATCGGCCTGGGCCCTACATTCGCTGCGGCTCCACCTTCGTTCGCTATTTTCTCTTCCTCTCTTTCTTCCAACGTCATCAGCTCGCGATCCAGCTGCTTCCCCCGCTCCTCCCGGGCGGTCTGCTCGAAGGCTTCCTGGGCCAGCTGGTACTCCGTGTCGAGCCACATCTCGAAGTCCACTGCGTCCGCTTCGTTCATCTGCCAGTCCTCCCCGGCGGTCGTGCCCGGCATGAGCGCAGAAGAAGCAGTACTACTCCCGCCGCCCGCGATCCCGACCCCGTCCTCTAGCCTATAATTATTTCCCTCCCCCAAGGCTGAGTTCGCGTTTGAGGAAAACAGCTTGTCCAGGGCGTTCATCAGCATGGTACCGTCCTTCTTCCGCTCCTTCCGGAAGTGGATCAGGTTCTCCAGGTTGTCGGCCAAAGCCAGCTCCTCCCGGGCCTGTTCCTGCTTGTACTGCATCGTCTCCTTGTACTCTTCCTCATCGTACTGCAACGCCCGCTCCAGGGAGGTTCGGTCGTCCGCCTCCTCGTAGGCGCGCCGCCCCCCCAGCTCCAGCCGGTACCCCCCCGCCACCTCCGGGTCGGTGCGGAACACGAAATGCGCCAGGCAGTGGGGACACTTCCCGAAGAACCGGTAGTTTTGGTATCCGTTGGTGAAGTCGTCGCAGATCATCTCCATGCGCATCTGGATCTTCTTACCCAGGTTGTTCATCCGCCCGCAGGTCTCGCAACTGAACGAGAAGGGGATGATCATGCGGATCATCATCTTGTGCGTCTTGTACAGCTTCTGCTTCCGCTGCAGAAACTTCTTCTTGTCGTCCAGCGCACGAATCTTCTGCTCGTCGAAGTCATGGCTGTAATGGAGGCCCACCGTGTCCGTCCACCCAACGAACGCCCCCTTCATAAACTTCGCCGACATGTTCGCCATCTTTGCAACCGCTTTCCGACGGCAAAAAGCCGCGGACTAAAATCAGGTGGATAAGATACTAAAGATTATCTTACTACTTCTGGCGAATGGGAAGATGAAATATGAGCCTGTAGCCACGAAAACGAATCTAGTAAAGACTCTTTTGAAAATTCACATTTTTTGAGTTGATTTTCCCATTCAGATTCACGTACAGTACTGATACAACAAAGAGAGCATGAACATACTTAGTCACACAGGAAGCTATGTGGAGGAAATATCAGTCGAAAGTTCGGGGTCCTGCGCGATGAGGATGATGGTTAAAGCAAACACATTATGGGCGCTCGTGTCGGAATCATAGCCGTACGTAGGTGTTTGATTTTTTCGCTTTCCGTTTCGCATTTACAATGACATCAAGGATCGTCCTCGCGGCGGGGTTTCTCGTTTCACCGGGCCCCTACCACAGTTTCGGGCTCGGCGGGATCTTGTTGCACATCTCTAAGACACTAAAACATTTTCGTATTTGAATTTCAGTGCAAGATCTTTCTACGGAGAACATTTCAATTTTCACCACACTCAGAAATAAGATGGATATTTCTTGCATTTCACACCATAGCACAGCTGCCTTTACGGCACGTCATCAAATCCTTCTAGATCGGTGATGATGATGATTAGTTCGAGCGGGGCTCGGTGCATCACGACCTGAAAAACAACGTCCTCCGCGGAGGCGGCGTACCAAGTTTCTATAGCATGAATATGAAGCCGCAAGCGTAGCCTATTCGTGGTCCTCGTCCGGTCTGAAGATCGATTCCGCTCGGTAATCCAGCCTGAGACACGGCACATTTGCAATAATGCGGACGAGCTGGTCTTGAGTTTCTATGGGCTGGATGGATTCGATCTCCGTTGGGTAGCACGTCCATGGCTCCGAACCGTATCCCGGCGCTTGAGCATACGCTAGGGGAACTGGATCCGGGGGAAAAAACCTGCTCTTGATCTTATGCTGCGCCAATGCCATAAAGTGCTCTCTTCGTTGACAGCAGGTACTCTACTACCCGCCATCTCCTCGTCATGAGGATCCTGAAAAGCATCAGACTCAGAGCAGAAAAATAGAAATACGACAACTACTGGCATATCTATATCAATCATGCTTGTCGATCATGTCATTTCCAGCGCTGCCAAAAATCAAGAAGCGTCTCTGTATTTTTCGAGGGGATATCGCTCAATGTCCGCGAAAACTGGCATGACGATGAAAGGAACATCAAAAATCCAGTGTCCGCCCTTCAGCCTCTGTTCCTGGAGTAGGTCTACTTTCCTCTCCGCGCGGCCATCATCTGCGCAAGAACGGGATGACAAGCCAGCTGCTGAGGCTGAACCGGTGGCGGTGGTCGACGAAGCTTTTCGAGCAGCAGCAAAATAAAACTTGTCCTCCTCGTGTTCCAGCAATTCGGGTGGAAAACGATAGTCTTCCGCGTCCTGCACGACGTTAGCGGTGCTCAGCCCGGCCCGTTCGAGGGCCTTCTTGGCCATGGGAAGAACGGTGCTCCGCAGGTAGCTCTGGTAGTCCGCCAGGGTGTTCCCGAGCTTCAGCACCGGGATTCCAAAGGTTCGGTCCGGCGAACTTTGGAAGGCCATGCGCAGAACCCAGAGCCTCGAGAGCTCGTATTTTAGCATGTGCTGCAGCTTCTGCTGCGACAGCCACGCCCCGGCGTCGACGACGCGCGTCCGGTGCTGCTTTGCCTCTGCACCCGAAAAGCTACTCCACATCAGTGTGAGCGGCACCTTGGTCTTTTCCTGATGTCCGTCCGTCGGCCGCTGCGCGCGCAAAATTTCCCGTCGTGCTGCCTCCTGCCGTTCGATAACAGCCGCGGGCAGAGCCGCGGTGGTCCGCTTTTTCCACTCAGGATACAAGTGTCGGGCGAACTTTCCGAACAGGTCCACCCAAGTAAGGCCCCGGACCGTGCGACACAGTTGCATCATGTGGTGCAGCCAGATGGCGTGCGCGCGGTCCCAGCAAGCCTCGTAGGCAACCGTGGTCGGAAGGACGCCCATGCTCAGGGGAGAACTGGTAAACAGGGCCCGCTTCATCTTGTACCGCACCGACACGCAGCTCGTAGACCGACTCCGAAACTTATTGTTGCAACAACCGGTTTTACTCCTGCTTTCCATGGTCCAACCGTTGTTCTGGTCGACGTCGTATGCACCTCCAACCGTAGAACTTGCAGCCACTTGTTCCGCGATATTGAAGCCCGTGTGGTCCTGGTCAAGATCCTCTCCTGCGGCGCTTTGACGATAATTTACTTGTTGTGTATTTTCTTTCTCACTTTTTGTGCTTGCTGTGCTGCCCCTGATTCCTCTAGTTCTTCCCGCGTCGTGGTTCTCGCTGCGAGGTGGAGAATAATTTTCGAAATTTAAATCACCTCGTCCACCTGGCTGAGTTGGTCGGCCGTGATGTAGTTGTTGTACCTCTTTTGTTTCTGACGCAATAGCATGGCGGAAGGTAATGTCGACGTTCTGACTTATGGGCCACGAGCCTGCATCAGGCCGAAAATTGTCCTCTCTTCTAGTACAGCCCCAGGGAGGATGTGATATCTGTAGGTCCTCAACGTGCGGTGGCGACGACGGCTGCAGCACATGCTGCAGAGAATTGTTGGCTTCGTCTTCAAAATCCACAGCGTTGCCGCGGCTACTGGACCTCTTGTTTTCGTCCCCTCGTTGACTCGGGTCACACTTCGAAGTTGTTGGACGTGGAAACGCTGCGGGCGCAGGAGGGGCTCGGGCTCCGCAGGGAACTTGTTCGTTTGCGCTCGTCTTCGCTGCAGTGCGCCCTGCTCCGTCCTTTGCGGCGTCTTCTGCAAAAAAAAACGATTGATGTTTCTCGTCGCCACAGGGAGACGACACGTCTTCGCTCGCGTCCTCATCCCCGGTGGTACTGGGAGCAGAGTCGCCACCGTTACCGTGGTGTTCAGAATTGTGCTCTTCATCGAGAGAGATCATCTCTTCGTCGTCACGGTGGTGTACACGCAAACAACCGTCGGCAGACGACGCGAGAAGTTGCGTCGTCTCCTCCGGGAAGAAGCATTTGTGGTCCAGCGCGTGGGAGTTCAGCAGCGCGTCCATGCTGGAAAGAGGCCCAGCACGTCGGCTGAACTGCCAGCGGATGCTATCCTCAGAAAAAACGTCCCCAAAGCTGGGAACTCTGCAACACAAATGCAGAAGTTTATTTCGCGAGTCAAGCGCGCTGACAATTTTTTCTCTAATCAGTTGTGCCGGTTAGCAAGGACCGCCGCATCACAAAGCCAGCTGCCCCTTATCCTGTGAGTGTACAGCATTTTTACAAATTTCAGAACGCGACTGAATATGCCTCGCAAGGGAACGAATGCGCATTTCATCATCGTCATCTTCAACATCAACATGTAGCGGATTACAAGTCTTCCTCCTGTAGTGCGCATTGACACTTCTTTAGTGCGCATTTACAAGTCTTCCTGTAATTGCAAATCTACATGGAAACTCTGGGGTGGCGACGTTTTTGCTCAGGATAGATGCGGCTGTGCCGCACGGTTTCCACCAGCACCGCACTCAGCCCGGCCTCCTCCACTCCGTGGCCGTGCATCACCTTGTATCCTATGGAAAAACAGGACCCACGCACTAGAGCAAAAGTCAAGATGGGAGTATTGCTAGGGCACAAATGAAATGCAATAACTTGGTTGTGCCTGCGATGCATTGCGTTTTCGGTAGGAAAACCGTATTTTAAATGAATCAGCCGGAGCCTGTTCATCCTAGTTCCAGCATGCGAAATTGAGTTCCAGATAGCGTGACGAGAAAAAAACGGCGCTCATGGAGCTGTGCAAACGACGCACTTTGAAAGTGGAGTTGGTATTGGCTTGGTCGGTTGACATGCAGACTTGCATGACGACCATGGGGCGGGGACGTTTTTCCACAGGATACCTTCCACCTCTGCTGACGAAGGGTGCTGGACGTGAGAGCGATCGTTACAAGCTGTTTTTTCTGCTTCGCTGCCGAGTTCTGGTTCCTGCGCTGTACAATTTGACGATTGGAAAACGTGCCTGCTCGACCTGTGTGTGCGCAGTGGTGATCTTCTAGAGGCGATGATGATGGTGCACCACCACCAGAGTTGCTACTGTGATGCACCACCTGCGTTACTACAAACTCGGTTGCCGTCTCCCACCAGCCTGTAACGCGTAAGCAGGTGCCGCGCCCTGGTGACATGATCGCACGGCAAAACAGCGACCGCACGTGCTCGCGAAATTTTCGCCGAAAAGCGGCACCTGGTTCATCTTCCGATGGAAATATTTTCTGCTGCAGTTCATCTTCCCGACCTCCTGGCAGGTCGGTGTCTGTCTGCTTCTGTTGGCGGCAAGCGGCTGGTGCAATATCTTGATCATGCGCGCCGTTCTTCTGCAACGAAAATCCATCTTCGGTATCCTCCGGAATCGCCGTCGAACTTGGGGCAGAAGCAAAATTGGTTTCACTTTCATCTGGACGACACCAGATGTTCATCTTCGCTGATGGATGTTTATTGAACCCCTGCTCAGTCGGTCTCCTGCTCTGGGGCAGAGATATTTTTCTTTTTCTGCCATGATAGTCCTCCTGCTCGTCATCGTCTCTTTTTTTTCTTTCGCCGCTCAACGTCGTCGGTGCGTGACCACGAGGGAGAGTGGCTCTTCCTGCGGGCACGATCGGTTTTTGTGGCGTCGGATGCGCCAGAAACTCGTCTTGAAAAAGGAACCACCTTTCCTGTGTGAAGGACAGTTTGACCTGCTCCGACAGGGCCACGAGGGCTTCTTTGTGGCGCTGCGTGAAGAGCGGATCACATGTCGTTGTCTCTACCAACTTGGCAGTGCACATTGGACAAGTGCAGTCCTGAATGAACCCGATGGCTTTGCGAGGGATCCAGACCAGCTGTAAACACGCCCTACGATCAGCCGCATTCTTTTGTGGAATAGGATTGCAGCTTAATGGTGATGTGGGGAGGCAGGAGGAAGAAGACGCACAATTAGAAGCCGGGGACATGCTGGCTGTTGTACTGGTGCGAGCACTTCTGTCGCTGTATGTTCTCCCTGGCACTTCTACAGCTAGCTTCTTTCTTTCGGTGTCCTCACGAAAGTTCTGGATCATGTTCTCGCTTTGCCTTTCGCTTTGTTTTTCAACCTGATTCGACGTGAGCACGGAGTCATGCTGGGACGGCCGCAAGACAGTTGTGGCTTTATCACCAACCGCGTGCGGTGTAAAGTAGGATGAAGACTGTCCGTAGCTGCAGTTGCCAGCATTGCGGCTGGCAAGTACCTTAGCCTTCCGGTTGGAGCCGCGGGCCATGACCACCTGACACAACTGCGGAAAGACGGTCAGAAAGGCTTCTGTCAACTCCTCTGTCGGGTAGAGAGGCAAATTGGTAACCTGCACGCAATCCGAATTCCGCCGGGTAGATGCCGTCCTAGCAGGAACACTGGATGTCGTCGTCGTCGTTTTCTGCATGTTCCATACGTCCTCGCCATCCACACCACGAGCACCGCTCTTCTCCTGCTGTACGGAAGCGCTTCCACGTTCACGCTCCGTGGTGCGTTTCTTTTTTCTGTTGTTTCTTCTTGTCGTAGCGATGCTATTTTTCATTTTCGTGCGAAGCTCGCTGCAGCTCGCGTCCGTTTCTATTACTGTTTCAGCTGCGCCGGCATTACCTTCTGTTCCATGACTATTTCTCGGTGGCCCGCCGCGCAAGGTCATGGCGTCCCCGACTCCTTCGCCTCCTAGCGGATCGATGCAGCCCGCGGTGGCGGCAAGAATTGGTGGCCGAGATGTACTGTTCAACATGACCAGAGGTTTATTATCGTGATGGGAGCAGGCGTTTCGTTTCAGCTGAATTTCTGCTTCTGCGCGCTCCGTAGGTACTATTCCCTTCGGTTTAATTTTCGGCTGCCCACTACAGCACTGCATGTCACTACCGTCCCGATCGAAGCTGCGAAAGCCAAGTGGAAGTGCTGCCGCACAACTGTTCCAGAGCTCTTGCGGCTGCGATCTTTGTCCCTCCCGAATGGTTTGTTCTTGGCGCTGCTTATGATTTAGAACGTGCTGCCGTGGCACTGTTGCGTGCGCGTCGAATTCGTTCCGCCAGAATCTGCAATCTGCAACTTGTTCAGGGTCCTCATTGCGGAAGATCCGACCGACTTCACCGCCGCTTGCTTCTGGGCGTGACCAAGTATAATTCGATGAGGTCAACCACATTTTCCTTCATTCTGAGAAGCACCTACTTGGACTAAGACTCTTTGCGGCGTCAACTCAACATCTTCACACATAAGCCATGATCAGATCAAGATCAGAATTGTAGTACATAAGCCATGATCAGCCTCGCTGCGAGTAAACTTGCCTGTTGGTTCAAAGAAAGTGAAAGTAGTGAAAGTACTCCGCTTCAAAGGAAAAAAAGCTCGAACCGCGGCGAATCAATGGAGAAATATCCTATGTGCATGATCAAGTATGTAGCTTGTGGTTGGGACTGCCAAACAAGAACAACGCGGCGGATATACTAGTTTAGTTATGCGTTTATTTCTCGAGCAAGAGGTCGAAGAGTGCCAAAGGAAATGCTTGCAATGCGAAAAAATGCACAGGTATGAACACCATATGAAGATGTTAATGCTCTATTTTTGCGGCATCAGTCAAGCAACTTGCTTCCTGAATTAGACCAGAAAATCGGACGAAGTACATGTTTTTTTGCGCATCCCCGTGCAATGGGGGTCGCGGGCGGAGAGAAGTTGGGGGGTGCGAAGGCGCGACCGCGTTCCGGGCTGCTTTACCCCGGAAAAATTAGCCTCCGGCGTTGCGGCGGGGCGGCCGGGGCCGGGACGGGTCGGCCTGACATAGATAGGAAGGGAGGCGACGGCACGCAGCCTGGACTTTGCCACCCGCCCCCGCGCGAGGCCCACGTCGGGGATGCGCAGCCGACTCGGCGTGCATCCCGGGGCCCCAACTCGAAGCCCGCTCGGGGCCGGAAAAGCTTTTGCTTTGGCTGCGCCCGGGCGCGCCCTCCCCCATCCGGGGCCCCGGCCGGTGGGTGAACTGCATCCCCCTTGAAAGGCGCGCGCGCCCCGCCCTTCCGGGGGGGGGGGGGAAAGGGGGGCCGAATTGGCCCAATTCGCTAGCCCTTTTGGGGGGGGTAAAATGTGCCTGGTTCTGGGCCATTTTGCCCCCCCCCCTGTAGCATCGGGGGAAGGCCATTTTTTGCCCCCCCCTGAAAAAGGGGGCAGAATTACGCCAATTCGGCCCCCTTTTTACCCCCCCCCAGAAGGGGGGGGGGCGCGCGCTTCTCCCAGGCCCCCCCTCATTGCCCCCAACTTGGGGGGCGTTGGCTTGGGCCGAAGCAGGCCCAACCCAAGGGGCGCGCGCCCTACTGCTTCGGAGGCCGGCCCCTGCTGTACGGCAAGCAGGCCCATGCGCGTCCGGCAAAAAACATGGCGGCGGCGCACCGCCCCGACATGGACAGGCCCGTGGGAAAGCCGCTTGGCGGGGCGGCGCTTGTCGCTCTCGGCGGGCTTCGAGGCCGGGAGGCCGCCCCGGCTCTCTTTGACAAGCCACAACGCCCGANGGCGGGCTTCGAGGCCGGGAGGCCGCCCCGGCTCTCTTTGACAAGCCACAACGCCCGAGCCGCTGCATGGCGCAGCGAGGTCCTCGGGCCGGGTGTGTTGCGAGGGTATCCCGCCGCCCTCGAAGTGAAACGAAATTGGCCCGCCATACCAGCGGGTGCGCGAAAAAGTATGTACTTCGTCCGATTTTCTGGCCTAACTGAAATCGGGTCGCTTGTTCGACGTTGATTATTATAAAAGTGAACTGAGGACGAGTCCGATGCTCTCATCTTGTGGAGTCCTTTGAGAAAGCCTCTCCTCAGAAAAAATGAAGGCACAATGCGTGAAACTCGCGCTGAGAAGCGATATCAATTAATTTGCAAACATACCCATTTGGTTAGCATCACCCATCTTTCTGACTTTCCTGTAAAAATACTGGTTCGATAATGAAGTCAGTATCTCAACAACGCTATCAATCATACAGTTCATTTTGATGCCTCGCAAATTCCTCCGACAGAACAACCGAGGGAGACTACACGAGTGTACATAGTTGTGTGCTACTACTGTTTTTGACCACGTGACGAAAAAGCCTAATCCAGCAGCTGAATCCGTCTTCTCCGTTGTTCCGAGGCTAGCAGAATTAGTCTCACTCTTGGTTTTAGGCATATTAATTCCTCGGAGTCGTTTTTCACTAGCGTGCCCGTTTGTTCTCCAGCCGATTCTAATAGTAATATAGTTATTTGAACGCTTACACGAGCCTCTCGCGTCCTGTTGACAAGACTGAATAAAGCGTAAACTGATATTAGGATTATTTACAGCAGGTGAAAAATCGGCCACGCTGCTTGTTCGGCACCGCAAAAATATTACCAACCAGGAGGGTCTAACTACAACAAGTGGGAACATGTGCTCCCCTTTGCTCTCGCTTTAGGAAAGGCAACAGTATGCAAAAACGATAAAACATTGTTATGCTGTTGGCGCTCCCTCTTTACCACAACTTCATCGGAAGCAAATAGACTCTATATCGGGTAAAAAGTATCGTTCGCTTGATCATTGTATACTTTTGGGTTATCGGATTTGAGCGAAACATAATCATTTTTTTCATGCTTGTTCGTAGCGGTCGCAGCCCGGAAAAATCCTCGTTACTACGGCGATTTTTTGGATGAATTACAACCGACAGTCATGGTGCCACGTGGTGGACAATGAGGCATTTCTGTGTCGAATCAAATTTTTCGTGCAGTATTTTATACACAATTCATTGCTTCGCCCTGTTCCAGAAAAACCTACATTATCGGGCACCATGCGACGACTAGTGTAGTAAAAAATGGAAAAGTCCAGACCAGACAGACGAGATAAGAGTAAATCATACAAACGTGTATATATCAAAAGATTTAGAATTATCACTTATGTAGTTCATCATAGACTTCGAGTACTACGTCGCACAACCCTGAAAAACCAGCTACATGTGCAGCTGCGTGCTGTTGCGAAAGTTAAAAGTGTACGGGGACATATAGAAGCGCCGCGCAAGCCTATAAGCCCAGATCATCCTCATAGGAGGTAGAAGTACTACGTCTTCTACTTCTTCTATGGAAAATAAAATGTGTTTTTCGTGTTGAATTTTTGGCGAACTGAATGAAATCATCGATCAAAATCAATGTAAAGAAATAAAACAAAAGTCATGCAGCACCGGTTTTTACACTGTGCCTACTTTTGTATTTGTTGCGTTTGTCAAAAAAAAGAAATGCACGTAATGAAGCTGCTAGTGCTCCGCTACAATATTCTTCTCAAGATAAAGTGGCTGTGGCCGTCTGTACCAACATGATGAAAAGACCCACGACTAGAAAACCTCTGGAGGATAAACAGAAGTACTCCCCGGCAAAACCACTATAGATGACAGACCAGCATTCATCTTCTAGCGTCAAGACGAGCAACATTTACGACGCACATGAGTCCTCTTTGCGCATCACTGCACTACAGCGACGGGCCACAGCAGCAGTGCAAAACGCACCAGGCTTGTGCGTTCGCTTGCGCTGAAAGTCTGACGCCAGAAAATCTGCATTTTGGATTTATTGGACGGAGGAGTAGGTCAAGTGACTTCGACACGGATATTAGAAAACATAGAAAACAAAACGAGTCTGAAAATGCGGCATTATACTTACGACGGACAAGTTTCTTGATGGTCTCCCCTCGCGGGGGATCGGGCACAACGTCAGCACGTCTCGTCGTGTTGACTTTGAGGACCCGGCATTGTTGACGTAGAAAGAAACTACCACTACGAAAAAAAAAATTGGGTTTGCGAAATCTGCAACGCAAATGGGAGTTGGAGAGTATTGCAGTCGTGGCGTGGGACGAGTCGCGCTGTCATTCTCGCGACGAAACCGACACAACCACATGATCTGCTTCTCTCTACCTCCACTTTCTGCGAAGGTTCCGTTCAGTAAGTAACTACAACACAAATACAAATTCGAAAAAGGAGCAATTCCGAAAGGAGCAACCGTTACCGATACCGATACAGTTGCAAAATCATATCAGTGTACTATCAATCTACAATATTGATATTCCAGAACCGATGTTTTTTAATATACGAATTTCAATTTAGATTTGGTACAAGACCAGCGCCCTGTTATTACTTCACATTCATTTCTACTTTTTTTCGTCGGCAAAATGCAGTCCGGGCTATGACCGAGGCTCCGGTGGCGGGTGGTAGGTATGGGTATGCATCGCAAAAGTATCATCTCCTGTGCAAGAACGTACCGAGTACTACACGATGCAAAAAGAACTAGGTAGGGAAGCACAAGTAGCAGAAACACGCTCTACAAGTTTTTTGCAAATTTTCGATTGTCCTGGCGTGACGTCAAGAACACTACAGAACCGACAGCGTAGACGTCACTTTTGCATCGAGGATAGTGCTGACCTCTCGGCGGCAAAACTTGGCTTTGTTCCACTCCGTTACCTCCCAGTGAGCCTCGAATGAAGTCCAGCAAGAGGGTGATATCCTGGTGGGGCAAGACGGGAAAGGGTTCCAGTCCCGCGTGAGGTGCTGCGCGAGGACCGTGAAACACCATCTGGGTCACAGCAGCTGCACGACCCCCCGGAGCAGCAGGTGGTGCGTCCGAAGATGTACCCGACCCGTAGAACTCGAACGGTCGCACCGACGTCGTGTTGATACTGCTGCGCGTCGAATATCACAAGGAAAAATCCTCCCTCCCCATATCAAACGGAAGCTTCTGTTGGTGGATTTGCGTATGCAAGTCACGTTCTTTGTCTTGCAGTAGAGGACTGCAGGCTCCTGCCAAGCCTGAGTAGAGAAGTTTTGGCCTAGGCGCTTAGCATGAGAAACGTCTACGATGTACGCCCAACAGCATCACAAACCGCCTGCATAATGCGGCAGGGCCTGTGGAATTGTCTTCTTGCAAGACAGACGTGATTTGTGGTCTCAAATCAGCAAGACAAATTTTCGGAAACATACCTTTTCGATATGGGGAGGGGGGATTTTTCCTCTCAATATCGAATCCTCGTCCACCACTCCGGCAAAATTATCCATTGCAATAGTTCATCAGTAGACCTCTATTCACGCACACAGATACATGGATCTGAGTTCGTTTTCTCTCAGTTTTGCGTAATTTTTCTCACAACTCTATTTTTCAAGCGCGAACAAGAAGAAAGCAAAATTGCTAGGCTCTGTTTTTCAAGTGCGTTGTGAAACTTCGGTCACTGCTTCACCTACTATTTTCAATCGTACACAGATAATTTCAGTACATGACCAGAAGCAGACACTAGGAAACACTTCTATGCTTATGGCAGCAGAAGCTGCCCGCCTTCTAGTCAACTTTTTTGTCGTGTCGCACTAACGTTGCGAAATGAACTTGCGGCAGAGTCGGAATTATGTCGGCGTTTAGATCATTAGACCAGTATCTTCCTATGAATGTATTGAAGTTAGTCGCTCCTGCACACAGCCGTCGATGTCGATGTCGTGTCGTAAATAAATGGTTTGAGGGCATCACCGAAATCTCAGTGCCTGCTCTTGCTCGGGTTTGCATGATCATGGCACGCGAACAAGTATACTGAACTCATGCAATTGCAAAGCATATACGACGTCTCCCAGTAACTGCGAAGGAGCTCCTGTGCCGCCCATGTGTCCCCCGGATCCGTCACGGCCGCCTGCCGCTGTGCCGGCGGCTGCTTCTTGCCGGTGTTGCGGGTAGTAGCGCTGCAGGATTTCCTGCGCGAGGAGCAGCGCCATTTCGTTTCGGTTCTCCAGAAACTGTCCCGGGGCTGCCTGCGAGGAGACCGGACCCAGCAAGTCACGGGGCTGCATGAGCGACACCGCCCCCGGATTATAACCCTCTGTTCCTTCAGATCTGCTGCTGGAGCGGGTCATACCGGTGTTGACATTCCTGCTTTAATATCCAAAGGAAAAACTACTTCTCAGGCCCTGTCCTCACTATGAGCTTCTGATGAAGAAGGTTTCTGCACACGGCCTACACGTAGAGAGTGTCTGCACGTGGGTCGTGTGCAGACATCTTCCGCCAGAGACGCGAAATTGCGAAAAAACGTGTTTATATTGTCGAAAACAAAAGCATCAGACCATAACATACCACCTCATCTCGCATCAAAAGGCTTCTGAAAAAAGTGCGCGATGTTCACCAGCCTCTCACTCTTCATGCACGAACAGCTCACAAAAGTTTGGAGTTCCAGTGAAGTACCAGGTGGTGGAGTTTGTCTTTGCATATTGCACTGGCAGCTTGTAGATCCAGTTGCTGTCGGAGCTGCATGAGCTCCTGTTCCAATGCGTGGCGACTGCGGAAGGCCTCCGGTACCATGTACGAGTTGTTTCCAGCACTAGTATCGCCCTCGTCGCGGCGAAATGGAGCTGCAAAATCACCTCGTCCTCCCGTACGTGTGGGTAATGTGTCAGGGCCGGCACGGTCGTCGCGCGAAGATGACGCCACCAAGTCTCCCCGGTAGACTACTTGTTGTTGGTGTTGGCCTTGGTCCCGCCCTGCTGGGAGATTGTACTGATAACTATACAGCCGGTTTTTCTCCTCGGTAGGATCCCCCTCTGCAGCGTGCGGAGCTCCTGCACCGAAAGGACGCGAAGGTGGCAGGTAGCCGTACTGCACGCCACCCGACGGCGCCCGCGGTCCGCCTTCTCCCCCTGCGGTGTCAAGAAGCGCGGGGGGACAACGAAATTTTCGTGCGCGCGCTCCTGCGGGTTGACGTTGTGGCTGCGATTGCTGATGCTTCGCTGGTGCTCCCACGGCTGCGCACTGCCGCCCGGGGCGGTTGTGTACGGCGGGTACGCCAGGTGGTCGTCCCTGTGCGGCTCGTACGACGCGGCTCCCAGGGAGGAGACTCCCGCCCGCGATGGAAGAAGAACGCGAGAACCCGCAGCATTTTCGCGACCAGCGTCTGCATGCGGAGAGCCGCGGGGCGGAGACGGGCCCGGGCGGTAAGAACGTTGTTCCGTGTATGGAACTGCAGCAGCAGTACTAGTAGCCGAGCCCTTCGACGGAGCAGCGGACCCGCTGTAGTAGCCATCTACTCGTGCTGCGCCTCGTCCCGGCACCACCTCCCGGTCGTGGTACATCAAGCGGTCCCCGCGTTCGCGAAGCGTGCCGTCTTGCTCTTCGCTCCTCAGGTAGTGCGGCCCGCGGGAGGTGCTCTGCTGGTGCTCGGGAAAGGAATCCGGATACCCAGGTTGCCGCGCCAATCGTTCGTTCGAGCGGTCGTGAAACTGGCCCAGCTCCACTCCGGAACTAGTACCTCCGTAGTTGTGGTACTTCTTGTTTTCTCCTTTGCTCGTCGAGGGATTGATGTCCTTGTGCATGTTGTAATAAATGTCCGACCTCCCTTTGCCCTCATGCGAGAGCGATCCGCCTTTCCCACTGCGCTGCTGCGGTCCACCACCAAGAGACGAGGAAAAGTTGTCAACATCCTCCACTTCTTGCGGATTCACCTTATACCGACCCTGCCGTGCGTCGAAATCCGCGCGTCGGTACTCGTCCAGCACTAGTCGGCTCGTGGAACGCTGGTGGCGAAGGTCCAAATCCATGTACAAAAATCAGAGTGTTGCGTCGGGATTCGCGCGACTGGGTTGCCTATCCATGTACAAAAATCAGAGTTGCCATTCAATAACTGCCCGGCAGTTCTTGAACTATATATACGACCAAGTGCAAGAACAAGTGCATATCTTTTGAGCACAATGAATAAGTACCGACTTAAAAATATTTGAAGAACAGTTGATTCCATGGCAAAAATACTTAAACGCGGCACAAAAATGCTGGCAACGAAAGAGACGATTTTTTCGCACAGGATACAATTGCCGGATGGACCTCTACTCGCTCCGGACGACGAAGTGACTAGTCTCGAGGTTGTGCTTGTGCCGCTAAAGTTGCGGCCGCCGGCGGAAGAAACCGTTCCGTCTTGGTGCCGTTGGCCCGGGTGCTGTTGGTGGAGCAAATTTTGATTGTAGTTTCTCCCAGGGCCTGCACTCCGGTAACCGCGTGCGTCGCGGTCATTTGGCTTGTTCAGGGCCGGTTGCGGTTTGGTCGAGGACGTGGAGAGATCGCCCGATTGCTCCTTGCGATCATACGTGGCCCCAGCCGCGTTGGCGGAAGTACCGGCAAATGCTGACTTCGCCGCAAAGCCGGCCGTGCGGGGGTTTGCGTTTCTTTTCGTGGGCAAGAACGACTGAAATTGCCGCTGGCTGATGCTGGCGGACTTCTCGTCCTTCGGATCAATCGGGTGACGAAACCGACACCACTCGCCCTTGCTACACTTCCCCACCAGGTAGTGCCGACAGATCGTTTTCCGGACCAGCGCCTTGCGCTCCTTATGGATTGCAAATATGTCTGGGTCTGGAAACTTGTTATGCTAAGAGTGAATGATAAACGTACTGCAATACGCAGCTACGCATGACAAATTTTTTGGCTGCCATGTCTTTCGTATTCCGCATGACGAACAGCGTTTTTGCATGACAGGTAAACGGGCAATTTCGCGGCTATGCAACACAGATTCTCGAGTCATGCCAGAGAAGCATGACAAACTTGCATTCTTCCAGACCCAGACATTTTTGCATTTGATACTCCTCCTATGCATGCAAAAATCTTGAACCGACTCTAAAGTACCCGAAAACTATTAAAACCACAGGTTTATGGTATAGTACTAGGACCAGGATCGATCCTGCTGGCAGCTGGTTGTTAAACAAAAAGAAATAGCCGGCTTCATGCAGTAGAAATAGCTGTTTTTTATTCAAATCAAGCAAACGCGCACTACGGCAAAGATAGTATGTGAGTCTGCCTCTATTTATTTCTGCCTATATTTTCCTCTTCACTGTGCGTGACTCCTGCCTCATTCAAGATTTAGCTGCCGTAGCTTTCGCAGCAGAGTGCCCCGAGTCAAGTTCACCTCGTGCTTCATCACCTCCGGCTGCATCGCGGGACTCGTTTTTTTACTTTCCGTCAGCAGAGGATCACTGCCGCCGCTCGTTTCCGTGGGGCTGGGCTGCTCTTGGTTCTTGTCGCCGCCGCCCTGCTCGTTTTTTCTACTCCGACTAGCACTTTGGTCGTCGTCCAAGGAAAAATCTTCGAGGGTTTGTTCCCCGTTCTCGACTTCCGGAGGTACTACTTCTTGAACTGAGCCGGACCTTGCGCTAGCCAGGTGACCTCCTTTCACGACCGGCATCTCGTCCCTTTCTTCGAGGTCGAAGGCCTCGACGCAGGTAAAATCCTCCTCTTCATCCCCCACGGCCACAGGCTGCGTCAAAATCGTGCTCGGAGCCGAACCCGGAGCGGTAGACGCGAGCCTCTCATCTCGTTCAAACAGTGCTGCGGGTTCCGCGGCGGCCGGCACTAAGTTCATTTCCTTCTTCTCTGCAACTGCCTTAGCACCTTCCTCAAGTTCAGTGTCGTCCAGCTGCAGCTGCGCTGCTCCAGCGGGAACGACCACGTCGAGAGCCTCCACCAGGGGCAGCACTTCATTCTCGAGTCCTTCGCCGCGCGGTCGAAGCATACCGTCCCGCGACGTTGCGTCCATCTCGGCCGTAACTATCTTCTATTTCTGCAGTTGCTTTGCAAACAAATCTCTACCATGACTAGTTATAAGTCAGAAAACCCATTATTTAATAGTATCCCGCAATAAAAATAAACAATAGAAACGAAAAACGGAAACAAAGAATGGAAACGAAAAACGAAAACAAAGAATGGAAACGAAAAACGAAAACAAAGAATGGAAACGAAAAAAGAAAACAAAGAATGGAAACGAAAAACGAAAACAAAGAATAGAAACGAAAAACGAAAACAAAGAATGAAAACAAAGAATGAAAACAAAGAATGAAAACAAAAAACGGAAACAAAGAATAAAAACGAAAAACAACAACAACGAAATGCAGACAAAGTGCCCAAGCTTCTAAGCGGCGAAGCCTCGAAACGATGAGGCCTCGAAACGCCGAAGGAAGCCTCGAAGCAGCGGAGCCTCGAAGCAGCGGAGCCTCGAAGCAGCGGAGCCTCGAAGCAGCGGAGCCTCGAAGCAGCGGAGCCTCGAAGCAGCGGAGCCTCGAAGC